ATGAGCGTGTAAATACAATTGACCAAATCACTTAGAGATAAGAGTTTAAACGAACGGACGAGATCGTACAATTGCGTGACAATGATGTTCAAATAGAACAATTGAGTAGAAGAAAGAAATCTCGTCCATCGCCTTACAGCTGGACATTTCTTCAATAGAGGAAAAGAGGAAAAAATCAAAATTCTATAGAGATTTGTTTTCTAACATGAATTAGTAATGGAGAAAAGCTCCCAAATCCAAATCAATATTCCGACTATAAATAGTAATAGCTCGTCTACCTTTTCTTTTGTTTCTAGATCAATCTATAACTGTACATTGATTTTTACAATCAAAATGCATTTGACATTACACATACTAATGACTCTTTTTCTTCCATATGCATCTTCAATCGTCTCACAAATTTTAACTCCTGTCTCGATTTTTGAAGAAAGTCCTATCTCAACGATTGTCGTCGATCTTCGACCGACATTTCAGACACTTGGTGTTCATCCCGACCAAGCAGTTCTACTCCATAGTCAACCAAGTCAACCTTTTGAATACATTAACGGACGTATTCGATTAAAGTCACGTTTAGATCGGGAAGATTACGTTCGCAAACGTTTGTGTATCGGCGGCAATGTTCTTGAATGTAATTTTACTTTAACATTAACCGTAAATCTTAATCAGCCGCCATTTAATTATATTCTGTCTCAACCGATATCTTGTCATGATATCAATGATGTAATTCCGAAGTTTTCACAATCGGAATCGACAATATCCATGGCAGAAAATGTTCCAATCGGACATCGCATTCCGCTGGAGATCGCGGTCGATCTCGATTCACCACCATATGGAATCGATCATTATCGGTTAGTTACATATGAAAATCACGAGCAGCATCAATTTTCAATTGTTTATGATAATCAAAGTCGAGAGTTGGAATTAGTTGTTAATGACAAATTAGATCGAGAAGTAATCGAAAAATACATTTTTAAATTAATGGCGATCGATCGAGGATATCCACCGAATATCGGAACACAAATCTTAACAATCGAAATCAGGTAGTAGAAATCATTTTCATTGTTTGTATTTATCATTCTTCTTCGTTTGATTTTTAGTGATATTAATGATTCCCGACCGAAGTTTGAATCGGCAATTTATAATGTAACTGTTGCTGAAAATACTTTACCCGAATATCTACTTAAAATCCGTGCCATCGATGCAGATGCTGGTCTCAACGCTGACTTAGTTTACACACTTGAAAATGATCACAATGGTCTATTTCTACTGGATAAAACTTCAGGAATTCTAACATTAACTCATTCTCTTGACTATGAATACCACACATCGTATCAACTCAAAGCTGAGGTTCGTGACAATGGATTGAACTCATTGAGTGATACATGTATTATTAATGTCTATGTTCTTGATCAAAATGACCATGCACCCTCGATACAGATGAAGTTCAATCCCACATTAGAACATAATCGCGATGGAACGATGGCTTATGTACCTGAAACATTCGATATAAATCTACCCTTAGCTTTCGTTAATGTTCATGATCAAGATTCCGGAGATTACGGAAAGGTAAGCGTGATACTTTTTCTTTATTACTTTAGTTTTATTAAGTAAGAATATTACGTGAGAAACTTTGATATAGCCATAAAATCGCATCTGACCATCAGAACAGTTGTCTATTCATTTATCATGTTTCTTTGTTCATACTTTACCTAACCTTGATTACGTAAATTTTGATGAGAAGAATAAATAATTGATATTTGCTTTAGGCACAATTAACTATCGAGCCTAATCGTTTGTTTTATCTTGAAATCATTCGTCCAAATTACTATTCAGTGAAGTCGTTACATCGACTTGATCGCGAAATTGCATCGAATTACCAAATCGAACTACATGCACGTGATTTCGGTCAACCGAGTTTACGTCGTTCTATGACATTCGATCTGAACATCACCGATGTTAATGATCAAAGACCAATCTTTCCCAGAAATTATACATTTGAAATCAGCGAGAACAATATAATACCAAGTGTGATTGGCCAAGTCATTGCTTACGATGCAGATCAAGGTTTGAATGGACAGATAAGTTATTCAATCGATCCTCCATCATCGTATTTTTCCATTTCATCAACCGATGGAATCATCTCAACGAACACAACATTTGATTATGAAGCCAATCGTCAGTATCATTTGCAAGTTCGAGCACGCGATGCAGGTCAACCATCAATGGATACATTTACTTTGGTCAAAGTGAATATCCTTAATCTAAATGAATACTCACCTGAATTTGAAAAGAAGAAGTATCAGTTTTTTATCAATGAAAACTCCACTAACAAATCTTCAACATTTATCGGACAAGTCAAAGCAATTGATCATGATTATGGTGATCATGTGGTCTATTCCTTGAATGATAATTATCATTTGTTCATTATCGATCAGAGTGGTAATCTTCGGACAGATGCCATATTCGATCGAGAAATTCAAGATGAATATATCGTCACCGTCATGGCAACCGATAATTCAACAATGGGTTCAATCGGATCAGCAACAGTGATCATTAAAATTCAGTAAGTCTGCAGCTTTAAATTCGTCTTTCATATTGTTGAGTTTTTCCAGGGATGTCAATGACAACTATCCCGTGTTTATTTGGCCTGATTCTGATGAAATTCGTCATATTCTCTCTGTTGACCATTCGCAACGTACAGATCCAAACAATCCGTTAGCGCAGTTTTTAACCGACATTGTCGTTGGCGACGACGACATCGGGAATAACTCGGCAGTTCAGTTATCGATTTCGAACAATGATTTGTTCTACATCGGTTCAAATAATTCCCTCTGGCTGTACAATTCGTCGATATCACCTGGTACGTATGATATCGAAATTGTGGCGAAAAATCTTGATCTAGTAACGAAAAAGATGTTTCACGTTGTTATCTATAATCGCAATCCATTTCAATTGAATATCTTATCGAACATGCGGCAGACATTTTCACGTTTTTCACTATTAATTATCATTGTTTTATCGTTTATTGCAACTGGTTCAACGATATTTCTACTCATTTATTATCTATGGATGCGCTTACAATACAATCAAAATGTTAAGAAACATTTATATGGCAGTCGATTAATTGTGAACGATGAGGATAAGTCGAAGGAGAGTAGTCCGCAAACTAAACTAAATATTTTATCAACAAATCATGATTATGCTGTTATTGTTAAACAAAGAAAAGTATGTACCGAAATGACCTCTGCTGAACATCTGTATAGATGAGAGGAAATCGAGTGATGAGTGTTTTTTCTCGCTCAACTGAGCAGATGAGAAGCATGTGGAAATTAATGACTATATCTTCGACAAAAACTCATTGTGATCGTGTTTTAGAATTCACAAATACCTTCTGGAAATAGTTCGTCGACAACTGACGTGGATTTTTCTTCGTCCTTATTATCGTGTCCATTCAATGTGGTTTCTTCTTCGTCGACAGATTTGAATTCTTTTCAACCGAATCCTCCATCATCAACCGTATCAGCATTGACAACTCTAACGCGAAAAGCAACACGCCGTCCACCAATGAAAAACGTCAGTTTCGAACCCACTCTAATCAATCCCGGAAATCACCTATTCGATGATGTTTTTCAATATCATTCACCATACTATCAAGAAACAACGCCATCAACATTCAGTACTCTTCCCAAACAAACCAAACGTGATCTATCATCCCTAGCCGTTAGTAAATCCTCCAATCAATCGAATCTTTGTGATATGCCCAAAACTCATCAAGATGGTTTTCCGACATTACAAACTGTTTTAAGTTCTTCAACTAAAGAAACGTCAACAAAATTTCCTCAACCACCACCTTTGCTCAATGGTATACTTCTACTCGACCAAATGCTGACAAACGATGAAAGAACTCAAACATTGTCACCATCAAACATTAGTAATAGTGGATGGTATAATGTTGCATCAAATTATCAGACAAAAGCGAGTATTGTATAATATATACATATCGATGTTGAATGTTTGTAAGCGTGTCCGCGTGTGTGTGTATGTTTCCTAGTCGGTCATTGTTTCTTTATACTGCTTTATTTGTATAGGGATTGAAGAATTACATAAATGAATAAGTTTTTCTTTTTCGAACGAATCTTGGAAAGTAATTTTTGATGTGCTACGAAAGGAACTCTCAAGAGGTTTGTTTCAGTTCTTTTCAAATTTGTCATTAACGTGCTAGAAAATATACGGCTGTTGTTCTCTCAAAGGTACGCCGTGATGTCTTTTGAGAGTTTTTCTAACTAACATTTTCTCATGGCTAAATCTGAAGGTCTCCGTACAAGAAATAACAACCATCTTTCAAATGATTAGTGATGGAATTTATTGACTATTTACGAGAATATGGTTATCACTTCTCTGCCACCGCCCTTCACGAGAATACATCGATAGATTCCTGAACATAATTGATCAACAAATTCGATATATGCATAATCAGCATTCGTGTTCGTTCGTGGAACTTTTGGCAGATTGATTAGAACCAGTTGGGCATCAGATGATCGTTCGAGAATTATCTGATTCAATCGAGCAGCTGAATGCATTTTCCTGCGTATTTGAGAATCTTCGACGAGTGTGTGAGCCAAGCGTTTCTCTTTGAATGTTCGTCCAGCAGACGGCGTGAATGTGTAATGAATACGATCTCCGTCTAGAGGTGCGAAACAGTTCGATAAAATAACGATGGATGTTTGTTTTTTTTTGTAAGAAATTACTCGGTGGATAATTCTGAACGATTTCTTGCAAATGACTTTCAAGCTCGATTTGAATGTGCTGTTTCTTAATGTCAAATGGATTCATATGTTTCGAATTCTCAACTGTCATTGTTCGATATTTTGTAAATGCAGAGATTTCTTGGTCAGCAACCGTGATTGTATGTACTTCTGCTTGTATACGTAAATTATAAACATACTCTTCTAATTCACGTTGTCTCAATTGTGGTTCTTGATTCGGCAAACAAATTGTAAATAATCGTAGAACACATTTATTCCAAACAGGATGTTGCTGCAGTAGAAATGCTAATAAAAACAATAGACCACCATCATAGATTATCCACCAGATATCAATATAGCCCGATTGAATCTCTAATAAACTCGGATAGGAATCGATATTTTTAAGAAGTAAAATGGCAAATTTTTTATTTTCCGCAAGTCGAATCGAATCAAGATACGAGATGATTGCATCATCTATACGCTCTTCTACTTGATATTTTTGCCATGAACTTGGCCAATCTACATTAGTTATTGTAAGATGCCGAGAAATGAGGGTGATCAAGACTTACCAAACATGACCTATAAGGACAAAATATAATGAACATCTTTCTAATAATCGGATTTCATTCTTACCGTATTTGGACGAAATCCACCAACGCCACTTGTTTGCATGATGGAATTAATTCCATCGTAGACATTATTTGTCACAAGAACATCAACAAAACCATTGACAATCTTATGAATAACCATTTGTTCTTTCAAATATTCTCGTAATTGTTCAGCAATATCACGTTTCTTGTCATATCTACCTATACACAATTCACAACTGTCCTTTCTTGTTCTCATCTATTCAAATCAAACCTTCGATCACCGTCGCAAGAATAACTAAACCTTTGCCAGCCTTTAATTGACTTAAAAGATTAAGAACATTCTCGTGTTCGATCGTCCATCGATGTTGACTTTCATTGTAAAGACATTTCAGAAAAACTAAGATCTGCGGCCGAAAATTCTTCGTGTGGCTTGCCTGATCGCTCAAGTGTGATAGAGCGACATGTGCTATGGACATCGGTAAACCTTTCAAACCTTCTCCCCACTCTTTATTTGCTCCCGAATACCAGATATAGAGATAAACTATTGCACCCACAGCTAATGTGATCAAGGCAATCAGCCATGATGATATAAACATGATTGCAATACAAACAATAACGCCAAGTAGTGATAGAAACCAATGATAGAAACGAAAACGTGGCCGCCATGATGGTTCTTCTGAGAAAGATGTATAAAAGAGAAAGACTTGTTTTTTATGTTGGAAAGAAAATCTTACGGAGAAGCGTTTGTAGAAAACAAACGAAATTCACCGATAAGTAGCACATAAGAAAGAATTCGGATACAATCGCTACATGAGAACAGGTCAGAATGGAGAGCTTTTCTCAGAATAATTTAACTTACTTGTTACGATATCAAAGTTAGCGACAAGCACACTGATTTCCGACAGGAACAATGTGACTAGCAAAGCTCTAAATGGTTCGTTTCGAAATGTTGATTGAAACGGTGTCAATACTGGCATAATATCATCTTTAGCGACAGATTGTAATAAACGTGGAGCACCGATTAAACTAAAGTTTGGAAGATTATCATCTGTAAGTTCAGAATGAAGTTCTCACCATTGTAAACCCGCACCAAAACATGCAGACAATGCTCCAACAATGATCACATACGGCGACGGCCACGCAATAACTGCTTCGACAAGTTGTTGGTTAACACTCAGACCATCTCGGTCGCGTAAAAGCACACCCTGGACTGAGCAAGCGAGAAGAAAAGCAATGAGAATATAAATTATCGATGTGGTTATGACAGCTACTAGAATATTTGCATGGATTTAGCAAAAATCGCTAATATGAAGAATTAAGCTCACAGATAGTTCCTCGCGGAATCGATTGACTAGGATCTTTTAGATCACCACTTCTGTTGGAACCAGCCATGATACCTGTTACACTAGGGAAGAAGATTCCAACTAGAAAAACAAGTCGTTTTTATCAATCATTTGATTGAATATTTCACTTGCCTAGTATAAAAAACGATGTTGTTGCTTTACTGACAACTTCTACTTTTGAGTCTCCTAAAGAATTCGATCATTATGAAAAACAGAAATCCCTCTCTCTCTACTAACCATTAAGTCCATTTTGGATCTTTCCTTCTTCGATATGCATCGATTTGAAATTATTACTGAATTGTGAATTTTTCAAACCAGGTATTCCATTAATCAAACGAACATTGCCCAAATCATTGCAAACAATAGTACTACTAATATTATCCACACAGAAAACCTGTTGTAGTGGACAAAGATCCTTGTCACATGTAACATTCGAATGACAATAACGTGCGACATTATCTTTTAAAACGGAAGATTTCAAAAGATGTCTAATATGATCTTTTTCAATAATACAGATCGGTAAATAGACCGGTGAGATCGCACTCTTTATAATACCAACAAGAATAGATAAGATCGAAAGAAAAACAATGAGCAACGTGAATGGAGCTAAATGGAAATAAATAGTCTTTCGAAGTTATCATGAAATACTTACCAATACGTGAAACGATTTTGATACCGAGAAAAACGATCATGCCGAGAAAGCAAAGAAGAATTGTTCCATATAAGCGATAATGATTAAAAGCGCTCTGCTGATTTTCAATCGATGGGCCAAATAAATGGCATTTATTCGGACAGGTATATTTAAGAAGTATTTCACTTGCTCCCAAAACGTACAAACCACCAGCTAGAGCATTGCCAATATAGAACAAAAATCCTACTGCACCACCGACAGCTGGACCTAACGATCTTGATATTAGAAAATAAGAACCACCTGAAGGTACAATACCATTCGTGGCAACTAGATACAAAGAAAAACTGAAAATAAATCAATCGGTACTGCGCTCATGTTGTTACTTGCAGCCAGTGAGATAGCCGTAAGAAAAGTACAAAGACAACAAAGTCCGATGATGAGCATTCCTTGAAGAATTCCACTGACGCCGATCACCCAATACAGCCGAATAAAAGCGATGACTCCGATAATGTTTTGTACACATGGAAGGTACACACCAAACAGAGTATTTAACTGAGTATCCGAGGATAACATCGGTGGTCTAGACAGATTGTCAATATTGGACATAAATGTACCACCTTGATAATCATAGAGATTCTTGAGAAAGCCTGCCTCTTTTTCAATAGCTAGCTGTGTTTCCGTGTTATTTTCGTCATCGTCTGCTTTGATTAGTTCAATTGTCGGTATTTGTGATCGATCTCGTACAGAACTTGCTTTTGTATCTTGATGATTTTGCAGTTCGTTTTCAGGAGTTTTCGTCGTTTCTAAAATTACGAATATAGAAATAAAAATGACTATCTGGCCGCTTCTACAGAATACCTTCATCAATCTCGTCGATACGAATAACTTTGAATCGACCTTTGGCACCGGCAATCGATCCAGTACCATTTAAATCTGCAGGATCAGATACAGCAGTAGCAAAACTGTCCAAACTCATTAGTTCACATACGTATATTCATTAGCGTTTCGTTAAGAGTAACAGTATAAATTCTACAGATGTCTCTCCATTGCATTTCTTGATTAGCGACAGTTAAATTTTGAAAATCGTATGAATAACAGGACTGTTGCCAAGCATCAGTCAATACGAATGGTAAGAGATTTTATCTTCATTCGTACAACTTCTTCACAGGATCATGACACAGATTGTTTCATCGAAACCTTATTGTCTTGAAAATTCTACTCAATTAACTCGTCCAGCTTCTGAAACTTTCTATCGTATCTCAGGTCACAATGTACCGACGATTATCGACAAACAGCAAGCCAAACGTTTGTACCGACTTCAGCAAGCACCAAATATAGATGCACGTGTTCAATTGGATACATCTGATGTTGGTTATGATAGACAAGGATATTTCGAAAGTGTTGTGCGAAAACAAGTCGGTGAAAGTGCTACGCAACCAACTCAACAAGTGTTCCATCGACCAACGGACATGTCGAATGCATCATTGGCACGATTCTCACTTGGCAAAGCTCGGCTTGATCCTCAAAGAATTGTACCAAGTGAAGTAACAACACTACGCAATCATCCATCTGCGGCTACAATGCTCCGGTTTGCTAGGATATTGTTGATATTTTCCGACTAGCTAAAGTTTGTTTTCTCTGTAGACATGATCAAGGTCCCACAGAAGAAATTGTACCACGTTATACAGAAAGATTAGTAACAGATCGAGCTCTTCGTGGTCGACTTGGTCCAGGAGGTAAATTAGAATTGTTCTACAAATATTGTGCCAAGTTGTCTTTTTCGTCAGGTGTTTTGATTCCTGAAGAAGATTGTAGAGAAGCTGAAATATATCTTAGAAAATTAGGTCGCTCATCAGCTCCCGCAAGTCTAGTTCAACAGTCAAGACTGAATCAATCGGGTAATCAATTATCAAAACGTGATGAACTCGCCCGTCGTTTTATGTATACTTCAACTCAACAAGCTGCTTTCGATGAAGTTGCATGGGGTTCGTTCAAACCTCCTTTTATTAATTTGAATTAAGCAAATTCTCTTTTCGATTATTGCGTAGATTCCAAATTACCACCCAAGCTACCTATGCCATTGTCTACGTATGAGGTTAATGGAAGTGATCCAGTTTTACAATCGAAACGTCTAATATCACTTCAAGACGCACGTACACGTCAAATCCTTGAATGGGATCGTGTACAATTGCGAAATGTTAATTTCTATCGAAAACCTCTTGAGAACGTGGCACCATTACCGCGTGCACATCACATATCCGGTTATTCAGGGTGTATCGGTGGTAATAATATACAAGATATCGATAATCCAACCGTGGATTTTCAACCATACACCATCGTTCGTAGTGATCAACCGAAGTTCGGTATCAATCCATTGTGAGTTTACCTTGCTTTTACTCATCGATTGATTTTTCGTTAACAAAAATCTTTCAGTAAGACAAATATTCCGTTCTACACGGGCAAGTCTCATTGGACTAAGACTTCACCGGTATCACACTACGATTCGCAAGGTCAAGCTTACACCACAACAGCTGAGTACCATAAGTATGTTTATATTTAATCTCTTGCTCGATTGTCAACTATTTCGACTTTTTTTTTCAGACCTCTTTATGCTGATGAACCCATACAACGACATACGGATCAAAATGGGCAATTATCTCGATCAGTAACAACAGTTGTTCCACAAAACCCGTTCAATAAAATGGATAATACTTGTACAACAACTAATGGTTCATTAGATAGTCGCTCACATATTGTCATGAGAGATTTACCGCGAAGCACATCGTCACCATCAAAAACGGCAAAAGCAAATGAAAATAAAACACAGAAGACTGAAACTAATCAAATGAAGAATTGAACAAGATTCTATGAGACTTATGCGTTTTTCGGTGCTGTTCAGTTTCTTTTTTCATTCTATTCCTATTTTAATATTTCAATAAATTCACTGCATGAGACTTATCACAAGACTTTCTTTCCCATAACCTGATCAATTCTCATGAGTATCATCGCACGGAGCAAACTGTGATTTCGTCGAAGATGGCGCTGTGTTTAGCTTTGATTATGTCTGATGTTGCCAGGTTTCACCAGACGTAAATGTCACACATATGGTGTTTGTATAAGCACGCGATATTTACCTAATTTTCAATTCAATGTCATATTTTGTTTCAATGAAATTAATACGATGAATAACCTTGAAAGTCCGCTAGACATTCCTAACGATCGCGTTCTTTTGGTCGATAATCCGGATGAGAACAGTCTTGATCAACTTATAGCTAAAGCTCGACAACAATGTTCTAACTGTCTTGATCTTTCAAAACGAAATCTCACTCAATTTCCTACGCAACTTCTTGATTTTTCTTCATTGCAAGTAAATCCTTCTGTTTGTTTTCACTTTCAAATCTCTTGTCTTGATATAGTACCTGTACTTAGAAGGAAATCAACTGAAACAATTGCCTAATGACCTTTTTTTACGGTTATCTCATTTGAAATGGCTTGATTTACGTCATAATAAATTAACTTCCATTCCTCATGAAGGTCTTGCTTCGCATTCATCTCTCCAATATCTTCTTCTCAGTGGAAACAATCTTCGAGCATTGCCTCATGAGCTCGGTAAAGTGAAAACCTTATCTGCCTTAAATCTTGATGGGAATCCACTGCAGCATCCTTCGAATGAAATTGTCAAACAAGGCATCAAAGCCGTTCTACAATATCTACGTGATGAACTCCACACAGATGATGATTTATCTCTATCGGATAATGAAAATCTTCAACCTACACCAAGATATTCTCCTCGGAAATCCAGGTAGTTAGTTAGATTAACGAAAATAACAACAATAAGAATGTTTATTTCAGAAGAAGAATAACTTCGATCGACGACGAAGAAGCGGACAAATTTTCTCTTCCAAATCTCTCTCCACTTCGTGTTCAGTCGTGTAAACAATACGAGCGAATCAGCTATTCAGCAAGACGTTCTATTTCGCCACCACATTCAGCAAAGAAATTAACTCAAGTGTATGCGCTAAACATGTTTCCCTCGAGTATAACTGGAATTTTGTTTAGAACACAAAATACAATAACAAAGAAAAATAACGATCAACAAAGAAATGTTTGTACAGCTCAAGAACAAGCACTCAAGAATATGCAAGTGAGTCGCTGTTTCTCATACATCAACTTGTTAAAATTGATTTGACTGGATTTTTTCAAGCCGCAAGAAACAAGAACTGATAGATCGCGACAACAAATACGTCCGAGAAGTTTTCTCAAACACAAAGGTAAATTGTGCTTAGAATGAAAAGATTCAAAATAACATTACTGCATTAGAATCGAAAAAGCCGATTGCTCCAACTGCATCTTTGATCAATCGTCGATATACACGAATGATTAGTAAAGAGCAATTCGAATTTCTTCGAACTCTCTCGGCTGAATACGTTGGAAAAGAAGATGAAGTCAGGTAAATCGATGTTCTCTTACAACATAGAGTAGAATTCACACGAATTTGAACTCTAGACGTGGTTATGATCGACAAATTCATGATGACATTCGTGATATAACTGATAAGATGCTAAAACGTCGACTAGAAACACGGGAAAGTATCTTCGAAGAACGACGTCAAGTAAAACGTGAAATTCAAGAAGTAAACCATCATCGCTCTCTCCCTTTCCACCTGATTCTCAACTTTCCTTTCAGCTTCGTCGACTTGTTTCCGAAGGTAAACAACATCGACCACCGCCGGTGACCAATCGTCCGAAAACAGTCATTGGCACCGCCAATCCTTATGCGAGAAAATCTTGATTTGCCTTTTGCTTACTCATTCAATTCAGCACAAATAAATGTATTTTATTTCATGTTGTTGTATTATACACACAAAAGCAGAAGAACCCGTAAGGAAAAGAAAAGACGATGGCCCGTGATTAGCACTGTATAAGAAATAGAAACAAAAGAAGAACCCGTATGACTCTAAACCGGCGATCGAGAGTATATTCAGGGGTAAACAACCATTCTGTACATATCTTTGACAAGTTGTTCCATATGAGTTTGATCTCCGATTGTCTTTCGAAAGAAAATCTCTTCGATCATCGACGATGAAATAAAACGAAATGAAGAAGTCAATGTAATCAATTTCAAAAATCGATTATCTTCTAACGGATATTGTTTATTTATATAAGCATTCAAGAGAATTTGTGCTTGATTTTGTAAATAATGAATTGTATGAAGATCGGTTAAGTTCGAATTGATCATTGTTTGACAATTGTTTAAATGTGTTTTGAAAAGAACTAAATTTTTCAAACAAATCAGTTCATTTCCATCGAGTTTCAACTGTTTGGATTTGGCGAGAATTTCTTGAAAATTCGCAATATCAGATTTATAAATTTCGCATTTCTCATTCGAATACATAAGGTCATTGATATTCAGAGTAAATTGTTGTTCGATGGCAGTAAGAATGAATAGATCACGCCAGCTTTCTTCCAATAGACTAGTCTAAACAAGAAAATAGAATGTGAACCGTGAATTCGATCAAACATACTTGATCACGATTGGCTAGAGATGTAAATGCTGGTACTGTTTTAGTCCAATTGACCGCATTGAATAGAACCTTTGCTGCTGATTCATGATGATCAATCGTTGGAAACTACAAACAAATGTGAATGAAAACGAAACAGATAAAATCATGGGTATCTACTTTAGGAAGCGATGCTGGATAAAGAGATATTGATTGACATCGTTGGAGATGATACGCATTTATGATGTCATTAGATTCTTTGAGTAAAAGTGCCATTTGTTTTCTTATTGTCGAATTTCGTGGTCCGCGTTCATGTTGTACAGCTAACGGAAAGAAGAATTGAGACATGATATGTCTTCGTGCAAAATAGATAAATACCTTCTTTGTTCATGCCGGCTTCCAGGCAACGTCTTAACCGACAGCTGCGGCATTGGTTTCGATGAGTTTTATCTACAGGACAATCGCCTTGACCATGATTTTTACAGACATATTGACGATTTCTTCGGATGGATCGTTTGAAAAATCCGGCGCATCTATTTGAAAGCATTTGTACTTCAAAAATTGACGAAATTTCATCAGAGAATTACCCATCGCACGCAAATATTCCATAATGTTTCCCAGATGAATTATCGTGACAGACTTTGCACGGAACGTCAGTCAAAATTCGACCTAGATTAACGAATTATTTTCAATTACAGACAATCAAACGAAATCTGATCTTCATCTTTCTACTCACTTGATGTTGCACTCATTTGTCGATGTCCGTTCATATTCTAAAATGGATAGGTTACTTTTTTTGAAAAGAGAGAGAGAGAGAGAACAACAAAAAGTCGAGCTATTCATCGAATCAACACGCAGACGAAATCAATTCATTGGATAGTATACTCTGTATGCATATATTTCTCTCCTTTTTCTCTTTCACCTTAATTCAATCACATCGAAAGAAGAAGAAAAAAGAAATGGAATCTTTCTCAATAAAACGTATGGACAATACTTCTAATTGGTCATTAAAGCATTCTCCTAATGATAGGTGAGACAATGGGATCACGACCTCGCCAATCGATATGTAAATACCATCTTCAAGATCCTTGTGCTAAGCTTCATTCTCTCATTTAATGACGAAGGTGTCTTTACGTTCTTTCCCCCCTCTCTCTCCTTCTCTCTTCTTCATGAATTGTCAATCGACAAATAGAAATAATTGCATACATCATATTGATGTCTGGTCTATTTGCAAAAGAAGAAATTACTATTCGATTATACTGCTAGTTCCATTCAAACGATAATAAGCACAAACAAATAACACGAGCAAAGAAATGAAAAGAAGAGCAACATTATTTGAATAACAAAGCGAACGATGTTGATCGTACTTGATCAATATTATATGCGCGCCTATGACTTTATTAGTAGAATATACGTGCGAGGTAAATCAAGTAAAAACGCTGCTTTCTTGATTTATGTACATGCATATATAAATGTCTAAATATACATACACACGCATTGAAGACTGATGTCATTTATCCGTCACTAATCTCTGGACATGATCGAACAAGTTCAACAGTATAAATTTCCACAAGGTTGATCTTATGTCATAGGAAATTGTTTTTGTGTAAACAATTGAATCAGATTGATATATGCATGTCAATAGCGAATCAATAAAAGAAAAAGAAAGTTGAAATGTAACTGCTAAACATTTTCGTTGACCTATGAGTAGGATTTATTCATGAAAATCGACTTTATTGAAAAGAAAAGATGTATTGTTCCGTACACGAGTAGTCGTTTCTTTTTTGCATTGAGATCATGTCTATCTGTGCGTGTGTCTATAATCCTTTGCATTGCTGAAGGAAGGTGAAAAAGAGAAATAATAACAATGGTGATTTAGCATGGGAGGGTCAAATCAAGCATCCTTGATAAGTTTCATATATGTACATATATTGTTTAATGATCAAACATTCGAATTGTCAAATGACCATATCATTTCTCAATTACCAACCGTGTCGATTTTGCCGCTTATTCATTATCAACAATGGTGGTGGATATAGTTTATATCTCGCAGGTGACCATCGTTTGATCCTTGAAGCAATGAGAACGAAAGAAAGAGAAAGGGAACATATATCTCAATTTACAAATTGTTTCACACTATTGTCCTAATTGCAGGAGGGGGAGGGTGCAGTGTTGAAGTGATTGTCATTCAACATCTGTATACAGATATCATGCATTGCTAACGAACAAGAAATCATCTCTATGAAGTTTTATGCAACACACGCTCAATGAGCGACATCATCAGAAAGAAAAAGAATTCCATTCGGATGTAGCAGGAGACGAAGGAGGATGGTTGGCTAGGTAACATAACATCTACAAGACAGTAAAACAAAAAAGTATTGCGAACACTATCGATATTTTGCTCCAAAAAATGAGTACAGTTCAATATCAAAATCAGCATGGAGGTTAGTCGAGAAGGTTTTCCTAAAGTGGTGATAATTTCATTTGTCTAGATCAAAGACAACATATTGGTACTCCCGATATTGGAGAGATGGAGAAGCGTTTCAATGATGCCAAAACGTATATTTTATCATCACAAAACAAGAAGGGTGTTAATCTGTAAATAGATATTTTCAATCGTTTATTCAAATATTTGCTCTAATCGATTTTAATTAGATACACTCATTTAGTGAAATGTGTTTCACGATTGTTAACCGAACAGCCACGTAAGAAGAGGAAAATCAACAATATGAAAAAGAAATGATTGAATTTTTTCTAGGCGATAGTGCTATCATATTCGAAGATGTGAGCAAATCGGTTCGATCTGAAGATGAGACACACGTCGAAGATCAGCCACCTGCAGATTCGGAACAAATCTTGAACGAAGAACAGAAGCCACTCTTTGAAGTAATTTTGTTTGATTTTATTGAAAAATAATATGTTATGATCAATGAAAATGTGTAGAAAGGTGAAAATACTGATGATCTTGATGAAGATGCTTTACAATCGCCATTGCCACATATTCTCGAACAAGCGTATTATTTTGAACAAGCTGGTATTGGTCTTGGTCGTGATGAGACTTATCAGTAAGGAAATAATAGACGGTATCAGTGAGCTTCGACCTACAACTGATGTTTCTTTTTAGAATATGGCTGGCATTGAAACAATTAGTAGATAAAAGTCAATTTGAAAAACTTCGTTTTTGGGGTAAAATACTGGGAACAGAGAAGAATTATTATGTCGCTGAAGTCGAACAGAATGCTGACGAAGAGGTCGAAGAAGAGGAAGAAAACGAAGAGAACAATGAAAATGATGAGAAAGATGCGGATGAAGATGAAGAAGGTGAAGGAGAAGAAGATCCTTTGCCAAAATCTGCTTACAAGCCACCACCAAGTGTACCAAAAGAAGAACGTGGAACAGGCGTGAACAAGTACACCTATTATGTCTGCAATCGTCGTATGTATTATAGAAAAGATGAGTTCAGGCGTGAGAATTTTCGGTTTTTTATTGTTTAGCTGGAGCACCATGGGTTCGATTACCGACTGTGACACCAGCACAAATTTCTTTAGCTCGACAGATCAAAGTTTTCTTCACTGGAGATTTGAATCGAGAAATCAAGTCGTTTCCTGCCTATCCAGGAACAGAAAAGCATTATTTACGTGCACAAATTGCCCGAATCAGTGCAACAACGCAAGTATCACCCAATGGACGGTTTAAATTCTCCGAAGTAATGAAAAGCAAACATTGATGAATTTGGTTTTCAGCTGCTTCATTTCATTTAGGAAGAGGAAGAGGAGGAGGAAGGTGGTCGACAAAACTATGAAGATAACGAAGACTTTACAGGTGCACCATTATCAGAATTGATCGATGAGGAGCTAAACGGATGGGTATGAGATGATTCACATATTCGTCTCTTGTCTAATTTATCATCGAATTTCTTGTTTAGGTTCATCATGTTTTACACATTCTTCCTCAAGGCCGAACAAAATGGTGGAATCCAAAGGAAGATGCTGAAGAAGAGGAGCAAGAAGAAGAGAACGAAGAGGAAGATGGTAAAGCCGAAGATCGAATTCAGCCAGAGCAAGGCCCACCACTCCTCACACCCATCGGTGCCGATGCTGAAATCCATCACACGAAAGCTTGGACAGCGAAAATCTCGTCGAATCTGATTCCACAGTATGCCTGTGCGTTTGTTCGATCAAATCTCTGGCCAGGTGCATATGCGTTTGCTCGTGGAACCATCTGGGAAAATATTTATATCGGTTATGGACACAAATATTCAACGAGCGATTATCGACCGGAATTACCTCCCATACCGGCGAGTGAATACAATGATGGACCAGAAATTACAGAAGCTGATGATCCAACAGCTGAAGATGAAGAAAAGGCACGTTTGGCTGCTGAAAAACCTGAGGAAGAAGAGGAAGGCGAAGAAGAAGTCGAAAATGAAGATGAAGAAGATTAAATTTTCTGACTTTGTCTGTATGAATCGACTACTTTGTTTATTGAATACAAATATCTTTACAGAATATGTGTTTCTATATATTTAATTTCTAACAACAGGTTTCCTTTTTTCTAGTAAATATTAAAATCTATTCCATTCTTCTTTTTGCCATAATAACACAATGTTAAATGAACGAAAAAAACAGACTCATTGTCATTCGTAATCGGGTACAGACACATCCAAATATTTTGCCGAGCACACTACCTCCATCTGACGATTCTGATTGCATCGGAGAACAACTGCAATGACGCAATACCATCGAGCATAGTGTTCGTGCACGAAATGAGAGTCATTTGATTTTTGTATACATGTCAATGGAGGAAAATCAAACGAGACGTGCATTGTTAATAGTCGATCTTCAACAAGATTTTGTATCTCCGAATGGACCGTTCAAAGATAAATATGTCAAAATAGATCATATTGTTTCTCATTTAAACAATGTTTTACCGCGCTTTCGTGATTCGAATGGCATTGTTGTTTGGATCAAAGCTAATTATAAAAATGATCAAACCGAATCCAAATCTCTCGTTCGTCCAGAAGGTAAACAGTATGAAAATATTCCAATGAACGATACTTTTCTTTCGGGTACTCATCGGTCATTTCCGCTATGTATACCTGGAACAGATGGAGAATGTTTTCCGTCTGAAGTTATCTCTCTTATCAAGTCTGATGAAGATTTTATCGTGACAAAAACGTATTATTCAGCATTTACAAATACTAATCTTGCTGAAATTTTGAAGAACGTGAATGAAGTGCATATTTGTGGTCTACTAACCAATGTTTGTGTTCAAGCAACGACAATCGATGCTTTCTTTCATGGGTACAAGGTTTTCGTTTGGATTGATTGCCTTGGATATCGCAATGAAGTTTCGCATCGAACGGCATTGAAAAAGATACGACGCTGGTATGCAACAACGATCGTGTCGAATCAATTCAATGATCAACAAGTGATTACTACTGACAGTGCTATTTTGAAGCCAGTCTTGTATTTTGTAAATGGATCTATACCTAGTTGGAGAGTCCTGATGGCACTTTATGAAAAAGACATTGATTTTGAGGGCAAACCACTGCAGGTCATGTCCAAACCAAAGCAAACGAAATCGGCGGAATTTCTTGCTATCAATCCCCGTGGCTTAACTCCAACATTTGTTGATAAAGATGGTACAATCATTGCTGAATCACTCGCTATTTTATATTATCTCGAAGAATACTACCCTTCTACTCGATCGCTTCTGCCTATAGAAAAAGCCAAACATGTCCAAGTAATGCAACGCGTACAAGAATCTCAAAATCTAGTCGATATATATGAATCACTGGAAGCCATTGTATTCAAAACACTTGAACATGAACAACCATCACATAAAAATTCTATTCTGGAGATACTGGAAAAGATCAATGAAGAACTGGCATTTTGGGAAATGTACTTGACAAAAAATACGTTCATTGCTTGTGATCAATTTACATTAGCTGATTGTGCATTTTATCCTGTTATCGCCTCTTTAATCCATCGAGGACTAGATATAAATATCTTTTCCAGATTAAAAGAGTACGTCAATATGATTAAAATAAAACCAGCTGCAATCAACTCGCATCCAACTGACTGGACAGAAAAGGATGGAAAAATCAGCATTTTCAAAGTAGTTAATCAAATTATACTCGATTGTAATAATAAAGCGGATTAAAAAATAGTGAGTATGACATTATCAGTGTCTTTACCTATGGAATTAATCTTGGATCGCCGCATACTTTGCTCATCGGATGATTTAAATAAGCAAGAGTCATCATATCTTCTTGGTCGAGTTCAAAATCGAATATCGACATATTTTCCATCATATGAGTTGGATCGCGAGTACGTGGATTAACAACAATACCTTGTTGCCAGTGCCAGCGAAGTACTACTTGAGCTGAGGTTTTGCCATGTTTAGCTGCGATTGTAACTACACGTGGATGTTTACGTAGATCAGGTATAGGATTCCAAGTTGGACCAAGTGTTAATGCATGATCAGGACAGCCGACGGGCGAGTAACTGTTGAATGTAATGTTATGTTTCTGACAAAAATCAACAAGTTCATCTTCGTGCCAGTAAGGATGGAATTCAACCTGAATCGAAAGAAATTTTTATCAGCACAAAAAAAAATATTCGAAGGGAAGTTTACTTGATTAACACTTGGAAGAGTAGAGTTCAAGTTGAAAATTTCTAACAAATGATTTACTTCATAATTACTAACACCAATAGCACGAACCTAGTGGATAAAAAACCGATAAGCGTTAACATAAATAAATAGAAAACCTTACTTGTTGTAGTTTGAATATAGTTTCTAATGCTCGCCATGTTTCGATGCGACAATCTGTCCAAGTAGCCTTTCCTTGTTTACAAGGCGGTATTGGTTTATCAGATTTACCCGGCTGAGCACCAGGCCAATGAATAAGTAGAAGATCAACATAAGTAGTTTGTAAAGACTTGAGTATATCGGTAAATTTCGAAAGTGTTTGTTCATACCCTGCAGGATCTACTTTGGATGTAATGAATACCTCTAAACGAGGTATGCCACTTGCTACCCAACCAGTACCAACACCATCGCGCGAAGCATAATCGTCTGAACTATCAATACGTCGACCACCCATATTTAACCATGCTACAGTAGCGTTATGACCTTGTTCAGGTCCCCAATATTCTCCACCTGATCCATTCGCCGAACCGTAACCTCCAGTGCCCAGACCAACTACCGGCATGAGTACTTCACCGTGAACGGCATTCATTAACCGAACAGTTGGCTGTTGTTTAATAGATTTGATTTCAGAAGTAGCATGCAGCTTGGAAATAAGTAATAATCCAGCAAAGAGAAGATATTGAAAACACATAACTGTATAACTAGTTGTGTGTGTGCGTATTTTCAAAGTCAACCAGTATGAAATGAAACGATAATCAGTATTCGAGAAGAAGCTGACGACATAAATAGTACTTAGCAAACAGAACGAGAAGAAAATAGACGTAATGCAAGAGACAAAAACATCAGTGCATGCTTGTAAATTCACATCATAGTCGAGAAAAACGAGATGATTAGAGGAACAGTAGTACGATAGAGTGTTTGATAAATATCTCTACGATTCAATATGCAAATGATCAAAATTTTCTTGTGAAAAGTGATATTTATTTAAATACTTGAGAAAAACCTCTATTCCATTGAACTTGATTCATATTCTACTTCAATAAGTGACTTGACTGTCCTCGTCCGCTTGTTCTGAACACGAAAATGAACTATAGATATATTTCGTCCGTCGCTGCTTCTCCAGCCAACGAGAAGTGAGAGAGAACGAGAGAAAGAAAGGGACAGGAACAACAGCGCGGTGAAGTATGTATTGGCTGACTCACGTGTATTTTGTTTTTTTCATCGACACTAAGTTGACAAAACATGCCAAGAAAACAAACAACAAAACGAACAACCACTACTAATATCGACGATGAGACTGAAGAACAGAGGTATGAATTCGATATATTTGAATCCAGTTTTTTGTGTAGAGACGATTTCAGTGAGTTTCCCAATTCACCGTCCGATGAAATCTCGACGAGAATTGCGTCGATTGAAGAAGAAGTTAATCGTCGATTCGAAGAAATTGAACGTGAACTTGACGATTTAAAAACTCAATACGAAAAACGCCAAGAACATGAAAGTAAAGATGACGAACGTTTTCTCAAAGTCTGTCACGCTCTTGATTATGTTCTCGAACGTATGGATTATAATTATGACACATTAGCATGTCGAGAAATGATTTTAACTTTACTCGGCCAAAAAACATCCCGTCCATTCTCTGGACGGACAATTCGGAATCGATTATTACGTCGACGAATACAGAGATGGTGTTTAGGTATTGTTTTGATACTTTTCCTTATGGCTTGTATGTCATTGTATGGCCTACATCGAAATTGGTACTATCTATTGGTAGTGATATGCTTGCTAGGATCATTACTATCGTCAATTGGTCTTCGACGAATTTATAAGATTATCGAAACTGTCTGGTGATATTTTGCGACAATTTTCTTTTCAATTTATAAAGATATCTCGTGTATACAAGCTCTATTGGAGCTTTCTTTCGAAATATAATGTAATTAATGTTTATATAAAATGCTATGACAGATTGAACAGCAAGTACATCTCAATGGTTTTGTTTTAATTCCAATTATTAATTGATCTGATCGGTCGATCACAACATCGTACGAATATTTTTTGGAGATTAAGAGCTATTTGGTCTTCTAATTCTCGAAAAATATATTTAGCTTTTTGTCTAATGCATTGTATACATTAGATCATAGTGTCATCTGCTGATGTTTATATTTTAGCATTTGCCGATGTTCTTGACAAATAAGGAAATCAGTAGGTATTTTTCCGTCTGAATGGAATAAAGGATTGTTTATTTGTTACATACGCAGATTATTTATTGTTAGTTTCGAGTGTCATATATACATACATAGAGTGAGTATACTATTGCGATTGAATGACAAGAAAAGCAAATAGTGTAAAATATTTTCATTTGAGGAAAGGTATGAATAGTCGTTTTCTACTTCGACAATACAACGCGTCTTTCAGTCAATCATAAGTGCGTTCAAAGATCATATATCAGTAATTTAGTTTCGTGACATGTTGTTTTTCAAACTAACACGCTTCAATACGGTCTATGGTTTGCTTTTAACCATGTATAATATTTGTCACATATATATATCATCAATAATAAAGAAATGTGATGAGAGTACACAATAATATGCATGAGATACTCTTAGTTATTTTTGTATAATGTGAGCATATTTCTATCGCATTTTTATGATTGTGACCAAATATTTCTTTCATATAGCACTCTAGCTCCAAATTCTGTAGATAAATATATATGAATAGTTTCTTTCGTTTTCTGTGCTGCAGATAATAATGGATGGTAGCAATCGCGGTGATGATGTGTTCAAAGAGTCAGAAGAGTCACTTGGTAAGAATAAAGCGATCGAACGTGATACAAAGGACTAGCTCTGTTTCATTTCGTAGAAATACTTGTGATGACGAACCCGGGTGATATTGGGATCACTATAATTGATTCCGGTAAAGAATTTCTGGTAGAACGTATCCTTGGATAACACTTCAGTATTGAATATAGGTGAGACAAATTCAGAACAAAACAGTGAACCTCAAGACGCGCAGTCTTTAATTGTGTTTGGCAGTGCTCGACCAGTAGATGTGATATCTGATTTATCCAGTAAGAAGAAAAATGTCCAGAACTATTTGTTTTGACAGCTATAATTTAATGTTTTAGCACATACCCTTTCGTTTCCTGTAAGTCAGCCTATAGAAGTAGAACCGCATGATACAGGTAAAGTCGAATTGTGGTGTTATTTTAAGTTATCGTGGTTTATTTAGAACCTGCCGCCGAAGTACCGTTTGCAGCAAGTAAGTAATCATAAAATATACTGGAGAACAGACTAAATTAACGTTTTAATTTTAGTTCCTCGACTTTTTGGTCCTGCAGAAGATTTTGTCGTACAATTTTCTACACAAGTTCAAGGTATGCACAGTTTTCTAACAAATGAGTTTGATTTCTATTTCTCTATTCTGCATCAAAGTTGTCAGTCCAGCAATGGACCTTGATTTGTATCCGGCTACTCATCCGTATGACCGTGAAACAACAGCCGAGCTTCTTGGTAAATATATCTACGAAGTTATACACCAACTTGCTTGTCTCTATTTTCAAAGTTGAGAGTCCAGATTTACTTCCTGCAGAAGTAGTTGAAACGACGGTCGACGAAGGACCACACACTGGTAAGCTGAATGACACATCCATAAATATATCTCACTTCATATGTACAGAGGCAGATATAGATCAAATTCCCGGTGAGCATGTCGTTAATGATATTGTTCCGACCAATACCGATAATGAAGGTAAACTTCGAGGTTTTACTTTTTCTTTATATGAATCATTTCTTTTAATTCAGGTATTAATAATCCCCCAGAAATCATGATAACTTCTCCTGTGGCTCCGGCACTCATAGAGGATGGTCATACGAATGAATCGTCCGAGGTTGAACCTTCGCCAACTGTTGGACCAGCTCGTAGCAGCGAGCAAATTGGCACGGCAGATACTGACTCACCAGTTCTTCATCATCCTGGGCTGCAACAATTACCGGCAACATCGTGTATGTTGAATTTTAACATTGTTCTCGTGAAATTTAAATGATTTCTTTCTCTGTTTAGCACCTTTAGAAGCAATGGACCAAACACCAACTGTTACTAGTAACAAGACTTTTTTTTTGTTATTTGTAAGCTTGTATCTCATCATTATTCTTCTTCATTTCAGCAACGACCGACAATTCTCGACTATCAATCGACACGACCGCTCATCTTGCAGGTATACTATGCTGAGACTTCGGTACCGACTATTGACCTAGTTGTATTTCTAGTTCCTGTATCACCATCGGCAAGGGAGCGAAGATCGAAATCATCAAACGTGGCCCAACGTGTCCATTTTAACGATAGACGACGAAATTCGAATCCAGAAACTAAGCTTGTACATTTAAACTAATCGTAATGAGTGAATCTTCACACAGCCGTCTTTTAATTTTCCAGAAACAAAATCTCTCTTACTTTCAAAAACTATCTTCTAGTCTTCACATCTTGTATTCCGAACTTTCGAAGTTTTCCTTGTTTTTTTCAGCGTGCTTTCATTACTTAATGTTCCTGTGTTGAGTTGAATAATAATAGCAGGCTTTTTAACATTTCTCTCTATTGTATGTTTGTCATAGCAGTTTAAAAATATACAATAGTTCATAGAATTTATTAATAGTACATTTCTAGTGGTTCTTCGTAACGGGCACGTGACGAGACAGGCAATGCAAAAATTTCATTGCCGTCAATAGAATCCAAAATAGCTTCTATGGGCTGTGTTTGAACTATTGGCTCGATAACCTCATTATAATGATAAGAGTCGTGTTCTGGGAAAATTGGCAATGCCGAAAGAGCAGATGTCAGAAAAAATTCTTTGTACGGTTCATTCGGTTTGTGCACACGAAAAAGTTCTTGAAATTGGAATTGTACCTCGTCAATGTCTGCTGTCTTATATTCATCAGTATCTGTTGACATGTCAGGTACTAAATTAAGTATGATTTATACTTGAATGTCAGGAATGAACGAATATTTAAGTTAACTTACATGCTTTCTCCGGTGTCAATGGACGCATTGTGATGAAAGCTGATTCTGAGTCGTGACCACTCATTTCCGTTTCTGTAGAACTGACAATTTCATTGGTGATCCATGGTGAATGACTCCGTACGATTGCAAAATGCAACGGATTCGTTTCAGCCTCGTAAGCTTTCGGTTGATGAAGGTAAACTGCTGGCGGATTTACAGATCTGATATTTTGCTGAGATAACAGTGAGTAGCCGACAACGTTGTCTACTACAGCTTGTTTTAGTAATAATGATCTTGTAAAGGTAAAACGGAATCAAATAATTTCGCAGTAGAATATCAATTCATACCGGTTGTTCTTTGTATCACAAACTAGATCATCACTTAACATTTCCCAGTCTAAAGGAGACATATTGGAAGAATAAGAATGCTGATAAAACCACGCATACTAGGATCATCAGTGATCTCCTCAACCGCCATATTCACTGTGAAGAAGATTGATTCGTGCAACACTCGAGTAGCACGCAAAGATGATTTGGCTTTGACAGGTGGACTATTTTCTACAAAGTAGTTTCGTGTTACATTGATGGTATAATTTCTGACACCATTCGGTTTCGTTCTGTTATCTATACCAGACACTGATGCCTCCGAGAGAGGTATTGATGAAGGAACGCTAAATCGATGCGTAAAATCACATTCATCGACTAAAACGAAAGACTTACCTATAAGATACAAAGCTATTGTCATCAAATTCGGATTTTGGTTTCGGAGTTCTGTTTAGTACGACGTATGGTTTTCGATAAATACGGCGGTCTTCATCGATCGCATGTACACTCCGATGATCTTTAAAAGTACTCGAATCGAACGATCTTGCATACCATGATCTTCGCTAAATAGAGAAATAATATCGATTTCCTCTGAAACAATTATAATTACATCTGCATCAGGCTGATCATATTGCCATGGCTGACAGCAACTTCGCAAGAGGTACAAAACCATTAGAGCTTGAATAAGAAGGAATGTTCAATGATTTCTATCGTGCACATAACAGAGAAGAACAAGCGCGTTGAATGTTCTTTCGGAGAAATTCTTGAAGGACATATATGTTGCATCATAACTCGATAAAAGGATCAAACCTTGACGTCCGATGAGAATATGATTCTTGACTTTTACACGAGACCTTCTCATCGACAAATATAGTAGGGCATTTTTTTTCTCTTTTTTACTGAACTATTAATGCAATATTTCAATGAATCATTTACTGTTTTTTAATGAGGTAATTAAAAGATTACTATCACCTTTCTGTCTACGCATCGACTGTATTTTAGGTTATATTAAGTGCAAAATGAACGTTAGTTTATCAATGGGTTTGATCGTTATTGTATTTCGTCTTGAAAAATAAAGAAAATTGTTATCAAAGCTGAATTTCTTAAGTTTTCTTTGTGGGAATATTTTCTCATATAGAAAATGAAGGATAAACATATCGATTTTGCCGGGATATTAATAAGAAAATTTCTAGAACAATAATCCCTGAGAAGTTCAATGAGATCCAAGTAAACGCGATAGAACACTTTGGCCTGAGCTCTGCTGCTGCTGCTGTGGTGGTGGTGGTGGTGGTGATCCATAAGGATACGTTTGAACACTTGGACCAGGATTGTATGACGGTAGTGGTTGTGCAGGTGCAAAGAAATGTGATGGATTATTTGGAGGTGCTTGCGGTTGACCAAACAGATGAGATGAAACACCGTGTACAGGATCATATGGCGGTTGACCAGAAGGGAATAAATGCGATGCGACACCACGAACTGCTGGTGAGGCATAGCCCTGATTATTTTGTGGCATAGGATGGTTATGTATTGCATCCCAGACGTGATGTACAGCCTGTGATCCATCGGAATGTAATCCAGCAAGTCTCGGTTCGTTGAGAATAAGTCGACATGCAGATACGATTTCATTTACAGAATGTGGTTTGTGATGGGAATGATGCGAATGATGTGGATTGTCATGATGAGAAAAAACTGGTATACCGTATTTAGCCAGATGATCGTTGACTTTACGGATTTCGTCAAGTGAAAGTTCTCCTGCATGTTTTCTGCTATTACAATGATAATCAGTAAGATGACTGTAATAATCACGATCATGAAGATGACTATAACTCGAATAGGATGAATGATGCTTGGGTTCTATTATTCCGTCGTAACTGTAGTCTTCAAGTACCGAAGCACGTGTTAAGGGTTTACTTGAATAATCATGACTTGAGCTGTAATATTTCAGATCTGTGTGACATCGATTTTTCGATAAACAATCCCGTATACAATCTTCTAGGTCACAATAGTTTCCACTACCCAAATAAGTCGTATGGCCATCATGCGTATCGACTTTTTCAAAAACGCTTTGATTGCTTTTCCCACTTTTGAGATACGATACGAGTCTCCCATTTGATTTATCGTTGATGAAATCACGCGCACTAATACGAGTGAATGCTCCTGTTGACTTGTGCTTCGATTGTGATGGCTTTGTACCTACACCGGACACTTGCCGATTAGGTTTACTTTTCTCATCAGAACTCATGCGTCGTGGTGTCGATTTGTTAATAGTTACACCGCTAATAGGTTTTGTCGTGCCTACCCCACGAACGATTGGTCTGGACTCTTCACTCGATTTAGTCCGTACAGTACTCGCTGATTTTGATGATGATGACGACGACGACGACGATGCTGATGCTGAGGATGATTTGACTGGCGCACGAGAAATAACTGGCGGAGGAGGAGGAGGAAGTGGCGGTGGTGGTGGAACTGAAGGAAAGAAATTTACATGTTAGATTTGTGTAAGTATTGGTATTTTCTAGATACTTCTACTAGAATCTTCTTCCGTGATAGATGATTGAGGAGATAATCGCCCTTTTACACCGGTCGTCGGGCCCGTACGCACAGAATCGGTCTGAACTGATTCTGTTGGTGACCGTGTTGAACGTTGTGCTTCACTTAACATCGATTTCTATGTAGAAAAAAAAGAAGGCACTACTGTTTCGAATCAAGTATAGACAATATAAGCGAAGAAAGAAATTAACCTTGTGATGATTACATTAGCAAGTCGATAAAAATGGTAAGTCCTTCGCATCGAACAAAAGCTTTCCTTCGCTCATTTTTTTTTACTATCTACCCACTTAGTACAATCATCAATGAAATATTGTTGGTTTGAGAGAAATCATGATGGTCGGTGTTTGCTTACAATGCTAATGATAAGAAAACTACTATAAACCAGGAGTAGTGGCCATGAGCAAGGTGTATCATAAATATACCGCAGATACGCTTCAAAGCATTTCTCCTTTTCTCTCTCAGGTAATTTATATGAATACCATCACAAATCTTTGACCTTCATTTTATATTAGTTTACTCATAGATCGGTTGTTTTTTTAATCAAAAGCAAGGGAGAGAAGAACCAAAAGGAGCATCTTGTATTTCAAAAAAAGAGACGAAGAGTAAGGATAGAGAGAAAGACTAGATACATAAAACTAATATTTATTTATCACGTCATGTATCCAATCAATATCCGTCGACACTGATGCGAATGCATTATCATGATTGACACGTTGAGAACATTCATCAAGGCCAAAGCTGGCTACACCGAATATGTACCATCGCCAGTCCGTTTGGTGATCATTCGACTTAGAACCTGCGCGAATCCATAGACCAGTACCCGAGTCTCCACTGCAAATATTATTGCCACGGTCACTTCGGCCACATACGTGCAGACGGCGATCGATCATCAATTGACGACATGCTTTGGAGGAAATTTTAAGTCGAGCTTTTCGAGGCTCATTAACTGCCGACGAGCCTGGTGTTGCATGGCCCCAGCCAGCCGTAAAGGCCAATGCTCCATCGGCTAATTTGTCTGCTCGATTGGGTAAACAAGCAATGCCAATTGATTGTGACAATGGGACTGGTTTTTCTAATTTAATCAGTGCTAGATCATGAACCGGTGCTGGTTTGGACCGAGTTATGCGAAACTCCGGATGAATTATATACAGATTCGGTCGTGCGATGTACTCATTTTGACTTGTACTTACACGGTTGTAATGGCCCATGTATAAACTAATACCACTGGTTGAATACAGCCGATCAACTTTACTGTCAAACATGCAATGTGCGGCTGTAATGATCCACTGTGGATGAATTAATGTTCCACCACAAAGAGTGACTGTTCGTGAAAAAATATTTGAACGACTTTCAATGCGTACCTATGAGAATCGGTTTGTTCAAAGGAATAATTCAAGAACAGGATCGCTTACCAGCCAAGGATATTCAGCCGGACGCAGCGTATTTTTCACACCCGTGCTGACTTTCATTTGTAAAGCCTTGTTTACTATTGAATATTTCGTATTACTTGGCATTCCACATTGACTGAAATTGTACTCCTTTGTTGGTTCAAATTTCGTTGAAGTAGTACTATTGATCATTGCAACACAATTATGTCCGCCACAAGGCTCGATTAACATTCGACGCCCGTCATCAACCGTACGAAAATGGAAGCAATTTCTGCACTCTGATTTCTACAGATTCCCTAGGTTAATTGAAAGTCAGTTATAAACGGTCTACATACAGTTTCAGCTTGAGAATCGACTGGTGAAGAAGGTATATGAATAACACGTCGAGTTCCATCTGGAAGTGGTATTGATATGGACCATGATGAAGGTTCAGCAGCAACCTGCCATAATGCAAAACAATTTCGAGATACTCGTACAACGTAATTGTGACTTACATAGCAGTTCCAAACGAACAATAGAAAAAAATATTTTAGCATTTTCTTGCTTGTCGACATTTGTATGTATGTAGTACTCCGATGTGCGAATAAACTAACTCTGGCCTCTCGATTATAAATTCGCTCTATCACGCAGTTCGTTTTTTTTCTTTGTCTTTCTTTCTCTCTCCCTCTCTCTCTCACATTCCATTCCACACGTCATCCTTATTCATAAGATGAAACATGCATCATGAGGTAATTTAATGCTTTGTTTTCAATTAGGACTACAGTAAAAAAAGAACTTGTCTTATCAGTCATTCCTACGCACATGTAATACATGATGTCTGTACTCCTAGAATAACAAGTAAACGTCAAAACAAGATCGAACAGACAAATCGATGAAAAGATTTCAATAGTTGATTATTTATTAGGAATCAAAACAAACACACACAGATATATCTATTGATCGGCGGATGATTTCAGAGTAACGAGTTCTTCTTCGTTCTTCGTTAGTTGCTGTTTTGTTTGTTTTCTCGATTTAAAGTACAGATTCCAAAGTTGAATGATATGCCCGCCCATGACCAGACATAATAATAAAATCACTAGCCATGCCTATAGAAAATCGTATAGAAACCTGCATCAACCAAAAACGAGAGAACTCACTCTCCAAGCATGCTCAGGATTTGTTGCCAGACGTGTTAAGCCGTAAGTAACAAAACTAACGATACCTGCCGTTGTCCACATGACTCCGAGAAGGGTGCCGATGAACTGTGGTGGAAATCTGTTTTTGCCGAAAGAAGGAGAAAATAAGGAATAGAATAAGGAAATTAATCGTTAAATCATATTTACGAAATTGCAATTACTGCTTGACATCCAGTGACGAGCATCGTACGTGAAAAGACAAAAACCAGGATAGCCACTAATGCTGCGGTAGTTGATCGAAGCATACAGATGATACAAAGAACGATTGATGCTAGCCAAGTTGTCGTTTGTACGATAGAAATGTTGAATATTTTTCGTACATAACCTTGATTCAAACAACAAGTTAGTCATTGGAAATCAATAGCTTTTGCTAACCTTGACTTGCTTTGTAATCGAGAATGATTCCACATATTGGTGCGATAACAATACACAGAATCGTACTCATGTTAAACAAGAAAGTGTAGCGATTTGCTGAAATAAAAACAAAAGAAACTCATCTCGATTTGAATTTACATGATTAACTGTTACATAGATTCACGTTTTTTCCCGTCAGATTCATTATCCAAGGGAACCAAACGACAGGTAGAAACGAGACCGTTAGAAGAAGACAACTAATGAAAAGTGTGACAACGACGAACAATGGATTAGTTAAATAGCGAGCTAATGTATCCTGTGTTGGATTGACTTCGACTAGAATGTTACAAAATGAAAATACAATCACATTTGAATATTTTCGAGCGCCAACCTTCTTCTGGCAAACTCTTTTTTGTCGATTGTGTGTGAGCACATGTAAAACGCCAGTCGAGGAAAAGCATCGCACTAATAAACATCAATATCGAAAATGATGCCCAAATAAATGCCAACGTCGAGAGAGAGACCACATTTTTCTCGATTAAAACCTGTTTAATAAACTCTTATTCATATGAAAAAGAAAAACTTTCAATGAAATCAACCTGAAAAACTGCAAACCAGATAGCGCCAGTATTCTGTGCGCCACTAATCAACGACCTAAAAGATAAAACACGTCTTGTCTGCTCAACTCAGTGTACACGAAGTGAATACATACGTCACTAGGCCTCGTGTCTTAGTGAAATTTGCTGAGATTGCAAATGATGACAATAGAACACACATACCAGCTAGAGATGAGAATATTGTATGCAATAAAAGCAACCAATCGTAACCTATTTGAAAGAAAAATGAATAATTCCCTGTCTCAGAATATTTCAGATTACCAGGTGTAACAAACGCCAATGATAACCAACTGATTAAGTGAAAAATGCTGAAGAAAGACAAACTGATGGTGAAACGCAACATAACACGGATATGTGCGCTTACGTTCCAACTAGTTTCAGTGACCGTGGTCCGAAAAAGTCTCCAAACATGCCGATGACAACTGCAGGTAAATTAAAAAATCCAATTCCCAATGCAAATGCGAGCTGAAATTGTTCGAAGGCATATTTGGCCTCTGTTTTTCTTCAACAAATCTTCAAACCTGATATTCATCGACTTGTTCACGGCAATCTTTAGTAATCGTTTTCGTATCATTCGAAACGATTTTTTCTGACAGAACTTTGCAACGAAATTCGTATATATGGTAGTGGGGCAGAACGCCGAACAAAGACGCAAAACCAAATATACTATCAACAAGGTAATGATGAAATTTTCATTGCAAGTTCGCTCAACAAACAACTCACTTTCCAGATACAAGACTACATTCAATAAGTATCCAAACTAAACCAATTATTTTCAAATAGGATCGATCTTTCGGTTCAGTTGTGCTCTAAAGTATTTCATGAAATCGGATTTTGTACACTATAACATATCATTTACCTTTACCATTGTGAACAAAGAAATAGCCACTGATTGAGGACGACGACGTTATGTGTGAATATTAGATAAGAACAGTATATGTGTACGGGTTACACGACTACCCGTTGAGTATTGGTTTATCTTCGACCTTATCGTACACAAAACTGATTCGTAATATGAATATTCTTGCAATGCCTTAATAAAGAAGAAAAATAGCTGGATTGTTATATCTCACAAATTCAGAAGTTTCGCTAAACTACACGTCGAGGAGAGCAAGTAGACTATAAAAATTTGCATATGTATTATTTTTAGAACGAAAGAAAGAGTAGGAGAAAAAGAAGAACATGAAAAATCGCGTTACTTACAAGAACATATCTACTTAGAGCGTGATACTCGTTCGACCTTGATTAGTTTCAAAAGAATGATATTTGTTCTAAGCCTTTTTTCTATGCTATTTAATCGCATATTACGCAAATATCTCTGCAGAATGTTGACGATTCGCTAACTCATGTTTACACAAGTAGCACGAAAAGGTTAACAAATACACATTGCTTATACGAAGAAAAATACTGACAAATGTTATTTATGAAATGACTTTACGCTGTTCAAGTTTTATCTCGTCACAAACAGCCGGAAGTAGCTGAGTAACCCCTCAAACGTAAATTATCATTAGATTCAATTAAATTAACGATGGAATAATTAGTTTCAAAGCATCATGCGATGACTCTTATGGCAATGAGTAGAAATCGATAGCGAACCCAGTCATCGTGACGTCAAGAACACGGATAATCTTACAGATTGAAACGGTTTTCTTCTGTTTTTATTTCATCACAAACAACAAATCACCCAAGTTGTAAGACATAAAAAAACAGCCGGCAAAGAAAACAAAACTTGGTGTTATTACTGTTCGCCTATTTCCTTCTTCTTGTTGGCAAAGTTTTAATTAGGTGATAAGAGAATTCCTTTGCAATTTGATGCTAACTGTCGAACAAGATCATTTTCATTTGTTTGACAATTGGTTAGTGATTGTTCGGTTTGTTTTTTCACATCATCAGAAAGTTTAGACGCGACAGCTGTTAAACAATTCTTCAATGCCAGTAAATATGTCTCTCTAGAAATAACAACGAATTAGGGAGAGAGATACAATCGCTAATTTACTTGAAGGATGGATCGTCGTTCACTTTTAATCCATTAAGAAGCTCAACGAAGATCGGATCGATTCGGACATGAATCTGACTGAGTAATCCGAGAGCGTTACCAGCTTTAATACGAACTTGACGTGCAGGATCATTGAGACCTTTGAGAAGTGTCGGTTGAAGTTGAGGTAAAAATGGTTTTAATTGAACACCAACCTACGAAATGTTTCCATAGGATCTGTTGAATAAATTAATGAAAAATCTTTTGCTTACCTTTGCCATGAATGTACTCAACGTTTCGAGAATAGCCACTTTGATATCGGTGCTAAATCGTTCACCCAATACACGAATCAATGGGCCTGTGACATTCATAATGGATGATTTCAACGCTTCGGCACTATGAGGAGAAAAAAAAACAATTTTCCGTCTTCGTTGAGAAAACAAACAAAATCGTATTTTCTGCCGTGTCATTACTCAGATAAATTGATCGCTTCGTTCAAACCGTTAGCACCTGATTCACGTAATTCGGGTGGACCATTAAGAATACACTCTTTGTATATAGGCAAAATACATCCAATACCCTGAACAGATCAATGGTATAATCACGTTATTCGATTTACGCTTTGAATCAAACCTTTTTCGGTATACATAAACCAACGAGTCGACCACGTTCTCGACCACTCGACTGAGCTGTACGTAATGCTTGTCGAACGATTGGTAGACGTTTTTGTAGTTCCAATGGATCCAAATCCTAAAACCAACATTCTCCAATTCAGTTTCGAAAAGCTCACTGATATCGTACTTTGATGATAACATCCACGCAATCCCATGCAGTGTTCAATATTTGTTCGTTTTCATCATTTAATAAATTAATAGCAATACGGAGAAGATCATCAATGTGCTCTTGGTGTGTACCTTTCGATCCTTTGCAGAATGATAATAATAAGTTGATAGTCACCAGTCGAACATTTGCTTTGTTCGAACGTGAAAAATCTTGTAATTCACGGATGATTATGAGGATACCATCATTGTCCGAGACCTAAATAGACAACATAATGACATCAATACAAAATAAAGATCTTTATGTCAACAGACCGATGACATCAATTGTTCAGCGTAGTAGATATGTTGTTGACGAGCATCGGCATCTTTCTCTTCAGCAATGTGTGCAACCACTGCTTGAATGATACGGCTCAAATGGCGTGCTAGGCCTTCACCGGCAACTAATGTTAAACTAGCTAATGCCTTTATATCTACTGGTGGTTGAATAAGGTGAGGAACAAGGTACGGTAGAACGACACGTGCTTTTAATTGCATGATACGTTGTAACGCATCGAGAGCATAGTCACGTTCAGTCTCTTCAGGCTCTTCACCGTCTGATGTTTTGACTGTTGTTGCTGAGGTGCCGTGTGGTGCAGGTTCCTTTTGCATAACATTTAATAAATATGGTAAGATTTCATCCAATGCTTGAGTACCAATACTCGAATGAAGATTTTCAAAAGTTTTCGCAGCTGATTGACGAACTTCAAGTAATGGATCGAGTAGAGCCCGTCGAACAGTTGGGATAATTGTACTTGAAAAAGCAATGATCTTAAGGAGGAATCGAACATTTGAATAATTAGATATTAGAAAAGGGTGGAGCCTTACGTATTCTCGACTGCACGCTGTCATTATTTCACTGAGGCCAATACAAACACCTTGACGTTGGTCACTCTCTGTTGAATCGAGACCTTTTTCGAGAATGGGAATGATTTCGGGTAAGACCCGTTCACCTAATTTTCTAACCAAATCGCCCAATGTTCTTGCCGCAATCTAGATCAAACAAGAGATACCAACTATGAGCGAGTCAATTGACTGCTAGTTTTACATACTTGTCTTTTGTCAAAATTGGCACTTGCCAAACAACCCAATAAAAGTGTAAACAATGTGTGTAGAATTTCTCGTAACGTGCGTGGTGTATTCGATATAATTGTTTTCCATACGTGTAAAGCAGATTGTCGTACTGTAACAGCAATATCCGATCGACCCATATAAAGACCTATTGGAATTCATACGTTTTAAAGAGGAAAAATAGATCACTACTTCAGATCTTTACCTGACAATACTGTGTCACGTCGTTCTCGACTTAACGCATGCGTAATAGATTGTAAGCCATATTCTGTACCAAAGTTATCATCGTCATCGACACTTTCAGTTGTTGCTTTGCCAGTAACACCCGAAACTTTGAATAGAAGCTCACCCAATAATAGTACTGAACTGTAACGTATACGCCAGTTATCATCGAAGAGACCTTGTTCGAGTTCTGGTACGAATAATGATATAGCTGTTTCGGCATAACTGTTGATGATACGTTGACCAGCTTTCAATGCAGTATCACGAACGAATTCTGTTTCATCTGCCAAACCCTAAGAAAGAGGAACAAAACGGCGCCTTTATTCATTTAAAAATATTAGGAATTTACTTTTAATATCGGTGGAATAATTTTGCCGACATATGGAACGAAGTTCTCTCCAAAACTTATCGGCAAATAGATAAACATCATCATATAACCATCGCGAACATGTGCAGCCAGATCCATTTGCTGCGATCGATCAATGATTTCTTTCATTGATTTTTCAAGACGATCAGCGCCGAGACCAAATATAACTTCACTTAAGCCTTGAGCAGCGCCAGAACGATCAACTGAACTGGATTCCAAAACCAAATGTTCCATAAGCCACGGAACGATTTCTTGAAATGCTTCTTCGCCCATAGCCCGAACCATTGACCCAAGAGCATGCGCCGAAACAGCACGAACTTCTGGAACTGGATCAAGTAAAGATGTTTTCAAGCCAGGAAGAATATTTGCTAAATACGGCGCTAGATCCTGTCAAATAAAATAACAATGCGTGAATTGAAAATATCAAAATAGTACTTTCGAGTCTGTCAATGAATAGATGTTGCCAATAATCTGTGCAGCCATCTTTCTTGTTTCTGTCGAACGATTCTGAAAGGCGCGTTCAACTACGGGTACGATTAAGGCAAGTGATGGCGCATCAATAAAATGAACGAAGCGTGTTTGAATTAATGTTTGAAGTGATGCTTGAGTTTTTTTCGTCGGTTCCTGTAGAGCATCGAGAAGAATAGGAACGATTGCTAAAAGAACAAAGTAAGAGCATCTGCCTTAATTGTTTGCCAAATGGTAATCAAGATATACCTTGAATTTCAGGATTCTTGATGACAGAACCAATTTGTTTCAAAGCTTGTGTACCACTCTTTTGTACACGTTGATGGGAATCAGTAAGAACTTCGATTAATTTCGGAACAATACTTGGCAAACAAGTTGATAATTGTTTCGGGGCACAATGTGCCATCGCACCTAAACAATGCACATTGATTTTTAAAAAAAATGAGTAAATGGAAGTAAATATACCAAGCAATTCAACTGCTCCACATTTTGTCCGCCATAAATCGGATTCTAAGCCTTTTAACAAGCCTGGCAAAACAATTTTCACACCATGACTGGTCAATTTGCTCATAATTGCTCTTGCACAATCTTCTGCCGCTTCACGAACTTTAGCGTCATTATCACCAAAACATAAAAGTAAATGTGGTAAGATATTGACGATATAAACTTCGAACAATCGGCCTAACATCGTTGTTAACATTTCCAAACCAAAAAGTGCACCTACAAACAAAAACACGTTTTTAATATTAGCAAAACTAACAAAAAGGCTTTCGAGTAAACCTTCTCGACGCGTGGCATTCGTTTTATCTTGGATAGCATCAGTTAAATCTGTAAGAACATTGTACTGTTTCACAGCAAGAATACCTAAACCTTTGATAAAACCAGCGAGACCATAAGCAGCTCCTAAAATCATTGAATAGTAAATCAATGAATATGTCAACCAATGATCGAACCTTTCTTCTCAGCATAATCTTGCGATTGTAATAAAAGATTCATCAATTGTTGCACATAGGCACCAGCTTCATCTTTGATAGCTGGGACTAGAGGCGGAAGACAGTCTGCAACAGCTGCTTGAACCTAAACATAAATAGTTCGCTCGATCAAACATAATTGAAGATTACTCTTCGAAGGCTTACCTGTTGAGATGGAGTCTTCAACGTGGATATAAGTTGTCCAAGAATATTCTTAACTTTTGTACTATCTTTATCCATGTCTTTTGCTAATTTACCCATAAGGATAACGACACTCTGTCGAACAGAATCGTAATCAGCTGTTTTAGGTGCTTCTTTCAGAAAATCTTCCATAATTTGCAATAGCATGGTTAAGTTTTCCTAGAATATGCCATTTCTAAAATCATTGAAAATAATGAATAAGAGATACATACTCGTCCATGAATATCAATAGTTGTCGTGGCAGCTCGAAGCATTTCACTTCGAATATCGGCGTTTCGATCATTCAATGCAATTTGAACATAAAATTTGAATAACTCTTCAATATTATCGCCTACAAGAGCTGCCATATGGAAAAGACATGCGGCCACACCGGCACGTGGTTCCCACGTATCGATTGGTTTAGCTTCAAGTTGTCGTCCATACTGATCGACTGCTGGTAATGGTAGCTACATTTATACAAGACACTTATATACAAGATCGTCTATTCAATGTTTGTAACTAACTTTATTATTTTTGGTGTAAATTTCGAAGAGATCATTGAGAATGAACGGTACTAATTGACGGTGTGTTGTTTCTAATAGTTTAGGTAGTGCACACGTTGCTGGTTCACGAACTGCCGGATCTGGGTGGACGATATCTTTGAGAAAATCTTTGACATTTTCAGCCTTGACCAATAATTTTGCTTGAGGCCATAGTCTGTAAAACGAACAATCTTCTTATTAGATAAAACGGTTGTTATATTTCCAACTGTACTCTATCGCAATATTTTTCACTCGCTCTTCGGAATCTTCGCAAGCAATTAATAATCGTCGTGCAATATCAGCTTGAATTGATGGATGTGCAGAACCTAATTGTGTGACCAATTTTTTCAATGACTATTCAGGAATAAATCAACGGTATGAGTGGCACTTTTATGAAAAAGTAACTTACTAAAATGCAACTTTCTCGTACACTTGGAATTGACGATCGAAGATTATCAAGTAAAACTTGAATATCATCATCACTTTCATAAGTGCAACACAATTCACACAGTTTTTCAAGTAGTTCGGTTGCATCATTCTAAATATCCATCAAATAATACCATGATTACCCAAGGCATTCACTTACTTGAACTTGAACAGATTTTGATATAGCATTGATGTCGAGAAATAATCGAATAAGGTCGCGACGTGGCAATAACGATGGATGATTCTAAGCATGAATATACAAATTCGAGAATCTATCCGTCGCTATGTACTCACGTCGATGTCAGTGGTTGAAACGATAGAAAAGTATTCTCGACAAATGTTCAATATCGATGTAACCCATTCATCTTTGCATTTCGAATGTGTCACGACGTTCTACATAACATAAAATGGGAGAAAACCAATTAATAAATTTTCGGCAACAAACTTTAAATAAAGGCAAACAATAATCCAGCCGAGCAATCGACAATTGATTACATAGTTTCGCTTGTTGAGTATTTTCCAATAAACGTTGTAACAAACGTTCAATTCCTACTGTGAGATCTTCCTGTAACCATCGTTTTTCCACTTGTTGGCTGACTTTCGATGCACTGCAATTCAGTCGAATAGCTAAATTAGCAATGGCATAACCGAATGTATCTTTGTCGTTCATGAAAACAATCGGGACGAGAGCGATATAGACATCTTTGGCATAATTGAATGCCAATGGTGACTGTAAAACTGGCCAAATATGAACGACAAATTCGCCAAGATGAGGAATGAATTGTTCTTGTGTACTTTCGACAATTGTTGTAAACAATTCGAAAACATTCTTCGCATCTTCATCAATCTGATAACAGATTGAAACATGTTCGAGGCCAGACAAGACAGGTAAAACGAAGTCTTACTTTCTTGGTACTTTCTCGGATGGTTTGTTCGAGGTCGAGTTGTTGTTGAAGCATTTCTTGTTGTTTTTTTGTTAATTGAGGTGTATCAGTCTTATTCTGTTTAGCTGCCAATTCCTTTTCTAATTCTCTTGCTGCCATTTGTTCTTTATAAGAATAGTTTTTGCTTTCTCGTTTAACATTTCCGGTATCTTTCGCTTCGTGTTTTAATATTCTAAACAATTCACGCGACTATGAAGATTAACATAAGAATAATTCGATACATACGTTTCCATGACGTTCTTATCGTACAGCTGTCCCGTTGGCGTTTTCATGATTTCATACGATTTTTGATTGACTGCCAGATAACGATCGGTTTCAAGACGCTGATAAGCGAGTTGAAGGAATGGTTTTAGGAAAAGATTAGGTTTGAGCGAACATAGCAAACCGATGGCCGATATTTGACTCTGAAATAGAAGATTTCAACAACTAAATATGAAGTTAAAGATAATGTTTTACCTTTTGTAGTCGTTGAGTTGACGTACAGATTTGTATCAATGCGTCAGTATGATTTTGTAAAAAGTTCTGAATTTCGTTTGGTTGTTTATCAAAGATTAAATAGAGAAACTTCAGCCACAATTTGTTGTCCGTAGACAGAAGTTGAGCACTGAGACAGCAAATGAGTAATGTGCGAACGCAGAGTGTAACCTTTAGTTGTTCATCTTGCATTCTCATCGATTTTGCTAAGCACAGGACTGTTTCTTCAAAACCTTTCGATACAGTTGTTAATTTCGTCTGTTGGCTCGTTTCGTCGCTAGTTGTCGCCGATTCATTCTAAATAGAACGCAATCATTTCATTTACAATTCCTTCTAAACTAAAAACCGATTTACTGATGCTTGAAAACGATCAAGATATGAGTCCAATCCATTCAGCAGGGCTAGACTGATATCAGTTTCGCTAGAACGCAAGTTATTGACCAGCCGACGAATGATATCATAGGCGAATTTTCGTACTTCATAAGATGAATGTAAAACGATGTAAATAAATGTTCGAGTGTACGGTCTAAACATTTTATGACTTGGTAAAAAGGTGAACAGAGCAATTTAACAAATGATACCCCATATCTTGTATATGTAATGTTCCATGAAGCTGTTCATAGAATTGAAAGTACGCACGAGCACCTGAAAATCGTCGATGAGTTCGTTTTCATGATCAATCAAATTGAAGATACTGACCAGCTGCATTGATTTCTCGTTGAAATTTGTCCGTTGTAAAAATTTGTCGTTTACTATCATTCAATGTTGACCAAAACGATGTTAATTTATTATCTAATAAATCAAATGGTTATATTAAACATCTTGATTCAATGTTGTTCTCGTACCATATGACGAATTCATTTGAGCAATATTCACCATAAGTAATGCTGCTAACAAAGCTTCTTGAAGACAAATAATCAATGTTGGTTGATTAAGACCGCGCTCGTACGATGCCATCAATGTTGAATGTAATGGAATTAACGACGCTAATGTATCTTCTAGAACATAGCAAACTGTCAGCTCGTTGAAGTAGTCGCAACGTAAAACATATACCTTTGTACGCTACTAACATACATTGGAGATATGCGGTTCGTGTAATCGCTGTACTCGTCTTTTGTTCGAGTCCTTTCTACAAAATGAACAAGTTAACATTAGTAGAACTTTTTCGATAATGAAACTAATTACTTTAAAGAAGTCTGTCAACGTTTGATTAACAGTTGTTAATCTCGAACACCATTGGGTAATTTGTTGTAACATGTGGCAAATAAGACCTTCGTGTACCTCTTGTTGGATCATTGGGTAGAAATACTTTTCAAATAATTTCAAAATCTCTTCCTGCGATATATTGGTACTCGGTGATCGACTCAATGCACCGATTGCATTGAGAACATTCTCACGTTGACTTATCACCGTAAGTTTATTCACAGATGAATCCGTTCCTAATTGAAACAAGTATTGATAAGTGAAAATGACGAAATATCGACAAACCATTGAGGATATTGAAAAGATAGTATACCATATTGAGCGTTGTTTCACCATTGACAATTTGCCGTCCGAGAGTTCGAAATGAAGCTAATGCAGATGCCTCTAAACTTTCAGCTTTCGATACCAATGGTGCTAATAAACATACAAGTAAGAGTCAAATACGAGAACAAAAGCTGTTCTTACAAGCTAAAAGTTTAGCGAGTTCAATTGCCGTATAGCTCAAATCGAATTGTAAGTTACTAAGTAACATCGGCACAGCTAGGAAAAGACAACAAGTCGTACGAAGATTGGATTGACGAAAATGAGTTTACCTTCGATGATGGTTTCGGGGTTACGAAGAAGTGATCGATTCAAAACTGGATAGACAGTTGTCTTGAATGTTTCGATGTCGATGGAGCTAATAATTTCCTGGCAAGGTTTCAGTGCTGCATTATACGGTTTTGTCCGTGTGCCAAGAATGAGTTTCGTATAGGATTCGATACCAATCGTCTAGAGAAAAATATGGACTGATCGTTCAAAAGAATCGACTCGGTTTACTTTGACTTGCTCGTATAATGCTGGTTCACTTGTTTTGAATCGATACAACAGTGCGCTGATCAAACCCAGATGAGCTAGATCAAGTTCAGTGATCGATTTCAATCGTGTGACCCAACGTTCGGGCAATGTTGGAACCTAACATTCGTAAACATATATATCTTTAACTTCACTGGTTGAGTGCATTACTGATACCTGTTGAAATAAATATTTCAGACGTTTATCAGTCAAATTCATTCCTGTTGACAACGATGAATCGGCTAATAAAGTCGAAGTAAACCTTGAAAAGATTAACAACTTAGAAAAAAAGAAAGATAAAATTCATTATTTACGAGAATATTCTGGCAATCTTACTATTAATTGATCTGTTTCTTCATCGATTGTTAATCCTTTAATCGCGATTGTAATTCTTGACATGTATAGAAACCCGTAATCAGCTTGTACCCGTGCATTTCGACTAGAACAATCCTATGAGCTCAGTTTTTCTCTAAAGAAACCCGCGACATACTGAGAATGCACTTTGCATATTGCTCGAGATTGTGCATCAAATGCATTGACAATCAATTTTATTATTCTTTCTTTGTATTTTACGATAACTTCATCCAAAAGTTGACCAAGAAGAACGCGTGATTTGGTTGTTGTATACAACGGAATCAATTGACCGATTGTATGTGCTAAGATCTTCAACGCCGGATCGGGAACATCTTTGTTTAATTTGAGAAAAGAAACGAATTTCATTTGACTGGTTAAATTACGACTTACCATCCATTTGATTGGTTTTCATGCTTTCGATGAGATCATTAATGACATTTGAACGTACTTTGGGCGAAGAATTCCAGCTGTATCGAACAAAACTTTTTAATGATTCCATATCTGTTTTCTTCTCTGTTTATTTTATCTAGAAATACAATCAATAGTTGTTTAAAACTCACATTTTGGAAAAGAAAAACAATAAATAGACGCGATATACATTCTCGAATTTCAAAGAGAAACATGAACAAAACAAGAAAGAAAAGTTTTATTGCTCCGGTTGTTGTTGTTGTTGAAAGCGTTTAATCAATTTTTCGCGATCAGGTATACCGTATTCATCTGTATAATCAATTAAATTACAAAACAATGATGATTCAACCTAGTGTACGTCAAATAAAAGCGTTAAATTAGTTCAACAATTAGCAAATACATACTCCCATCACATAAGAACATGTTTCCGGTTCAACTAGATACATCGATGTTGCATGAGATTTATCCATATGTTTAGCACAACTATTTAGAACAAAACGAACTATTTGTTGGTTGCTTCTTTTGTTGAGCGTATTTCTTTACCGTAATTTAACTTCAACAACACGTCGAGTCTTAGTTAAGTCACACGTATCACCATCAGTATAATACAGTGAAACAAATCTAAATGATTTCGAATAGTAGACAATTACACCCGATGAGGATGAGTTTACTGTCGGTCTCGAATATTTCCTGCAAGTCTTTTCTTTGGATTTTTATTTAACCATTCTATGTGTTTCTGCCGATTCCATGTACCAAGTAAAATCGATGTACGATGTTGCCCTTCTTCCTAGGAAAACACAGAATTTCATATTTCAGATCAAAATTTCGAAATTTCTTACGTGAAACTGTATCACATGTTTACCATAGCAGATTTCATACCGCCACCAACCGGTGCCGCCGGGCAAACATTCCCGGCCAGATAAAAAACCTTCAAGAAATTCACGATCTACATCGCTGCCTAGATTTCCCATTGGTGCTTGTTGCTGCTGTGCCGGCGTTTGTCGGACAGCTGGTTCGTTTGGCGCAACAAAATGTTCAGTCGAACTTGTTTGAGCAGCTTTATTTGTTAATTCACGCGCGACTGCTTCAGTCGGCTCATCGAGGTCGCCGTCATTCGCATATTGATATGCAATGATGAATGTTGTTCCATCCGCACTTGTCATCTAGGTATAAGTATGTCATGGGTTGTAATTGCGCAACCGAGAATTGCACAACCATATTTATTTACCGTGAATTGTGCACGACCGCCTTTTTTCAATGACATTTGTCGTTCGTCTTCGAGATTTTTCAAACTTCGAGGCTTTTGACGAGCATTCTCTTTGGCATAGCAGTTGATATTGTATCGATTGGCTTCCGTAGGACTAGAACGATAACGACAAAGAAAGCAATAATCAACTATTGTTTTCAATACAGTGATATTGAAAACGATACTACCTAAACGCTGGTAATTTACAGAGCCATCGTGATGCGACCGTCATTTCATAGTAGCATGTTGAAATTTCCTCGAAATTCAATATAACATCATTACCTCGTTCATCACATACTTTAAAAAACAAACATAAATCGTTTCTTTCTCCGAACGAACTTCTTCATAAGCATTCAACTCACCATAGTATATGATAGTTTCGCGTGGTTGGTTTGATTTAATATCACACGGTGTGCCATCTGTATATCGAACAGCTAATGATGGCGTTTTCTTATTATCAATATTTTTATACTGTATCTAAATAGGGTTGTTATAAACGTTCCTCAATATCATCTGGTCCTTGTTTAAAATAGCCTACTTTTAATACTTGTTTCCCATCTGAATCAGTGATTATATCCTGATTGTCCGAATGATAATATCCTAGGTAATATTCCAACAAAATCGATTTCTAAAATGAAAAGGAGAAACAGATCAATTTTGATAAAAAAAAGGATTTTTCTTTTACTTTTCCAGCTACTTTTGTATCGTGATATTGTCGGATGTGAACACCATGGCATAGCTCATAAGTCCAATATGGATCCAACTAGAAATATTTCATAGAACAAGTTCGATGAACATATATGAATAGAGAGAGAGAGGCAAATTATTCTTACTCGATAAGCGCATAGTTTCTTTGCGTGTAAACTTTGTAATAAAGCCACAACTTCTGAGAATGCAATGGTTTCAGTAGATGTCTATTGAAAGTGAACTTTGAAACTATGGAAAGATGAGTTCATAAAACTTTACTTGAACAATTGTTTCAGTCTTTGGCAAAACACATAGATAATTCTCTTTTCGTTTAGACGTAAATGTGTAGCTGTGATCTAGTTCGATTGGCTTGAAAATAAGCATAAATATGAAGATATTTCATACGATTTTGAAAAAGAATCTCTCCTTACCGATGTCACTTCCGGTAGCCATTTAATATCATATAAAATATCATCGTCTAAGATGGTATTTGTTAGCGGAATTAGAAGAGCGAGCAAAGACACTAATTGGAAGAGCCACATAGATATCTATCTATTGGTGTCGAAATAAATAAAAAAGCGATTTAGTAAATTTCTTAATACATTCATACATTTTTTGTAAGCCATTTATTGGTCCGAACTGAGAGCCAATAAGATGAACTGTGCGACATCTGCTCTGTTCCTCTACTCGATTGTTATAGAAACGAGAAATTTTTTCGAATGCCAAAGAATGAGTAGTTAGAAATTAATTCGAAATGACAACAGAACTCAATTTCAAAGAACAAGCATTTCTGCAAATACAAGATCGACCAAATGCACCGTTTCACTCGGGGTGTAAAATGTTTACGTGGACTTGTAATCAAAGTCCAATTAAAGTTAGAGAGAAAATTTTTTCTCATGTCAAAGAAAATTCCTATTATCATCTTTGAAATAGAACTTTACATCCATTGAATTCGTTAATGAATACACTGCTTTCTTGTCAATCAAAATCAAACAGCATTCGGAAGGTAAATTAATTGAATATTTAAGTATTTGAAGCTGAATCTTCAATAGACTTTGGTCCGAGTAAAATATTATCGAACCATTTAGATGAATGGCATGTCCTTTTGAATCGATATCAACTAATGGAATCATGCCATGGTGAAATCGGTAGTAATAGACATATGATTCTTAATCAAAAACAGGTATTGATTGCGACATGTTGCGCTGTAAATGGAAGTTTTTCTCATACATTGCAGTTTACTTTTATGCCACGTGCTATATACCAAATTCGTTTCTTTCTTCAACAACCATCGCCCATCTGGAAAGAGTTTTCAATAGTAAATGTTCAAATTCATAGTCAGTCAAGTCTGTCGAAAGATGTAAGCAGAAAAGAAATCAAAGCTAATTTGTTACATCGTTATTGACATGATTGTGGATAGATCAAGAGAATAACCTTTGATTGATTTATCTTTCTAGCGCAAACCATCAATTGAGCGTTTACTTGCTAGTACCTTGATCAATGATGATCAAATGACAGAGACGACATTTACCGTAAGTAATCTCAACTTTATGCTGCTCCGAATAGGAACTGTCGGGTTTTTTTTCTGTTCTTTTTCTCGGTAGAAAATACCACTAATCACTGAACTTTCGCAGCATCTTCAAGCAATGTGGACAATATGTGCTAAAATGCATCAATCGGATTATGGTTCCGATCGTATCAAACGCTTCGATGTATGTATTTGAAAGAAAAAGAAATTCTATTTTCATCGTTGTTCCATTTAGATTGATGGTTCATACGATGTACAAATACTTTCTTCTACATAAATTAGCTTTAATAAAACTCTCTATTACCATCAATTATCACGCATCTCCTTTTTCTCTTCCCATCAAGGTTTAATCAATATATCCATACTCTGCGCTCTTTCACTCTCTCTCTCTCGTTTGATTCGCTCATGTCGTGTGCATACATCTATAAATAACGTCGAACAATATCGATTTCTTTTGACAGGATTACATAAACTTCCCCTTTCTGGTTTAGTCATTCTATCTAGTTCAGGTGCCTTTATTGATCATCATTCTGACATCGATCTAATATGTGAGAAAGAAAAACGAGCGAGCGAGCGAGCAAGATAGCAGTCGTCTATTTATCACCAGATATGGATGTGCGGAAAAGAACGTGCGGATTATTCAATGAAATGATTCCCGATAAACTACTTGATTATCAATACGAATTAAAATCATTAGCAGATGATTTTCACCCAACAAAACAAAGAAATCTGTCCGATAATGACACCCATGTAAGCTCGGAGTTTTCTTTTCTACGTGCATGATGTTGTTTGCAAATGAAGCATCTATCGAAGGAATGATGCATGCCATTCTTTCTAGTCGAAATGTTTTCTTTTTTTGGGTGTGTGCGCTCGATGACAGTGTATTTTTCCTTCGTCGTCTCGCGATTCAAACGATGGATTGTTTCGTTTCACCGACCGTTTTGGTCCAGCCTTGGAGTTGATGCATACCATGCGCTTAGACGTAGAAAAACAGTGTGGGTGGGTTAGAGTTGTTAGAAACGAGTGAAACAGCAAGATAGATCTTCTTGTTTCTTCTCTTTTTTGTGTACAGAAACTGTCGTCATCAACTATGATTCTATCGACACAATTATTATTCTTAACAACCTTTTTTTGCGCTGTTCCATGTAAATACACAGAAAAAGAGGGAAAAGAAAGAACGGCGGATTCCGTACAGTCGCAAGCACTAGAAGGCATACAAGCTGTTGTCGTGCTTGTGTGCAACTGTGTATGCGTATCACCAACTTGTACCAACCTGGGTAATACAATTTGAGTATTCTCCTTCTCAAAACGCATTTTCTTCGTCAGTACGGTTAAGCAAAAGTAAAGAAGGATCAAAAGATTAATATCTTCTTAATTCCTACGCAACACAAGCACGAAGAATTCTCCGGTAAACGGTAAGTGGTATGAACAATAACAGCAAAAAAAGACGTAACCTTGTCTCTTGACAATATTGTTGATTAATGACCAAGAACAAATTAGCATATTCTGTTATGATTTCGTTGTCAAGAAAAAGAAAACTAAAAAGCAAGATAATAAACTTCAATGGATTAATTAGGAGGAAAAAGAAATACGTATATATATATATATATATCCAACTCTTCATCTCTAGTTCTCCTTGATTGACATAGACTTTATCAAGCTGTTTTCACTTTACTCTCAATGATGAGAATACATTCAGGTCAACTCGATTCATCTATTAGTTATCATGCCAATCTAATATTAACGAAGAATAAGTACGTTACACAGAACGAGAGGAACAAGCAAGAAATCTATCGGATCCTATTCTTTTTCTCCATCATATCATGTTTGCTTGATAGAATCCTTTTAGAGTTTTTCTGTTTTGCTTATTTATATATGTATGCTTTTTCATGTAGAAGAAAGAGGAGAAGAGGAGATTCCTATGTATATTATTAATGTACATCTGGTCGTTACAGAACAAAAAGATGCATAACCGTTGTCAGGCAATAATGGGCAACTGGTCGATGATAATCCTAAATGGATGCTTCTCTCTTTCTCGTCTGTCTTCATTCAATCATTAGAGCATTTACTCTGTAGAAAACAAAGTATAGATGAAAAGAAGCATGCCAAAGAATAGAAGTAAACATGAGGATTGTGATTCTCTGTTGTCATTATATCTTGACTACTTTTCTACTATTTTCCATGATTGATACAGGAAGTCAGAAGAAACAATATTTTTCCCTTCGACAAAAATATTATCGAGGCTTGCTTGTACACTCGCATACACATACACATGGACAATAAGAGAAAAAAAAAGAAAAATTAGTTCGTCTTCGCCTACTTATCGATGAGTGCGAGAATAGGTCACACTATGGCCATATAGACAAGACATTCTCTGTGTTTTTTTTCCGATTGCGCTAGTCATATTTGTAGAAAAGATCATCAACACTTACAACTCGAGAATGTTATTCTTTTCTTTTGACCAACTGTCTTTTATTACTGGTCAAATGTTTTCTCATTAAGATATTCTCTCATCACTGTCTTGTCTTGTTTCTATTATCTATTCTTCTTTCTATATTACATACCTTCTGTTGTGTCGGGTATCTTAAGGCCAGATTGCTCCAACTGCTCTAATAAAAACATACATTGTTTTCATTTGTCTGAAAGAAAAATCATGAATTCCCTTCGTTTTACTATCCATCTTGCCTTTGATGAGCTATAAGTTGAACAATAAATGTCAATCGAGTTATTGTTTGTTCCTTAGAGTTTCGATATTTCAGGCGATTATCCTTGACCTACTCATGTAACGTAGGTACCATTTCTTTTCTCTAGGTTCGCACACACAGTAAGACAACATTAGACGGTCTTACAACAGGTGATACACTCAATTCAGGTCGTGGTGTATCATCGTTGGAACAATCTCTACGAGAAATAGATGATGTAATTAATACTGTCCGGGATCAATTTGTTCTTGACAAAGAAGAGTAAATATTAATATTAGTTTTCTTTGATCTGAATTCTTCTTTTCCATTATGGTTTAGTTCAACGCTACTTCGTTCTGATCAATTCGGTTCAAACACTAGTTTACACATAGAAGAAAATAGTCCTAATCATATCACACAGTCACCATCAATGGATTATCATCAATATCATTTGTCACGTATGCCACCCTCGTATCCATCCTACACATCAGCATCAGGCTTTAATCAAATCGATAATAATCGAGATCCACGTTATATGGATTCCTATGGACGCTCGATTCCTAATCCATTACCAGCAATCTTTCGTACTGGAGCCGTGACTTCAAATATACCGATGTCATCGAATTCAAATCGAGGACAGCCATTTAATTATCGTCCACCACCGCCACCATCTTACAGTACATACGATACACCACGTAATTACAATATGAACATGATGTCAAGTGGCTATATTTCGGATACAAACGATGTTCAACGTTCGTCGATTTCTCTTCGTCCAATGGCCGGATCCGGATCAAATTCAAATATCCGCCGTGTTGGTACTACACAACCACAGCCACCACAATCATACTACACATCATCACCAGCAACACAATATAGAACAAAGATTATTTCAAGTAATGATCAAAGCTATCACAGTGATTCGGAATGTGTTGGTCCTGGTCCGCGTTATACGAAAATTAGTCGTCAAGCGATCCCCAATCGCCGGCCTAGTAATGTTGTTTTGCCAATACGTTCAATGACAAGCAAAGCTTACGATGAATATGTACCACCTGAACCGCCGAGACCACAACAACCACCATTTGATCTCTATCGTTATCAACAAGAACAACAACAACGTCTTGAAAGAGAACAACGTGAACGAGAGCGGCAAGAGCAATTACAACGACAACTATACGAACAACAACAAGCTGCTGCTGCTGCTCAACTCAGAGCCCAGGAACAACGACGAAAATCTGATAGTAACTATTTCTCTCAGTAACTATGCCTATCGTAAACATTTCATATCAATTTCTAGCAAGTATCGATCATGAAATTGGTGCTGAATTGCTCAAATCACCTATTGCTAACAGTGAGTAGAGTATTTAAAAAAAAACGAAAGCGAATCGAATACGTCGTTCCCTGATTCGTATAGAGAAACGTTATGCTGACTCAAGTTTCTTCAGTACTCCATTCAATACTTATCCAACTATAGAAGAACAGAAGAAAATGGCACGCAAAATTGCTTCCATACTTGAGGGAGGCGATCCAACACAAAAAGGTGCCACTAAATTCGAAAAACAACGTCAACGAGCAGAAAAGTACACTATCGAAGGTGAAGCGACAACGCCAACAATCAGTACAAGTAATTTTCGACCATTAAATCCAATCCAAACAAATCCTTCATCATTCTCCAATCATCAACCACCGAGTTATGATCCAACCAATGTGCCTGACTGTATCAAAAATAGTCTAGATCAAGCTCAATATATGAATNAAAAAGGTGCCACTAAATTCGAAAAACAACGTCAACGAGCAGAAAAGTACACTATCGAAGGTGAAGCGACAACGCCAACAATCAGTACAAGTAATTTTCGACCATTAAATCCAATCCAAACAAATCCTTCATCATTCTCCAATCATCAACCACCGAGTTATGATCCAACCAATGTGCCTGACTGTATCAAAAATAGTCTAGATCAAGCTCAATATATGAATCCATTGAGATACGTAGGCGCACCTGCAGATTTCAAACAAAGACACATGCAGGTAGACTAAATCGGATGAAGTTTGTATCTGAATGACGTTGATCTTTCTCTTCTCAAGGAACATGTAACACACACGAACGTACCGCCACAAGCGGCAATGAGTATCGTTAATGATCTGATGAATAATCGTGGCAAAGGTGCTGCCTTGTTTCAAAAACGTAAAGCTCGCTCAGAAAAATGGGTAGTGGATGAAAATAATGTAAAAAAATCCGGCTATAAACCGCAAACGCCATCTTATCTTAGCGTATGTATATGTTTCTGTCGATGAGAATGACATTTCTGGTTTGTTTACTTAGGAAACAAGTAAACCGTGGGGCCAGCATGCACCAGCGTCTTGGTCTGGTGATGAAGGAACATATTCGGGGCCAAGTTATACACCAACTCGGCCGAAGTTTAATCCTCCACCACCTGAAACATCGTCCGTGTCCGAATCGATTCTATCACCTCCACCGACACAAAATGTTCCCCGGTTCGGCGATTTCAATGCTAAACCCAAAGGTTTTGGTAGTTGGAATGCTGAAAGTATGTGCCTTATTTTCGACGCATTTGAATCTCAAATAATATCTTCGATACGTAGATATAGCACCTCAAACACCACGTTCAGCTAGTGACTCGCGAAAGCCAGCAAATCTAAATATGGAGCCAAGTATTCGCGAAGGTAAATGAAAACCATTGATATTTTGAAATGTATCATTCACGAATATTAGCAGGTATTGCCGAGTCGCATATGCGAACTGCCTCTCAACCATGGTCACCTACAGCTAATTCGCAATCGGTACTCTCTCCGACGCAACAGCAAACGGACGACTTCTTTACTTTTCCATCATCGAATGTTCTTTCAAAATGGAAAAATCAAGAATATTCACCGTGGAATCAGTCGTACTCCCAAGAGCAACAACAATCACAAATGCCAATGACTCGCGATGGCGTTGACCAGTTGCGTCAACGACTAACTCAGCAAGTCCCATCGACAGGAAATCAGTCTTATCAACCGCACTCTTCCTTCAATCAACGTAATGAACCTAGTGCTGCTGCTTATCATCCGTATTCTTCATCATCGCAAGGATCAGGACAACAGTACCATTTTACTGATCTCTAAATGTCTATTTTGTAGCAATATTTCGACCTAAATTCTGTCTATAGATCAATCTCGGTGAAATACACATCACGCTTTTGTTCGCTCAATACAAATGCGGCTATGATCATTATTATTAAAAGCATTATAATCATCTATATAAAATACGTCTCTCTCCTAACCTCATGTTAGTAGCCTAGTCTATAAAAAAAAACTCTGCGCAACAGAAAAACAAGAGTTTACCTATACTTAAGCATTTTTCTCCTTGCTTCTTCTGCTTTTTTAAAAAATTTCAATTGTTTCTCTCATTCTTCTCTTTTTTATATTCTATGGATAATATAGAGTTAATTTTCTTATTATTGTTGATTATAGTCGTATGAATGTTTGTGTACAGTCTTTCACACATGTCTTAATTCTTGTATGCAATTCATTCATACATTATTTATTGTCAACAAACGTCGAAAATAAATCACTGATTAAGCCAGAAGAAGAAAAAATACGATTGAACTTTTCTTTGTTGTTTATTCAATACAGATACTCGATTGTTTATTATTAGGATATTCTCTCGTCAAAAACGTCTGGCCATTATGCCTAAAATAAACTTTTTTACACGCTCTAAGAAGAAAGAAGAAATTAGGGTTTATCTATATAACGTCCTTTGTCAACAGTGGTATTGAGACCTTGGTAACGATAAATACCACATTTGCCAAGATGCTACAAGAAGAAAAACAAGCATGAATGGAATGAACTGGAGTAAGATCATGGTCTCCTACCTCTGTGAATGCGCTTGATTGCGTTCGATAAACAGTTGGCATTGTATGAATGTTAGGTTTTTCTGCACCGTAATCTTGAGCTGTCGTTCGATAGAGTGGATTTGGTTCTTTCTTACTATATCCCTGCCACCAATCTAATAGATGAAATTTGTTATTAAATGAAACAACGTAATTAACTTCATACCTGGATTGTCAAATTTAGCAGGAATATTAAATGTTCGATAATGTTCACTTGTTTTCTCATTAGTTGTTGCGGCGTTTCTCTGTGCAACAGTATCTCTGGGTTGTAAATAAGTTGAACTAATTTCTACAGGAACTGAGTCCGATTGATAGATAACATCACCATTCTGATTCACTTCGGTATATCTTGCTGGAGGAACATATGGCTTATCATCATTGTAATTTGCTTGGCTCATCGTTTTTTTACGAATGTGTTGTATGATAATTCTACGAAGAGGAAGTTGATGAATGTGTAAACTCTTGTTAGAATGTTTTAGTTTTAACAAGCAGCTTTTTTCTTACCATCAAAATCAAGGTTGTCACGCAACAAGCCCCTATGATTGAGAGAAGAAGAATACAGAGGTCGTTAGATGACTAACAAGAAATGAGAGAGAGTTTCTGATCAGTTTAAGAGTTTTGACAGGAGTATCAATTTGCGACAAGAGAGACTGGACAATCTGTGGATGCTGGGATGTTCTTCTTGTTTCATGAAGTCGATATTTCAGTTCGTAGGAGTTGTTTCTTACACCACTTGTATGCTAGAAGCAAGGTTTTGGCACGGGGCTCTTGGAATCATAAGAGATTAACATTTATTTATGGATGACACGAAGCTAACAGAAGATTTTGATAATCAAATCGTTGAGTATGAGCAATCGAAGATAAGAGAAGTTTTATATTCAACAACTTTAAATCTTCATGAAATCTCGTAAGCGTCTGGCTCTATCTTAATGATAACGAGAGTCATTTTAAGAAGTTCGAATACGTCCTCTGAAAATAGGGCTCATTATCTGATAGATTACATGATTCACTCAATATTCGACTCTTGTGCATCATTATTCATTATCACCTTCATGTAATTTTTTCTTTCCTTCCGAAAAATCAATCAGCGACCTCTCAGGTTTACAATACAGAACATCGCTAAGCGACGTTGTTTTTCAATCAAGTGTAAATGGCAAAGCTTTCAACGTGCGCCTTTCTCAAACTTATTCGTTATATCTAACTCATCCGAGTGCAAAATGTCCACAACAAAACGTAAAATGCTGGACACCTCCGTTATCCCTAAAAGACTCAACGAATTTCGTGAATCTAATCAAGGTGAATTCAAAACTTGTGATGCCAAAGCATACGCTGAATACGTAGCACAAGATGTAAGTTTCCGTTCGAAAGCTCATGCTATTTACGTGATGCTCTCCGTTGTAGACGAATGGATCATTGCCATGTCTGGTTACCGACAAGCATTTATCTCGTGTTTTAGCACGTCAGGAACCTCGTATGGAATTACCTATGCATCTTAGATCGTAAGTTAATGATCGTATGAGATACAGATTTTTGAAATCGCACTGATTTTAGATTAGAACGATGGCAAAGCGAACATTTAACACCAAGAAAGCTCGGTGGAAGAATAGAACAGGAGGAGAAACCAATGAAAGCACCGACGTCATCAGAGCGTAATACAGTAGAACCTATTGTTTGGCTGAAATTTGAGGCAGAACACAATACACGTGATGCTGCCTATCAGTTAATCCGACTTCGTAGAAAACTTGGTCTTCCAATCCAAATACCTCTCCATGGTCCTGGAGGAAAACGAGCACTCGAAGAATATCTTACTGACTCCAAAAATGAACAGGTAATCTCATCAGAACTATTGAATAAAAAGAAAAGAAAAACATCTCTAATCTCTTGTCGTTTAGTCTCCACATACGGAAAGAAATGGAATCTTTTACTATTGTTTACTAGCCGGTCGAGATAAACATTATGCACCTTATAATCCATATGAGTTAGAGATTCAATCAGACGAACTTGCAGTGATTTCTTTACCTTTCTTTTGGACCGTATCTGCTTTTAACGTTACTTATGTAAGACATCACGAATGAATGCACTAAACTGTTTCCGATCTATGTATACATAGGTGGATCGAGTAGATTCTTCTCAGACGCAAACCACTCCAGCTCTGGTTTGGTTATGGGAACGATATCGATATAATTATTTGACTACTCAGTTATCATGTTTCTCAAACTTTCGGTTTGTGAAGGTTTTATTCTTTTGAAGGACTTCATTTCGTTTGATTTGATTTCATTGAAGAAAATGGCGAACGTTTCATTGTTGGTGGTCAAATGTTCAACTTGAAAAACGTCGACGGACAATGTAATTCTCTAACCAAAACAGACCGATCTTATTTTCTCATATTTATTTAGTGCATTTCATAATCGGAAGCTTTTCTATGCAAACGAAATCTTCCAAGGTGTTCTTATTCATGTCAAAGCTATGTGCGAAGCTTACTATTATGGTGAAACAGATCGTGTCAAGCCGTTGTGTTTACTCGATCGTTCTGCATATCAAGAAACATTAACTCTGCAAGAATTTAGTCGACGTCAATTTGCACAAATGAATGTGACAACAATAAAATTACACGAACTGATCGATCAAGTAGCTGTACTCGCAGCGAATGCTTGTCAAGTAAGTGTTTGAGATAATTTCTTCCGAGGAAGAAATTGTGCTTCTATTGTCTAGAAAGCTGTTGAGTTAGAAGGAATACCTGTGGACGCTTTACTCGATCCAAGTCTCTATCGACACGCGGACGATGAAGACGAACTGAAACGAATCACACAATCATATCTCGAAGCGCAAGAATCACGAGCAACGGTTGTAAACGACGCAACTATCAAAATCAAACCGAATCCAAGTAAAGACTGAACAGAAGGACTTGTCAGTGTTTGTTGAAGAGGTTCTTTGATATCTTAGAATACGGTCCAAGTTTTGCTGAACGAAAACGTTGGCGTGATATATTAATTCGCTTATCGGAATTTCTACGCTTAGTTGATTATGTCGTTTTGGAATTTCTTCGCCGTTTGGTCAAATCATGTGTACGAGATTTGTTCATTCATTTACGTGAATCGTTTGCCGTGGAATTTAAAATCGCCGACTCAGCACAACAAAATGATGAAGATACAGATGAACGATTTCACTTAGTACGCGAAAAATCTGCGTCCTCTGCTCGAAGTCTTCGAGCTAAACAAGCGCTTCGACCAGAATCACAAGCAACATCTCGTACGAATGTTGACTCAGAGGCGTAAGTCGAAATTTCGAAAGCAATCAAACTGATCCATTCGACATTTTCTCATTCGAATTTGTCAATTAGAGAAAGGTACGAACCACGTGGCATTTTAAAAAGTGAAAATCTTGATCAAGATGATTTATATGCAGTTGTAGAACCAGATGACATGCTTGATTTACCTCGTGTATGCATTTATTACTGTACAGTTGACCAAAGGTTAGTTTCTTCTATATTTATAGATTCGGACTGGTACGAATAAAGTTCCTCCGCCAATGTTTGAAGTGAATCTCTTGTTAAAATTCTATCAAATACCAAAACAACATACCAATGATCTGGAAGATGATTCGTCTTCTGGAAGTTTCTCGGAAAGTAGGGATCGAGTAACCTACGAAATCAGTCCCAATGAATACGAGTTCAAAAATACCATGCGAGACATCGTCAGCGGATTAGAAGTATTTGTTGGTAAAACAAAGACTATGAATTTTCTTGCTCGAACAAAATTAATCTATGATTTGATTTGCTTTAAGGTCAAATACCGAGTCTTCGTGATCACCCAACCTTACATTTATTTTGTACATTTCCAAATTTTGAATCCACTAGTTCTCAAGGTCGAATACCAATTCATGTTTCGAAAACTCGTTGGCCAGATGTTGATTTCCTATTTGGTGATGATGTTGATCATCAAGAAATCATTGTTGACGCATTAAATACGATCAATCAATCGTTAGTGAACGTTCAGAGTTTTATTCGAGTACGCGATGAACAGACCTGAAGAGAATTCTGTTTCAGATCCTCTTCTTCTCTTTTAGCGATATCAAAAATACTGCGACATGGTTCTAAGTTGTAAACAATTACACATTGAAGAGAAACTGAAAAATCAAGAACTGAATACCGAAGATATACATTTCTTGATGACAAAACATACACAACAATTACAGAAAATGCAACAGATGATTGTTGAGCAACGTGTTGGACTTATTCTACTCAAAGCTCAACATCTCCATGATGATTCGATCCCATATCCGAAACGGGTCATTGCTGCTATCGGAGAATATTTACCACCGGTTGCAGTTGAAAAGAATGAACGAATGCAACGAACGATTCGAGTACGTTGTTCGAAAATAATATCATTCGTTTCAAATAAACTAAGAATCGTTTAGGATGTTTTGAAACAATTGGATCGCGATCCACGATCTGTCGAAGAATTCGTTCAACATTTAGCAACATTAAATAAAGTGAATAGCGACTTAGGAAATCTGGAAAATGAATTTCAAACAATCTCGAAAATGTTTCACATTATCAAAGACTTTGCAATCAAAATTGCACCTGAAGATTACTCATTATATCGTTCTTTAGCACCTATTTACCATCAATTAAAAGTAATTCTTTGATTTTGTTTAAAACCATTCGAAAAAAATCTCCTTCTAGTCGAGTTTACTCTACACAGAAGCTCAATGCGATGAAAACATTCAAAAATTTACTATTGAATTGGATGATATGATCAGTCGTTTGTATAGTCAAACTGTTGAATTAAAAAATCGATCAAAAGATCCAACTCTATTGACAAGCGATACCCGTCCTCAAACAGCGCTGGACATCATTTCAGTTCTACAAGATTCGCTAGCTCGATTGAACGAAAAAGCAAAGAATTATACAACATATCAAGAACGTTTCAATCAGATTAGTAAGCAATCAACTAAGAAACGTATTCTCGGGTAAAGTCAAGACATAATTGTTTGACAAATCCAATATTCAATCGCTTTAGTGATTACCAAATGACAACGAAATTTCGTTCTCAAACATCTGTTGTCAGTCTCCATAGTCTTTATAATGAATTGACTGATATCGAACAGGACATTAATCTTCGCAAGCTATTGTGGGAATCTCAACAAAATTGGACAAAACTTCATCGTGAATGGACAAACACGGTGCTCGATTCGATCGATATCGATCTTTTACAGAAAGAAGTGAATAAGTTTATTCAGAATATTTACATTTTGGAGAAAGCATTACCTCCGAATAATATCATTCCAATATTGAAAGAACGTGTGATGGAGTTCAAAGCAGCAATGCCTGTTATCTTAGCCTTGCGTAATCCAAACATGAAAAAACGACATTTTGATCGGTTGAGAGTACTGATCGGCAAAGATATAATTGATGATGAATTTCTAATGTTAAATAAGTTACTCCGACCAGATATTTTACAATTAATAGATAAAATAACCGATGTCTCGTCATTGGCATCCAATGAAGCTGCATTAGAGACGATGTTGAATAAAATTATCGAAAGGTAAATGAAATTGGTTACAAACGGAAAGCGAAATTCTATTTTGTTTAGATGGAGATCATTAGATTTTCGTTTAATACCACATGCCGGCAAAGACACGTTTATTATCATCGGTTACGAAGATATTCTCCAACACCTTGAAGAAAGTCAAGTATATTAATTCGTTTTATTTTTCTCTCAAAATCAATTCGATATATCAATGTGATTTAGATAACAATGGCTACGATCAAATCGTCGAGATATATCAGTCCTATTCGACAATTAGTTGATGAATGGGATAAACGTTTGACTTTATTAGCGAAAACCATCGATGAATGGATAACATGTCAACGACGTTGGCTTTATCTGGAACAGATTTTTTCGACACCTGATATTCAGCTCACTCAAGAGACGAAAATTTTCACACAAGTTGATAAACAATGGAAAGAGTTAATGAGAAGAACAGAACAACAACCGAATGCATTGAAAGCAGCAACACATCCAGGAACATTAGATTCATTGCAAACAAATAATGTTCTGATGGAGAAAATTCAACGAGCACTTGAGGTAGAAATCAAATCAGTTTCAATGGAGCTTTGAATATGTTTTGATTTGTTTAGGACTATCTAGAAACGAAACGATTGGCTTTTCCGCGTTTATTTTTTCTCAGTAATGACGATCTTTTAGATATTCTTTCGCATGCCACTGATGCTAATTGTGTTCAAGTATGTTCATTCGCGTGATAGAAGATGCTCTAAGAAAGGTTTAAATAACTATTGTTTAGCCACACCTTCGAAAATGTTTTTCGAATATATTCTACCTTCGTATTGTCAAATCACCCACAGAGATGGTCACTAGTATGCAATCTGTTGAAGGTAACAAGCACTCATCATCCCATGATTTCTATAACGAATTCGTTCACGTAGGTGAGGTCGTTAATTTTACGAAAACAATTCGACCAAGAGGTGTGGTTGAGCAGTGGCTTACTGCAGTCGAACTAGCTATGTACGATTCGGTAAAACAACATCTTAAAGTGAGTAGTTTATCTAGGAATCACCCGATTCCATTTATTTTCGCTTTCTTGGGATTTGTAGGCTGGCTTAGCAGATATAAAGAATGCAGATTTTATCGAATGGACATTGAAACACCCTGGTCAGATTGTTCTCACTATATCTCAAGTGATTTATACACTACAAGTGAACAAAACATTTGATTCTTCATCAACAAACACTGATCAAGCACTTCTTCAAATCCGCGATCAAATGATGACCACAATCAAAAGCGTCTGCGCACTTGTGTTTGCTCAAATCGAACACACAAAATTGCTGACTGTAGAAGCTCTATTAACACTACAAGTACATTGGCGTGACATATTCGAAATGTTGATTAAACATCACGTAAGTTTGGAGAAGATTCTTTTTGATGACAAAATTTATGTTCAATGCGATCTAAATTAGATTCGAGATAAGAATGATTTTGAATGGCAAAAACATCTTCGATATGAATGGAGCGATACAGAAACGAATTTTCACATTTTACAAGGCGATGCTTCATTTCCCTACGGATATGAGTATCTAGGATGTTCAAGTCGATTGGTTGTTACCCCGTTAACTGATCGGTATGCATTGAGGAGATGAATAGGTTTTATTTGATGAGAAAGACACGTGTTAATTCTCTTGCAGATGTTATCTGACATTAACTGGTGCAATAAAACTTAATCTTGGCGGTGCACCATCAGGTATAAGAAAATTGTTTATTGAATGAGTACTATTGGACATGGAAAATATGTTTTCAAGGACCTGCTGGAACGGGAAAAACAGAAACTGTAAAAGATTTAGCGAAATCATTTGGAAAACTTTGTTTAGTCTTCAATTGTTCAGATGAACTGGATCATAAGGTAAAGATATTAAATCTAATATTTTCATAAGTATCACTGTATATGCGTATCGATAGACTCTTGGGAAAATGTTTAGCGGATTAGTTCAATCTGGTATGTTCTTTATTTCTACAACGTCTTCTATTTCTTTTTCTCTTAGGATCATGGTGTTGTTTTGATGAGTAAATGATTCTGAGAAGATCTTTTCTCGATAAATACCAACTTTTCTGCATAGATTCAATCGTATTGATGTCGAAGTTTTGTCTGTTGTTGCTCAACAGTTATTAACTATTAAAACAGCAAAAGATTCGCATGCTCTACGGTTCGTTTGGATATTCCCGTTCGAGAGAAGTCTTCTATCCATTTGATCTGTATAGATTTTCATTTGATGGTCGCGAAATCAAACTGAATTCTTCCTGTGGATTTTTTGTGACTATGTAAGTGTTCGTGGAACGTTGGAAAGACCATATATTTACCATATTCTCCAGGAATCCAACATATTCTGGTCGTGTTGAATTACCTGATAACTTAAAACCTATGTTTCGACCGATTGCAATGATGATTCCACACTATGCTTTGATCGGTGAAGGTAATCCACAGGATCGTTTTTGCGCACTGGTCTTATCTGTATTTGTTTAGTCATTTTGTTTTCCGTTGGTTTCATTTCTGCCAAAGTTTTAGCAACAAAAATTGTTTATCTGTACAATTTGTCCAATAGTCAATTATCTCAGCAAGATCACTATGATTTTGGTATGCGAGCTATCAAAGCTGTTCTATTAACTGCAGGTGAAATCAAACGATCGCAAACGAAAGATCCAAATCTAACCGATGAACAATCTGAAGTATAGATTTTTCCAATGAGATCAATATCATTCCATTGTACGCTGTCATCTAGGAAAACATCATGATACAAGCATTAGTCGAATCAAATCTTCCGAAGTTACTCAAAGAAGATGCATTACTTTTTCTCGATATTCTTCGTGATCTTTTTCCACAAGCGGGAAAGAAGTTACACGAACACGAAATAATCCAACAAGCAATCGAACGTGCCATCAAAGATCTAAATTATGAATATTGGCCAACACAAGCAGACAAAGCTCTGCAACTTTACAATCAAATTGTCCTTCGACATGGTACAATGTTAGTTGGCGGAGCNCCGAAGTTACTCAAAGAAGATGCATTACTTTTTCTCGATATTCTTCGTGATCTTTTTCCACAAGCGGGAAAGAAGTTACACGAACACGAAATAATCCAACAAGCAATCGAACGTGCCATCAAAGATCTAAATTATGAATATTGGCCAACACAAGCAGACAAAGCTCTGCAACTTTACAATCAAATTGTCCTTCGACATGGTACAATGTTAGTTGGCGGAGCGGGCGGTGGAAAAACTGCAGTACGAAATATTCTTCAAAGAGCATTGACTTATATACCAACCATGATAAAAGATGAAACACAAGTGAGTGAAATCAAAGTATCAGAACGGTAAAAAGTATTTTCTGCTATATAGGCTCGACAAAATCGATTGGCTACTATTGATGTGACTGTTCTGAATCCAAAAGCAATGCAAATATCTGAATTATATGGAGCAGTCAACCCAGATACGTTAGAATTTACTGATGGAATGGTAGGAAAACTTTGCTTTTGAGTTCTAAAACGAGTCTCATTCATATTCATTGATTTTCAGCTGGCAACTACAATGCGAACATATGCTAAAAATCAAGAATCTCACATGAATACTGACAAAGTAGAATTTCAATCAATTTCCTCAAATACAGCTATATTAACTATTTAGAGCGAACAACACTACGTTGATCATTGGCAATGGTTAGTTCTTGACGGGCCGATTGATACTTTATGGGTTGAAAATTTGAACACGGTAAGTAAATAACATCTCATCATGATTTTTGCATACTCGTTTTGTGTTTATCGGCAGCTTCTTGATGATTCGAAAATTCTTTGCTTGGCAAATGGCGAACGTATTGGATTGTCTGGACACACACGAATTCTCTTCGAAGTTGATTCATTAGTGAATTCATCGCCTGCTACTGTCAGTCGTTGTGCAATGGTTTATTTCGATCCATCGGATCTTGGTTATACGCCGTTTTTGAATCATTGGTATCGATGTAAACTACCAGCGGAATTTCCGCCGAGTGCAGTGGAGTTTCTTCGAGAATTGATGGAATTCTCGTTGGACAAAGGTTTGTCAAGATTTAAATGCCTGTTCGCGTCTTCAATATCCACGCTACTCTCTAGGCTTCACGTTTCTTAGTCAGTTAAAAGATCCATGGCATATGCCTGTATCGAAATTAAACATTTTGCAAACACTCTGCTATTTGTTATCAACATTCTTGAATTATCTCGATAAATATGGTGGATTCGGAGAAGAAGATCAACGAAGTGCGGCAACAGCACCTGCACCAAGTAAGAACTATTTATCTAACAAGTGAAAACAATGTGTTTGAATTGATTTCTTTTATTGAAGACCATAAGAAGCGTCATTTTTCTAGAGAGCCAAGTGAAGGTTTGATATTCTCCAAAGTCTTAGTTTTCCACCTCTAGTCTATTCAAGAAAATCTAGTTTACCAAAATGCAAAGATCATAATACACCTCCTCTCCGTCAAAATCTCGTGTTTTTTCGCGTATAGCATCACACTATTTAGCAATTATTTTTCATACTTTATAGTATTGATATAAGAACTTTTTGATTCTTTTGTAGACGAGCCTCCGAAACCTTACGGTTTGAAGCAGCATGCACAAGGGTATGAAATAAATCATCCGGAATAATTTTTAACTTTTCTTTACCAAGAGATGAACTGGTGATCTATGTTCTCAACGATAAAAAACAATATTATCTGCAGAAAAATCCGAAAAACATTCGCCAATGTCTTATACGTATCTATATCTTCTGCTATGTTTGGAGTTTTGGCGGTGGATTAAAAGTACGAACTTGTGTTTTAAACGTAGAGAAACTAATTCTACATGTCTGCCTTTAGCGAGAAGATAATTTCGAAGATGATAATATTATCAACCAGAAAGAACAAATTAAAGCTGAACGAGATTTGACAACTCAAGAATTCGATACTTTTGTTCGGTAAGCACTTTCATCTTTGAAAATTTCAATAGACAAATCGAAGAATCTAGTGATTTGTTCGGTGCAAATATTAACTATTCTGTTTACTTACCACCGGATGTACGAATGGTATACGATTATATGATTGATTTAAATACATTTGTATATCATGAATGGGAATCGCTTGTTCCTAAAACTGAACAATTAATCAAAAGCGAACAAACATCATTGGTAATTCCAACAGTTGATATTGTTCGATTTTCATTCCTCATTACTTCGATACTTATCCATAAAATTCCCGTTCTTCTAACTGGCAACAGTGGCGTTGGAAAAACATTGCTTATCGAAGCGATGCTTCGATCTTTAACTCTACCTGATGGAAATTTCATTCGACCTGGCACAATCCTAGGTGATGTATTAGAATATAATGCAACGCGTGGTGTAGCAACAAGTAAATTAGCACAGAGCAATGATGTACCAGCAGAAGCGCCGAAAGGCGATGGTAAGTAGTGATGATACGTTCGGGTTTGTTCTTGTAATAATTTACCGTGATCAGGAAATGCTCTTCATCGTTCGAAATTGAAAAGTAAGTTGGAGAATTGAGATTGAATTTCTCTCATTCGTATTAATACTGTTTATAGATAATACGAAATGAGAAGAGTATGAAAAGAGATTGCAATTTTCTACTAACAATGATGACTTCGGTTGTTCGATTGAGTTTATTAAGATAGTTCGACTTGTTAAGGAAAAAGAATCTTGGTATTTTCTGTTTTTCAGCTTTACAATCATTGAAAATCCAAATGAGTGCTCAAACAACTCCAAACAGACTTGTTAATCAAATTACAAGCAATTTAGTGAAGAAGAAAGGAAATCTACTCGGTTGTCAACAAGGCAAATGGTTGTTAGCATTCATTGATGATTTAAATATTCCTCAAGTTGATCAATTCGGTGATCAACCAACATTGGAAACCTTAAGATATATTCTTCAAACAGGTATGATGAAATCTAGTCATATTCCAAGAAAATTATGTTCGCGTATTTTTAGGATCGGCACTTGATGCAAAGAAAAATCAAATACGTCCTCTATCTGATTTAACATTTCTAGCTGCATGCGATTCGCCATCATCAGGTCGATTGGCACCGTCGAAACGTTTACTTCAATCTTTTGCAATCTTTGCTCTGCCCGATCCCGCAGCTAAGCAACTCTTTCACATCTACAGTGTTCGTCTCGGTCGATTCTTGAATAGTTTAGACTTCTCGGTTGATGTTCGTTCCTCACTTTACCTTCTTGTCTCTGCTTGTCTTGTTATGTACTATCGCGTATCGATTAATATTCTTCCAACGCCATCGAAAGTTCATTATATATTTAATCTTCGAGATTTAGCTAAACTTGCGCAAGGTTTAATGCAAGCATCGACCTTGACAACGACAAACCAGGAACGCTTAGCAGTTTTGTTTGCTCACGAATGTTTGCGTGTTTTCGCTGATCGGTTAGTGACGGAAAGTGATCTGGAGATATTTTATAAGCATTTGAATGCTACAACGAACAGTTATTTCAAAGTTTCATTGAATGTTTCGAATTATTCCGACAATCCGATCTTATTTTGCAATTTCCTCAAATCTGACGATCGTCTTTATCAACAATTGAACGATTGGCGACAATGTTGTCCGGTATTTTTGGATTATCAGATGAAACAATCATTGAGTGGACAATCAACATTGAAAATGGTCTTCTTTAAAGAAGCTGTCGAACATGTATTGCGAATCTGTCGAGTTATCCAACAACCGGGCGGTCATCTTCTACTGATTGGCCTTGATGGAACAGGTCGAAAAACGTGCTTAGAATTGAGTGCGTTAGTTTGCGGCCATTCGATGTTTCAGTTGAATATCAAACGCGGTTATGCGTATCAAGACTTTCGTGATGACTTGAAGATTGTGAGTATAGGATAATCTAAAGAGAACATGTGCTGTAAAGTAATGATGTGTATGTTAGGTATTCAAAGCTGTTACAGTTCAAAATCGACCAATGGCGTTGTTTATACAAGAAAAAGATTTACTTTTTGTAAGTTAACTTTTCCGTATCGTGTTCATGGACACAGTTTTCGTTTTCAGGATAGTTTCATTGAAGACATTGAAAGTATTCTGAATTCTGGTACTGTTGTTGATCTATTTGAACCGGATGAATTCAATGCCTTGGCAATGGATATGAAAAATGAAGCTTACATATCGAATATGAGTGATACACCCGGTCAACTTCGTGAATTTTTCTATCAAGTAACATCAATTCATGCTCTTAAAGCAAAGTTAATCATTATTTCTACATTCGTACTTAGCGTGTTCGAACGAATCTACATGTGATTCTTTCGTTTTCTCCTGCTGGTAATAAATTCCGTGAAATCTGTCGTTTGCATCCTGCTCTGCTCAACTGTACAAGTATTGATTGGTTTACCGAATGGAGTGAAATGTCAATGGTACAGGTGGCGGATGTTTTTCTTGAAGGCGTCGATTTAAAGTAAAATCTGTCAAAAGATGTACTTCAACGATTTGAAAGCAAAATATTTGGCTTTTAGAATTTTACCATCCGATCGTGATACACTCAATGAAAGAGAACTTCATCATCAAATAGCACTCTGTTGTGTCGCGATGCATAAGATCGTTATTGAAGCTGCTAAACGATTCTTTGCTGCGCATAAACGACATTACTATCTAACACCATCATCGTATATGGATTTAATGAAAGCGTTTGATAGAACAATGACACGAACTAAGCAAGAATTTCTCGTATGACTAAACTTCTTATCGATTTGCAGAGAGTTTCTCTATTCTTTTGTTTAGACGAATTATAATCGATTGTCGACAGGTCTGGCGAAGTTATCAGATGCAAATGCAAGTGTTGGCGTTATGCGTGATGAATTAGCTTTACTTGGACCGCAGATCGATGCGAAAGAAAAGGTCAGTGAACAAAAAACGAAATGACATTTGAAAGCTGACAGTTCGTTTTCTTTCGTTCAAAGGAAATTGAACAACTATTGAGTCGATTACAAAAAGATCACACTGCCGTCATAGAAGTGAAGGAAATTGTTGAGTTTGAAGAACAAAAAGTTCGTGAAGATACCGATATGGTCGAACGTTATGCAGGTCTTGCTGAACTCGATCTACAAAGTGTTAAACCTGTTCTCGAAGAAGCCATGGCGGATGTATCCCAACTTGACAAAGCTGACGTAGCAGAAGTTCGAGTCTATCAAAGTCCACCGTATCAAGTCATGATGGTCATGTGCGCTGTTTGTGTCCTATTAGAATGTAAATCAGATTGGGCAACGGCACGACAAGTGCTTGGCGATTCAGGTTTTATCAGTCGTTTAATGAATCTTGATATTAACAATATATCTGATCGAACATATCGAAAACTTTTACAATATTCACGTAATCCGGAATTTACACCAGATGTAATCGGTAAAGTTTCATCAGCTTGCCGATCATTCTGTAAATGGGTTTTGGCTATTCAACGATATTATGAAGTGTATCGAACAGTGAAACCCAAAGAAGAAAAAGTTAAAACAGCGAACGAAGCATTAGCTGTAATGCAAAAGAGTCTGTCACGAAAACAAGAAATGCTGAAACTGGTATGCTGAATCTAAATTAACCGTTCATCTTTAGTTCTGTTTTTCCTTATGTAAAGGTCAGAGATCATTTACAAGAATTAGAAGACAAACACCGTAACAGTGTCGACGAGAAACAAGCTTTATATGCACGTCGTGAATTGATGAAACAACGAATGTCTTGCGCACATGAATTAACCAATGTTTTAGCCATCGAAAAAATACGCTGGCAGGAGCAGGTCACTCAGCTTGAAAAACAAGTACGTTTATTGATTGGAGATGCGTTGCTATCTGCGGGTGCTATCAATTATTTTGGACCGTTCAATAGCGAGTTTCGATATGAGATTTTACACGATTTCCAAAAAGTTTTAACAAATAATCAGATTAATTTCTCGACGAATTATTCGTTAGCAAATATGTTATCGACAGCAAGTGAGATTAGACATTGGATTAGTCAATTATTACCAGATGATGAGTGTTCAATGTAAGTTGATTCATTTAGCATTGTTTAATTTTGATCAGTCTATTGATTTTTCTAGTGAAAACGCGGTGCTTGTCAAACATTGTATTAAATGGCCACTACTCATCGATCCACAACGGCAAGCGATTCAATGGTAACTTGGTTTTTTTTGGATGAACATTTAGCGACTAGTTTGCGTATTTTTCGTAGGATTCGGACGAAAGAAACCGAAAATAATCTTCGGATTATTTCTGCTGACGACACAGGTTTATTACGTGTCTGTGAACAATGTATTCGACTTGGTTTACCATTGATCATTGAAAATATGGGCGAAACGATTGAATCGTCTTTAGTGCCACTACTGAATCGAGATTTATTCGATCGGAAACTTTCAGCAACAGGAACTATTCGTTTTAATGAAGTTGACATCGAAGTGAATTCGAATTTCCGTGTTTATTTCATCACACAGCTGAATAATCCACATTTTCTCCCCGATGTTTGCATCCGTGTTACTCTAAGTAAACTGAAAACGAAGTTCTTTGCTAATCTCCTATCTCTCTATTCTAGTTAATTTCACCATCACACCCAACGGTTTAGAACATCAGTTGTTGAGTGTGGTCGTTTTGAACGAAGAACCACATTTAGAACACGAACGAAAATCGATCTTAGAAACCATGGCACAAGATTTAAAAAGTCTGCGTGAATACGAAGATCAAACATTAGAAATGTTAACATCGTCCGAACAACATCTCCTTGATCGTCATGATCTCATTGATATCCTCACTCGCTCGAAAATAACTAGTGACGAAATTGCCAATCGTGTTCGTGAGAATGAAGCTAATGAACGACAGATCAACATCGCACGTCAGTGTTATGTTTCCTTGGCTAAACGTGGCTCACTATTGTATTTCCTTACCAATCATTTATCACGTTTAAATGTCATGTATCAATTCTCTCTGACATGGTTTCAACGCACATTTCATTCGTGCATCTTAGATCGAGATACATCACGTCGTATGAGTATGACCAATCTCGCGCCGGATCTTGAAGTAGCTCAACGCTTAATGCGACAACAACGACGACGAAGTTCAATATTCAGTAATCCAATTCAATCGCCACGAATCAGTTTTAGTGATGATTCATCACATGACTTTGCTTCACCAGCAATGAGTGCAAGAATGAGACGTAATACAAAACAGTACACGCAACTAATTAATCCTCAGCAACGAGCAGCAACACTTCGTATGATGGTGGATCGTTTAACTTACACACTCTATCAACTCGTCTCATGGAGTTTGTTTGCTGAACATCAACTGTTGTTTTCGTTTCTATTGACCACAACAATCGAACGTGAAGCAGCAAATGAAAAGAACACACCTACTCCTATACCATCAGACACTATTCATGAGGAACAGACTGAAACAGTGCCAGAACCAGAAACAAACGCTGCAGTGATTACACAAGACGAATGGACTTGTTTCATGAGTCCGCTTGTAACAAATATTACTGAAGAAAAACTTTCGTTTATTAATGATAAATTACCATCATTGTATCCTGTCTGTCGAAAATTACTACTCGACACTGATTCCGAGTTCTTTAAACATTCACATCCGTATCTGTATCTAACTCGAAACGGAAAATTCAATGATTTATCACGCTTTCGCTGTTTACTAATCATAAAAATCCTTCGACCTGATACATTACTTCCATCGATTTCTCAATATGTTACCGATCAAATGGGCAGCAACTTTCTCTCATCAGGATTTGCAAATATACAAGACATATATACACATTCATCGCCGCAAGCGCCTATTATTCTTTTGCTCTCTCCTGGTATGCTTTCGGTGTTCTAGGGAAAATGAAAAGTAGATGTTTCTTCTTTTCAAGGTACCGATCCGACTAGTCTTCTGATTCGTTTTGCACGAGAAACACGCGGAACTGCAGCACATTTGGACGTGATCTCGTTAGGTCAAGGCCAAGGACCGAAAGTTGAAGAAGTTCTTTCGAAAGCTCTAACTTTGAAAGGCCGATGGATATTTTTACACAATTGTCATTTAAGTGCATCGTTCATGCCAAGACTACGCGTACTTGTTAATAAGTAATATTCGAATTCTTGTTTTCCCTCAGGAACTTCTTTGTTTCGTTTAGTTTCAATAAACCTGGTCTCGAGCTTGATAGTCAATTTCGATTGTTTCTTTCTTCGAAACCTGACAAAAACTTTCCTTTAGAACTGCTACAACTCGGTCTTAAAGTACGTTGTTCAACAGCTATTTTCTCACTTGAGTATATGTAAACGTCCATTTAGATGACTGTTGAGTGGCCGAGAGGTTTGAAGAGTAGTTTACTTCAAACTTTTGGACCAACAGGTATCGTCAACGAAAAAGTCTATGAAAAGAGTACACTAGGTAAATCGATTAAGGATAAATTCATTTATAGCACATTGTTTCATGATTGATTAGGACCGTACTGGCGTCGTTTGGTATTCAATCTCGCCTTTTTCCATGCTGTTATTCACGAACGGAAGAAATTCGGTGCATTAGGATGGAATTTAAGTTATGAGTTCAATCAATCAGATTTGGAAGTGGCTGTATTAGAATTAGAAAGTCTTGTACGTCGTTCCAAAAGTCAAATACCATCATTTGACGTGTTCTGTTATCTTGCTGGTTCGATCATCTATGGTGGTCGAGTCACTGATGAATTTGATCGACGTAGACTGCTGAGAATTATTGAACGATTTTACTGCCCAGAAACTTTGGAAGAAAACTACTCCTATGCAGGAGATAACGTGAGAGTTTCTTTATTGACAAGTTCTGTTCTAATCACTTAGTATTGATGTTCGTGTAGACATACAAAGCTCCAAGTTTAGATTTGAATTTTTCCAATCTATTGTCGTATATTAATGCAATGCCAGATTTCGATGATCCACGCGTATTTGGTATGCATCCGAACACAAATCGAGCATTGATGTATGTGCAAGCAAATCAATTTGTGGATATGTTAGTAACGATTGAACCACAATATCGTATGATGATGTCATTTGGGTATGAGACGTGTTTTTGCGTAGAAAATTTCTTAAAAAAATTGTACATCCAAATGTATATTGTAGTGCATTAACGGATGGTGATGCAGCTTGTATGGCTATTATCGACGATATTACATCGAAAGTACCACGTTCTATTGAAACTGGTTTTGGTGCTGGAACGCGTCACATTACATTTGAAGTGGCACTAACGAAAATTTCTACTAAATTAGGTAAATAATGGTCTTCACATGTCTATGTTAAATCTCTGATTTTTTGCTCGGAAATCTAGGAAATAAATATCGTGCTTATTTTGTGTTCTTTTCACTACTCAAACAAGAAATTCGAGCTTACAATGAATTACTCGAGCTGATTTACTCGACATGCGATGATCTTCGTCGAGCTTTGGTCGGCGAAATAGTTGTCAGTGAAATTCTAGAAGAAATTCAACATAAATTACTAATGAATGAATTACCATCGATTTGGCAAGTACGTATACAGTTGATCTCGTATCCTACTAGATAATACTAACATACTAAACAGGACTTAGTTCATGAAGATTATGTAAGATATCGTTATTTTGTCTCTTGACAAACAAAATAGGAAATGATCTTCCCAATCACTCACTTCTTATTCTTGTGCACATATCCTCATTCTCTCATAAACCTGCATGCATGGTTCATTGTACAAACAACCTGGGATAATTGTATCGAAAGTGAATTGTTATAATTTTGTTCTAGAGAAAATCCTATCCATCAACGAAAGCGCTTCGTGCGTGGATTATGAATCTACTTGAACGAATCACATTCTTTCAAAATTGGACTCATCTGGTCATAACTTTTGTTGAAGATGAAAAAGCATTATCACCCTTACCAACAATGTTCAATACTGCTGCATTCTACTATCCGAAAGGTTTTCAATAATCTTAATCTTGTTCGTTAATTCAAGATCATTTTCTGTCAATTCTATTTTAGGACTTTTCTCTGCTATACTACAAAGTTCTGCTCGATTGTTTGCATTACCGATCGATCAATTGAAATTTCATTACAAAGTATTGGATGATGAAGAAGAACTTGAAACATTACAATCATCAACCGTATGTCCCAAACATACTTGCAGACTTGACGAACACGCTTATATGTAAAACACATTTCTAGACTGCGAGTGACATTTCCAATGGCATTATCATCGATGGAATCTATTTGGATGGCGCACAATGGGATAATAAACGTCATGCGATCGTTGATTGTACTAATCAACAACGAAGTCACCGTTTACCACCGCTTCTTTGCCAACTTGTACCGGTATGAGTACTGTATTCCATGTGATATACTTCAACGATGATATGTTTCTTTTAGAAAAACACAGCAGCAAGTGATTCGAGCAATATCTATGAATGTCCTGTATACCTAACAGCTTTACGTGCAGTGAGTGCGAACGAAGCAGCGAAACACTTGGTCAGCACAATTACAATACCATGCTCCGAAACTGAAGCATTCTGGACAACGCGATCTATTGCTGGTATTCTTGAAGTGAATGAATAATTATCTGATTTTCGTCTGCATTTATCATGTTAAACTTATATATTATTTTTTCCCGTTTCTATACATGAGAAATATATTCACTGAGCTTATTTTCTATTATCTCTCCTATTCTTTGTATGTCATTAGAAGGTAGTCGAATCAAAGTATGTCTTTTATTAGTAAATCAAAGCAAATCAACATGTGGAATGCATCTCGACCGGCTTTAAAATGGTGTCTGGTATTCATAGAAAGGTGGCATTCCTTTCTCTGGTTGCTTCATAACAGCCATTTGCAAATGGATCATCTCGATTTTTTCAATGTTTTCCAACTTATTATAGATCTCTGGAAACATTATCTGCCGGTTTTCCTTCATCAATTCGTCCTTCTTTTCTTCGAATATTTTCTTGAGTTTTTCTAATTTATTTCGAAGTTTCCTATTGAGGTCATTTGGTGTGTTTTTTGAACAAATGTAAGCTTCTTCCTCAATCATTTTCTCGAATCCTCGCAAGAATGGATTCTTCAGAGAGGAACTGTTACTATGCACCAGGAACCATTCTAGTTCGCTGCTTACGCTGCAAAGCTCTTCCATATCAGTCATAGTTTGAGCTCGGCTGTTCTCATCGCCATTGGAGCTCAGCTCATACCCAAGGTTGTAGTCAACAGGATAATGCTCGTCTGGAGAACATTTACATGTTTGACAGCTATTAGAGAACACATGTAAACTATCACGGATTATGTAAAATTCTCCAATATGAACAATTTGGTCAGTGTGAAGGCGACATGTTGAGCAAATGGCGGCTCTGGCCGTAACTTCATTAGGTACTAGTTTAATTGACTTCTCGTTGGATTGATATGAGCGCAGGATAATATTTCGAAGAGTGTTCCGTATTGTTTCAAGAATCGGACGTACCATACGGGTGATTTTCAGTTGGGCGTGGTGAACCGATTGAATACGAGAAGGAACGAGAGGCGCCAACATGTTATTGTTGATATAATTGAGTAAACGCCTTGCCTCTGTGGTTGATCTTGACCAGCTCTCGTTGCACTCTCGCTGTTGATCTGTATGGAATTGTATATCGTTTTGTATTGCCATGAGATACCGAAACGACTCGCTATCAAAACAAAAAGTATTCTGCTTGGTAAATGGTGCTTGTTTGCCCGGGAGAAATGCTAAAAATTGTTTTAACACTCGTGCTGTATCTCCAGGTGTATAAAATGTTGACCGAGTATTTGTAAAACAAAACAGAAACTTTTCACGGGCATCTTCGCCAAGAAAAGCATACAGCTGTGTAAAACATGAACGAAAGGACACATTCATTCGTGAAGTATTCGGTTTCATCAGAATGCAGATTGCATCAAGATGCTGCAGATTGCTGATAAACGATAGGATGTGTTGTAGATTTGCATCGTCTTTGTCTACACCACGAACGTCTCCAATACCAGGAGTGTCTATGATACGTATTGTATTTTCTTTGTTTCCGTGATCGGGAATAGTAACAAGATATGATTTACAATATTGAGTAACAGATTGACCAACACCGCTAAAATCTTCGGTGCTGATAGTTTCCTGTCCGTGAAATGTAATCAGTTTCTCTGTGAAATCATCACCAACTGCTAAAATGAATGACACTGGCATGAGTGCAACAGGATTCTCTTGAGCTTCCTGGAGTGAGTCAAATCGGAGATAGTTGACAAGGGCATTGATAAAAGTCGACTTTCCAACACCAGACTCACCTATGAGAAGTATATTTTTTATGCCATCCGATTGTAGTCGCTCTGATGTTGATTCTCGACGTGATGCTGATGATTGGTCATTAGTACTATTCAAGGATTGCTCAGGAAAGATGAGAAAATCTTGCAACTTGTATGGACAATCAGAAAAATCAACATAGATAAGTTTTAACGAGGGCTTCTGCTTACGTTCTTCATACAGTTTTTTGCATAATTCAGACCATTTAGAATCCTGCTGCCGATATAGGTCATCATTAGAACATATCGCTCGTTCGTTCCTAAAACCCAGCTTAAGTTTGCTTTCGATTGATTGCTTGTCGTCATTCCGATCAATGTCGAATTCAGTTGCATCTCGGTAGGTGAATTGGCTTGCTACCAGATTGCTAATAAACTTTTCTTTTTCTTCTAACGCAGATAGAGAAGAAGTACATAGATCCATCATTGTTCTTACTTCTTTGTTTTGATTGCCAAATAATATTTCATCAATCTTGTGGTAACTGAATTCGCCCCGACGAACTCCCACTACTGACCTCTGTAGCTGGTGAATTAAAGACTTATACGATTCCTTTGCTTCATCGTATCTGGATCGAACAGTGGCCAATTGATTCTTTCGAGTTTGATGAACGTTTGGATAGTCCTGATTAATTTTCGACGAGAGTAATCGAAATCTGCGCGACAAATGAATGAGATAATCCTCGATTTTATCTCTACAGTACGGTTCCACTTCTCTGAACACAAACCTTCCCACAAATTTCGATTGGAAAAAATGTTGAAGGCTACAAAAATTGTAGTTGCATGGTTGGTGAATAACGATATTACTCTTAACTCTACGAATAACTTGATAAAGCTCAACGATTGAGCTAATTTTAGACAATTGTTCAATGTTGGAGAAAACTTGTGTGTGTCTGATAGATTTCAGACAAGACAGCTCATCATCTGTTAGTTCTGGTGATTCGTAGTTGTCCTCTAGATTGTAACACAATTTTTTGATAATAGTATCTACACGCGCAACGTTCTTATCGTCAGGCACTAGTTGAAGAACGGCAACCGCAGTCACACCCCAATTAACTAGAACAGTCACATGTGTCGCATCAGAGTCGACAGGCGGTGGTGGAATTCTATTTCTACGCTCGAAATCAGCATCTGATAAATACTCTGTATGACTGTAATACTTGTAGACGATAAAGCGCGTGCATTTGTCAATAACACGTGAATAAGTGTTGAGTGCTCCTACACCACTGCCTGTTTGAACTATTTCTAAAGCGACGCTTAATCGTAATTCAACATATATGTTGTACCATTTTAACAAATTTTGAATTTGGCTTTCGTATTTTTCAACGTAACATGTTGGTTTTCTACGTGATTGCGCGTGCTTCACACGAAGATCCAGCCTCGAGTTGTGAAGTATTTTATCACGAGATGCATCGTAGAGCATACCAAACCGCCCGGATGTATCAACTGCTTGACGCGGTGTGAAAGCGCCCGCCCCCGATGAGACTTCAAGAGTTAAATTTGGATCGTATGTAGGTAAAGGACTGATTGCATAAGCCATTGAGTAGGTGTTTGAAGTTATTTTCTTAAAAGTACCAATAGGTTTATGAATGATGGTGTACAATCATTAACCTACAAACAGAAACAAAGTCACGTTTACTTATAGAATCTTAGAATACCATGATTACTGTATAGACAGTAAACTGTCATGTTAGTGGACTCTACTAGCAAAATTAGCACGTTTTTAACCTGTTTTTTTCTTTGTTGGATAGGAATCTCAAATGCACAAAACGACTTCGTGTTAAGCTTTCGAAAGTGGTTACCTTCAAACCGATATCCGTGAATTGAATGCTTGAGAAGAAGTTTAACACAGGTGCAACGTATTTATATGATAACGCTTTCCTACATGTTGGAAAAAAACTGAGGACGATAAGAAGCAGATATCGTTTGTGTTCCTAGTAGTCGTAAATCGCGTGTGTTTGCATAGAATTTTTCTCCTTCACCCTGTGGATCTCCACAATTTCAAAACCTCTGAATAAAATACATGCAGACCGCATGTCAAAAAAATGACGCTAATATACACAAATATATATTTGTTCCAAGTGTGCAATGAATAGAAATTTATTGCAGTTCATGAGCGATCAAAGATTATAAAATCTATCTCGTCAAATACAGTTCGATAGGAGTTTTTCATAATCAGGCAGAGCTGCATCGTAGAGTGCCATCAAATTCGTTGGAATGTTCTCTCGTGCCACTTGTGTCCACGGTAAAGAATAAAATCCAGTTGAAGCATGTACTTTACTGTATGCAGATTGAGTCCAAAAACCATCGATTGATTTAGGACCCGATGGCCACGATAGCATTTTGTTTGTATATGGTAACTTCAATCGATCACAGATCTTTTTTAAAACTGTGTCTGGACTTCGTTTCAGCTCATTACTATCCACAAGAATCGGATCTTCTTGGGTGTTCTTTTTCAACCAATTATAGATTCGAATTTGATCTTCTAGACACAAATCAGCCGATGTTAACGGTGGTTCGCTTATACTATGTGACACGATCGTTTCAGCTGGATCATTAATAAGAAGTATAGAATGAGACTTTGATAGATGACTTTCATTCACATATGGTACAGTATTCATCGTAACTTTAACGAAAACATTTCCTTTGATACTTTCATTTTGTTCAATTTGATCGTGGACTTTATTTGCATCGTCACATTCCATTCGTAACAAAACTTCGTCATGAAATGCTTGTTTCTTACTCGTATTTTTCAACCAGATTCCATAGAATGGTTCATCCATAGCCAACGTATCTGGACGTTGATTGAATGCGTACATGAGTGCAGTAGAAAGATCACTCGGAGGAGAAAAAAGATAAATAATCATGGTGATCACAAATCTAAATATAATTTTTGAAAAAGTTCAACTCGATTGCATCGACTATCTGAGGAATAGTAAGCATAGTAGCTTTACGATATCAACGAGTGTGCTGTACATGTGTAGGTTACGCTTGACTGACGTCCTTCACTAGTTCTATTTTTAAATATATTAAGAGTTACGCATTCATACATAAATTTGCTATTTATAATGATCTATGATGTTTATTATAGAGAAAATTATTCAGGTATCCAAAAGACTTGCACATGATAGAGAATATCTGAAATAATTGTTGGTTTCGGATTGGGATACCAAACGAAAGAGAACTGATCTTTAGTAGGACCAAGTAATTGTTTTAATCCAACTTCGATACTTGCAGTGATTTCATCATAGCTCAATGGAGAATGTGTCGTTGGATCTCTAGTTTCGTTTCCATGCAAGAGAAACCAAATGACATAATGATTCGTACCAGCTGGAACGTGATATGAGAAGAGATTTGGTACTAAACGAAATTGATGATGATTTGGTTGTTGTAATCCAGCTGCTTGTGCAGCAGAAATTTCTGCTAGTAAAACATGTAATTTGGAATTCATGCAGTTTCCTTCGACGGTAGGTTTCAAACCGAAGAATTTATGTAGAATAAAATCTTGAAGACTAACATAACGTGTTAACATATTCTTGATATAATTTTCTTTCTTCTCGCGGATTTCAGCATTTGGTCGGATACTTTCAGCGCCAGGAATCCAACCGTACTTTAGATGAAGTTCTTGCATTGATTCTATATTCGATGATATGTTTTGACGAATCATCTGAAGGCACAAAGTTTACATTCTATTAATTTCTTCCTACGATGAGCAATACTGACGGTTTTCAAAATATCTCCACGACATGTGCGTGCCCGTCGTACGACGTTTCTTTTGATTGGGTAATGACGGTTTCTTTTGATTCGGAAGCAACGCTATAGAAAGAAACGAATAGAAAGATTCTGTAATCGCCAATAACAACAACAAACATGGTGTCAATGACTCTTCTCCATGTAAATACAATTCCAGTCAAAAGTGACAATGGACTTGTTTTCATCTAATTGTTACTTTTCTGTAAATAACCATTGATGTTTAGGAGTACACATATATCGCAGGTGGTGTACGTTTACAGTCTCACCTTTGTGTTTAATTGAGACAATTGCATATTTTCCAGTTAATATTCCGACAGAAAATAATTAGCTACGTTGTATTCAATAACTTTAACAAGGAGACGATCCTCGAGGAAATGCTTTTGTTGACTGTTGTGTCGATCTTGAATTTGGATCGTTCGAGAACGTTTGAATAACTATGGATTTCATAAGACAGCATATATTGTAAATTTTACGACTAAACTTTTTGTTTCTTTATTTTGACATGAAAAGAAAAAAATTCAATTTTTTCATAAATTATATTCGGTTTTCAATATCAAATTAGAAAAGTCACATGGGATAATTTGCAGGCGTATAAAAGAAGGCTGCACCTGAATTCGTCGGCGCTGGCTGTTGGGCTGTATGGATCAATGGTGTGTAGACAAATGCGGGCTGAGCTGGTTGCATTTGGAGAAACGGCATTTGCGGCTGCAACATCATGGATGTTGGAGGTGTAGTTGAATTAGGATTACCGGTGAGATTAGCTTTTGCTTGATTATTGTTATTATTCATATTGTTATTGTTGGAACCGCGATGAAGGGATGGTGAACTTGGAGCAGGCTGCTGTTGTGGAGGTGGTTGCGGTTGAGAAGGAGGCGGCTGCGGAGGTGCGAACGTAAATGGTGAATACATAAATGGATTACCGAAGAATTGAGCTTGATGTGCAGCTATCAGATTAGGATTCAACATTGCCGGTTGTTGCTGCTGTGGTAGTGGCGGTTGCTGTTGAGGAGGTGGTACCGTAGAATTGTTATTCAATGCTATACTTTTCAAAACTGCTTGTGATTGTTCTTCGGCACTTGTTTCAAATGAGCGAACTTCAGGTTTATCATCAAATGTAACATTTCGATGTTTACGTAAAGTTTGAGGGTGTCCTTTAAGTACGGCGACATCATAATGTCCATCACCAGCATTTGAATGACTGGCAATTAGCACAATAGCTAGACCAGGACGTGCTATACCACGCATAGGCACGAAGATTTCTAGCGAATTATTTGGTTCACGTACAGCTCGCACGACATGGATCGGTATGGCCAATCCTGTTGCCAGAGCTTGATTGACTAATGCACACATATCAGCACGGTAGTAATCTTCGGAACGAAATCGTTCAATTTCTCGAGTTAAATCCAATGTTACACGCTGTTGCTGCTGCTGTTGTTGTTGTTGTTGTTGTTGCTGCTGCTGCTGTTGTGCATTGTTATGCTGTGCGAACACCGTCCGATATTCATCTGCATTTCTGGACCATTCTCGCAAACATAACTTTCTTAGATGACGTACCATACGAGGATCATTGGGTCCATTTAAATGTAATACTCGACAAATATGATCGCTAAACCAATCGTTTATTTCGATAATTAATAGAATTGCTTTAGCAACCGCTTTAAAATGATTTGGACCAGTTGACTGTATTTCGAGCATGTCATATCCAAGTCGATCGAGATTTTCCATCAATGTTAATGCATGTAAGCCACGTTCTTTCTTTTCTTTTTTCGGATTATTGACATATTCGTCTAAGAGAAATAATAAACGTTGCCATTCTTTGGAAACGAGATCTTCCTGTTTGAGGACTTTCATTAGAATGTGACGATCACGTTGAGCAATGTTATGGCCTAACACTTCGAGCACGGCATCTTTGTCAATCAGGAACGATTGACGATCGTTCGCATTTGTACTTGTTGATGTAGCTTTTGGTGTTGATCCTTTACGTTCTAAGTGGTTATGTTGCTGTGAATGTTGATGAGTTGATGATGAATGGGATTTATTATTTGTTCGACCATTGACGAATAGTTGCAATTGTTTTCGATCTCGTTGAACAATATCAGACGTTGATAGGTAGATATCATCTTCACGGTTGAGATCATCTCGTTGTCGGTCATTCTCATAGAGATCTTCATCAGCGGTGACATAACTTTGTTGCTGTCGCTTTAATGACTCACGATCAAAACGATAAGGTGCTGACTTCTTCGGTTGATAATCGCGCGGTAGTTTTTTTGCTGTTGATCCTAAGTTAACATTGTTTGGTGAGGTTGCTGAGTTGCTTTTTTTCTTTCGTTCCTTAAGAATAGCAGTTTGTAGGCCTCCTCCAGCCTCGTCACTAAATGAATCATATTCATCATCGTTATTTGCTTCATCGGCTGTTGTACTTTCATCAACATCTTCGATGGTAACACCGTTGAAAACATTTTGATTCATCGTTGTTTTTGACGTACCCATTTTCGCGGAGGTTCTTTGTCGATCTTTATAAGGAACAGGACGTAATTGACGTTTGTTTGGTGATGAAGGTTGCTAAAAGGAAAAATATCGAATGAGGAAAAAATAAAATGACGACTTTATATATATTCATGAGGACACGCCTCAATGAGCAAATATTACAGAATTTTTGGCTGAATTCGTTGTTGATGATGATATTGATGATCGATTAGGAGTCTGCGTGGGAAGAATATTCGTTGTATTTTCGTACTTCGGATCCGATGGTTGCTGATTGTTTTGACGCGTTTCTTCTTGTCGACGAAGAATGTGTTCAGCTAATGGTGCTTGACGTTTCGTACTTGATGGCTTCTGTTCATTAGGTGATACAGGTACGGTTTGTTCGTTATGATTCTGATTGTTATTGTTATTGCTATTATTTGATTTGCTTTGAGGCGTATTCACGTACGTTTGCTTTTTAGGTAAATTACCATAGTTATCCACTAATTTATTGACAGCTGTAACAAATTTATCTTTTGTTTTACTAAAAAAAGTATTTGCTGACGATGATGACGAGTTCGTTGACTTATTCTTTGGATCGAACAGTGGTGAATGGTCGATCGATTCATAGATAGCATCCATTTGATTTTCAGAAACATCTTTGCGCATGAATAAATGATTTAATGGATCTAAAAAGAAACAAATAATATATCGGATATCAATTTCATTTCTGATTTAATTACATGTTGTTCGAGCACTTGAAAATCTTTGCGTAGATTCATTTTTCATTAGGACAATTACTTGATCATTACCATTAGGTCGATGATTCACTTCCGCATCAATCATTTCCGGTGCTTGTTGCAACGATGTCGATGAAAATATCACCAAATTGCATTGAAGTACATGAGCAAGTGCATGTAAAATAGGTCGTTCCATTTGACAACGGTAATAATTCGATTCTACAAGATATTCGCTATCGCGACGGATGTCGACTTCGTTGGACTTTGTAGACAAAGATGGAAGAATGTAGGATTGATAGAGATCAAAATTCGATGTAAGTTGTTGATGAGTAGCATCGCGGATTTGATTTGCTAATGCTGTCGTATCAAGGAAATCAGCTGTACTGGATTTAAATATCTGTGCAATGCATAAGAACAGCGATAGACAACGGCCATTGGTCGGAGGAAGAACAGTAGGAATTAAATTGTATTTTTGGATGAGGTGATCGAGTGTCTGTTGATGCTGTAATAAATCATCGCGTTTTACATTTGCTAAATTCAAAGAAAAGATGCGTTATTCATTGAAAATAAAGAATCTTGTCAAGTAGATTCTACCTGGCTTATCGAGCATGTAAAATTGCTTGGAAACATCATTAAATGCGATATACAATGGTTGAACTTCGAGTAAATCAGCTGGAATAATTGAAATAACTTCTTCGTAAACATATGATGTTACTAGACGTATTTCAATTCCCAGTAGATTCGCTAAAATCTGCAATGTCCGTCCATGACTACAATTTTCTAAATAAACTGACGCCGCACCATTCGTTAAATCAATACTACAAATGTTTACAGTGGAACTTTTTTCTTCGTTGTGTAGGGTTTGTAATTGTGCACGAACGTGATGTGCAACATTAGTGATGCCAGAATTCTCCAATCGTAATTGTTTGGAAATTTTGATTTTATAACGTTCGTTGTACTCCCAATAAGGCAGTAACGTTCGAGCAACCGCATCATAAACATCAATAGCCGAACCGTAATTATGTAATTGATGTTTATTTATTCGGTCTGTTAAACGAGCTGTGTGAGTCTGTAGATCCGTTTGATCATATGAATCACGTGGACGTTTGCGAATTGAATTCATGTGCTTTGATATTCCAGTATAAAAGATGCTTGCGAAACGTTTCTCTCCTATGTTACATATTATTTTGACTGGTCACATGCGATGTATTACGAGCGGTTTCTTTCGTTTTTTTCGCACGGATTTTTTCTCTTCGTCTTTTTCCTTTTCATACTTCATGTAATCGACCTGTGATATTGTACACGATTGTATTTCACGGTTGTGCATTTTGTACATATGTCCTGTATTCATGTGAAGCAAAGAGAGAAAGAAAAGAATCAATGAGACGTAACCCAGTGAAGCAAATGAAAAAGAGAAGAGATGCGATCTTTACAATATTTTTGCGCTATGAACAAATTTACTTTAGTGTTCAATGTTCAGTTGAGAATCGAAGACGGCAAGTTTTCTTCTTTGTAATACAGGTAGATAAACTGTTCTTCGTTCTTCAGAATTGTACACTACCTTCGCAAGGTTATTGCGTCGTTCGTTCATTCGTTCAGGTCCTTTTTTTTAACATTAATACCATAATAATTGTCAATGGTTTGTATAAATCCTTGACCAAATCTTATCATGTTACTGTCTCTGATTTATTTATCGACTCGAACAGGACGGAGAGATATGTTCATTGCTCATTATTTGTTCGCTTCACTCATCATCCGTATCGAACCGTACGTATACCGGAAACGGTTCTAATCAAGCATGAATACGTCAGGTGGTGAACATTCTATCTGCAGTCTATGCAGAATACACACTGATGAACGATCGTTCGCAAGAGAAAAAAGATCCCAATCGACTATGAACATCATTCTTTTTATTATTATTATTATTATTGTTAGACAATAAGCAGCTAAAACTATGCAACACTATTCGATTGCGTGCGTGCGTGCGATCGAATCTACATTAGAGATATATGTTTGACAAGATAGGTAACACATCGAGCGAAGAAGTTCTATGCTATTAGTCTGCGAAAGAAAAGAAAGATTTTCCTTCTTAGATATGAAGAGCGTTATTAACTATAAGAATGAATAGACTTAATATGCAGAGAAAGAACGTTGGTAAATATTGAGTTGCTTCATTACATTTATGACTTTTGCAACATGTGACACTTTCAAATACATTCGCTTCACCATCCGTTGGTACAATGCAATGATCTTTCGAAGTTGAGCAACCACGACGTATTATTTGACTAATATTGTTCACAAGTTTCGTCATACTCTATAGATAAAAAAGAGACATCGTATACGCAGCATTAAACTAATCGAGAGGATTTTACGTAGCACATTTTTATGTCTGCTTCGCAGACAGCAGTTGTCAAGTCGGGTTTATTGTGACAGTCTGTACACTGGAAACAAGAAAATGGCTGTGGTGCTAAAGTTGTTGCGATGACTTCGGTTGTTGATGGAACACTTGTTATAGTAACTACTTCATTTTCAGCTATAGTAATCTGATTGTCTACAAAATCAGCTACTGAACTATCTGGAACGACTCCAGGAACTTGCGCGATACCACTGTAGCGTGATTCGCGATCACTCAGTGCAGGAGCCGGATCTTGTCCATGCGATAAATGTATACAGAAACATCCTATGAGTCAATGAGAAGAAAAGACTCGACTATCAAATAATCACATACCGGTTAATGCAATAAAGTACCAGATAAACATGATTTCTTCTGATATTTCGAAAACGTAGAGAGAAGAGAGAACCGTCTGATGTTTTTCACTTCAGTTAGAGTCTATAGTCATCAGATCTTCCTCTTGTTTCACCCCATACGTTCATCTTTCTCTCTTTCTTTTTCTTTTCCGTCTTTTCTATATTATCTATACTATTATCATAGCTACTGTTGTTGAAACAAAATAAGCATAGACCGTCGATGTCTACAGTAGCAACACGAAGAAAAGTCGGCGAGTGGAAAAATGTTTTTCTTTTCCGAGGATGCGAACGTACTCATCTAATAAAACTCCAGTTCTTTCTTTTTCTTCTTTTATGCAAAAAAGAACGATACGAATCGAACTCGTTTGTTGTCGAAGTTTTTTTTCTTTTGTTAGTTTATTCAAGTACGTCGTTTGTCTACGATGTTCATTCATCGAATAGGATGTCATTCTAAAAATTGATTACAGACAGGAAAAACAGAAATGTTTTTCATCATTTGCTTAACGCGTTTACATACTACCATACTCTCCAATTCATCTGGGACAATCCCCGACAAGCACTTTTGTCATGTACAATGCAATTACAATCAGTAAATTCGAAACTACACCGAAATTAATGAGGTCGTTCGTAAGAGGATATTTTCAAAAAAAGATTCAATGTTTGATTTATTTCATGTCTTCTATCAGTTGCTTAGAAGAGCGAAAGGAGAAAGAACATGTGTTTAACGACGATCGGACGTAAGAAAAATGAAAGAGTGACATTGTCAACGGCAAGCTAATGATAGATAAGTTGGTCAATTGAACGACTAGAGTATTTTGATGACAAGATATATAATTAGAACACTTTGTCGAGACAAATTTTTCATATCATATTCAATCTTTTGTGCATTAATCTTTTCGCTACAGGGCAGTACACGATTGTATTGATCATCTATCAAATCAAATGAAAAATATACTTCATGACTCTGTTGTTTCTTTCTTTATCATTTTTTATGTAGATTAGAAAACAGAAGATCTATTCGAACTTTCCTGTCTTCATTTCAGTGACGAGAACCTTCAGTGATTTATGATTGACATTCGAAACAATGTCATTGTCGTGTTACAAGTCGAAAACAGAGCTAGAGAAGATCATTGACACTCAAGGCAATTTTTTCTTTCAGAAAGTCAATCAAAAATAGAGGCGAGCGAGTAAAAGAAGTCTATTCAAGAATGACTTAATTTCGTCTATAACCTGTCTGCGGGAGTTGCCTTAGAAAACCGAACCGGGTAGTCGTACAAATGTGATGACAAAAGTGTCCGGAAGGACTTCTTCATTTTCTTGCCAAATAGGTTTTTTTCATCTAATTAGATTCGACTGATGACATACATGTGTTTATAACATTCTCCATAGGTGTTTCAGTCGCTAGTCAACAAGGAACGTATGAATATCTGTTTTTTTCTCTTTTATGTGTAACGTGCAAGAGATTGTCGATAATCAAGCAAGATCCGAATTCGTTTTTCAAGTTTCAAAGTCTGTTCTAGATCAGGATGATGATTTGGTAATCTCTTCTTTTGAATATGCAATGCCTTTTGAATTTCACTATACGCTTGTTCGTATTCTTGTTGATCGACATGTACTAGAGCAAGATTGTAATACGATATTGCTAAATCAGGATGATCACTCGCCAGAGATTTTCGCCGAATATGAAGAGCAGCTTTGTAATTTTGTAACGCCTGTTCCGCTTCGAGTGGATCTCCGCCTGCAAGATGCGAGAGTGCTTGATGAATACGTCCGAGATTATTCAAACTAATAGCTAGATCAGGATGAGTCGATTGCAGGAATTTTCTTCGAATATCATATGCTCTTTGTTGATAACGTAGTGCTCGTTTCATGTCACCCATGTCATCATAGAGGCAACCGAGATTATTGTATGTCCAAGCTAAATCTAATTCATGATTTGACGATGGATGTTTCTGAAGTGCGATCACACGTTTGTATGTATCAAGTGCTAGATCATAATGTTTTTGTCGATGATAAATAATACCCATGGACATTAACACCGAGGCGACTAGCTCGGATGGACAATTTTCACTCTTATCTAAAGCGTTCTGATAGCAAACTAATGCCTGTTCATTGTCACCTTTTTTGTGATGAATATTTCCAATTCGGATGAGAATTCGAATTGATTTAGACGAATCTTTCTCTTCTTTCTCATATGCACGTTGATAATATTTCAAAGCATTATCATAATCAGAGTTCATTTCATAGGCAATACCTAAATTATCCAATGTAAAGCAGATTTCATCATGAAATTTCTCATCATCATCATCTTGCTTGTAAAAGTCTAAGGCTTGTAAATAGTATTCAATTGCTCGTTCGTATTTCGATTGATCTAAATGAAGTAAGCCAATGTTGTTTAAACAAATCGGTATACGCATCTTGTGAGCTATATCATTCTCGTAGATTTTTAATGCACGTTGGAATAATTGATATGCTTGATCAAATTCAAACAGATGATGATAAATCAATGCAACGTTATTACAACTATCGGCAATATGCGAATGATTTCCGGGTAAAACTTCTTCGCGGATATGTAATGCTTCGAGACAATATTCCAATGCTTGTTCGTATTGTTTCGTATAATAAAAGACTAAGCCAATACCATTGTAGTTCGCAGCTATAGCTGAATGATCTTTGCTTGAGAAATACATTTCGTAAAGTTTCATAGCACGAAGTAGGTACTTTAAGGCTTGGTCGTAGTCATGTTTGTGAGTGAAAACAATGCCTATGGCATTGTTCGTGTTTGCTAGGAGAAGATCGGATAGTTCCGTGTGTTGTTTGTGAATTTTGAAAACGTCGAAAAAGTAATCGAGTGCTAAATCATAATTTTTCTGTTCGGAATAAATCAATCCAAGAAAATGCATAGTCTCTCCCAATATTCGATGATTGATCGGATTTTCATCATGTTGAAGATCATAGACAGTTTGGAAATCCCGTAGTGCATCATTATATAAACCTTGATGGTACTTCACTCGGCCAGTATTGGTTAATAGTGGTGTTTGATCCTCGATGATATTCGAAGAAAGTAACATATTCCAATAGATTTGTGATTGATGATATTGTCTCATTTCCGTTAGAAGAGAACCGAACAGAAGTAGAGGATTGCCTTTTTCAACTTCATATTGTGTCTCTTCCATGTAACTTTCCACAATATCTCGTGCTTCATTACTGGAACTGATGTTAACTATCCAAACATTTCGATTTTTATCGAAATAGACTTCATTTATTTTAAATGCACAACCTAAACCGAATAGAATCTCTCCTCCTTCGTCTCCTCCGTCGTCGTCGTCATCATCACATTTGATACCCGTCGATGGCGATGAGGTATCCGCGAAGATAATATGGTTGTGATGAATGTTCGTTTGAATAATGAACAAAACTGGTGAGATCTCCGACGAATGTTTCGTTGTCTTCAATGCAGATTGCAAGGCGGTATTGTAATGACGTGTACTAAATAGAAATCCATTCGTTGTCACCAACGAACCAATGTGCGATTGAAACCGAATGATCACATCTTCACTTAATTGAATTCCGCGGTAGAATATCAATGTAGGATGGTCGAGCTCTCGTGTTATTAAATAATCATGTTCTTTGTCGATTTGTCGATATAAATCTTGTAAATAATTCCGAAAGATAAATAAAATTTCGATATCTTTCACACGAAAGGCTTTTTTACACAGCCGACTGATGAAAGTCTTCTTTCTATACCACTCTACCGCGTTCTGTTCTGTGTACTTTTCAATAAATGCTTCGATATTTTCCACAACTTCCGAGTTTCCAAGATAGTATTGTGAGCATTGATCGATAAGTTCATCTTTCGTTTGTTCAGAACTTGGAATTTCAAAGAGAACATCTTTAAATAATTGAAACCAGAGAAACGATGCTGAATCTCTCGAAAGATCCTTTACTGATCTCTGCCTATCGTAGAAACTAAATGTAAGTAAATGCCTTTGTAAATCATGTAATTCAAGTCGAATTGAATTGATTAATAGATCTTCATTATCAAAAACATCGATAATTTTCGAGTAACGATTCCAATCGAAAAGTCTCTGTCTGTATTGAGATACTTTCATGCAAAATACAAACACCGAATGAATTTGTGGTAAATCATGAATTTCATCGAGACATAATTCAGCATAATTATCCGAAATGATAAGTAAAATTCGTTCGTTGACTATCGAACGAATACATGTTAAACACGGTTCAAGTTCAGTGTATAATAGAACATAATCGGTAATTTCTCGTAGTGTAGTTCGTGTTGTATCTATAGTTTTATCTAGCCAAATTAACGTGACATTTTCTTTATTTTCGAACAAAGACGGGTGTAATTTTGACATGCGAAGAAGCGATTGTCTACTTGTTCGATTCCCCATTTCGTCGATGAAAAATACTTGGAGTGTCTTTAGAAAATGCGACAACGACGTTTTTCGTTCTTTGCCGAAGTTGTCATATCAATCAATCTGATTGATATTATTGATTATTTATGAAGGACGTTATTTCTACACATTTTTTTTCTCTCTCTCAATTATGGCCATCAAAGGACGGTGATTGATGGGAATATATTCAAAACGATAAGTCTATCAAGTACTAAGTACATTTGAAATGCGTCTAGAAAGCTCGTTAATGATTCGAGAAAAACCTTATATGAATCAAATGAGGTATTAGTTTATTAAATAATATCAGATTTGTTTCCATGCATGACATTCTCCTTGATTCAGTGTTTTATTCAATATGTAGACTGTTAGTGACAAGTTAATAGAGTGTTACTGTGAAGTTCTACCAATTACTGTAAAAATTACTAGTACGACGCTTCCAAAGTTGTTGTTCATCGCTAAAGTAAATAACAAAAGATAGGCATCAGAAATACATGTGCATGTTGTTTATTTACTCTGCTTTTTCTGGTATCATTTCACGTAAATCTAAAATCAATTAGAACTGAATTGCATTTCAAGCTGAAAAGTAATCGAGACTTACAATCACATAGCCGATTCGTTCGAAACATGCATAGATTCATCGAATAGAGGTCACTCAACGAAGTCTTATCACGATCGCTTGTTGGCGTATACACATTTCGACATTGTACAAAATCTGCACACGAAAAGATTGGACATAAATGGAAAATAATAACCGACTCGAAGTAACTTACGGAGTAAAATGAACAATGTAAGAAGAAAACAAAGTAGAAAGCGAAAACATTCGTGCATATTGACTAAATCGCAGTTGGATTTGTTGGCTATTGAAGGACAAGAATAACTGGAATGAATCAACGAACAAATCTTGATTTAAATGTCAATCAGAATGTATGTGAGAAGAGGCGAGAAACGTGCCTATGCTTCTTTGGAATATTATCATGTATTTCAATCGATTGTTTTCAAATTAGTTAGCGTTGAAAATCATGAAAAAGCAATTGAAAGAGGTGGAATCATGTCTCGCTTTTTTCTATCGACACGATTGATATAATGAGATTTTCTTCTTCACCCACACACGACACATTTCTATGTCCTAAACATGCACGAACCTCGCATATTAATGACATCATCAAAATTTATTTAACAAATTTTAATTGACTATGACGAAAATGTGTGTGATATCATCAGTAGTATTGTATTCCTGACTATTCACGTCAAGCATGACAATCAAAATGATTGCTGTATTCTCAATTTATATTCGAAAATAAGATACAACGCGATTATTACATATCGGACACTTTTCAGTCAGATGAAAACAGGTTTCGCACAGACAGGCGTGTTTGCAAGGTAATAAAACGTAACTAACACGTTCTGTTAGACATATAGCACATGCATCCTCGGAGGTAAATGCACCTGGTTTGTAAATATCCTATGAGAAATGGATGGTGGATTAGACTCAGAAAAAAAACGCCTATTGAACGAACTTGTAGAATTAGTGATTGTCCATTGGCGAGCTTAGAGATTTGGGCTAATAGCTTGGTAGGAGGATCGTTTGGTATAGAGGATTTGACATGTAATGTTGAAATTTGAATCGGCTAAAGAGCAATAGTGAGAGTCGGAGGAAAGTTTCTAATTAAGAGATCTTACCAATTGGAAGAAATTACTTGAATTGCCATCGATGAGACTGTGAACAACGAGAATAAGTGGATATTGGCGACGTATTTGATTGTTTCTCATTAGATAGTTTTCTGCATCAGAGAATTCGATTCGTTGAACATAATCGCCTGGCGTTTCGAAACTAAACAAACAAATTTCTTCCTCATTCCATTCGTCAAGCTTTACTTCAGAGTTTGCTGATGGACACAATGCTCTTTCAAAAACCGATTTTCATGCAGAGCCATTCGAAACTCTGCGGAATCGATTTCTCCATAGAAATCTTGAATATTCACAAACCAAAAGGCCCGCAATTGACACGAAACATTCGTATATAGTCGCATTGAAACTCCATCTAAAACATGATGAACATGCATTTCTGTTATCGATTGATTCATTTTACCTTTCAGTGATGATTGCCCTTCTTGAATTTGCAGCGTGTACGGGCGATCGATATAATCGACTGAGACATTTTGTGCTCGCCGATGTATTGGAATAGTCGTGTCGATTTCTGTTAATAGATCGCGTCGATATATGAAAACAAGCACAGAAAAGAATATGATAATAGGAGATAAAGACTCGATTCAATCGAAATACCTGGCAACAACAACCATAGCAACAAATCCGAGAATCACACATACGAACGGTAGAATTTCAGCTAGATCGATCATGTCGAACCGAAGAGGCAGAAGTTAAATATCTTCAATATAAACATCTGACGATTTTACTTTATTCTTTCATAACAAAAAAATGCCACCGGAAAAAAACATCATAATTTCTTTTACTTCAATCTACTTAACAAAAAAACGATAACAAAAGAACTATTTCTTGTTGAGGAAGATCAGGTCATCAGCAATGATGCTGGTTACATAACGGTCTTGACCAGTCTTCTTATCTTTAATCATATTATGATGCAAGCGACCTTGAACGTACAATCGATCACCTTGACGAATGTATTTCTCAGCATTATCCAATAAACGTGGTTGAAAAACAGCAATACGATGCCAATCAACTCGTTGCTTGACTTCACCATTCTGAGCATCCGTTCCTGCATATTCATTCGTAGCAACATTGAATGTAACCACTTTGTGTCGTTGAGTTCCACCTATCTTTGGATCAGCACCGACGCGACCAATGAGTTGGATGCGATTTAGTGATCGTTCGCGACCTGTTGTTTCCGATGATTCAACTGGAACGTCATCATCAGCGGGTATATCACCTAGAAATGATTCGTCATTGTTTTTTGAGGCAGCCTTCTTCGATTCTGTTGTACTTGTTTTAGCTGTACGAATAAACGTCGGTTGAAAGGAACGTAACAAATTTAATCTTAATAGAGACATCTAAAAATAGTGCAGCATTAAATAGATTTTGTTATTTGTAAGAAAATTGAACCCACGACCCAAATTTAATTCTCAAGGAAACATTCAAACTCGTTATTGTTCGTATTTTTATCATTCCAAATCTGTCTCTTTACTAGTGGACGGTTCATTGATTACGGTTGACGAAGTGCGGGTTAAACTTGGCGAGTCAATGATATTTGTTTCTTCGTTGTTGTCGTCAGTAAGAGTATTCTTGTATTTGAACGTTTTGACAAAATATACCCAACTCGTAATGATCAAAAGTAGACCTATAAGTTAAATTGATCGCGCACCTATGTGATACATCGTTTCTTACCGACAACATTCGTATCTAGTCGGAAGAGTGATGGAACCCATGTGGAAACAAAAAATGGAATGGCCAAAGTAGTGTAAATGATTGATTTAATCCAATTATCAATCGGAATGCAGCACACCCAGAAGTAACATGCTTCACTTCTAAAGACAGACACAAAAGAAAACTATTTGGAGAAATAGCCAGCAAAACATACAAAGGCGAAATCACAGTTCAACAAATGACCATCACCAATAACTGATATATATTTATAACGAATTTTCATTCTCTCCATTTTTCTATCATTGATGAGAAACTTCGTTACCGAAAACAGCATATACAACATGTGATAAACTTATTGAGAACCCAAAGAAGTTCCAAATAAGCAACAACGATTGTCACAAATCTACGAAATACCAGATCTTTTCGATTTCGGATTTTCATCCATAATGATATAACCTACGTGACGTAGACACGAGAATTTACTGAGCCTATCCCTAACCATTCTAGATAGGTTACGAATATTAGACCTTAAATCAACTGAACTTTGATTCGATTGACTGAATAAATGTCCGTAACAAACCAGTAAGTGTAATCAGTCCACAGCACCTTGCTAAAATTGTAATATATACAAAGATGCATCCTCTTCGTTGATATGCTTGCTGAAGATCATTGTTGATGTTCATCTAGAAGGAAGATCAAGACGTTGTTCTGGTGAAGACGTTGGTTTTGTATCTAGTTTATTGTATGCAAAAAATAGATAGACAAAGAAAAGAAAACAACAATGCAGATACACGATTTGAAGAGAAGAAAAGGAAAAGCATAGACATTTAAGAAACAAATGAATAGAAGAATATCTTACAAAGAACTAACAATAGAATTGAATTGAATTTTTTCTGTTGTCTCTACTTTTCTTTTCAATCACATACAGAGGATAGCAGCCTAACCTGTAAGATGTACGTATGATCTTCGAAATCATTTGTTGGAATTAATCAATCAAACAAAGAATTTTCTATCACCGGACACGGCTCGCAGAACACAAAATTTAGAAGAGGGAGAGAGAGAGAAAGAATAAATAAGTATACACATGATGACTAAAACAAAGCAAAAGCATGTTTATTATTGTTTTGTTTGAAGAATGGGATGTGTATCACAGTCCCTGTCGATTTCTATATATATGTTTTTGTCGTATCATTTAGGTACATAAGGAATTTGAACAACTCGCATCGCTTGCGGATTTGGTTGAGCAAGCACAAGTTGCCCAGCTGAATTTTGCATTAACACAGCACCACCTGTTTGCTGCATGGCAGCCAACTGTTGAGCTTGAAGTTGGGCAGCAAGTACTTGCTGTTGTTGCTGCTGTAGTTGTATTTGTTGCATAAATGTGGGCGCAGAATAGGCTACTGATGGTCGGATAACTTGCACAAGTTGACCGTTGTGTTGAATAAATTGAGGCTGTTGGGACTGTTGCGCTTGCAATAATTGAGCAGTCGGATATTCGATGAAATGTTGAAGGCCACCTAAAGGCAAAATTTCTCATTAGGATCGTAGTTTACTAACGTAGCGGCCAAAAACGTTTGCTTTACCTTGCGGCGTTCGTACAGCAACGACGCGTGGCTGCTGAACAGCAGCTTGCATGGGCATATATAACTGCTGTGCTGGTTGAGCAATCTGTACTAATTGTGGACTGCCATTAGTTGCAGTTTGAATCATCATCGGTTGTCCGTCTTGTGTTAATACATTGGTTGTACCGTTTGGCGTCGTTTGACCAGGTGTTGAACAACTTTCACCACCACTAGAAGCTGCTGAGTTAGGTGACACAGATGTTTGTGATTGTACTTGAGATTGTTGTTGTTGCTGCTGCTGCTGTAGATGTAGCTGTAGCTGTTGCTGTAACTGTTGCTGCTGCTGCTGTTGTTGTTGTTGTTCAAGTGTTACGGAAGATGTATCAGGATTAGCTGCTATTTGTGGCACAGTGGCTGATGCTACTTGAAGATGATGATAGTTAGTAAGGACAGGATTAGGCGCAGCGACAATAAACGAAGGCATTGACTAAAGAGAAATGAAATGAGTGAGCTTAGCTGACTGGATGATTGTCGCTTACAGAAATTGCAGGTGATGGCATGATCGGCATTTGGATGAGTGGGAAATCTGCCAATTGTCTCTGAGTCTCACGTTCTTCAATCAATTGTTGTGCTTGAATCTCAGTAATCAATCCGTGATTTTTAGCTGCATGGATTTCAGCACGATACTAAAAAAATGAGTTTACCAACAAATGCATAGTGTGATGATGTTCAGCGATCATACTTTTAAGTCATTGAGCATTTCAATGTTATCTGGGTCATCCATATCCGGTGGAGTAAACGAATGATCTTTACTGATCTTTTTCTACAACAGAATTTATCCATGAATTGAAAAGAATGCTTATGCTCGATTGTTGTACCTCGAACTCGGGCGGCAGTTTTGGACCAATAATTGGATCATCATCGTCTTGCTCCATATCTTCATTTTCTTCTTTCTTCAACGAATACGCTGGTGTTTGTTGTTTATTCTTTCCTTTGACATTTTTCTTCTGTCCAATGGTTCGTTGTTGATTTTGATTGGTAGTTAGAATAATCGGTTCCACTTTATTTTCTTCACTGGACACCCCCGTCGTTGATGTAGCTGCTGTTTCATCAACATTCTCTTCGCTGTTTGGAAGTTTTGGTGTTGCAGCAATAAGCACACGCGGCTGCTTATTATTTGGTAGCTTACGAATACCAGCACCACCCAGTGGGCCATTATATTTGTTTCCATTGCGATTCGTTGGAGGTGATCGACGTAAATTGTCATTTGATCGAGCACGACGACCACGTGGACCATTTCGTGCACCACGACCACGACGCGCTGCACCTCCTCGTCCTTTTCCATTGTTATGTGATTGTAGCTGATGGCCATTATTGGAACGTCGTGATGTTTTTCGATTATGACTACGAGATCTTGATCGACTATTTGAACTTTGTGATGATGTCGACGAACGAGAACTTCGAGAACTCGATGAACGTCGCCGAGAGTAGGAACGAGAGGAGCGACGGCTGCTTCGACTACTCTGCCGCGAACGATTATCACTTGAGCTAGTGGACGAACGTGACGACGAACGAGATGAACCTAAACCAAAGTTAGTTGCAGAGATGCAAAAAAGTCAAAATGTGCAAAGCATACGTGATCGTTGGCGTCGCCGTCTTCGATGTGATCGACTGGACGATGAACGAGAACTATCAGACGATGTACTTGAATAGGAAGAGCGTGAACTTGATGAAGATGAATGTCGACGACGACGACGACGACGATTTCGATGTCTTCGATGACTACTATGCCTTCGAGACCTTGACGATGCTGATGATGATCGAGAGCCATGCTTACGATCGCCACCATTGTCGTCTTCCTCTGATTTCTTCTCGACTGTCGTTGAAGCAACTGGTTCTTCACTTTTAACTGCTACAGGCTTCTCATCTCCATCTGCAGTTACTGGTGCTGTTTGTTGTTCATCCGTTGTCACAGGTTCACTTGATTCGTCTAAGCAAAAAAATGACAAAATTCCGTGAAAGTTTTGCTCAACAAGTACAATTTTCGTTAAAGTTTAGATCAAACAAAATGACGAAATAACAAGATGCACGCTCGCGTGTTGACATATACGTGTATATGTTGAAGGTAACTGTGGCTTGACATGCATGAGAGAAGCAAAGAGCTTAGCTGCGGTAGCGTCGAGATTAGCCGCCAAAATATAATAGATTATATGAGATCGCCAATAGCAATAGAGAAGAAAAGAAAAGGACATTAGATCTCTTGCCTTAACGAAGTATTTCGTCGAATATTAGCCTATAGAGAAGTGAAAGCATTGCAGCAAAAAGTCGAGTGAAACAAGATTTAGAGAATCTCTGCAATTTATCTCGAAATTCGATTATAGACATGTTCAAAGTTTGTAAAAATCATTTCCTCCTTTTAAAAGAAGAAGACCTCGGTTAAGTATAGTTTTTTCTTCACATACTCTCAGATGTCTTTTGTTTTTTGTTTTGCAATGCTTTTTCGTTCTCATCACCTGACAATGATGAATGAGAGCCCGTTGTTGGATCATTTGGTTTGTGTAAACGTTTCTTTCTTGTCGACATTACAACTGGTTCAGGTTCTTCTTCATTATTTGCCACATCATTCGACACTGCAGATGTTTTCAACGGTAAATGTTGTGTACGATTAAATTTGAATTGGATGGGTCCCGTGATGCTACCCGTATTATTCATTCGACAAATGCGTTCGATTTGTTCATCTCCTTCGCTTCCTTCACTTGACTGCTCCCAATTATTCATCGTTAATTTCGACGAGGTAGCATCAAGTAAAGCTAATTGTTCTTCAAACTTTTTCGCCGCTAAGTCTTCTGTGTGATTTGTGTTTGTTGTAGATGTTGGAGAAGATTTGCTATTTTCATTGGTTTCATTGCATTGCATGACAGGAGATGGAACCAATTGTTCCTTCGCAATCAAACGTGGACGAGAGCCTTGACGTAAGATGTTTGGCATGACAGGTGGTGGTGACCGTGACAACGGTAAATTCGTTTTCATAACTAAATCATTTGTTGTCGAACTCTCTTCGGTCTCGTCGAGAGAATTCGAAAGAGGTAAAGGTGGCGGCGGCGGTGGCGGTATAGTCTCATCGGGCGGCAATGGAGGCGCATCATCATTGTAATCACGCTTCTCGGCTGAACTTTTCTTCGATTGATGATGTTTCTTCTTATGTTTTCGCGATTTTTCTAAATGAAAGAGAATTTGTGTATTCTGTATTTCGCTTATCATTGCTACTACCTTCACGATCTCTTGAGCTTGATTTCGAACCCTAAAACGAAAGATAGTATCAGCTTATAAAAGATCTTCTTTGATTACATTGAAATCCAAGCTAAATATTTACTTCGAGTAGATCTTAATTTATCTAAGAAGTTAGAGAAAGTGAAATATATGCTCCAATTCTCATTGTTTCCTCTCACTGGATAATAATAGATGAGCCAACTTACATGTTTCGATTTCTTGGACCTTTTATCATTTGATGCCGGTGAAGATTCTATTGAAAATAAAATTAAAAAAAAGACCGAGATTAATTAATATCCTTCGACAAATTCAAGTATATATAATATATAAGATCCAATATGAATCGATTGGGGGAAATAGTTGCGCGAGCATACAGTTTTAGCTAGACTAAAAAAATGCATTGTGTTATGGCACAGAGAAGAGAGAGATATATATATAGTTATGTAGACAAAAGGAAATACCTCGTTATTATCTTCCTGAAAAATAAAATAAATATACAAAACAGAGCATAACAATCGACTAGAAAATGAAATAACACACGGAAAACACACTCAACAATGAGAAAGAGAGAGAGAGAGACGAAGAGAGAGATGAAACAGTTTATTAATTTTCTATTTTGTTAAATATGACAAGAAGCCAAAATACAAGGAAGAAGTTAAGCATGCAAATCACGAGCAAAACTAAACGGTTAACGTGCATCGACTGATATGTTAGTTATTGATTGTTGTTCAATTACAGTGCAGAATAAAACACGATTACCTCACCGTTTTGTTTACATGATGGTCAGTGTTTCTGCTGGCTACAAGCATAGAGATATAGCGAGAGAGGTGAAAACCAAAAACAAAACATCCGCCAGAATGACACACATGCACAACAAAGAAAGCCCCAAAGAAAGAATGTGTCGATAGATTTGGCTTTTTTATTAAAATCGATCGTTTTTGTTTGTCTTTGACGAACAAAAAGACGATTATTCGATAAAAATAATGAGTTGCCTTTACCTCGTAGATATGCATACGTTCAGAGACTAAAGTTGGTAAATAAAAAATAGAGGATTGATCATTTCAAATATCAAATGAGTCGATTTCAAGGAAGCTACGTGTAATACAAGTGCAGCAAAATAAACACAATCATCTATTCAACTAAATTAAGTTGGGATTAGTCGTGCATTAAAAGAAAAAGGAAATCAAGCAGTCATGCAATAAACGAAGCACAATCATTTATCACGTAAATAACCAACCAATCTGGAAGGAATAGTTATCTGTATATGTGATGAGATCAACATCTGATCATAGAGAGAAAACTTCTTTCCTATAACAAGATAAGAGATAGAAAATGTGTCTGTGCTCGTATGTAATCGATCTTGATGAGAATTTCAAGCTTTAGACAAAGTATCTTACAGAATTGGCTTATCCAACGAGCAAAGCAGATATATATATATATACACACGCAAGTGACAAAAGCGTTAGGGGAAGAAGAAGCATGGCTGTGTTTTTGAAGTCATTAAAGGAATTTGAAGGTGGCGGTTACTGATCTGCTGGACGGTATAGTTGATATTTGACCATCGTGGAAGAAGATGATGATGATGGCTGATTCCATGAATAGAAAACAAAAACAGAATATGTATATATATATGAACATCATAGCATGCACAATCACATCGTGTCCCAAGCCAAGCAATAGTCATAGCCAAAGGCAAGAAAATGAGTCGAAGAAAGCATAGATAGATTTGAAGAACATGCAAAGAAGAACCAACAAATAAGTGAGAGAATACGCACACACACGAAATAAATATGTGAAGAGTTATTTGAATGTTAGTTGAAATAGAATTAGAAGGTCTAGTTGTTGTTTTTTTTAATTATATTCGCAACGTGTTGATTAATCTATTGTTTTTGCTGTTTTGTTGGGCAAATCTACGCGCGCACAACACTCACGAACAACAACAAGAACAACAAGAACAACATGAACAGAAAAAATGAAGAAATTCTCTGAAATCTTAGATCTCTCTCTCCTCCAGCCTGTATCGATAGTTTTTTTTGTTCGTTTTTACACGCCAAGCATCATCATCCTAAGATCTTATCTTGTTTCGTTTTTTGTTTTCAAATAGATTAACTTACGGTTTTCAAGAAATCTCAACTGTCTTCTTCATCTTCTTCTGTATATTTATGCACAGAGAAAGAGAAAAAAGAACGAGAAGAGAAGGAGGCATATTACCTTCTTTTTTTTTCAAACATGATCACTAGAATAGAGCAGGCATCAACAACATCGGTATATAACTTCAATTTTCAAAATAGAGAGATGAAAATAGGATTCTCTCCAAAAAGAAATATACAAAGCCGATGTTTTTCCAATTTTTTTATCTATTGAAAGATTGGGATTTTATTTTACCTTTCGATGTCGACGCGGAAGCAACCACAACAGCTGGACGTATATTTGAGTCGCTCGTTTTTGAAGTCATTGCTCGACTGATGTTTATCTCTATTGAAAAAAAAAACACAACAGTTAGGTCAGATGAACATTGTACAGGCGCGCGCTCTCTCTCTCTTGTCATACGTATTCGTTCGATCGGATAAGCGAATTAAACCATACACAAGCTTTGTGATTTTCTGAAGTAGAAGATAAATTATCAAGAAACAAATCGTTGATATTTTAAAAGACAGAATGAAGTGAATGACGATGATAGAAGGAAAAAACAACAACCTTGTGTTGAATATTTGCCATAAGTGAAACACTTCAACCTCTCCATACATTGTAAACTTTTTTAGACATATTCAGATGCTAGCGACATCTAGTGTTCGATAAAAATGGTTTCATATCTTCTTCGTTCCTTTCGGCGAAAGCTTCGTTCACATTGTACAAGCTTTGGATATAAAGTTGTAACAAAAGAGAGAAGCTATTGTCTCGAATCTGAACAGATTTGGTTATATAGTGATCAGTCGCAGACATCGACTGTTGTTCTTTTATTTCGAGTGTGAAAGCTCGAAATGATGTGCATTAGTAATGTTTATCGAATGACTGTTTGAAGTATCTCTTGAGTTTTATCATTTACTGTCTGTGTTATGTTATGAAAATGACGATAATTAAAGTTCAATATAGACTTTTCTCAACGTGCTTATTTGTTATTTAACAGTTCGTTCTTTTTCACTGTTCTGATTGTAGACAAACAACACCGGCGTCGAACGAAAAACTATATCTGAGAAAAGAAAAAGAAATGAGAGATTGTTGCATGGCATATTTCTTTTCTTGTTTCATCAACAAAACTGACAAGTGGGAGGTGAGTTTAGAAGTCGTTTGAGAAAAATAAATCAACTCGATCTCTCGTAATGTGTCGATGGGGATGTCCTGATTATGAATCGGTAATCAGATCGTTGCTCGTTAAATTTTTGGTACAGTTCAATTCTATCTAGACATATATGTGTAAATTTTGTGGTACACGTTATTGTTCTGAATGTCTTCATGGCGATTTTCATGGATTGATGACGCAGCCGGATCACTGTCGGAAATGCAACCAGGTAGGAAATGAAACGAAATTTTTCACTTAGTCTTTTTTCTTCTTGTTTAGTTTAAATGTCAAGGTAAACGTGTTGAAGTTGTTGTATTTGCTCCGGGTACTGAACCGAAAGGCTCAAAGAAATCTGGTAAAGGCAAAGCATCTGGCAGCAAAAAAGGCAAGAAGAAAAACTAATAAACATCATCAATCTAAGACTTCCAATGTATTGTGTTTTCTTATATTTTTCTTCGAAATAAAGATGGACATTCGATGATATCAAATCACAGAATCTCTTCTCTTGTCATTATTCAGATCATTTTTCCATTATCAAATAAGAAAACGCATGGATGTCTTCGAAGTTGTCTATCTAATCAAAAAGGCAAATCACTTCGCTTCAGTGACAACTGGAATATTAACGAGAAACAAAAGAAAGCATCGAATGTTAATTATGAATATAACATATCAAATGCATATGAATATTTTCTCGAGATCGAACCAAAAAATAGAAGCAAATCCATCTCTTCTCTCGGATCAGTAATGATAGACAAGTCAAAGAAGAAAATATGAGAAAGGCTTCGTCAAAGTGACAAAAAAGATTTGAGTCCTGTTGTCTTTTCTTGCGCTATTATTTGTCGGTTTGTATTTTCATACAAGTCTTGCTTTCGTATCATTGAAAGACAAATAGATCAGTTCTTATCTTCGTTTTCTACAATCATTCAGACCGTAAACATCGGTACAACTGTGGCCAGTGCGCGGCCTGTTGGTGAAACTGGTCGTCGTCGTTCGGGACGCGATTCATTGAGCTCAATCGTTCAGAGACGTCCATCAGTGTCCATGGCAACGAATAAAAAATCATCAGCTACGGCTAGTTCAGGATCACAATCAGATATGAACACAAAACGAGCGACGTCAAGTGGAAATATTTCAAATGCAATCGTTCCCACAATTAAGAAAGAATCATCGAGTGGTTTTAATTATCAAACTTTAACAGAGACATCACCTTTAAATATGCCTAAAACGAAAATTAAAAGCAAACAACCTATTCGATCGCACAGTTCAACGAATGCTGAACTCAGCTATCATATACAACAATTACGAAATCTAAGTAAATTGAAATCGACAATTAGCGGCGATGATCGACATGGCAATACGGACGATCGCATACGTTTAACTTCATCGAATTTGAAAGTTGAATGTGATGAAAATGGCACGGGAGCAGTACATACGACTATGGAAGTAGAAACAATTGAGGCAAGCATAGACCTACCTGTTTCATGGAAACCAGCTTTACAACAAATAACGATCGAAAGAGATGCATGGGATCATAAAGTTGAATTTCTGCTTGCAGTTATTGGTTATGCGGTTGATTTAGGTAATTGTTCTTTTCATTTTGTGATCAAACACCATGCTGGTATGCTGTTTTTTTTTTTTATTTAGGCAATGTTTGGCGATTTCCAACTGTCGTTTATATGAATGGTGGAGGAGCCTTCTTTATCCCGTATTTCATTCTTTTAATCTTTGGTGGTCTACCATTGTTCTAGTATGCAACTTTGTTTTGTCGAATTTTATTGTGGTAATAAAACTCATCTCTTTGTATTTAGCATGGAACTTGCTCTCGGTCAATACCATCGGTCAGGTGTCTTTACTGTTTGGACACATGTAAGCTCTTATATGATTTTCATTTTTATAACCGAAAGTATCGATATGTAGATCTGTCCGTTGGTAAAAGGCGTCGGTTGGGCTACGGTTTTAATCAATTTTATGATGGCAATGTTCTACAATACTATCATTTCCTGGGCTGTTTATTATTTAGCTATGACAATCTTTAATATTCGATCTCCATTACCCTGGAAAGAATGTCATCATCCGTGGAATACAGATTGTTGCGTAGCTGCTAGTGCACATGAGCATCAATATACCCAACAATTAAATAATTTGACAAAAAAGGTCTTGAATGCTACATCGTTATTAACGAGATCATCGAGAGAAAATTGCACTCGTTTGGTTTATTCAACTGAAGAATTCTTCTTGTAAAGTTTGTTTTCGATAGTTGTAATCGATACTAATATGTATGTTCTAGTCGACGTGTTCAAGAAGTTGATAAAGCAAACTCGTTCAATGATTTAGGCAAAATAAAGTGGGAACTTGCTGCTTGCCTTTTTGTTGTCTTTATTTTCGTCTATTTTGCACTTTGGAAAGGCATTAAAAGTTCAGGAAAAGTAAGTTTGCATCATTTCTTTGTCTCATGCTTCGTTTTTCCTTCTACGATTAGGCAGTCTGGATTACAGCAATTGCACCCTATGCAATTCTTTTGATCCTACTGTTACGCGGTATAACTCTTTCAGGTTCATCTATAGGCATTCAGTACTATCTTCAACCAAAAATGGAGCTATTGAAAAGCTTTTCCGTAAGATCAAATTTCTGGCATAGAGTACACAGTTCGTTAAGATCTTTTCGAATAGATCTGGAATGCAGCTGCAACTCAAATCTTTTTTTCACTTGGACCAGGTTTCGGCGTTCTCCTAGCGCTATCATCTTACAATAAATTTCATAATAATTGCTATCGGTAAAGAAGACACTTTGACTTTGTGGTTTAGATAGAGGGCGTATTTTGTAATTTAGGGATGCATTGGTGACAAGTTCAATCAACTGTGCCACTTCAGTCTTGGCCGGTTTTGTCGTTTTTTCAACATTAGGTCATATGGCTGATGTATCGCATAAAACAATCGAACAAGTTATTGAAGACAAAGGTGAGTCCTTGCATCTATCTACTCAAGATAGATTTTGTCGGAAATTTTAGGTTCAGAACTTGTTTTCATTGTTTATCCACATACAATTGCTCTAATGAATTGGTCAAAGCTATGGTCTATTCTATTCTTCTTCATGTTGATTACTCTCGGTATTGACAGTACAGTGAGTTTTATCATCAATGTCGTTATTCGTTATAAACAACGACAATGTTTCATTCAATTTAGTTTGGCGGTTTGGAATCGATTATCACAGGCCTATGCGATGAATTTCCACAAATCTTTGGCCGGCATCGATCATTATTCGTCCTAGGTGTTCTGGTCATATGTTATCTTGGTGCACTACCAACATGTACCTACGGTGGCGATTACATTGTCAATTTGATGAATGAAGTGTCAGTTGCACCTGCACTGCTGTTGGTCGTCTTTGTTGAATGTATTGCTGTCTCGTGGTTTTATGGTAAAATTTGTTGCTTTTCTATGATTGAATTTTGATTTGTATTCTTTTTTCAGGTGTTAATCGATTTTCCAATGATATCAAAGCAATGATCGGTGTCCGGCCCTCCTTGTTTTGGCGTGTAATATGGTACATCGTTAGTCCACTCTTCTTACTAGTGAGTCACTTCAGGTTTTCTTCTTGAATGTTTATTTCTCGATAACCAACTATATTCTATTTAGATGATATTTTATATTTCGATGGACAATTTTCTTTTTGGTAATATAGAAATCAAACGAATTAGCTTTAGAAATTTACCAACTAATGTTCAAGTTTGGTCATATCTGATGGTATTTGTTCCTATGCTATGTATACCAGCTTATGCAGTGTACAAATTAATCATCACACCTGGCAAAGATTTTGATGAAGTATATATGAGTCATAATCTGTCAATAGTATCATATTTATGAACCTCTTTTCTAGCGCCTTCAACGAGCCATACAACCGGAAGAGCCTTTACGCGAACATGTCAGTTGTTTGCCTCTCAGTGCACAACAGCAACAGTCAACACAACAAGAAAATAGAGTTGATGAACTCTAGTCTATTCACACGATCAGTAGCACTCTTTTATTTTACAACGCACAATTATAACATTATATGCATGCCAATCATTCACTACTCGGTGGTAAAGTTTTCGTCAACTGTTCATCAATAGATTGACCAAGAATACGTGTGCTTGCCGACCCTATATGTTTGTTGTTTTGTAAAAGAAAATCAACATTGTCAATATTTTTTCTCTCTTTTCATCAAATAAATAGTTTACCTCCTAGTAGTTCAGGACCAGCTTGTCCACATATTTTACTTCCTTTTTCACCGCCAAGTCCAGCTTGTGGTCCTTCGACTTCTTTGTCTTTGGGTTTTTCGCGTTGGCCGAGATGTTGTTGATTTTCTTCGTAACCGATCGGATGATAAGTATCAGTGACTGGCTTTTTGTGAGGCATATTCGCACTGAAAGGTTTCTCGTCGAGAACGATGCTTTCTCCTCGTGAACTACTAGACGTATAATGACGAGTAGGTTATTTGACGCGTTCGAATTGACGTACGAGAATAAAATTTCAAACAGAAAAGAAAAATAACGAAGAAAGAGAGAGAGGAAAAGGATAATAGAGTGCGTAATGATCGAGTGCACTGAGTATAAAATCATCGCTCGTTCTACTTTTGTCCTTATTCACCGAGATCGATTGAACAAAGATATGACAAAGTTCATCATTGACATATTTCACATTCTTCTACACGAAGCAACGTTTTCGTATAATTCATCGAAACTCTTTCCAAATTTAATCTCGCTGTTTGATATTTATTTTCTGCCATATAAGATGACTATGTCAATATTGCACGAATTGAAAATTGAAACCAAGTTGCTGCTGATGTTTAATTCCATTATATATGAACGATGCACGCAGGCATCTTTTCCAAGGTTCTTTTTCTGTATAAGATACACTTTTTTTATTCATAAAAAAAGTCGAAGGATGAGTGCAAATAGCAACTGTGTGTGTCAGACTGTTTCTCGAAAGATCATACATCTGCAATTCATCATTCTGTTGTATTATTTATCCAAAAATGAAAACGAATATGATTTGTAATAAAATACTTTTAATGCTAGTATAGTCTAGAGCCATTTGAATTTATATAAAACTTCACAAATAAACACACACTGAGCAGAACTATTGACTTCGTGTGTACGCGATTTTTCATCGTGGTACTAAGACAATTTTTAAATCTAATGAGTCTAATAGTTTTTGAAACTTGTCAATCGTTAACCTCGAACGAAAATCAGAGCCAGAGGAGAGAAAATCTTCGACAACTCGTCGTGTATCTTGGTCGAGAGAAGCCATTTGACTCTTTCGCCAAGGTAACAGTTTTCGAAGTTGTTTACCTAGATCATCTCGAGTCTGATGACTACGCGAATTGATATATACAGAAGAATCACCGGATGACCACTTCAGTTTTGATTTTGTTGACGAAAATTCTTGGAGAGACAGACAGAATGCACCGGTTAGGATAATAACGAAAATAATAATCAGAAATTGTTTTTTTGGAAGACTATACTGATTTTGACAATGGATTTCATTCTATTGAGTTTATCACAAGTAAATATTTTCTGTTATCGAACAAATTCTTACCTGATTTTGAAGACTTTTTGTTTCTACATTCTTGTGAACATTATCATTATCGGCTTCTTCTGCATTCGTGTCAAGTGTGGATAGATCTGTTGTTTGAAGAGATGCTAACAATGGTAGAAGATCGTTGATACAAGGTGCTGCGTCATTCGTGGTCTCATAGGCAAGATCCAATGGGGTCGTTGGAAGAAACACATCGGGATCATCAAGATTTTGTAAATCAGATGCACATGAAGATGAAAGTGATTTGTTTATTTTATCAGTTGATTTCCTCGATAGAATCAAAGCCGAGTCATCCATACTTTCGACATTCTTTGATGATTTAGACGAATATAATCGATCGTAATTCAAGTGACGAGGAGACGATGACGAAATGTCTTTATCTATAGTGTTTATAAGTATCGCTTGCGGTAATATTTCCTCTGATTTGCTAAGCGACTTGGCATGAAGTGGGTCACAAAACGAAGACGAATTGAGCGAAACGTCAGTTCCACTGTCACTGTTCTTATTCGCTTCGTCCACGTAAACATCTTCATATAATGAGAGGCCAATTTCATATTCATTCATTGCTTGTTTTAATTCACCTTTTGCCTTATAAATTTCTGCAATATTCAAATGACTATCGGCAACACTAAGTGGATCATCGATACGTTCGAAGATTTCCATTGATTTACGATGATAACGGAGACTTTCTTCAAAGTCTCCTTTTTCCTTTGTAACATAACCCAATTCAACATAACATTTAGCCACTATTCGATCATCTTCGGCTGTGTCTGAACTTGTCGACATTAGAGTACAAATGCCTGGTAATGTTTCTGCAATTGAAATATATAATCGTTACGCGTTGTTATTTTCTTTGTAGTTTTTCTCAATCGAGACTTGTGTGCACACGTGTGTATGTCTTACTAAAGAGAGAAGCGGGACGACGACGACAAAGAAAGCAGCGAACAATAATTTCCGACTGGAGTATACATGAAACTCTTTTTTTCCTGTTAAATAACTTCAGATGTTATAGACGACTAAAAAAAGAAAAGAAGAGAAAAAAGAAAAAGAGGAAAAAAAAGGTAACTCTAAAGGCAAGCGAAGAACTGTGTGGCATAAAAAAAATACTACATAGACATATCGTGATTATTAATGACCTGTCCTGCTTCGGACTTCTCTAATGAAGCTGTCACATTTACAGCAACTTGTTGAACTATTCCATATGAATATATAAAAGATTAATGCAATATTCTCACCACAATGTGATCGTGTTTTTCGCCATATGATCAATGTAATCTCTACGTGCATTTATATCATCGATTCTAATTATAATCATCTTCTACATATGTGAATTGCTTGCTTCCCAAAAGAACCAAATTCTATTTATATATTCGTGCAGTAAACATTCATAGTTTATAGAATATTTGCTTTCTAATGGTTTTTCGATTACTTCACTATAAGTATTCTACCGCATAATCAATCAAAAATCGAATATACATTCTTTTTCTTTTCAATGTGCACATACTTTCGATTTCTTACATAAATACATTGACTTTACATGGTTTCATGCGTAAAGATATCAATCAGAACTCTTGGGAAATCTGAATAGTACAGTTTGTACAAGGATGCTATGATTTCATCATCGACATTCGCAGTTACTCTGTTTAAAGCAATATTTATTGATGTTTTTGAAAAACAAAGAAAAGTGAATATATGGATATACTTTATCATGATGAAATAAAGCAAATAACAAGTATAAGTTTTGATCGACTATTTTTCGACGATACACAGAGAAAAACAAACAAGTGCGTTCTATTGCATTCTGATCATAAACATTTTTAAAAAGACATACACATACATATATTAACGTAGAGAGTATGTACAAAGACAAAGGAGACAAGTAAATTCCTTGGAATGATGTCTAGAGATTGAATAACAGTGAAGACTATAAGCATAACGAGATTCACAATTTTAACACGGATGGCGTCTTAGGTAAATGAGCATCGATACGTGTATCTTGTAAACGATATAAATCATCATCTTCATCACTTAAACCTGCGCTTTGATTGGTCATATTACTTGTATTATTTCGATTTGTTGTTGATAATGTCGACATCGTACGTTTCAAATTGAATGTATCATTTTGTGGGCGAACAGTAATAATTAAATTATGACTATTCGCCACCATCATATCAGTAACTTGATCTAAAGATTTTCCGCTAACTTCAATTCCATTAACTTCGATGATTTCATCTCCAACGGATAATAAACCAGTTGATTCTGCTAAACCACCAGCTAACAAACGTGATATGAACACACCGGGAACATTTTCTACACCATTTGGACCGTATTTGATGGCGACTCCATCACGAATGTAAAATCCGAGTGGTTTACTTTCTTTATAACGATGTAATCTCACGCGACGATATGTCACAGGTAACTTTTCCACATCGATAATTGATGAAACAAGACGAAAATCTGGCTGAATTTCAATGTTACGCTGAGGCGAATGAATGTTTTTATCAGAGGACGGATGAATAAATGAAGAGATCTGATCTGAAATCTTTTTCCGTTTTTTCAATGAATCACTTGCATATTGATACGATTCACCTACAAAATAATGCGTTCAAAGTATCGCTCGAAAGCAATTCATCTTACCTTTTCGTTGTACAAAAATTCTCAATAGACCTGAGTAGACTCGCAGAATATGTTCAATAATTGTATCATTATTAATCGAAAGTAATTCTCCATCTTTATCGAGATAAGTGACATGAAATGGAATCGATTGTAACCCATGTAAATCTTCAACTAATTTATAGAAATCGTCGAATTTGATTGGAATTTTTCGATCTAATTCAAATCGACGGAATTCAGCACCAAACTACATTGAAAACAATTTTCATTTACTATATTTCCTATCAAACGATCTTACTTTGCTTTTGACTTCGAGTAAAGATAACATCATTCGTTTTCAAACGTTCTTCATCAAATGATCATGTTCGTTATCATCGAACAAATAAACATTTGTTCTGTTTTCTTATTGGAAGATATACCTATTGCCATCTAGCGGATATTTATTCGAAAACAAATCATAACCGTTCGAATGAATCATTTCATGGAAGGACAATATATATATATACATATTTCTTTTTTTTTATTAATTTCTTCTATGACAAAATGGCTCCCTCGGTTCTTCTACCTTACATTTACGGATTAGATTTGTCGAAAAATGAATTTGGAGTAAGAAATAAATGAATGATGCGTGCAAACAATATCATTGATATCTTTGCTATTTAGGATGCACAGCAATTTCCAATCCCGATACAAGAAATGTGTAATCTGCGCTGGTTAGAATTAAATCGAACAAATATCAATCGTCTACCAGAATTCATTGGACATCTTCAATCTCTCGTACGATTTGTCTTTGCGAATATATCAAAAGTATATATTTTCTCTCGTCTCATTAGGAAACATTGAGTTTAGCCCATAATGATCTACCAGAAGTGCCTCTATGTTTGAACGATTTAACATCATTACGTTCATTAACATTAAGAGACAATCATGTGTCAAACCCACAAATTTCGGCAAGATTATTTGATATACCTGACCTATCAATATTGGATTTAAGTCGAAACAATCTTCATGCATTTCCAAAAGATATTGAAAATGCAAAGGGTCTGATTGTTCTTAATCTTTCATCCAATCAGTATGTAAACGAGACATTCTTTCGACTTTTACAAAATCATCTTTCTTTTTAGCATCGAACAAATTCCCAATCATGTGTTCGTTTCACTTTTTGAATTAGTACATCTAAACTTAAGTGACAATAAAATCGGTAAAGACCAACTAAATAAATCATATTCTCGTCTGAATCAATTCTCTTTAGACACATTGCCAGCACAAATGCGTCGATTAACATCGTTACAAGTCTTAATATTAAACAATAATCCACTCGTGCACGCACAACTTAGGTACACTTCGGTAATCCTATGCTTTACAATTGAGAGTTGTTTAATTTATTCTAGACAATTGTCATCCATGCATTCACTTGAAACTCTTCATTTGAGTAATACCAAACGAACGTTAAACAATGTTCCAGCTATACTTGAACAGTTACCTAATCTCTCTGGTATAAATCTTCTCTCGATGACATCAAGTCTTACGTTGACATTTATTTAGATCTTGATCTATCAGCAAATGATCTTCCGGCTGTCCCGGATGTTGTATATAAATTGAAAGCATTGAAACGATTGAATTTGAATGATAATCAAATCACAGAATTAACTGCTCAATCAGGTTGAATTAATCATTGTTGCTCGAGATCAATGCCAATCTCGTTTTCTTCTAGATGGATGGCCTCAACTTGAAATCTTACAAATATGCCGAAATAATTTGAAGAGTCTTCCACAACAATTGATGCGTTGCACAAAATTACGACGTCTTTATTTGAATAGTAATCAAATCAATCTACATGGTTTGCCGCGAGGAATCTTCAATCTCGAACAACTAGAAGTATTCAGCGCCGCAGATAATAATTTAGAAACAATTCCTGATGCATTATGTCGATTGGGAAGTTTGAAAGTCTTAAACTTGAATAAGAATAGATTATTAACATTACCGGAAGCGATTCATTTCCTACAATTAAAAGTAAGTCAGAAGGATTCGTTAAATGTTTATCTATCAGTCGATCTTTGTTTTGAAACTTTTGTGTGAACTTCATGCATGCGAAAATATGTGCTCATATGATCCTCGTTGTTCGAAATAGTCTAGACATGCGAAGGTCAATGAAAACCTTCTCAATCGAATTGAAACGAAAACATCTATTTCTTAACCTTTCACGCTCTTTCGTATCGAAGGTTAAAGATCTGCAGAATGGAAAGAAACTAAACGGAAGCGAATAAATAATAATCTTGGATTAAGACAAGCAAAGCAATTTTTTATACTTATCTCTAGGAACTTGATGTTGGTGAGAATCCGGATTTTGTTATGCCGCCTAAACCAAAAGAATGTCAAAAAGGTTCTGGTCCGGCGTTTTACAACATTGATTTTTCTCTTGCAAATCAATTAAAATTAGCTGGACAAGTTGCTCCTGAACAGTCACCTGCTAGTACGGATATTCAACAAAAGCGTGCAGCACGTATTCGCCGTTTAAATAAACCCGAACAGCGAAATCCAGCGGGCAGCGGTGGTTCATCCGAAACTGTTCTACGTGGTATGCGAGAGACAGCAAAACGTAAACATGCACTAGATTCAGGTTTGGGCAATAATGGTCATTATAATGATGATGAAGAAATAGCTGGACGCCGCTGGGATGAACAAATTGAACGACCACAATTGAACTATAGTGAATTTGTTGATGACACTGCCGGCCAATGCGCTGGTATAACCTGTTGGGAAATCGAAAACTTTCTTCCCAAACAATTAGAACGTCAATTAAATGGAACATTTTATACAGGAGATTGCTACATTGTCTTGTACGCTATGGTAGAATTATCAGGTAATATGGATTGGCAAATCTTCTTTTGGATTGGAAAAGATGCAACGGTAAGAATCAGATAGTTGTTATTGTTTGTCTTTAAACTCATGTATGATTGTTTAGTTGGACAAACAAGCATGCGCAGCAATGCATGCTGTGAATTTACGTAATATGCTTGGTGCGTCTTGTCGTACACAACGCGAAGAACAAGCCGATGAATCTGAAGAATTCTTAGCATTATTTAACAATCATCTACGAGTAATTGATGGTGCTAGAACAGAAACAGGATTTTGGGTTGTACGAGATGTTGTAAGTACTTGTGAATCAGTTCTTTTCATTCAAACGAAAATGCACTTCGCTTGTTAAGGAACATCCAATACGTTTTTATCGTGCCAGTGGCACTCAAAAACTTCATGTTGAACTTGTCCCTGCAAGTGCAACATCTCTTGATCCTCGCTACGTGTTCTTTCTTGATGTTGGACCTAAACTTTACATATGGATTGGCAAAAAATGTCATAGTATGACAAAAGCCAAAACAAGGTATGCTCGCTAACTGATCGAATTCGGATATTCACAATCTTTGCTCGTATTTTTAGATTATTTGTTGAAAAAGTGAACAAAAGTGAACGGAAGGGTTTGAGTGAACTAATTCAAATCAATCAAGGAGATGAAACAGACGCGTTCTGGAAAGAATTAGGTGGTAAACCAGCTAATTACCAACTAGTTAATCATGTACCAGATAATTTTGTCCCACCAAGATCTATTCTATATAAAGTTGATCTTGGACAAGAATTTATTGAGTTACCTCAAGGTAGAATTGCTTAGTTTTGCAAAAAAAGGAATATTTTATCGAGATTTTTCTTCTAGTTGAACTTGAACCGGGTGGTGCTTTGAAGAAAGAATTATTACATACACGAAACATTTACATACTTGATTGTTACACGGAATTATTCGTTTGGTATGTTGAATACATTTTGCTTCAGATAGAAAATTTGTCAATGACTCGTTTACATATATAGGATTGGTAAAAAATCAGCTCGACTTGTACGAATGGCTGCAACACGATTAGCAGTTGAATTATTGGCCATGATTAGACGACCAGAACATGCTGCAATCACAAAAACATTAGAAGGGTAAGACGATCGATTTGTTCAATACCAATTTTTATATTTCACTTTCGTTTAGAGTGGAAACCCAAGTATTTAAATCTAAATTTGATGCATGGGATGATGTCCTAGCAGTTGATTTCACTCGTACAGCTGAAAACGTTTCGAAGAAGGGTGCCGACATGAAGGTTTGTAGAGCATTATCGAATGAATGAATCTATTGATACTTTCTCTTTCTTTCTTTTCAGAAAATTCTTCAAGACAACGAAATCAAAACAAATCTCACCGCTCTGTTTAAAAACCGTCCACCATGGCAATCTCGTGCTGCAGCTCATGAAGCGCTTGAAGATTGGAATATATTTCTCCTTCAACCATTTTCCATGTTTGTTTACGAAAATAAAAAATTCGTCAAATTACCAGATGATGAACGAGGTTTGTAGAAATGTTCAATTCTCAAGAAGTTGATCTAGCGCTTCGGCTCTTTCTAGGACAATTCTATTCGCACGATTCTTATCTATTTGTTGCTCGTTATTTATTACCAAGCGAAGATGAAAACATGGATACAAGTGAACTTGAAGACGAAATCAAAGATTCCGATACCGAACGTATCGTTTATTTTTGGCAAGGAAGAAATGCAAACAATACAGCTTGGTTATCATTTAATTACACGTACGTTTTGTTTATTTGAATAAATAAAAAAGATTAGGGATATCGTTTACTTTTAGTTTCAAACAAGAACTAATCGATGTTCTGGGAGATTTTGAAATTGTTCAATTGATTCAACAACAAGAAAACCAACGATTTATGGCACATTTCAATCGAAAACTTATTATACATAATGGCAAACGTCGTACTGCAGCACAACGAGCACAGATACCGATACAACGACTGACTCAAACACAAATGTATCACATACGTTGGTGCTATTCGACAATCATGACACGTTGTATTCAAGTTGAAGCAACATCCGCTAATCTCTGTTCGGAATTTTGGTAATTTTACATGTTTGTGTCAAGAAAGATTTTGTAATTTGATGTTTAGTTACATTGTTACTGTTCCACTGGATTCAGGAGATATCATTGGAATTGTTTATGTGTGGATAGGCAATTCTGTTCATCCTGATGATGCACTATTAGCACAAGAAATTGCTAATGAAATGTATAATGTAAGTTGGTTGAATGAATGATCATTTTTGGATAATTTCGTCTATTAAATTAGGATTCGTATACAATTCAAGTGATCAATGAGGGGAATGAACCAGAAAACTTCTTCTGGGTTGGCCTAGGTGATCGTTTACCATATGATACAGTAAGTTGTACTAATTTCCGACCCATTTTTGTATCTGTACTGTACAATTCTAGTCTGCAGATTACATGCGTTACATGCGTTTATTCAAATGTTCGAATGAAAATGGATTTTTCGTTGTTACAGAAAAATATGCCGACTTTTGTCAAGTAAATTCACCTTGTCCGAAAGAATCAAAACCTTTGATTTTTGTTTAGGATGATCTACTTGATGATGATTGCATGTTACTCGATACTGGAACGTATGTTTTCCTATGGAAAGGACCAACTGCAAGTATCATCGAAGTTAAATTTGCAGCCAAAAGTGCCGAAGTAGGTTTAGATTCTCGACCACCTTAAACAAACATTGAGATAACAACTTTTTAGCTTTATATTCAACATTTACGCACACGTGAACCTGATCGTCCACGTAAATTACGTTTAACTGTGAAGAATTCTGAGCCTATTGAATTTCGTAAATGCTTCCACGCTTGGTCAAAACACAAGAATCCACCTCGTGAACTTGAAAAACAAAATGCTTATTCTATTGCTCAACAACAAAAGCAGCAGCCACAAGCAAAACAAGCACCAAAAAAGCCTCATGTATCAAACATTTTCGTCTAGCTTTTCTTCGTTTCTACTATCTCCAGAGAATCAAATTAGTTCTTTATTTTTTTTTAAAGTAGTCGACACATCCAGCAGATAATTCCCAGTTTCTTTTTTCTGTTCTCTAGTCACCTTGCTCCCCATTCTTTTTTTTACTATTTAATCATTTTTGGTTGTTTTTTTTTTATAAACCATTGTCTTCCTTAAACAAGCACATACGCAATTAGACACAAAAGAAATTGAATCAAAACATTTCGATATCTTTTAAATGAAGAACAACATTATTTATTTGTGTGTGTTTTTTAATGAATGATGTACTCGCTCTGATTGCAGATTTGACTTTGTTAATCACAAGAAAAAAACCATTGTTGCCTTACTATTCAGTTCATTTCTTTCGCCTTGATATTTCTCTTCTTTGTTTTCTCTTTTTTTTCTTTGCTTGATATGCATATGCTTTAATAATAATTAATAAAAAACAAACATTTCATGGTGCTTTACATTAGTTTTACTATTCCAGATATCGTTTGTTCAAATCGATTTGCCGCATTTCGCTAAAACCATGAGCAAAAATGGTGGTAACAATGTGGGAAAGAAGAGCAATGTAAAGGAAATTAAGTTTCATTTTCAAAAATCGGTTCAAGTAACTAAAGTATTCGTTCGAGAAAACCATCAATTAACAACGAATGAAACTATATTTACAATGATCGACACAGATCATCCGGGTATGGTGAAAACACATATCAAACGAGGAGAATTAGTCCATTGAAACATTCGTATTTTGCTTTGTGTAGAGAGTACGAAAGAACCGTTCTTGTCATCAGTCTTGGGAACCGTAACAAAAGTCTATATACATGAATATGACGTTCTTACTTATGGGTAAAGTTTTGTGAATGTTAGCGCGTGTTTTGTACAGTTTTGTTGGTGAATTTAGTTCGATCATTTTGGAATATGAAGAATGCCTACACTCGATTACATTCAAAAATCTCTGTTGTGATTGTGGTGCAGATTTGAATCAGTAAGAGATTGTTTTCTTTAGAAATAAGTGGATCGAATTGATCGTTTTAAAAGGTTGAAAGATAAGATGGAAATGATTTCATCGCGGAATTTAGATGCAGAGCCATTGATTGACGTGTCACTAACACAACCAAATGCAATGAGAGCAGCAACAACAGTGTCTATGGAACATACTGTGCCAGAATTACGAATAACACCAGAGGTTGAGTTTTTTGTTTCTAATGTGAAAGCTTTTCCTATTCGATGTCTCTTTAGATGGCTGAAAAATACAGTATTGAAGAACGTGACCGTCTTCTTCGTGAACGTAAACTTGAGTTACTTGTTGATTTGGATCAGACGCTACTTCATACAACGAATTCAAGCAATTATTATCCGTATTCACCTGTAAATTTCAATCTGTGACATTGTTTTTCCTCGAATCTCTCTATTATTACTTAGGATGTTGTTGGATATCAATTGAGTACCCAATCCTCGCAAAGATATTACACGAAATTGCGTCCCGGTGTGAAAGAATTTCTGACAAATCTTCTACCATATTATCAATTTCATATCGTTACTTTTGGTGAACGTGTCTATGCACATACAATGGCTAATCTGATTGATCCAAATAAAACCTTTTTCTATCATAGAATCCTGTCTCGAAACGAATGTTTTGATCCAACACGAAAAACGGAAAATTTAAGGTATTGATTTTGACTTTTCGATAATGATTCTATCATTTGCAATTCTAGCGCTTTATTTCCCTGCGGTGATTCGATGGTTTGCATCATTGATGATCGAGAAGATGTTTGGAATTATGCAAAGAATCTTGTTCACGTGAAACCGTATGTTTGGTTCAAAGATGTTGGTGATATCAATGATGGTCATTTGCCATCACCACCAATTCCAAATGAGCAATTAATTCCGCCGATTAGTGAGAAGGAATTTGAAGAACAGTTAGAACATAGTGAACAGATTGCTGAAGAACGTATGGAAATGACGAGTATTGCATTGCTTGAACGAACTACTGAAGAAGGTCAACAACATGCATTGCATCGAGGTGAGAAAAGAAAATTCGATAATGATGATGATACGAACAACGGAACAAGTAAAAATGTGGAAAATGATGAGTCAACTAAGAAATTAAAAGACCAAGATGATAATTACCCGAATGAGTAAGTTTTCTGTATACTACTCCCAATATTTCAAATCACTGAATGTTGAATTTAGCCAAACCAATTCTACAACATCGTCAGCAACCGCTGATCTCACTGTTGTCGTCGACACTGACAATTATCTCCGTCAATTAGAAATTATTCTCAAGAATATTCATAACAGATTCTATACTGCCTATGATCAATGGACGCAAGATAAGACACGTGCTATGCCTGATGTGAAACAAATTCTTCCTGACATTCGTCGACAAGTACTCAAAGATGTATCTGTTTGTTTTTCGCATTTGATGCCTCAAGGTTACCCATTGGAAAAGCATCGTGCTACAATTCTCGCACGTGCACTAGGTGCAACTGTGACGCCAGATCTACAAATTGATGATAATGGCAGATGTATAAGCACACATGTGATTGCCGGTAAACGAACGACGAAAGTTGAACGAGCAGTTAAATATAATATCCATGTTGTGACACCGGAATGGCTCATTGACTGTTATGAACAATGGGAAAGAAAACCGGAGGAAAACTTCGTACTACATCCGAATTATGACGTCAGAAAATCAAGATTATTTTCAAGGGATACGCCAAGAATAGGTAAACATGGAAAAATCGAACAAATCAAAGAATAAATAAGTTTATTTCATAGCATACAATGAATTCAATGCAGCAAATGATCGACCAGTTTCCATTAAACAAAAGGTAACATCATGTCCGATTTCCATATCAAATTGATTTCAATATTTTTCAGCCTGAAACTACTTCCGGAGATGAACGGACATCAAGTTCAACTACGAATAAACCATCTCGGTCATCGTTGAAACGGCCTCGCACTCCTGAACTCCCGTCAACATCTGACCTACCCAGTGATGTGATCGATGAAGAAGAACAAGGGACAACGAGGGATTATAATTTTAGCATGAGTGTCGATGAACTGTCTGATATGGAAAAAGAGGTGAACGATTTCTGTGGTGACGATGACGACGACGACGACGATGATGATAGTGACGATGAAAACAATCTTCAAACCCGACCAACAAAACAGCAACGAACTACTTCGTCTACGGCGATTACCACAGCAGCAACAACGACAACATCGGCAGTTGATGAAGACAACGACGACGAAGATGAATATGATTCGGATTCGTCCAGTAGTCAAAAGCTACGCGCTCTCATCTTAGGTAAAAAGTCGGATGTGGATGTCGATGAAGATAATTTCGGTGATGATGATATGCCTCGTGGTTGGAAACCGGAGAAAAAAGCGAAAAAAGAACATTCATAGCTAATTGGCGATAATTAATTCTCTTCATTACAGTTCCATGTGTTTGTATAATGTAAACGTGTGATCATGCAAAGATTTTTCTTCTTTCATTCTTGTTATTACTATATTTTTGCGATCAATCTCATTCAGGCAAAGTTAACATAAAAAAGTGGTAGAAAAAGGGAAAAAAAAAGATTCATTGATATCTATTTTGTAACAAAGGCAACGAAGGTGGACCAAATAATTGCACAAATATTTGCATAAAGTACACTAGAACATACGATTTAGTTGGAAATGACATCAATAAAAACATACCGATGATGAACAGGAATGAAATAAAAATTTGTTAACTGGATCAAAGGCCAGACGGCATAATTAGCTTTCATCACGGTTGGGAAATCCTATGAAGTAGTATCGATAGAATCTCTGAACGAAAAATGTTTCTACTTACTAGAAGAAATCGAAGTTTGACTTCGTCGAAAGATTTTCCACTAACTAAAGGAAGATAGGCGATCATCGCTGCATTGAGTAAAGGTGCAGCGATAGTCTAAAAAGACAAAATCTTTTGAGACGAATTTCCATCGAAAACATAATCATACTTGATCAGCAAACATCATTTTGATTGGTTTTAATCTTGTATTTGAAAAGACTTTTTCCAAAGCATAATACCAATAACGAACAAATGGACCCTAATAGATAAAACAAAACAGTTCGATGAACAAATCAGAAAGAACATCTAATAACCGAAAACACGTAACCAAATGCTGCAAAGCGAAAAATTCGAATCCAATCCAAATCCAATAATCCTCTTTGTTCAATAATTGTTTGAGATATAATACTACCTAAACCCATGGTTGTTCCTAAACAAATCACCATCGACATTCATATTTCAACGAAGAAAAACATACTAACCTGTTGTTAATGCCATTGACAGTAATGGATAATGTAGAACAAAGTTATTGTATTTTCTCAATGTTGAAGCGAACACTAAAAGAAAGATGTTTACACCAATAAAAAACTGCCTATTTCAATCGAAGTCACTCTTTACTCGAGACAAGAATTCGTAAAGTTAATTTCAGTTTGGCATAAATATCTCCAAACAATGTGGAGAAGGCCATGAAGACTTGCACGGTAAACATGATGACTTTGTCTTGTATTGAACAACTTCGAAATGATAGGAAAAAAATCTGTACACAAAAGATAAATGTTCAAGTGTGTTTGTTTGGCAACTTATATATCTATAACAGTCATTCTCTATCGAAATGTTTTGCTTCTTTTTCTTCTCTACCGTTCTTGCTTCGAATCACAATCGAGTAGAACGAAAGAAAGAGATAAATTATATCGAACAATGTATGCTGATCAGCAGTTCACACTCGTATCACATTGGACTTATGACCTTTCGTAGAATTTCTTCGCTGATTGAACGACATCGACATGTTTATGCTTGATTAAATAATTTTATTTAAAAAAAACATACAAAATCATTTCGTTACAAACGCTAGAAATGTTGACCAAACTAATGAACAGATATTCACAAATAATACCCTAAACGAAAGCTCTAAATAGACACAGTTATTGGATAATTCTTTCGGTTTACCGATGTTGTATTGGGATGAAATAGAAGTTCGTTAATTGGATCGCCGGCCATGCTAAGTAATTTGCTTTCATTACAGTTGGAAAATCCTGCGGTAATATGACAAGATATACTCGAAATAAAGACCAAGAAATTTACTTCATGAAAACGTTTTTTGGCTTCAATCATCGATTTTCCACTTGACAACGGAAGATAAAGAAGAATTACACTATTCAGCAATGGTGCAGCAATGATCTATAATTAAAATGAATCGATTTGTCATTTCTTTCAGAAAAAATTCAATCAAACCTGATCAGTAATCATCATTTTCACCGGTTTTAATTTAGCACCAGCGAAATATTTATCTAATCCATAATACCAATATCGAAGAAAAGGTCCCTAATCAAATTAAATATATAAAACAAGTTTAGATAGAAATTCTAGTTCACAAACTGAGAATAAGTAACCAAAAGCAGCAAAACGAGATACACGCGCCCAATCAATGGTTTTCAAAGTTCGTTTCTCTATAGCTGTTTGTGAAATCACATTTCCCAATCCCATCGTTGTTCCTAATCAACAAATTAACAATCCAGGATATTTCATGATAAAACTTCGTCTACCTGTCGTTAAACTCATTGCTATGAGTGGATAACGCAAAACAAATTTATTATAACTTTTCAAAATCGCAGCCATCTGTGAAGAAAATTTTCATCAGTTATTTTACTAGAAAATCAAACAAACAAATGGGAACAGATTTATTCGAGAAAAAGAACAATTTTGTCTAAATAAGTTGGATAAACGATGTCCATCAGTGACTAGGTAACATAAACGATAAGATACTTCTATTTACAAAACACTCACACATACACATATAGAAAGTGCAAAGAAAACGAATGTTTGGAATGAAGAAAAACATATTGCACATCAATAAAACACTAATGGAATGAGTATTTGATCTGTTAAGATGTCGACACGGAAATACGAGCCCGATCTTGCTCATCAAGATATTGACCTAATTGTGCACGTTTCCTTCGACTTAAATGAGACATCATTGAGACTAATGCCATTCGTTGCTTTGCCGTATACATCTAGAAGAAAGCAGATGGTCGTAGATGTGGAAAAGACACCATTCAAGATTTCCATACCGTATTCTCAATAATCCATTGATCTATTAAATGTTCAGGTAAATAATACGCTTTGATATAGTTTTCAACAAATTCTTTATGTGGCAGCGGTCTCAAAAAAGAATGTTTATTTACACTAGGATCGATTTATCATAAAACTTCTTACTTTATATCTTCAATGATGCGTTCCAATCGTCGAAGTAATTGTTGAAAATCTAATTGCATCAACGCTCGACCTTCGTTACTACATTGTTTTACATTCGCATAACTAGAACATCGCCACTTGTACGAACATGATTTCGTTTTACTTACAATCTTACCCTTCGACCATAGTATAAAAAACTTTCTCTAAAATCTGATCCCACAATGTTCGGTAAACAGCTTTCGGTATCGGTAAAACGTGATCATTGATATGATCGAGACGATTTCGAAATGTTTGTAATTGACTGGCCAGTTCATCAACATAAACGTTATGCTGAGTTAGAATATCTTTGATATTCCAATTGACTTTACTGATCATCAATGCAATGGACATGTAGTCGAGAATATTCGCGGAAACGTTATGATAAATCGGAATACGTAATTCGTGTGTGACTTGAACAGTTTGAGAATAGAATTGGGTGAGAAATGTGTGACGTTCAGGTGGGATCATTAGTTTCAAATATGGAAGAAGAAAATCGAACTGTTCAGCAAGGAATACCAATGATTCAGCAGCGACAACGCGTTGTGGAAAACCATAAAGTATACTTGATGAATGGTTAATATCGACTAACGGAGATAGGTGAGCGGCGAGAATCTTTTCCTAGTAATTCATAAAAGAAAGTGGAATTAGAATTTTTTATGCGTAATTCGATGTCTCAATTAAGCTATTAGTCAATTCAATGAAGAAATCAACTCACGAATAGTTTACTAAAACTTCAAAATGATTTATCTGCACTCTGTGTGGAAAAAAAGCTATACGTACATTCGATGCAGCTTCAGAATCATTCTATGAAAACAAAACAATAATGAGCTTTTCTCTTGGTAGACAGCGATTGCTTACGTGTGCAATTAAATTATCACTAATTCGCTTTATGGTAAATTGTAATCCACTGCTCAATGCATCGATTGGAACTTCGTTCTAAAAAATATCGATCGGATTGATTCATTGTTATCGTAGAACGAAAGTTGGTTACCATATCACAAGCAAATAATGAATAAACTGTATACAGATAATAATCAAACAGTTGTGTCATACAAAGGACGACATCGAAGGCAATTGGTTTCAACATTTCAATCATTTCCATGTATCGACCTTCGGTTGGAAAACAAATGAATAAATAGTAAGAAGACAGTCGTTTGCCTTACCGAATAATCTAGTCACATTGAGAGTTGTATTCGTTACAATTGTTGATCCATTCTTTTCGTCGTGGTATTGCGATCGTGCTCGATGTGTTAAACGTCCTCCATGTTCATGGTCACTATTAGAACCCGATGATGAATTCGAATGCGTGCGAATTCTTCCCTCCTAAAAAAATCAACAAAAATCCCTCCTTGTCTGCAGAGAAAAACACGTTTGAACAAACATTATAGGAATTCCCATTGGTCATATCTCGTTCATTGTCATCATCAGCAGAATTTGCACTGTATTCCGATGGTGAAGATGATAATGTTGTTCGAGTTTGATCAAGATCAAATGGATGTTCACGATCTGTGTATAAGTATCGATCAAATAAATCTAAATCTGCCTTCCGATTGAATGATGTGGACGTCGTTAACTCCGATGCCACCGACGACGTTTCACGAAGAAATCGAAATTCCTAAACATTCATTTGATGATTTCGAATCAAATCTAATTGTCACACACCTGAAATTGAGTAATGTGAAATGTTGATTTCACTGGACATTGTTGCCACATTTCATTTTCCAAAAACATTTTCAATTCATCCAAGCGTCTATTATGATATGAGCGAAAATAGACAACACTCTGTCGACGTACGGCTTCCTGAAGGATATTCGAATCGCTTTGACAAAATTGTTCGCCGATTTCCATCAATCTATAAAAATTGCGTTTGAATCGTTTAGTAATAAGTGATCCGCCTTACCGATTCGTCATTTTCAACACTTGCAAAAACGCTTCGAATTCAAAATGTGTCATATTGCTTTCGAGAAGATATGTTTTCATTTTCTGTTGAATCTCGTGCCATAAACGACCAGAACCACTTTCAAGTTTTTGAAGAAGAAAGTCTTGGCTTGGTTCAGACGTATCACTATTTGTTTCTAAATAGGATTCGGACGAAGACGAGACTTATTTCACAAGAGAAACAAGAAAGTTACCATTATTTTCGATGGATGGAGGATTTTTCTCATGCCAGAGCCAAACTAGTTTATACGCTTTAATTATTTGCCAAAAGCACACATTCAGATCGTGTAAACAACTTGAAAATAACTCTTGTGGAACCACCTAGAAGCAATCAAGTTGTAAGAATACCTTTCACTCGATTACCATTATTCTTTACCTTGCACAGATCCGCATAGGATGAAATATTTTGTTCGTTTCTGCCCGTTCCTACTGTTTTAACTAAAATCTCTAATGTACGTGTTTGGACAACATTGAGAAAATGCATTTGCAGTTGTTCCATGGATCCTGATGATTTTCCTAATAATCGATATGCATTCAATAAACTTTGATAAGTGTGTGGATTAAAATGGGAGCAAAGTTTAGCTAAAGTAACATCGATAGACTCTTCAATGAAATCCAATGTATCTTGCAGTTTCGACGAAAGATCTCTGCAAAGAAAGAACGGGAATTATTCTTTAAGTAAGAGGAGATTCGGTTACCTGATACACTGATATTCTTTGTAATGGTGGACAATATTTCCGCATTGGGAGTACAATTGAATGGCGCCAACAAAATTTTCATGCTGAGTAAGAGAAGTTTGGAAATCGTCTTTTAATTGATATAGACAGAACTTACTTTAACCATTTCTTTCAATCGTTGATCGATACTATGCTAAAAAAAAGATCATCAATTGATGTGTGTTCATGAAAACAAGGGAAATACAAACTAGTTTTTTTAATTTTTCGATATTGTGCAGAACATGAATCCATTGTTGTTTGCGCATTTCATTTCGAATTAATGTTAAATTCCGTGTTGTAATCTGATATTGCGCTCGACGAAGATTCCTAATAAAACAAAATCGATCTCTCCTTTCACCACACCGCTCTAATTACCTTCGAGCATGGTAACATGTTTCAATCGAATCTTGCAATGCACTTGTTAAGACAGTTACACGCTGTAGTTCAGTGGTATACGCTGAACTATTTTCAAGAACTAATTTCGATACACGCTTCGATACCTGTTAATGTAAATAAGAGAAAATGTGAAATGAGAATGCGATGAAAGAATTCTACGAACAGCGAGCAATTGAGCTTTCAAACGATCACGTCGATTTAAGACATCGGCAAGATCAAGAAATGGATTGTCTTTCATTGTCGACAGTAATTTCTGAAGAGAAACATATTCAACATCAACAAGAACTCGAACATATCCGTACTTGAAGTTCATATTCTTTCGGATCAAAATTATCTTCGTTATAATACACATCTTCAATGGTATTCAATGTTTCACGGTCGGCTTTTTCGCTAACACTAACAAACCCATGATCCTACAAAGGAAACATCCAAGTTCGATAGGAAGAGATTTAAAATGACATATCCGCTCACTTTCAGTGAATCAAACATGATTTAATTGACTATTGTGCATACTCAAATAAAAGCAAATACTAGAAGAAGAAAAAACAATCATGTAACAAAATGCAATCTAAAATAAAAGAACACAGTTTTTCTTTCTTTTCATCGATGAAAACTCATATTCAGAAAGATGTCTCGAACAAACGCGGATTTTGATTCCATCTAACAAAATTCATCTTTCGCTGTCCGATGTACATGGATACATGAGAATTACTCGTTTATTTTCTTCCTTTTCTTCACCCTACGTTATCTTTGATACAACAAAGATTGTATTTCTCGTGTAATTTTATCGACTAACTGAAAACAAATTTATCTTTTCTCGCTTAGAATTACTTGGTAGAGGATTCATATCACGTGAACCTATAGAGATCGTTTAAAAGTAGCCATTAATCCTACCCTTCACTTTATAATTCTCGCATATTATCTGTCGAAGCTAATCAGAGTCAATCTGCAAAAAGGCGTTGTAAAATTTCTGATTCTCGCATAACAAAGTTTTGAATAGTTGATAAAGAACAGATATTCAAATATTTATCTTGGATAAGATATAAAGACAACATTGAAATGATTAAAAATATAACAAATTTAACAAGAATTGATAGAAAAACAAAAGTATTTGATGGAATAATACTGATTATAGTCAGGAGATCCAGCTGCTAACGATGATTATCTGAACAAAAAAGTTCGAATCTCAGTCATTTAACAAATTGATATCATATAACTAATGTATACTCAAATCTTATCAACGATGATATTTTTCTCGTCGTGACTAACCTAATAATATATTGACAGATATTCAGCCATTTTGCCACATTCTATCTCTTCGTTTGAAATGGATTTTGTCGTTTCTGATTCCTATTGGTTAACAGAATAGCCAATCAAAATCAATTGTAGGATTTCAATTTGAACGCTACTTGCAATTTTCTTCAAAATCTGTTTCATAACAATTGATTCACAAAATCATTTTGTACAAATTCAGTATCGTGACAGACTTTTTAATTAATATTCTAAAAAACACCTAATCACGTTTTATGATTGTTTAGATCAATGGCGTACTTCGTATCTGCATATTTTTCTTCAGACATTGATATAAAAAAAAACTAATTGAGTGTGTTACCAAATCTGTTCGATCTGACTCAGCAGTTTTCATGCGGCCAATATGTTACAAATGTGAATTCGGTCTCCAATTGCGACGTTTAATGTATAGTAGAATTTATATGATGGCTGTTTGAAACATTTCTATGTTAAGGTTAGCCAGTTCTCGAAATTTAACCACGCAAATGTCATGTTTTTCAACAATGATATTCATAACGATTGATTCTGTAAATTCTTTTAACTCTAGTCGAGGCATTTTATATGTAAATAACATTCGAATCCCTAAAGTTTCGAGAAAAGAAGTGAAACATTCACAACACATCCAACGAGCGAAATGAACATGATAAACGTGAATGTGATACACGATCTAGTTAAACTATTCAATTTAGTAACAGAAACCTTCCGAATGGAGCTTTGTTTCATTTGAAAATTGAAACTAATTGATTCTCTCTGTAAAAGAAAGCGAACATTAGAATTTTTATCGTTACTTTTCTAGATTGAATCTCATCATTTACTGTTTCATTCAATATGGACATACAATCAGACACAACAACAATAATCGATGACGAGAATTTAGCACTACTCAACTCTGACAATGGTTCACATGTTTCTATTAGATCAGGATGTATGTATCTCACCTATCCGTGTTCGTCAGTTAACTAGTAACACTTTATTTTAGCACAAATGTCATGGATCATGGCTGCTGGTCTTATTGTCAATGCAGCAATGGGTGTAAGTTATCTGTTAAACAAGTGATAATCTCTTGACTTCTAAATGACATTGAGAATTAGTAACAGTTTGATCTTGGTTGCATGATTATTTAGGCTGGTTTGCTCAATATTGCAAAAGCATATGATGATGCAGGTGGAATACTCGTCAGTTCTGTTCTACATGGAGTAGGTTTTACTTGCACGTCTCTACTAATTGGTGTCTATTTCGAAGTAGATAGTTGTTTTGTTAGTTCTTGGTGCTTACGCTATTCTATTCGTATGTTGTGATCCATCTACTCCATCCTATGAAACATTTGTTCTAATGAAATGCGGTAAAATTTGGCAACGAATCTGTTCTGTTTGCATCATATTATACATGTAAGGACTATCTTCTAAAACGAAGCGTTTAGGTTCTAAACAAAAATCATGTTTAGGTATGGCCTGAGTATAACTTTCTTTATTATCATTGGAGATCAATTAGATCGATGTATGTGAGCAGACGAAATGTCTTTCACATGATTAAATTCTTTGATTTAGTTCTGTCGTTTATTGATCCACTATTTTGTCGGCATTGGTATTTTGATCGTCGATTAACAATACCATTAACATCATTATTATTCATATTCCCATTTTGTTTTTCAAAAACAATTAAATTTCTTCAAATTCCAAGGTAATCAAAACATATAGAGCCTATTCACGAGGAAAATCGTCTTATTTCTAGTATGTTAGGTGTATTGGCCATTATTTATGTTGTTATTATTGTACCTATTGAATATGTTCAAAGAAAATCTTCTGATGTTATTGTTAAAACAGGGTAAACCGAAAAATAGGAAAAGTTCAATCAGGAATCTATCTCATTGAATTGTCTCGTTTCAGACCTGATTCATGGACTGATGTTTTTCTCGTTTTACCAACAATGTGTTTCAGTTATCAAGTACACTTGTATATCCTCTGTTTTCCTTACTTAACTTATTATTCCTAGGCACATGTCAACGCTGTTCCTGTCTTCGTTTCCTTGAAATCTCGTGCTGATTGTATTAAAGCAACATTATTGTCGACAATTGTTCTCATACTTAGTTACTGTTTAGTCGCTATTTATGGCTATTTGACATTTGGTATTAAAGTTGATCATGATATTCTCATGTCATACCATCCTATATCTGCAATTGTACTTATTGCTATTATCATGGTTGCAATTAAAACCTATACGGCTTATCCGGTGAATTTATTTTGCGGAAGGTAAGACACATGTCTTTGAAAATGAATTTTTCTACGCTGAAAATTTTTAGAACGGCAATTGATTCTTTGTCCAATGAAACAACAGCATCAATTATTGCCACAGATGTAGAACACTCGACGAAACGTCGAATTTTAATTGTTTGTCTTTGGTATTTCTCAACATTGACTGCAGCAGTCTTCTTACCGAATATTTCTGTCGCGATTCATTATCTGGGCGCATTAGCAGCTAGTTTCATTTTCATATTTCCAGGTTAATGATCAAACACTTTTAGCAAACATGCCAATTTGATTGATATCTTCATGTTTTAGGTCTTTGTCTATACTTTCACGTTGAGCAAAATTGGATAAATTCATGGGAGAACATCATTTCGATCTCCATTGGAATACTGTATGTCGCCATCGGAGTGTTTGTTACTGTGTTAACATTATTACAATCATTAATGGCAGATATTAGTGGCGAAGAGCGAAGCACAAGTCGAACATGTTGATAATCTCTACTTTGTTCATCAATCTTTAATAAAATCTCTATATTTAGATCTGTCTCTGTTTGATTTCTTTGATTTACTCGTATTTTAATGCGTATTGTAATTAGGAAAGAATGTCGGAAGTTATTTTCGGTCTAATGCGAAGAGTTAGTGAACGTGTAACACGAAGATTTCAGTTTAGCAGTAAGCGAGAAAGTATGAGAGAAAAGAAAGATTATCAGGTTACATGCAGAAAACGTTCTGTGAATTCTCGTCTGAGCAATCAAATAGAAAAGGATGGTCTGAACAGATAAATTTATTCTAAAACAATTAGAAAGCTTCTTTTCTTTTCTACTGCGTTGGCGGATGTGTTAATAAATCATCTGTTAACTTCCCTTTGTTATCAAATGAGTTCTTTTGTTGAAAAAAAAATGCTTATATTATATATTGATAGACGAGAATTCAAAGATAACAATACGATTTTGATTTTTAATGAAGAAAATTCGTTAATAAGAAGATAAAAAAATTAATTGATTATTTACGAAAAAAATGTCTGGATTTGGATCGTTGACTACTGGTTGGTCGAGTTGATTTGTGTTGATCTGCATGTCCTGAACTTTCTGAACAAGTCGTATAGATTGTCGAACGTGTCAAATTCGATGTTGTTGTCGTCGATGACGATGACGTTATTGGATTGTATGAAAATGTTGATTTAGTTTTCTTTTTTGAACGTTTATTTGTTTTATTTTCTGAAGGCTGATTGGAGGCATTGGACGAGCCAGTTAATGAATGTTTTTTTCGTCGAAATAGTAAACGTTTTTTCGGAGTTCGGCTCGGTTTAATCACTGGCAGTCGAAGGTCATGTTCATCATTTATATACGGAAAATGATTCGATTGTTGATCATTCAAATCACATAGAGAAAATCTACCCTGACGTTGTGTTTGATTACTATTGTTATTATTATTATTATGCATATTTGATGCTCGAATGCTAAGCATTGAATCTGAACGTTTATAAAACGGATGAAGATGATATTGTGATTGGATTGAAACGTCGGAAAACTTTTTTTGTAGCGGATGCATGCATTCACTGCTCATGCCTTGATCTGTCTGAGAGATAAATCGACTATTTGGTCGGTGATATTCCCACGAATTGGTCTGGGTCATCTAAAATAGAATTAGAAAGATAGGTGCGTGAGAAAAAATCATTTTTATCATCTATTTTTCCTGATGATTTCCTTCCTTCCTCTTTTTGAAATTTGTAAGTAATTAGACGTCGAGAAAGTTTTCGAAAACGATTTGCCTTTCACTCATTGAAATACATACATCAAGTTGTTGTAAATTGTGTGAACTATGCGCTGGCGTTCTCATGTAGGAATTTGTTCGACGAAGTGATTGGTGACTTGATGTGCGTAGCATCATATTTCGAGGACCGCGAGCGCGGAAGCAAACACGTGCTAATTCTCGACGGAATTTGCGATTACAGTATGTGAAAATAAAGAAGTTCACCTTAAAAAAAAAAGAGGTCCCGAGTCATCACAACATATTAATCTTCTTATAGATCTTACGGCACTATTTACAAGGATTAGAAAATTGGAAATGTCATAACAAATGTAAAGGATTGGATGATTTCGATAAAACATATAAATATAGTGGAGAATGGAGGCAGGTACTTGACATAATGTAAATAGTCCGATCAGACAAATTACTGAACGTGTGATTGTTCCTTCACGATAGCGTGGAGTATGTGTTTCACGTCCTATGCGCGTCGTTTGAACATACAGCGATGTAAAACGTTTCAGGAAATTCGAACTAGCATTGATACTTCGAATGAGTTCGACATTGAAGTAAGATAACATCAATAATGGTAAAATACTTTGGAAAAGACTGTAGAGAACTAAGGACGAAAGAAACGAATCGATAGAGAGATTATGAAGAACTTGTATTTGCTTACGAAGATGTACAATATATTGATAAGTGCGATTTTCCAAAACTTTATTGGTAATGACTAAATGTTCAATATCTTCCGTGACATTCTCGAGAAGAATTAATTTTTCACGTTGTACTTCTGTTTTATATTCGAAGAATCGCGGTAATGAATAAATTAAACCGAGACAATAAATAGTTAAAACAATATAACTAAAGCAATAAACTTCTATTTATAGAAAACATCGAAGCTAATTCCTACCATGCTCGTTTAGAGCTATAAGTGTAATGTAACATGGGCCATTTTATAGCAAACCATCGATCAACAGCGAAACCAATTGTAACCCAAACACTTGTAAATTGAAACCATATGATACAAGCGTAGACGTAAGGGAATAGATATTTATGTAAATGTGACGAGTAGAACAGTTCGCTTTGCTTTTCGGGAGGAATCGACGAGTTAATTGCGATCACAAGGCCCAGTGATAATAGACAACTGTCACTTATACTTAAACCTGCGAGATACGTCGCTACAGCACTGCGCTAGAATGATCAAAACAAGAATCAATCAAGTTTATCTTCATCTTCTGATAGATTTACCATCTGTCGGCGCGTGAAAATGTAAACAGAACATAAGGCTAATACGAGTCCGATTGAACAAATTGCCGTTCCTAGAAGATCATTTTCATCATGTTTTCTGTTTTTTTGCTCGACAAGTTTGCTTACCAACATAACCAAACAGATAATGTGTAAATAACATCAACCACATTTTGCTCAACTACAGATTAGACAAGTTAACTAAGAATAACAAAATGCAAATATTTTTAGCAGATAGAAAGACATATGGCTAATGTCAACTTCAATCGACTATCTCTTCCGTTTGTTATTTTACAAAAGAGAGAAAAACGATAATACTTACTTTTTTTTTCGATAAAATAAAACATGGAGATCTCCCTCGCTCCCTTCTTTTTCTCGTCTAACATTATATAAGCTAATAACCGACTTTTCTTCTCTGTATGTCTCTTTTTCCATTCTTCTTCTTCTTCTTTAGCTTGTTTTCTTTCGAGAAATGATTGTCTCTCTGTTTCTTTCCTTTCGCTTTTTTCATAAATATTGTTTACGAGACTACAATCCTCACATATAATCAATAGAGCATGCAAAGAAATGTAACATTAAGACAAAATTCAACATGTTAAATATACCAAATAGACTGTTGAAATCGGCGTAAATATACGTTGTACTGGTTTTGTAAATCAGTACTTCGTGAGTTATATTATTAACTGTTGTCTATCGTTTCATGTTACACTCGCAAAGTCGACAGAAGAAAAGAAAATGAATATAAACTAGTTGGTTTTCTTCACTACTAATAATTAGGAGAATAGGAATGAATAAAGCATTTTGCAATGACAATCATTAGCATAGGAAAAAAATGAGGAGGAGAGACTTGTTATCCCTGTGTAATACCGCTGTTATAATCTAAATATGTAAGAAGACACGCGATGCATTTTGAAAAATGATCTACCTTATAATTATTAAGATCGTATCTAGTTGACATCGTGATAGCTAATAAAGCGAAATAAAATATGAGGAATAATAGCAGAACATAAGGATGATAACGAGAAGGGCTTAGCTCTTCACAGACATCATGACAACTCCTAGCAGTCGAAGTACGGAAGAAAAAAAAGAAGATTCGGTCCTTGGGATCAACCGACTTTCGTACGGATTTTGATCTAGATTCTTAGACGAAGAGACTCACTAAACTCGTATTTTAAATATGTATAAATATTGATATGACAAATCTCCATTGAGCCTTGATCGTAGGAAAATCATAGTAAAATATATAAAATACGAGGAAAAGAATTAAACGTACCCAGGAAGGAAGAAAACGGATGTAGAGAAAGAAAATGAGGCGAGAAATCGTCTTTTAGAACTAATTGAGCCTACTAACATATATTTCGAAAATATTAATCTGAAGGCACGATATTCAAATAGCACCCGACATCGACTGGTGACCTTTCAGAGAAATCGTCACTTCGGTTTTCCTCTTCGTTCCTCTTTCTTCAAAGAAATCGTATTATAATTATACATCTAAAATGACCCTACAAATAATAGAGATTAGTTGTTTTCTTTCCGAATGACATGATGAGAAGAAATCAACATGACACTTTCTGTCTAATGTGCATTAATAAGTTGAGAAAGTGTATCTGTCAGGAGATTTAGCAGTACATGATATTCAGATAATGAGTACATTAGGATTGAGAGAGAGAACAGACCTCGAACAGTTGATGTTCATGATATTCACAAGATTCAATCAGATCGTAGGTATTTGAAGTTCTGAACGATCATTTTAATAACAGAAAGATGTCGAATACACAATGCAAATGATGGGAATGACATATGTAAAATACAATATCAATATGTATGGAGTAAACAAATCATATGATGATTAGCTTGCGATATTTGTATCCAAAAATGACTTGAGTGAGATCCTTGTCGTATGACAGGTTTGTTCTTCGAGGAGAATAGGGAGGGTAACCAACGATCATTCGTCAGTTCGTTAAAAAATGACAACTTAATGGATATTAATATGATTTCTCCAGGTATTCTAAAATGATAAGCAATGGAACAAGATAAATCACTGGTGATAAGAAATAACAACTCTTTGAACTTTTAGATTAAAAGAAAGAAGGCGAAATGATGATTGAAGTATATCTTCAAATGACATGCTCGTATACAAATGACTTGATTCGAAGTGTTCTCGAAGAAGAAAATGATTTGTTTCGCATTAATAATTCATCAACGTCAAATGACGACAATGTACTCTATTGGTTGGAATATGAAGAACTCGATTTTGATATGATTTATCGAGCTGCAAAAGATTCCAATAGGAAAATTTTCGTTAATTCATATTGTATACGTAAGGGTCTCTTACGTAAAGCTAACTTTGCATTATTCGTCCAAAAATATCTTTCTAAAGTAATTCGAATTCGTTTTTTCTTTCTTACACTACATTGTTTTTTGTTAGAAACCTGACTCAATCTTACGTCGTCATTATCCGGAGACTCACATCCTCGACTTGTCACATCCGGACTATCTCGACGAAGCGCTCAATGAAGCTTACGAATTACGCGATGTACTTCAAGCCAATGTCGAAGAAACAACAGATAAACCGATTCCGTTTATTCTCAAAGCTTCGATTTTAGATAAAGCTAGTGAATTATTCATCTTTCATACTCAAGCTGAATTAGAAGATTTCTTCACTACGAAATTCGATGACGACGATGAGGATGAAGACGAGGAGAACAACATAAGCATGGTTCGCGAATGGGTTGTTCAACGATACATAACAAATCCTAAACTTCTTTCAGTCTATCAGAATCGTAAATTTCATTTACGTGTTTACGTTGTTGCTGAAAAGAATCTTCGTGTTTATGTCTATGATGGTATATTAGCATTATTTGCGTCTTTATCCTATCAGAATGATCAGCAATCGTTCAATCGTCTTTGTCATATTACAAATACGTGTGCTCAAATCGATTCGCCATTGGATGAGGAAGATTTAGTGAAAGAATTCTTTACATTAGAAGGACTTGATGACGAGATTCGTTCGAATATATTCGAACAAATTAAAACTATCGTCAAAGAAATCTTTACTGGTCTGCATAGCGAAACGCCAATTTTTCAGCCATTGAAAAATGCCTTCGAAATCTATGGATTTGATTTTCTTATCGATGAGAATAATCAAGTTTATTTTCTCGAAGCAAATGCGTATCCTGATTTTAAGCAAACAGGCAATTCATTAAGTATTCTAATAAGAGAATTATTTCAAAATGTTGTTCAACAAATCATCTTACCATATTTTGGTCATGAACAAACGAACAAGGACCTTCAACGACGATTACATCTTGTTTATGATAAACAAAGGACAATTTAGAGGATGACACAACTGGCGGGCTTTTTCTTCTCCAGTTTCGACTGATTATGATTTTTTGTTAAAGTGTTTTTTGTAGGCACGTTTGTTTTGGTTTTAGGAGGATCTGGAAAGAAAAAGTAAAAGATTTAAGAGATGAATTGAAATTGCAGTTAAATTTGAAAGTTAAAGTACTGCGAAGTACCTTCGAAATCATGACTTGATCACGACTGACCTTTGACTGGCGGTGGTAGTCGTTTGACATTGTTGATGAACTTTTTCGGAACAATTAAATTATTTTGTTTTGATGGAGTTGGTGAGACAATCTTCTTCGGCGTGGATTTTTTGAGTAAATCAGGTGACGGAATTTGAATCAGTGATTCATTAGTGATTTTCGAAGATGGATTCGAAGATTTAACCGATAGAACAGATGGAGATGGCATACCCTACAATTGAAAGTAAACTTTTTCTTTTGCGTACCACAGATGAAAACCGCATTATGATATATATGAAAGCTCGGCAGAAATATCTCATATCATCAACATACTTGTGATATAGTCGATGGCGATGATGATTGTTTCTCTTCTATATGAATAATTTTTGGTATGGGAGATGCTAATTTCTTAGTAGGTGTGTCTTTCACATGTGTTTCTGTCGTTGGTAAAGCATATTGGGCAAGTTTTTCTCGTTTATATACTTTATTACGATAATCAATGAAATTCGCTAATGCTTTACATTGACTTAACTTTCGGTAACGAACATACGATTCGAGAGTATCTCCGATGATTTCATAGGCATACTAGAAGAGATCTTGCAAAAAGAAAGGACAATAGATTGAGTTTATACTTCGAGATCGAGATTTGTAATGTTTGTATTGACTATTGGCCAGCATTTTTTTCCCGATCGAGCATAGGCACGTTCGAGGAATTTTCTAGAAAAACCCATGCTAAACTTCCATTGAGCTCGAACGTGCATAAATTACATGTCGAATTTATTCGAATGAGGATCAATACCTGGCAAATTCGTTTGGCTAATTGTTGCTTCTGCAGATTGATTTCCATCATAGAAATGACGCTGATGATCGGAATGAAATCTTGGTAATAAGATCCTGCTCATCTGCGATTCGGACACACTCTCCGATAGTTGTCGAAACACATGCGAATCAAATCGTGGTAACATACGCAATGGTTGAACATTGTTGACATTCATCGAATCGCAAAAAAAAACAAAACGAATGAAAGCACCTGTAACTAAGAATCGAATATTTTCGTTGAAGATTTCTTCCAGATTATACATATATATTTATGCGGGTTTTTCCGTCATCATGAAAACGAAAAGAAAATAATAAACAACAAAACAACAACAAGCAAAGAATCGAAAAAACCATGGCAAAAAATGAATATTAAGAGAAATACTAATATTTGGACATATATATTTTTATCCAGAGACAGAAGAAGAAGAAGAAGAAACGAGTTCACATATTCGAATGCGACAAAAGAAAAGAATCACAATATGCAACGAAATGAAATCAAATGTCTATCAGCAGTATATCGGAAAAGAGCACATGATCACAGTTGAAAATTTTCCAGCGTAAATCTTCGTGGAATTCTTTATTTGTCTGCTGAGTCATTTTCAGTTGTAACTGCTGAAGTTTTCTCATTGTTAGATGTTTGAATTCGACAAATACGCTTTACTTTAGCGCGNGACAAGGTTTTTCATCCATTCTCTTTTACGTATACGTACCGGTTGGTTGTTTCGGTTCAGTGCGGTTTGAGTGTTACGAAATATTGACTAATAAAAATGAGGTTGACAATCGAAACAGTATGATTTACAAAACGCTACTATATTCGTTGTCAATTGATTGGTTGTAATAGGAGAGGAAAAAGAAGAGTGTTTTAACTTAAGTTGACATACGGATGCATTATTCTCACTTTTTAAAAAAAGGAGAAAAGAAAGAAAACGAGTCAAAGTAATAAAATGTAATCGAAGAGGAGAAAAGAAATTGAACGTTTCAACCTAACGTTCGATGATTATCTCAACAACAACATTATCGTCTATAGCTGTCGTTCTGAATGAAAAGAGGAGAGAAGAGAGAGAAAGACGGAAATGTGCTTGAGAAAACTTTAAAAAAGTATTTATAGCAAAAAGAGAAAAAGTAAACGTAGAATGTTTGAAGGATTTTCTCTTAACATTTTCTTTTATTTGAGTCTGCAATTAGAGATAGTAACTAACGCATAGTCCATTTATATATTCTCCAGTCGGAAGACATTAAAAAAATGAATTTTCATTTCGAAGACACTTGTGAACAAAGCAGAAGAGAAAGCTGAGAACAATTTCACAAAGTTATAGTCAGTAAAATCCGAGAGTGCGTTAATCATACGGTAAAGAGAAAGTTGATGACGGAAGTATATAATAAAGAAAGAGGAAAAATGCATAAAAGATTGCTTGTATTTTAACAATTTTTAAAGATTAAAAACACGCGATACTTATTCCTTCGGAAGAACTGAACATAACAAACAGCAACGACGGGTCGAACTCTTGATTTACCTCTTTTCTATTCTGTTTCACTTTTTTATTCTTACTTTCTAAATTATTCAAAATGCCGTGCACATATACATATACGCTTCCTTGCTGACAAACGATCTTTTCTCACTGATTTGGTATGCAAGCCAGTAGCGAGTGAGGATTACCTGTAAAAGTTTTATGACGACTACTTGACCAAAAAAAAACAGCTAAACGAAAACGAATGGTACCACCAACATCAATACACTAAGCTCGTAAATATTATAGTCGACAACGATAAAAAAAGTCGACAAAAACGATAGAGAGGTGGTGATTAACCTTCTCTACTCACTTGCGCATTTACTAACGTCGTGGATGGATGGATTAGTTGAAGTAGAGACAGCGATTATACTTCGATTTCCATTCATATACAAAGAAGAAGAAGAAGTGGAAAGAGAGAGAGAGAGGGAGAGAAAGAAAAATCGCAAATCAATAAAAGAAAGAGATTAACTTTTTTTTGAAGACGACAATCTGGTGCCTGTGCTGATCGTAGATATGCGCGAACACTGCTGGTGCTCGTCATTCACATGCAAGAAAATAAGTGAAAATGGATGTCATCGATATAAACTCGAGAAAATAAAATGAAAAGAAGTAATTGAAGATGGTCACTTGTCCTAGTCGCTTGATTGATTTGCTTCAATTTGTTCGACATGGCAAGAGTGATCTGACATACACACACACACTTCTTCTATTGTTACTCTGTNAAAGCGAGCGAGAGAGAGAGAGAGAGGGAGAAAGAAGAAATGGATTTCGGGTAGTGATGACGGCGGTGCGCTTGTGTCGAACACACGCACAAATCACAATCAATTCCAATACACATCGTGCATCAAGCCTCCTCCTCTCTCGAGCCGAACGGTAATCACTTTTTTCCTCTCTGTCTCCAAGTAGAAGCAGTAGTAGCAGCAGCAGCAGCAACCGAGGCGTCTTGTTCACTATAAAATTCATTCTCGTTCGTCTATCGACTCGCTTTTCCCCCTACCTACCTACCTTCATCATCTTCACGTTAATCGTCCATTTTTGATAAGATGCCATGCCCATTGCCGCCTCGCTACTTTTTTTTCATGTTCTTTTTCCCTCTTCTCTATTCTTTCCAGCCCGGAGTTAATCTAAGATAGAGTTGAGTACTACCGATTTCTTTCCCTGTCATCATCATCATCATCATCCTGATTTACGAACGAACAACATACAGAGAAAAAAAAATAATTGTTCTAGTTCAACCATGGCCGACAAGGTAGATTATTTAGAAATACGACCGGCAAACGATGCCGGTAAGTAATCAAAAAACAGAACGAAAAAAATCCACCTCGAAGAAGAATTTAATTGAGCTTTCGCTCATCGGCTGCCAGGCAAGCGCATTTGGATTGTGATAAGCCTAAGCCGATATAGAATGCATTATTGAGACAAAAAATATTGAGAGGAAAAAGGTACAAGAGGAATTCCCGAGTTGAGATTAGGAACGGAGTATTAATGTGTTGTCAGATTGAAGCAGTTCGTTCTTTCTCTCTCTTTCGTTCGTTTTTAATCCAGATTAGTTGTTGGTAATGTGTATGGGCTATATTGAAGTGAAGACCGGAGATTAATAATAATGATGAAAGACTATTTTTTGTATGATATTGTATTAAATATGAGATTATCAATATAATCATTTATGAGATTGACGATGAAATTGCTGATTCATATCTCGAGATTAGACCAAGAGAGAATAATTTTAATTGATTGATCAGTCGTTTTCACTCAGATTAGAGTCACTCGCTAATAAATATCTTTCTTTTCAATAAATAAACAAGTTCAAAATTGAAATTCTCGAACGAAGAAGTCACGTCGCCTTTTATTTTATAAATAAAGGATAGCCAAATATTCTTTTACGTATTACAAAGGAAAAAAGTCAGCGATGAATCAAACGCTTGACTGCGCACGTGAATTAATTCGATAATATCAAATTTATATTTACAACTTCCTGATAAATTGCTCAAATGGTTAGAAATCAGACACCGTTGTGACTAAAAAGAAACTCATTTTTCCCTCGATGGTTCATGGGAACAGAACGTTCTTGATACTGGAAGCCAATCCAGATGACGTCCAGTAAATATTAAAAAACAAAGACACATAATTTGTATGCAGGAATGTAAAATGATGACTTTAACAAAGGAAACAGATCATTATCTGTCAATCGAGTTTTTTTTTATTTCACACTTGCGGACATTTTTGTAGGAAGCAAAATATGAATATTTTCTGTCGATAATAATTTTCTAAACAAACATAGCATTTCGAATGATTGGTGATGGAAAACATCGGTTCGATCTTGCTGGGCTTATTTATTTTCCTTTTTTGTTCTAGAGAAACGGATGACAGCAGCAGAGAAGAAAAGAAAAACGAAGAACCGAGATGAGAGATCCGGATAGAATTTATGTAGCATTTGCTTGTCTTTACCTACGATTATCTGACAATTGTGTGTTTCAAATGCTGTTGTTTGATGGTGTTCTTTCAACAAGAAGAATCAGCACAAAAATGCGTACAAGATTAAGTCAACTCTATATTCCATAGGAGTATAATCATTTCTGTTGCTCTTTTGTTCTTGTTTTCTCTACATACACACACAAAGATAGTCATCACAGATGCTAAAAGTGTTGAGGATTTTCAGGAGAAGTTCAGTATAGAAAGAGAGAGAGAGAGAGAGGGAAGGAAAAGGAAAACAAAGCGTTAAAGAAACAAAATCATAATGCAAACAGAATATATCAAAACAAAATGAAGAAAAAAACATTGTAACAAAAAAGAAAGAAAGAAATATGAATAAGATAATCGCACTTATTTGTTGTTTCTTTTTTCGACACAAAAACTCGATTCTATTCATCATGAACTTTTTCGGTCTTCTGTGCCCAAGCAAGATCATCTGAGCGAGGTTTAGCTCCTGTATATTTCTCTACGATTGCTTCCAACCATGGCCAGAATTTGATCATTTCTAACGGTCGATTCAACCAACCAGTTGTAACTAGAACGAAAAAAAGAGTATTCGTGAAAATCTCTCGTTCTTATCAAAGTAAAGTACTCACTGCAAAAATATGTATCATGAGGTACAACTAAACATAAGAGAAACGATTCAAAAAGAATTTATCGTGACGGTTAAAAGCAAATACCATGATGTATACGATGATGTTTACGAGGTAGAATGATATGATAACGCTGTAAAAAGACAATGTAAGAAGGTAAACCGAAATATGTATGTGACCATTTATGGAACTAAAATAGTGATTCATGAAGATAACAATAGTTCGGGTACTTCGACTTCTCTACCTGATTTGTCATTGATACAAATATAGCGAGAAGAAACATGTAAACTTCGAAATTGTATGAACGTTTGATATCAGCATCCGAGAAGTATGTGAATTTGTGAGCCATATAGAAAAGATACGGAACAATAACTGCGAAATTGTCACCATTAGTTTCAATAAAATCATGACGTGTTATGGATGTTGGATCGATATGATGTTCTCGAAATGGACGTAGAAAATTTCGACCAATAAACGGCATGTCAACTGAACCCCATGTATCAGCACCCCAATGGACAATACCTGATGCAAAATCAGCTGTTAAAATTCCTAATACTAGTGAACAGAAAAGCAAAGTCTATGTTCTAGCCGTAAACATTAACAATGCATAACATACGAGCAGAGGGAATGATCAGAAAGCATTTTCTAACATCAAAATAATAACAGATATAGAAAAAATTGTAAATCATTAAGAAAATACATAGAGCAACGGATATTATTTCTTGAATACGTTTTTCTAAAACAAAAAAAAACAGATATATTAATTTCTTGAAACGTCAGTGATGTAAGCCTTGAGGGAATCGAGATTAACTAGTGATTCTTAAGTGGATGAAAGAAAATTTGAGTAAACAGAATGATTTCTACTCGACGAGGTGTGAATGTTGTTAGTTCAAAAAGTAGAAAAGCTTCGGATTGAAGTTCTTCTCGTCGAGGCCATTGCTCGACATCCAGCGTATAGTTAAAATACTTAGGTTTCTTCATACTTTTTTTTGTTCTAAGTATTGAATTCATTCAATTTTGTCTCTTAACCAACAAGACTCATTTCTCTTTTTTTTTACACAATTTAATCAAAAACCTGAAATTTTATATGGCACTCATCGAACTGACTTCAAACAAAGAACTGGCTCGACTAGATATTCTATTCATGAAAAAGAATAATAACTTAATATTTCCTTTTGAAGTGTATACTCAGAAAAAAGTATGAATACTTTCCTGGTGTCAAATTTCTTTTCTTGTTCCGCTACAGGATCATTTTCTTGCTATGAAACTCTTTTCTTCTTACCATTTGTGTATTGACTGGCGAGCAATTTTGCACCGGCATGTTGAGGTCCCCACCGTATGTTATGAGCTTCATGTAATGTATTACCATTAGGATCATCTTCTGGCATCGAGTTTTTATCGACAAGTATATCTTCTGAAGAGAAATCTGTTACCAGCTTGTTCGATATTAGATCGTCTTTAACTGGTGCTGTTGTTGTTGATGCTAAAAGATGAGAATAAGACAAATGCACGTTTGATGTACAATGAAAAAATGTGAAATTTTCTTTTGCTCTTACCCATTGACGACGTTGGACAAGAACAAACAAGCGTTGGTGATGAAAGGCACATATGTGAGTTGAAATTGGATGGATGGATACAAAAAGAATATAAGTATGAAGTGTGTTAAACAGAGTTTTGACAGAAAAGAAACAACAAAAACATCAATGCCGTCATTTCTTTTTTCGTTGATCGGACTTTGGTCTGAAAAGAGAAAAAAGGTAAGTAAGACGCAGAATGGAAAGAAAGATTTATTTGCTTAAAAGCGTGCAGGAACGAAATGATTTTTTTTAATGTCATAACAGGTTGTTATTGAGCTGTTGTCAAGGCACTTATATTTTGGCATCTTTTATTCAACTGGTAATGGCAATCATATAAGTGCAACTATAACAGTGATAGATAAAAAGTATCTAATAAATAGAGAAAAAGAGAACTAATATGTCCATAGTGTAGAAATATATCTCTATTTGTTCAATAAGCAAGTTCCTTCTGCACTTTAGCGAATGTTTTTCTCTTATTTTATGTGCAAATGCGTTTGCTAGTTGTCAATAGGAAAAGAAATGAGAAATGTAACTATGTCGTAGTACAACTATGCTAATAACTTCAAGCATTGATATGGTTGGTTACAATGAAAACTTGAACGACAGACACAGACAGAGAGAATGAGTGAAAATCGGTAAGTTTCTTTTTTAGTGTAGTGTTTGTCAGATTTTCCTCGTTGTTTTATTTCCTTTGGTTTGTTCGTTCTTTTGCTTTTTTTCTTCTTCTTCTCCTAATTGTGGACAAAAGGACGCTGTCGCGCTTCATAATACCAGTAGTCTGTTTTGCCTCTTCTTCTCTTTTTTTTTCTGCAGTCTTTGTACTCTAGCCGCAAGAACGATTTGGGATGGCACTAGCATACACAAACACACAAAAGAATACATCTCACACAATCAGAGAGATGTGAAGGGTAAACCTAAATGAAAATGCATTAACAAAAATAAAAAACAGATTTTTCTTTCAAGCATATCCATAACGACATCATTGATGTAATCTCTCGGTTTTTTTTATGGGGATATTTTATTTTGTTTTGCTTTTCAATTAGTACCCATTGCAAGTACAAGCTATGCGAATTAGTAGGAGTGAGACAGAAGGAGAAAAACAAAATGTTATAAAAAAGACGAAAGGTCATATAAAAGAAAAGATTAGATGAAGAAGGAAAAGACCTACGAGATAATATTTCGATATTGAAATACCTTTGCACATGTCAGATTCATTCATATTGTGAAATATCAAAAGCTGGATAATACATTCGTTAATTGAATAGTGAAACCTATTATCAAGTTAACATTAACAAATCAAGGGATAAAAACGACGCGATGAGTCGAACTGTTATCATCCATATGGATTTTTATCGAAATCTGTTCTAAATCTCTTTCTCAATCTACGATACCAATATGCCAGAAAGACTAATTGATGATGAAGCATAAGCATAGTGATAACTTACCATATAATATAATCTAGTAATATCGTGTCTTTTCAGTTTCTCGCTTGTATTGGTTCATTGAAAATATCTTGAAAAATTTTTAATGAAACTATCTGAAAAATTTTCTTTTGATTAATATGAATCCTGACGATTATAATTTTCGCAAAAGATATTTCGAGCAACTCGATAGGTGTCGCTAGAAAACAATGACAAAGCTGGTCTTCTTCCGATGACTTGAATGTAAACAATTATCCAAGATTTCTCATCCAATTTGTTGATGAGATTCGACTAGAGCAAGCATTAACTCATTTGTTCGATGGATTCTTTTCGAGGAAAATATGTTCTTGTGAACATTCATTAGTACATGTGTGTGATCAATTATTGATCGTATGTTTTGTTCAATTCCCAATTAATATCTATATATATAACTCGATTCTTTTCTTCAAGTATAAGCAACAATTATCATCGGGTTTTTTCTTCTATTGTTTCTCTCCCTAGAAAAGAGATTACGAAGCTAATCAGTAGAGTACAATTGGATTAGGCAAGCTATACATTTGCACTGTTGATCAAACTATATAAAGAATAGAAAGTTTCTTTTGAACAAACTATTTAAATATTTGAACAACTATCTTCTACAGTGTATAAATACTTGCCAAAGATTTCCTATACAATTTCCGTTTATTTTTATTTTCCTCACCCGGAAAAGTCGATAAGAATTTCTGTTACACGCACTTGTTTTACTCTTTCAAATTTGCGTGTCTCATGAGAGAGAAGTGTCGGACGGATATTTCCCTCTATATTCAACTAATGATCATAAATATCAATGGTCTAGCGCTATTTTAGTTACATTTTCTAGACTGTTGCAGTATAAGCTTGATTTCTATATTGATGATGACACGACCGTCCGCCAGAAAACTTCCTCGTTGTTACTCGTATTTTCTTGTCATCGTACTTCTGTTTCAATTCATACATTCGACTCAATCGCTTGCTCTAAGTAGCCTTTGTGGACAATTTGGTCATTCCTGTTTTGGTGGTAAGTCTTTCGATTCATAGAAGGAGAGAATCTTCAACATAGAATGTGCAGGTAATTGGGGTAAGCGCGAAGCATCAACATCTACCGTCAAAACAGACTTACTTCAAGCGAATTTGGACGATCTGGATGGCGGAACGGAACTTACAGCTACTGCTAATGAAGACGTGTTGATCAAAAATTTACTTTTAGAAGAAATTCGCTTGGTGAGTGATCGATGAAGTCTTCTGATGAATGTTATTTTTATTATTTTCTTCAACAGAGTCTGCTTCGTCAACGACTACGTCATTTACTCAAATTGGAATAAGATTTGTATGACAATATTTTTATTTGTTTGAATGAAAAAAAGAATTTTTTTCTATTCAAATAAAACTCATTACGCTAAAAAACAGAAGCAAAAACAGATTTCGTTGTGCACTTATTTGTCTACTCAAATTACACTGTTTTGTTATTTGAGATTGTTCTAGATTCTCAGATGTAGCAAGTACTTCGAAGACTTCGATTGCAATCAGGTACTCATGTAAAGCGAATGCCAACGACTTCGCATACTTGTATAACTTTGTTAAATTCATCATATTTCTCGCCGGAGATTCGATCATAATGGCACTAAAATTTCCATACCGACCATATTCTTCGATAATATAACCCCATTCATAATAAGATTGTTCAGGTGGTGATGGAAAAATGGGACTTGGTGTTGCAGAATAGTTATATTTAGTAATGAAATACCCCAGAGACTTGTTTCCACTAACGAGATCGATTGGTTCAAATAAACTTGTTAAATACGACGCAAACGACGAATGCTTGAGATTGTAACCTTTTCTCGACAATTGCCGACTAGGTAACAAATAACCTAACTCAACCCATCGTTCATGATGATCGTGCGAATGTAAATCCAGCAATAAACCCTTTCCGCCATAATTATTCTTATTCTTCACGATAAGTTCTCTCGCGTGTCTTAAATAGAAATGATATCTCATCCAGGCATGCATATTATCCTTTCTGTAAAATGTCCCTTGATCAATAAATCGATTCATATCAACTTTTATTCGTTCTAGTCGGTTAATAATCACATATGGTGTAAAATGAAATAGAGCCTTGAATTCATAACGTAAGGCTAAAGCTAGAAGACGCGTATTCACATCTCGACCCCGCGAGATCTTGCAATGTTTTATGTCCATTTGAAATTGTGGAGATAAACATGGATTTTGATAATAACATTTTCGATTTGAACTATTTAATTTCCTACAGGCACCTTTGGGCCTGGACGGCAAATTTGAACGAAGATCACCATCATGTGGCACACTTAATATGACATTCATTGTTCCTGGATAAAAGTCAATCGACGAGTGATGCATACCATAATATTTACGTAACGGAAGTGGTTTTTCTGTAGTTGATATCAGATGAAAATAATCACGGATGTATGCAGGATCCTTGGTAAAGATTAATTTGATTTGAATGAGTAAAATCAATATCACGATCATTTAATAGTCAAGACAAAAAGAAGATTGATAATGCGTCTAGAATAAAAACATATTGTTTACATGTAAATATGCCAGAAGACGGTAGGCGAGCAAAACTAATTAAAACGCCTTGGTTGTACCATTTGAAAGATTTTCAATTTATCATGTCAACGAATCAAATCAAATATGTCTATATTAGGTATATCGGAGTAATTGTTTGTCATTGAAGTGAAGATATATTGCTGTCAGAAAATGTTAAATGCGAAGAAAAACATCGCCCGTTGACTAATCGTCAGAAATATTAGGACGAGAAAACAACGAATGACATGCATCTTGCAACGATTTATTTGATGAATTCACAACTACGCTATGACAGAACAGAAAAACTCAATAAAAGACTGTCAATAGAAATGCATCCTGAATCGTGTCTTTGATTTTGTTCATGAGTATGCGTCTTGTCAATTCTTTTCGTTCAGCGCTTGTCGACAAGCATCAGATTTAGCAAGTTTCTTATTTTGTCCACGACCTTCATACATACGACCATCTCCCATTTGAACTAAACAAATAGCACCATTTTCATCCGTGAATTCCCTTTCGTATAAAAACAACACAACTGATATATACGATCATGAACAGATGAACTCGTACCTTACTATTTTCCCACCCTTTTCGACAATTGTTCGTATTGGGCTTATATTCGGATCAATAATTGATTGATCTATATATGAATACAAACAGATGATGTTTAGATGCTCGAAGTTAATTTTGACTATGTACCGAATAAACTTCCGAGAAAAGGTTCGATAACTTTCCAAACAGTTTCCAAAGAATTGTTTGAATCAAAAAAGATAGCACCAATCAACGCCTCGAAGACGTCGGCAAAGATTTTCGGCGCATTAGCTAATGGAGTTTTGGAAGTGAGTTTGAAATGGTCGATATAAACTTGAATCTGTTGAGAAAGTTCACTGGAACGATAACGAATGTTTGTATGAAGTTCATAAGAGACGAGGAGATATCCTAAACGGCTATTGTTTGATAAATCTTGTCGAATATCGGTCAATCTGCCTAAGAAAATGATATACTATTTGCAAAATCTCGATATTTCCTCGTTATGCGAATTACCCGGTGTGACATGTTGATCATAGTTAAGAAATGTATAGCGAATAACTAGGAAATCTAGAAGAGCATCGCCTAAAAACTCTAATCTGAAACAACAAAAACTATAAAAAGGAAAAATAGAAACTAGAAGTGATCGTACCTTTCATACGAAATACCATTCGACTGTATAGATTTCGATGGATGAGTAAAGGCTGCAACGAGATATGCTTTATTTCGAAATTTATATCGAAGTTTATTTTCAATTTCACTAAAATTTTCCTCGTGGAAAATACGATTGATTTCATTCATTGAAGCCGGCGCGATTATTGGTGGTGTAGACATAATACAACCTTCCGAAGGTAGAGATGAACTTTTCTGGGTTCTATACAATAAACTCACTGTTCTCATCGAGTGGAATGACATTCAGTCCAAGCCATTGCATAAATCTAATCGTTGTTATATAATTACTTGAGATAAGGAAAGCTCCAATCAATGCTTCAATCATATCGGCAAATGCTTTACGTTTTACTGTTTGATGTGTATATTTCATCTGATCTTTAACTTTGATTATATATCCTGGAGGTAACCAATTGAAATCATTACCATCCAGAATGATTTTATCCGAATAAAGGTAAGTTTTCAATCTAGATTCGACAGCTATTCTATAGAGATTTTCATTAGTAATCTCCTGAATCTTTTCTTTTGTCAATACACCGACATTTGCCGAAGGATATTGATAATACAGTGCCATCGATACGGCCAATTTCAGAAAGCAATCACCAAGAGTCTCTAAACTCTCCATATTTATCCGATGATCTGCGGAACATCGAGTTATCGCTTGAAACAACAATTCAATCGATGGTTGTTCGTGAATGCATCGATCATCGAGACTGGTAATTTCATAATCCAATTGATTGCATGACACCAAAAATATAGAGAACTCAAACATAAAAGCTATTAAACGTAGTTTATCTTACCATTTGATGATATTCTGTCAAACAATCCTTAAAAGTCACTTCCGTTACTTTCATTAACTAAAATTCGAATATACATTCGAAATAAATCAAATATATGTTGTACTTTACTGGATAACAACTGAGATTGACTGCTAACATACTTCTCAATCGTTGAAGATGGTACAGCTGCACTATTCGATTAAGAATACTGGGCAACATCAATATCAATTCGAAATCTTGTTTGTTCAATGGAGCATAAGATAAAACTTCGATTGGATAATAATAAATGGTTTGATCTGAAGAAAGAATTTCGTATTGTCGTACGTTCAATGAGAGTTTCATTTTGTTAATGACTTTCATTGAACATAAGAGAGAATCTCGCTGAATACGAACATTAGGAAGAAGTTTTTCATAGTAATCAGCATAAGTTTCAGTGCCACTCCTGTGATCTGTTGCTCGTTTTTTTGAACATGGATCTTTTTTATACATATAGTGCAGTTTAATTGGAGAACATGATACACTATATAACTCAGTATCGCACAAATCGGATGGATATTTCAGAGACTTTTTATAACGCTCACAAATCGTTGACATGCGATCAAAGTCCACTTCATTAGCACCTTACAAATGAATATTGGAATGTTCGATAGTCTATCTTCGGAGAAAAATGTTTGTTGTTACCTGTCAATAAGCAGGGTAATAATTTGAAAGTTGAAGCGTTGATATTGAATTCGAACATGGTAAAATCAAAGACATTTTCGAAAATATGTCGGCAGAATCGCTCGAATAGGTGACGATTCTCTAAATAACGAATCTCTTTTTGAAATATAACTTTAATCATCGATTGGTCATCGATAAATTTCGGTAACTAAAATCAATCTTCATGAAAAACAAATCTGTTCGAATGAATACCTTTACTTCGATTAATTTCAAAGGAACAATAAAACCTAGTTCACTATTATCTTTTGTCTTCGAGCGAATATAGATCCGGTAAAGATACCAAGGAGCCGTAGACACACGTAGATTTGCAAACAACACATTGGTCTAAGTAATCGAACATCGATTTATTCGAAATAAATGAAAAATAGTGCAAGACCTTCTTTCGAAATGTTTCTTTGGTATTTTCCGTCTTTTTCTCGAATAATTCATCACACAATTTAAACAATTGTTTTCTAATAGACATCGTAGAGAAAAAAAATCATCTGGGCGCACGCATATTTTTGTATTTTTATCTTAAACACGAGACAAGTGATAAGCTGATAAGAAAACGACACGACAGTTTCTAAAGAAGTTTTATCGCTTTGCGGCAAGCATCATGTTTCGCCAGTCTTTTGCTCTTTCCATGACCTATCACCTCAGTTCCGTCGGGTATTTGTCCAACAAAAACGAAGTTCCCCTCATCATCATGTTCTTCCCTAAAAAATATAACGTGATTTTGTAGCCCATTGTTCAACTAATATCTTACCGAAGACGTTTTCCACGTTTTTCAAAGAATTCTCGTACTGGATTCAGATTTGTATGCTTAATAGATTGATCTGTATCGAAATAAATAAAGTTTGACTATTCATTTTTATACTCGACATACCGATAAAGTGTCGGAGGAGAGGTTCGATAACTCTCCAAACGATTTCTAGCGAATATCCACAATCAAGAAAGATTGCTCCAACCATAGCTTCGAACACGTCAGCAAGCGGTTTGGGAGCTGTGGAATCTGCCCATTGATTATCATCCTGAAAATTCATTACACTTGTCATTTTCCTCAACAATTCGGAAAAAGGTGATTTCGTTTACCTCCTCCTCGGTCGAATGGTTCTCTGCACGTTCTTTCACAACGCTATCAAACACATTTATAGCATTGAAGAGGTGCGAAGACAGATACGAGATCTTTTTGTGAAGATTGTGAGAGTGAACAATCGATGCCAGTCGACCATTATTAGATAAATCTTGTCGAAGATTCGTTACCCGGCCTAACAAAATCAATCATTCGCTTACAAAATTACAAACATAGACTCACTTGGTGTGACTTCAGCGTAATGTTCAACAAAGACACATCGGATAACTAAAAAGTCTAGTACCGCATCGCCTAAGTATTCCAATCTATGCACAAAGAAAGCCATCAACATCGAATTATTTGAAATTTTCATATACCTATCGTAGCATTGTGTCAAACGGTTATGGACGTACGATGCATGAGTAAATGCTGCAATGAGATAAGCTCTATTTTTGAACGTGTAGTTGATCTCTTTTTCAATTTCATCCAGTTCCTTCTCAGAGAAGAATCGATCAATTTCTTCTTTTATGTCACATATTGTATCAGTAGGCTTCACACGCAGAATTGGCGGTATTTCGTTCATTTGATCTATTTATCACAATGAATGTCACTCAAATCTCTACAAATCTCTCGTCTCACCTGAATCACTCGATGGAAGCACATCCAGGCCTAACCATTGCATGAATTTCATGGTCGTCACATAGTTTGTCGATACCAAGTAACAACCGATCATGGCTTCTATCATATCAGCTACCGCTTTTCGTTTCACTTTTGCTTGCAGATATCTTTCGGCATCGTCTTCGTTGACTTTGTATCCTGGTGGTACCCAATTGGCTTGCTTTCCACTGTAAACCGGTTTGTCAGCATTTAAATAGTGCTGCAAACCTTTTTTCATAGCTAATTCATAGAGATTTTGATTTGATACCAGCCAATCCTTTTTCACGGTTAGATCACCAGCATCGCCTGATGGGTCACGATGAAAACGAGATAAAGACACGGCCAGTTTGAGAAAACAATCTCCTAAAATTTCGAGATTTTCCATGTCCGTTTTTTCGTCTGCTGAACGGCGCGTGACTGCTTGAAATAACAGCTCGGGTGACGGTTGTTTTGTACAGTTTTCTCTCAAGAGAGAATCATACCGAAGACAAGTAAGTGGTAAAGCAGTTGGTCGTTTCTAATTAGCGAAGAACAGTACGAATTATATCAAATCTAGTAGTTAAAAGGTTTACCGGTGGAAATACTTTCTCAAGATAATCAGTAAACTCTATCGGCAATGCATCATAGGATATCTTTAATGAGAATATTCATAGATTTGGTTTAGATACAAACAGTTCTTCTCTTACAGTTTGTATTCTTGATGAAGAGAAAGTCAATAGGCATCGAAGCTGCTCGATGTGCTGTAATTGTGATAAGCGAACAAGAACACTTGGTAGTTTATAGATTAAGTCATAATCTTCCCGATTTAATGGAGCATAGCGCAGAACTTCGATGGCGAAATGGGAAGGTCCATTGAGTGATTCTTTGATTCTTTTTTCGTCGAATTTGTTGAGATAGTTAATTCTCGGCTTTCGAAAGTCCATCATTGCAGCCAGAGGAAAATTTCGATTGATTTTCAAACCGAATACCTTCTTCTCGAAGTATTCCGCATAACTTTCCTCCTTTTCTTCTGATTTTTTAAATTTTCGAGGATCAGTTGGTTGTTTCAACAGAGATCGATCCGAAATATATTGAAAATATTGCCTTTCGGATATATATGAAATGTAATAGAGTTCCTGTTCATTGAGTTCAGATGGATTTAGAACGGGTTTGTCTTTTCTCTGACAAATCGATGCCATTCGGTCATAATCAATATCGTCCGATTCTATGAGGAAATAAAGACAAATTCTCGAGATTAAAGTGACACTCTTACCGGTTAGTAGACATGGCAGAAGCTTGAAATTAGATGATTCGATATCAAATTTAAATACAGATTCCGATTGTATGTTCATCTTATTAAAAACTTCTTCGAAAATATACTGACAAAACATTTCCAAATGACTTCTACATAGATGAATATCGACGGTTTTTAAATCGAAACTATCTACGATATATTCACTATCACGACCGTAAAGTACAAATGATGATAACTAAAGCAGACATTCGAAGAATCTTCTACTCAGCCAAATGTATATTTCCTACATGTTTTAGTTTACAAGGAACAACGAAACCAAGAGTATTGTTGTTTGAAATATTGATTCTATACAAATACCAAGGATTTGATACGCCATTGTATGTATGGAATAAATGTGAAGTCTGTTCAACCGATTTATCATATTAAAAAGAAACTAAACAATGTTGAGTGCTACCTGTTTATCTATGATGACAGGTTTGGGTGGGTTCGAACCATCGGCACCTAGTTTAACTGCAGCGGACCGCTTTCGAAGGATAGGCATACAATAGTCGTCAAGTTTCCCTACAACAGATCGATAGGATGCCTTTTATTCACTGTAAAAAATCTTTACCGTTTTTATGAAGTGTCTCCACCATTTTCAAACAACATTCTTGTTTAGCGACTTTCTTAGTTTTTTGTTCGCACTAATTACAAGCATTCAAATGAATAGAAAATCTCATTGAGTATGGGGTACTTACAGTAACAGGCTCAGTTATCGAGCAACTTTTTGGCATTGATAAGGTACATCGAAATTTCTTATTTTCCGTGGCAGTACAACAGAAATGAGGCGATAGAGGTGAATCAGAAGCGAGTGTAGCGCAATATCTTGCAGAAAAGTATATTGTTACTAAAATAAATCAAAATTTTGTGAATATCTACGTACAAATAGATGATTTCTACAGCACGCATTGCACAAATTTTCACTTTATCCGTTTTATATGATGGTAGTTGATCATCAGATGACCATCGATCAATGGTAGGTTCGCTTTGAAAATTTTGTTTCAGCATCTACAATATGAGCAACGCTAACAATCTGATATTGAGAGAGAAGTCATATGTCTGCAAACTTTTTCCATATGTGTATAATTTTCGAATTCTTCACTGTTTTTTGCAAAAGTTTCGTAATCACCTTCGTCTCTCATAATGATAAATAATGCGTTTCCTGTTTGTGCTCTTGCCCGACCTTTTGATTGCAGATAGGATGAAAAATTCGGTGGTTTATTAAATCGAATGATAAGATTACACTCAGGAACATCCAAACCTAGGAAACATACATTTGAATCAAACAAATAGCAGTTATATTCTTTCGTCTTAAACCCTCTTCGATAACAGCGGTTGATACCAAAACAGTGATGGCTTTCTTTCGAAAGTCTGTTATCACTTGACACTGAAAAAACGGCTATCAAATGAGAGGATTGTTTTTACACAAACATTCACGAACTTGGTATTTAGTTAAAGATTTGTCTTTGTCAATAGAAGATTGCGAACCAGTCAGATGTTTGATTTTGTCAGGTTCATCTTTGTAGAGTTCTTTCAAGATTTGAGATAAAAAAATAGCTGTATAGATTCGTTCAACGAAGACAATGCATTGACCATCTTTGTTATTTTTTATGTAATTGTATGTTTCCAAAACTTTTTCACTGTAACAAACTTTATTGTAATTGGGAAAGCTTTCGATATCCGTTCGAATTAAAGTATCAAGTTTTTCATAGATTTTTTTGTATATAACTTTTCCTGCTTCATCAATGATTGGTATACACATGAACTTCGATCCGAGAAGATTTGCTAATGCTTGTATTGCAAGGAAAAGGCCTTTAAGACCAAGATCATACCCGATATGTCGAATATTATCTAGATGGGATTTCAACTGCTCCAATGTTCGACATTGAAACAGAATAGAATTCGACAGATTTGCATCTTTGAACGAATCATTTTGCGATTTGGGAGGGTTTCTCCTCGTATGGAAATATTTGTCCAGTTCATCATAGAGTGATTCAATCTCCTAGTTCAATACAAAGTTTCCAATATAGTTGCTCTTGAAATGGATATTTACTTTAAATAAAGATTTCACATTCGGTTGCTTGTCAACGACTTTTGTCCTATAATTATCACACCGGCAATATTCGTCTTTCACTGATGTACTATTTCGAATGATTTCATCGCGGTCGGATCCAGTCTCGATTTGTGCACTAACGATATTTATTTGGCCTTTTAGGAAAAAATCAAGTCAATCACTTACTGGTAAATTCTTTCCAATTCAGCAGCTGCTCTTGGTAGATTTTTCGGTTGAATTTTCTGACCGCTAATCGATGCGGTCAAGCCAAGTATACGTGGACAACTCGAACACGAATCATACTGCCGCATTATACTAGCATAAGGATCATTACCATTGGCATGATGACACTCATCAAAAATTAACAGATTTACTTGACTTAATGCTGAAAGATAGTTATTAATCCAACGATGATTGAGAAGTAAAAATGAATTGGTTTATCTTACAGTAAATATTGTGTTCAAGTATATCAACAAACTTCTTTGCTGTGAAAATTAAGATTTGGTTCTCTTCAAAATCGTTTTCCCATTTAGTTCGGTCTTGTAAGTTGTGCGTAGAAGGACCAGCATAACAAGCTACTTTCGAGCTAAACTGTTTTTCTATTGTGGCACAATGTTGTCGAGCAAGTTCGACTTCAACAAAGAAAGAAAGAAGAGATTCATGAAGAGAATAAAAAGTAAAGGAATTACCCGTTTTCACCAGAATGATTGTTCGTTTTCCTCCCTCTTTGACAGATCGACGAGATTCTTTCGAAGTCAATTCTTTGATGAGCATGATCGCAATATAGGTTTTACCACTACCAGTGGGAAGACAAACAATAAGATTCTTTAATTTTGCTTGTTCCATTATTTCAATCTAAGGACAAAAGCTGATTTGAACAAGGTGAACACTTATCAATCTACCTGGTATGATCGAGGATCAAGCTCGACCGGCTTATCATCAGTTGTCATGTTACTAAAACGTGAAAAGTTACTTTGTGACAAACTTAGATGTTCACATACGTAGTATTCGCTGCCATTCTATTGAATGTATGATTTTTAAGTAAAGAACAATCTAGCAAGCGTGTGAAAGACTTCCACCACGTTGAAATTGACGTGTAAAAATACGTGGAGGGAATCCGACGGTCTGTTACTGTGTTTAGTAACCGTGTGCCGTTTTTTTCTTCGCATAAAGAAAGAAAACATTATCAACATACACGTGGCGAGTGGGTATTTTTATTCTAACAGCCGCAGCACGCTGAAGAATAGTCTTTTATTTTGACATTAACAAATGATACGTGTATCATACAAATATAAACATGTCTTTTTGGTTTATTCAATCAAGTGATTTTTATCTTTTGCATATGATAGTGACTTGTTTATTGAACAATAAAATATTTCTTAGATACAGAAAATTAATTGATTGAAACGCTAAACAACTTTCTTAAAAATCTTATAATTCTACATTTTGAAAATGTGTTTCTGACCATTCGAAAGCGATACATATTCGTTCATTTATGAAAAAAAATTAGGAAATATGCATAGTTCATTGTCTCGTAATCTCACAAGGAAACAATTTTTCATGATGAACAAAAGTACACCTCGGACTCTTATTGTTATGCATATCCTTTCGGCGACGAAAACTATCATGCAAACAAACACCTGTCGATTTTCCTTGTGCCTCTATAATCGTTTGCCTGAAAATTCAATCACCAATATTTTATACGTTTCTTCAATTTCCAGGCAAATGATCATGGCGGCACAAGGAAAATCGACAGATGTTTGTTTGCATGGTGGTTTTCGTCGCTGAAAGGGATGTACATGATCACAAGAGTCTGATATCCGAAACGATTTGTTAATCAACGAAAATTGTTTCTTTGTCAGCTTTCTAGTCACAAGCTACACGAAAAATGCGACGGTCTAAAAGAATTTCTATGGGATCCTTTCGGATTGCTCCATCTCAATTTTTCATCAATAGTCATTCTCTCGAAATACACTACTTGTTAAATTTGATGAGCGGAAGAAATCTGACAGTCTTATAACTGAACGAAATGGTGTTGCTATCGAATCAATAAAAAATAAGCTCATTACACCTTTAAAATACACGTGACCTCGGTATATAAAAACTAACTAGAAGAGCAGTTCTACACATGTGCAAAAACAAAACTCGAATAAATTGTGGCACGGGTTCTTGATATTAGAATAATATATTTCTACAGGGTGAGGTGTTCAACAGGTATTAAACATCTCACTCTGAAGAAATATATTATTCTAATATCAACTTCACATCGCCGAAGCTATGTTAAAAGTTGATGTGTCGAATAGAATTTTTTTTCTTCCTTCCCAAGTGACTTTTTAAGCTTCTTGGGTGTACTTTTTTATCTTGCTTTGATTCGTCCATAGCATCATCTAATAAAAGAAATAATGCATTTCTACTATTAATAATTATATTGATATACCGATGCTTGACTTCATCAAAGAAAATATCACTCCCCAAACAACATCCAAAGAGCCACGCGTATCAAGAAATATGGCTCCTACCAGTGCATCGAAAACATTGCTAAAAACACTGCTCACATCCATGGACGGTGGATCTATGGTCTAAGAAGAAAAATATTTTACTTTTTCGAATTAGTTCGTCAACATACTTTTTCAATGTTAGAGGAATTGGCACGGCATACATACAGTTCTATGTCCTTTTTTTCTACCGGTCCACAAAAGATAAAATTATATATTTCATGGAGCAGTACAGTTTTCGTTTTCAACTCGTTATTTATCATTTTTTGTCTAATGTGTGACACGTCGTCTGCAAAGATTATATTCTGTTCATTTTGATAAAGACCTTTGTAAAACCCTACCTGCACTGGTCGATTTCTTCGTTAAAAAAATGTAGCGTGTAATAAGGAACTCGTACAACGGGTTTCCGATGAATTGTAGTCTAATTAGGAATATTGAAAGAAGGTATATTTAATAAATTTATTAGTTTACTTGTTATAATGTATTGTCAAAGCATCTTGGCTATCAGATGGATGCGTAAGCGCTGCAAATAGATGTGCTTTATATCCAAAAGTATAGTTTATAGCCTTTTCAATTGCATCCCATTTCTTGGCCAGATAAAGTTGATCAATATCTTTTATCGTGTGACCGTCTTTCAAGCGCAAAATCGATGGTGCTTCGTTCATTTGATCTATTTGTCACAATGAATGTCACTCAAATCTCCACAAATCTCTCGTCTCACCTGAACCACTCGGTACAAGCACCTTCAGGCCTAACCATTGCATGAATTTCATGGTCGTCACATAGTTTGTCGATACCAAATAACAGCCGATCATGGCTTCCACCACATCAGCAAACGCTTTTCGTTTCACTTTTGCTTGTAAGTATCGTTCAGCATTGTCTTCGTTAACTTTGTATCCTGGTGGTATCCAGTTGGCTTCTGTTCCACTGTAGACGGGTGTGTCCGCAATTAAATAGTGCTGCAGACCTTTTTCATTGGCTAGTTTGTAGAGATTTTGATTTGTTATGTGGCTCTCTCTTGTTAGTGAAGAATTATTGCTACTATCGTTTGGTTCACGGTGATAAACGAACAAACTAATGCTCTTTTTCAGAAACGAATCGCCTAAGGTTGCCAGACTCTTCATGTTATTTTCTCTATCAGCTGTTGAAACTGTCATTGCTTGAAGAACTAAACCTAATGGCGGATGTATGCCACATTTGTTCTTCGATACCAGATCGCCATCGAAGCCAGACAATAACAATGTCGTCTCCTAGATGTCGCGAAAACAGATTATATAACATAAGATTTACGAGATTCTTACCAATGAAAGTGTATTTGCAAACGGATTGTCAAGAGTAATAGGAGGTTCTTCATCAAGGCTGCCCGATGCCGATTGACAATCAATAGGTATAAGCAGATTTTGCTTCAGTTCTCGGATATTAAGGACTTGCGTAATGCGATAAAGCATTTGTGGTAGATGCTGTATAAATGCGATTTCAATTTTATTGAATATTTGACAGCGTGACTGGTTCAATTGAATCGTATCTGCGCTAACGAAGTTATTGGCCCTGGCTCGCTTGCCATCATCGAGTTCACGGGCTATTTCTTTAGGTGAGTTTTCAAGTGCAATGCATTGTTTATATTTTGTACTTAGTTCGATGGACTCGTTTGTCTCAGTGCATATCGACTCCATTTGTCCGAAATCAACTTCATTATCTTCTACATATATTCAAACTCATAGTTAAAATCAATAAGATATAACGATCTTACCAGTTAACAAGCACAGTAGTAACTTAAATGTAGAAGCATCGGGATCAAATTGGAGAATTTCATCTGGTCCGGTATTCATATCGACAAAGATCTTTTCGAAGATATATCGACAAAATTGATCAAATTGTTGCTTGCAGCTGACATAATCAATTCGTTTAACGTAGTCAATACTGACAATGATTTGTTTTTCATTTATACAATGTAAGAATTTTGGCAACTAAAAAATATTATTCGTTATATATAAAGAAGTTGATCGAATGATAGTTTACCTTCCCCAATTCGCAAGGTACGATGCAACCAAAACGATTGCCAGTTTCTGTGTTGATTTTGTATAAATACCAATCCCCCGATGAATTTGCGCCGAGGGGAGGAAAATATGCAGTCTATTCAAGAAATTGAGGGTTTTACGTGCACTAAGACGATTAAAATGCTCACTTGTTTTCGGATTGATTCTTCCTTGTCTATCTCTCGTTCTTTTCTAGGCACCGTTCTTTTCTTTGTATTTTTTGGTCTACTTTCGTCAGATTGACGCTTGACCGACTTCAAAGAGTCGTTTGATGCCAAATGTTCACTGGTAGATGCTCTTCCACTCCGTTGAGATACAGCATCAAGTCTTCACATAAAAAAAAATCAAAAAAATAATCTCAGTTTATTCAATCTAATTCTTCTTACTTTGGAACCACGGGATTATCAGCTTGCGCGGGAGTCACGTTTCTTTTACTCGGATGACATGGTAAAACCTGTAAATCTTCACCAATGCTCAGTTTGAGCGTGTTATCCGTTGAATCATCGGTTTTCGTCATATTCAGATATAAATGGTACTTCCTTTGGTAAGTTTTCAATTGAAAAAAAACTAATTCTGAAATGAAATGGGATATTTTTATAACTAAACTGAAAGTACAAAGAAACCGCGTTGGTAGATAATAATTTTAGTGTAAGATATCCCGCAAACAATTATCAGTGTGACATACTCAAAGAAGAGAAAAACAACGAAGTCTGAGTCGATTGACGAGAGGAAATATCTACTACTCGATAGAAAGAGGAATGAAAAGTGGTCTATGTCGTCAAGTAAAATGAATAGAAGAAGTAAAAATATTGTTTATTATTTATATTAAGTTTATCAGAATCAATAATTTGGAACGATGTATGTGAAAGTAAATATTTACGCCCCAAAATGATCTGCTTCTCTGAAGTTTGTCGTGCAAAAGATATCGAAGCAAAATTTTGGTTTATAATCTATGATACATGACAAATTTTCAACATTCTTTCGTCAAATAATGCATACAAATTAGTTTAGTTTTACTAATTTCAACCCCTCGACCTATTCAAAACATTTGTTTTATAATGACTTTCGGTTTGCGCTCGTTAACATCAGACAGAATGTAAAAACTGCTATCATATTCAAAAGAAAAACAATATGGTAACACAATAAGTTTTTTGTACGACTGTGTCGCTAGTGTGTCCTAACCACATGGGAACATACGAAAAAGTCACACATTCAATAGCAAACTGATACGGCAAAAGAGTCCGACTAAGTGTCTTCTTTCATTTCTCATCCAATAAAATACGCAATGTATACCACTCGAAAGAAACCACCTTTATTATTACCATGAAACTTTTACCTTTGTGTTTACGTACAAAGAAACACAAAAATAAACGATATATTTTTTTCTAGTTGGAAAATTCCAAGCAGAAAGGTTCACGAGCATCTGCTGACAAAGAAGTACTGCTTATTTTTAGCAAAAAACAACAATGGAGACACTATTACATCAGCATGAGTCATTCCATTCCAGTTCATTATTCATTCACCGATTTGTTATGTATAAGTCGCGTTATATAAACAGAAACGAGATGATGATTAAAGTTATCTTTGCGCAGCGGCAGTACCTTATCCAATGAGCGTTTCGCGAGGAGAGGTTATTGCTAGTTGAAAACTAAAACCCAATATCCCGCACATCGGCCTCGTGTCGATTGTTGCAATTTTTGCTGCTTCTTCGGAGGCGTTTTATTCAAAGAGAAATGAGAAGGAAAAAAAACATTCAGAAGTTTAATGATCGTCGACGACGAAACGATACATCTTCAATAGTTAAGTCATTGGAATTTGGAAACAGTGCCCATCGAAGTTTATTCAAACGTTTCTTTGCCATTTGTCGAATGTTATTCACAAGACGTTTACCCATCGAAATTCCACTTGAAATCGATGAGGTGAAAAACCGAAATTTTCTCATACGTGCAACAGCTTTTGATGCGGCATTCATTTCATTTTCTGTTGGATGTAATGCAAAAAGTCGATCGAAATCATCATCACCCAAATCTTTTCGTAAATCGTTAAAATATCGTTCAGTAGCGAGAACAGCCATTGTCGCTGCTTCAAAACTAAACTCAGAAGATGCAGGTAGTTCGTTTTTTATCACGGTTCTTACTGTAAATCGAAATGTGGAGAATAAATGGAAATGATTGTATCTTTATTGATTCCTCCGATTGCTGGTAAATGTGATGATGTATCTAGGACCGAACCATGTGAACATTTTTCGACATTTGTCGGTTTGAATATTGGTTCATTATCTTCATTATGTTGATTGACAGAATAACCACTGGTTAACAGACCTTTCTTTAAGATTTCAGGACGAATATTATCTTTACATTCGTAATATTTCAATGGACATTTGTTCAATGTGACTTTTTGTAAGAAACTCTATGGAATAATACAAATAATTCAAAAAATCACCTGCAATGTATCTTACACATTTCACTTTTTTGGCGACGCATCCATGACTCGTACAAGTCGGTTGATTCGGTGAGGCAACCGGTCCAATATCTTCATATATGCCCAGACGTTCATTGACAGTCTTTTTACCTAATTCCACCCAATTCGAATGTGAATAAAAGTCCTGTAAAGTATGTAAGAGTTGTCCGAGCAATTGCCGTGCTTGAATCAAATCTTTCGTTCCATTCTTGACATCATCAATAACTTTGAACAGAATGAATCTTTCTTTGGAAAATCAGGTGAGAATATTTTACTTATTCGTCTCATTTTAATCATCCGCCGACTTGCATTGCTAAATGCTTCACTATCAAAGTGTGCTGCAGGTAATTTTTTCGTCCATTGATCAATATCGACCATAGCATTTTCAACTAATAAAGTATCGAGGACACTCTTTAATGGATAAGTTTGTAAATGGAGTTTTTCTTTTGACCAGTCCGGATATGTCAAGGCATATAAATCATCAATGGTATATTCTTGATTTTCAACTTCGTATTTTTGAAGTGCTTTTGTTTCTAGAAGGTATCGAGCAAGAGTACGAACGAATGCAATCTGAGTTATCTCGGTATGAGTGATACCTGGAAATACAAGTTGATATGTGTGTTATAAAGAAAGCAGATCAAAACTTACTGCCGCCAGCTTGACCTCCGACGCGAATAGATGGATGAGGAATGAAACCGTTGCTGATGGCAAGTGATAGAATAAACAAGATCACGCTTATTCGAAACATAGTTGTTAGTTCAACGAAATCGTGTTACTTTCGCGTATGTACGGAAGGATGAAACAAACGCGAGATTTGTTTTTTAAATTCATTGTTTTATATGACCCGAATACAATGTATGTCATTGTTATCATCGAATTGAAAATTTTTCACTAATTTTATGCATGAATGCTAAGTCTCATATTTCACTGATAATATGTAATAACGGACTTGAGTATTTAGATGATTCATCGTTTAGGACTTCAATCAATCAAACAGTAATTATAATAATGATACATTTTTTGCGTTTCTCCTTTATGCTTCATTGCATTCGTGTATATAAACATTGATAAATTAACGAAAATTTATTCGACATTAGCATTATGGGTACTTGTTGTTGCGGGACTACGCCTCATGAAGGATTTGTTGGACAATGGACGGATGAGAAAAACGTTCAATTGATAATTAATGAAGCTGGAAATATTCAATATAATAAAATGGTTTGATGAGATCTATTTTCGTCTGGCTCGGAGCTGATAAATGTTACTCTATGTTTAGACTGAACATTCCAGAGTGAACTTTGCAGGTGCTACGCGCTTTTCTGCGAATGAATTCTTTTTCTGTTGTTGCTGTTGTTGTCTCCAAGGAACATATGATAATGATGACGACGGTGAACCAATATTGGTCGTAAATAAAACGGTACTGAGAAGAAAGTAATCCGAACTACGAGTGCCGCCCGACTTTTAATAAAACTTGGCACAATTTCTTTCAGAACGACAAATAATAAACAGATAACTGTTTTGCTGGAAGACGTTAAATAAGTCATTGTTTACACCTGGGTCACGTGGCATGTCAAATATGCTTTATAGATTCATATCATATTTTGAATAATAATTACGAAAAATTGTCCGACCGTTGAGAGGTTGAGTAGGTCGATAAGTTGTTCTCAGTCCATTTTGACGAAGCAAATTCAAGCTTTTGCCTTTTATCGGAATCGTATGAGAAAATATTGTCCAGATAATCCCTTCCGTGCATGGTGGTGTGGTTAAACTGCCTACATAACGAAAAAATTCTCCATTATCAATTGGCATTAATTGACCTAGATTGAATGTACACGTCGTTGTACTATGAGTTTTCATCAATTGACTAACAACTTCGGTGTATCTTTTCCACCCGCTATGATCATGGGCATCGTCGTTGACGACTGTGAAAAAGAACGCTAAAACTGCAATTTGTTCACTGTTACGATTTCGGTAGACAAAATGTACTTCAGCTGGAAACCGATGACCATTGATTTCGTGTTCAGAACCGCATCGAACATTATGTCCCCAATGTAGATGAAAATCAACGAAATGGAATCGACCTGGTAAACTACTTCCACTAAACCATAGTGCATCGTCGCTATCATCGTCTATACGCTCGAATAGCGTAGTTTTGATCTGTTGTCCAGTATTCGTCAATGTGAACAAATGATCCATATAGTATTTAGAAGAGAATAGAAAAGGTGGATACATATGAGGTATTGTATCGAGTGTATCAATGTCTATTGGAGATTGACATGTCCCATTAGCGTAAGGATAATGCTTATGCCATTCAGGTGGATTATCATAAGTCCACGGGAGATTCGCATTTGTTGTCAAAGACATTGTTTTAAGTAAAAACTGTCAAATGATTTGAAAAGATTTCCTACGCCATTTAATTTCTTATTTTTTTTTCTTCTTTCTTTTAAACCTGAAGACACATAAATGACACTGAGAAGAAATTAAAAATAAAGGAAAACTAAAATATTCTTTCCAGGTTCATCTTCTATCATATAATTATTTATTGTGCAAATGACATGAAAAGAAGAAGTAGTTATCTCGTTTCAACATACTAAGATGCCGTTTGTTTTACGAAAGAATATCTGCAAAATACAATCTAGGGCAAATTTTTATTCATCATGCGGAAAAATAGAAGAAAGGAAAGACATTTGAATTAAACAAACCAACAAAATCCAAATTGATCTATTATCATATTAATAAGAAGCATTTTCAATTAAGATATGAAAAGAATCTTTGAGATATGTATGTTTTTCTGAAGGTGCTTGCACTTTATCTGACAGTCGATTACAAATATTGTCATATATCCGACCAATTCTCAGCATATTTATAAGAAAGATGATATCCCTCATCTAGTATTCATCCTCTACAACCACTACTTATTCTGTTTCGACTCGAAATGAGCTTAATTATTATCATTGCCACATATTTTATTTATATTTAAGCAGATGACTAGTTCATAAACTTACCAATTACATATTAACGGAACTCTGCGAACTATACGAGTAAAATATAGTTCGCGACGTACATTCATGTTTGGTTGTAACGTCTCACTAACGAGTTAATCAAGCTAAGATTCCAAATTATTTGCTCTATGATTTGATCTACTTCATTACATCTTGCTGAGACAAATTTCCGAAACAAATATTTATTGATGAAGGAAAAATCAGGTAGTTCTCTGACAGCGCAAAACAAAGAGGATGCTAGTTTTCATTTTCCATCGAAAAATGAAATGTTATTACTACAGATTAGTGATTTTCTAGAAAATAAATAAAAAAAAAACAAGACATGCATGAATGAAACAACTGGAAAGATACACTTCGAAAACATTATCGATAGAATCTGGATACTTGATCGAATTCATCGGTTAGTGAATATTCTTCTTAGAGATTTTTCTTCGAAGAAGAATGGATTTGATCGTTTCAGTAAATGATTTAATTGTCAGGATGGATAAAAAATGCTGATAAAGCAAAAATTAGAAACACAACACCACCAACAAGTGTTACGGTTTTCGGTGATATACGCTGGGCGACAAAACGTCCACCGAGAACAGCTAATCCAGTGCATAAACCATGACCAATCGTACCACCAACAATAACACCTAAGAGATTTTCACTAGCAGCCAAGACAATTGTAGTTATCTGAGAACGGTCTCCCCATTCCTATCAATAAAAGCAAAGCAATAGAATTTATACGAATATGAAAGGACTCACAGCGAGAAATGTCATGATAAATGCTTGAATAAATATTGGAGAGATGTAACGACGAATGATTGTGACAACGAAAGTTCCTGTATTTCGTTTCGATGATCTTTGTTGTGGCTGATTCATTCTCGACGAATTATCTTCTGTTTCTCCATCGCCTAATTCGACATCTTCTTTCGCTTCTGCCTTTTCCACTTCATTCTGAACTTCTTCATATTCTTCCGTACCTTCATCTGCCGACATTCCATACCCATCTTTCAACATTTTAACGCCAAAGCCCGCGAATAATATACTTGAAAGATAGTATGTATAAACTCTCGAAACGAATTTTGTTACAATATTTCCTAATAAAGCAGACAGGATCGTCATGGCTCCTAGAGCACTCATTGCACCCGTATAAATAACCAAACGGGAGTGACGCATGGCCAAAATCGCAGCAATGAAAAATGTTTTATCACCTAATTCCGAAACTACAATGACCGATATTGACGCGATGAATGCATGGACAAAGCCAAGATTGCCTTTTTGCACAGTTTTTTCAGCAGTTTTATCTGAAGCAGGCTTTGTTCCATTTGATGATGGGAATTTGATATTGAAAAATCCTTGGTTTTGATAATTTTTCGAGTAAATGTACACTGATACACTTAATATTGAAAAAATAGCAAAAGTAATTAATAATAAAAGACGGGCTGAAATAGCCATGGAAAATATTGATAATTCAAATTAAATCTGATCTCAATCTGCAGAAAAAAATATGTTAATCAATAGAAAACACGTGTCAAATTGTCTTACTTTGCACAACGGAATGTTGTTTATATCACTACGAATGCATGAGGAATCACAGATGAATACTTGTCTTTAGAAAAAAAGAGAATAATCTAAAAGAAATATGATTTCTTTTTTCATTCCATCTGATCATGAACTTTTCTATAGAGTTTGAAATAAAGAACAAAGTCACACCCTTCACCCTGAAAAAAGCACACGCTGAAATCGGTTTACATGCATTAGAAAACAAATAGAATTGATTTCGAAATTCATTCATTATCACATTGACTTACTTCTTCTTCGGAAGAGAAAAAGAGAGAGAGAACGACTTATTCATTCGTCATACAATTCCGACATAATCAGTACAATTAATGATGACCAACCAGTAAACGGATGACTTCCTTTACCATTACCAGTACGATCATCATATTGTTCCCAAACATGTCCTGTTTTTTCATAAACACGAAACATGTTTCGTATGAGATTTGTACGTAACTGATGGTAAATCTCGTTTGCTTTGTCAGCATATGGACTAGCACTTTTCGCATAATATTGCAAGGCAGATAGAACCATATAATTCATATTGATCCAAATAGCACCTACAAATAATGATTGAAGAGATGCGTTTCTAGTGAACAAAGTGAAATATATGTGTCTACCTCTCCAATACGGTGGATCGTGTTCGGTATTTCTTGCTGCATACAGTGGACTTGATTGTGCCAGTGATCGAAGACCATACGGAGTCCATAATAGCGTTGAATTTCGTAGGTCATCTAGAATCTTATCAAGATTCTTCGATTGTGGATCTAGTATTCGTGTCATTAATGGAAATAGAGAAACATAACCGAAATGTTTAACATATTTCAATTGCAGATCGGTTTCGTTCTTTATCTGTCGAATCATTTGTTTTTGTTGACTTGGTTGCGATGGTGATTTACTTGACATTAGCACCTGTTTCAATTGAACATAATCAGTATGTAATCCATAATCGGCGTACATTCCATCGTCTTCCGACCAGTGTAATTGATCTAGTAAATCATTATTTGAAAGCAATTGTGCGTATGTTAAATAGTGATTTGCTTGTTTTTTATCAAAAATAGCATAGAGTTTACCAAGAACATTAGATGCTAATGTCATCCAACAAAGTAAATCGAGATGACGTTCGGAACTAGTGGGATGTGATGCACGAGGATAATCATCCAAACCGCTTGTCAATGTTTTGGGATTAAGTTCAAATATCGATGAAGAATTACGACCACGCCAACGAAATGAAAAAGGAATCGGACCTACTTGTGTTCGATTATACCACTGATACCATTTTTCTAGACGTTGAATAAATGGTAATGTGAAAAGCTGGCTACTTCGATTGGTTCTTAATAAATAATCAATTGTGAGAAAAAATGTCGGAGGATTGGCATTGCTTGTATATTGCACAATGAATTCCGATGGAACCCGAGCACGTGCTTCATCGCCAAGAATGATTTCCTATCAAGAAAAGATTATTAGAAAGTTCGTCACTCAAATTCTTTTGATCGTACTCGAGGAATCCAACCGTTATCATTTAACATATCAAACCAATGCGAAAGTATATCAACTGTGATATTCGCGTTCCATCGAGCAATGAGAAGATTATGAAAGCCTTCATCCCAAAGAAAACCACGTGGAAAAAACGAGCGTGATGGAACAGCTGTATACAAATTTGTCGTCCAATATTTATCTGGAGTTTGTTGATTGGGTTGAGCTACCAACGATTGACCTAGATAAGAAAGTGAACAATTTTTCGTTTCCAAATGATAGTATTGATATTACCAGTGAAGTAAGAGATTCCACCAAGAAGATTACTTAATGTTGAGCGAGCAAAATCAATTCTCTTCTCCGTCATATTTGGTTTACTTTTTAATTGAAATATATTGTCAAAACGGTAATCAAATTCTTGTTGTAAACGCAGGATTTCTTCATTGAAATACTTGCCTGTTAGATCTTGTTGACGTTCGTCGTCCGATGAATCCGATTGATAGATAATATCAAATGAAAAATTTTCGTTGACTAACAGCTTCGGTACAGTTATTTGTACGAAAAATGTGTTGTGCTCTGCTGACTTGAAAACTTGATCAGTCAATATGAAGAAAGGCTGTTCAGGACGATTGGAAGATAATTTCGAAAGGATATGTTGATGAATTGTATCGAGTTGAAAGACGTCAGTTAACGTACGCACAATTGGTTGATGAACCAATGTGTTCAATTGAATTTTAATTGTGAATTTGGCGAGTTCATTAGTTTGACCATGAATAGTAAGAACATGCGGTGATTGTTTAGAGATCGATGTAATCCACGGGAGATCGTGATGAAAATAGAAGAAAAAAGACACAGGAACGGAAACAGTATTCGGCTGAAAAGTCAAAATCAGTTTAGCACCGAAATAGTTTCGTTGAAGATTCAGATGAAATTATTCTCTACATACTTGCGGTAACGCATTAATTCGAGTTGTCCAGTCGCCGCCATGTCCGCCGCTGTTTTGTCGCATCCATTCGATTTTCAATTGTAAATTGTGATCAGTGACGTTTTCAATTCCGAACATCTCTCCATCATGATAGGTCCATCCGTACTTTAACTGATCATTCTGATCACACCAATGTCTAAAAGAAGAATTGACTTCGGATTTCAACGAAATTTTCTTTGAAAACTTTACCGAAAAAATCGATCACGTGATTTTTGTAATGTACCGTAATCAAACCACATCAATCCTGCACTCAACGATTGCGCACTTCGATGCTTTAGTCCAAAATACAAATTCGATCTTTTCGTAAAACAAAAACATTTCTTCTTTCTTGATCATATATAAAGTATCATCCTTTACCTATAAGTTCCCCAAAATCTGTCGAAGATCGATCGATTGACATTCACAAGTTTTGGTAAGTTAATTGGAACATTCGTATGTTCTATGTGAATATTCCTCAATAAAAGTTTAGATAAAATGAATAGGATCGTAAGACCAATAATCAGTAGTGCACATATTCGAATGGGTGATACGGTTTTCGATGATTTGGACAGACGTTGTTTTCGTTTTGCTTTAGTAGTAGTCTCATCTTCGTTCGACGAGTGTTTCTTGTGAACATTTTTGCGACGTTGGACTGTGTTTTCATTCATCTAAAACTGAACAATTATTTGTCTCATTTCTTCACAATTCCATCAAATGATAAAGTATCTAAACACGCGAACCAGCGCGTTTAAAACACAATTAAACCATTGAACACACACATATATTTATATGTATATATAAGTAGAAAAAAAGGAGGAGAAGAAGAACATGACCTGTTTTAACAGTAAAAATAAAACCTAATTACCACAGAAGAACAAATGCTGAATAAAAGGAGATACACTTGTTTAAAATGTTTTACGATGAATTACTCGAGCACCTTCGTTATCATATTCACGTTTTGTCACCCAAATCTTTTTGAATGTATCAAGCGATGCTAAGATCGAACCACTAAATCAAGAATGAAGTCAGACGAAATGAATGAACCTCATAAAACATTGCTCTTACCCAATCCATGTAGAATAAAGCCGTTCACGTGGAGCAGATATCTTTATTTTAACTTCCTTTGGCGCAATTCGTTTTAGTTCACCAAGTAGACGATCACCGAAACCTATCAATAGTATTTGCATTCTTATGAAGTGATGAAGATCATTTACCTCGAAATAGGGTCGATCCACCAGACAGGACAATGTTTTGATAGAGAGTCCGTCGTAAATCCATATCAGATCGTTGAATTGAACCGGATAGAACCTCGTGTATACCTTCGCATTCTTCGCCAATCAATTCAGGATTGAATAGAACCTCTGGCGCACGATAACGACTCGAACCAAGCTACAATGGAACGATAAGAAAGTCAAATCTTTAAATAAACAATGTTCTGTCTACATCAATGGTTGTTCCATCGGGTAAGGTGAATTGTGACTTTTCACCTTGATTGATTTCCTCTTTTTGTGCAGTTGGAGTCAAGCAACACACGCGTTCTTTAATACTTTTAACAATTTCAAATTCAGCTGTTGTTTTGAAGAGACAACCTTCTTTTTGCAATAATAATTTCAAATATCGAGTAACATCTCGACCTGCAACATCATTCCGAAGTATGCTATGTGGCATAGCAAATCCTACAGAAGACATTCTTTTCTTTTTCTAGCAAAACAATTCAATTCTTATCTCGTATACCTTCGTAAATAGGCACTGCATGAGTAACACCATCTCCGGAATCTAAAACAACACCAGTTGTTCGTCCACTTGCATATAAACTGAGAACTGCTTGCATAGAAATGAACAAAGCTGGTGCATTGAATGTTTCGAAGAAGATTTCCGCTGCTTTCTCACGATTCCTTTTCGGATTTAATGGTGCTTCTGTCAACAGCACCGGATGCTAGAATGAGTGAAAATCAGTTCATTATTCACTAGTAAACAATCATACTTCTTCTGATGCCGATCTCAGTTGATCTTTGGAATAGATGTAAGTCCATATTCTTTCCATATCATTCCAATCTTCTACAATCCCATGCTCCATTGGATAAGCAATATTCAGTAATCCTCGATATTCTTCAGCTCTTGGTCCAATAAATATGTCACCTTCCAGACCGCCAGCCATGACACGCACATGTTTCGGTCGACCGACATAATTCGGAAAATTAACTTTCGGTATTGGATCACCTGCGAAACCTGCTTTGGTCATACCTGAGCCATTATCGATGACAATCGGCTGATTTGTTATCAATATATCGTTATCCATTGGATTTTTATTTTCAATTAAATTGTAATAAACAAAATTGCAGGAAGAGAGAACGAGAAAAAAAAAGAACACTTGCACTCCTGTTAATGTTAAGCAACCAATTGATAAAATACACAGTTGAAATGTTAAATTTTCATTCGTATAGAAAACCAACCAATAGAATGAAAAACTACTCATAATCAATTTCTCATTTCTACTGTTTGTTTTCACATTTATCAATGTCTGGTCAACTGAAACAGTTTGATGCTTATGCCAAAACCTTAGATGATTTCCGTGTTCGAACAACCAGTGGTGGCTTAGTTACAATTGTGAGCACGTGCATAATATTCATTCTGTTTTTTTTTCAATTGCAATATTACTTAACAATCGATGTTGAACAAATTTTATTTGTCGATACTAGTAGACAAGAAAAAATGAATATCACCATGGATATTCGATTTCCAGTTCTGCCATGTAGTTATTTGACAATCGATGCCATGGATATCTCAGGCGAATCGCAAACAGATGTGATACATAACTTGTATAAGACCAGAATATATTTAAACGGAAGTATTATTTCCAATGATGTGGTGAAAGTATCGCTTCAACCATTACCCAAAGTGAATGGAACACAGGGAGACACAACGACTGTTTCCAGTTGTGAATCTTGCTATGGAGCAGAATCTGAGTCGAGAAAATGTTGTCCAACATGCGATGATGTCAAAGCAGCATACCGATTGAAAGGATGGTCATTTGATGCAAGTAAGTTACTATGCTGGTCTTAGATGCACATTTCTCATTCCAAAATTTAGCTGGCGTGCAGCAATGTATTCGCGAAGGTCAAGCTATTGGTATGCTTGGTGCGAACGAAAGTCTGTCTGATATGAAAGAAGGTTGTCGCGTGCATGGCCATTTAGAGGTAAATAAAGTTGCTGGTAATTTTCATATCGCACCTGGTCAATCGTTCCAACAGCAACATCTTCATATTCATTCATTGCGAAATATACGTTTAAACATGCTGAATACAACGCATTTTATCGATGAAATAACATTTGGGCAATATTTCCCGAATCAAATCAATCCATTGTCCAAGACAGAACAAATTCCGAAAGAAGGTGCTGCACTGTTTCATTACTATGTGAAAATCGTACCATCGACGTATGTCTTTTTGAATAAAACTGAATTACGAACAAACCAATACTCCGTAACAAAACATCGCAAAGTTATCCGAAATATTGTCGAAGGAAATTCACATGAACTACCTGGAACATTCTTCACATACGAAATCAGTGCGATTATGGTGAAATTCGTCGAAAAGCAACGATCATTGGCTCAATTTTTAACTTCATCCTGTGCAATTATTGTAAATAGTTTCCTCTTTCTCGCTTCCCAAATCTTGATCGATTGTTTTAGGGCGGCGTCTTCACGGTATCTGGTCTAATCGATGCATTTATCTATCGTGGCGGCTGTTTATTTCGCAAGAAACTCGAGATAGGCAAAGCAACATAATGTATTTGTTTCTCTATTCCAATTCGTTTTCAATATGTGTTAACAGTGATAATATCTGTTTTGTTTTCGTATCTGTTATTCTGTGATCAACAATAGATTTATTCTTCTTACGTATCAGTTTCGTTGGTTGTGAAAAATAATCATTTATCAAACAAACATCAGGCCCGTTTTACAACTGTTTCTTTATGAATCATTAGTCTACAAATGATGTGGATCAAGTTCGAATGACAAATATGACAAAACTTCTTCCATTCGACTATAATACTTGAGAAAAGGCTGAGTCATTTAAATGATTAAATACGTCAGAATCACGCCATTATTAGTCAAATAAATTTCACAGATATTTCATGTCTAAAAGAAAGACTGAATGAATTAACTAATGTCTTTTGTTCATCAAAAAGGCAACAGTTATTTTATGTTCTATGTTCAAATATTACAAAGGCAATGCATTCTGGATGTAATGCGTTTCAGTGACCTCTGTACATTTGATTTCTATTGGTTTCTTTCTTCGAACATGAATAAGTGAAGTATGGATGGATGGATACATATTCTCCTCTTGTCTTTAATTATTTTCAACCGAGAACAATACGTTCAGTCAAAGAAATTTGCTTTTCAATATTTGTTCATCGATTAAAAGAATTCTTTTTTTCAGATGAGAGAAAAACCAATTCTTTATAAGGATATCAATGGATTCATAACATGTTCGCTTTGCAACGGATATTTGATCGACGCAGCAACAATACCGGAGTGTTTACACACGTGTATGTTTAACGATTCAACAAACATTTTTTTTTGAAAAATCACTCGTGCTTTTTTTTTCGTTCTAGTTTGTAAAACATGCATTGCAGCTTACTTGGACAATGATGAAGAGGACAATACACGATGTAAGAGTATAATTTAAGACAAAACGATGTGTTACAATCAGTTTGTATTTTGACAGGTCCAAAATGTGATTCAGTTATTGATCATGTTAATCCATGGCGTGTCTTAGTTTTCGATCGTACATTACAGTCAATTGCTTATAAACTAGTTCCTCATCTTTATAAAGGTTTAAAAGAATTTGTTAATGAATGTCATATACGATGATATTTTTCTAGAGGAGATTGAACGACAAATTGCATATTGTAAGGAACGAGATTTGCCATATCCACCTGCATTAGTTGGTAAGATGAATACAACATCGATCTTGTTTTATTGACTGATTTTTTTTTCGAAGAAAAATTACAAGAAAAACGTGATGAGGAAGAACCACAAACGATTCCATCGAATTCCGATTTACATATCTATGATGATCAAGTTGCGATTTGTATTGAATCAAAGTCAAAAGATCTCCAAGTAAACAAATGATTCATCATTCTCATAATTGTTTAGTCACTAAATATTTGTCTTGTAGCCATTACCACGTAAATTTATTATCTGTTCAAGTAACGCAACGGTGACACATTTAAAAAAATTATTGGCAAAAATGATACTTGAAGATCCATGTCAATATAGAAAGGTAAACTATTTCGATGTTTGTATACCCATATTCAGACCACCTCCAGCATCCATTGTGTCCATTTCTACCAATTCGAAACCGCGAGCACGCACTGCTATCGGAGTTTTTTGCACCGTTGTGTGATAGACTCGGCCTTCGACAGGTTCATTCGATTTTTTCTTAAATAATCGTTCAGGTTGAGATTCGTCATGTCGTTCACTAATCGGTACTTTACCACTACGAGCACATGGAATACATTTGTAGAGAAACGAAGGCATTTGAGTAGTTTTTCAAGTTCTAGAAATGCAGAGAAAAGAAATAAAATGTAAAAGATACAACCAATCGTTCCTTTTCCGTTTCGGAGGAGACAAATTTTTGTTGACTGCGATGATAGAAAGAAATACAACCGGTATCGATGACAATATTTGAAGAAATACTAGCGATATGGCTGATATATCAAATAAAAAGAAAGTGGGAGCAATATTTAATCAAAAAATGTGACGATTCTCTAGTAAAAGTACGTTAATGCTATAATTTCTTTCCCTTCCTTTTTTTATGACCCTATTTTTTATTCTTCGTCGCTACGAAGAACGATTATGACAAAAAACAGAAGAAAAAAGATTCTGACATCGTCAACGATGACTAATACAAAGTAAATAGAATTCTTTTCTTTTCTTTTTTGAATAGATTGACATCTACTTGGATGAACAGATCTTAGGCAAAGATCATACGATGCGCTTTATTTCCTTGACTAAATGGCGTTATAAAGTACGTAATCTCTTTATCTCATACTTAAGCAGCAAGGTAAATTCTCTTTTTTTAGATGCCGCCTATTTGTTTAACATACAGCGTATCAGGAGACTGATACCAAGTCTTTTTTGTTGAAAAAAAAATATATATATTAATCTCTGTTTGTATAGAATCGAAATAAACGAGTTGACACTTATGCGCCAACATCAATTAAAAAGACATCGAATTTGTTATTGAGTTTATCAGCAAGTGTTTGACGACGATTACGAAATGTTGGTTTCGAGTTCACAATCGATTGACGTGCTGATCGCCAACGTCCTTTATCATCTTGTAATGATGGATTGCTTTGAATGATGCTTGTAACTGTTTGGGTTGAGGAAATTTTGCTCTCGTGAACTTCAGAAAACACATCCAATAATTGTTGAAATCGTCCATCTTGGACGATGTTTCTCGTCTTGTCTGGTAGAGCACTTTGCATGCGTGATTGTGTTGGTTGAGAGATTCGATCAAAATCTCGATAGTTCTCATCGGATATTGTTTGCTGTTCGATTTCAATCGGTTGTGTGCGAGTTAGACCTGCTGATTTGAAGCGATAGTTTTTCGGTTGAGCTAAATAATTGAGTCGGTCACGAGAGATCTGCTGTCGGGTTATGGGTCGTTGATGTTTGGGTTTTTTCGAAGCTATAATAGGTGTTAAATCAATTGGAGACTTTTTCGATGAGGCAGAAACACCGAATTGTTCACGTGTGGTTTGAATTCCAGTTAAAGGCCGTTGAGCTGGAGGTTTGATTGGTGTCGAACTCGTTGGCATTTCCGGTTGAGACTTGACTGTTTGGGCTGTTTTAACTCGTGGAATTGAAGAATCCGGTCTTCGATTGAATGTTAAATCTGATTTGGTTTCAGGGCGACAGAAAAGTGATTGAGTTGATGGACTTACGAATGAGTTTCCCTCATTTCTCTGCGTTTGACTTCCACCTAGTACAACACCATCTGTTTCAGATATTAATTGATCAACATATCTAAAACGAAGCAGGTCGTCCTTCATCTACTGAAGTCTTCCTTCGAAAGAACAAACATACGGACGAAGACCAGGCATTGATGTTTCCGACTTGGCACGTTGATTCCGAAGAAAGTTTTTCTTATCAAAGTTACATGTTAAGATCTTGCGATGACGTTCAAATGATAGCGTTAATAAATCAGAGAAAAATCGTCGACTAACGATGAGATTCTGTCTTGAATCATTCGTTACGAATCGTGTCGCTGCTGTTAGTTCTCCTATGGCTAGATCCTTGTCCATCCAGCTGGCTACTTCTGCTGGCACAGGTCGTTGTTTAGGAAACATTTCGCGCTGAAGATTAACAAGGTTTAGAATATTTTAACGAATGTTTCATTCACGAACAAAAGAGAAAGCTAATGTTTTTTCAATGTATGTTAGAAGAGAAGAATAAAAAAGAAAAATGGAGAAGTAAGAAGAAATGAAGAAAGAGAAAACTATTAGACTTTTGTTATTTTTACTAATTACACAATCAAGTATTGTACTATTAGACGCTCAAATAGCTAGCATCAGTCGCAGTTTTGGATGACCTTACTACGGAAAAACACATTTCGTTTATTAGAAAAAATGCGAAATCTTGTAGAAACACCATGGAACATCCGCATCTATTATATGTCGTGTAGATTGCTAAGAACGATGTTTTGCTCGAAAGTATGCCTTAACAAAAATATTTTCGTACTTTGAAGTAAAGAGCAGTGTGAATTTGAGAGAATTTAGTTGAGAAAACAAACAAATTGGTGTAGCCTTTGACTGGAAATACACTACGTAGTGTAGAAGATTATGCTGTTCCGGAGTTCTTACAATATCGACATTTATTGTGATATGTATTCGCATTGTACAACTCAATGCAACACGTTCGAATAGTTTGAAGTATAAATAACATTCACACTTTCACTTCTGTCATTGTCCTCGGGCTGAATGAGAACTGTTCTCTGGTTGATTTGTCCTCACACCATACCAACGAATATGCTGCAAAAAAAATCCAACTAGAACACAAACGTATCGTAACGAGTATATCTTGAAAATTCTGCTAGAATGAAACGACTCGTATGTGTATAATTTTATGCACATTCTTTAAAAGATTATTGTTTCCTCAGTGAAAATTAACATGATCTAACATTTGCTTTTATCTTAACCTTATGCTTATAGCAAAGTACATCGAAATCACGTTCGCTGCGCATAAATTATGAAAACACATTCATATTTTGTTTATCCAATTAGTAGTACGACTTTCTCCATACGTTGATTTTAACGTTAAAAGCAAAACGTCTGAATCCCCGGAATCCAATTTTTACATTTCGATTTTATACTTCACACAAACAGCTAAAAAAAGACAAACGCCTGAAATGATATTCTTATGAAAGGTTAAAATATAATGGAATCTACTGCACTCTTATCACATTGATCTAACGGGTGCACCAGAAATAGTGGTGGTCTCAGTATATTAACCACAGTTTCTTTTGGTTCTGTCTCTTCGAACTGGTTTGTCTTCTTGCAACTTTATCTAATTATAACAGTTGCTTATTTTCGAAAAAAAAGTATAGGAATAGATACAACTTGAAGCGCTCTACATAGCGTTCGGTTCCTAAAATGAACAGAAGTCTGCGCGCCGAATTTTCGTTCAGAGTATATTTCGTGTAATTGAATTTTACTTATCTTAAGAATAGAAGATGTATATTTAAGGGGAACTATCCGCTGCAAAATATAGAGTTTTTGACGTTGTATTTTGTGGTATGTTTTGTTTTATTTTAATTGAGTATGTTATATAACAGAAAAGTAAAGAAGAAAGTTTTAATTTGCAGTTCTCCAGAGGTTGATTTTATTCGAATCATAGGTAATTCGCTGCAGAAAGTTTTGTCCGTAAAGTTTGTTTTTTCTATAAAATACAACCTGATATACATCTTGTACAACTTTTCGCGTTGCATCTTGCCTTATATTTTTCCTTCACGATCGACGAATCTCTGTGCTCGTAAAAAATAGACACAAATGTTCATTATCATTGAAAGTTCGACATTTTTTATGTCTTCGAGAAGTATTTTCTAACTTTTTCACCAACCCACTTTAGAAGCACATGTAATAATCAACTTGTAGATAATCTGATGGCGCATCTTTTGATGAAAGAACCAGTTCGAAGGGACAGAACCAAAAGAAACTGTAGTTAATATATTGAGACCGACATTATCTCTGGCGCACTCGTTAGTTTGACACGGCTAACGACAGTGATTTACATTGGCAGGTACATGGCGACATCTATAAGGTCTCTATATGCTCGATAAACAAATTCAAAAAGAAAATATTTGTTCGTTTCAATATTGAAAATGGAATCTTTTTTTTAATGGATTTTTGTCTAAGAATTTAGCAACATGCATCGATTCGTTAGAGAAATTTTCGTATGATCAATTGGAATTTGGTCCTTTTCGCTGAAGAAATAAACAACAACACGCGCAGAGCAAGAGAGAGAGCGCAAAACTAAATTTCATATCAAATCCCAATTTTCTTTTCTTAGTAATTCTCCTTTTGACTTGTTATCGCTTTTTCTAATGATGTCTGATCTATCGAATACCCTTCGAAATATGAAGTTCATGCAGCGAACTTTAGAATCTCGAAAAAAATCTTTAAAAAAACCATCAGCAACAACGTCTCAAACAGTTCCCTCTTCTCCATCAGTCAACGTTCTCATCATCACGCCCGACCACCCCGGTTGTTGGCGTATCATCAAAAACGAGCTTACACCTATCCCTCAAATACCAACCACAAACTCCAATCATCCATCGATAACCTATCATAATAGCGTTTTCTCCGTTCACGATCGTAATTACACAAGACTGTCTTTCCAAAATTATAACAAACGAATCGAACCCTTGATGATCAAATATGGCCTTAAACAAGATGTAAATCCTCTAGAAGATGGCGAAATCGACCCGGACGATGACGCTGATGATGAAAATAAAACGAAATCGATGAATGAAGATGAACTACCTAGACATTCGACGACATTAGGAAAAACCATGCGAAAGAAATTCAATAAAAAGCAGTTTACACGCCTACAATTCGATGATAAATCACGTATTACAAAACGCAAACGAAGAACACGTGCTAGAACTTCGAGAGATTAACATATTTTTCAACAATAAAAGATTATTTGTTTGTTTTTTGTCTTTGTAGATGATGACAAGTTCTGTCGTTAATCTCGTTCAAGCAAAACACAATGCACCTACGGAAGAATTAACGAGTATGCTCGAGGCATTACCGTCGAGTGAAAATTCACAGGAAAATCGAGAAGAATCCGCAATATTCGATGATGGAAACGAATCATCAAGTGGTTTGATAAATCGAATACGAAGAAACTCCGTACATTCGTCACAAATAATAACCACTGCTGATTCATTAAATACCGTAAGAGTCATTCTGATCGAAAGATTTTTTTGGGAATTAAATTGTCAGTTTTTCTCAGTGATGTATAGATAGTAGCTGATGACTCGACCAGTTATTATTCGGCTGACGATGATACAACGACTAGTGGAACGAACTCGACACACACTGCGGCGAATGCAACTAATGAAGAGAACGAATCAGAAAACAATCATGAAAATGACGAAGAAATACATATGAATTTACTAAAGAGTAAATCGAAACATATGTTTGTTCTCAGTGAAAATGGAAAACCAGTCTTTACGAGGTAAATTCAGAAGATTATTTCGAAGATTTTCACTAGTCTGTACAGAAAAGATGTCTTCGACAAGCTGACTAAAACATCGAATAGGATCGCTTATGAGAGCACGAAAGAACAATTTCAATCTCCTGCGTCATCTATCGATCGAGAAAACTTTCTTCCCCTTTTTTCGTATTGTCCACACTTTACTCTGACCTCTACTCGCCGTTATGCTTATCTGCTTCTCACTCCTTGACCGGCTATACATATTTCTTCTTTTCTCTCTTAAAAAAGCAGCGAATATCCTTCATGAACTATATCTACCTACAATACACTTAGATATGGTGATGAAGAACATCTAATCACGTTAATGGGTGTAATGCAAACCCTAGTGTCATTTGCTGAATTGACTGATTCTAATCAATTAAATTACATCAAAGCTGGCCAATGTCGCATAGCATTCTTGCATCGAGAGCCTTTAATATTCGTTCTCATCTCTCATACGAATGAACATCCATTGTGTTTAACTCAACAATTAACATATACCTATCATCAAATCATTAGTACGTTGACATTAAGTCGTATTCAACATAAATTCCATGTGCAACCTAATTTTGATTTACGTCGTTGGTTATCCAATGCCGAGAAAAAACTCATAAACAATATTATTGATATGTACGAACGCGATCTAGGGATGGTAATGACTTGTGCCAAATGTTTAATGTTACCTACCAATGTTCGAAGTCAAATCGGACAAACAGTCGCACAGACCATTCGGGGACAAAAGGTATGTTATATGTCATAGAAAAACACTTCTAAAGTATAGAATCTTCTAGGATATGATATTTGCTATTATTCTCACTCATGGTCATCTCGTAACTATTGCACGTCTGAAAAACTATCATCTGCATCCATCAGATCTTTATCTACTTATAAATCTTGTCAACAGTTCCGATGCATTCAAAGGCGTCGAATCTTGGGTGCCAGTATGTTTGCCAAGATTTGATTCTGGGTTTGTGAATATGAAAATGAATTCAATCGAAATATGTCTGATCAATATTTTAGAGGATGCCTTCACGCACATATATCATACTTAGATGATAGTTGTGATGTATGTCTGGTATTAATGACGGTGAATCCTGAACATTTTCAAATACTCTCAGAGTTTAGACAGAAAATCGGAGAAGTAATTGAATCGTGAAGAATATTTTCATTCTTAAAATTGTGATAATTTAGAAATTGAAAAAGATCAATGCGCTTGTACAAATTAAAACTGCACTAGGCAAAGATCGTCTACTAACGGAAGAAATCGCATGCAGTGAATTACGCTATTTCGCTTACAAATCACGTGGTTTAAGTCAATATACATCTTCGAAGTTGTTAACACCGTATACAACTCGAGAACAACATGTTCGATTATTTGAATTGATTCGATATGTCTACGGACGTTTACATGATCCAAGTCATCAGTTGAAAATCGTTTACTTTACTGGAGAACATGAAGCGTTATTAGGATGGGTATGTATAGAATGAATTTCGCTTGAAATATTAAGCAATTTGTTTTCTTTTATTCTAGTTGGCACCAGGGTTCGAACTGCATGCTGTCTTTTCACCGTTGGTTACGTTAGAAACAGTAACTGCTTGTATTGATCGTATATTAACATATATAAAACGCGATGAAAGTCAATTGTTTATAATGAAATGCGAATATTTTTGATCGAAAAGACTCGTTTTTTAGGGGTCAGATGGTTCTTGTGTTCTTTGCAAATTTCCGTTCTTCGTTCTTTTATTTTCCTGTAATTCGTTTATTTTTATGGCATAAAAAATGTCGATCTATTTATTTATTTTCTGAACACACAAATATGTGCATATATTTGAAAGTTTTAGATGGTTCAACTTGCTAAAGTTTCATCGAGGAATTCATCTAGTAGTGATGATTCCGATGATGATCAACCAGTGAAAAAAGGTAGTAAATGATTTCTCATCGTGAATGAAATATAAACATTTATTACGACTATTTCAGCTTTCGCTCCAGTTCAAAAGCAGGTTACAACACCTGCACAAAAGGCTGCTCCATACACAAATGGAAATAAGAAAAAACAAGATTCATCATCTTCCTCGGATTCTTCTGATGAAGATGCACGAAAACCATCTACAAATTCAAAATCAACTCCAACTGCACCACCAGTTAAAGCTGATTTGAAGCGAAAAGCAGCATCATCGAGTAGCTCAAGTTCAGATTCGGATGATGCAGCACCACCTGCTAACAAAAAACAACCTCCATCAACGCCAACCAAAAGTATGCTTGCGTTTCTGGCCATTTTCCAACCTACGTACGTTATCTGTTATAGCTAATGGAACATCAGTTGTTAAAAAGACTGGCATCCCACCACCAGCTAGTCTCATAAACAACAAGAAAAAGGATTCATCATCAGATTCGGATTCATCTGATGATGATGACAACAAGAACAAAAAACAAACACCCGTCAAAGCAACAACAACTGCCAAACCACCACAACAACCAATCAAGAAATCAGCTGCGAAGTCGAGCAGCAGTGATTCTGATTCAGATGACGATGATGATCAACCAAACAAAAAGACACCACTCGTTTCCAAAGGTTTGATCATCTTTCATCGAAACAATACAGTTATACTTCATATGATTTTAGTGACACCGAAAGCTGCCATTCCTCCACCAGCCAGTCTGACGTCAACGAAGAAACAAGAAAGTTCATCTGACTCTAGTTCTTCTGATGACGATGCAACGGCGAAGAAGGCACCAGTTAAAGCCGCGCCGACTCCCGCAGCTAAGGTGGCTACTCCTCAGCTAGCGAAGAAAGCAGCATCAAGCAGTAGTGAATCGGATTCTGATGATAATGCGAAACCAGCAGTAACTAAGACATCAGTAGTCAAGAGTGCACCGGTAGTCGTGAGCAAGAAGAAAGATAGTTCATCTGACAGCAGTGATTCATCGAGTGAAGATGAAAAAACGAAGAAGTCAACAAATGTCTCAGCTGTGAAACCAGCGGCAACGCCAGCACCAGCCGTGAAGAAACCTGTTGTAACAAACAATAAGAAGAAAGATTCGTCTTCATCATCATCATCTTCAGACTCTGATGCAGCAGACAATAAGAAGGGTAAACCACAAGCAGCGCCAGCATCGACGAAAACGCATGTGACTCCATCAAAAGTGAAAAAGGCTAGCAGCTCCAGCAGCAGCGATTCTGAAGAAGAAGTATCGACTGTTAACAAAAAGAGTCCAGTTAAAAGTAATGATTGAACAGAAACTGATCAGTTTCTATTCTAATGACAATTATTTTTCAGCACCAGTACCAACTTCTACAGTTAAACCAACAGCCGCTCTGTTGAATAAGAATCAAAAGTCGTCGAAATCCTCGTCCGATTCAGATTCATCAGATTCTGATAACAATCGCAAAAAAACAGCTGTAGCTGCTGCAATTAAACCAAAAGTTGTCGCTCCTGTCACTGCGAAGAAAGCAGCTTCATCAAGTAGTAGCAGTACTAGTGATTCGGATGATAATAAGAAACCAATTACATCATCAGTGAAAGGTACATACTACATGGATGGAGTTTCAACGAAAACTATTCTCTCAGCTCTTTTAGCTCCCGTTCCGACAACTCCAGTCAAGAAAATTGCTGTTACGGCATCATCAGCTTTGGCAAGCAAGAAAACGAAAGAATCTTCAAGTTCGGATTCTTCAGATGATGATGATCATAAGAACAAAAAACCGGTTCAAGGTGCACCAGTCGCTGCAAAGAAAACAACAAAATCTAGCAGTTCTAGCAGTAGCGATTCTGATTCTAAACCAACATCTGCGAAAAAACAACCAGCAACTCCAGTGAAAGGTAATATTCAGTAGAAACTGTTCGTAAATTTCACTTATTATTTCTCACTAGCTCCAGCAGTAACAACAAATGTTGTCAACAAAAAGAAACAGGAATCATCATCTTCATCGGACTCTTCAGATGATAACAAAAAAAAACCACCTGTAGCCGTTAAACCAACTCCAGTTGTTACTAAACCTCAAACAAAAGCATCAAGTAGTTCAAGTAGTAGTGATTCAGATGATAAGACTTCAGCAAACAAGAAAGGTACGTTGATCCACCGTTTGAGTTCGTTCATCCAAACGCTTCGTTCCCCACTAGTCCCTGTTTCACCTGTCAAAAAACCAGCTGTCACGTCGTCGACAACTGCCCCGACAAGCGCCAAAAAGAAAGATTCGTCTTCGGATTCTGATTCATCAGATGATGATACTCAGAAAAAGGTACCAGTTAGACCGACATCAGTCACCAAACCAGTTCAACAAGCAACAAAGAAAGCAGCTTCGTCAAGCAGTAGCAGTGATTCTGATGATGATAAGCCGTCAAAACGTAAAGAGCGCACTTATTGTGAAACACCGCTAAGTCCTCCCATCTTTGTTTAGCTACCGTCACGGCAATAACACCAAAAGCTGCTATTCCACCGCCAGCTAGTCTCATAAACAACAAGAAAAAGGATTCATCATCAGATTCGGATTCATCTGATGATGATGACAACAAGAAAAAAAAACAAACACCCGTCAAAGCAACAACAACTGCCAAACCACCACAACAACCAATCAAGAAATCAGCTGCGAAGTCGAGCAGCAGTGATTCTGATTCAGATGACGATGATGATCAACCAAACAAAAAGACACCACTCGTTTCCAAAGGTATGTTCATCTTTCATCGAAACAATATAGCTATACTTCATATGATTTTAGTGACACCGAAAGCTGCCATTCCTCCACCAGCCAGTCTGACGTCAACAAAGAAACAAGAAAGTTCATCTGACTCTAGTTCTTCTGATGACGATGCAACGGCGAAGAAGGCACCAGTTAAAGCCGCGCCGACTCCCGCTGCTAAGGTGGCTACTCCTCAGCTAGCGAAGAAAGCAGCATCAAGCAGTAGTGATTCGGATTCTGATGATAATGCGAAACCAGCAGTAACTAAGACACCAGTAGTCAAGAGCGCACCGGTAGTCGTGAGCAAGAAGAAAGATAGTTCATCTGACAGCAGTGATTCATCGAGTGAAGATGAAAAAACGAAGAAAGCAGTTAACGTGGCATCTGTGAAACCTATACTAACGTCAACACCAATTGCTAAACCAGTTAAACGACCAGCTTCATCGAGCAGCAGTGATTCAGATGACAATACCACAGCGAAGAAAACAACTCCAGTGAAAGGTAATACTTTTTGAAATCACGAACTACAATTTATGACGACGGGTGTCTACTGTAGCTGTTGTCACGTCAGTATCTGCGAAATCTTCTGTGACAAACAATAAGAAGAAAGATTCATCATCATCATCAGATTCTGATTCACCGGATGACAAGAAAAAGAAAGCAGCTCCAAACGTTAAATCTGTACCGACACCAATTGCTAAGAAAGCTGCTAGTTCAAGTAGTAGCAGTGATTCAGATGATGATAAGCCCGTTCAAAAGAAACCAGCGCAAGCGACTGCTGCAGTTAAAACACCCGTTATTCAAGCAAATACCGCCATTAAGAAGAAACAGGATACATCCTCCTCGTCAGACTCTTCTGATAACGATACAAAGAAACAGCCAGTGAAACCGACTGTAGCACCTGCTCAGCCTGCCAAACGAAAAGCAGCATCATCAAGCAGTTCGAGTTCAGATTCAGATGACGTTGCACCACCTGCCAATAAGAAAGTGGCTCCTTCAACACCAACGAAAGGTAATCATACGTTTTAGCATTCCTTGCTTTATTGCAATAACATATCGTATTATAGCTGTAGCAAAACCTGCAGTGTCATCATTAACTAATCTCACAAATAGCAAGAAAAAGGGTTCGTCGTCGGATTCTGACTCGTCGGATGACGACAATCAAAATAAAACGGCTTCGATTGTACCAGCTAAAACAGCACCTATTACTAAACCAGTTCAACAAGCAACAAAGAAAGCAGCTTCTTCAAGTAGCGGCAGCAGCGATTCTGATGATGCACCAGCACCGAAGAAACCCGCTGTTGTCAGCAAACCAACAGTTCAATCAGTGAATCTCTCTGCCAACAAAAAGACTGCAGCATCAAGCAGCAGTAGCGATAGCAGTGACTCTGAAGATGACAAAGCGGCGACAAACAAAAAATCACCACAAAAACCCGCTGTCAATGGTTTGTGGAACTGAATTTAATTGTTGCTTTTTAAACTTAGATCATCTGCTTTTATCCTTCAGGTACAAGTATCGGTAAACCATCTATAACAACAGTTAATGGTAACGGTAGTTTAAAACGAAAAGCATCATCATCATCATCGAGCGATGACTCAACAGATGACAAACCAACTAAAAACGCGTCGACTAACGGAATTGCTAAAGTTAATAATCAGGTTTGTCGAGTGTCCTCTTCGTTTATCTCTATTTGTATTCGAAATATCTATCTAGGTGACTGTTACCCCACAAGATAATAAACAACCAAAAGTATGTCGAATGATTCATTCTAGTTCTCAAATCAATGTTTGCTTTGTAGCGTAAATCATCGCCTTTCCGACGCGTTCGAGAGGAAGATGCTGATCCCGAATATTTGAAAAAAGTTGGCAAAAATGCTTTTGAGCAAAAGGTAAAAATGAACTTGAAATTTTCTATTTCTTCTACTTGAACATAAAATTAGGCCGGTGCACGTGGTTCATGGGGCGAAAAAGCGAATGCTGATTTAATCAATACTCGTGGCAAAAGTTTTCGTCACGAGAAAACGAAAAAGAAACGTGGTTCATATCATGGTGGAAAGATCGATTCAGTGAACACATTTTCAATTAAGTTCGATGATTCAGATGAATAGAAGAAAAAGGAAAAGAAAGTTTTTTTTGTGTATGCGTGTCGCTGTTGACTCATTGTTACGTTTTTTTTGTTCTTGGCGTAAATAAAAGAAAAGCGAAAAGAAATGAAAAGAAATAGAATAATACAATCAGACGAAATCTTCGTGTCATTTATGAAACAATGAAACCGGATAATGCAACAGAAGAAGAAGAAGAAGAATTCTATTTTGACTACACTCGACTATTAGTCGAAAATCGAATGCTTCATCGAGCAGGATATTATCTAGGTGCGTCGAATTCCTTTGTTCGTTTATTCACCTTAACTGCACGACGATATTGGCTTGCCCAAGCAACCAGCGAACACATGACTGCAGATTGGAAAATTCATTTTTCCATTCAACCAACCGACATTCCTCTGGCATTCAATCTTCTTTCAAAACTTTATTTCGACATGAAACTATCGGCTGGTTTAAAGGCTCGATATCCCGACGATTGGAAAGATTATGAAAATAAATGGCCAGATCATATGCGCGGAAGAGAAATCACTGTCTATATTCTCCTGTACGAAGATACTACAGTGACACCCAAACAAACAATGCTCTATTCACGCGAGGATTTGAGCAAATCGATAGAAATGATTGATTGGACGTTATCATCGTCGGCTGATATCTATAAAAATCATGATATGAGCGAAAAGGACGAAATTCCATTAGATCGATATCTCGATTATGCTAATCGTGCGGAACAATTATTGGAAAAACATCATATCAAATCGAATGGATGCGCAAATGGTGATTATCCCATTGGTAAATACACTTCATTGCGTAATGAAAAATTTGTTGCTATAGAAGATGACGAGGACAGGTTCAAAAGACGACTGATTTATCCACCGAATGCATGTGGTTATAATGGATCAAGAGATAGACGTGATTTAACACGTGAAATTGTTAATTTACAAACATATCGAGCACGACTGAGGCATAATAAAATAACAAAACTATTTATTCTTCTGACAGTTATTTTGCTATTAATTGTATTTTTAATTAATTCATTTTAATTAAAGGAAAACATCGAATTGAGTTCATAGAAGAGCGAAAAATATATACATTTAATTGCCATGTTATTACCTTGAATCAATTAATAGGCATTTAACGTACACATTCAGATGTAAAAGGTACAACTATCTATATTGATTAGATTGATGTGTCTTTGATTGATACAAAATGGATATTGTCACTCAAACGTGTCATGATAATGAATATTCTCATCGATGTCCTCCAATTATCAATCAGATAGGTAGGCATATGTAGGTGGATGTACATTTTGCCAGCCCAGTCGACCGATCGGTTTTTTTTACAAGACGCGTCATTTTTTCCTATGTACAAGAAGAGAAATGAAACGAAAAAAGTAGGCAGACGAGAGTCAACTATGTTGAGATGCGTTGTTGCGACACGGTTCATAGATTGTGTGCATCCGTTTTCGTTGTTCACTATAAGAAAGAGAGAGAGTATGTATACACGTCCCCCGTTTTTTTTTCATCATCATCTATATTCGATATGGAGGAAAAAAACACATATGTGCAGTGTAACGTCCCTTTCTCTTTACTTTCATTTGATACATTGTAGCTCGTCATGATGCAGCAAGTGTCTCCACCACCACCAATTCAAACGCGTTATCCTCCACCGTATCATCAATATCCAACTGTTCCATCGCTCTCTACTTCATCATCGTCGTCACTCTTAATTCCGCAATATTCAGCGATGAATAGTCCTCAATCGATAAATTCTATTGATGCGACCGTATTCGGACCAAGTGTGCCGCCGTTCAAAAGTTCGAAAATAAATAACTCTTTATCATTACCTCGTTCAAACGATGTCGATTTTCGTCGTTTAATTTTGTTTAATGTACCTATCGACCTTATTCGTGAATATCTCGAACTTTATATCGAACATTTATCAGGTGAAGCAGAAATAGAACGCATTGATTACTCTAATCTTGATGATACAACTGTAATGGTTACATTTAAAACTGAACTCGGTTTGTTTTCAATTGTTACTGGTGAGATTTACAACTTTACCTTTTGTTTAGATATGGCCGAAGTACGTCGTCGTCATGGAACCCGTTCGAAATTACATGATTCAGAAATATCTTTAGCTGAAGTCACTCCACCAGCAACTGTAATGATACGAAATTTACCATCGGATGTATCGCGTGATGTACTTGAATTGTATTTCTCCAATCGACGTCGCAGTGATGGTGGTCGAGTTATTGATGTCACATTGGACGATGAACATCAACATGCACTTGTCACATTTTCTGATCATAAAGGTTTTCTAAAGAGACACTTTATCTTTCAAACAATTTCGCTTTTTTTTCTTCTTCGTATATTTAAGATGTACGTCGAGTAACGAAACGTGAACATTTGATACATGGTCATCGACTCGATGTCCGTATTTATTATAAACATATGGGCATCGAACCATTCACAGATGCGTCAAATGTTGGCAAACAACCCGATCCGATTCGTTATCGTATATCCGATGATAGTCGTTATTTATTTTTACTTAAAAATCGTCCATTACTTAATGAACTTCGTGAACAATTGAAACCATTAAATGGTTTTGTTAGTTTACAAACCGAAGGATTCCTAGAAATAATCTTCAATGGCCCTCGTTCAACAGTCAAACAACGCTTTCAATGGACAAAAGATGTCGAAAAGTTAGTTGAACACTTTCTTACCGAACGCCTGGCTATACAAAAAGTACCCTGGAATAATAATAAAATTCCATCTATTGGTCAGGAACAATTGGCCGATCTTTCGTTGAAAGATAATACACGTTTAATGCAGTTAGTTCCATCCGAAGGTCAACCCAATCATATTGTTGTCACAGCATTGAAAGAAAATCTCGATCGAGCTTTGAGTGAACTAACAGATATGCTTGCTGGACCACGCACAACGCAGACGTCCAATAATAACATACCTTTAACGGATGCTGTCTACCGTAGTAAACCAGTGAGTACAACACGTGATCCAAAAGTGAATAATCAACGTTCATCGTTATTACTTCGTTCATCACCATTAACACAAAGTACACCTGATCTCGACTTGCCACCACCATTGTCAAATATCACGATTGATGATCATATTGATAAATTACGTTTATACCAACTTGATTTGTTATCGATGCGTTTTGTTGATCTTGCTCGTCGAACTTATATGGATTTAACGATCGATATTGATCGAGTCGGACGACGGGTTCATCTACGAGGTCCACCCGATCAAGTTGCTGTTTGTAAAAATTATTTCGAATCAATTCTTAACGGAATAGTTCATAAACATTACAGTATAGGAAAGGAAATGGCAGTTTTTCTATCGAATCCTGATACTGGTAAGTTCATGCTTTAACTTCAACGAATAACTCATTCTTAATCGATTTTCATTGTTTGTTTTTAGTCGGAGTAATCATTTCCTATTTAACAAATACTGATCATGTCTGTGCCTATGAAATCGAACGAATCAGTAACAATCATCGTCGAAGTGCAGTGTCTCCAACACCGAATGTGAATAGTCTTGGACCAATGCCCAATCATAACTCGTCGTCATCGATCAATACACATCATAAACTCGTTTTATATGGTCTAACACGTGATGGATGCGATCGAGTCTATGACATACTTCGCCATGACATACGTGTTCGTTCGATAATGTTAGATAAAGATGATAAACGTTGTCTAGCAAGTGAATCGTGGCATGCGTATGTTCGTGAACTTTATTCTAATCCAGGTGGTTTTCGACGCCGACGTGTACTTTTACAAGTCAAACAAAACCAACTAACATTAGTCGGTTTTGCTCAGGATGTCGATGCTATGCGTAGACGTATCTCTGATTATTTTGTTGAAAATGCCATTTCATTCTATGAATCTGACTGAACGATTTGAGAACAAAACAAAAAAGAAGAGGAAAAGAAAAGTTTGCTAATTTTTCTTTTCGTTATTATTGTTGTTTTTTTTATGATTCTTTACTTATTTATTATATTTGTAGAGTTCGAATATTATTGGTTCATGTTATGTGTTAAAGTTAAGAAAAAAATTAGTACGAGAGGAAAGGTTTCTATTGAGTTCGGATGTCTTTTTTTAAGTTTGAATTTGATAATAAACTCATGTTTAAAACCATTTCGTCGAAGAACGACTGTTTATTTGTTCGATATCTCCTTTCTCATATAGTGATAAATAGCAGGCATATATTTATTCTTTTAAAATGAAATTTTCTTAGCATTTCTCAGTTTTGTCTTCGAAATCTTTGGCAATCACTTTGGTATCAATCAATTTGATTCTTTTATGTGATGAACGTTCGTTGATAATCTTGTTTAAACCAATAATCAGCACACTAATGATGACCAGTGCTGAACCAAGTAATGCAAATGAATTCGAGCGTTTCGGTGTGAAAATATTTTGCAGTATCAACGCGAAAATGATATCCGCGGAAGTGAGAAGTGAATAGACCGCTGGATGTTCGCGTTTGATGGCTTTTTGTGTAAATATATTCACAAGAATAATCGCCAAAGAAATGATCGAAGTCAGAATAAATCGGCAGGAAAGTAAAATACTCCACGTCAGACCAGTATGGAGAATGTATTTCTTGTAGATTTGATTGATAAAAAGTAAAATTAGAGTAGTAAAACAGTATTGGAAATTGATCACACTCGGTTTGATGTCCTTCGATGTACAAACTAATTGTTTATATGTTAACACGTTCGTTGTACCCGTGAAAGCAGTTGTGATCGATAAAGCTAGACCGAGAAAACGATACTTGCTATCAGTAGATACCACTTTTGATGCGAAAAGAAACGTCGGTTGAGCAACGCAAACAACACCAAGAAGAGTTAATGGCAGCGCTGTCAGTGTACTCCAAGTGGGTCGTTCACGGTACAAAATCATGCTGAACACAACTGTCCAAACCACACGTGTATAGCTCAATGTTGTCACATCGGATAATTCCACATAACGTACAGCAATGAAAAACAAGAATAATCCCATTGCACCTGTTGCGCAACATAACAGTTGAAGAAGTATTTGAGTAGGATTGCCGAGGAAAATTGGATAGTGTTTATAACGTACGTATGAAAACGTACCCAAAGTTTGGAGGATGAAACGTAGAAGTAATGCGTCCAGTAAATCAATGCCTAATTGTTTGATAGAAAAGGTAGCACACGTGAAGAGCAGTGATGATATCAAAGTGTAAAAGACACCGGAAAATTGTCGAGAGAAACTAATTTTGTCTACGAGTGGATCATTGATGCTCAACGTTGATATTGCTGGTGGAAGAAAAATCGATGGATCATTTGGAATCTTTGCACTCAGTGAACTATCTTCATATTGTTTCTCACAAAGAACGTCTTCTCTCACTAATGACATGATGAAATAAGAATAAAAAAAGTGTCTGAAGACGAAATAACGGTCGTTTGTGGCGATGCACTTTAATACTAAAAAAATTAGGTGGTTTTCATCATGAAAAGGTAACAGATGATTGACTGCCTAGAGTGATTACTAAGCGAGTTATTAATTGCGTTTGGAGCGAACAAAAACATAGTTATTACGAAAGAAGAAAGAATTGAATTACATGAATTAATCCTTTTTTGGAACGGTTTTTCATCGGATACTAAGTGCAGTTCGTGTTCGTTAGAAATTCGAGGGATAAAGTCCAGACATGATGAAATAAATTCGTTAGAGAAACGTCCACGTGGTATATTTCCTCTTCACATGTATTCACAAAGTCATTCGTATCTTCGCGTGTCTGACATGAACATGTTGTCTATTTCAGTGCAACTTTGGAATTTGCTGTTCAATGTATGAAAGTACGGCTTTTCGTTTTTGTTTTCGCATTCCAATACCGTACAGAAATCTCTTCTCTTGCTAGACCCAACTAGTTATCACTATGAGACGATTCCTTCGTCACTTGTACAATCATTATACAACAAAAACGATGCACAACAAACATCGATCGATATCCCATCGGAATCCAATTCATCCGATGAAATAAAAGCTAATCTCAACTCACTTATGCCGTCATTTCAAAGGAAGCTTCCAATTGCATCAGTAGTTATTTTAGGTCTTTTCGAATTCCTATGTGGAATAGTCGTTCTCACACTTGAATTATTGATTTTCGATATCGGACTCGGCCTTTGGTGTGGAGTCATCTATGCACTCGCCGGTGCAGCTATTCTCGTGCTCGGTTTGTCTTTCAATGACTATTCTTTCTCCCGTAATGAACTTTTCTCTTACATTCTAGTTATTGGTACCGATCGCGAACGTCATCAGACGTCAGCTGTATTGATTTTTCAATTAGTTGGTAAGGACAAAGCAATTGTCATTTCACTTTCAATTTCCTTTCTAACCTTGCAGCAATGATGTTTACGATTACTGAACTATTCTTACATAACGAATCATATCGAAAACGATGTATAACAAAGGCCAACGAACCAACACGTGAGATGACCTTCCACTGTCAGATTCTTCTGATTCAAATAGTTGCTGCTGCGATTGTACTCGTTAGTACGATTGTTTTTTCGATAATCTATTTTCGAGTAACAATGATTGTACTCAAACAACCACATGGCACCTGTAACATGTCGAATGCGCTCAATTTAAACACTTGCTAATGATGTTTTGTTGTGTATTGAATGTATTTTATTTCTGTATTTATCTATGTGTGTGTTTTAACTACTTAAGACAGAATGGTATTTGTTTTCTTTTCTGATTAGAGAAACTTTTAAGAATATACGATAATGATTTTTATACAGAAGATCTTCTTCCGAAGTCCATGTCGAAGCAGAACGCTCGAATATTTATTTATACAATCTTCTCAACAACCAGTGTCATCTTTATTTATTATCACAGGGTTTAAAAGTAAAACAAAGATTCCATTTACTAATTATAAAAGAAAACAAGATAGGTTCACTCTTTTTGACATAGTATGTTTAAAGCCCATAAAACCATGATAGCTAATATAACTTTGAAAATGCCATCCATATTCAAATTCTGGAGATTAGTTTGTTCCATTGGTTGCGGTGTTGTCAAACGATCGACTAATCTGAGTAGGAACTCATTTTGATCTAATGAACGGCTCAGAAGTTGTTGAAGAAGGTGATCGTCATTGTGCTGTTTTTCATCTTCTTCATCGGATCGTTCACTGTCTGTTAAGACTTGAGTTGTTTCAATGAATAATTCTTGACGGAGCTTTGAAATTAGGTCTGCTAGCTCGTTTCGCTTCAAACGATTCAACTGATGACTTTTTTTCTTAATGGCATGTTTGTATTCACGGATAATGGCATCAAAACGACGAGAATTAACATCATTTGCCGATATTGATGCTGCTGTTGCTGCAGGTCCAGAAGACGTCGCGGCGAATTTCATTGGATTGACCATTGAACCTGGTGCAGGTGTTCGGCCTTGATTATTTCAAGAACAAATGATGATGCATTATAAAAAATGGTGGAAAAAATACTTACGAGGTTGCATAGACAATTTCTTTTCTACATGTGTTATTTGGCGGACTAATTCATTGAACGATTCATCGAAGTCCTCCGGCGAAGAGAAATCAATGTGGAAATTTGAGCCTTTAATGATTCCCAACCAGCTTTGTGCACGGAAGGATTTTTCCATTAAACATGGAATAAATTTAATTCGGTTTTCAGCTGCATACTCCGCTTCTACAATCGAAAAAGTTCTTGTCTGTCAAAGAAGAAAATGTGAAGTTACCCAATCGACAATAGTCGCTCTCATAGTACTGTTGATTGATACAAAGTAGAACAATATAAGAATTCTCAACTGCACGTGCCATGCTAACAAGAATATCATCAGCCATATCGGTTAAATCCATCCAAACTTTGTAATTTTTATTCTAAAATAGATCAATTTTTTTCCATGATAACGTTTACGAAACAATCGTTACCACAAGACCCTGATAGATTCGTTCACAAGTGTCACGTGACGAACGATTATAACTGATCATGATGTGTCGTTTCTGAGGTTGACTACCACCGGTGGTTGTTTTGGGAATTGCCGATAAAGATTGAACTTCATCTTCGAAGAAAAATTCTTCTTGATAATAGTCTTTATCGAAAACGTTCTCTTACCTTCATCCTCTTCGGTATAAACTTCAACAAAACTATCGGATATGCCTTGCTCTCTGTAATTCACCCCTTCATTTAATTCTTCGCCGGGTTCTGTTGTTGTCGTACTAACAACGCTATCATAGAGATGAGACAATTGTTTAGCAGCAACATTTAAACTATCTGTGATTCCACTGGGTAACTCAGCAACTGATACAGCAGTTGTTGTTGTGCTTATCGAAGGAATGGACGAGCTTTCGCTGCTACCGTCTAACGTTAACAAAGCTTGATTGATGCCCTGTTCATCGATGGATAGATCTGAAAGTAAACCAAACTAAGGTATTCGAAATCGTGTGAAACAAATGTATGTCTTACTATCATCATTTCCGGTCGAAGTGGAATCTAAATTGAGTGCAATGTTAACCATTTCCTGTGAAAAACAAATTTGTAAGTATGAAATGTAAGATTGAATAATTCCATTTACTCGAAATTCTCGCAAACTGGCTGACGGTTCATTGTCAGATATTTTAATTTGATTATCGATGGAGTCCGATGGATTTTCTGCCATGATTTATTACTATTTCAGTTCGTGATGCAATTTCGAATTAATATTGACAATAGTCCATAAGAGAACAGAACAACTACCTGTATAAAACAACTATATGGCCTGTTTATGTATTTATCGATAAAAAAACTGACGTGTTTATTAGACAGAATTGATGTCGCTATTCAATATAAATCTTGTTTTACAGCCAGCTTTAATCATACAAGGATAAACCGTCGTATTCTTAACCGCATTGTTAATAGGCACAAGAAGACAAACAAAATAAGGAAGTTTAAGGTAGATGGCGAATGTCTTATTGTGGATTGGTTAGCAGTTGTAACGAATCTTAATCATCGCTTCTGAGTCAGAGAGAGAGAGATGGATGGTTCTTGAAAAACAAGGAAAAACCAATTGTCGTAGTTGGAAATACTAGACTAGTATCGACCATTTATTCGATTTTGAATCACATTTGTATATTTTAGATGAATTACGCTAATGAGAAATGAGATTTGACTATAATCTTCACAAGTGTATACATGTGATACGAGTATTCCCTGAGGATAGGCTAGAGAAACACTCGAACGGCTTTGTCAGCTTTTACTTTCTTCTTCATGTAATAGATGTCTATTCGAATGTAGAAGTTGAAATTTGTAGAAGATTTATACATTTGTGTTAGATGACATACCTGGTTGAATCTATTTATATCTTGGTATTTACTTCGCGCTAGATGATGATGATGGTGATGAAATACATTGCACGTGATTACTCATATATTGAAATGTCGCAATATGTTTTTTGTTTTCTAGATACTTTACTTCTCCTTTCGTTTTCTTCATTGTTCAGGTATACCATGGCGTTGAAAGGAGCAGCAACAATGATTGTTCGACTTAGTCGAGCAATAATCTCTCGTCCACTAAAACCCGTATTTATTCCTCGTAAATATGATCTTGCACTTATAAACAAGAACCCACAAGTTCATTCGAATACACCAGTTCGTTATTATTTATTTCCATCGATATATCGATCGTTTTTCACTCATAATGGCCCATCGATTGGTCATTATCAGCAAAATCTCTCGCACTTATTACCTTTTCGGGCGGCACTCAACGAGATCAAACGACGGCTATTCTTTGCTGGTTTGTATTTTTATTCTTTCGTTTTTTCTTTATTCAAACACATATACATATCACTGTTTCATGTGCTGGCACACTCGAGAATAATGAGATCGTGAAAGAGAAAACGAAGACTTTTTTATAGTTGTCTTACTACGAAAAAAATTATATTAAAAAAAGCCGAACTCGCAGTACACTGGCAGGGAAAGAGCGTAATCATAAAACTGATGAAAAAAGAGGGCGAAAAATGATTCTCTTTTTTTTTTGCATTGCATATACAAGTACATAGCACAAATCACCATTAAGCAGGCTAAGACAAGTGCATGTCGTCTCTGTTCAACATTTGTATAGTAGTAAATGAGGTGAATGAACGAACGCACGAGCAAATAGATTTCTTTTTCTTTCTCTCATTCGCTCTCTTTCCTTCTCCTACCAATGGACTAGTAGTGATCTGAAGAGAACAGCGCAAATGTTGCAGTAAACGTCTGTCAGAGAAGAGAAAAAACAGACATTAATGATGATGATGTGAGGAGATGAAATGATATGAGATGACACACGGAACAACTGTTACAACTTCTGATTCGATCAAAGTCTATCGATCAATCCGACTCAGCATGCTAATCATTATTGAGCCGTATTGACTCTTCTTTCTCTCCTTTCGGATTAGTTGACCTCCGATACAAGCATCTATTATTCTTTCTTTTCGATAGGTTTTATTAGGCAGCAGATTATATCGAGTTGTATATACCTAGGTCATCAATCACTTCCATCAAAGTATATTCGTATATCACTGAAGATCATAAAAATTTGAATATTATCGTCAGTTCTATATAATTTGTACTCGTACAACGAAGAGAGAAGAAAATTTCCTGTTCTGAGTGCGTTTTTCTTTCTTCCGTTTCTTTTTCGATCTCTTATTTCTCGGACTTACAAATAGAGTATTCATTTGTCCTATTCTGGCTCTTATTTTATTATAGCTCCGATTGGTTCTCGGCTTCTTCTGAGTCTTCTTGGCTATTCGCTTCTTCCACAAGCATCTTTCGATTATAATCATTGTTTCGATCAATCAATCAACAAAATCGGTGATCTTCTATTAAAAACTACCAACGTGGATTCACTGCATGACGAAAACGAAGAATACAATCGAGCATCGCTCGATGATTACGAATTAGGTCGTTTACTTGGTTATGGTTGTAATGCTGCTGTTTACGAAGCACGATTACGAACGTCGTCTGAAAGAACATCTCATTTATCACCAGATTTGGTTTCCAATGAAGAAAATCAAACTGACAGTGATATTGAGATTCTTTCACGTCAATCATCAACAATTTCGTCTCTATATGAAGATACATTTGATACCGAAGAACAACTCAACGAATCGACATTCAAAGAAGGTATAGACTTGAAGATCTTCTATTTTTTGTTTACTAACTACTCGAACTAATAGTGACAATTATGTAGACAAGGTTACATTCATAAGGATTTTTATTTCGACCATCGTTTACCTTGATATAAGGTCTCATAGTGAGCTATAGAAAGTGTTGATAAACATAGTTTGTCAAAGTAAGATATATGATAAGAGAAAATATTTTTCAGAAAAGACGAGAAAGGTCATTTCATCATACTAATCTGATCGAACAGTATTGTAATTACGGAGAAACGATATTTTGTTCTTTGATATGTAATCAGCGTCTTGCACGCTTTGCAGATGCTGTATTCTAATGCTAAATCTAATCAATCAGATAAAGACTTAGATTTCAATAATTGTTTTCTTTTCTCCATTGTAGTTCGATATCGTGCCTCGACTCACATGCATAAATCACCCACCATTGAGTCAGATATCTTACCAAGTAATTACCATTTAATTTTGTCACTCTCATGAACTCATATTCATCTCTATTTCTAGATGGTAAGTTTAATTTAGCAATCAAAATGTTGTTTAATTACGGCATTCAATCTAATGCTGAAGCATTAGAAAAAGCTATGGAAAAAGAATTACTACCATTACGTAAATGTTCCTATCATCCAAATGTCGTTCGGATGTATTCATGTTTTGTTGATTCATTTCCACTGCTAAGTGAAGCACATGAATACTATCCAATGGCTATTCCATCGAGTTTATCGCCAGATGGCTATGGAAGAAATAAGACATTGTTTATTGTCATGCGGAAATATGATTTAACATTGAGTGAATATATTCGATTGAATAAACCAAGTCACCATGAACGTTTGGTATTGTTTGCCCAATTACTAGAAGCTTTGTTGTATTTAAAACGTCATTCGATTGTTCATCGAGATTTAAAGAGTGATAATTTATTGATATGTAGTTCAACAGGTGAATTGGTGCTGGCAGATTTTGGCTGTGCGTTACATTATCCACCGAATTTGAAAGTACCATATGCAACGGATGAGATTTGTAAAGGTGGAAATCTGGCATTAATGGCACCGGAGGTAAATTTTTAAGAAATTGTATGAGATGAAGTTTTTTGAGAGAGAAATATTTGCCTTGAAGATTGTTTCGTGTCAACCCGGTCCGAAGAGTTTCCTTGATTATACAAAAGCTGACCTTTGGGCAAGTGGTGCATTATGCTATGAATTTTTCTCTCAACCAAATCCGTTCTTTCATGGTACATTTCGACAAGAGTCGTACAACGATCAGCAATTACCGTCACTTTCACCTCTAGCATCGTTGACTATTGAAAAACTTGTTCATCTAATGCTACGTAGAAACCCTAAGGAGGTAAATTCATTCTTTTCTTTCGATTTTCAACTTTTCGTTTTGCTTTCAGCGTCCAACGATATCTCGCGCAAGTGATTGTGTTCATTTAATGCTTTGGTTCAATTCAACTTCTTTGAAACTATCGAAAGATGAATTCTATCAAACGTATATGTGGACAGCCTTGGAAACTCTCTTTAATAAACGCATCTTATCGTCTGTAGAACTTAACCTAAAGAGATTTTTTTTTCAACGACAATGTTCTCAATCTTTATATGATGCACAATCATATATTAACCAGCTTTTAAACTAGATTTCGACTAATTCAGCAAAATCATATATTTTTCTATATATATAATCTGTACATTGAAATAAACATTTCGTAAAACAACATTCGTTTTATTAATATACGGACATATATAATTAGACATAAATAGATCGAAGGGGAGAGAAATCATTTGTTCTTTAAAGACCTTGATGATGCAATTCACGTTTGATTTGAATAGACGCACAACATCCACAAAATGTTGTAGCGCAACAATCATGAACCAGATTACCCTAGAACAAAAATCCTTGCTAGATTATCGCTGACAACCAAGACATACCTCTATGCGGAATGCTGTACGAATCTTTGATCGAAGTGCGTATCTTGCACCAGGACACATACATGTCCACATCTCTTCACCTGCACGTTTAAATATTTCACATTCGAAACAACATGGGCAAAAGAATGCATAACAACCTGAACAATTTTAATACTAATCAATCTGTTTCTTTTCATTTGCATACTTACATTCTTTCATATCCGTACAACAAGAATAAAGTGAATGTGACCATGGGTGTTCAAAATGCCAAACACTCTTACCAGGTTGTGTAAGAACAACATTTCTAAATGAAATTATGAATAGTTGTACGAAAGAAAGTTAAGCATACACGCGAGCCATTTGATGTTCTCCTTAACGATATTTCTTTCTACGAACAACAGTGCGTGATGATGATTCTGAAAAGAATGGAAATATCGAGCGATTTATGCCTTTTCCATTTTCTTCCGTTATTCTTTGATGTGATTTCTATTTTCTTTACTATTAAGAGGTAATCAAGACTATTAAAATTTATATTTCGTAGCAACCCGGAAACAAATCATGGACGACCTTAGTTTCCATTTAATAGATAAACTCACTATAATATCTTCAAAGCAATTTTCTTGACTAATATTACTAGTCTCGTGTTTCGATCTTCTACAATGAAAATTATTTTTTGAGCTTTAGAACAAGAATTTTCTTTTTTTTTTGCAGAAAGCGTAGTTGCTGATTATTTAATTGTTACCGGTATTCACTTTTCGGAATAGTTTAATATACGTTCTTTCTTTCACTCGTCAGTGAAAAACTTCCAATAAGATTAGTTCAATGAAAAAAGCAAGTCTCTACACTTTTTATCCTTCCTAAACATACCACATTTACGACAACGATCAATTTAGACTTTCACTATTGACAAGTCGATAAATATTTATAAAAAATCTTTGCAGTACTCAACATTTTTCCACTCGGATCTGCTGGGAAATCATCATGTGAGCTGCAAGTGATCTCAAACAAAGAACACATTCCTTTACAATTGTTCGCTAGTTTGACAGTGAATTTGCACGACATAGTAATCACAAAATATTCTACGTGATAAAAATTTATTGTCGAGAAACCTTGCATGCCATGACGAATTGAATTATCTTCGAAAAAGAAAAGTCAAATTTTCTTTCCGTAGAAATCACATCAGTTTTTCTTATGGTTTTTCACGAAAGATTTATATTTCAAGAAGAATTCCAGTAAAAAATATTTGATTTGCTCAATAAATTACGTCTTTCCAGCGCCGATTCCGCATAAAAATATAATACTAACTATAAAAAGTAATAAAAACGCCACATAAGTAGCGATAATCAGACCAAATGCACTGGAAAAGATTTGAAATAAACAATATAATGGATCACTTGTATTATTAGTATTCACAGTCTTGAAGATCGAATAAACTTGAATTTGCAATAAAACGAAGAATATGATAGCGCATGCGCCGATAATACCCGTAATACAACCTACATACAAAAAGAACTAAGATGTAAAGGTAAATATGAATGTTTCACCTATGACAACGAACGATGTGCGGCTGTTTCCTTTCGCACTCTGTTGTGCCACCGTTTGTTTTTTCTCGGTTTTATATTTTGATGGAGTAATCCTATACACAAAGCCAAACGTTGCAGCGAAGAATAGCGCTTGAAAAACGCCACCAATAGCCATTAATAACATGAGATCACGTTGTGCCGGACAATTTTCTGGTGTATTGATAAAATGAAATCCAAATGATAATTGTACGATTGGTATAACAAGTGTGGAGAACATAAGACAAGCAAGGAGAATAGTTCGCCAAGACATAGCATGAGCTGGATACTCTTGCTTAACGATGAAAAATTAATATCGAACTAGTCGTTATGAATCATAAAGCTTTTCACGTTCTTATTTTTGCTGTCACACTGCTTACGGTTCTCTTCTTGAATTCAATGTCATTTGATAGTAAGTTTTTTTTTCTTATTTCATCAACGTCGTCACTGCCGTCCTCTTCTTGTTGCTTTTTTTTGCTGACGAGTTTATTTAGTCACTCCTCTTCGATACAACCCACATAATACAGGCATTATGGCGCACAACATTCGATAGTTGACAATAAAGAAAAAAAGAGAGAAAAACGAGAGGATGAAGAATGATGGAGAAAGACAGAACAAAGATGTTTACGCATATCCATAGCAATTAAATAGGCTTGAATTTTGGAAAAAAAATAAGTATATCAGTGACAACAACCTTTGACAAATAAAACTTCACAGAGAATATATATCCCGTCACCTTGCATATATCACAGACATATAAAGAAAAGAGACTTAATCGTCTTTCACGAAACTATCGATTTCAACAGCATTTTCACCAACATTTGCTTCACCTGTATTGGCAGAAGCGGTTAACGTTTCATTCACATCAAATGAGCCAATTTCACTAGGATTATAGCGAGGAAGGGTCATCTGCTCGGGATATAGCCACGGTTTGTGCGATGGTTGATTGTTCGCTTTCCATTTATCATATTTTGTACAAGCTTTCGCCAATTTTTTCATCAACTGTAAAAAGAATCCGATCCACATATTTTCCTTTTCGGTTTCGACCAAATTCACTTACTTTTGGTGCGAGTACTTTCGAGACTTTATTCACAAGCCAAGCCGGTAAACTACCTAAAATAAGCAATCGATGATCACATGCATTCTCCCTTTTCGACAAACCTCCCGGATCAGATTGGGTCATATAGTAAAAAGTGCATGATGTCGATCCTGACGGTATAATTAAATAACCGGTTAAATATGAGATTCCACGAACACAATTTTTACGCGGTGGTTCACGCTAAACATACATTCGACGCGTCCTACAAACTAGTTGTCATTCCACAGATACATACAAGATGATTAACAGAATGGTTGATGATATATTTTTCACTATTCGATCCAAAATCTAACCAACAACGTTGTGTCACAAAGTCACGATTTTTGAATGGCGCTGGACTTTTAACTAAGAAAAACGACACTCAAAACGTCACTCTGTCAAATGGACTCATACTTGAATAATAGCCAATATCACTATTCGGTAAAACAGAACAAATTTCATAACATTCGAGCATGGCCGTATCCCATGTTGAGCGATATTGTCCGTCATGAATGACATCATAGAGTAAATCGCCTGAGATTCCGCTAAATTCCGATTGAACCTAGATGTGAAAGAGCGTTATGTTAATTGAATTAATTACGATGAGAGGAAGTTTTACACGGATGACATCAAACAGTGATGACGAGTTCTTCTTTGTTGCTACCCGACATGATGATTTATCATAACAAATAGTCCAGCCTTGATCACTTGTACATTCCGCTTTGAATTGCCGAAAATCCTGGTCATCAGGTAAAAAGACTTCGCCAACTTTCATCATTTTTTCGTGTTGTTTCTCTCGTTTTTTTTCAAATGTATGCAGACAGGAACACACAATGGTAATCAATGCTCGACGTGGCTTGCTCGTTGATCATTGGTTCTGTGTTGCACAAGGACGGAATGAGAGAGAATATATCAATCATTTATAATAATATTTCGGTTTTGCTTCGTTAACTAAAAACCGAATCTTCACGTTTTTTTCGTTTGGATAATCGAGAAACTATAGATTAAGATTGTTTGTAATTTTTTTCCTCAGTTAGAGGTTTTTGAGTAATTTTATGCTGGAATTGACGTTTATTAGGGACATCTTTTGACTTTTTCTGCGATTACTATAATTATATCAGATCGATACCTGTAAAAAGTACTTCTTTCGGAATATTGAGTCACATTCTTTCTATAAATTCAAACTTGTCATTGTATAATTGACATCAATCGATCCGTATTCTGTAAGTAAATACTTGACATATTCAACAGTTCTCGTCCTAATTGATCGCCGATTCGAGCATACCATATGGGGTATCGTATATTAACTAAAACCAAAGATAATCACTAATATGATTGAAAACAATTATTTTATTAGAAGTACGTACGAATGAATGAGTTTAGTGTTTGATTACACACTCAAAGCTTTATGAAAACATCAAGAAAGGGTATTTATTGGTTGTAAATGATCTTTTTTCGACTATTCTTATCGTGTATTGCCTTTGCCGGGTTTTTTTTCTTTCTCTGTTTTGTTCGGTATGATGACACCTCTATGGAGTCATGTATGAATATTTTACACCTCAGGTCAAATACAGTTAATTATTCAATAAAATAAAGAAACGAATGGTAATTTCGAATATTTGTATAGAATTTGGCAATGAGTGGGTTATAAAAGAAGGAAGAATTTATGCGTAACAGCAAACTGATGTGTCAATTTACATATAGAATTGAATATATTAAATCGCTGTCATTTTATAACTACCGGTCTAGAATGTCTGCGCCAAATAAATGGCATTGTCACTTAGTTTCGACAGCAAGAAGAGAAAGACATGATATGTAAATACTGTTCATAATGTATGTCAAACAGATAAAAAGATTACTAATACGTTCTTCTATTTGTATGACGATGATTGGTACACATCAATTACATACAATTTAAATAACATATTAGTGATATTGAGATAGGATTTGCACGAAAAGTTCTTGCGAATATAATGCACTTAGTAACAAGAAATTATTATTTTATTGTTTTCTTTGGTTGATTATTTATCGGTTTGTTTGTTGTTCGATATTTATCGATATGAAAACGACGAATTCAATTAAACAGCCATCGGTACCGTTTCGAGCTCGATTGTAAATTCTTTCTCTTGCCGCACACATTCGTTGTTTTCTCTATTGAACAATGTCGTAGAGCTGGTGTATCCTTGATTATCGCATGTGGACTGTTCATATTCAGTAACGTTTACGTCCGATGGAGCACGTTTCCGTTCAATTATCGAAATTTCAATTCGGTTTACAGTGGCCTATGGCGTCGGAATGTCATCTACGGTACTCGAGTAGTATCATTCAAAATCAAATGTTCCATGGAGAGAAAATCTTGTGTAAATCTCATCATCGCACGGTACTATCTTACCTATCGAGCTCGTTCATCTGTATAAAAAACGAATGCGTTTAGAATTTTTATGGTTTTGGCTTGTATTACCTCGGGAATGGGAGGCATATGTCTTTCATATCTGCCTTCATCGAAAGCGAAACAGCGGTCACTGGTCTACATAATTGGATTAATCTTGGCCTTTCTGTAAGTTTATTGTGTTGACAAGATGATTGAAGGATTTGTTCCTTAGTTCATTCGGGTATGGTCTAGTCGGCTTTCTCTCTGGAATTATTTGGATTGCTCAATTCGAACGCGATGCTATTGGTAGTGCAGCAATTTGCGCTTTAATTGGTTCACTTCTTTCACTTACTAGTGCCATTTGTGCTTTTTTTATTAATTCAAATAAATCGACATAATCGCTTTTCATACGCAAAAAATTTCAATAAATCATACGGTTGATCTGCGGTGAATAAGTCTTGTTGGACGTGCTGTAGAACAAAAACAAATCATTGTTTACTTCACTGATAATTGAAAAGTTTATCTCGATTTGTTATTTTATAAAGACTTTCACTGATAACTTCAATGTCAGTGTTATCATTCGGTTTGAGTAAGTTTTACTACTCAAGATGATTACATCATAGTCAATATCGTCGATGTATAATGATCTTGCAATTGGTTCTATGCGCGTCAATTTGAGTTTCATCGTTCTTTGAGCTGACCGATGTACCCGTTGAATGAAAACTTCGAATGATTTGCATATATTTCGGTAGCAAACGTTCAATCTGATGCCAGTACACTTCAAACAATCTCGAGTTGATTATGAATGAAGCAGGGCTTTGCGAAGTAGAAGATCTAATTTTTCTTTCTACGTTTTCTTATTGAAATAATCTAAACAAAACTTCATCAATCATTTGAGGTTGTTCTTTATGAGGTACAAAAGGTCATTTCTCTCGAGAGCTCTCAATTTGACGTAAGAGGTAAGGAAAAAATGGCAAACTCCTCCTTTTTTTTTCATGTATATGTATATACAACCATTCATTCACTCGATCGTTTGTCTGTATTTGTCATTCATCTCGCCTATGTACGTGTCCTTCGAATTGTTCTTCATGTAACTAAAACTTTGTTGCACATGTACATATTACAAAGTCGTATCCCACGTTACTTTTTTTTTCTTTCTTCCTCCCTCTCCTTCTCTTTTTTTATCTATCATTGTCCCCATACTACATCTAATGTCCTACATTATTCAATTTTTTCCTATACTACCAACAAATGAAAGGTGAGAGTCATATATATATATATGTATTCATGGAAGAAAAAATTCATAGGGTCAGAAGAAAGAGAATGTGAACATGCATCTCACTCAAGGTTGTATTACTTCTTGATTGGTCATACGGAGTAGTTGCATATTGGAGAGTTATATAACTGTGTATGAGAGTACTTAGTAGATATCAGTAAGGTGAGACACTCTACTGGCTTATCGTCAATCATTTTTATAGGCAATTTTCAATTAATAATATATACTATTCCAAATGACACTTCAGCCTATTTTCTCGATTCGATTTTCCATGTAGAATTGCATAATTCAGAGAGAGAGGGAGGATGATGATGATGATTTTATTTTCAGATCTATATATCAATCATGTCATCTCAGAGTAAGAAAGTCACTTACAAGAATCCAACTGATGAAAATACTGATTATCTTGTTCCGTTACAATATGAATACAAAAGTTCACTACCGATTCAATCAAGATATTCAGAGAATGTTACATCAACTCCTTCGCCACCACCTAGTAGTCTTTTCGGTTCAATTTATTTTCCTGTATCTTTACTTCTCTACGTTGGAATACCCATATCACAAATGGTCATTGGTTTTGTTTATATTGGTCAATGTCCTGTTCAGGAATTAATTGTTGCTTGGATGATTGTCAGTGGAATATTTGGCATTCTACTTGTCGTCGTGGGTTTGATAATTCATACACAAATTCGTAAACAATCATTGTCACATTCGAATTTGCTACTTCTTCAACTTCTTATTACATTCTTTTTTCTAATCCTTCTATTCATCATTGCTTGGTTTTTCGCTGGTCAAGTTTTTGTATTTCGGGTGAAATTACGTGTAGAATTGTTCGATGCAACTTTACCCGACTATTGTCATGGAAATCTATATAAATCTGCTTATATTCTTATTTTCATCGACTATCTCATTTTCCTTCTTGCTATTATACTCAATGTGCTCAGTTTCGTTGCACCACCGGATGATACCGTTAAGAAACGTCCTCTCAATTCCATTGCTACATAAAATACATTGCGCTGATGTAATATAAATGTTATTCATTCTTCGACGTTTTTTTTTGCATATGAAATGAAATAAAGTTTGTTTTATGTTGAGAAAACGTATGAATAGTTTACTCGAGGAAATGCACAATCGAAGCGTAAAGTCATAAAAGAATCGATGTTTGAAATGGGCTGTTTTGTTTTCCAGCTTGAGAAGCATCGCTTTTGTTTCCGGTGTGCTGTAAAGTTTCTCGATTAAGATGCGTCAGAAAACATCCGGTATTTTCGTCTCATGTGAACCAAATCTGAATCCTGTAAGTCGCGAATGACTTTTTCAGTTGATTAATTGATATTTGATCTATTGTAATATGTAATATCTTGTTTTTCTCATTTATAAATCGTATGGAAGCTGAGCTCTTATTACTATTTGATTATTCATGAGTATGTTTACAATTCAGCTTGAAAATTCATTTCCTATTCCATTCTTCTTCTGAACACTCAACGACGATGCCAGACTATCGTCAGCAAGCATGGAAAGGTACTTAAATTCGGTTATTTCAAAAATGTTCTGATTGTATTCGAATTCTTTTAGAATCCGTATGCGACTGTTTCCACGATGGTCAAATATGTTGCTATGGTTGTTGGTGTTGCTGCTGTCTGTATGGTGAAAATGTTGCAAAATTGGAAAATAACTCTCGGTGTTTCACACATTGTTGTGTATATACTCTGTTGAGTATGTTTGGTTGCTGTTGCTTAATTCATTCAGCGAAACGTGCACGATTGAGACAAAGATATGGTTTAGTTGAAGATGCTTGTGGTGATTGTTTCATCACGTGCTGCTGTCCGGCTTGTGCAATTTGTCAAGAAGCACGAGAAATGAAAATGAGAGGTACGGTTATGTGTGTAGAGCATTGGGGCAATTGATGACATATTTGCGTGTCTTTATTGAAGGATGTCCGGCACCACCGTTGATTGTTATACACCAGCCTGCAATGTCATTATCAAGTGCAGCTGATTTTGATACAAACCATTGATGAACTTATGAGTTTCATGTACACTGATTTTTAATAGAAAACAAACGTTGAAATATTCGAAAATATGAACTTTTCTAGTTCGAGATTGATGTTCAGAAGACGAAGACAAAAAGAACGAATGAATCGTCGTGATATCGATGAAAAAAAAACCTCTATTCGATATATGTTCGTTCTCCAAAAATGATTCGAAGAAGTGAAAAAATTCTTTATCGAAAATCAAAAAATAATGATTTCGTATTTGTTCATTTATCTATTTATCTTTCAGAAGGACTGCTGGATCCATTTGTTGTCGTTGAAGGATACATTCTCGATTGTTCACCACCTTTTACTCTCCCTTCAGATCGAGAGAACGCTTTGATATACCCTTTTCTCATTAATATATATACTACGATGCATGCAACAAGAATAGCAAGCACAGAACCACCAAATACGACGCCTAATATCAGAGGTAATCTAGATTTTGATTGGCGCGTGTTCCTTGTTGGTCGTTGTTGAGGTCTCGTACTAACTGTCGTGGTTGAATGAGCGATACTAGTTATAATAGAAGGTATTGCCATAACAAGTGGAGTTGATGCGTTGTTTCTATTGAAAATAAAAGAGAGCATGGTTTTCCGATTCAGATTCCTGTTGATGATCAACATTATCATTCACTCCCACTAACGAAAGACTTTTGTAAGAGTAATCTACTGATCATCTACCTGTTGTTTTCTGCAATGCTACTGTTCTCGTGTATTTTGCTAGTTGTGAAAGTTGTGGTGGTGGTGGTGGTGGTTGAAAATGTTGAGTGAGTTTCAGAGTGTATGTGAGGAGTACTTGTTGCACTAACCACAGGTCCAGAAAATACAATAAATGTGTATAATGAATATTGATAAAAAGTAAAATATAAAATCATTATTGGAAAGAATTACAAGCTAGTGAATAAACTAAAAATAAGTTGAAAAATGCAATAATGACCGTGTTTCAAAATAAAAGAAATGAATCGCGCTATTTAATATAGCAGCAAAAGAAAGAAACAATGCATTATCGTATCTAATATACAGTTGAAAGAATTCTATCGATGACAATCTCAAAGTTTGTTGATTTCCTCTTCAGGAAAGAAGACGATGTTTTTCCTGTCAAGTGACACTCTATCTTTCAGAAAATTTATTCATACAAATATTTCATCATTGGTCACAAAAGAAAAAAAACGAAATATTATGAAATAAAAAGAATTGATTTATGGTTTACTGTCATTTCCACAACAACCACCGCTTTCTTTACCTTTCGGTTTCGTCGGTGGAAAAGCACTGTCAGCACGAACTGGGCCGGATGGTTGTTTAGCTGCAACCTGTCTCGCTACACTCATAAATATCTCGGTTACATTGTCACCGCGTTTAGCTGATGTTTCCATAAAAAGCAGGCCATTTTCATCCGCATAGTCTGCTACTTCACGCGTGTCCACTTGTCGTTTGTTACCTGCTGCGAGATCAGCTTTATTTCCGGCTAAGCCAATGACCATATCATTCGCGTTTACTTGCCGTAGTTCTTTAACCCACATTTTTGCTCGACGAAGGGATTCACTATTTGTTATATCGTACACGACAAGCGCTGCTTGAGCACCGCGATAATACATCGGTGCAAGTGAATGATAACTACAATATGCAATAGAAAATTATTACACTTTAGTCACAATACTCCAAATGAAATTTACCGTTCTTGCCCAGCAGTGTCCCATAATTCGACCTTGAGTGATGTATCGGGATCGATCTGTAAGGTATGAGTAAGAAAAGCAGCACCAATAGTGCTTTCAGCATGCTCCTGGTATTGTCCTTTGGCAAATCGAAGTGCTAATGAACTCTTTCCAACGGCTGACTCTCCCAAAAGCACCATTTTGAACTGTCCTGGCCGACGCATCGTCATACTGCAGAAATGGTTCGAGATGAAACAACGTAATAATAATAATGCTTCTGTTTAACTGTTTGTTTCTTTCGATATCTACCTACCAACTGCGAGTGTCATATGACTCACATTTGCTTGTCTTATCTTTTTTTTGCGACGCGAAAGAAAGGTGTTGTATAAGATGTAGCAAGACGAGAGCAAAGTATATGTGATCAAATACGACTAACCTTTGATCATTGTCTTTACAATAAACTATAAACAATATTGAACAACAACTACCGAATATTTTCGATTGCTGAATAGAATATTAAATACAAACTGTGAATGAACCTTCAAACGTATGTTATTCAATTTGGTATTTATTCAATGATGATTCAGTGTTGCTGATGAAATACAATTCTGTTCTTTTTAAGACAGCGAGTTTTCAGGTATATTTGCCAACAAAATAAAGTATCATTGGTGACTATATCGGTTGCTCGGCATATTTGGTTCATCTCATTTAATACGTACCATTAGGTTCTTTGTCGAATAATACAATGAATCAGTTAAATAATAGACGAATATGCATATGTTTCAATCGATGACGTGTCGTTTGTTTTTATTTACTGATTACCTGACTATTTTTTTATCGATGTAAATGCATTCAAGCATATCTGCTTATTATTAATATTCTCGTCGATTAGACGCTTCAGTAGACAGTCAAATGCCTTCTGATAGTCGAAAAACAGCAGTGCAGCAACAGGCGGATTACATCAGTGGAGCACGATATTCAGGAGGTTATAAAAACGGAAAACGACATGGTTTCGGTAAACTTATTCTGAATAACGGCTCATACTATGAAGGAGATTTTGTCAATAATGAAAAACATGGTCGCGGAACATATAAATGGTCGAATGGCGGCGTGTTTGTGGGACAATACGAACACGACCGTCCGCATGGACAAGGGAAGTTAATATCGAACACAGGTGATATTTACGAAGGAAATTGGAATAATGGAAAACGACATGGTCAAGGTAAATCCATTTGGAAGAATGGTGATGTCTATGAAGGTAATTATGACAAAAATGAAAAACACGGTCTTGGAACATACAGATGGGCGAGTAAGGATGCAGTGTATACAGGTGATTGGCAACATAATGTTTTTCATGGTCAAGGTCAATACCAGTACGGAAATGGTGATCTCTATGAAGGAGATTTTAACGAAGGTAGAAGACATGGATATGCAAAAGTTACATATGCTAATGGCGATGTGTACGAAGGTGAATATGCGAATGATCTGAAGCATGGTTATGGAAAATTCTCTTGGGCGAATGGTGATTCTTATCAAGGAGAATTTGTTGATGGAGTTCCAAATGGCAAAGGTGATTATATTTGGGCATTGGGTGAGACAACTCACGATCAGTTATATTCTGACGATACGAGAAAAACTAAATCAGACAAAAAAAGCTCCAAACGAACTATTGCTCAACAATTATCTGCAAAAGAATCCTTGCAGCGTAGTTCAGTATCTGATCCTAATGACGATTATAGTGACAGTTCGGAATTATTTTAATTAATTCGTAAAATCTTCACTTTGTTCGATTTTATTTAATAAATACACATCTGTGTTAGTCATTTGTATGCCAATGACATTATCACTCGCACGTACTACCAGTCAATATCGTTCAGTCAGATTTGTTAACAGAATTATCTGTTGTTGTTTTTCTATTCTGCAGAATATTTGTCAAACATTTCAGACGTTTTGTTGATCGATCAACATCGTGATATAATAAAATATTCCAAAAACTGAGAAGACACGTTCATTTAGCATTCTTTTTTTCAACTTACTCATACTTTGATATAAATTTTCTTGCCTTTCTACATATACTTCAGTTGTCTTGAATGTTCTGTTGATTTACAAATGCAGCTATTGCTCTTTGTCATCTACGGTACGTTAATGAGTTTCCTCTCAGCCGAGATAAATATATTTTGTGAAATTTCGAATACAACTGCATCTAACAAGTCTTACGTAGTAAAAGTTCAAAGTAAGAGCGTCAAGGACAGCTTGTCATATGCTATTGTTCTTATTTTTTTTGTGTTTAGTCGATAACAATGAAATGCAGACCGTTGAATCATCATATATTGTTCATTTGTACAAGAAAAGCTCAAATGAATCAATTTTGAATATCGATCTCTATACCAATGAAACATTTCTATTCGAAACACTCCAATGTCATCAACACCACATTAATAGTACATATGATGTTAAATTGGGTGAAAGAGAAGCAAAAGATAATAATTTGTCATCGGTTACACCAGACGATAAGCTATCAACTATTGTCAATAATCAAAATGGAACTGTACCAACCGGTGTAATGAACATGAATGACTCGTCCGCCGTAAATGACGTATCAGCAACAACTACTGTCATCTCTACTAGTACAAGTAATAGTACTACTAAAACTACTACTACTCGAATACTGAAAACAGGTAAAAGGTTATATCTTTCTTAAAAAAACTCCAATCCTCGTCTTTTACTCTGATTAGCTGAACCATCGTCTACTCATTCAGCACAATACGGCATGGGATTCGGTATAACATTAATTAGTCTATTATACATCGGTGAAATAGTTTATTTCAAATTTTTTTATCGTTTTAATCATGGGAATGATGAATATACAGTATAAACTGTTCTACAGCCACATCTATCGCTCTCCGGAACAGTCATTCTCGGGTACATGCTAGAAATGAGTGCAAATAGGAGAATCTTGCGTTCTATCTATTCTAGAGTCTTTTGATTCAATGGAGAAGCGAAAGAATCGTCTCTCTTGTTCTTTTTTTTTCTTCTTCTTTTGTTCTGTAGATGTGTCTTGTAAAAGAATTGTATATAAGCTATGCCAATGTTGATATCCAAGAGAAATAATCGAGAGGAATAAACGAGAAATCTAATCTTATATCCAATGAATGTTGACTGGACTGCTCTGCCTGACATAGTCTGGTATTCTATCTGTGAATATCTGCCAAAACTAACGGATATTCTTCATCTATCGAATACAAATCACCATTTGTATAATCTTGTGGAAAATAATTCATTCTGGAGGCATCTTATTCGAATACGTTATGGTTCAGTTCTATTACAACGTTACTGTGATGAAATCTTCTCGAATACGAACAATTGTGATTATCTGTGTTCGTCCACTGAAAATTTTAGTGAATTTCAAAGACAATATTCGCAATTACCTGCAGCTATTCTACGCAATGGTTGGAATCTGATTGTTACAGATGCACAAAACGGAAATATGAAGGGATTTGCTGCTGCTAAACGAGCGAAATTTTACCTACCCAAATATTCTTCGCTTTTAAAAATGGCTATCGACGAGAAGACGTTCCGATCTGCGATCTGTCAACAGAATCAAACTATTCTATCGAAACTTATCTATAATTACCTATCAAAAAGAATCCGCTTATCATTCGCCTATGAAACATACACTTGTTTCGATACAATACGAATTAACGAACAACATCGTCCGAAAACGATTGCTGATACGGCAAGTGAGTATGGTGTGATTGGTATCTTTGATTCGAAATGGTTGGCAGCTGTACGAGGAGAATTTTCATCGGTTTTACCCGGTCGCTATGCGATCTATTGCCGAATAAAACTACAATTACTACGTTGTGACCAACCGAGTGAAGAAGATCAATTCACTGGTGAGTTCACATGCATACCCGAATTTGGTCTAATGAGTTCGTTCGAATGGGATCAAGATTGGTTTGATTTACACTATGTTATGAATAATAGAAATGAAACGATAGAGAACGCTACTTGTCAATGGTTCGAAGAACATATGGGATTGATTACTGTATATGAACTATCAAAAATTTATTTCGGTTTTCGAATCTGGCAGATACCGTATAGAAAGTATTCAGTTATGTGTGATTATATTGAATTGAAAGTCGTTGAGTAAATGATGTTCGAGTTCTCAAAGATCAATTTTTTTTACATTTTCTTTTGAAAATAAACGAGCTAATTTCAAATCCGTACTTTCTTTTATTGAAATAATTTACACACGTTCACTCCTTACAAAGGCAACTGATCTATTTTCCAATAGTTTCTTGAAGTTCAGATGTTTGTAAGTTATTTATATAGGTGGTATATTCTGCTTGACGATTTTCCATTTCTTGTAGATAAAGTGCGTGTCTGTCTTTTGCCATTTGAGTTATTTGTAACGAAGTAGATACAGTGTTATTCAATGTTAGCTTAAGTTGTGCTTGACGCGCTTCATCCGTTTGTAAGAATAACATTGTGCTGATACCTGCGATCTGATTGATCATATGTTCACTTGATACAGAATAGTATGTTCTAGCCATGGTGTACAGAAGATGTGCACCCTTTTCGATCGTTGTTGCGGAAGGTACAAGAAGTTCCATGAAGAATTCGCGTTCAAAAGGATCAACTAATAAATTATCCGTTTGCGCTTGTTGAATAACATCGATGAAATCTTTGACAACAACCTTTAAAATTTGAAACAAACTTATGTCACGCAAGATAGACAAAGGTGTATGATGATTACTTGTTGAGTACTGTATGCTTGAGCAGCTAATTTTGAGAAGAATTGAATCATACGTCCCCACTGATCTCGAATTAAATTGATTTGTTCGGCTGATTCAATTAATAAACGAAGAATTTCTTCGGTGCTCAGTTGAGCTATGTCCAACATAGCCATTTGATTGATGATTTTAGCCAAGTCGTTCTGTTCGGAGAGTTGAAGAAGAAAATGTTGATTATGAATTTCCTCCGCACGTTCCAATTCTTCTTTGGCTAATTGCGCTACTTTCATGGCATTTTCAAATTTCGTATTGTCCACTGTATATGTCGGATTGCTGCAACCACCGAGCAGACAGCCGACGGTTTTCACAGGATCAAATACAATTCCAATAGCTACTGTAAGTAAATTAGGTTTTGAACCTCCACTAGCTACGATTTGAGGAGACGTGTTATCCGCAAGTGCTGCCATTGCTTCAGCGTATTTCTTACGCGCTACTTCAAGACTGGCTTTCGATTGATCGTATTGTTTTTTAATGGCCTCAAGGCTTTGTTTTATACGATCTTGTTCGAGAGTAGAGTTCAGTCGTTGTTCTTCCAGTCGATCAATCTCAGCTTCATTACCTGATTGAGTACTTACACTTAATTCAATGATTTCACCTAGCAGATCTTGTAATTTATTGAAACGAAGTAGTGTTGAATTAGCTGTATCCGCACTTTGAGTTGCTAAACGTCCAATGCTTTCCAATGTACCAGGAAGTAACGATTTGAGCATGGCATCTTTTGCTGAAGTAATCAATTTCATTGCTTTTTTCACTTGTGAAGGTACTAGTTGAATATCTAATTGAATTTTATTCATGGCAGTATGAGCATCCATAAGAGCATCGTACATATCTGTACCCACTTGAGCAAGCGTAGCACGGAATGAGTTTGGATATCTATAAGAGAAATATATTAGATGTGAATGAAGATTTTTTTCATATTAATTCATCAAACCGAATGTATCGATAAACGTATCCAGGTGGTGCTTGGAATGGAAAATCTTTTTTACTGGAGAGAACCATTAGATTACCCATATATCCAACGACCATTGGACCTGATACCATCAATGTTTCCCATTCTTCATCAATGTCGGTTTGACGCTTCAATTGCTCGTCACGAAGTGCATCAAAGACACCTGTGTCCACACGGAGTACAAGACCTATGTGAAAATCGTGCCAGTAGATAGAATTAACGAAGAACAATGTTTGGACTTACCGCGCACAGCAGTATGATTGTCATTAAGGAAAAATTGAAGAAATTCGTCATCGTCCATTTTCGGAAGCATCATTATTTCTTTAGCAGTCATCTGTGAGACCGTTTCAATGTAATTATCCAAAAACGGATCATCCGATGATTCAACGAACAGCGAACGACCAGCCGATTGGAAGCACATCGATGTTCCAATAAAAAGTTTCACAATCAAAACACATATATAGACTAAAATTGAGATTTCTAGAAGATCTCTTCAAACGAAATATTCTTACCGTAAAGCATCTCAGTTATTTGCTGGTAAAAACAAAAGTTTCAATGGAAATGAAGTATGAGCTCGAAGCAGGTACATTTATACGTGATGGTCTCATTACCTAATAGCAGATGTTATAAGCGTTCTTTGTTCTCATCGATGGAGACATGTACTTTTTTTCGACGAAATTTTCGTTTTGTTTTCAAAGTGCAAGATTCTGTCAACAACAGCATTTACTGAAAGGTGAAAATCGATGGTGAGAAAACATTGTTTTTCGCACAGATGTTATCGTTTCTTTCATGTACTATAAAGGATTTCGAGGTGAGTCCATTTCGAATCAGTCTGCTTTTGTATATTATCAATATGATAATCACAAGTGAGTAGCTATATTTAGATAAAAGATGCTTTCGTCAGATAAAATCGAACCATGTTCTTTTTTTTTAGTCCGTTCGTCAATCTGTCTGCTGTGTACAGTGGCGATGGCAGCGTGTGTACATGCGACAACGCTTGCTCATTCGGTTTTTCTACCATCGGACAGATCATTAAATCCATTTAGCGATTCGTTCGTTCAAAGAGTGATTAATATGGATCGTTCGAAGCTTCATGCTATTCCACAGATGACTGATGAAGAATTTTTAAAAGAATTAATAGAAAATGATGATACTCTAGGTGGTAAGTTGCTTTGCTTTCACCGATCTTTCGTCTGTGAATATATTTTTATAGGTGCATTGTCTCGTGTCAGTGAAGAAGATCCTTATGAAGTCATTTTCGATGATAAACTCGATGATCAACTTACAGTTCAAGATAATATCGATGGTGAATGGGTTCATCTGATGACTGCTGGACCATTGTCAGTCAACTATATCAGTAATCTCCTTGTTCTTGCTAGCCGACGTGATTTTCCATTGACTCGTCCACCGCAATTCGCGTTTCAACACATACAAAATCCCGATTCATTCAAAGCAACACTCGCACAAGTCGCAGGTTCAATGTCTTCCGCATTAATAGGTGCACATACAGCTATGGATCGAATTCAACTGAACATTCAACTCATACCCAGTCTTGTTAAAAAAGCTCTCAAGCTGGTTCTTGCTGGTACACCTACGCTGATTGAATTGATGCTTCCAAACACTTTAGAATCAATCGGTCGTATTGCCAATGAAAGTGCTGCGCATGCAAAATCAACTTTTCGTAAGTTTGCGTCCTTACAAGATCTTATTGCTGAGATTATTGAAGCAAATACTAATACACATTCAACACAAACAAATGTTGTTCAACTGATTCAAGCACAAATTGATAAAGCTAAAGAAGATGAAAAACTTCTAAACAGTAACATCAATTCGATCAAATCACAGTACGAAGATGCCCGACGTGAAATGGAAAAAGCTCGAAAAGAATATCAAGAAGCATACAATGCTATCCCAACTGTTCGTAAATGGTTCAAAAAAGTCTTTCGTAAAATAATCAATGTTGTCGTCAACGTAATTACAGCACCAGCACGCATTCTAGGATGCATATTAGGAGTTTGTTATAATAATCAAGCTGCTCTTCAAGCAGCTCAAGCAGCTGCTGAAACCGCCAAACAGAATGCCATTGCCAAAGCCAATCATTTGCTTCAGGTATTGAAAGAAGCAGAGAAACGTCACGCTGCATTGGCTGCACAGCAAGTAGCTGAACAAGAAAAACTTGTAGCTATTATCAATAAAATCGCCAATCTCGATTTGGATCGAATGAGTGAACAAGAAATTGTTGATATTCTCATCGAATCTATCTTACAAATGAATCAAATTAAAGTACAATGGGGACGTCTAATTCAATTTTTTTCGAAACTAACCGTTCAAGCTGATAGTACACAACAAGTAAATAAACAAAAAAAATTCAAATGCTTATCAAAACTCTAATTCTTCCATCTAGATTATCGTTCATGAACTGATTGCTTCTATCAAAGAAGCTCAAGAAAACAATTTACTCATCGATCCAAGTGACCGTGAACTCTTCGTTGAAATTCTCAGCATTACATGTCAAGAAATCGAACGAGGTGCCCATTTACTCTATGTCATGTCCAAAACGTACTATGATATTTCATCCGAATACATGTACGCACAAGTTGTTAGCATGAGTGGATTGTTGGAACCTAAGAGTGATTCTCAACGTACAGCTTATTTGAAATCGATCGCTTCGAATACAACGTCGACTTCAACGAAAATTACTCAGCTAGCACAATCACGACAGAATGAATATAATTTACGTAATAAACAACGACGAGAAGAGTATGAGCGATTTCTAACCAGCATAGCCTTGGAAGATTTGGAAGTTTCAATTGGTTAAACGTCTTTTCCGAATTTTCAATAAAGAATTTCTTCTGTAAATAACACAATAATCGCTTGCGCACCTTGAACTTTGATAACGATATTATTTATATATTTAGTTAAATAAAAAAATCATTATCACACCGTTTTCGAGTCAGACTAAACGCAGATTCTATTTTCAACAAGAAAAAACAGACTTCGTAATCCATCAAATGACTTTACTAGGTAGCCAGCTGATACATCGAAGATGAAAGCCTTTAAAGAAAACCTTTATTATGTCCTCGCGAATATTTTCGCAGCTGCTATTAGCTTATACGTCAAGTACATCGAAAGCTAATATTAAATAACTTTTTTTTATCGACGAAGGAATAGGATTGAAGAATAAAGAAATTTTGTGCAAATCCTTCCAATCAGTATTGAAATTTATTCGTTTCCACGAAAATTAATATTTTAATACGAGAAACAATCCTGAATACATCGTCTGATCTTCTAAATGACACGCGATACAAGAAAAAAAGTACATTGACACCTATTTCAATTAAATATTTATATACAAATACTGTTCGTGGTTCTCAATCACTTTTTCACTCTATCTCAGAATCAATTTTGCAACTAACCTGTCAACATGAGTAAGTTTACATTCATTATGCACTAGATCATATCGATTGAATATTATCAGATACAGTATTTACTCTACTGATCGCGGTGATACTACTCAATAGTCGAAGTTACTCATTTCCTGCCGATTCGACTGATAACTACGATCTTCGAGTAGGAGAGCAGGCGACAGTGCCTGAAACAACAGCAGAAGCAACAACAGCAGCAGAAGCAACAACAACAACAGCAACAACAACAACGACTATTACTACTACTACTACTACAACCACAACAACAACACCGGCTCCTGAAGTGGATCGTGAGTGGGAAGATCTTGTTTTAGCTGGACCAACAGTGGTCAATTACCTTAGTTTATTTATGGTACTCGTATCTCGTAAAGATCAAATTTTGACTGCTCCAGCTGAATACACAGTCAAGTATCTTTCTGACATTCAATCTTTGCGAAATATACTGATTAGAATATCAGCCGAAATGCGCAAAGCTTTCGAACTCGCTAGTGATGATCTTATTCGTACTCAGATTAGTATGGAGCAAATCCCTGATCATATTAAAGCGGGTTTAGTTTTAATTCAAAGTGCTCCGAACGATCTCCTCAAGAAACTCTTGCCCTACACATTACGTAATGTTGATCGTGCTGCCAATGAAGGTTCGTCTATCACAAAACCGACACTTCAACGTTTTGTTACGCTTGGTTTATGGCTCGATGAACTTGTCACCTTGTTGAGTTCGACAACAGCTGCCGCTGCAGTTGCCGAGAAGGACCATGCAGAGGAAGCAGCTGCTTACGCCAGTGATATCAAAAAGCAATGGAATCTTTTGATTAGACTTTTTCAAAAATTCTCCGACCGAGCCGATCTTACCCAGACAAGTGTGAGCCAAAATTTCATCGATTTAATTGATAAAGCACAAAAAGCAAACGACTTAAGTACTGAAGGTCAACGCAAAACTCAACTTGATAAACTAATTCCCGCTGCTATTGCGATCGATCAATCCTCATTTTTATTAGACATGATGTCACGTACTTACAATGAGATTTCCAAAGATCACATGGCAACACAAATAACAACGAGTAACAACTATTTGAATGCTGATAATGAATCAACTCGTGCAAGAAATCAACGACAATTATGGCAAAATACACTCGAGCAATCGATAAAAGTCGCACGACTCGCACAAGAGCGTCAAAATAAATTTGCAGAAACAAGTTCTGATCGACAAACAATGTATTCTGCTTATGCACAAGGTGTTCAAGCTACTTAAACTAATAACAAGCGATATTTTTCTGGATAATTGAATTAAATTTCTGACTTTCATCTCGAATTGTTTGAAAAATAACTAATAAAAACTATCCATATTGTAGATTTTATTTGAATTCTTGTTCGTAAAACATGCGAATTACTTTAAGTAAGTCTCATGAATGTATTCTACATAAAAATCTCAGATTTCTACCTCTAGTTACACTGATCTGGCTTCTAGCTATTAATCAAACTTTTGCAGCGGCTAAGGCTACTATTAAGGATCACTACGTTCGTTCTATTGCAGATTACAGTAGAGGTAACGTTCTCCTTCGAAAAGAAGTACATTTCATGTAAGCATGTATCGTATTTAGATATTAAGGCAAGAGATCCTTCCGAAGAGAAGATTGATCATGGACGTTTACTGAAAGAATGGCAAGATTGGATTCTTGCAAATCCGATAATCGTCAATTATTTGAACACGTTAATGGTGCATACATCACGACAAGATTTTGCTCTCATCGTACCATCGAGCTATTCAGTTAAATATGTTCAAAGCATCGGATCTTTTCATGCCACTGTATCTCACTTAGCTGCACAAATACGTGTAGCTTTTGGTGATGCTCGGAAAGATCTAAACCGCGTTCATGCAGGAATGGAAAACGTTCCCAGAGAACTGAAAAGTATGGTTGTTTTTATCAAACACGCACCATTTGAATTGTTGATGATGTCATTTCCGGATTCATTCAACGATATCGAACGATTGGTCAATGATAGTTTAGGTGCGTTGAATAAACCTGAGAAAGTCTTTCAGCAAGTATTAAATCTTCTAACTGAAATCGATTATCTATTAAATAATACAAATAATTCAATACTTGCTTGGCAAGTGCATGATATTCGAATTCAATGGACATATTTGACTGAACTAATTATCGAATTAGGCAAACGAGCGCAGGTGACTATTAATAGTTTTCTGCTGCAATTCAACTGGATTCTGGCCGAATTTATTCGACCCGATATGGTATTGAGCGATTCGAATCGTAATTTTATGCTTTCGTTACTTTTACCGAAAATAGTTGAAATCGATCAAACGTCTGATGTTCTTGGATGCATCACGAAAGCGTATACTGAGATATCATCGCTTTATTCTGATGAGGAAATGAATGGTTATGGACATTTACTGCAATTGCCGACAGAAGAACAGCGTAAATTATATCTGAAAAAATTCCAGCGTGATTTAGTACCTCAAGTTATTCAAAATGCTCGACTTGCACTGCACTATCATACACAATATCTTCGACGTGATCGAAATCGTCGAAAAGATTATGAAAAGTTCCTTTCAGAAACGTCGCCTACCGACTTAATAAATGTATTGGGTTGAACAATTAATAAAATATTCTATATTGTATCATCTATTATTCATATCAACAGTTCTTTATATAATTTTAGATCATCGACAATATACTTTTCTTCGAAAAAGCTTTCTTTACATAGGATGAGTAAGTGTCGGATACTTTTCTTCGGTAAATCTTCTATAATTGATGTTTGATCAGATATTCACAGTATAACTTTATTGGTTATCTGGAATATCGCGATTTCCATCTTTGCAGAAGATATTTCACAGAACAAGACGACCACTGAAGAGAAATTCATTGATCAATGGCAAGACAATGTTTTATCGCATGTTTTTTTGACAAATTATCTCAATCATCTTCTTGTTCATACATCCAGAACGGATTTTCTTCTACGAAATAACTCTGCTCAATGCACATTACATATTCCAACAACTCATTCTTTTCGTCAAACAGTTTCTCAACTGAACAACAACATTCGCTCGGTCCTACTAGGAATACATGCGGACTTCGATCGTACTCAAATTCATCTTAAAAATATACCCACTCACTTGAAATTAATCCTTCTTTTGATTAAAAAAGGAAATCAAACATTAATCCAAAGCAAACTACCTCACTTATTGAAACAAATGGAAAATGTAGCTCGTGAAAGTTTAGTTAAGTTTCAAAATCCAACAGACAAAATCACTTCTATCAAAAATTATCTTTTGGAATTAAATTCTCTAATATCGACCATAGCTGTCGACACGACGATTGCTCTACAAGTCGAAGATGTCAAAGATCAATGGATTTCTCTTTCTCATTTGCTCAATCAACTAGCAAATCAAGCTGAAACGAATAGCAATTCGATTATTCTCCAATTCAAGTGGATTTTAGAACAATTCATTCAACTTGATATTGATCTCCACCGAGATTTCGTCATCAATCTCCTGAAAACGAAAGTCATAGATATCGATCGAATGACCGATCTTCTGACAATCATTTGCGAAACATTTCAAGATATCTCATCTGAATATTCGAATGAAAAATTGATTAATAACGGACATTTAATTTCCCTACCTACAGAACAAGAACGAAAACAATTCATTCGACAGTATCATTACGAATTACAACCAGAACTCGTCAAATTCACTCGTTTAGCATTAAAAAGACATGAAGAATATCTTCGTCGAGAGCGAGATCGGCAAATCACATATGAAGACTTCTTAATTCAAGCGTCACAGTCTGATTTAGATCTTTTACTGTCACTTAATTGAACATTAACCTTGATTCGAATTTTGACAAGAATAAATGATGATAGTTTTCAAAGAAAATAAACAAATGAAAAATGCATCAGCATTATTCATAATAACATTTTTTTTCTTCTATCTTCTGGTATTCATCAAACGCACTGACAACGAATATGAGAGAATGTTCGAATGAAAGGATAAAGATAAATCATCAACAAAGTAAACGAAGATAGACAGAAGAAAATTGGCCATGCGATATCAAAGACTAAGTGAAGATTCATCGATGATCGTGACTGAAACAGGAGAAAGTCAAGTGGTGTCATCATCGTTGCATTCCGATCGAAATGTTCGTCAAACAAGAAAACTTCTTTTGATATTTTTAGTCATTCAATGGGTAAGATCGCAAAGCAACATCTCATCGTTTATTTGCAAAGAATTATTTAGATTTCATCGATAGTTCTTTTCGGAATTGACAGTTATCTTTTAGCTAAAGATATAGATGTCGATCATCGGCTAGGACTGCGTTTCTTAGTGCCCATCGCTCTATCTTTCATTTACTACACATCTGGTTTAGTTGCAGTGTATTTGATTCATCATCTAGGAATTTATGTCGTAAGATATTTCATCTTTAATTCTTTATTTTTGCATTTGTTTTGTTTTCCTTCTTCGTATTAGTTTGCTTGGTTAGGTTTTCTGCAATATGTATCCTTATGTTTTGAAGTTCTGCTGGATTTAATCGTTGTCGTAAGACACCCATCGCACGATCGAGAGAATAAAGTCGATGTTACGATTACTTTGACCATAGCAATGATATCTTTATTTCAAACAATTCTAATGGTAAGAGAATATTTTAGGTATTTGAATTGAAATATGGATATTGTTTAGGTGATCACAATGAAACTGACATTTCATTTACTTCGCTTGATGAAAAATTTTCAACGCGCTGTTCTCGAACAAATATAGTCGCGTTTTTTGTTTGTTTGATTTTATTCTATTAAATATACATATTATACGAAATCGAATATGATATTCTTACTAAGACACAAAAACGCGCTGTTGCTATGAGATTACAATTTGAATAGAAAGCGAGAAGAGAGTTTTTCATGTCATCATTGATTCCAATAGGAACATCGGTTTTGGCGAAATGGCCGTCGACATCAAATTATTATAAAGCTCGGATTATCGATTACACCGATGAGAATCTATATGTTTGTCAATTTTTGGATGAGAGCATCATTGCTTTACCAGCGAAATATGTTGATTTACCAGAGAAATTCCAACGAACGTCGAAAAAACTTAGTTTAATGCGTAGTGAACAAATGTTTTTCGATCGTTCGATATCCTTTTCATCGATGATTATCTCACTTGGATGGATAGCAATGTTTCTATATGTCCAACATTGGTTTCACTATCATTTAGAGAATCAAACTCGATCGCAACAATATCCGCTTGTAGTCATTCAATATTTTGCCGTTTGGTTTTCATTACAACTCGTTTTCGCTCGATATTTACCACATCTAAGTGCAGAAAAAGTCGTCTATATCAAAGAATCTCAACCGAGTATTTATTACCAACATCGTTCGAATAGTTTATTCGCCTATGTTGGCACTTGTTTACTAATGTATGTCTTTCGCGAGAATATTCCGTTACGGGAATTAACGAAATCGTATTACTTATTGACCTTGTTCAGTCTGGGCTTTGCGCTGACTTTAAGTCTCATTTTATTAACAAATAAACTTTATTCTCGCTATTGTTCAATTCGGATCGATGAGTATGTCGGAAACTTCGTAAATAATATTCGATTTTGAACAATCAAATTTAGACATGAACAACATCAAAAACAAACATATTTTGATTATCATCTGTTTCTTGCAATTCGTCCCGGTATTCTCCTTTGGCCCGCATTGAATTTCCTTCTTTTACTAACCATTCTGAAATACAACCGTCAAGTATCTGTTCGTTTTGCACTTTCGATTCTGCTTCAAACTATCTATATTGTCAATGTGTTTATAAACGAAACTTCAATGATACGTCAATCATTAGAAATATCACCTCCGTCGTCGTTCGATGCGATTTTCACAAATCTCTGTTGGGTACCATTCATGGCTACATTGACTTCAGTACAAACAATTCCTTATCAAAATTAGAACTAAGTCTGGTTTCTTTTCAATTGTAGTTTTACATTGGGAAAAGTCATCGACCTGTACATGTTTACATTCTTATCCTATCGGTGATTTTCTTCGCGTTTGGTTTCTTATTGCAACGCCTTGCAATACGTCAGCGCATGTAAGTGCATATCCACATCTTCCTGTTGCCCATTCATTCCAACAACACATTCGTTTTTCAGTGCATTTCAAGCGATGAACAGCCCTACGCAATTCGATTCAGTTATGATGAATAACACTCAACGAATTCTCACCAGTGGATGTTGGCGATGGTGTCGCAATCCTCATCTTTTAGCTGAAATATTCATGGTCATTGGTTGGACACTCCCCGCAGGCATTTACCATCCAGCGCCATGGCTCTACGCAGTCTATATTATCGGTATGGCTATTTATAAAGCACATTATTTCGATCGTACACTTCGAAAGACATGCAGCGATGAAGCTTATAAGGAATATGTTGCAAATGTGAAATATACACTTGTTCCTTATGTCTATTGAATAAAAGTCTAACTCAGTATTTATTTTGAAAATCTAGCGAAAAGAAAAGTGAAAATCAAACTAGAGGAAAAGAAAGGCAAAAAACAAATTGAGATATAAGCGATGGATCATAGTTTATTCATCTTCTTCCTTGCCACGTTTTATAAGTTTGGTAAAAGCTGCATAATCAAGAAGACCTTTGGTATCAACTGGTGCGCCTTCAAGCATTTGAGTGAACTATTCGTACAACAATAAACAAAGTTAACAACAAAAAAACGGAACAATTCGTGATCTTAGTTATTTACCTCTACATCCGATAGTCTTTCTGTAGGTTTTCCCATTGCCGTTAATAATTCACGAAGGCTAAGAAAATAAAGAAATTATTGCCTGATGAAACTATAGGAGTAGTGTACTTGTCTCGATTAAGATTGCCTTTTCCTTCGTCGTCAAATGTTTTGAATGCATTCATTAAAATATCTTCGGCATCGGTACCTAAAATAAATCAAGAGAAATTCGTGTAGATCTGCTACGTTAGTTTTGAGTTTATCGAACCGTTAAGACGATCACCGAACAATGTTAACAATTTCGTGAAATTGACCGGTCCACCAGTTTCTTCGAGCATTTGCTTGAGGTCGGACTCCTTTGGTGCTTTACCCAACGACGAATAGACTTCTTTAAGATCATCTAATGAAATCGATCCATCACGATCTTGATCCATTAAACCAAATGCTTCTTTGAATTCTTGTACTTGCTTTTGTTCGAACATTGAATAAACATTACTACTGGCTCGTTGAGCAGCTTTTTTTGCTTTTTTCTAAACGTCGAAACTGGTATCGAATTTATCTGTTTAAAATAAGATTATCGAGGACTTACGTCAGCCATTCGATGGTATTCTTGTTCTATATGCAGAAGATGAATGTTATTCTCCTAGTGTATGGTGACTATTTGGTGTCGGAAAAGGAGAAGTAGAAGAGAATAAATAATAACAAAAGAGAAAACCTTGGGCATATCTCAAGAAGGAAAAGATCATTGTATCGTAGGCCGTGATGTTGATTTTCGACATGATATGTATTGATGATAGAGACGACGAGAATGAGGAATCAAGAAAGAAACAAGGAAAAAGGTGACTGACAGTCTGATTATTCTGTCTTTAATCGTGATTATACATATCCTGTGGAGAAATGATGTGCTTTTCTTTCTCTGATATTTGTAAATAATCGTGAAACATCTGTCTTTATCTAACCGGCAAATTCTACTATAGCAAAAAGCAGAAATCCCAAAGAAGAATATTATCAATGGAATAGACAAAACCCGTCCATTATAATAGGTTATATCGGTACTTATTATCCCCTTTGTAACAGCGTGTCGTTTTCTAACATCAACTGATGATTAGTTCATTAAAATAGCTTATTGTACATTTGTGTCTTGACAGCACATCTTCACGGATTATGATAGTAATCCATCGTGTATGAACAAAAGATATTAATTGATGTTTTTGATTGAATAATCAAACACCTAGATGATATGATTGGATGTTTAACAATATCAATCTAATCCGACATAGTTGTTGGTGTCGAGAAAGATGGAAATGACATTTTCGGGAAAATGGTAAGAATACCAATGAAATGGATAAATACCATTAATGTGCAATACTTTACAAATGCTTCGAATGAGTTTAGTCATATTCTACTTCGCAAATTATGTTGAATGATCAGTATCTATTTCAATCATTGTAATTAAATCGATAAACGGAGAGAAGACACAACTTAAGCCGTGCCTAGATGAATTTTTTCAAGATTATAAGTTAAGAAGTAAATTGAGACATGTTTTATCTATATAAAATATAATTGGTAGACGATTTCCTCCATTCAACTAAAAATACTCTCACGAGCCAGACAAAATAGAGTAGAATAAACGAAACAATTTGAATTTAATGTCGTCTAACAATGTTGTCGATCAATATGAGCGCGATGGGTTTCTCATTATTCCGGATGTAATCAACAAGGACGAATGTGAGAAACTAAAACAGGAGGCCAAGCAAGTTTTGAACAACAAATCATCTTCTAGTGCATCCGTTTACGTCCATGCATCGGTGGCAAGTCCACTCTACTCTCAGTTCCACAGAGATCCACGTATCGTCGACATTCTAAAGAAGATCATGCCGGATGGCGTCATGTTTTTAAGTGACAAAATCGTCGTTAAAACATCTGATAAAACGTTTGCAACGCCTTGGCATATGGATTGCTTTTACTGGCCAAACACCCGACGAAAACTTTCGATTTGGATTCCATTCGATGATGTTGATGCTGACAACGGCGCACTAACAGTCGTTCGTGGTAGTCACAAAAAGAATTGGACAATGATCAATAAACCATTACCAAACGGTGAATTCGTTTTTCAAATCGCTGATAGTGATGTCGATCAGAAAGATGTTGTTACTTGTACAATCAAACGTGGTGCAGCAGTCGTTTTCTCTGATCGGCTTGTACATGGCTCAACATCGAACAGTGCAGGTATTGATCGTTATACAGTTATTGGTACATATCAATCACCTGCTGCTGATGAAACATTCGATCTGGATTTTCCAGCTCGGGAAGTACTTGTCTGAAAGCGATACGATTGTAGAATTATTTGTAAGTTCAAATAACGGAATGGAATGGACAGCATTTGATATTGATTAACATATGCCAAGTGAACACAGTAGAGAGAAAGTAGCACAGGCGCCATCTATCGTCTATATATATTCAACGTAAAAATATATGAAAACATAAATTTGTCTTATATTCAATAAATATTTTCTTGTGAATAAAAACAATTTGTCCGAATATTTTCAACATCCATTTGTACTTTTGAACATCATCATAAAGTTCCAATCACCATCTGTCAACATGTCGATCGCAGACAACAGAGAACAAAGAACATAAAAAACATCTCGTATATTTATTTTGTGCCATTGAACAATCAACATATTGTCTTGTGACGTACGGTAATTTTCCGCTACTGTCAGCATGTTTTATACACATGCTATTTTGACCAAACGTGGTCCATTGGCTCGACTTTGGCTTGCTGCACATTGGGATAAAAAATTAACCAAAGCGCAAATCTTCGAAACGGATATACGCCTTAGTTGCGAATCGATTCTTGAACCATGTTTGAAATTAGCTTTGCGTACAAAAGGTCATTTACTACTTGGTGTCGTACGGATCTATTCTCGTAAAACGAAATACTTACTAGCGGATTGTAATGAAGCGTTTATTAAAATCAAAATGGCTTTTCGACCAGGTATGGTCGGAATGGAAGGATCTAGTGCTCATCATACGGGACAAGATCCTGATACACGAGAAGTGTCGATTGCTGCGATAACCTTGCCGGAAAATTTCCACGATTTCGATTTAATCGATCTCAATATCGAGTAAGTTCATTTCGATCGGAAGATAAGAAAAAAAAAGCATGAAATCGATACATGTATTTAGCTATACCGATGACCCGTCTCGTTTTCAAATGCATCAAGCGCGTGCAGAAGAAATCACATTAAAAGAAGATTTTGTTAGTGTACCAATGCCACTCGATGATGATTTTGGTAAGTTGAAGAAAACTCGAATTGTTGTGATAATGAGTATTTTTCGATTATATCAGGCGATGCAAATGGTCTCGACGAACCTGAATTCTTCCGCAAACTTCAACCATCACTACAACTGAATGAACAAAATTCAAGTCTGGACGTAGACAGTAGGGATACGAATTTTCCTTTTGTCGTCTTACCGAAGTTAACTCTTTTTCAATAGCTACAATCTTACGCAAAGAACAAAGTATAAGCCGACCACTTGGTGATGATCCATTCGCATTGGATGGTTTCGGAGATTGTAAGTTTTTATCTATTTGCACTTGCATTGAACATGTTGTTTATTCTTGTCCTATAGTTAACGCACCGGCGTCAGTGATTGGTATTGGTGGTGATCATTCGGATCTTGCTCACGATAAAGATCGGTACGATCATGTAATGTCTCCATTTCATCGTAAGTGAACGAGTAGTTTTGATCGCTCAGATCTACTTGACATGAAATACAATCGTTTAGAAGATGACAATGGCCCCGATATACCTATGCTCGACGATCATCAAGCACTAAGAAACGATGAAAATCACGACAAACAGATGGAGACGGAAATTGGCCATATTCCTGGTGCGGATGATACGACAATTTTATCAAATGTTTCCGATGAATTTGTTCTACCACCAATATCTACAACAGGTAAATACATCGTTATTCGATTACATATGAACTTCATTTTCTTTTGTTTCAGAACAAACATCGATTGTTCGTCAAGCTGTTAAACGTAAACGAAAACTAGTTATCGACGACGCTAAAGAAATCGATAGTTCATCGATGAAAACACAATTGAGCGACACGACAGATATTGTTGGTGTACTTGAATTAGCCCCGCCAACACGTCGTCTTATGCATTTAAAAGAAACGGGTGGTATTGAAAAGCTATTCTCACTCAGCACTACTTCCATCTTCTCGAAAACATTACAACAGGTAAAATTAAATTCTCGATTTGAATAAGTATCATTAAGTTTATTTTAATAGTTATACACACGTAACATGGTGACAAAGCCATTAGAACAAATGCCACCGGATAATTATCAAATTCAACATGATCTTGCTATGGAACAACTCGAACGTGATCGAGATGATTCATCCACGGATCAAATGCGTGCTACACATCATCATTATCTCGAAGTATTAGGTTATGATCCGTCATTTGTCGGCGCTGGTATATCACCAAATCGTACGAAAAAACGTGGTCTATCTCCAACTGATGACGACCATTTCTCCAAACATCAACGATCTGATTCCTTATTCTTCCCACCGATGACGACATCAATGGATAATCTCATGGATGTTATACCAGGACCAATGTCACCAACGCGTAAAAGCGGCCGAAAAGTTCATGAACTTAACCAAATGCCTACATCTCCATCACGTGCATCAGGAAATATCCGTCGCAAGAAAGGTATGGGGCATCTAACTAAAGAAAATCAGGAAGAACATGACGACGAAGAAGATGAACATGGACAAACAACAACTGCACAAGAAGTACGTAGTTACGATCTTCAATGTATATGAGAAGATTTATGTATCATTCGTATTTCAGGATTTTGAATCTGGCAAAAAATTGAATCGTCGTGCAAAGATTATGCTCAATGCTTTCGAACGTGCATTTGATTCTGCAGATGCTCTTTCATTTCATGATCATCTTTCGTCGGGCAATCCAAATTATCATACACGAAAATTAACAGCACAGAAGTTTTACACTTTATTGGTACTAAAAAAACTTCAAGCTGTCGACGTCGAACAAACAGAAGCATTCGGAGACATAGCCATCACTCCAGGTGCACATTTTCATCAGCATATATCCAGTGGTGGAAGATAAAATCTTCACATGAACTTCACACGACACGGTCAGATGTTTATATGTACTGTTAAACTAGTTCTTCAATATGTGTGTCATGTACGTCTTTGTTTTTTTTTCCGTTCGAATATTTTTCGATGTTTTTTGTCTGTCTCTTTTTTTTTCTTTTCGACGTGTGCATGAATATTGTACATTTATTTGTCTTCAATTGTATATGATAATCTTCATCAGTTTACTACGGAGTGATTATATTGATCATTCGTACTCTTGTCGTCTTCTAGAATTCTAAACGTACGTGTTTACCTTTCTTCTGTTTTCATCATCTACTTGTGTTTTGTAATTCTCTTTGTTTCTTCTTTTCTGTACTTCTTAATATCTAGTCGAATTCATCATATTGATATGGTGATCGATGATGATGATCATGCATATAAATTAGAAGACAACTCTAACAGCAATCTTGCAACAAGAAATTCTATTTAAAAAAAAAGATACAAAGAGAATGGTGTAGCTGTGTGCAGAAAGTCTAGAATTTTTCTTCATAAAATCGAAATCGATATTTGACACAATGACTACGAATAGCCTGTGCCATCGTTGCCGGTCCACAAAAAAATACATTGACATCATCAGCTGTCGAAGCATTATCGTCAGAAATTAGTTCATCGAAGATTTCTTCCCATTTCGGTCGACCGATATGTGTCTTTGATTTCAGACTGGTGAATATATCCTGACCAGCTATTTGTGCCCAGACCTTCGTAATAACATCCAACGGGACATTGCCAATGTTTTCTTCGTGTTTAATTTCTGTGAAATATAAATGTATATCAAGAAAACGTTGTTCATTGGAATTTGACGCCAGATAATATTCTTGTTCTTGTTCGAATTGACGAAGAAGATTAAGAAACCATTCAAAGTTCTTCTGATCACGATTGACCCAAATGAAGTCAACTTTTCTCAAACGACGATTTTCAATCAAACCTTTACGATGATAATTTATGTGCTGACAATTACTGCATACAATCCGCGAGGCACGGAATTGTTCCATAAGACTTGATAGAATCGATGCATAAGGTGTAATACCAATACCACCACCGATTAGCACAATGTGTTTACAATCGAAAACATAACGTGCGCAGGAAGAATACGGTCCGTTGATGACAACCCGTTCTCGTCTGCTTAATTTTGTGTTCATTTTTGAGGCACTTTCATCATTATCACTGTCTGATCCACTTTCACCTATATTTACTATAGCATCTTGATTATCTTCGTTTTGTAATTCAGTTGCTGCAACTTGACTGTCAGAACGATTAGCATGGAAGATTTTTAACTGTTTCTCTTCGGCAGTACTTTCCGACATATCAAGGAAGTATTGATAAACCTGTTTTGTCCAGTTTCCAACTGCTTGGATATGTATCGTCAGCTGATCGATTCTCTCCGGAGCACTACTAATCGTAAACGGATGAAATTCATACAGCGTGACACTAGGAATGTTGATGGTCAGATAGTCACCGGGTCGAAAACTAAACGAGCGATGAGGAAAGAATTTGAATGAAAATATTCGCGAGAAATACGTACGTAAAATTCTTCGGTCGGTGAATATTCAAACTAATGACATTGGATTGCTCGATTGTTACTGAACGAAGATAAGTTCGACCACTACTGGATGAATAACGTTTTAGAATCGAGTAAGCTTTCTCGATTAAAAACAAAGATAAAGGTCCGATGATCCATTTCTAAGTACATCGCAATGAAAAACAATTCAAGACGAATTATCTAGACTTACCCAAAAATTACCGGCATGAAGAATAAGAAATATGAAGAATGGAAGATACAGTAGATGTGTCCAATAAAAAAGCTTTTTTGAGAAACAAAAGTCAAACAATCACTTATCAATTGTCGATCATGATCAATACCTGAAAGTGCCCACCGCGTCGAATCCATTGCATTGAAAACACGACGATGATAGCCAGAATAACGCATAGAATGACTCCACTCAATGGTGCAAAGCCACCAACCCATCCAATATCTGGAGTTGTCGTAAACTAAAACAAACTATTATATCTAGCTTATCAAAACAACATCAACTTACCATATAAGTACCCCATGAATGACCTAAACGATAGAGAATCATTTACACTTTAAGTATAAATCTGTTGTCAGAAAGTTCAATTGAAAATTCTGCTTGCTGTTTCATCTTACTCGTCATAGTTCCAAAATTCGCCATATGTGCAATGGTATGTAGAATAGCTAAACCGGCAATAACACGCCCAACAACTTTGTGAAAATCGATATGATCATCGACGGGTATTAATTTTCGTAATAACTTATTCGTTCGAATCAATAGAATTGTCTGTTTAAGCATTAGAACAATAATTAATGCGCAGTTAAAGTTTAATAACATGCCGCCAATTCGTGCGAACACAACAAAACCATTGGATTTCGTTACCGTTGAACGATAGACAACAACATAGAGAAGTAAGGCTAAGTTGGCTAATATATAAAGAGTAAAAACAGTAATGCGAGAGAGATTATCTTTGATATAATCCCAAGTTAATTTGTTTTTTTGTTGTTCATACATTGATTGTTGCCAACATATCCTAGTCAAGAATTGTTGAAGTTTTGTTTGCTTCTTTGGTTGTGTTTCTGTCGATTTGACAAACCATGTTGGCTCGACAGTGAATTGCGATAATGATGCAAGTAGTGTCGCATCTTTTGACACAAGCGTATAGAATTCTTCGAAATCCATCCTTGATTTCTAAACAAGAAAAACAAATGAGTAAGAAAGAACAGGCTTGCGTTTGTTCCTTACATCATGAAGATGAAACTTTTGAAGTAAGACTTGGCTGACTTCTTGCGAACGATTAGTATCAAATGTTTTCAAATTTCGTAGATATTCTTCATAGAACTGCGATAATTCATTATCGGAAACGTAACCATCACTATTTTCATCCAACATCATGAAGAATAAAAGTGCTCGAACATCCAAAGTGCCATTTAACACGCGTGTTAGTTTTTGTATTTGAGCTTTATCCAACACTTCAATATCTTCGTCATCTTTAGAGAATTTTAATGCATTGACAATGCGTTTGATAATGAATGGTTGAGTATTGAGTAGTTTTGAAGCATTCTCAACAGATATTTCATCATCAAAATTATCACTGGCACGACGTGCAAATGCGGGTAGTGCTGCTTCAGGGTCATTTAGAATACTTTCTAGTTGAATTTCTGCTTTTTGCCGATGAGTCATCGTTCGTGGCACTAAACTTGAAGAAAACCGAATCTTTAGTATATATTCGTTACATGATTGAAAGCGTGAAACACGAAGCAGTGATTGATTAATAAGTTTACTTCGAATTTCGTGGTTTAATTGATTAGTTTACCTATTAAAAAAACGAGCACCGCTCGCTGATTGTGACCTTAACATTGATGAAAGTGTTGGAACAGATCGATGAGAATTTTTGCTTCTAAGCGGCCGTGAATAGGCCTGTTTGGGCTGTTCATTTGTAGTAGTAATAACGTCGACATCGGATTCCTGTATTTCATCAAGCGGAAGAACGTGATCCGGTGATGTAGGACTATTAAATAGAAAAATTAATATCTCGTGTAACACAAAATTGCTTTTCGTACTTTGTAGACATTGTTTTGTCGTAGTTTAAATAAGCAATTGAATAGTGAATCGTATTTATAATCGAGTATAATAAATATCGTCGTATTGTAATATACAATAGGATATAACGTCATCGCACGGATATACCAGGTATATTAATCTCGGTTTCTTGACAAGCGATGCGAAACGAAGAGAAGAAAGGTAAAAATGCACTGGTAGTTCGGTACGAAAAATCATCGATGATCGAGCAAAGATGCAGGAAAATATGAGACAAATGTATCATTATCACACGAAATACGGTTGTGTGTGACTTGCGCAAAAGCAAAGCTATTGACGTCAGTAATTTCCAAAACATCGGAACAGTCTAATGCAAGAGTTATGTGTAGGTACATTTGCGCGTACAAAACTTGAACTTATGTCAAGAATTTTGAATTACGTACATCAATATTAGAGTGAAAATCATATAGAATAAAAATAAAAACTTTCTTTTGTGCGCAAAATTAGAGGCCTTTCGACGTATTATGTAATATCTTACCTGTTGCTAATCATGATACATAATTCAATCGTGATTCACACGGATTTTTAGCACGCTTTCTCTTCTAAGATCGAATCAGGTAATAAACAACGACAACAATCGATTTCGCGTGCAATCACTATATGTGTAGCCTTGATTTTCAGTAATAACATATCATATTCGTCTGTGAATATATACACGTATGTATTGTTCTGTTTCTCCTTTTGTTTAAACAAGACAAGAGAATCACAACAAAACCAGGAAAAAAAACAGACTAGTGTCACTATTTTCAAAATCAAATAGTACAAATGTCCAGACAGAGAGATGAGCTTAATAAGCTGACGATGCGATGATCGGAGCCATGTTCACTTTTCCAAAACGTTTTTTTGCTTGATAGACAACCTTGCCCGATGCAACCATGTCAATTGCTTTTGGATATAATTGTTGTTCAAGTGTACGTAAACGATTCTCTAATTGCATTTCATTCTCGATCGGTGTTATGTGAATACTTTCTTGGGCAATAATTGGTCCGTCGATGTCGCTATCCGATTCGGCAACGAAATGAACAGTCACACCGGTGATACGAACGCCAGCTTGTAAAGCATCACGAATGGGTGATGTACTATGCCGAAATGATGGCAATAACGATGGATAAATATTCAGTAATCGTCCTCGCCATGCTTGGATAAATGATGGTGATAAACGGCAGGCATAACGGTCGAGAATGACCAATTCACAACCGTGAAATTGTAATTCATCATCAATTTTTTGATCCTAGAGAAATAGAGAGTTTGATTGTTGGCTATAAAGATCAATTCTTACTAGATCGTAATTTCTTGCCGCATATTTTTTCGGTTGAATTACTTTTGTTACCACCGATGGATATAACTCATTGACACGAGCTATATCTGATAGGCTAGCTAATGTCGAAAGAACCAAAACGACTTCGAATGCACAATCGATTGTTGAAGTTGAATAAGCAAGAAGAGAGAGTAGTGAAGTGTCTAAAGACATGCAATGATTAGGAAAACATTCGCTTTTCGCAATGGTCCTACCGTTGGTGGAAATGAGTACAGCACAACGTGTCTTGTCATTTGCAATCGGTTGTTTCATTCGATCCTTGATGACAACTGAGGTTGTATTATTTGCAGCGAGATTAGGTTTTGGATATTTGAATAAAATATTCTGTAATTGAAGAGTTCGTGTTTGAGATTGTTGAGGTACACGAATGGGTTTGTTACGTGTAGGAGTAGAATCTAAAAACAAAAGAAATGATCAGGAACATCTAATTGACTTCGCAAATTTACTTGTAGAAGCAAATGTGCCAAGTTGAAAACATGTTATATGCGTTTGAGTTAATTTTTGAAGGAGACTTTCAACTGATGCTTTTGTATGATCGATAATCAGGAGATAATCAACACCACAATTGAAATATTCGAACATTTCATCTTGACTATAACCACTCTGAAAAACAATAACAAAGTCTATCGAAGATCATTTCCAGAAGATATATTTACGTGTTGGTAGATCCATGTGAAAATAGGTGGCATTGTTGGCCATTGTTGACCATTCAGTTGTGCAGTGAATGCGCCTGTTGATGATCCAAGTATTGATTCGACTGTACTAGCTAAACCATGATCTAAATGTTTGAAAATAGACAATGATCAGTTCGGCGAATGTATGAAGATGCAAACCTTTTAAATATCGAATAGCTTTGACAGTTCGATTGAGAATAAGTTCATTGATAATTGCAATGAAGTCGGCTGTTAAGATTGACGATTTTTGTAATAATAAAGAGAAAAATGTTTCTTCTTCTCCATCGCTGTTTCGAAATGGTAGGACATCATTCAAATGAATATTTTTCTTTTGAAATAAGTCTTTTAATCGAACATAACCATGACTATTCATTGTACCTGAACTACGTCGAAGACCAAATAGCAAATCGCCTTCGCTAATTGCAACATTGCCCGAATCATTATTCAATGTTAATAATTCTCGATCACCAACCCCTGTACATAAAGCATTGAATGACGATGATGCGGAAATCGATGTTGTTTGAAGTAGTGTACACTCTAATTGTTGACATGCTTGTTCGAGTCCATGATAAAAGCGTTGAATCGATCGTCCTGAAGTGGTTGTTGGTAATGAACAACATTGAATATACAATGCACGTGAACCAATAAGATCGCTTGCAGAACGAACAGCTAATTCATGGCCAAGATATTCATAGATTGTTTGACTATCGTTCATATTTCCATCAGTTAAATTGAATAACTAATAAAAGAGAGAATATATTATGAAATCGGTAGATAAAAGATACTTACAGCCGCTAGAGGGTTTAAATTAATCGTAGACGAAACGAGTACTGGTTGAGTGTATGTTTTCAGATCGATTTTACTCGAAAGATCGAAATATAACTCTCCTTCAAAAGCATTCAATCCATTGGTATCACCATTTGTTTGATAGGTATCGGTAGGTTCAACTTTCAAACTATCTGATACAATACCAAATGCACGTTCGAAGTCCATTGGTTCATGTTCATCATCTTCATCATCATCGTCGCTAGTTTGTTCACTTTCTTCATCATTATCTTGACTATTCGTCGCATTCTGAGTGCGAATAGTCGTACTATGATTGCTTTTCTTAGATGATTTTGAATTGGAATTCTTGATTTTAATCTTTTTCTTCTTTCCATTTGTTAAACCATGTACTTTAGAACTAAGTATATCACCATGAATTTTATACCTATTCATACGTAAGTGTACAACAAAAAGTTCCAATTGTCTTCTTCTAACTAACGAGCTTACCATTCGATGGCTTGAGAACCGACTTCATTTGAAAATGCGAGATCATCAATATTCGCATGTTGTTTGATATATTCACAAGCGAGAACCGATTGCATTTGTGCTTCTTGCAATGTTGATCCATATCCAAGTACATTGAAGATTCTTTCTCCTTTTGTTGCCAAACTACCTGCTTCTCCATCTGTATTCATCTTCGTTTGATTGTGAAAGATTTTCACTTTGTTATTTTTCATTGCCGCTAAAAGAATCTTGTTCGAAACGGTTAAAGAACTTGTCTTCGATCTGATCGTTGTATTAACACAATGAATACGTCGTTTTTTACTGGTTAAAGGAAGTATCGGTACTGATGGTAAATCAAGTGCATACTGAAGAATAATTTCAGGTTCGCATAAAAATAAAAGTACTTCACTTTCAGGCTCTTCGAGAGTTGATTTATAATCGATCAGTTTAATTTCATTATAATTTGTACCATAAATTACTAATCGAAAACCGAAAACGTGACGGATCAATGGTGAACAACGTAACGTTCGTTCAACAATCCGACGACGAATGAATGAACATTGCTTTGTTGTTAAATATGGCCAGGGCCCATATGCACCCGATTGCGAAGCTTCTGAGTCGATTGTAGATAACTGAGTGTAATCACCATCACCATCACTTACAATGTAGAGTGTACATATGTGACTAGTCTCCAATGAATAACCAAGTTCCATAATGACTGATTGATTATTCTCGCCAAATGAATGATTCTAGGGGGAAAAAAAGGAAGGGTATTAGAAGAAGACAAATCAGCTTCATTTTACTTGTAGTGTATTTTTCAGTGCTTGTAAAGTTTCATCTCTTGTTTGACAATGAATTTGTTGATTGCCATTAATAGCACGAATGATCCATTGTTGTTGATCTGTATGTCTACAATAGAAAGAAAAACACAACTTCAAATCCTACTCTATTCATTCTCTTACTTATTTAGAAACGTTTCACCCTCCTCGAACGACGAACAGTGTATCCAATCTAAAGTTGGTATATTATGTTTTGTCATGAACTTTTTGGCATTTAATCGATCTTCACTCAGCGCTAATGTATCGACTGAGCAGCCCAAATAATGTACATTACGTTCGCCTAACTGTGCTTCAAGTTCTTGAAAATAAAATGTTTTATTTAACGCAATAACAAGATCGATTTGTTTTGCGTCCACAAAGTCCAAAACATCTTTTTCAGTTTGAAAAACATTTGTAATCATCACAGATGGGTGATCCAATTTAATTCCACTGTTTCCTGGTGAACAGTAGATTTTGAAATTTCGACGTTGTGATAATTTCCATACGAACGCATGTTCACACGCTGTTGTACCGAGTAATAGAATCGTTGCTGGCGTTGGCTGTGCCAATGATGTACATGTTGAATACACATCATTATCATCTGAACGAGCAAGTACACGTTCAAAAACATGCGAGTCAGACAAAGCAGTATTGACATCGTTATTTAACGATTTGGTAAATAAAACACGGTCGATTAGTTTTTGTAAAGTTTTCGAATAGATTTTCGTTGATGATGAAACGAATAAGTTCCCGCCCAGTTCTTTTAAATGTAGTAAACGTTTCGTTGGAACTTCGATTATGGGCTGAGTAACAATATCGTCGACACTATCCAACTGTTCTTTGATAGAATCGGCGGATAGTTCGGTTTCCTCATCAACTGACAGACCGCCCGAAGAATTCAATTGAGACTGAGCGACGTTCGTTGACGATGATGACGACTGGTTCTCATGCGAACGAAAGGCGCCTGTTGAGGATATTCGCAACCGCTTGTTGACGACACCACGGTTGTTCACCTGCGACATCTGATAGAAATTGCTAAACGAAAAATTCTTCGAATGAATCTAAAGAGGATAATAAACTCATATATTCTATTGACAACCGAATCTAGACGTTAAGTACTATTGATCTTATATGAATAACTGGTTAAAAGGTAATATTCTTCGAAGTTTTAGACATAAAAAGCTTAGTTAACGTTTTCTGTTTATTTTCTTTTTTTTATTGTCTTTTACACTGATGACCAATGGATCATAAAGAAAAACATTCAAATCCAACAGATGTCGTATATTTACCTCACCAATTATGTTTTAGCGATGTCACTCGCATCATCACGCTTATTATTGATTCATATCCAACCAATCATTTTTGTCAACAAAATATTCTGGTACAACCATGATAGGAACATGAAAATGCGATAAACGGTCTAATATGCTGATTAGACTTTTACGTAGATGAACATGATGATATTCTAACGAATTACAATTCAAAATATTGTATTATAAATGATTCTGAGTTTCGATTTCGATTAGTAAGAGTTCTCGCGTGTGAATGCATATGGGATAGTTATCCCCAACTGAAACAAAGAAAGATATCTAGTCAGCGAATGCTGGATTAGTCTCAACTGAGAAAGAATTGTGATCTACGATCAGAAGATATTGTCATACACTCGATCAAACACTTGTGGAAAGGTTGTCGCGTTCACTGAAATCTTAGCATATTCAAAGTTTCTACTGCTGTTTTGGTGAATTGCATAGGATAAAATTAAGTTGTGTAAATCGTTGACGAGCAATAAGAATCGTTGTTTTCCCTTTATATTCTTTTTCTTAGTTATTGCACCACTTGAAAAGATTTCAATATAAGAATGAATTCAAATTCGTATCTTCTCAGTGGTCGGCTGATGTCGAGACGGTTACTTCGCATATGTGTTTCATAGGTCCAAAAAAAATTGTGGGGAGAAAAAAAAATATATTCGCCATTTCTATACTTCGAGCTATTTGCCGATCTTTCAACGATCAGCAATCGTGCATTAACATCTTGCATTCGATTCAAGCTGCTTGCGCACTCCGATCATTTTTTTCTCTCAAATTCGGATATAAGTTTTGTTCCTGTTCTAGTTCGAAATCTTTTAATCAAGTTCATAGGATGCTAACTGAAACAATCAGACAAACAGTCTTTATATGAATATACCAAATAGAACCTAAGAAACATGAGTATATCTAACGTATAAAATCAAGTGTTAATCACTAGTTGCATGGCAAAATATGAAATGAAAGGAGTGAAAACAAAACAAACGAAAACGAAATGCAACATTTGATAAATCTATAAATAGAAAAGTTTATTGGAGAGATCGTGATGAAAATCTTGATGAAGAGATTGACCAACAAGATAAGCCAATTTATGAGCGTATTGACAGACCATTGGTACTCGGATAGTTCCCTACAAAGAAGATTGCGTTCATATAGTTTCTCAATAGAAAGCATTGTTGATTACTTACAGGCCAATTGTAGTAAAGATGACATCTAAAATCCAAATCAGACAATGATTTCATGGATATGAAACTATTTACTCACAGTTTAAATGTTAAGCGTTGGATATGATCAACTTTGAATGTTGTTCGATCTAGTAGAAAAGAGAGAAAGTTCGGTATAAGTTGTGGAATTTGGTTCGTATTTTACCCCAAATGACATTGAAATGAGTTGGCGCAGCTGTTCCTTGCCTTGCACATTGTGAAATTAAATAAAAGTCAAACCAGTTTTGATGCGTGACTGTATGATCGATAATCGTTCCGGGTGGTGGATTATGTAATTGTTCGTTATTTTTCGAAAAGAATCGCGAGCAGCCTCGTTTTTTCACAATGATCATTGCCCATTTCGGTCTAAAAAATTCGATTTCATATCGAAATATTCCTTCGATATTTCATTAACTTACACGTAACCTTCTTGAACTTTACTGAAGGTTTGTTCGATTTGTGGTAATTCATGTTCGTAAACAGCCTGAAGTTGCCCATCACCAACGCCATCACGATAGATAACAATACGCTCAGGCATTGCGTTATTTTGCATGAAAAACGCTTTCAAAGCATCTGAAGATAAACATCATTCAAATTCGCACTCGATCAAACTGTTCACTTCTGAATTTACCTCGAATACACACACTGATACCATCCACCAATTCTTGAGTCGTTGTTTGCATAACAATACGTGAATAGTATGAAGTGCATTGAGGATTTGTTGTAGCCACAAAAGCAGCGACTGAAACTTGTTTACGTTTCTTGTCATGATATGAATCAATACCAATAATCATCAAGCTTTTCGACTGAATAGACAACGAGTAGAATATGTTTTCAAGGAAGAAGAAGCGACCGAATATTTACTGGAATAGGAACGGCCCAAATTTCTCCGCCGAGTTTTGCTGAGATTTGAATGCCAATTTTGGTTGCAACTGACATCAATTGACCTCGCTTGGTAAGTGTTTTCATTAAAACCATCTGAAACGAAATTCAACGCATGCAGGATGGATCATCGTCGTACTGGTAAAAGATTTACTTGCGATGGAATACCGATATCCATACATAAGAATTTCTTCAGCGCATCGTAACGATCTTTTCGATTATTGCTCAAAATGCAAAGAACAAGATTGTACTGTTGATTGACACAATTTTGTTCTAATGCTTTCAAATAAGTTTCCGGTCGGTCATTTTGTATTTCAGCTCTATGCATATGAGAAAAAAAAGAGAATCATTTCCAGTTGGAATCTGCAGATCGCTTACAATTCAGGATATTCTACTCGCATACCCTAAATGAAATTCTTTTCATTCACAATGTGATAAAAGAAATAGCGTGAATTACCATTGGTGTGCACACGTTATAAAGTGTGTTGATCAAATCATTAGCAACCGGTTTTTGTTTTCCTTCATAAATAACCAGCCACTTATCTAAATTACCCGGTTTTATATGACGACAACTGCGACCTAGTGAAGAAAACGAGATTTAGCAATGTAACTGACAAAATATTCTTTAATTCCTACCGTCACGACTCCAATCAGCCTCTTGTTGTTTATATCTGACCGATCGATCACTATAATTAATCACTTCGGGCTCGAGTATACGACCCTCGAGTTCCGCTAAATTATCATCTAATCGTAAATTCCATTTTGTCATATATTGTCGACATCGAGGCGATCTAATCGAACGCATTTAAATGGCATTTTCAAAGTTCAATCTTTGTTTCTCTCATACGTATTAATTGTATTGACCATATCCATCAATGCTTTGTAACGTGGTGCTGGTTCGATATGTGTGTGCGAAGCCAATTCTTTCATCAAACTGAAATCACTTCGCATGGAATCGGAAATACCTACACAAGGAAACAAACTAAGTAAATATTTCACCAATCAAAACGAAGTTGATCGAACCTGTTTCTCGGCAGAATTCGGGAATCAATAAAATCGGCCCTGTAATTCCTGCTCTTCGATTTCGCCGCGACGGTTTCGATACTAACAATGGTTGTGTATGGTCGATGATTTGTAATTGATAACGCTAAATTCAGATATTCTTTTAGGAGAAAAATCTTTACTATTCCTTTCTGTTTACTTCTTGATAATAATCGATTAACGAAACATCTTTGCCGTCTCGTCTTGGAAACGTTATCTGTGGTGTTTTATCCCATGCAATATCATCTACTTTGTACGTCTTATGATTGTATCTAGTTGAGTGAGGACGAAATTATGTTGACAATCGAGTTATGCTTCGTCTCTTACGTTGTGATGACGATTTGTCCAACCAATTCTCGCATTGCTGTATCTTGCGCAAGCTTATATTCTTGAAATTGGGCGAAAATATTTTGTAAACGCTGGTAAATGCTCACATTATTGATGACTTTGTGTGATAAATCGACATTCATCATTAAAGAACCTTCGTAAACATTAACAGCTGTTTCGAAACCAGGAAATAGGGTTAAACTAAATCGGTCGATATCGATCTTTTTGTCGAATTGGTAGTAGGAGCGACCAATCATTCTCATACCCGCTAATTCCAATAATCTATCCATCCAAAATAGAACGCTGTACATGTATTCGAAATATGACTTACTTTCGGATGATTAAATTCGATAAATGGAAGAAATTTGGCGATTCAGGTCCTTGAACAGCCACCTTGTGCAATTGAATATTGAAATCTTGACCAATAGCTTCGTGATGTGATTTAATCTCATGATCCTACAATGCCAAATGTCTCGTATTTTTCTTTTAAGTTCCGATCGATAAATCTTACATCACCAAGATCATTAAATGAATACAAAGTTTGCCCATCAAAAGCAACATCTTGTAAATCACCTTTGTGTTGTGCTACAAAACAATTTCGAGAAGACTTTCGAGAAGAAGTTAACCAATCACACATTACCAAGTAATTCTCGACGTGTTTTTCTCGAATCAATATTATCCGGTGTAAACGTGACATGATATTGATAAAGTGACCATTGTGGTGTAGATAAGATTCGAACATAGTTTGCAATTAAAGGGATGAAATCTCCTGAGGTACCTTTCTTTTCGGATCCAGGTTCACGAAAATTGACTCGAGTTGGATCGACATTACGCGATTGAGACTCATCATGAATAGGTAAACCACGCGAACGACCTTCACGATGTTCACCAATTGACATACCGGCCATATGTGGAGCTAATTTGTCGAGACCACGACCACGTGGTATACTCATCGTCCCGCCACCACCAATACGACGGATGGCACTCTGCTGGACTGATGGTACAGCCTCGGCTGTCGACCATTCCGATGTTGGCGTATCACTCGTTGCTGGAGCAATCGGTGTCGGTACTAATGAAGCTAAAGTTGTACTAGTAGGTACCTGAGAAGATGATTTAAAAAAGAATTAGTTGTTCTTTGTTTCGCTGATTAGAAAAGGCATACGTCGCTAGTCGGTGCAGAAATACTGGCAGCACCACTGGGCTCACTGCCGGTTTCACCTGGAACAACAGGACGACTTCGTCCACGACCACGAGCACGGCCACGCTCACTCATGTTATCTAAAAAGTATATGAATCGATGAAATTTTTCTGCGCAATTCTATATAGTATCGAAACAGAAAAAGACGACGACACGTCTATGTTTTCTCTCTAATAATCTGCTTGTATACATCATACATGTTAGGCATCCCTGGATCGTCAAAGAAACCGTGACATGGACTTGTTTGTTTTTTTTCATTTTCTCTCTCTTTCGCTCGCTCGCTCTCGTTCTCTTTAAGAGAAGATTTCAAATACAAAGGATTAGAACATACAATGACAACAATGACATCCAATAGTTCACAATAAGTTGATCAAAATCTGACAAAAAATATCTGAGTAAATATTTGTTTCATTTTATTGTAATTAGAAAATAACTAAAAAGAGTTCTTCTAGATATTTGATTTGACAAATTGTTATTCTTCATCGTTTTTCAACTAACATTCGAAACATAACACTACACCAAAGAATATTCGAGAAAGTTTAATTACTTTGACAATAAATATTATCATTTAGTGGTTTGAGTTGATGATGAAGAACTGCTACTATCGTCTGTTGTTGTTGTTGTTGTGCTACTGCAATTCAATCTTAGATTCGATCATTTTGCAAATTTTATGTTTACTTTGTTGACAATGAAATTCGACTTGTCTTAGATTTCAAATCGACTCGAATAAGATCACCATCTTCATTATAATTATTACAATTATACTGTGCGATAGTTTTGATTGTTCGTTGTTCAGATTGAGAACTCGATGTTGTACTTCTCGATTGCATGGAACTGCTTGATGAGCTTGAAGATGTCTGATGGACCATCGGTGTTGTACTAGTATTCGATGAACTAGAGGTATCATCGCTATCGGACGATGAATCAGTTCGTTTACGTTGTTTTCCTATATTATTTCGTTTAGAAAACAACATTGTTCTATTCATCTAAACAATCGTTTTCGTGAGGAAAATCTTTTTCGCAAAGAATCATACTGGTTGATGATTGGCACTATACCAGAAGAGGCCCGTACTGTTTCTTGAGGTACTTGAGAGTGAGTACTTTTTCGCTAGTGCTTCTATAGCGGATAGACGTTTTGGATAATGATAGGCGGGTGTTTGCGTGGTATATTTATGTTGATAAGGTTTGAAAGAAGTTTTCTCGAGTGTCTTAGCAAGTGGTTGAATATTTGGTATACTTTGAACACTTTCTATAGTTGGTTTCTCCTCGTTAGGATGTTGTCGTATGGATATCGGATCAGATAAAGACGAGATGGATTCATCTTTTGCTACAGACGATTGAGTTACAAATGGATTTATATGCACTAGCAAAAGATAATAGCATGGCTATGTGAGATAGAGACATTTGACATTCATTTACAGTTGTCCTTAGGTAATTGTTTTAAATTTGCCGAATCAGTAGAAGATGGACTTCTTGTTTGATTGAAATCGTAACGTAAACCTGGAAATGAATAGCCGCCGCCTTTGTTTGTATTTTGTTGATTAGTATTAATATCTTTTTCAATCTTGTTACCAAATCCCTGTTCGAGATGAATCATTTTAGTGGCTGGAAGTTTTACTTGATCTCCACCGATGATAACTCGTCTTCTCTCCTCGCTTTTTACCATTTTCCTCTTTGATGAAGATCGTCCGAACAGGCTGTGCAACAATGACGAACGTTTATCTCGATCTGCTGATCGTTTTCTCGCTGGCGAAGCATTATTCGATGAAGTGAAATTATAGGACGATTGTCGCGATGAAATCTATAGACTATTGATACGAAATGCGGGTGATGCATATGAAAGAGAATACTTCAGTCAGAGGAATCAGATCACCGAATGGATTCGATCCTGTCATCGTTTTGTGCCATATGAACATGTCGAAAACTTAAAAAAACATTTCGTAAATGGAAGTAGACACGAGTAAAACGCGCGATAGAAGTTATAGTTTTATTTCGTTAAATTCTTCAAACACGAATACTCTTCTAAATCTAAAAATTCATCCGTCAGTTCAATCAATTTGGTCATAAATTCGTCCATATCAGACATTCTTGTACGATGATTCGTAATACACATTCGTAAGCCAAATTTCTCATTATCGAATACAATTGGTGATACTACTGCGATGCCACGCTCTTGAATAGTAATCAACAGGTGTTTATTGAATTTATTCTGTATGTCCGAGTCAACGAGGTCGGTATCCGATGCAATATATCGGAAACAAACAATATTCAACGGACCTGTTGCTAAGATCTGAAATCGGTTTGAATGTTGTTGAAGTAATTGAGTGAAATATTTCGCTTGATCAACATTCTGCTCCATAATTCGTCCGAATGTTTCAATACCATATGTTTTCAATGTCATCCACACTTTTAATGATTTCATATTTCGTGATAATTCTAAACCATAGTCACTAAAAAAAACTTCGCCCTCACTCGGTGTTATTCCACCACTCATTAATGTTAAATAAGAGGCAGTTGGTTGACTAAATGTTGCTTTGTGCAACTTTCCGTCTCGTATAAGAATACAACCGCATTCATACGGAACAAAAAGCCATTTATGTAAGTCAAATGCAATGGAATCGGCACGTTCAAAGCCGCTGAGTAATAGGCGTAAACGTTTGGAACAGCGAGCCACTGCACCAATAGCACCGTCGATATGAAACCAAAGCTCACTTTGTCTTCTCATACATATATCAGCTATACCTTGAAAGTCGTCAATGGCACCAGTGCCAACTGTACCGGCGCTACCAACAATAAATCCACATGATTGTGAGTCAATCAGTGTTTCCAATAGCTGAAACCAAATACATAATACTTTCATTCATTAAATGCTATACTTTGTATCATATTACCTTCAAATCTATTTGTCTTTCGGAATTCGTTGGAATAAATATCAAATTTTCTTTTCCAATGTTTAATAGATCCATTGCTCTTATGATACAACTATGCGTTTCTTTTGTACAATAAACTTTCATAATCCGATTCGAGAATTTCTTTCGAGCTGTAGCCAATGCAATAATCGTTGCTACTGATGTTCCGCTTACTAACACACCTGAACTCGTATCATCATCAGGAAAACCCATCAGTACTTTCAACCATGATAGAACTTGCCGTTCAATATAAATACTCGATTGATGTCCACCCCATGACATTGTATTCATCGTTCCACTAATTAATTCAGCAAATGCACCTACGACTGAGCCAGTTCCTTGGACATAACCCCAGAAATGTGGATGAATGTTACCTACCGGATAGGGAAGTATATGTGAGTATACTTCACTGTATACGTCGGATGCTGATTGACCATAAATCGGTAGATCAGTTTGTGCGATGGCTTTTCTTATTTCCAATGGTATTTGGTGCCATGCAGGTCGGAGTCGAAGATCGCGTAAATAATCGACCATATCATCCATGATTCGATGACCTAACGAACGAATTGCACTCCAATCTTGTGGATCCAAAGAGATATCATCTTTTTTTCCATCATCCGCTGAAAGAGTGCGTTCCAATTGTATTTTAAACATCCATACTTTTGTAAACGATTGCTGACAGCCAAAACGTATAGTGCAGGTGATCTCCAAATGTTTTGAATCAAGAACACGAACGTCAGATTTTGCACTACGGAGCACATCGATGAGTAAATCATAAAATTCGTTTCTTCCATCGCATAAACGATGTGTTATAGCTGAACATTGATTATCATTTAGCGAAGTATGGCAAATCAGTGTACGATTTCGATAAAGTTCTATCTTAAGATACTCCACAGACTCATTCTCCAATGAAAGAGAATAGCCATCATCTAATTCATACACGTTCTTGTCATTAGAAATAGTCATTGGATTGTGAACGAGAGCAGCATCTTTGGTGTTTTTTTGAAGATAACGCTTATCATCAACATAGTAAAGAACACTCAGGTCGCTTATCTGTCAGTGAATCAAACGATGAATAGGCGTTTCTGTTTTATTATGCTGATGCTACTGTTCGGTGCAGTTTATATGTTTCGTGTATGATTAGTCGAGAATTGAGTTCATGAAAGCATGTGCATGACTGCTGAGAGATGAATAATCAAAAATGTCACATATTGCGTGATTACCAGCTGAAAATGTTGAGCGATAGTTATGTGCGAGAGAAGAGTTTTGTGTTGACATTTATTCGATTTGTGAAACTCAACTCTGTTTAATTAATTGTGAAGTTAATCAAAAATGTATCTGGTGGCTTCAATAATAACCGACTTGGTGTAAAAGGAACAATAGGATTGTCATAACAACGAAAGAAACCATTTGTAACTAGACATACAGTTTAAACAATTTTCGTTGATCGTAGGATAGGTGAGAGAAAAGAATTACAGTTGCTTTTCAATGTAGACGTAATTTATAAGAAAAATATTGCACTTTTCTTGGCATACACATACAAGTCTTTTCAACAAATTTACGGTCGCTGTATTTGATTTTTTTTTCTGTACTTTTCATTCATGTGTTTGTACTTATCCGTACTCTCATGCTTTTTTTGCTCGATTTGTAAATGCTGATCTTTTCGTCAAATTATGCGTACTTACCGTCGACTACGACGCCACTATCGTTGGTNAGACGTAATTTATAAGAAAAATATTGCACTTTTCTTGGCATACACATACAAGTCTTTTCAACAAATTTACGGTCGCTGTATTTGATTTTTTTTTCTGTACTTTTCATTCATGTGTTTGTACTTATCCGTACTCTCATGCTTTTTTTGCTCGATTTGTAAATGCTGATCTTTTCGTCAAATTATGCGTACTTACCGTCGACTACGACGCCACTATCGTTGGTTTTGTCGATGGTATTCTAGCATTCTACTCATTCTAATATTTTTTATCCTTATCCGACCGTATCTGGACACAATTAGCGATGAATTATATATCCAAACGCTAGATGTACAATCCTATGCAAATTCCATTACCATATGGAATAGTGACTTTCACATCAGGTTTGTCGATGTTATTGTTCAATTATAATTGGACTTTTTGGAATATTCTATTCACATTGCAGTCCTATTCGAGATCTGAAGACTATTCTCATTCCACTTGGTGTCAAATTCTTCGATAAGAGTCTTTCAAATAGTTGTTCACGAACGAAAACATGCGCTTCTCACCTTCGTATATTAAATCGAGAGAATGCACAACAACCATCGAAAGAACTTGCCATGCAATTCTACGAATTCTACAAAGATCAACTCGAAATGAATCTCGTCGATGCATTCGTTTGCTTTCATCCCGTTGGCATGTGTGAACTCTACATACCATTCAATCGAACCATCATCATCATTGCCTCAACACGATATGAACTCTGGAGATTCGATCCATCTTCATGGACGAAACTCAATGAAAATCTCAAACAAATTGCAAAACATCCCAAGAATATCATTGCTGCAAACAATCTCTATGATGTGGAATACATTCGTTATTTCACCGGAATCAACGCTACACTTCTACCAAGTTTATGTGACTATACGAATGTTGATTATAGTCCAAGTAGAAAAGAATTCTTAATCGCACCAATTCATACATCGGCATTCGATACTTATTTTCGGTCATTGATTCGAAAATCCTTGAAGTTGCATAAAAAATATGGGATAGATATTGTACCAATCAGAGAACTCTATTCTAATTATGAATATTCCGATCTAGCTAAGCATCCCGCTATTATCTATGTGCCTTATCAAGTTTCTGTGATGAGTCTATTCGAACAATATCGAATGAACATTCCATTGCTATTCCCTTCACTAGATCTTCTGACACAATGGCACCTAGAATTCTCTGTAGTCAACGAAAAAACATGGGATCGAGCGCTATTTGGGGAAACGCCACAAGGTTCGCATATTCCTGGTGTGCTGTCGGGTGTTCCCGATCCGAATAATGATGTCGATCGAACATCTGTTCATTACTGGTTGAACTTTTCTGATTTCTATCAATGGCCACATATTACCTACTATGATTCAACGGATGATCTTGTACAAAAACTGACCACAACAGATTTTGCATCGATCAGCAAGAAGATGAAAGAACATAACAAGCAAGTGAAAGAAAACTTGTTGACAAAATGGAAAGAAATCCTCGATAATATCAAGCGATATTCACGAAAANACGCTTACTGTTTCGCTCAATGAAAAAGAGCAGAACGAGGAAATATACGAGTCAAGAGAAAGAATATTCCATTCAATCTTCGTTGTATTTAAACGTCTCACCACTTTAATAGTTGACCAATCATTATATCAAAAGCTTGTTCGATTGTGTTTAACTGATGAACCATTACTGACTCATTTTCGTTCTTCAACTCTTCTACAATTGACGATTAATGTCCAATGCTTTGATGATTGTCTTTCCTTTCTTGATGGTCGTTTTCCGTCTCTTCATACGCTCGATGTGGAATTGGCTAACATGTATTGTTCGAATGAAATTTCAAATCGAGTTAGTTCGATAAAAGCTTGATGTGATCAACGAAATGCACGTTTTTGTTTCAGGGTGATCTACCAAATCTAAAACGTTTATCTATCTCATGCAGTTTTGAAACATATTATTATCAAGATAGAATTCCTCCACTTGTACGTCGAATGTATCATCTTGAAGAACTCAGTTTATGTTTCACAGTTCAGGAGGAGAAAACTTTTCTCGATGGAAACAATTTGAAGAAAGATATTCTACGGCATCTGTCACGATTAAATCGATTTTCATTTTCGATTAGTTCTTATATATTTGCCAGTTATCAAACAACTCTTCCATCACCGGAAGACATCCAACGTACATTCGATGACTTCTCAAATCTTCAAGTTCATTCCTGTGTGGATTATTTTCCAAAAGAACGACTAGGTCGATGTCTGATTTATTCTTGTCCATCTCTTCTTCGATATTATGACCTTGTTACAAATCATTTCCCTGGTGGCTTATTTATCAATGTTCGCAAAATATCATTGGTTGATGAACATCCGTTTGAGCATGAATTTTTTCATGCCATTCAAAAGTCATTCCCATTTCTGAAGAGATTATCTGTTCAAAATGATCATCCACAAAAGTGTAAACCACTTTCGAAATCGATTGATGAGAATGAAAATTCATCGGTGATTGACTATCCTTATCTAAATGAATTGTTCATTGTGAAGGTGCATGATGATTATGTCGAGCAGTTCCTCATTCATTCGAAAGCATCCTTTAAAAATAGTATTCTTCATATCAATTACGAATCTTTACAACGAATAACACATCATTTTACAAGAGATGATACACGAATAAATTGTACTCAAATCAATCGATTAGTTTTATATGGAGAGAAAAATCATTTCGACTGTTTACAGGAATATTTCCCTTCTGCAAAAATTTCGTATTATTGAAGAATATTTGGAGAAATCTCCTTGAAAAAGAGATTTGTCTTGTTTATTTTGCCGACAGAGTCAATTGTAATTAGCTTTTTTAATAAATCGACTTCATTTCAATGATTATTTGTGGGCATTATTAGATATCAGCACCTTCGAAAGTGGTTTCATCGATCGATTGATATCAGCACTGAATGAGTAAAATAAAGAAGAAAAGTCAATCGTATTCAACTTCCTGTTATCGATGGAAAAAGTCCTTTGATGAGAATTTTCTAAACAAATGTATTCATCAAAAAAGAATCGAAATCATTTGATGTACACTAGAGGAAAACTTCTGTCTTCTACATATTTAACGATACAACATGGACACAAATAGACGAACGAAAGAATTTTATTTGTCATAAGATGGAACGATCAAATCAGATATCTTTCGACACATGTCTCGCAATAACTTAATCAAAAAGAAAATGATCAGAATGAAAAAGCAAATAGTCTATCATACGCATCTCTTTGTTCGTGTCTTAGACAATGTTTTCATTTCTAGATTTGTTAATTATGAGTTCATGAGAATTCCAACATAAATTTGAACGATTAGCAAAGCATCTATTTACATATTTTGAACAAAACAACTTTCAAGCTAATAAATCAGAAGTAAGAAAAAAATGAACTGTCCGCATTGGATACCTATTTCTTTTTGTTCGTAAGAAATCTGGCGATATTCTTGTATTAGCAAGTCATCATCGTAGTCGACAATACTCGATTGATTTCCGTTTTAATGATAATCGAATTGGAACAGATTTTAAACGTAATGGAAATCGAGCAGTTTTAACGATGGAAGTAAGAAGAATATCTTTGAATCAAACACGAGAAGAAAATTGTTGTCAATTTTGGAACAATAATATCGATTTGAATAGAAGACTCACATTTGATTTAACTCAAGATGTTCAATTGGACAACCGAGAACTCAAGTAACATAGATATTCATTCGAGATATGTATTGCCATCTTCTTTTAGATTTAATGGCGAAAAAAATGTGAAGAAATTGTTGAGTGATTTAATTACACACATAAATATGCTGATCAATAAGACTTCTTCATCAATGCAATTAACTTCTCATGTGCAAAATGTACCTGATTCAGGTAATTCGTAGAGACATTTATTTTCAAATAATCTACCATAACAATTAACAGGTGATGATTGCAAGAAAATAGAATGTATTAACGGACTGTCATCTGAAAAGAACTCTGCGACAGAAAATACACATCTCTGTCAAATCAATCTATACTCTGATCAACGACAAACTGAAGATGATCCTTTCGACATCCCAGGTTATTATGGCACGGTCGATTCCGGCTGGTTAAGTTCGTTTTCCGACCATTTCCTTGGCACCGGAACTTGCTGGAATCGGCAAAAACTGTGCCGGAATCAAGAAGAGCTGTATTGGAACCGACTCAAATTTCAACGGATCCAGTCGCCGGAATGATCGACCTGGGATATTATTTCAATCGATACGTGACGTTTTGAACAGTCAACCAGGACCAATTCCATCCACTAGTCCAATATATGTCTCGATTTTAAACGAATTAACAGATTGACCATTGGATAATTCTATTTTTAGTCAAGAAGCATCATTACATGATGAATATGGCCATGGAGGACCAACATTGGATCAAAAAGTTGTATTTTAATCTTTTGACGATGCTTTCGTTGAAAAAATACGTGCTCATGTCAAATAGATATTTCTCTTTCATTTTGACATTTCGAATTCTATTTCATTTGAACAAATAAACATTTATATTAGCATGAAGAAGAATTTTATTTTATCAATCCAAACAAAACAATGAAATCACCTTAGAAAGACCGGTGAAAATGGGTTGTTCTGAGACGAAAGTTCAGTGGAAGTGCCGGTAGTTGATTATTAAGTGAAGGTGAAACGTCAGTCAGTCCGTCATCGTCACCCATCTCATCAGAAATGATGATTCATAAGATGATGAAAACATTCTATTCAACAATCACTCTAGATCAGCATCTCACACAAGACTTTGTAATGGACAGAAAATCAATAACATTTCGGAGTTGAATACCGCTTTTTCTCTAGGTCATTTTACACATCGATTCCATTTAGATTTCTCTTCTATTCACAGATCCAATCAAAAACCGTTCCTCTCTGACAAAACCACAATCTTCATTGTGTGAATAAAAAGATAAATAATTCACGTTCAGCAATTGAATTCTCCAAGATCTTTAAAGAAAATATTTGTTTTTGGATCACTTTAGTAAATGCGATCTAATGGATAAAGTTTGATAGAATTCTAATGAATAGCGACAGTTGAAATGAGAGAAGAGCTAAGATTGGTTGAAGTTTGAATTGATTGATATGTTCCTGCCATTATCTCATCTAATGTTCAATTTTCTATTATCATCTTCACATCACTCCACTGTTCTGAAAACAATCCAGCCAGCTTATCTTCTACTTGTGTAGAAATGGATGAGTCCACAGACTTATTCTCTAACGAAACAGAATAACCATCATCTCATTCGTATACCTCTTTGTTATTAGGATTAGGAATAGCCATTCGATTTTGAACGAGAGCTATACCTTTGGGGTTTTTTTGAAGAAAACGCTTATCATCAGCGTAGCAAACAATATTCAACTCGCTTATCTATTAGTGAATCATTGAATAGATAGGTGTGTACGATCTATTATACTGATACTGCTGTTTTTGTATATAAGTAGTCGAGGATTGGGTTCATGAAAGCACATGCATGACTGTTGGAAGATGAACAACAAAATATGTCAGATATTGCGTGATTACCAACTGAAAATGTTGAGCGACAGTTATAAATCAAATTTGTCAAAGTCAACTCTGTTTAATTAATTGTGGAGCTAATAAAAAATATGTCAGATGACTTCAGTAATGATCGACATGGTGTAAAAGGAACAATAGGAGTACCATGACAACAAAAGAAACCGTCTGTAACTACACGTACAGTTTAAACAATTTTCGTTGATCGTAGCATAGGTGAGAGAAAAGAATTACAGTTGCTTTTCGACGCAGACGTAATTTATAAGAAAAATATTGCACTTTTCTTGGCACACACATACAAGTCTTTTCAACAAATTTACGGTCGCTGTATTTGATTTTTTTTTCTGTACTTTTCATTCATGTGTTTGTACTTATCCGTACTCTCATGCTTTTTTTGCTCGATTTGTAAATGNTCGATCGAACATCTGTTCATTACTGGTTGAACTTTTCTGATTTCTATCAATGGCCACATATTACCTACTATGATTCAACGGATGATCTTGTACAAAAACTGACCACAACAGATTTTGCATCGATCAGCAAGAAGATGAAAGAACATAACAAGCAAGTGAAAGAAAACTTGTTGACAAAATGGAAAGAAATCCTCGATAATATCAAGCGATATTCACGAAAATGGACGTGACTAATTATAATTAAATCCAATTTTAATATGCAGATAGTTCTTCTGTGTGATAATGCTGAGCATTAAATGTCGATTTTCGAATGAATCTCAGGTTTCGCGTCAATGATCTCATTAAACTATCGTGCATAGATTCGTATAATATCTCAGAATAGAACAATCACTCTAGCCTTTTCTCTGATAATATGAATGAATCGTTTTGCATCTACGCTCTAATGAAGGATTATCTTCAAAGGAGATTATCTATCACAACATTCTTTTCATCTAAGTGAGTGAAATCATCAATGATGGTCTCCAAAACATTTATTCATAAAAAAGGCAAACGACAAAAAACTACTAATATATCACTATCGAATGTTTCTCGCCGCTTTCTGTTTAGTTTTTTTCTTGTTCATTTGCTTGTTTAGTCATAAGATTCGGATAACACAGATATAACATCCACTGAAGAATACAGAATAAAAAGCAAATAACAAAACACAAAGAAATAAAAAGAGACTGAAGATGAAAATGAAACGAAAAGTAACGAAAAAAAACATAATATTTTTTTTTCGTCTACCTTCATCACTGTATCGATATATCTGAATGCCGAAAATTTCTTTTTGTCATTTTGGACGAAACAGATTTCGTTTGTCTGCTACTGTTCGGCAAATTTATTATCTGTCTTTCCTGTTGGAGATGATCCTGGAACTAATAATGGATCTTCATGGACGCTCGTGTCTAAACGTAGGAAATAAATGTCAGAAGCAATGCTTATTTTAGATAAGATTTACCTGGATCGATAACGATCTTTGGTACATTGATATTATGATTTGATCGAACATTCTTTTCTGAACGTTTCTTCAGTACAAAGAATATGAGACTATAGATGATGGCAGCTGTTGCATTGAAACATGCAAAGAATAGAAACAAAGTTCTTGACTGTAGACGCGTATAAATATATGATGAAACAATTAAACCAACTCCACGACCTAATAGAAAAAGAATACAGAAGTGAATATTCACCGTTCCTCTTTCATGTCAAATGCGCACCTAAACCAAAGGAAAGACCGTAGACAACACCTTGAAGTGTACCAGCAAGTCCCGGTGGTGCTATAAAACAAGAAATAGTTGTTCTTTTTCGAAAGCGTGAAGACAAAAGTATAGAAACTACCAATGGCATCAGCTCTTTGAGCAATGAGTATGTAGAGAATGCCGAAATTAAAATAGTGCATTGTCTCCATGAATAAGAGAAAATATGGTCGACGAATGTAATAATAACCAGCGAATCGAATTGCAAAAGCTAATAAAATGATGATGGAATTAATATTGACTCCCAAGAGTTCGAGCATTTTGCCGGCAAGGAAAAGAGCAACGATTTCTGAAGATGCAGATATAAATGACATGTAACCAACAATGGAACGAGATTGACATGGTGCGATTTCATCGATGTATAAATAAACGTACTGAAATCAAGAAAGAAAAGAGTATTTTTAGTAGTTTTCTGTTCGGGCAAAGTACAAGATAGTCTGGGAGGTCTTTTCTAGCATTCGAGATCATATTTCTCATTGACTTTTGGCTTCTATTACAATCGAGAGTTGCTCTTCAATCGGACAAAGATGTGTATGATGGCAAACACTACGTTTCACTGTTTTCGGTTGTTGAAAGAATTACTTACGGGATCAAGACCTGCGTATGACATGCCCCAAATGAATGTCAACGAAAGAAAGACGATCACATCGATTCTTTTCAGCAATGGTATAAGCGCTGGTAAACCAGATTGCGATGAATTCTTTCTTTTCATGTCTTGATTCGCATTTTTCAAAGAAGAGTCAAGTCCGATTTCTTCTGTAGCACCTGCGTCATGATCTGCTGAAGCTCGCTTTTGTTTGTGCGATTGAATACGGATAAAACATGTGATCAATATGCATAAAAATGCATACGCGATGAACAGAATTATGTAGACAAAATTTGTGTCAAAGTATTTATAAAGTTTACTCGCAGTCAGTGCTGATATTCCAAAACCGATTGTGCCGAAAACACGTTGACTTCCGAAAAGTTCAGCACGAGGTATACTAGCGAAACCAATCGATGCTCCAAGTGTAATCGAGTTCGAAAGTAGATTCGTTCCAATGATGAATAATAGAGAATATAGAAGAAGATAATGTGTTTGTTGAGGATAGCGACTTCCATGACAATAGTGTGCTATGGAACAAGTTATTTTACAAGTAGCTATTGGAGAGGTACTTCCACTATCTGTTGCGAGATTCAATTTGGACTTGTCTAAATATGCATCAATTGGCACTCGATAATGAATACCGCATCTTGCTGGTTCACTTGTACCAATTGATTCCGGGAAGTTCTGTCGGGTATCTGTTGAATTCATTTTGAAATTAAACTCAAACGACTGTGCATCGGCGTTGCAATTCGCATTGTATGAACACCCACATTCAGATCTTGAGGAACATTTCGTTGCCACTTCTTGACTGGCGCAAAAATCTAATACACGACCTGATGGCAGATCATATGTCATGTTAGCTTGGATATGTTCTGTCTTGATCTCTGGTAAGAGAAACATAGCTCCATATAAAATAATTACTATACCAAGAACGATATTGAATGTAAATAAATAACGGCGAGAATGATCAGCAATGAAGCCTACTAGTGGATTGGTAAAAAAGACTAAGAATGGAATTATTAAATTAATATATGAGATTTCGATATTGGATAAACCACGACTACGTAATGTAATGCTTAAGACTGGATACAAAGCACCAAACGCTGAGAAGAAAAGAAAATAATGTGCTTTTAATAAAATATGCCGACGATGAATAAACGGCGATGAACTAACGACACTTGTCGTCGGCGCTAACATTGACGGGGATTCCATGCTTATCTACGAATTTGAATGAATGTTTCTTTGTTTTTTTTTTACATCTAAAAGACGAATAAAGACGAGTTTTTCTTTTCTTTCTCCTGGTGGTTGTTGAACATATTGTTCATCGTGGTAACTTAAAATAAAAGCGGAAAGTGTAATGATGAGAAGTTGTATGTCATTCTCTATTCTTTTTCGAAGGAAAGAACATGATGGAAAAAAGAGAATCATTGTGTATTGCGCTGTTTATAAAGGAGAAAAAAAAACGAGAAGTACCAAGGTCAAAAAACAAGAGAAAAGAATCTACTCGCAAAAGCAGACATCGACGATATCGTTTTAAATCAATTCCACAAAAGAAAAGAAATTGATGAGATTACAGATGACTTTTAGACCTTCGAAGTTTTGCACGTATGCACACTCGTATTCGAGATATAAATCGTGTGGATAAGGAGAAACAAAGCGAGCATTGGAATGATGAAAGTAATATATCCACTAGAAAGAATCTCATTTAAATAATGCTCTCATTATACATAGTTATGCCTTGAGATTAAAAAAAAAAGAAAGAGAAAAATAGTAACATTGTAAAAGATTGTGAACTTAAAGCTCGAGCAGAAGACATACTTTCTGATATTTCTTATCTCTGTCGGAACGTTTAATAATACGAGCGAGGAAGAGAAACTATTCTAGCTTTCAAAGTTACAGTCGGAAGTCCGTGCTGGAGAAAAAAAGATCAAGACTCTTTTACGATCAAAAGGAAAATAGTGTTATATCAATTATTATATGACATGCTTCTCTCTCTCGCGATTGATTATTCAATAGGTCTGATGAGTTTTTCGACGTCATTTTCCTGAACTATATCTAAATAATAGACATGATGTTAGGTTGCTATTTTTTAATAAAAATAGAAACGGAATATATTCTTGTTGCCTTTCTTCTTTGACAAACATTTCCTGTAAGCACACATCGTCGAGAGAGAAAAAAAAACGAGAAAACGCATACATAACTGCATTATATTTGTTCCTTCTGTCTGCAGTGGAAAGGATTAGTCCTCTCGTATTGTTAGAGGACAGAAAAAGAAGTGATAGATTGTCCAATTGAATTCTTTGCCGATACTTTTTTGCTTTGAAAAATTAAGATGTTTATCATCAAAATCGAATGACGAAAAACTTGTTATTACTTACATAATTGTACGAGAAAAGAATCTGGTATTTAAATTACCGTCCCAACCCATACCAATCGACTAGTCATATTCGAATACGAGCGTACTTTTTCTCTTTCCTATGTCATGTTTTTCTTTTCAATACTATAAGTACGCCAAATGAAAACTAAATGTCTACTTCTTCAATGAATGGAAATGTACATTAATAACCTACTAAAACTTTTATTCAAGGATAATCGATGCTTTTTTTTTTGTGTGAAATTTAGTTATCGTTCAACATGGATGATGATTGTAAAGGTCCGGAATCTAAATAAGGAATGAAATTCAGTTTCTCTTTAGCAATCAATCGATCAACATACCTGCTTCGAGCATAATAATATTAGCATTTGCTTCGACGGAAAGGTTTTGATTTGCGGTTTGTCGCGTAAAAAAGAAATAAATTGAATAAATAATTGCGGCAAGGAGATTGATGATGGCAAAAACGAGAAAGAGCAGGCGCTGGTGAATAGCAATGTAGATGAACGAAGAGACCAACAAACCAACGCCACGACCTATATGAGAAAAATTTCGATAGAACAACGAATGTATTTAGTATGCGGTACGTGGTAGGAAAATCAATGCAAATTAAAAGCAAACAAACGGAATTTCGATTTACCTAAACCATGTGTAATGCCATGAGCAATCCCCTGAAGTGTTCCGGAGAGGCCAGCAGGTGCTATGAAAAATTAAAATCGAAATCATATTAATCTCATTGAAGAGTTATTTTCTTTTCATCTACCAATGGCATCGGCTTTTTCGGAGATTAGAACATACAAAATACCATAATTGAAAAAGTGTAAGATTTCAATAGGCAAATATAAAAATGGTTGAGGAAGAAAATAATATCCACCGAATCGAATAGTAAACGCCAAAAAGATGACTATTGATGATAAATTACTACCCAAAAATTGAATTACTCTTCTTGCAAAATAGAAAGCAATCACTTCGGACGATGCAGCAATGAGTAACATCCAGCCGATAATTGAGCGAGAATGACACGGGGTTATTTCATCAATATACAAACTCAAATACTAAAAGAAAATGTGCAAGTGACGTATCAGAAACTGGAATGATCTCTTACGGGTTGAAGACATCCGAAGCCCATTCCCCAAACGAAGGTAATAGAAAGAAAGATCCATACATCAACTTTTTTCATTAACGGGATCAATGCTGATAGACCAAATTTCGCTTGTTTCTTCTCAGTTGCCTTCTCAGCTGTTCGGATTGGTATAAAACACGTTATCAGAATAGTTAGCACCGCACAAATAACAAACATTATTATATAAACATATTCACTATGAAAATACTCATAAAATCGACTGGCACTGAACGCTGCAATACCGAAACCAATGGTTCCCCAAACACGCTGCTTTCCAAACAGATCAGCACGAGGTAGACTGGCAAAACCGATCGATGCCGTCAGGACGTTACCAATCGAGAGAAAATTTGCACCGAGAGTATAAAAAATCGCATAGAGTAAAACATAAATCGTTTGCTTATCGTATCGTAATCCATGACAAAAGTGGGGTATTGAGCAAGTTATTTGACATTTCAGCGGAAAGGCGTATTTTCCAATAGAAAGATTCTCAACGGGTACTTGATAGTTAATGTCACATAAAACATGTTCGTTCTCATACAAATGTCTCTCTGTTGTGTAAGAATTCATTGTAAACGAAAAGTTCAGTGTTTGATTCTGCGTAATGCAGTGTGCTTGGTATGCACAACCACATTCTGATCTAGATGAACATTTCGAAACAACTTCTTGACTAGCACAGAAGTCTAGAAGATAAGACGATGATGGACCATCACGTAAATTTGCTTGTATATGATGAGATTGAATACGAGGTAAGAAAAATAAAGTTGTCATTGTCAAAATAACGAGAAGTAATAGAAGATTGAAAGTTAAAATAAACCGTCGGGATCTATCGGCGATCACACCAATTAATGGACTGGTGAAAAAGACGAGAAATGGTAGTATAAAGTTTGAAAACGAGATTTCTGTATTGGATAAGCCATGAGAACGAAGAGTAAGGTTTAATATTGGAAAAATAATACCAAATGAAGAGAAGAAAAGAAAATAATGAGTTTTGAGTAGGAGATGATGACGGCGTAGAAATGGCAATTGAGATTTATCTGATGATGAAAGCATTCTAATATAGAAAAAAAAAGATAGGAGAGAAAAACAAAGTGTCGACGATGTTATTCTGCAAAAATGAACATGTTACTCATCTAGAAGAAGAAATTATTTGTATGCTAATGTTTTGTGATGTGTTCCTTCCGGCTCGAGTAAAAAAGATCGATTCATCTTTTTTAATTACAGAAATTAGCTGATTTGGTTGCCTTCTCCAGCAAGCATACGTCAAGTAATTTATTCTAGTCTGTCAACGAGGTCTTTTTAGAACTAGCAATAATTATCTTGTGTATTAATCACAGCAGGTGTCGTATATGTTTTGCAAGAACATGTAGGTAATTATCTACAAGAAGAACGGACAAAATAAGGATATATATATTCATGAAAAAAAGAAACACAAGTATAACAAAACAGAAAAAGAACGAAAAGTTCTTCTATTTAGCATGTTTTCCTATTTGTTTGAGACTTGTTGCTGTTCTTTTTCCTTTTGTCGGTCTTTATTCCAATCTTGCAAACCCTTGGGCAATGTCGTATCTTCTTCTAATGAACCTATTTGAAATCAGAGTAATTACAAAAGCACATCGAGCAAAACAGTCCGTTACCTGTTCCTTCGACAAACTCTTCATAAGTTGTCTTCTCTTTGAATGGTCGTGCACCAACTAATTCAATCATATCATCGCGTGATAAAATCTCCCGTTCCAGAAGACGATTCGCTACTTTTTCAATCAGCTCTTTTTTCGATGTTAACAATTCAACAGTAAAGTCATAAGCACGTTTGATGATTGCTCGAACCTCATCGTCAATCAATTGTGCCGTTGCTTCGGAGTATGGCTTATCAAATGCCATATCTCCAGGCTGGGGCATGTCGAAGGAGACATAGCCAACTTTATCAGACATACCGAAACGAACCACCTGAGAGTAAGCTGATTGAGTTATTTTTTGTAAATCATCTTGTGCACCTGTTGATATGCGATTGAAAAACAAAATTTCGGCAACACGCCCACCTAACATTACACACATGCGATCGAATAACTAAGAAAAAATATCAATAAGTCATGTGAATATCATATACAACGCAGTTTACTTGATCCTTCGTGTAGAGATATTGCTCCTTGGGCATGTATTGCGCATAACCAAGCGCTTTACCACGCGGTATAATCGATACCTTAAGAATGGGTTCGGCATGTTGCAGAAACCAACCACAAACAGCATGACCAGCTTCATGAAATGCAACTTGTCGTTTTTCTTCTGGTTGTAAAACTTGCGACTTCTTCTCCATACCTAGAATGACTCGTTCTATCAATAAGAATGAATTCATCACTTTCACTGACCAGCGATGACACGATCAATAGCTGCTTCGAAATGTTTCAATTCAATTTCGCTATTTAAATCGCGAGCAGCAATCAATGCTGCCTCGTTACAAACATTGGAAACATCAGCACCTAATACGAACGGATGTCACTATTAAACTTCTGAAAATTTCAACTAAATCAGATAGTTACCAGAGAATCCTGGTGTTCGAGCTGATAATTTCTTTGATAATTCATTCTTGTCTAATGCAGTTTTCAAACGTTGCAAATGCACTTTAAATACACTTGCACGTCCTTTAATATCTGGTAAACCTACATATATTTGTCGATCGAATCTGCCTGGACGTAACAGAGCCGAATCGAGAATATCCATTCGATTCGTTGCTGCTAAAACAATTACGTTTTGCTGCGGTGTGAATCCATCTAATTCGACTAAAAGTTGATTGAGAGTATTTTCCTGTTCACTATGTCCGCCCATTGAACGACCACCACGTTTTCGTCCGATAGCGTCGATTTCATCAATGAATAGGATACATGGTGCGTTCTTACGTGCTAATGCAAACATATCACGAACCTAGAGAAATCCAAAGGCAACTACAGTCAGTGCAATTGGATAAAAAAAAACATACTCGAGATGGACCAACACCAACGAACATTTCGAGAAATTCAGAGCCAGATACGGTTATGAATGGTACACCAGCTTCACCAGCTGTCGCTTTTGCTAGCAAAGTTTTTCCTAAATGCAAAAATAGCCGATCATTGTTTGACTCGGTGTTCTTGTAACCTACCTGTGCCGGGTGGTCCAGTTAGAATAGCACCCTGTAAGAAAGAATGGATAGAAAGATGACTAAATTTATCATCATTTTACCTTAGGAATTTTCGCTCCGAGATCAAGATATTGTTGAGGATTTTTCAAGAAATTAACAAATTCCATGATTTCAAGTTTAGCTTCTTCGCATCCAGCAACATCTCTAGAAATGCATTCATGCGTGAGTCATGATTTGTTATTTGACAAAAATTTTACTTGAATGATGTACCAACATTCTCTTTGACAATTCTTGCTGTAGTATTTCCTATGCCGAACATTCCACCAGATCCTTTGCCTCCTAATCCACCCATTTGTCCCATCGCAGAACCAGCACGCCGAAATAACCAGACAAAGAAAACAATCGGCAATAACCATGACGCTGCACTTAATACTGTACTTGCATCAGCTTCTGTTTTATACAACACCGGTACGTAACCACCGGCATCGATTCCGTGTTCAGTTTGGACGTTTTCAAGATTGCGTTCAAATGAATCGACTGATCCAATAGCAAACCATAAACTATGCTGAACAGAGATTGAAACGAAAATAAATCAGTGTAAAAATGTTGAAGCAGAATACAAACCAGCGAATCTGGTGCACCAGGAAGAAGTTTAACGCGAACCCATTTCTTATTGACAACTTCGAGTTTATCTACCTAGTAGAAGATTGCATTTAAATAGTATTCACGGTTCTCGAAGTGTGAACATTCACTAAACTTACATATCCTTTCAAGAGATAAGTGGAAACGAATTCTTTCCATGTTATTTCTCTGTATAAAGTATTATTATATGAAAAGTAGGCAGCAATACCACCGCCAACAAGAAGAGCAAGAGCTGTACGATTGTTAAAAAACGGATTTTGATCTCCTGGTGTAAATTTGAATTCTAGGCCACGCCAACCGCTACCACCACCGCTGCCTGTACTACGACCTGATGGGGGCGGCGAAGGAGCTCCACGACCACCCGGACTTGGACCGGGTGTCACTGGTTTAGGCTGTCCGCCTTCAGGTGGTATTTCACCAGGTGCAGGTTCTTTCGGCGGTGCCGGTGGACGTTGACTTCCGGCTGAAAACAAGAAATCAGATTGAGTAGATCTGAAAAGAACGCGAGACAAATATACCTGGATCTTTTGGTTTTGGTCCTTTGCCGCCATTACCAGGAAAATATTTTTCAAAACCTTTTGGTACAACTGTATTTAACCGATGAGCTACCGGAGATGATACATTGGAAACGTTGCTAAAGAGTCTCTAGACAAAACAAAAAAGTTAACAATAAAAAGATTATTCCGTGTCAATTTTACATAGACTTGATTCCATTTATTTAACGAATGAGGATATCTAAGACATTGATCAAAATGACTCCAATATCGTTGCAGTTTCAGCAAATGAACAGACATAATCTAGAAGAGAAACGAAGATTACGTAACCACATATCATTCAATATGTTTTTCTATTTGTCAAAAAGCTGAAGTAGTTTAGTTTTCATGTTAAATAACAGTTGCTTTCCTAAGAGTGCACATGCGAACCAAGAGCAATCGAGTTCACATTACGTCTGTATTCGCTTTGCAATTGTGGTGTGCATTACTTCATCCAAAAGTCTATGGCGAATAAGAAGAACCAATCAATCAGTGGAAAAGATTTGTCTGGCACATGACAGTGACATCTACTCGAAGAATAGGAAAAGTCTACTGAACTGTTCTTTAATCTTGGAATTTATTGATTATTTTATAAGAAAATGTATAAATATTCAAAGAAATTCGATTGCTTTCTAACAACGCGATTCATCATGATACAAGTGAACGATTTCATGATCAGGTTTGATCGTAATAATCGGTAATTTTTGAATATTTGATTGTGAATGATAACTGACACGCGTCTGAAAAGAAGTTACACACGATTTGGATGGACTGTTTGGCTCATTCGACGAGAAATTTGAGTATCTACTATGATTATACGGATCTGGTGCTAACAGATGACATTGATCATCATTCATTTGTCTGAAGTCTTCATGACCTGTCCGTGCGTTCGTCGAGCGAGTGGAATTTTGTGCACATTCGTCAGATGAATTTTTACAATAACGTCGAAAATGACGACAAATAAGATGTTTTCGAAACGGCCATGGTAGCTGTTCGTGTGGATTACTTTGTTCAACCAATGATTTCCATCGTTCGATAATCTGTTGATCCAAAGAAGATCGACGTCGATCTCGCGGTTGATTTTCAATAGCTGACAAATGTGGAATCAGTGTTGATTGTGAAGTAATCGATGTTCGATGAACACGCTCATTGACGACAGGTGTTAACATTGTCTCGTTCATAATCAGACGATTGCGTTTAATAGTCGCTAATTGTTTCCTAATATTTCGTGTTCGATGTCGTTCGGCACGTTTTAGTTTCTCTTTGTTATAATCTGTTTTTTCGAAATAGATATTCCAAAGTCTTTCACGTTTTTCTTTATCAACAAGTTCTTCTAAATATGAAAGAACGAAAAAAGCTCGAATTCATTCTCTCGAAGTTGTACTACCAAGAATTTCCTTCGTTTGTGTTTGATCACGAAGTGTTTGCAAGAATAATTTCGCTCGACGTGTTGTACAGTCTTCAATTGTGTCAGCTCGACCACGAATTTGCATTACTTGCATACATACAATGCTCAATGCATACCAGAATATCACAACAATTAAGAATAAAGTAGCACCCGACGAATCATAATCGTGCGGTTCGATTTCACTGACAGCAGTTGGATCGTCAACTGATTCATAATGATGATACATTGTCACCACTGTACTATTCATCATCGTAACTTTTCGTGAATGTCCAACACACATACACTTACATACATATATATATATATATATATATATATATATATATGTACGGATCGATTGGAAAGAAAGACAAGCGAATGGTAAGAGTCCAGATGATGACTTATTTTCATTATGGAAAACAAATCTTAGTGATGATTAGCTGAAACACCGGAATCATACAGCAAAGTACGAAAAGAACAAACGAGGACATCAGCACAACACTGACAACCTGAAAGAAAGATAGAAAAAGCATTGGCGGAAAAATTTAGAATGACACTTTGAAATAAGGCAAGCTGAATTATTGATATTTGTTGGCCTGCCATGCATAAATTATGGATTTACTGTCATATGAAACATTCATCCTGAAGATTTCCTTCAGAACAGCAGTATAAAGCTCGAACGCATTTCATTTCTATCTTCCTTACTCTCAAAATGGTATCAAATACCACCGGTCGTTTCCGTATTGAAGACTACTATGTTGCTTGCGCATTATCCACATTATTTGCACTTATATCTATTTTAATAAGTCTATCTATATTTATTATCGTGTGGAAAACAAAACCGCGTTTACATACAATAAATCATTTGTTAATTTGTAACACAGCATTTGCATCAATTGTGTATTGTTTGGTTATTATAAATAACTATATTTACTTACTATTTGTTCCATGGAATTTAGATGATATGAGTTGTCGATTCCGAGCTTATTTCGCTTATATCGGAATATCCGGCGTGATTTATTCATATTTAATTCAATCCATATCACGGTTGTTTGTCTCAATATTTTCAACAAAATACCGATTTTTATCAACATTCAGAATGCATTTCATCCTGATAGGTACTCAGTGGTTTGCTGTTATTTTGGTTCCATTATCTGTTCTCATCACAAAGGATATCCAAATGACTCCATTAACATTATGTTGGATACCAGTGAATAAGATGATACATTTGATTGTCAATTTATTGTTTGTCTATGTGATTCCGGTTGTAGTTATTCTTGTAATTTATGTTTGCATATATCAACATGTTCGTGGATCGTCAAGACGTGCAACGACGATTACCAATGCGACTCATAGTCAAAAACGTGATCTTCAACTTCTGCGAAATATTCTGATTCTATTATTAATTTATCTCGGAGGATCATTAACCACGCTTTTGTACTTCGCCACTTCAATCAAGGTCATTTATTTGATTAGTTTAGTCAATATAACATTCACTATAACCGCGGAAAAGATATTTACACTAGTTCTAGATCGCGAAGTTCGTCAAGTGATTATCAATATCGTACGTGGAACGACACCTGTTGTACCGTTTCAAAATACAATGACAACATTCAACAAATAGCATTCACCCTGCAGACAATACATGGAATATCTATTTTCTTGTCGAATAAGGAAGACATGTTCTAATAAAATAAAAGTATTCACAGTAGTCGAGTTTCATTTGACTCAAAATCAGGATATGTTGTCACTACTATCCTATTCTATTCATTATATATTTCTTGTCTTGTCGTGATTGCTTACCGCAATCGATTGGAAAGAAGGACAAACGAATGGGAAAAATCCAAAAAATGACTTGTTTCTCATTATAGAAAGTCACTTTCGATCGATAGCAATGTATCGATCGAAAGGCAAAACAAAGTACTACAAAGTATTTATCTGGCTACTACTGATTCACTTATCAAGAAAAAGCACATAAAAGTGTGGAGACCGAACGAACGAAAACATTTGTTATAATGTCATCAACGCGAAGTGAAAGCAATAGTACGCAATGTTCGTACGGGCACGTAGCGCCAGGCTGGGAGCAAGTGCACTCTGTTTTCGAACAGAATTTGTCTGATGGGTCCGATATTGGTGCAAGTTTATGTATTTATCATCAAGGAAAATGTGTTGTAGAGTTGAGCGGCGGTTGGAAAGATGGAGAAAGAAGAAAGGAACCTTACACGTTAGATACATTACAATTGGTTTTCTCAACATCGAAAGGTATTCTTGCAGCAGCTATTGCCTTGTGTGTAGAAAGAAATTGGCTTGATTACAATGCACCTGTTGCTAAATATTGGCCAGAATTCGCTGCGAATGAAAAAGAAGTAGGATCATATCTCCATCGAGCATGATTTACTTGACGTTGTTTTTCTTCAAAGAACATTACTATCGGTGAGCTATTAGCACATCGAGCTGGCCTATCATTTGTTGATGAGAAACTTACTATTGATGATGCATTCAACTGGTCTCGTATGACTTCTTTGTTAGCTGCACAGAAACCTCATTGGGAACCAGGAACAGCGCATAGCTATCATGCTCATACAGTTGGCTATCTTGCTGGAGAATTGATCCGGCGAGTCGATCCACATCATCGAACGTACGGTCAGTTTGTTCGTGATGAATTAGACAGCGAATTTTATGTCGGTATACCAGATACTACCATTGAAACACGAATTTCTCCGCTTATTCGTAAAGTGGTAAGTTAATCAAGAGGATTTGATCGAGAAATGACATTCCTAGTTCATCGATTTCAGGTTGATACTACCAATGTCCGCCCATCGGATCCAACATACAATAAAGGATTATCATGCAGTGGTGCATTTCCATTAGGACAGCCAAAAATGATCTATAATGAAGTTGCTTGCCATCAAGCAGAATTACCTGCTGTTAATGGAATAACCAAAGCTCGATCATTGGCTCGGATTTATGCTTTACTTCTTGGTGACATTAACGAGAATGGAAAGATCAGAAAGCGTTTAATAAGCGAAAAGACATTGTGTGAAGCAACAGAAAATGTTACACCAGTCGGCGAATCTGATTTATACTGTAGTAATATGCCAACAAGCTTTGCTAAGGGTGGCTTTCAGCTATTCGGCGAATGTTTTCCCATATTTAGCGATGGAGCTTTTGGTTTCACTGGCAAGTTCTACTTTAATTATCATAGTATGAACATGACGCAACTTTTTTGTGTTTAAAATAGGCTATGGTGGGAGTTGTGCATTTGCATACCCTTCTTATCAATTGTCATATGGTTTTGCTTGTAACTATCTCGATCCATCTCATCTTCATGTCGACGTTCGAAATCTTCGCGTAATTCAAGCAATTGAAAATATTCTTCGTAATAAATGAAACGACTAGCAAATATCATTTCTATGCTACAGTCTAATAAACTTTCACGTAGAGTATCGGGAAAAGCTCTGAATAACTCCTTATTATATCGTTCTCTATAGGTCGGCATTCATACATAGATTTATGTGGAAATTAACATTGCTAATTGAACAATCATGAGTAGAATATAATATTTCTTGTCTTGCACTTAGTTTAACAGATGTCACTTGTCGTTTACCGAAAAGATTTTATTGGCCATTAGTCATATCCATCTTTTACTAAGATCTCCGTCTGTCAATGTTTTGTAACCTTGAGTTATCTCGAAGAGAAATACTCTATTTTCTGACAACACTAACTCCATTAGTCCCAGCATGGACGATCCGATGCCAATGGTCTGTAAATTGAAAGTCTTTTCCCCTCGAATGCATTTGACTATTTCGTTTTTCAATTCAGACGTTAAGTTTGCCAACACAAAATACGCAAAATTTCGATGGAACAGATGATGATGCAGATATTAATCAACGATCAGATGTATGGGGTCGGCTATTATCTATGAATAAACTCTTTTCGCCTCTAAGCTTGAGCGAACAAGAGTATTCCTTCGGGCGTGGAAAAACTTGCTCAATCAAGTTTGATTCCGGTGAAATTCAAACGACGAAATATTATCCAACTTACTCGTCTGTGCATTTCAAGATCATTCATGATGAAATCAAAAACTATGTATATCTAGAAGATTTATCATCGAATGGCACGTATGTTAATGGAGAGAAAATCGGAAAGAATAAAAAACAAATCTTAGAAAATAACGCTGAAATCGCTCTATCGTCCAAAACGCATCGCGTGTATATCTATATGGATGCAAATGCATCAGAAGATACTTCAATTCCAGCTGTGATCAAACAGAAATACATTGTTTCAAAACCAATTGGGCGTGGTGCCTATGGCGAAGTGAAATTATGCTTCTTACGAGGTAATCTCCAAACAAAAACAATAACTCCTCATAATTATCTTTGTGTAGATACTTGTGATCGTTATGCTATGAAGATTATTGCCAAGAAAACGTTTACACATCTTGGTCCACAAGCTCTAGTGTTCAATCAACAAATCAAAAGTGAATGCTCAATCTTACAACGTTTAAACCATCCATGTATCATTCGTATTCATGACGTTCATGAAACTCACGATGCACTTTACATCATACTTGAATTAGTTGAAGGTGGTGAGTTGTTCGATCGAATTGTAGCTCATGGTCAGTTCGATGAAAGTACAAGTAAATTTCTCTTTCGTCAAATGTGCATCGGGGTGAAATATCTCCATGACAGCTCAATAACACATCGTGATTTGAAACCGGAGAATGTTTTGTTGACATCACCAGAAACGACTGAAGCATTAATTAAAATAACTGATTTTGGTCTATCCAGATTAATCAACGAAACATCGTTGATGAAAACATTCTGTGGAACACCAAATTATCTCGGTAAAAATGCAAATGAAAATATCTGATAACTGATTTTTACTTTTGTGTAGCACCGGAGATTTTAGCAAGTCGTGGCGAAGGAAGCTATACAAATAAAGTCGATGTTTGGAGTTTAGGTGTTATTTTATACATATGCTTAGTTGGCTATCCACCTTTTAGTGAATCGCCTGATTCGTTACCTTTAACTGAACAAATTCTCAAAGGTCTTTATACATTTCCTGATGAATTCTGGTCAGATGTTTCCGATGTTGCCAAAGATCTCATTCGCCAAATGATGTGTGTTGATCCAAACAAACGATTGACTATAGCCGGTGTACTTCAACATCCATGGTTAGCAAATGATCATGAAAATACGAATCGCGTTGAGAAAATTGTGAATGTCCAGCTCCCGCCCGTAAAGACATGTAAACGCTCTGCGACCAATGATGACTCCGCTATGGATCAAGATACTGATGTACTGTCAACAGGTTCGATTTCAAATGGAAGAGCCAAACGTATAAAACATTAACTAACACAAAAAAGTACTGACCGGTTTACTTTTTTTCTCGATACGAAATGGAATTATTTTTGTATATTTTTAATCGAAATACATGTTTGGTCAAGTATTGGAAAGAAATTTCTCGATTGTTATTATTCTAGATAAATACATATGAATACATTTCGAGCTAGTTCATTGTTGTTACCATCGTATGCATATCGATCGATAATAAAAACTTTCACATCGAACAATAGTTCCAATACAGTTCGATCAGTTGCTGAGAGAGTTCCTGGCAAAGATCGTAGTCGACATTTTTTACGAAATGTTTTGATTGCTAATGGATTGGTATGTGGGAGCGGTAGCCTTTATTATTTCTATTATCTCACACCGAAAGAACGACGACAAGTAAGAGTAACTTTCCAAGGTTTTCAACGTGGATTTCGGTTCGTAGTTGTTGACTAACACTCGAAGTCATTTTCATAGTTACTGTCGTATAGATCATTTCAAATTGGTCTTCTTATTGCTATTGATTATAAGTATCTCTTTTGGACCGTACCAGACACATCACCAGAATATGATGAAAAGCTGAAAGAGTGTCATTCACGAGCGGCAGCTCGAATAGCGCAAGGATGTATTGAAAACGGTGGTCTATACGTCAAAATGGGCCAAGGAATGGTCAGTGCTGATCATATTTTACCGAAAGAATATACCGACGGTCTTCGTCTATTACAAGACAAAGCTTTAAGAAGGCAACGAAATGAAGTAAATCTCTCCTTCCTTTATTAAAAGTCTTTCACTTGATTCGTTTAGGTTAGTCAGTTAATTGACGAAGAATTCGGTCGTGAAGCATCAGATATATTCTCTTATCTTTCTCCTGAACCAATCGCTGCTGCATCACTTGCTGAAGTTTATGAAGGTCGTTTGAAATCAACTAATGAACGTGTGGCAGTGAAATTGCAATATATTGATTTACAAGATCGTTTTACCGGTGACATGTTAACTATTCGAATGATCTTATATGCACTAGGGAAAATCTTTCCAAAATTCGAATTCGGCTGGATGATTGATTCAGTGAAAACCAACTTAGAACGGGAACTTAATTTTAAATTAGAGGGTGAAAATGCCGAGCTATGCTATGCCCAATTATCTCCATATTTGAAATATATCTATGTTCCAAAAGTTTTTTGGGAGTATACAACGAGTCGCATACTAGTCATGGAGTACATCGATGGAATCAAAGTTTCAGATTTGGACAAAATTAAAGAATCCAAGTTATCTTTGAAAGAAATAGATTCAAAACTCGTAGAAGCGATGGCGTTTCAAATCTTCCATTCAGGTTTTGTACATGCCGATCCTCATGTATGTCACATTGATTTCACTGTTGATTTTTTTTCTCAATACAATCATGTTCTCTTCTCCTATAGCCAGGAAATGTCTATGTTCGACGCGATCCGAAAGCTCCAGCCAAATCCGATGTAGTACAAATCGTTTTACTCGATCATGGTTTATATGTAGATATCAATGCGAAAGATCGAGCAGCATTGTGTCAACTGTGGAAAGCAATCATATTGAAAGATGAGTTGAAAATGAAGCAATATGCTACGGAACTTGGTGTACAAGGTAAGTGATGCGTGTTCATCGAGAACCATACACAATTATGTGAAAAAGAAAATGATGACGATAAATCATTGATATCTTCTTGGTATAGATAAGGATTATTTGACATTTGCAACGGTTCTTTCTATGCGACCAATCCATCGACCTATTCATGATCTAGCAATTTTACCTGAAGTTTGGGATAAAATGTCAGCTGATGAACAAAAAACTGCTCGCGAACAAGGAAAAATTCGTCTTCCTGTAAGGGTATCCTCTTGTTGAATCTTTCAATGTTACTTTCTTCTCTTATCCTCATAGACCGAAAGAGAATTTTTAACTCTAAGTGCGCAGCAGAAAATGGCCATTCGAAAAGATTTCTCGGTCATTTTCAACGACATTCAAGATAGTGTCCTCCGAACTCTCCAAGATATGCCTCGCTCGCTACTAATGATACTAAGGTTAGTCATCGTCATCGTTGATTTTTCTAAATAATTGTGTGTGTGTGTTTGATCATGTTCAAACGATTGAGTTCTTATTGGCGATGTTGTATATAGAGAAATATCATCGTCTATTTGCGGAGATTTTGATAATGCAATCATTGCGTTCTCGAGCTGGAAGAGTTTCATTTCGACAGAAAATAACTAAAGAAGAAATGGCTCGAATCCAACTCAAAGCTCAGCAAACAATGGATCAAGTTATCGATGTGTTTAAACAATTACCAGACAAGCTCATTCTTGTGCTCAGGTATCTTTTCGAATGAACACACGTGCAACATCTAAGCTTCGCCGTTTCTTCAGCATTATTTTTGTTACGTATAATGAATACCATTGGACTTTTTCTTTATAGGAATTTAAACCAAATACGATCAACGATTCGTGATCATGGAAATCTTATCGATCGACATACCATAATGGCTCGAAGGTGAGCAAAAATTCTTTTCTGGACGAGTTCGACTCTTCCTGAGCGTCTTTCGTGAGAGAAGTAATCACATGCAATCATCTTCGAGAATATCTAATCATGTTTATTAATATAATAGAAATTTCTTGGGATTCATTGTATGAAATGAAGTATAACAAACGTGTCCAACAGACAAACGAAAGGTTTACCTTGAAAATGTATATATTTGCTTATTTCTAGTGCTATACTTGGTGCTCGAAAACATGAAGGGCCGCGTCGATTATTAAAAGATCGTATTTATGCTCGATTAGAATTATTGCTTTTCGATTTGATACTTTTGTAAGAAACGAAACTGACTATGCACATTACAATGTCGGTGTTCTTTTCTTTTGTAGTAAAGATCGAATGGAACGCTGGTGTAAATTCAAATTCTTGAAATTATTAATCTTTTTTGGATATATGAACAAAGAAACTGGAGATATGATCGAACAGTTTCAATGAACGAAATTCTCACTTTCTTTTTATAATCATGCGATGTGCGATAGTGTCCTTTTTTTGTAGAAAATTCACTGTTTTTTTTATTGTCTCGCATTATTCTGATTGAACAATCAAGCGATACGTGTTTCGACAGGAACATTTTCTTCACTTACATACAACGTGAGAAAAAAAAACCATGGTGATAGCAGAAGACGACACATTTTAAAGCACCCGGGTGATGAAAGTTGAGAAGAGTAAAGCACATACTTGAAATCAACCGATAAAATGTTTTTCCCAACGGAAGTTTAGTTTACTTCGTTTTTTTTCTTCTCATACTGACATCTTAGAACGAAATTCTTGGTATTTTCCCTCGAAACATCAGACATAATCCATGTACTCTTTCAGTACGATATTTTGTCGACACAATCGTTGGTATGACCGTACTGACGACGTCCGCATCTTTGATAATCTTAAAGTAAAGGTTTAAGATTGGTTTGTTGGCTTTAAAGATTAAATCAATGGTTTGAATTAATATGAAAGGAAAACATGATTAATTTCTTATACTCATGACAACTGCTCGAAGGAAGCAATAGGATCATTCATTAGGAAACACACTTGACGAAGAAAATCTACAAAATCCTTGAAAGTTTCAAGTAACGTTGACGAAACTGGATTCTGTTGACTTGGTAATCAAACATAGAGAATATATAATAGCTTGATCATTTTCTTTACTTTCATTTACCGATATTTGCTCACCTAGGTCATGTTTCGTTTGTTGAATAGACATGTGTCTACAACGTTTTATTACTCCATTGGATTGACTAAACTAATAGGTGACACGTTTGCATACAAAAAATATCCGACATCTCTTCATTTTCTCTTTCTCTCTCTCTCTCTCCGAAGAGAAATGTCTTCTCTCTGTTTCTCATTTTCTCTTTCTCTCGTTGTTACAAAAAAAGGGAACAATTTATATTCACTTTTTTCTTCATATAAACCTGACTATATAGTAATCGAAACAACGTTATTAACATGGCTGATCTTCTCTTAGTTATTCTTGCGATTTTCATTCCCCCATTAGCCGTTTATCTTCATCAGAAAGATTGCAATAATCAAGTTATTATTAACCTAGTTTTAACTATCGTCGGTTTCTGGATTCTTGGTATCATTCATGCGTTTTGGGTTATTCTCAAAAAATAGATATATTCGCTTCGATTGAACAGCAAGAACATTTAAACAAGAAGCTCCTTTTCTTCTGATCATTACTATCGTTTTTTTTCTGGAATTATTACGAACTGATGACTGAATATCAAAAACGTTTGATATTTACTGTTTTGATGGTCTCTTTCATCACTCTCTTTTCATTAATTACATTTCTAATTGTATCTTATATGACTTCATAAGAGGACTGACCAATAAATTCTTTCCTTCTTTGCTTTTGTGCAAACTATTCGAACAACAATGAATATTCTTTGCCGAACAAAATCTACCCACTTCTCCGCCGAATCCGTTTTTAAAAACCGGCTTTATCTTATAGACAAATACGCTACGAGTACCGAAAACAGTTGTACGATGGTTATTGGCTATTAAATAGAGCACACACAATGCGACATTCATACGTGTTCCTCATCTAATTTCATGCTCAAATCATAAACAGTACTCCAAGCAATTGCAATATCTCAACATCTTGCGTTTTATTGAAATAAATATATACGAATCGACGTTACTGTCTTACCATCAAAACGAAAGATCGTAAAGAATGTCGCCATACATTATTTGAGAGAGAAAAATACGTATATAGTGAGAATTAACATTTGCAAGAGTCTCTCTTCAAAGCAAAAGCAGCGAAGTGTTTTTCTGTAAATGAAGACGTATCAGATAACAAATTAGTTGAGTTGAAGAAAACGTTTTTGTTTTCTTGACAAATTGATCGATTGTTCCTATCATTATACAAATCTAATTTTAGTTCGATGTTACTAGCGATTGTAGATATAAAGATATTCGTAGATAGTGTACATCAGTCTGATTCATTTTGTGAATAATAATCAGTTATATAGCTTATATCCGACAGATGTAGTGAGTCATTCGATTCTACTATGCCTTTCTTGCGTGTAAATGATCGTTTTCGGTTGTTGTTGTTATGATTGATTGATACAACTGTTGTTTTCTGTTCGGTGATATTCAACCATTGTGTGTCATCATCGTCACTGTTTAATAGATCTTCGTCAGCAATGATCTCGTTCGAGAGAATTGTTGATGGATTTCGTCGCTCTTCTTTTGCTGCTTGGCAATGTGACGAATCGCCCGAACCTAATTCAATAGGAGGTGATAAATGGATGTTTTCCATTTTGCTTTCGATTAGTGGAATAGTAATTGTCGGTTCGTTTTCAAACGATGTTTCAGTTAAGTTAACATGATGTTTGTATGGCGAATATGAAAATAGTTGCCATAGAAGATCTGTGGTTTGCGATGCTATTCTATCCAGATGATCTTTGTAGGATATTGTGAGTTTATCGTGTTTCTGTATATCAGGGAGTAATTGATCTAGATAGTGTCGTTTTTTCTGACGATATAAACGTGTAATTCGATGAGTGTATCTGTTTAAGTGACGTTTTTGCTTGGAAATTTTCGATGAGATGATTTGTTGATGAAGTTCATTCGCTGTTAAATGAATGGCTCGGAGAAACTGACTTCGTTGTTCGAAATGTTGACATTCAGCATTGACTATTTGAATTATGGATGATAAAGCATGGTGTAGATGTTTGTTTAGGGAATGAGACGGATTTGTGTTCGATGAGAGGAAAGATGATTTTGTCTGAAGATGTTTGAGAATGGTGGAATAGTTTGTTAGCGCTCGGTGAAATTGATTGAAGTATTTTTGAAGAAAATGAAGAACTGCCGTAGTGAACGAATGATATTCATTTAATTGTAGAGTGGTGTGCTCATATGTATACATGAGAATTAATTTGATTTCAGATGAAAGAATCGAAATGTTTTCATAAAAGAAAGAGAAGTATTTCAACAGCGCTGAAATTCAATTTTCTTAGTAACTTGACATTTGTTTTAGTATAAAAGTGCACCATATGTGTAATTCTAGCGAGAAAATCTCAGGCAGTATTCATACTTTGTGAACATTTATTTAAAAACAAAGAAAATATCTGGCTATCACAGAAATGTTTACGACTTTTTTATTAGATCATTAGATTGATTTGTGCAAAACTAGCTAGTAAAACTTTGGCGAATATCGCTTGATATTATCGAGGATTTCTTTCCATTTTGTCAGCAAGTTTTCTTTCACTTGCTTGTTATGTTCTTTCATCTTCTTGCTGATCGATGGAAAATCTGTTGTGGTCAGTTTTTGCACAAGATCATCTGTTGAATCATAGTAGGTAACATGTGGCCATTGATAGAAATCAGAAAAGTTCAACCAGTAACGAACAGATGTTCGATCGCGATCATTATTCGGATCGGGAACACCCGACAGCACACCAGGAATGCGCGAACCATTCGGTATTGTACCATACCAAGCCTGATCCCATGTTTTTTCGTTGACTACAGAATATTTTAGATGCCATTGTGTTAGAAGATCTAGTGAAGGGAATAGCAATGGAATGTTCATTCGATATTGTTCGAATAGACTCATCACAGAAACTTGATAAGGCACATAGATAATAGCGGGATGTTTAGCTAGATCGGAATATTCATAATTAGAATAGAGTTTTCTGATTGGTACGACTCGTATAGAGTGTGATTGCAAAGAAATACGAAGTAATTTTTGAAACAGAACTTCGACATCTTTGCCGTGAATTGGAGCGATTAAGAATTCTTCCCTACTGGGATTGTAGTTAACATTCGTATAATTACAAAAACTCGGCAGAAGCGTAGCGTTGATTCCGGTGAAATAACGAATGTATTCCACATCATAGAGATTGTTTGCAGCAATGATATTCTTGGGATGTTTTGCAATTTGTTTGAGATTTTCATTGAGTTTCGTCCATGAAGATGGATCGAATCTCCAGAGTTCATATCGTGTTGAGGCAATGATGATGATGGTTCGATTGAATGGTATGTAGAGTTCACACATGCCAACGGGATGGAAGCAAACGAATGCATCGACGAGATTCATTTCGAGTTGATCTTTGTAGAATTCGTAGAATTGCATGGCAAGTTCTTTCGACGGTTGTTGTGCATTCTTACGTGTTAAGACTCTTAAAGGTGAATAACATGTTCCCGTTCGTGAGCAACTATATGAAAGGCTTTTATCGAAGAATTTGACGCCGAATGGAATGAGAATAGTCTTCAGATCTTGAATAGGACTAATAAATAACGTAGAATATATGCAAATAAGAAAATCATTTTTTCGGATAGAAGATTTACCTTATATGATAGTCACTGCTCCAAAAAGTAATCGTATTTCTATATGATTTAACATTAATCGTTTGCAAATAAAGACGATAGATAATTTCTTTGTGAAATATTCCCACAAGAATAAGAATAACTATAAGAAATAAAGTGAGACTACGATGGTTCCGAGCTGACTGAATGACATAACGGATTTTTCGACGAATACTATTTAATGCATAGCGCAATGTGAACATGTCCTGCCGATTCTAGATAAAAGAATGCATAACAAGTAATGAATAACTAGCAACACAAGTGTAATAAAATATGGATAAAAAAGAGCGTGACGTTCACATTCATTGCGCTTGGTATCATCCAAAATATACACAGTCATGAGAGAAGCGATGTGTAAGTGGTTTCATTTTACGCAGTGATAATAAGAACTCCTTTTCTAGGCTCGTGGAAAAAGTTCTGCAGAACAAATATGATCATTCTTTGTCATTGGTAAAAGGGCAATACTGTTCCTATTTCATTAAGTCTTGTTTAAAGAACAAGCGCAACCATGAAAATAAAATTTTTCTTTGCAGTTGTCATGGAAGCTTTTCTCTTTTTCTTTCCGTCATTCGGCTTGAGCATAAATTGACAGACGTATTTATTTTATATAATACAAACATGAATCATACAAGTGAGGAATCTTGCTTAAAAATCAAACTGAACATTTACTTATACTCGTATTTGCACTGAAATATTCGCTATAAAAAGTCAATTTCTTGTCATGGTCATTAGGAAAGAAAAACTATACAAACTGTTAACAAATAATTATTTCTAAAAAAAGATAGCTGATCAAGACAATTGGTTTGCATTGAAGATCGATATTCTCTGACGGCGATGATAGGTCGAAAATGAACACTTTAGTATACAGCTGCGTTCGTTTTCCGTACTGAAGAATTTTATTGCATCTCATGTTGTTTCTAATAGTATGCGCTAACTTACGAGACTTTATATGGGCATAAGGAAAAAGCGATATTTGTATGTAATATGATGCTATTTTTTCAGTATCTTACTGCGAGCCTGTCTGCAGGGCTCTAGAGTTATGTATATCAAGACGAACAAAAGGCGGATCAATTCCCGTATACTTGTGCCAAACACACACATATATACGAGAAAGCCAGGAGAACAAGAGAAAGAATGGTATCGTAGATAGCATTCTTTCTCGAAAACAAACGAAAGAGAGATCTGAAACACTCCATGAACGGAGAGATGAGAAGGAATGTATGCGGACGTGACACGGTTGAGATGAAGAGAGAGAAACAGTAACGAGAACACTCGTGATCACTAACACTTACCGGGGACGAAGAGTACTTTTTCAATTGGAGTTCTTTTTTGCAAAGAATAAATTCTTCCTCTTCTCAGTCATGGTATTAGAAATCGTGGCGTCAGCGGTTTACATTTTGAATACTAATCGTAATAAACTATCTGTGTACTCTATCAAAATTTTCTCATCGACTGTTCCTCTGTCACTTGAGAGAGTGACATGAGCAGAATATGACGAGTGGTTAGGCGATGCCCTAATGATTTATCAATAATAATGAGTGTGTTAGATGAAACAAGTCTCTCAGTATTTTTCAGATACCTCTGTGAAATTCAATCGTGATAGACCATATATTTTTTCATGAAATCAACATATGATTCACATTCAAAAAGCAGATTTATTGATTGTTTATTATGGATAAAATAGATTGCCGAACAATTGCAGAAAGTTAATCAAAAAAAGTCCTATCCCATTGCACAATGAATGATTACTTTTGTGGATCCACTGATTTTATAGCATCATTTTCAATTTCGAAAACCCAATTTTGTTTCGGTGAAGCCACTCCATCAAATGGCTTTTTCAATTCAATCGTTTTCCCATCGAACTGTTTCACTCGAATCAATTCAATTCCTTTCCGATATTTTGTTTGCTGTTCTCCATGTTCAAATTCCTTCTCATCCACAATTTGTTCTTCACCTTTAGCTAATTCAATGTCAACTACTTCACGGTGATGATCTGCCAGGCCACTGAATTCCACTTGGATCGTTACTTCAGCATCACTATTATTCTTTATTAAACATGAATAAACAATCCCAGGTGCACGAGTGCCATAACCTGTATTTGTACTCATCTACAAAAAAAGAGAGAACATTCACAAGTAAAAAAATTCATTCTGAACATGGAAAATTATCACAGATCGATATGTTTGAGATTCTAAACGAAGAAAAAACTATGTTCTACTATGAATGATTTCAGCTTATGATGAGTTTACCTCTAAACGATGACAATGACAGTTATCTTTTTTTATATGACTTTCATCTGTTTCGTGCTGAACCAATTCCATATCGGAATGAATCTGCACAGGTGAGATTAGACGTTTAGCATATTCTTGTAAAACTTGGACATGATAACAAAGAATATGATTAGGAAGAAGATTTCGTTGAGTAAAGCGTTGTGCGTGTTTAATAATTGTTCGAGCCTTGAAAGCAAATGAAGATTTGACTAAATAGGTACATTTTTAAAGGGAATCTCATACTTCAGCATCGTGTGCTTTTGCCCATTGAAGCTGTTCGATTAAATCCGACAGATCTTTCTTGATTGGTATATAATGTTTATGTGGCATGAGATCTCGATAGAAATGTTCGTAGTAGGAGCTACTTTGTTTGAATATCAAACTATCACCAGCTAAGAGATAAGGCAAACGGTATGAAGCCACGGTTCCATCAAGAGATATTTGATATTTATAATTGAAAAATTCCGGCATTGGAACATGTGGTGCAAATGGTTCAAATTCGGATATTTGATCGCGATAGAAAAACATGCGAGTAAGATTAGCATCAAGCAGATCAGGATGCTTGCGAGACAAACGAACAAGATCGAGACGTTCCTAGAGAAACAAATCATTTTTCTGTAGAACGTGCAATGCAAAGTAGACTCACGGGACAACTATCTCGACCACGAAAAAAACCTTTCGGAATCTTTTTCGACCAAGGTAAATGGCGCGTCGTACTCATAGCAAAGATATCAAGTGTAGTTCTCGACAACATTTGAAGTGTAGCTTCTGTTATCTCATAGGTTGGTAAAATAATATCATAGGTTTGTTCTGAGCCACACCACGATATAAGCGGTAGCGGATCATCGTTCGTATCACTCAATGGATAATCACCTAAATTCATGAGAAATTCCACGTCGGGCATTACAACCTAAGGAAGAGTTTTTCGTTGGTTACAATCACAAATTGTTCTGAAATTTACTTTGCGAGAAAGTGATAAGAAAATCGCATCGGAAAACATTTTAAATCCTGTGTGTTCACCGTAACATTTCCGATAAATCTATCACATAAAAAGCAAAAGTTTGTAATTTGTTTCATATGCATTTCGTGTTTACTTTGTTATTTTTGATCACATAATGGCACAGCGCGTATGTCTGCGGGTGTTGAAAGTATTTCAGAGTGGCTTTTTCCAAAACTTGCTTCATATCAATGGTTTTAAAGAGTTCCATATCTGTTCGTAGTTGAGATCGTGATGCCGAGCATTCGAATGCGTCAAACCATTGTGTCAGATTTGTTTCGGGACAATAGCATCCATCCGAGTAGATATAGCCCTGAATCACATGCTCGATGTCTTCGTTGCCAAATCGAATGTACAAATGAAGATCTTTCACGGATTCATACAGACGATACCGGAATAAATAGGTACCATCATTGAGATCATCAATTTTACGATAACTGTGAACAGATAGTTGATCCGAGACACGTGTTAGATGGAATTCGATTCGATCGAGAGGTTGCGTGGAATGATTAAGTCTGAAAAATACGGAGTATTTCTCATTTCAGAGATAATTCATCGAAGAGTTTGTACTTCTGTCCGTTCGCATCATATGTTTGTAAATAAAAATAGCGAACTGGTACTTGAAATGACGCTCGAAGACCGGGTCCGAACAGGCGAGATTCAGCTGATATTGAGCTTATCGGAATGAAAAAGTAGAATAGCACCAACCACATTTTGTTCGTATAGAAAAAATACAAAGTCAAAAAATGAGAAATATGAGGAGAAAACGATGCATTTCAAGTGATTCGTCGACTAACTAAACACCATCAAGTGCAAAGAGGGCACCACACGGTAGCATTGCTCGATGTTAATAATCTCTGGTACATAAAATCAACAGAACCGATTTCATATGCAAGAAAACATACAATTTGCAACGTACAGAAATTACTTTTTCTTTTTAATAAAATATTTTCACTTAAAAAACAAGCATCTAAAAATGTCATAGGCCTTTTTTGCTCATACGCGCAATGTTTCTTGAAACAACTTTTCAGTCATATGGTCACACACAATCTTATTATGTTCGAGTAAAATTCGTCATATTTTATCAATAGAAAAAAAAAACAGAATATATTACAATAGACATAAGAAAAGAGTTAGAACAGATGCGTATTGAATAAATAAAGAATTGGATACTTTCATGACTTGATTACACATATCTTGATCTGAACAAAAGCAAATTTCTTTGGACTTATCCGAATCTCGTTTTAATTTTCGACATCCATTCGCTGTAACAATTCCCATTTCATTTGCGCGAAGTAATTCGTCAGCTGAAAAACATCGGCGACTCGAGCGAAGTAACGCCAAAGCTTTATCTTTTAATTTCAATCGTTCTTCACTATTATTTCCTATACGTTTCAAATCGATCAAATCAATAGACTTCCAACATTTCCCATCACAATCTTCTAGCGTATGTTCAGTGAAATCGAACTGCGCTTGACAATCTAAAACGACAAAAATCATGATTCAAACGCACTTATCAAACAGGAAACTGTACCATCGATAAATACACCTGGCTCTTCGGATGATTGAGCAGTCACTTCGCATTTCCAGCATTGTAATGAAGCTTCACGAGATTTAATTGATAAAAAAATATTGAAAAGAACTAATATCAATAGTAACCATTTATTTGTCATCTTCCATTCATCAACAATAGGTCAAACTCATGAAATCGATACAAAAGAATCGTTTGTATGCAGATTTATTTGCTTAAGAACGGTATTTATCTTTTCCTTTCTCTTTCTCTTCCTTACTCTTCTTCTTCTTCTTCTTGTTTACTCGATCGTTTGTTCTTTCTAGCAAATAAATCCAAAGGTGACAAGCTCAATCGTTCAATCTTATTCTCCTTTTTTCTCTTCTCTTCTCTCTTTTTCTATTGATAAAATCTCCTGGTCATTCGTGTTATACACATACAAATAAGAGAAACGCAGTACATCCAATTCAATTTCAATTCAAACATAATGTCACATGTGTCTACCAGTTTCAAAAATAAAACATTAACGCCCTGCAGTAGACGCGTTCCTATGCATACTATCTATATAATTGTATGCACATGACTCAGGATAGCTAAAGGTCATGAGAATCAGACATAACTTTCATTGCAAATCAGTGTCATTAAGTGAAAAGTTCGCAAATCTTGGAACAGAACTGAATCATGATGTTTCATTTATGAATATTACCAATATGTTCTATACCTCACAGTGTATTTTTATAAAAATCAAAATGATTTTTTCTAATAACCTTTGTGATTCCTATGGCTAACTATCAGAAGTACGGTAATAATGAAAGTCTATGTAACCTTACAAATCATTATTTTCGTAGTATAATCGACTTGTTTCAAAATGTCAAGCATCAATATCACCTTTGCAATAGTATATATTCTATCGTTTTCACTATAACACACGGTGTCTAGCGTGAATACAAGATGTTACAGCAAGATGGATTCCATGTTGAAGATGGCAGAAAAGTTTTCAAAACTACTCGATATATTAAATGTATCGTTCCTATGCTAGTAGTGGGAATCGTTCTTGCATCGATCATTCTTGCTCTCTCTGTCCTAGCTCTGGCTAAAATTGACAAGAAAGTTGACGAGATTCAAATCCATAAGCAAAGATCGACCACTGATCTTGAAAGATCGTCACAATCGAGCAATTCATTCCTATCGTTATCAATTCGTATCGATGAAGTAATGAGTCACCTGAATGAACTGCAACGCATCGCTGCCGCATCGAATGGGACTCGAGCGGTTAGTACATTAGGATTTAATCGGACGTTGAATTACATCACAAATTATCTTAAAGCGAATACAAATTTTAAAGTAACACATTCATTCTTCAATATAAAAGATTTTCAACTTGCACGCGATCCAGTTTTAATTTCATCTATGAACGATGTAATAAAAAACTATAGATACTCTAGAAATCTGTCGGATGCTGACTTTTATCATGTCAAATTCTCAACGTCGCTTAACCTGTCGACTTTTACTCAAATTACAGTCATACCCAATGTGGCATGTTCCGATACTGATTGGAATACAACAAGCCCACCACCTGCCGGCCGTATAGTCTTAGTTAAACGTGGCATATGTGCTTTTCAAGATAAAGTGCAACTAGCAGAGAAGTACAATGCAAAAGCTGTTCTATTATATAATGACGGGCAAACACCGGAGCGGATTTCACCTGTAGAAACAAGTGTCTCTCAAGAAAATACACTGCCTGTCCTCTTTTTATCATTTACTGCCGGTCAAGCTCTAGCCACAGCTGCTCGAGCAGCGCCTACAAACGTCAGTGTACGATTGGTGCTTGACGTAAAAGATCTACCACCGCTTCCAGTTGGCAACATCTGTGCAGATACACCAACAGGCGATTCCACTCAAACGATTATCATTGGTAGCCACAGTGATAGTGTACCAGACGGCCCAGGTATCAATGACAATGGTAAAATCATTCATGCTATCGATACTTTCTAATATACTTCTCTTCTCACAGGTAGCGGCAGCGCAGCAAACCTTGCGCTGGCCGTTGCACTTGCTCGACTCTTCAGAACACCTTTCTATCACAAATACAAATATCGAGTCAGGTTCTGTTGGTGGGGTGCAGAAGAAATCGGTCTTCTAGGCTCCGACCATCATGTCAAACAAGCAAAGAACTCATCTATCATCGGCGAACGCCTCTCTGACTATCTCGTTAATCTAAACTATGACATGCTTGGATCACCTAACTACATCTTCGGCATCTATGATGGTCGCACAGCTAAGAACGACACTCCTGCACAAGCTCTGCCTGGTAGTAACAAGATCACGAGCCTTTTTCGTGAGTGGTTCGTTGAACAGCACCTTCCATGGGACTACACCGATTTCAGCGGTCGAAGTGACTATGGTCCGTTTCTAGCTGAAGGTATCGCTGCAGGTGGCTTGTTTTCTGGTGCTGATAGTGTGAAAAGCGTGGAACAGCGCAATCGATATGATGCGGTTCTCGGTCAAGGCCTAGGTGGCATTCCGGATATAAAGGAAGATCCATGCTATCACAAAGCATGTGATTCGATTGAGAACATCAATGTATTTGGATATGAGAAGATGGTGCAGGCCGCAGCGTATGCACTAGAGTATCTGGGTCGTAAAGAAGATCTCAGATCATGGCTTTATCCAGGAAAACGAGCGCCGTAACTGAAGATACACATCATTTGCACTGATTATTTTTTTTCATATTTTAAAATACGTAAGATTACTCTTGAACTTTGGATTTATGTCGTGTCAGAGGCTGAACTGAGGATGGCTCTTTACCCTTCTAGTTTTAAATTCACTCCAAGTAAACAAGTATCTATTTCTCCTAGAACTTCGTGAATTCGTTTTCAAAAGATTTCTAGGCAACATCGTGGTGATCAAGTTAGTATTTGCATATTTAACAGCATCGGTGATAAGTCCTGATCACTTATAAATAAAGTTATTTTTATTACGAATGTCTAATAATCAACTGACGGTTCGAACTAGACCGAGAAAATTATACTTTTACTTATAATATTGTCGCCGTGATGAGATTACAAAAGTTCTCGTTGAATAATGAGTAATTCAATTGCACTTTAAAGTTCGAACATTGGTATTCGAAACTTACTATTTGTGCTGATTATGAGTGATGAATATATGTCAATTGCTTTGCCCAGGGATATACAATCGTGTTATTTAGTCAACTAAAGATGACGTCTTTTTGTTTTCTTTATTTTATTTGCGAAGAGGAAAACAGGATGCAGTACAGAGTGCTAACCTTCTATTAATCTCTTCATGTAAATGTCAAATACCCATGCACGACTTTTATTGCTACAATGACACTAACCTCTTCCGATTTTATTCAATTGATAATCTTCAAAATATACCGTCGAGTGAATACGATCATTCGAAAACAAAATATCAAACATGAACATCCAAACATCTAAAGCAATCACCATACTTATCAGTGTACTAGGAATTTTGGCTTCAGTTGTTATTTTTACTCTTACCGCTCTAGCTCTCACTAAAATTAACAAGAAAGTTGACGAGATTCGAATCTATACGCAAAAGTCGATCATTAATTTCCGAGGACGGCAAATATCCACCGGCTCGCACTTGTCATCGTCGATTCATATCAATGAAGTAATGAGCCATTTGAATGAATTCCAACGCATCGCGACCATGTCGAATGGAACTCGAGCAGTCAACACGTTAGGGTTTAATCGCACGTTGGATTATATCACAAATTATCTGACGGCAAATACAAATTTCAAGATCAGTAGAACCTCGTTTACAGTAGTACCGAAACAACTTGCGCGTCTACCTATTCTGATTACAACAATCAATGGTACTTCAAGCAATCATTCATATTCTAACAGTCAACTCGCTGGTGACTTTTATCATATCGAATATACAGCTTCAGCACGTTTTGCTGCTCCCCTGGAACTAACTGCTATTCCCAATCTAGGCTGTACCGATAATGATTGGAGAAGAGCGAGTCCACAGCCTACTGGTCGTATAGTCTTAGTTAAACGAGGTGAATGTACATTTCTGGAAAAAGGTGCGCTCGCCACCAAATACCGAGTTGCCGCTCTACTGTTGTACAATGATGGCACATCAGCTGATCGCCGTGCGCCTGTTTTTGTCACACTTGGCGAAAATAACACATTGCCTGCCTTGTTTCTTTCTTTTCAACTTGGTCAAAAGCTGGCTGATGCTGCTCAACAAAGATCTAACAACGTTCGCGTTTTCATCAATATCAATAGAACTCATGAACAGCCATTTCCTTCGGATAATATCTGTGCAGATACACCAACAGGCGATTCCACTCAAACGATTATCATTGGTAGCCACAGTGATAGTGTACCAGACGGCCCAGGTATCAATGACAATGGTAAAATCATTCATGCTATCGATACTTTCTAATATACTTCTCTTCTCACAGGTAGCGGCAGCGCAGCAAACCTTGCGCTGGCCGTTGCACTTGCTCGACTCTTCAGAACACCTTTCTATCACAAATACAAATATCGAGTCAGGTTCTGTTGGTGGGGTGCAGAAGAAATCGGTCTTCTAGGCTCCGACCATCATGTCAAACAAGCAAAGAACTCATCCACCATCGGCGAACGCCTCTCTGACTATCTCGTTAATCTCAACTATGACATGCTTGCATCACCTAACTACATCTTTGGCATCTATGATGGTCGCACAGCTAAGAACGACACTCCTGCACAAGCTCTGCCTGGTAGTAACAAGATCACGAGCCTATTTCGTGAGTGGTTCGTTGAACAGCACCTTCCATGGGACTACACCGATTTCAGCGGTCGAAGTGACTATGGTCCGTTTCTAGCTGAAGGTATCGTTGCAGGTGGCTTGTTTTCTGGTGCTGAGGATGTTAAAAGCGTGGAACAACGCAATCGATATGATGCGGTTCTCGGTCAAGGCCTAGGTGGCATTCCGGATATAAAGGAAGATCCATGCTATCACAAAGCATGTGATTCGATTGAGAACATCAATGTATTTGGATATGAGAAGATGGTGCAGGCCGCAGCGTATGCACTAGAGTATCTGGGTCGTAAAGAAGATCTCAGATCATGGCTTTATCCAACATTAGAAATTCAGGATCTAGTAAACCGCAATCGTTCGCAATTAGTACGATGACGCAATTTGAAGAGCAAGAATATTTTGACATATCCTAATTCCAATGTAAAAATTCATACGCTATAAAGAAAACAACATGTTGTAAAGAATAAACAGAAATGTTGGTAAACACTTTTTGAATATATCATTAATAATATATTTTGCAAAATTTTATTTATAATTCATATGCACAAAAGCGTCCTCTGCTTGTAAACGAATTGTAGAGGTATATCTTTCTTCAATCATTTCTTTAATATAGAGCGCTCTACACAGAAGATGATTCATTGGCAGTTATGTCGAATGATGATTCTCCATTTCGAAGTTTGTCACAAGAAGCTCGAGAACTTTATTTAGAAAGTTCTATATCCCGCATCGACGTTCCATCACCGCTCACTTTCTATCGAGATTATGTTAGTCGAAACAAACCTGTTATTATTAAAGGTGCACTTAATCAATGGCCTGCTTTATCCAAATGGACTGATTCGCAGTATCTACGAACACAACTAGGTGATCAGTTAGTAACTATCGATATAACTCCGGATGGTTATGGAGATAGCGTTAAATTGCATAAATATTTCGTAACGCCTCTAGAAGAAAAGATGCCATTCAATCATTTTATGGATATCATTGAAGGGAAAATACAGTACAATGGTATTGTTTATTGTCAACATCAGAACAGTTCCTTTACGACTGAATTCCAACAGCTAAACAAAGATATCCAGGAATTAGACTGGGTTCGAGAAGCTTTCGGTTCGTTTCAATCTCTTTTCACCTTTATCAAACTAAAACCATATTTCGTTTCGTTGTCTAGGTCATCCGCCCGATGCCGTCAACCTTTGGATTGGCACATCCAAATCAGTCTCCACACTTCACCATGACCCTTATGAAAATCTCTACGGTGTTATCAAAGGTCAAAAACATTTCACTCTTTATCCTCCCACAGACCTCTACTGGCTCGATCAGAAGTTTTATCAAAAAGCTCACTATGAAAAATACAATTCCACCCAAGCAACCGTCGATAATGACGGCCTTGACTTAAAATCCGCTGACAACTTTGTTATTGTCCCAGATGACACTACAGTTCCATGGTTCGATCATGATGAAAACTTTCCCCAGCATAATCAGCATGTGAACCCGTTAAAAGTTTCCATTGGATCCGGCGAACTTCTCTATTTGCCATCACTGTGGTTTCATCGTGTAGAGCAAGACTCTCCGCTGACAATCGCTTGTAATTTCTGGTATGACATGGAATATGACATTAAGTGGAACTATTATCAATTCATGTCGAATATCGTGAAACAAAGACAGAAATAAATTTTGGACGTTAAATCTATGATTTCCTTCCGGAAAATGACAGACGTCTCTCTTAACGAGAACTATTTCTACATTCGTCTTTCTCGATATTTTTCTCATTTCTCTTCGTAAATATGAAAACAAAGAAAGGAAAATCTAAGTAAAATGCAACGTTAAAAGAAAACGACCAACACGGAGAGGAACATTTCACTCTTAGAAACTCAGAATTTATCGGCAAACGACTACTTTCCTCCTGTTAACATTTATTAGCAGCGAACATTGTAACCAATTATCATGAATGGCGAAAGGAATAAGACATTCAAAGGCATGTTGAAGATTCTAATCAATGATTATCAGAAGCAACACGTAATTAGATTTATTGATGTATTTCTCGGTAAAATGACTTTGCCAATGTAGGAAGAAAAGTTCTATCCTGTTGTTCAAGAATTGTTGAAAGCACAACGTGAATTACAAGAGGTGAAAGGAAAACTTGAGGAGGTAAATGAGTTTTTTTGAAAAAGAATACTTTATAAACGCAGTCTTATCTTTCCTTAAGTTACAATCTCGCGGTATGGCGTCGTCATCGAGCGACTTGCAAACATTGCCATCGACGATTACCCTATTTGTTCAATATAATGGATTTTTTAATCAATTATGTGACATACAAAAGAGCATGACGACTGAAAATCTTTTAGTATGTTTGTCGATTTGCTTGATGTATTCGTAATATGTCTTTAATAGATCAAACTCCGGCATTTGGCGGGAATTCCCAGTGATCGATCAATCCGTCTTCGAGTATTCAGTGAAGATGGTCTAAAAACATTGTTTTTTATCACGAACGATGTGAATCGAACAGTCGAGTCATATAATGATCGACTAGCAGCTCGAATGATCTTAAGTATTGAAGACACTGACGACAATGATGATGATGATAATAATGACGATGATGCTAGTAGTAAACAAGGAAGCGAGAAAGGTCGTCGACCGAATGGTTTTCAAAGATCCAAAAGCACCACAAGTAGTGAACGAACTTATTCATTTGAGGAATCAGATGTTTAACTCGTTCTGTTTTCATTTCATGCATCTGTTTTCTTTTATTTAATATCTATGTATCTAAGTATACGGATTCATGTCTGAGATATGAAATTTTTTTTTATGAATTTTTTTTCGATGCAAATAAAATGTTGACAATTGCCGTTTTATTCTGCTTCAGTTTATTTTTGTAATTAAATGCAAACATCTTTAACACGAAGGTAAAGATTTACAAACAGGATTATTTTATTAGAAAGATCATGAATCAACAGAGACTAGTTTACACTTCTTTTGCACACCTATACGAAAAGAATTCTATGAACATTGCATCTTAATTTTCTTCATTAGGTATTGTTCGTTCTTCTTCGACTTTGTTGCCTGTTTCTTCATTTGTTTCGGTCTTTGTATAATGAAAATCAGTCGGATTTTTCTTATAGAAAATCGAATATCTTCCAGCAATGTAGACGACGATTCCGAAACTGGCATAGCCCAAAACAATGGCTGCTATTATTAAACGTGCGCTAATACCATTAATTTTTGAATAACGTGCATAAAGAACAAGTGAAACAAACAATAATAACACCCCAATAAATGCAAACAATGGTGTCAAATAGAAATGCCGACGAGGAAAACTATGTACACCCATAAGAAAGATGAAAATGGTTGCAATCAGTAAAAACATTGCACTTAAGATCGAGAGAAAGATAACGAAAAAGTTTTCGCTGTACTCAGTCGAGCATTTCAGACGAGTACAGCGATAAAACAATCCGTGCCATTGAACTTCGCCATTCGAAGAGTATTCGTTGATTGTCCAACTACTACAAAGATAAGAAAATGATCGTTTTTCATACAAAAGAACGTTTGAAATATTTGTACTTACGAGGTACGTAATGCGATAATGGTAAAAACTAACGATAATAGACAAAAAGATCCGGCAGTAATTGTCCAGAAACGATCAAACTTTTTTTCATTTCTTACAACAGTCATTTTCTCTTCGTTTCAAACGTGTGAGCGAGTGTTATTGATGCAAACAAATGAATGATGGGCTATGCACTACTCGTTCGTTTCTTTTCCTTCTTGTCTGTTAGATACGAAGGATGACCGATTCGATTCGATTTCTAACAAAGCTCGTCGGGAATGCGATGTGTCAGACAACTCGTCACTTTTCGACAGAGAAAAGAAAAAAACTAGGCGAAATGAACTCGTTACTAAGAGACAATCGATTCATGTACACTTAAAGAACACTTTACGTCATAGAAACGTTTGTTTTGTAATCTTGAATATATCAGTTGACAATTAAGATCGTTAATCCTTCGAAATTAATGATTACTTGAATAGTGATTGTGAAAGAAAAGTTACTATTGTATTTATTTGATTCAAATTTGCATAAGAGAAAAATACTGTCTTTTAACTATGTTCCACAACCATGTCAAAGTGAATGTTTTAATTCGTACTTGTCGATTTGCTTTTGATTAAGATGAAGGAAAAGAAGACTTGGAGTGATTTAATAGACGAAGAGATATCATCTTATACATTCTTTCGTTTTTCTTCTTCAAATACGGTCAACTTAAGCTTATGTATTCATTGTTAGTTCACGTCGAGGTAGTATTTCTTTCCTTGTATGTATGCACATATCTTAAGATGATAGTCCATACTATATTTCTCATTTGACAATGATTGAATGGTTGTTGGCAAGCCTCAATACACACATTGAATTGTATGTAGATGTATATGTTCATCTATTTCTATCTGATTTTGTTCCTTCTTCTTCTTCTTGTTCTCTCTTTATTTGCTCAGACGTGAATCTCTTCCCTTTTCTTTGTTACATTCGTTCGATAGCAGTGACGACGACTGCTCTCTTACTAGGCATCAGTGATTGATTGTGAAATTTGTTGTATGTGTTCTGTTCGTACTACTCTCTCTTCATCTCTTTCTCTCTTTCTTCTTCTCTCTATATTCTCAAATAAAGCACAACACACGATGCACCAGTATGGATCTTCGAGTGTATGTTGATGGTGTTGCGCGTATCATCTGTGATTTGACTCCAACAACTACGGTTCATGATATTATTATTGCATTAGCTCAATATAAGGGAAAAGCCGGACGATACTCTTTAATCGAACGTGCACCTGATGGAGCACAGCGAACATTATCACCACATGAATTAACTCATGAGCTCATTCATCATCCCGATTGGACTTATATTCTCCGACAAAATCTAGACTTCTCACAAAAACAAAAGCGTTCGAAAAGTTTAGATGGACGAAAAACACCTCTCCAACAACAGTCAACTGTAGAAAGTACGTTTATGTTTCGTTGCTTTTTATTGTTTTACAAGTCGAGATAGAGCGCACTTAAGCATATACACAACCTTGACCAGTAATTCGATTCAGTGAGGCACCATATTTTTTAGGCATATCAAGTAGATATAATTTGCATTGATACATCATTTTCTTCTCCTCTTCTTCTTTTTTTTTATATATATTTTAATCTTGAGTGTACACATGCCATGTCATAAAAATTTTCTTAAGAGACAAGATGGCCACTCCAAGTGTTTGTATTGCACCTTTTTCTTTATATTCAAGTCCCTCCATTATCCATCTACTCCTTTCGGTCTAATGCGTTATTTTCACGTAAAAGTTCAAAGCAACACCATTATTATGATCTATTGATACTCCTTTGTCGAGCGAAGTAGTAGTACCACGTACACACTATGTAATCATACATATACTTATGTAGATCACTTAGCATCAGACAACAAACAGTACAAAGTATCCTTTCATTGCGATTGAACAACATACGTAAATATATAATACCGACAAGAAAAAAGAGAGAATAAGAAAGACGAATGAAGTTAATATCAAGCACTTCTATTCTAATCGGCTTGTCGTTTGCATGTTCGTTAAAAAAGATTAGTATACTCCATAGGATCGATTGATGAACGGCTGTTGTCACCATCTGTTTGTCTATCTGTCAACTTTAAATAATAAACATGACGCAATATACGTGACATATATCAGAGTATTGGAACTGGAGATGATCAATCTTGCCTTAACCAAGCTTAGAGCAATCGAGAGGTCAAATTTCCGAAAATACTTTGAATAAATTTCATAACTCCGTTTATTTTTTGTCGTCATTGATGACAGAGAAAAGTCACTGACAAGTATTTAACTACAACTATGTACACAATCTACCTTGACACATATTCTAACATGTACAGGCGGCAATCGTTCATACGTACACATACATGTATGTGTATATGTCCAATGTAAAGTTCATCGTTGTGCATGTGAAACAATAATAAAAGAGTACTAGCCATCGTGCCGAGAAAGTTAATGATGTAGAATAAGGCAAATAAACAATCATAAAGAAGAAGAGGACGATGAGTTCGAAATGAATTTCCTTAAATTTTGCTTTTTGAACAATACTAATCATTGGTCATATTTCAGTACCTTCAGCTGTTACCTCGTCGTCATCATCATCTTCGACATCTGGTCATTTTCGAACAGTATATAATAACAATAATGGTTCGGCTACATTATCATCATCGTCATCATCAATAAAATCTTCGGAAAAAAAGAAACACTCACATTTACGTCATATCTTTCCATCAGAGAATATCAATAATAACAATAATAATCATTTAAACAGTGGTGATAGTTCGCCGCCAGTATCATTTTTCATCGAAAAGAAACGTTCGTCACGTACGCCAGTTCAAATAATTGAACAAGACTTAGGTACGTTAGATAATCAGCATGCAACTCGCCGTTCACGACCCAAATCTGCCTTATCATCATCATCTGGAAATGAATCGAGCGCATTCCGTATTGTTCATAATCCTAATGACAATTCCCCACATTTACAACAACAGCAACAACAGTACATTGCTCTATTGAAAATGCTCAAATCGCAAGAAATTCAAGTGGAACAACAACAGAAAGAACTGAGTGAAAAACAAAAAGGTTTCCGAAATGAGCAAATCGTTGTTTTCCTATCCGTTTAACTTTCTTTTTTTTTCAGAAATCGCCCATCGAGAACAAGACATCCATCTGATCGATCATGACAGTCAGTTAACTACAGACTGTCCAGTTTATTCGGAAGAATATTCGAAGAATGAATTAGACAAAGAATTCGACTATGAAAGAAAGCTACATTCTAATTACGAACATCTGCAAGATCAAATAACACGCTGTTCAACAACAATCGAACAAAAACGACAATTACAAGAACAAATTCAATCAAATATCGAACAAATACACAGTGATGTGGAACAAATACAAAAGACGATTCTCCATGAGAAAAAGGTTTCGAATTCATAGACTTTTCAACGATTAATTTCGATTCTCTCCTAGGATATTAATCAATACCAACACGATCTTGAACGATCCACTGCTTCGTTAACTCAACAAGAAGATCTAGTACATGTATTAACCCAACATAATGACGAAATCGAACGAATTATACAAGAACGTCGACAGCAAATCAATAACCTCGAAAATGAATTAATTAAATTAGATGATATGCTCATCAATAGTAAGTTGATCGAATATGACACATTCTTCTCTATGTTACAACGTATTCTCGTTAAATTCTAGCGTAAATCTAAAAAGAAAATTTAGCTGAGGTTTGCTTTCCGCTTCCCAAACTTTCGCATGTCATATTCATTCACATCTAAGACTAAACTCAATTCTGATCATTCTCATTCGTCGGTTTTTTCTCTTCTTCAAAGGTTTTCTTCAACCTTCATACAATTTGCATTCGAATCTCTCTGCTCCACAACAGTACAATTCACTTCCATCAACAACTTCACCATTATCGTTATCAACGGGTACAACAACAGACGTTCTCATGCCTGTTCGTTTGCAATTTGTGAATAGTACCCTTTGGAAATTGTGTCCAAGTGGAATCTGGGTGTAGAACAAAAGCTTTCCTATATCTCTCAGTTATTTTTATAAATATTTCAATGAATGAATGAAATAAAATCTTTGACAAGTTTAGTATCACTTACCAAATTAAAGTTGAATACGATGCTGAACTCAAGACATCAGATTGTTTTGAGTTCCACTGACAAAAGGATCACGTGTCTGAAGGCTATAAGAATAAAACTAAGTACAGTTTTCGCAGAAAGAAAAGCTTTTAACAAATTTCAAGTATTGATGTAATACGGTATTTTTGTCGTCTTTATCAATTATTTTACCATTGTAATTTCCTTTTCGTTTATGTTAAAAGGTTCTCATTCTGCGAGCTATACTGAATAAAATTTTGCATCTAAGTGTCAATATTTGTTGAAATGAAATAATTTGTACCGAAAATAGATATTTATTTTGATTGCGAGAATTACAATTCTGATAATTGCTTGAATAAATACACAGAAAATATTGGACTAGATGGTGTGCATATACAAAAGATCAGGAATCTTAGATTCCCACTGCTTCACGACTGATTTTCCATAAGTGATCAGCGTACTGATCATCAGTACATAGCCATGATGGGCAGTCTGGGGTGCAACGGCTAGAAAACGAGAAAAATGATCGTTTCTACGTCTTAGATTATAATTTACTCGAAATATAGATAATTGGATTGTTCTAATGATGGTTCGACAGCACAGTAAATCGTTGTTTGCGCACCTGTTTTATATTTGACTGCGAAAGCAACTTTTAACAAGCGTAGAATTGGATAAATGATCATAAATGAATAGAATCCAAATGCTCTTATCAATGACAAGCGACTCGATGTCCAAATCCATCCTGGATTCACTGCAAATGCATTGACTCCCTCACCTAAACATACACAGATCGATTCAATATAACAGAAAATCGAACTAACTTGCTAAGAGATCACGTTTTAATTTGTATGTTGATAATATTTGAAATAGTTTTGATGTTATATAAGCACCGTAGAGATGATTGTTTTTGAATTGGGTCAATGCGTCGAACCAATTGATATCTTGAACAACTAGAATGTAAAAAGAAACAAGTCGTTTGATGGTTAACTGGAAAATCATTGTTGCTCAAACTTTGATGTGCACCGGACGAGATATTGATGATTCGACTTGGACGACATTGCTTTAATTTATTCAAAAGAAGATTTGTGAGTAAAAAATGGCTGAGATAATTCGCTTGAATGATTGTGTTGAATCCATGTTTTGTGACAACGTATGTTGACCACATTAGGCTGGAATTACAAACTAAGACATCGAGCCGTGCTTCTTCATTGTTGAATAATTCAGCAAATTGACGGACAGAATCAAGTGAACATAAATCACATTCCATCAAACGCAGATTTTTCTCGTCGCATTCTGTTTCTGCATGAAGTTTTCGGATAGCTTGACGACCCTCGTAAAGATCGTCACATGTGATTATCACACGAGCACCTAGAGCGATACAGCTTGATTGATACAAAGGAAATTGACGGCATCAAACCTCGCCGAAGAAGGTCTTTTGCTGTTTCATAACCAACACCTGTAGATCCACCAGTGATAAGAACAGTTTTGCCTTGCATTAGTTGCATACTTGGATAAAACTTTCGATTGATCCAAAATTTGTTGTATGACCATGCTACTATTACTAGGAAAATGATTGGAAAGATTTGTATAACTTGATTCAATTCAAATATGAACATACCTGTTCCTGCAAAAAGAAGAATTGGCCTACGGAGTTGATCAAAGAACAGATGAGTAATGGAAAATAGATTATCAACAGTAGTAAGAGGAACTGATGGCACTGGTACTGATGCAACTTCAGTCATAACAATGATCCGATCTTATATAGTTAGACAGAAAGACCTTTGATTACTTTGAGTGAATAAATGGCGAGATGAGATATTTGGAAAGAGTTGTTTGACTTGACTATAATATACCAATCAAACAAGCGAATATTGTCAAATAGAGAAACTACTACTGACCTCTGTATAGTCGTTTTTCGTTGAACTTAATACTGATGATCTTCAGAGATAATAGATTTGTAACTTCAGCGAAAAGTCAGACTGAGTTTTTCAACTTCATTTTATTGGAATTTCAAAACAAAACAAAACTATGTGTAGATGTTCAAGATACTAGAAGTCCAACTGCTTGTAAACTTATTTCCCATAGCTGATCGGCCAACGCATAATTGGTACACAACGATGAGATGGTTTCCACTTTACAATCTCTATACACATATGTAAAAAAAAGATTGGCATCTATATCCTGATCTGCGAATATCTTACTCAAAATACAAATCTTTCGAATGTTGTAATGATGGTTCAACTGCACAGAAAATACTCGTTCGTGCTCCTGTTTGTGGCGTTTTAGCTAGAATAAACTTCAGTGCATACAGTATTGGATAACAGATAAGGAATAGAATGAGTCCAATCGCTTCACGCATTGGTGTTTGAATAGATGTCCACACCCAACTGGGGTTCACTGCAAATATTGCAACATCATCTATTCAATTCAAATAGAAACGTTTAGCTATCAGATGATATACTATTGATATACTTGAATCTAATGTATGTTTAAGTTTAAGAGCAAATAGTAGAGTAAATGCTTTAGACATTGGATAGATTCCCCATATACGAAAACTTTTGAATTGTGTAAATGCATCAGACCAATCGATCGATCGAACCACTAGACGGGAACTTCGTCATCACATTGATTATCTTTCACATAAATTCATACATACTTCGATGTGCACCTGATGCAACGAAAACGATGCGGCTCGGTCGACATTCTTTTAATTTACTCATCAGAAGATTGATCAATAAAAAATGACTGAGATAATTCACTTGCATGACCGTACTAAAACCATCTTCCGTAAGAAGTTCCGGTGCCCACGCAATGCCAGCATTACATATCAGAACATCCAGTCGTTGTTCTTCCGTATTATATAGTTGAACAAATTGACGAACAGATCGAAATGATCGTAAATCGCATTTCATCAATCGAATACGACTCTTCGCGCAGCCAGTTTCCAGCACTAGTTGTTCTATGACTTCGCAACCTTTCTTCATATTGTAATCAGCAATTATAACGCGTGCGTCTGTATGTTGGAAATGGCTCATTTCTCGTTAGAAATAGTTTTCTTCTACTCTACCTCGTTGAAGTAAATCTTTGGCTGTTTCGTAACCGATACCACTAACACCACCCGTGATTAAAACAGTTTTACCTCTCATCGAACATTTACTTGGAAAGAATATTCGGTTGACACGAAACTTATTGTATAACCACGAACTGATTACTAAATAGATTGAAGTCCGTGCAAAAACCATCAATAATACAAAAATTGATTACCTAAAGCAATGAAGATGAAGATATTTGTTCGATATTGATCAAGAAAAGAGGAGAATTCGTTGACATACACCATTTTTGCACTAATCGAACATTGGTTACATTCATTTAATTTGATGGGTGCATTTATTTTACGTTGTCTTATCTTCTTCAACTTAGTCTTTTTTGTCCTTCTTGTAAAAGGTTCTCTAAGCAGAACAACATTCACTTTTATCCTTCACTATTTTGCGAACAAAACAACTCCATTCGAGAATCACGCCATGTGCATAAGAAGAAACACTACGACATGACGCTTCACGATTGTTGAGAACCAGTGACACTTTTTTCCTTTCTTTCACAGCTGCGTGCCAGAACAAGTATGCTCTATTCCCGTTAAAATCTGATGAGAAAATTAAAATTCCACATTTATTTTAATACATGAGTATAGAAAGGTTAGAAAAGCTGCCACAGAATGCTTCCAACACACACAAACACACACATCATTTCTCAACGTTCTATAATACAAAGAAAATAAAAACTGCCAGTTCTATCTGAGAACAAAGAAAAAGAAGAGATTCTATTTACAGAGGAAAACATCGTGATTATCTCTCTGCCAAAAAGATGATAAATATTTTACAAGAGAAGTTAAACATAGATTATGTTTGGAAGTCTCTGGTGTACTTGAATTTGAGGTTGAGATAACTGTTGTCGATGAGATTCATCCAAGTCACTGCTGCTTATATCATGATCAACATCGACATCGTTTCCACTACTAATACTGCCATGTAATATCATCTCGTCTTCAGTTGTCCACGTTCCAGGTTCGAGTTCATGATTAGATGAACTTGCTCCTGTTGTTGTTGTATTCGTGCGAATCATTGAATGTGTTGATGCTTGTTCCACTGACGATGAACCTTGTTTGAAAGTGTGATTGTCGTTTGACTTGGCCATAAGATCATATTTTACATAAGAGTATAGATTCGATGGTTTGAAGTTCATTGTTGATGAATGATGAGCTATTTTAGGTGGGAGATGATGTGTCGGAGGTATTTGATTTGCAGACGAACGAGATCGATGTGCTCCGCGAAGTAAAATAAAAATGAGGATCAGGATAATCAAAATCAGAATAAGAATTAAAGTACAAAAAATAATAATAACTGTTAAACCGAAGCGAGCTTGAGAGATAGGGACTAAAGTATAAAACGAATCATGGACTTCTATTCGAAAATTTGAAGCTATGGAAAGCGTACCTTTGCCTTCACCAATGATCGACGATAATTGATCACGACAAATAGGACAACAATGTCCAGATAATGTTACTGTATGAACACAGGTCAACGAAGGACATCGATGTTGATGACATACGATAGTACCGTATAGACATTCACAGCTGTGACATTCGCTGACCTGAAATGAAAATACGGGCGTTCACAAATGAATGAAAAAATCTTTTTCACTTACATTCCAATGTTCACCAGAACGATACTGAACGTAATTGAAAATACAGACGGAAACCGTAGCTGTATGCGGAAGACAAAACGGGCAGCATTGCCCTTTTTTTAAAACTGGATTCGAACATGGTAGATTTTGTTCACATGTTTGTGAAAAACATTCGACACGCCCATTACCACCGCGTGGACAGAGACACGATTGACAATCATGATGTTTCCATAATTCACCTGCATGTTTAACTATTCCATTGTCAAGAATACAAACATCATCATCATCATCGACCAGAGTCGCTAATTCCGTTGAAGACGTCGGTTCAGATGATTTCGGTGGACATACGGGACAACAAAGTGAAGAATCATAAATGGGAGATGAACAATGAAGTGGAGGACATAGCGATATACTACAGAATGCAATGTTATGCAGACATATACATTTTGTACATTTGTCAAATTCAAGTTCTTCGCCAGTTACATACTGACTGGCATAGCATACTTGTGATGACGGAATGGGTTGAGGTAACATAGTAATTTCTAGAGATACGATGATAGAAACAGAACATCGATGTCAAAGAGTGGAAAAGTACCTGGACATGTAGGACAACATTGATTGGGTAGAAGAATTGGCTGCGAGCATTTCGGAGTTGGACAGGAGATAAGTGCACATAGATGTTCTCCTCTATGACACAGACACTGCCGACAGCCGTCAAACCATATCTCACCATTTGAATAAGAAAATTCTCCTGATAGACATTGTCTGGACCACGATTGGGGTATCAAATCTGTTGCTTTTGTATCGTTAATATGTATGCTAATATTACTTTTACATACACATATTGGACAGCCAATTTCGTTGCGTTTCAATCCATAAGTGCAGTTCTTTCTGCAAGACAATACTGGACATGAATTGCATTCACATATAGGACAACCTGTTTGTTTATTTATTGTGTAGTTGTAGGGACAATGTTTAGCACAATTTAGTGCGCCGCAATTGAGACCATTCGGTGATGTACATGTACAGTATTGTTTGGATGCTCGATCAACTTTCAGTGTACATAGAGGTGCTGGACATGCCATGGTCGAACAAGCACATATAAAACAACCTTGTGCATCTTTCGCTAGTCCATGTTCACATATTAACGAGCAATTCCTAAGTTCAGGACACTTGTTTGTTACTAGCGGCGTGGATGAGGAAACGTGTAAATCCTGATCATCAGAAGATAGATCTTCGTCTGTAGTATCGTCACATACTGGACAGCAGACATTCGCTATTTGACGTGGATTGTCACAAGGCGGAGCAATACATCCTTCAGCGATGCAACGTGATCGGCCATTTTCACACCAACATCGCATACATCCATTGGATTCTATCCAAGTTGAATTCATATGTTGAACATGAAGACGATCATTTAGACAACCTAAGTATCAAGTGATTTAATTCACATGGCAAACTTTCGTTTTTCAAAACTTACCGCCACACTTAGGACAACATTCATTTTCCGGTTTATACATATAACCGCAATGTGTGTATGTCGGACATTGTACCATAAGACAATCAACGAGCCCTTCTCGACATGTACATGTTGTGCAGTGATCAATAGACCATGTTTCATTTTCACTGTAAATCTTCTTGTCATGATAGCATTGTTTTGAATCTAAATCGAATGGTTTGATAAATAAAAGATTCTTCACATTCCCCCTAGTCTCACCTACTCTTAATGCAAGTATATTGATCACAGCATTGTCCAGGAAGATTCGGATTGCCCGTTCGATAGATTTGAATAATCGAACTTTCTCCGCAAGTAGTCTTTGAACATCTTGCGCAAACACATTGTCCTCGAGGTTCACAGCAAACTACCGATAGATTGTTCGATGAAGATAATGACAACGACGAAAGGGATACACGATCTTCCACAAAAATACTATCTGATGGACAACGTGATGCATTGATGGTAGCAGTGGGACAAACAATATTTGAACAATCAACACTGTCTTCATCATCTAGACAAAATATAAGTTTCGATTGTATCATTGTTATGATACACATGTTTCATGTCGATTACATCACCAAAATATACTTTTAACGACTTTCATAGGAAAAAAAGTTCTTTTTTTTGTATTCTACACATCTTTTTCGAATACAATTCGTGATAAATGTACGTATGTCGTTACTTCGTATGTCTATTTTCAAAGTTTATCTCACATTACGCTTCAAGCTGGAAAGAAACAAACGAGACACGATACAGTTCTTCGGTGATCTATTTCATACGTGCTGATAATTCTTTACAGACATAGACTTCCAAATAGATATGTTTCTGCTAAATGATAGATATCAATGAAGAAACTGACATTATCATCATTTCACGTTTCTGTTCAGTTGATCTGCTATCAGAGTAATCTTAATGTGTCATTAAGAGAATTCAATATATGTACACAAACTTAACTCTCAAAAGGTCACAGGCAAATGTTCCTGCCTTGATCAATACCATATGTTTGTTTCTCTTATGTTTGTCACTCGTCTACCCGTAGAATATAGAAAATGGATTCATTGGCTTGACAAAATCTGATAATTGATTAGCTTGCCATTAATGATCTTCACTCGGTGTCCGATGCCCTAACAGCTAGACCCACAAAGCCTCTCTCTCGCTCTCTATGTCGAACAGTTGTTCAATCAAGTTACAATAGATCCGTTTCTCTTTTGTAATACTGATACAGACAGATGTTTGACCTTTACTGTTTGTCAATCAGAATCAAAGAATAAATAGTTCGTCATACGTACACGATTCATCTAAGCGATTCAAGGCTAAACATATCATATTTACGAGAATTACTACCTTATACTTATCGATAGTGTTTGATAAGAAAAGGATAATACGTGCTAATGTAGCAACAAGAAAAATGATTTAGTATACAAACAATGATGGATTGATCTGTTAATAGATTCTCTAAACTATGCGTATTATCCTTACCGTCATAGTCTGTAGGCCAACTTAATTCACGTTTTTGATGCGACGGAGATTCTAGTTCACATGTACGAGACAGGATCGTATTTTCTCCATCAGGAGTTATATCACATGGTACACGTCGATTGGCACATTCACAGGTTGTTTGATTATTGATATTTATAGATAAACACTGGAATTTCAAACATGCTAAACCAAACAGATATTTGCTTATTATCATTTCAAGAGTATCTTTTCCTTCAGTTACCTTTCATACATACACCAGTGTGTTCATTGAGATCATTGACAGTTTGATTTGGTTGATAACATAAGAGATCTTGCTCGCATAGACCATAGACGTTCAAATGTCCGCCACATATTTCATGTTCTGTACGTAGACAAACAGTACAACAATCACATTGATCACGTATTAACTTGGAACAGTTTTTATTCAACAATTGATATTGTAAACAATAGTCAATTGAACATGATGATTGACATTCACTCTGATTGATCAATACCGAAGAAGATAGGTCTAATGGCGATGATGAAGAACTTTGATGATTGCTGGTATTAACAGCACTGATGATTATCGAAAGGAAAACGATAACGAGCTGATAACACCCGAAGAACATCACTACTTAATTCGTATGTGCATAGCCGTATTTATTAGTAATGGATGAATGATGAAAGAAGAAAGTGTTGATGGTGGAGAAGGCGACTAGTATGAATAATGGTGATGAAGAACACCATCAATATTGTTGACTCATTCGCCGACACCATCAAGCCGCTCCAGTTAAGGTCGACCTGAAATAAAGAGAGAATATGAGAGAGAGAAAAAAGGAGAAATGCATATGCGTGTGTGGAATTATGTAGACCGAACAACAAGAGGAAGAGACTTTATAACAAAACAGCGAATGTAGAGAAGAAACGACGAAAAAACGAATTTATTCAAGACTTTTCTTTTTCTTTTTTGTTCAAAAGTGACTTCAGCCTTGAAAAATCCGTAAATTTTTTTCCTAGCAAGGTTACGTCAATTACCTGAAGAGAAGTATTTTTCAACAAATTTCAATCGAAGATTGTGCGATCAGATATCAAAGATCTGTTTAATTGATTACCACAGAAGAAAGAAGGTTATGCGAAAAATGTTTGTTCGAGCTTTGTATTCATGAGGAAAAAAGAAAGACTGACATTCCACTTGAATTTTCACTTAAGCCCTTTCATTCATTCGAAAAAAAGACTTCAAAAACACTTGACATTTTATTTTTCTTTGACGTTTTCCCCTATTTTGCAAACTTGACATGTTATTTTAATCTTCACAACAACATATTTAATCAGTACAGTTAAAAAACGTTTTCATATACATATCACATCAGTATTCAAAAAAAACGAAGGCAGATGTTTGCGCTTATGGAGAAAAAAAAACTTAATCTAAAGTTCACTAGACTTCAATCGCTCAAAATCGTTGACATATTCTAAAACAAACAAGCCTTGCCGAGGAAAAGAAGTCTTTCTTTCACGAATATTTGCATTGAGATAAAAGAAACTAGACATGCAGAGATGATATTTAGCAGAGAGAATGCAAGTCATAAATGGTTATTCACTATAAAAAAAATTCCGTTGATGTCAGAAGAAAAGAGAATCAATAGTTGCGTTGAAAAACTATTTTGACTGTTTGTCATAACACTAACATAAATACGCGAGAAAGAGAAAAATATACAGACGACATTGTCGATTTAAAGTGTCAATATCTGTACTTTCGTTTTCTTATTTTCATCTAAATATACACAGGATACAGGTGGGATATCTCCAAATCAAGTAAGGAAAAAATATCGATGATCATCACATGTGCAAATATTTGACATTCCATGTACACACATATAGTCGTTCTTTTCTCTTTTTTATTGTCTTAGATGAGATATGTCGAAAAACAACAATAACATTGATGGTATTCGTAGCGAATGCATCTCGAGTGAAGATTAGAAATGACAGGAGAAAGAACAACAACATCAACAGACAATATCTCGCCATTCATCATCTCAGTACGAGCATTTGATGACGACAAGAAGACCTATTGAGAATTAGAAATCGTTATACAGAGATATCGACACATGATTCAGTGATTAATCGACTTGTTTATAAATATACACTCGCTGAGCTACAGATAGTCGAGTGTTAATTTAACGAAATATTCTGGAAATCATGTGATTATTTATGAAATAGTGCTGATAGTATCAATATGGGGATGATTCGCTGACGCACATGTCATTTGACGAAGTAGACACACTTCTGACGAGGAAAATTTGATGTAACCGACAAAAGAAAAGACTGGAATGAGTGGGGAGAAATGACGAAATCCTATGATTTGTATTCTTGTACTTACATAGCATGAAATACCGATTGAATATGGAACGTTGTTTTCTTTTTCAATTAGGATGTGAAAAGGCTACGGTTGATTAAATCCGAAATATTATCGGTATACTTTCTAGCCAAGTCAATCGCTGACGCAGACGGCGAGTATCGTAATTGTTGGACCGTTAAAATGACTCTGTTCTGAGCAGATATCCAAGACAAGAACTAATGGAGCATCGAATCGTTGTCAGAAAAACAATAACATAGCTGAAGCGATAGTGTCTATCAATGAAAGCAGTTCGGCAGTCATAAAAACGAAGAACTGATATGACGCTGTTCTCTTTTGTCAGTGTCAAAATATTCGTTTTTTTTCCTTGAGGACATGATCTTTGAGACCATCTTTTATGTATTTCATTTCCAGATTATATTTGAAAGTATGAAAGAAAAACGAATGTTTGAAATCTGAGCAGATTCTCAAGTAAAACATTGATATTTACTCATCAACACTGCCATCTGATAATCGCTAAATATACATGTCAAACATGCGATTTTTCGTTCCGAATAGTTCTTCATACATGTGCTTACCAATCTTAGTTTATCTAAGGATATTAATAATCTCGTGGGACGATAAAAACAACATGTACCAATACGCGCAAACGACAACTTTCTTTTCTATTAAAGAGAAATTATTTTTCTTCTGCAAAAGATTAAAACAAGGTTAATCAAATTTCGTTTTTTTGTTTGTCTTAAGTGAAATACTTCAAGAGAAACTGCATTCAAGGCTAATTTATAATTCGTTCATTGAGACATTGCCAAGAGGATAGATGAAAAGTTAATGATGCAAATGTGAAGCACTGCTCGCTTTTACTTACCAGTCTTTAAAAACTCGATTGTTTTATATACTGACGTATGCGTCTAAGAAGTATTCAAACTGAATAGGCTATTCATTTCGTTTTTTTCGACTCTTCAAAGCAAGGTTTTTGTAACGTCATATCGTTTTTTTCCTCTCTGCTTATTGTGTATATAACTACGATTGCGCGCGTGTCGGATTGCCCGCCCTGCTTTGTCTTTCTTACTTCGTATAATCGAACTATACGAGATACCATTTATCTATTTTTATCGAAACAACATTAAAGTTTCAAGTGGCGAATACTTACTTTTCATGACAATAGAATATTCTCTCGAAGTCGAGCTGCAACAGCTGGAAAGCTTCATTAACACTCAATTCTATCTTGACTATACTAAAAAGTGCACTGATAAGAGCAAACAATACTGATCATCTGACTTGAAGACAAACCATGCTCTGTCATTGTATGTCTGCCCGTATCAGCTGATTCATAAGCGCAAATGTTTCGAGCATATGACATTACTTGTCAACTAAAAACATACTTCTAGATATTATTCTCCTAGTTCTGTCGCCACCTTGATGATCTATGATGAAAATAAGTCAATACGAAGATAGTTATTCAAATGAAGATTGCTTTCTTATTAAGATTATTTACATAATTTCTTTTTCGGAGTAATATACGATCATTAAATGTTATTTTTCTTATTATTAAGAAAACAATTGATTGATTATAATATAGTAATAACCATGTGAGAGAATTTACATTTGTTAATAGTTGTTTTGTTTCTTTGTTGATTAATAATTGAGAACAGATTCAGATCTGAAGGACATTAGACAGACGACAAGGATAAATAATTAAATCCATCTTTAATTTAACCTTCTACGAATGCGATCAACTGGAACTAGAAGTTTATTCTGAACAAATACACCTGATGAATAAGATTATCGTTGATTTAATAATTAAAAATTATTAGCATGTTAGAAAAATCGAATGAAAATAAAATATGAGTTGAAATTAGATATCTGTTAAATTGGAAATCGCTGGACTATAATGAAATGTTTGTTTAATGATGAACCATTGCCTCGACGCCATGACCTTTCTGTACTGTCGATCCGCCTGAACCACCAACTTCAACAAATCTTTCTGGTCCTGTTGATACATGTCCACCGGACGATGCACTTTTCCCGGATTCATCATTGTCTCCGTCCTTATTGCCCTCTTCAGATTCCTCATTGGCTTTTCCAGAATCTTGTTGAGTCTCAGATTCTTCATTGCTTTCTCCAGAATCTTTCTGATCATCAGATCCTTCATTGTCCTTTTCAGTTTTATTTGATGAATCGCTTTGCTCTTCAGATTTATCATCATTAGCAGGTGCGTTTTCTTCTTTCTCTGACGACATTATCTCGTGTTTATCTAGAAATACATTCAAGAGACAAAGAAATCAAAGAATATTTTCCACATTCAAAATATTAACAAAAACAGGAAGATCAGACAAATATCTTTTGTTCAATTACATCAACAAACTCTCATTCTCGCCACCGAGTTTTGCCTAAATATACCAAATCAATTTAGAGCAAAGTCTCTCCATCGTTTACTTTGGTGTTGTATAGAGCAACTTTTTTGCTCGTTGAATGATATCGCACCAACATATGTTCAGGTAGTTGCTGAAAAAAGGCAAGAGGCGATTCGTGGAATTTAAAAGCGATAATTCATCTTGTTTATTACTAATTTAACTTTTGGCATCGAATTTGTTTGATTCTCATCAGTTTTCTTCTTCTTTAATCTGCGTTCCAACAATGGAACATTTTCGTTGTGAACAGTGTTTTGCCGTATTCTCGAACTACGACGAATCATATCTGACGACATTGATCTTGACAAGCCAAGCAAACAGATATCAATTTTTAAAAAAGGTACTTGAAATCGACCTACTTTTTTAATGCTCGACGTCCGGTTGCACATTGCGTATGATCACTTATTTGTTTGATTTCATCGCGAATCTAAATAAAAGTATGGTCATTCACATTTGAGTTATAAATAAACATAATGTATTTTCAAACATCTGTTACATTCTTTTGGTGTATTTAGAAATGAATAGCTATTGTTACAAAATGTATAAACTACTTGGAAGTATCTGGTGTTTGTAGCAATTCGTTTATTTTGCGAAGCGTTTGTTGACTTACATCGTTGATTTTCAATGCAGCAAGAAAACGACGATTGTCTTCAAGGTTTTGTCGACGTTTAGTTTCGAGATTTTCGTTACTATTATTCAAAGACGACATCATTTATGCACGTACACGTATGTACAGTATCAATTCGTCGTCGATATGCAATTCGATGAATGACTTGCTATTATCCAATGTGTTTATATGTACCGCCTGCCCGCCTCCATTAAAGCTAATTCAATGGATGATAGTTAACCAATAGAAAAGAAGCCCATCGCTCTGTTTTATGTCCTTGCACTACTTTATACTGGTATTGAGGAAAGTTGTCAAAAATGGCGTCAAGTTCGTGTTCTAACCCAACATTTATCAATCGGTAATTGCATTGATTTCAATTCTTCACCTAAATCTTGCTTTTAGACTTCGACGCGAGTGTCTCGATCTCCAGCAAAATCCAGTGCCATTCACTTGGTCTCTATCGAACAATTTTACTTTATTCATTTGCATAGGTTTTTTTTCTGTTTAGTGCTGGCCCAACAGCTGACAGTCTGAAGCAATGGTTAGTTGTGTTCGAAGGAGCACCTGATTCTCTCTATGAAGGTGGCACTTTCTTTGCTTTACTTACATTTGATGATGATTATCCATTCACACCACCTACGGTGAGTTTGGAGTATCTTCTTGTTTTTATCGTTTCAATTTGATTTTAGTTGGAATTCAAAACCAGAATATATCATTGTAATATTTATCAAAGCACGGGACTAGTGAAACATGATATATTCGACAAAAACTGGTCACCAACAGTAACCATTCGACAAATTATCCAAAAAGTTGCCAATCTGCTCGTTCAGTGTGAACCTGGTGAGTAGAACTTCAGCATTGAATCACTTATTCCTCGATACAATCGGGATCAAAGTACCTTTCCTAACTAAAAATAGAATTTCGAACGAATCTGCTTCATTGTTCGTTGTGCTATAAATATTCAAACTTTCTTCTTCATAAAAGAATACATTAAGCATTCTTCCACAAAGCCTTCGCGTGATACTCACGAGAGGAAAGAAACAATTCTATTCTTCCTATTCGTACTGCGAAGCTTCAGCAAATGTACTTTGTTCTTTTTTTTTAGATTATTGTGCTATGAAAGAACTTGGTTTACAGTACAAACACGAACGTGTTGATTACGATCGAATGGCTCGTCTATGGACGAAAAGCTTTGCTCGTTAAATGTCATTTTTTTCTCTCTTCCTTTNTTCCACAAAGCCTTCGCGTGATACTCACGAGAGGAAAGAAACAATTCTATTCTTCCTATTCGTACTGCGAAGCTTCAGCAAATGTACTTTGTTCTTTTTTTTTAGATTATTGTGCTATGAAAGAACTTGGTTTACAGTACAAACACGAACGTGTTGATTACGATCGAATGGCTCGTCTATGGACGAAAAGCTTTGCTCGTTAAATTTCATTCTTTTCTCTCTTCCTGTATCAAATCCACCTCAATTTTGTGTATATGTTTCTTACTAATGTTGCTTTTCTAGATGCCATTGTCTATTTATGACAGTGAACAATATCTATTCGAAATCGCTCAAAGTTTCATTCGTTCACGGGTCATTTTCACTTCATTAGAACTTCAAATCTTCGATTTATTCTCGCAATCGAATCATGGTTTGACTTGTGCACAAGTAGCTGAACAATTGAGCTTACATTACGTCCAAAACGAATCTCGATGTTTACAAGACTTATTAGATTGTCTAAAATCAATGAAACTCCTGGAACATGACAAAGAGAAGTTCACTTATAAACTAACTAACTTTACACGAAATCTTCTTCTTCCCAATCGACAACTTCTATCAAACATTGATCGAGATTTTTACGATAAAATGCCTCAGCTGAACGAACTTGTTTTGAATAATTCGCTCAAAGATTCAATCCATTTGATAATGCTATTACGAATCAAACAGTTGGTTGACTTAACAGCTTATTCGAATGTTTCGATCGATTCCTTCGATGAAAACGTCGATGTCATGGTCATTTGGAGACAAGAAGGTTTTCTCAAAGAAAAAATCAAACAAGCGTACGACATTTTACCATCCAGTAAGGCAAGTCTTCTGATTTTAATCATCCCCAATGACGAAGATGATGAAGTCACACTCGCATTGAACATTCTCTTGAACATGACAACAACGAGCAAAGAAGAAGAGAATCCCAAAGAATTCTATTCGACGAAGTTTTTCAAACAAATCGGTTTTCAATCTATTGAACGATTGAGATCAACAGATGGATTACAACTTCTACTTGCTTATAAGTAATCAAGGTGATGGCTGATCTTTCATATCATAATAGTATTTCAATCTCCTTTTATACATTCGGTGTTTGATATTATCATTTATACAATCATGTTTGTTTCTTCTTTTATTATTTGTGAGAAATATACAAGTGCAATAAAATCAATAATACTTTCGTTTTTATCAAGTAATCTATTGAATTTTCTTGACTGAAGGTACAACGGAACCGACATTCATGTCGAAAACTTGAGGGTGACTATTCATATATTTATTTTAAAAGAGAAACTTCACTGTATATCAAATTTAGTTAATAGCTTGTGAATAAATCAATTGTGTGGAATCAACAAACGGCTGTTTCTGTATGATAAGATCATCACGTTGTGAATTGCTTTTCATGTATAACTGATTCTTGTTGCAATTGTTCAGCATGCAATAAAATGCTGAGACAATTTGATCTTTATCATAAGAAATCATTCCTTGATCGAGTAGTTTCACACATATGGTTGATAGTGACACGGGACTTGATGTGTTTGTATGTTGCGAAGTATATACATCAAACAATTGAAGTTGAAGCTTCTTTGCATCGATTTTCGCGAAATTTCTATCAAATTCGATTTTGTCATAATGAACAGGACGAACGAATTCGTAATGCACTTCTTCAGAGATGAGATCAGGTGGATCGAACTGATAATTATCTTCATCATTCAATGAGTTTAAATCATCTGAAGTAGATACCATTTGTACATTCAAATCAGGGAAATAATTCAGAGATGATAGATCAACCACTGGACGTGACTTTCGAGAAAGTCTCAATTGATAACGGTGTTTAGTCTGTTGTTGAGCTCTATGTAGTGTGTTTGATAGAACTTTTCTTTTTCGTCCTTTTAATATCTTTCGAGTGCATGAATTCGAAAACATTAAATCGGTTAATGATACATTTCGTTCCGTATCAGTTAGATTTAGTTTGAAACGATGTCTAGATTGAACATAAGCACGACACTGATGCTGCCGTTGTTCAGGATTAGATGCTGACTCGATGATATCTGGAAGAAGATTCGTATATCTCCAAAGATAAGGCCCAGCAAATAGCTTCAACTTTGAATAATCGAAGTAACTGTAGTCAGATGAATCGTTCTATGAGGAAAAGAAAATCATATTGCGAAGATATTTTCTATTAAATTTACTGTATCGCGAAGTAGATGAGGAATCTGATCGACGAAAGACACTTTACTTTGGATCAGTGTTACATCCATTGATGGCATGGCCGTTGGACAAGTCTAAACGAATAAAACATTCTGGTGCGAATATTCTACTCGACGAATAAGTTTGATTTACATGAGCCGATTTTAATTCTTGAAAGTAAAATGGAAATGGATCATCGCGTAATTCACTTAAACCATTACTAAAAACTTCATTCTCTGCGTCGTAGTCATCGCTCACATCCATTAAAGAACGATCTAAAACTGAACATTCATCAATGGTTTCAATATACGACGCCGTGCTGTCTTCATTAAATGAAAATTCTCGTAATATTTGACATCCTAATCGAAACTAAAATGAATGATTGTCTTTTGGAATCTTCGCATATTTACCGAGAATATGATCATGTGCTTCATGATCTTGAATGGCTTCTCTCAATGGAATTAAATCATAGATTGTTTTCATCGATACATCAAGTATTCTTTCATTGTCATCGTATTCACGATTGATCGGACTGTTTAGATTAATAAAACCGTTGATCAAAGGATAATCACTGGAGGAGTACATTGTATACGAAACCATATCGGCATAGATGGAGTCATCACCCACGCCACCTGGCCATTGACACATATTTGACGGTTGAAATGGATGAAAATCAAGTTCACGTGCGAGTGATATCGTTGATAAATCTGTTGTGAGATATGAACTAGCCTTCGGTTTGCTTCGTTGTGACAGTTTCTTGGTTATTTCTACTGGATCAGATTGAATACTTTGTGATTCTTCATCGTCTTCATCTTGTTGTTGAATAGTTCCATTCAATTTTTGAGTTTCTGTATGGAGAGCATCAACACGATAACCATAGATCTTCGCACTAGAGAAATCTTCTCATCGGATGTTTACAAATGTTTTCTATACCTTGCATCGATTACTGAGCCAGCTTTGACAAAATTCGGTTCATGATGATTCTCACTGAATGAATCGTTTTTGTCATCGAAGGCGATGAGATCTAAGATTTCAGGTAATCGTTCTAGAAGTGGAAAATGGAAAGCATTTTTTGCATTGATTTTATTTTTTGATGCTAATTCAAGAGTTTTTTCGTAAAGTGCAATCAATTGCACAGGAGTTTGAACACTTTCATCGACGCCACTATCGATACTAATCGAAGCGTTTAGAAGCAAACGGGATTGACGACGATCAATAGGAGATGTTTCATTATCTGAACCGAAATGATTTGCCTTTCGATTGATTAACGAACTAGAAAATTCATTTGGAAAATATCGTTTACCGATTGATTTGGTCGTTCAAATCATACCGTCGAGGTATTGGTAAACATTCGTTTTCGTCTTCGTTCATCGTGTAAATTCTGAGTCATCGATATTTCTTTCGCTTTCTTATAGTAAATTCCCACATTGTTTCTAGCGCTACTTTCTATATCATACGAGAACGAAACTTCAAGATTTCCAAGTTATGGATACTTTCATTGGATAATATTCAGAGAGGATTTTATCGCTCATCTTTTTATCGATTGGTTCAAATATTTATTTTCAATTTCATATTTGATCAGCTATTTCTCTCTCCCTCTCTCTTTCTCTCCTTCTCTATTTGTTGTTCATAAAGCACATAGTCAATTACGCATTCACTTTGCTCTATTGACAAATTCATTCGATAATCTACTTTTGCCTGCCGATCACTTTTTTCATATCCAAAGGAAAAGAAATAAATGTGTAAGTAAAATTTCTTTTGAAATCTCATTAGACAAGAGCTGCTTTTCGTGGAAGAGAATTAGTGTAATGCGTAAGAAATTCGATACATTTGACGGAAGACTCGACAGTCGTTTCAAATTTCTATCTATGAGAAATATTTTCGTCAGGTCAGTGTGATCGATCGATCGATAACACAGTGATCATTCCATTCCATTAGCATATTTATCGGTGTTCGAATCTTTTTCTTGCATTCACCGAAGCGTGACATTAAAAACTGAGTTGAAGAATTTCGCACGCGAAAGGTAGAATCTTATCACACGATGACACAATTGTCAAGCGAGAGAAAAGAACAAGAAGCATTTATAAAAACATTTCTTCTCTCAGTAGACACGCGCGCATGTGCATTGCATCCAAACATAAGTGTTCGTACATTCCATTTCTATTTTAAAAGTGACATAACTGTTGTTGTTGTTGAAAGATCGTATTAAGACACGGAAGAAAATGTTTTCTAACTTGAACGGATCATCTTCACTTGACTTCATAAGGATCAAACAGATTTTGTTGTTCTCTTCTCAGCTTGCTCAGAAAAAGATGAGCTGCTAATAGAATCGCATAGACGAGGTTTAAAATGATGATGTAACTCAAGAAAAGCTGCGAAATAATGCGGTGTTCTTCGAAAGAAGAGGGTAAGATTAAAGTGAATGTCTTTCGAACAGCAGGTGTCATTTCCGTAATTGAATGTCTTTTCCACCTTGTGAGAACATAATCGAATGATGACAATAAGGTTTATTCCACTTCAATTAGGTCAATTATTGACATGCTGCGGTCGATCGACGTTTCTTCAACTTCATTTTCTTGTTTTCTATTTAGATAACGTAACTTCATTGATGGCATCATCGTCTCCTGCTCGTATGATTCCAACCCAACGGCGTCATGTATCCCTGTGTTCCGTATGTGGAGATAAAGCTAGTGGTAAACATTATGGAGTCATGAGTTGCGATGGTTGCCGTGGGTTTTTCAAACGAAGTGTTCGGTAAGGAATATTAGTCAGGTATCTGAGGACTTTTGTAGTTTCGAGTTTTTTATTTTAGTCGACGAATTGAATATAAATGTAAAGGTGATTCCAGATGTCAAGTTGATGTCAGTCGGCGAAATCAATGTCAAGCATGTCGATTTCAACGTTGTTTAGCCGTAAAAATGAAACCCAATGGTGAGAATTATTTACATCTGCAACTGAATCTTATTTACTTTTCATCATACTTAACAAAAAAGCTTTTTCTCCCTTTCGAGTGTCTTTAATAGTAATGAAAGACGTGCTTATGATCTTCTTTTTTAGCTGTCCAAAATGAACGCGCACCACGCCTACCATCCAAACGAGTGCTTCCAACAGCATCACTCCCACGAACACAATGTTGGACACCACCAACTGTCGGGTATGTAGCAAAGTCACCATCCGTGACATTGCCAATTGATTTCCGAAACATATCAACGACTAAGTAAGTCCATTTTCATTTTTCTTTCTTAATCTTACGTAAGTAAATCATCACTTTCTTTCTCTTATCATTTTGAAAATAAAACAACAGACAACGTCTTACTTGAATTTCTCGTTTTAGTACATCATCTCCCATCTGGCCAACGGCTCGCATGTATCCTCCACAACAATCTTTCAATCTATCGAAGTGCAGCACATCGCCTGATGTATCGAACAATGATGAAACTCACAGTTCACTCGAAGAGAATTCGCTAAGAATTCATTGTGAAACTGCATCGTATGTTCTACTCGAGTCTGTTCGGTGGATTTACTCAGTACCATCATTTAAACAATTGAATGAATACGATCAATGGGCTTTAATCGAACAATCATGGCCACTTTTATTTCTTTTAACATCTGCTGAAACAAAGAAATTTCTCGATCAAAGTATTTGATTCATTTTTATTAAATTTCGAATTGATTTCTTGCTTTAGATGATGTGGATGTCATGGATGAAGATAATCAATACACATCATTTCAAACCATAATTAAAGAAATAAATCGTCATACACTCGATCAAACTGAGTATGCTCTTGTCAAACTAATTCTTGTATTTAATAATCGTAAGTACACGCATACTATTTTTCTCGTAAGAAATCATTGGAATTCGAATTTAGCCACTAATGTTCAACCTCAAGATCGACTTTTAATTGATAAATACCGAAATGATGCACTATTTATGTTAACTGATTATACCAGCGACTTGAAATATCGTCGGATAGCTGAACTGCTTCTTCTACTATCAAATCTTCCCGAAAAAGTCAAAGAAATCTGTTTAGAAAAACTCTTCTTTCAACATTTACTCGACCGTATTTCAATGAAAAACCTCCTCCACAACATTATTCGTCATTTCTGCACATTCACCCGCTAGAACCAACGAAAACAATAGTCATTACTTGTCTCTTCTTTTCATATATCGATGTAGTTGAAATAAAAGTATTTTGTCTTTTAAATAACCAGATTAGTCTCTTTCTATAAAAAATAATCAATCTGAATAGCGAATTGGTTTTGCTCGGCAAAGCAGAAGATAACCTTCCATGATCATATGTATTCAAGTGAAAAATTGTGATAATAAATCAAGTTTTATATTCGAATGATTTCTGGCAAACTTCAGAAATGAATCTATTCTTCAAGAGTACTTTTAACAATCTTTGTTCTCGTAAACGATACTCGAGTACGTGAAACTTTTTGTCAAGAAATCACGTCCATAAAGTAAATTAAACAATCAATCTCTTGCTTTTCTTTCTAAGAACGTAATACTCTCGCGTTCTTTCGCATGATCCAAACATCTGCGCTATCGATATGTGAATTTGTACTATAATTAATCTGGTATTTTTCTTTCTATACTTCTCTTTGTATATCTATTGCAGATTTTCAAGACACGTTCTTGTAATAATGTGAAAACAATTATTGTGTTCATGTTGGAATTAGACTATGTAAATAGAAGTGCAATAATGTTGTGTTTACAGTGAGATAATATTGACCTTAAGAAGAAAGATTCTGAGCTATTTTTCAGCAGATCGTACTCGAAGGAAGAAATTTACATAAGTTTTAATCATCTCCGAATAATTTGATTGCTCTTACGAAAATATGTTCTCATCTACATATTCATAAACGAATGTATAGAATTTTAATGAAATTTCTGTTCGAGGGACTTCCAACCAGATCAATTCTCGGCTATTGTCTAACAAAAATACGTTCTTTATTTGATTTTACTGTGGTTTGATGATGAATAAACTCATATTTGATTTCATGTGAGTACCGGAGAAAAATTTATTTGTTCTCTTCTTTGTTAAATAAATAAAATCTTCATTTCAGAACACCGATTCCACATGTCCGCGACAGTCGCTGTGTCTCACCCGATCATTCGACAAACACAGGAACAAGAACCTCCAGTGTATATTCTACAAAGTTGGCATCGCGAACAAGCCAATTCGCGTGATCAATATTTATTAGAGCGAACTTTTGTTGTTGCACCAGACACAGCTGTTCCTGCATCGAAATTCCGGCAACATATTAGAAATATCTACGAAGAACGAATTCGTTCGACGATCGTTGATCAGTACGATCCCTGGACGATCGAAGCTTCCAGCGCAACGCAATTCAAACCGACAGCAGAAAAAGATTCATCAGTCAATATCGATGTTGTGAGAAGTCACACGATTTTGTAGGAAAGAAAAAACAATAAAAAACCTTCATATCAGTAATCAAAACGATTCGTATTTCTATTGTCTTCACATTTTATTGATACATTTTAATCATATGGCAAACAGCTGTTACTGCTATTGGATGTAACGAGCCATAAATGGATAACAAACATCTTCTGCCTACTATGTCTGATTCATCTCTCGTAACAAATAAGCATAGATGATTGATCGTTTTGAGCATTGAGAAATAGAACGTTTATTGTTTCGTCTCGGTTCCAAAGAGGACAAATGAATGTTATTCAGTCGTATTCTTCCAGAACGGAAAAAAGAAAAGCTTATCATTAGCTTTGTTCTGATCAATTTTCAAAACAATTTCCTTAGAAAAACACTAAATACATCAATACGGATCTTCGATCGATTAACTTTTCTCATACACTGAAAGTTTTCTCCTTTTTCTCCGTATTGATATCATGATCATTAACACGATGAAAAAAGAAAGAGACAGAGAGAGAAAGAAAACTTCAATGACAAAAGAAGAAAGAATGATGATAGGAAAATGCTTCGAGCGATATAAATTAGAGGCAATACATGTCAAGTCATAAAGGAAAGATTGTATGATTTCTTTTTCCTATTTCTAGATCAATCTTTTCTACTAATTTACTCCTGTGGAGATATTCTATCGATGAAGATAATGAACAATGCTATCAACAATGAAAGTGGGGTCCAATGTAGACATAGAATAGTGACAAAAGGAGAAAGCAGCGAGAGAAAAAAAATCAATGGTCGGTTGGCAATTTGCGTTTTTCAGCTTTTCTCCTTCTTTTCCTTGTCCCTATGTATGTGCCCATGCTTTTTTTCTCCCGTTTTTCTTCGCTCGTCTTCTTTTCCTTTTCTCGCCTCGATGCCAATCGTTCTTCTCTATCTCTTTTCTGCTTACTCCTCCAGAAGACAAAAGGTTAAAACTTAGTAGCACTAAGCACACGCGCCATCGCTAACGGAACCGAGTACAAATAGACAACAGTAATCCGAAATCATTCAATTAAAATCATCTCGTATAACAGCGCACGTAAGTTAAACTTTATCGAAGATATTAAAAACGAGAATATTTGAGATGAAATATGGTGAATTTTGTTGTTTCAAGAGACAATCATCATTCTGTCAATCTTTCTATAAGTACATATGGCAGCATCTGGCCTCAGTTAGATTTCTTTTTTGTGTTCGAACAGCAACGATAACGATTATCCTTGTATTCATCAATGATAATATTCTCCTTTGTGGACAATTATGATAAACTTACAAGGTTATTATAGAACAGCGTAGAGCAGGCTGATGGAGGGTTCCTTGCTGACAGATCGACTGTTATTATGGAAACAAAACACTAGGGTTAACTATCTTCATCTATCAGTGAATCAGACATGTATGTGAAGAGTCCCTACAGTGACAAAATGACATCATGATTTTCTCATTGACTTAGTTAAAATTTGATCCGACAAGTTTTTTTCTTTTCCCTTCTCTCACAAATATAATTAATCGGAAAAGAATTAGCAATCACATAGTTATGTCATCGAGTTTTTCTCTTTCTCGTTCTCTCTCCCTCTTCGAGTGATGTCTCTATGTGCATTTCAGCAATTTGGACAAGTAGAAGCGAACCAAAACGCTATTTGGTAAGGAGAACGAGAATTCCTATTGCATAGCAAACTGATACTGTTGATTGACTTAACTCATTTATCTTTTTCTCCACCATTTATTCCCCTCTATTTATCTGGATGCAATGGCATCGGTCTTGGCGCGATATGAATAGAAAAAGAATGCGATTTGTCTTATTTAGTCAACTTTGCCTTCATCACAAATAACAAATTCATTTGAAATTGTCTCGCATCCCAGGAGTTCCTCGAGAACAATAGAATAGATATGCAACTTGTCATAATAAGACATACCCGCGAGTATTGCAGACTGAACTAGACAATTACAAATGCCTATTGCCGACAGTTCGTTTCGCTGAAAGTCCAAATCTTGATCTGCGTCAATATGAATCTCTTGAGATTAGTTTTCCCCTTCGTATGTTCTTGAGTATTGAATTAATTCGACTCCTAATTTTCACTTCAAAATGATTCACATAGAAAAATCTCGTTTATGCCTTCTGGGTACAAAACTGTATTTTGCCATCAAGATAATTAACGAAGCTGTCAAGTCAACATATTGAAAAGAATGTCGCTCTTTTATTTGTATTCAATGGATCTTTAGGTTATTAGAAAGCAATTCTAGAAGGATTTCAATGTACGATAAGATATTTCTCATATGTAAGAATAGAAAATATGCCGACTACAACCATCCGGCTTTGTTTTTGTTGAGAAATAATCGAATTACATAGCCCACATATTATCTGATCACTCCTCGAGCTGCGTCTGGATACTTATTTAATAAGTTATTAGAAAAGGCCAAAGACACAGCTAATTTTCTCTGTCACTTATTTGTTTCGCTAACAAACAGACGAAAGAATTAGACCAGATGTGAAACAGACGATTGTATTAAGAATGTAAGTTCACAACCGAAGGTTTAAATAAGTCTATCTGATTTAGAAAGATTCATTAACGATGCAGATCAGCTCTTTCCCTGAGGAACGCTATTGAAATTATATAATAACTCTGTGGTACATCATTCTCACTTCTTAGATAATGTATTCTCTCTAGGATTTCTTTTTGCTAGAAAGAAAATCAATAGGTCAGCTTCCTACTTAGTTTTTGTTTATCAGACTATTGACGGATATCCTTGGGAAGAGAGAAATATCTTGGTAGTTTGCAAATCTATCTCGGAAAACATATTCCTAGCTGTGTTTGGAGTGTCACCACAATGGAGATTGGAACAATGGTATCGGGTTGTGAACAATATGCTTTCGGCTAACCAAAAACTTGTTTTTCTTTTCCGTCTGCTAATCTAAAACGTTTTCCTCGTCATTGTAAAACGAGAGTTTTTGTACTGTAATCCGAAACGAACGTTTGTTTATCTTAGCAGATATAAATACATGCTCATTAAATTCTTTCAATGAATACGAATTCGCTATTCGTCACGCACTTGAACATAACTCAATCCGCGGAGTTTTCACGTACTGACTAGTAGAAAGTATCGTTTTTACAGAGAATCGACGTTCTACCGGCTGTGAAAATCTCACGTCTATGGTCTGAGTACCTTGCGTACAGATTATATCGTCAAGAGTGCTTACAGAATTCAGATACGAGCATGAAGGTAGGTTTAGAGTATCTCCTGTTGACAGCGAGTCGAGTTTACCAAAAATAAGAATGCAAATAGTCGAGTACTTCTGTAATAGAATATACTCGGTGACATTTCGGATGAACTTCTCCACTATTGATAAAGTAGTTTGGTCTTTGAGATTCACGAAGCCGTTCGCGTATGAGAAGGTGAACATGAATGTCAATAGGATGAACCAAATTGTCTTTATTAATAAAATTGAAACAGAGTGGAAACAATATTTTATCTTTAGAAATCTTTGTCCCAGACAGCAATTGAATGAAACGCTTTTCCACTTCAACGATGTCACAATACTTATCGGAAGTGTATCATGAGCGTCTGTCTAAGCTGATTTTGAGTAGACGAGGGAGTGTCTCTTCTTGTTTGAAGAAGCAAGCAAAACGTGCTCAGAATTACACGAGTTTAGCCGTCTGATTAATATTTCATATTCATTTTTCCCCCTCAATCGATTAGAAAATGAGTTCAAGCGTACTCACTTCTTTGTAAAAAAAAAAAAGAAACGTAATGATTATGACTGAAAAGAAGAATTAATCAGGTGAACATTTACGTTTATTACTTTATCTTATCTAATGTCTTCATTTTATCATCATTCGTAAAGTGCGAAGTGTTATTGAGTGGAAAATCATAATTCGTATTTCTAATCATCAAAGATTATTGTCAATAGAAGTGGATCAAAGACAGATTGATAATATTTTTATGATTAAATTTACGCAGAAAGGTTTCATGCAGAATGCATTGCTTTGAGACATTCCACGTTCGTTGTGTTACTTTCAGAAACTATCTATCCTTAAGTTATCTTTTTCCGAAATATGAAATTTTAATCATTCATTTATTTTTAAAAAGATTTAATATGAAGCAAATGTCGTCGTTTCGTTGACGGATAGATAATAAACGTAAAAATAGATGAAGTTTTGTTGACAAATGTTCGAAATACACTCATGCCGATTCAGTTCCGATTCTCCGCCATTAAGTTTGGCAAGAGAATTCATAAAAACACTGATGTAGTCTAATTGTAGGTCGACTTGGGGAGATAATTGATAAATAACTCGAGAATATTTAAGAGAAAAAAAAACATATTCTATTTCATTCCAGTCAATCATGTTTTTGCGAAGTATGTTCTCAAAGAGTTCACGTGAACTTCAAAACATGTTTGAGGCGCTCGAAGTTTTGTTTCGGTTACAGGAAAGACTTGTCTATCTATTCTTAATTGCTGAGCTTCTTTTTTCTCTTCTCGTTTTTTCTCTCCTGTCGAATGAAAATAAATTTCTCGTAGAGAAAAAAAACTATATAATTTACACTGCGACAGATTTTTCTCCTCCATTTTTATTTTCACGGTGTACGTCTCCATCACTTCTGCTTGCTCAACCGGCATAAACATCGAAACGAAAAAGTAGAAACGCGTCCTTTTGATTTGGAAATGTTAAAGAAACACTAAGAAAATTCAGAACAGCGATATAATGACATTGGCAAGTACAACAACTGTTTTCTCATCTCATCATCGGAAACCTTCTGTCAAAAGAGTGCAATTCTATCGGTAAATATCCCTGTTTGTTAGGCAGTACAAAAAACTGTGAACGATGCCACGTTAATATTCGTAATCTGTACTTGACAGATTAAAGCAATATTTAAACCGTTATATCTTTCACTTTGTTCTTAAAGCGTTTTGTATTCTTAACTAAATTCATTCATCATGCGACATTAATTACTTCATTCTTTCGGAGTAGCCTACAGGTTCGTAAGGAAAATATACGACGTCTTATATTTACCTTCTGGTGTTGTTCGAGATAATTGTTTTTCTTCTCAGTTATTCAATTAAAGAATAATTGCAGGATGTCGAAAGAATATGGATTTTAATGATAATGTTTCGATCATCATATAACGAATCAACATGAAAAGTTAGCTAATTGAATAGAGATGATTTAGTTAATTCTAGACTTTGGTGATACAAACACCTTCAGAAAACAGTTGATTAAACAAAGGTTAGATGATCCTGTCAAAGTACGAGGAATAGAATAGAAAATAGAAATTTGTTATATTTAGAAACAACACATCATACATTTGATTAATCAATACGTCGGATGTTATTGATTTCCGTTTGTTTTATTTTGTTTAGAATGTATGAACCACATTTCGATGACATAGCAGATGCCAATGAGGAAACTGAATTAACAATTACTCATCAATCAGATACCAACACATCCCCAGCAATGTTATCTCCGAACAGTTCGCGGCCGACCATTCATTGGGGCCCAGTTGTCGAAGGAGACTTCAACGAAAAAGAACAGATCAACACCGACACTGATCATTTCGATGCATTATTCGCACGCTCAAACGCTGCACCATCCCATCCACGTTGTTACAGTTCATGTTCACCAGCAAATGCTCCACCGCTGCTATCTCCTGAAAGTTCTACGCATCTTACTGCCAAATCTCAACCGTTACTTTCCTCTTCGCCTTCGTCGAAACCGAAAACTTCGTCTGACGTTTCTTCGGATACAGCTCATCGAACATCGATTTCTTCCTCACCTCCTAAAACAGCTCTACAAACAAATCCTCCTTCGGCGCGTACGAAACGCAAAAACTTTTCCTTAACACACACTGCTCAAACATTTCTTCAAGCTTCAAATAGTCAAATTGAATCCGTAGAACCATTAGCTCGATCATGTTCCTATAAACGTCCACAATCGATAAAAAAATATCGACAAAAGAAAGAAAAGGAAAAGGAAAAGGAAAAGGACAAAGAACAACAAAAACAACAAGATTTTCTTACGCGTAAATATAGCGCTACAAACGTACCACAGAACAACTGTGCTTCTCATACGGGAGCATCTGATTCTTCTCGCAAGTCAATTTCGGGCACTACAGGCAGAATCTCTGTAACTGAGCCAATGACATCCGCTGACGATTCTCAAGATCAATGGTCGAATCAAAACACTCAAAGATCGGAACGACTCGGTAAGATAAATGAATATTTCTGCTATCCTTCATTCTATTGACTGTTATCGAAATTAATAATTATCGTCAATGGAATTCATTTGATCCAATAATGCATTTCTCGTATTTCGATAGGTTCATTAACAGTTGATCAATTGCAGCTACCAACTGACGGTGATGAACAAATTTATCTTGTCAGACAATTTCATACAACATCGAAAGGCTTTGTTAATCGAGGGTAAGCAAAGACAAGTTTGTTCAGAGCCTCGTGATTCTATAGATACATTTGACCCTAGAGATTCATTTAAACGTTCAATTAAACGAAGTGGCTCAACAAGTCGCCGTAGTTCATTTCGAGTGAATACCAATCTCACAACGGCTGATCGTACCTCCTCCCCCGAACATGATCTTAATCATTCTCCAACATCACCGAAAGAGATTCGGACAAGTACAAACTCGCTCACAAACTCTCCTGGACTCAATCTCAACGGAATTCTTGACACTCATTTCATTGAAAATAATCCTTTACAATTGGCCGTTTCCACACCTGATCAGAATGAAAATGATGAGGACGAAGATGATGATAATCCACTTGTCGAACGTATTCAAACAGAAGATGGCCGTGTACAAGATGTGCACGTTTATCAAGTTTATCTGCTCGGTATGAGTGGAACAGGAAAATGCTCACTAATGAGGCAGTTCAAAACGACGGAATATCGAGGAATCTATGATTATTCAAGTTCACTGGGTAAGTTATATCATACCCAACTGTTGACAGCAAAACGATTATTAATGATATATCGATAGAAGATGTCACAGAAAAAAAGAAGCAAACAGGAACAAGAGAGAAATCCTTCTACGAGGAAATAGGACAAACAATCGAAATGATAAATAATGTTTGATTAGAATATAATAGAAAATTACGAACATCATATCTGTTTCAAGTAATTAAAGAGGAAAAAAGAGCCTTTGTACCGAAGAAAGAAAAGCAATAATTTATTCGTTTGAATAACCTTCAATAAATAAACATTCCGAGTTCGATACCTAATGATCTTTCCTATACCGTATGATTAGATTATTAACATATCTAAACATCCAGACGAAACGCTAATAAGAAAATCGGATATGACATCAGGAAAAATATGTCTAACCTTCATCGAAATGATTTTGGAATTTTTTACAGATGATGATCCGGATAATACCGTACCAATTATGCTGGATGGAATTGAATCGCGTTTACATATAACTACGATCGATATCGATCAAGTATGTTTGAAGAGGCGATGAAATTACATTATTAGTTATCGTCTTATGTAGGTCAAATCTAGTGTAACAGGCGATGCGTATATTGTTGTTTACTCAATAACTGATCGACAATCATTTCAAACGGCTATTCAGTTGGTGAAAAATCTTCGTGAAAATGAACTGGTCTACCATCCATCGTCTATCAAACGACCCATGCCGATTATTCTAGTAGGGAATAAATCCGATCTTGTTCGCAAACGTTCAGTAACGAAAGAAAGTAAGTTTTCATAGACTTACGAAAAAAGAAAAACTATGTCTTGTCAACGTATTTAGCTGCTCGACATGCTGCATTCAAACACAATTGTAAATTTGTCGAAACGTCTGCAGCAATCAATGATAAAGTCGATGATCTGTTAGCAGGAACATTAAAACAAATTCGTATCAATGAACACATTCGTAACGAACTGAAACGACGATTAACAATCACCAATGGCAGTATCGATACGAATGATTCTGATACTCCAATCTTAACCAATACATCCTCACGTAAAAGTTCACCGCTGTACAATCGAAATTCAAAGAATATCTTCACGAAGTTTTTCAGTGTTTTCCGCAAGAAACCAACACGATTGTTATCAGATGTTGAAAATCTAAACACCAGCATTTGATACGCCCATTTGTTAAATAAAATTGTATTTTTTTTTCAAAGAAAAACGCTGCTGTTCGACGGCTATGATATTTAAATAAAGAAAAAAACACATTTATCTGTATATAGTTTATTAGTCTTTTCAAATGAATTTGATTTGTTTAAAAACACAGTAAAGAAGAGAAAAAAACAGGCTTTTGAAATCAAAGACTTAGAAATTCGTTTATGCTAAGTTCGTTTCGGTCAAGTACAAGACGGCGAATATGGATTTGTTCCAGTACTTTTTTAATCGACCGTTCCAAAAACGAATTCGGATGAGCGGCGAAGAATTTCTGGAACAAACAAGCAAACTTCATGAAGTCTCCTTTCCAATCAAACTTACTCGAACTTCTTCAGCTCGCTCTTCACTAATAAACAACGCAGGTATGGTCTGAAACAGATCAATCAGTTGATACACGACTATGAAACGATAACTGAACATACTTCGATAAAATGAAGCAAATGTGTGTCACGAGCCCCATAGATCGTTTCAATATGTTGCCAATTGTCTTGCATGTACTTCCAACATAGTTCACATCCACGTCGATTATGCGAAGCTAACGATGCAAAACCAGTTAAATGGTCTTGTTTTCGAACTTCAGTCTAAATTCGGAAAATATTCTTTGACCTAGAGCGAAAAGCAATTACTACCGTGTTCCAAACAAAATGAAGTGCTTCTTCTTGAAGAACTTCATCGTCAAACCGGCATAGTGCAGTCAGTAAACGAATACGCTCTTCTTGCGTGTCAGCTTGGCGGTATAACTAAAATTTGAATATATAATCATATGCTAATAATCAACTCTTATGCTTTTGTTTCGGAAATCGGCTGAAGATCATTTACATAGTACGGTCATGTTGAATTCAAAATGTACGCAAATCGTTTTCTGTTATATTTACCGATATTAATTGGTTGAATATTTGTCGATTGCCGGTTTTGGCAACGGTTAAATAAATCGCCGCACGGGTGTTTGGATTAATCAAATAATGATCGTTGTTTTGAGTCGAAAACTTTTCGAAGCGCCTGTGAGCTTCATACCGTGTTTTATTATATCCATTAACACCTGTGTGTGTTAAGATCAAACTACGTAACATGGGCACTTGTGCGCCTTCATTTGGCACTGCGTCCCATCCGAGCTTCTCATAGATGTTCGCTAGAAGATCGCAAACATATGTTTGATAGAGTGCTTTCGTATTATTGAAACGCGCATATTCAAATATCGAACTAAGTTCAGTTAGTTGCCGTACAATGGATTTCCAAACAGTTAGATTATCTTCATGTTTGTAAGCATGACGAAGTAGCTTTAAATAATCAGCATAACCCACGCGGCCTGCTCGTGCTAACGCATAAACATCCGTCTGAATATTAAAGCGATCTTGGGGCGAAAGAACATGATTTTGAATAGCTGGAGTCAATGCTTGAAGCATTGACGAAGAATAGTGCACACGATATATTCCGACACTGAAGAAAAACAGGAATATTAGTGAGCGAAATTGATGCCTTTGGCCTACCTGAATAGATTTAATTTAATCCATTCATTTGCTGAAAGGTTTTTCAATACAAATGTGCGTTTCTCTTCTCCATTAAGATACAGATCATGAGCGGTTTCATTTGGATGCGATTGTGTACAGATACTGATTGGTATTTTCCAGCGTAGCTTTTCGTCTCTAGTTCCATCGGCGAGAAATCTCGTCTGTTCGACGGTTAACAAACGATCATTGCCCTTTTGTTCTTGTTTTACCTAGGTTTCCACAAAAAGAAATTATTTTTTTTCATTGATTAAAGCAGGTACCGTAAGCAGAGGAAAGCCCATTTGTTTTGTCCATGATGACAGTACGTCGGACAGATCAGATTTATTTGATGCTTTCGATAAATAATGCCAAAGATTGTCCGTAACGGCATTTTGGTAAGCATATTCTGCTAAATAACTCGATAGACCACGACGAAAAGCTTCGTTACCAATAAAAGCATGAAGTAGTCGAATTACACTTGAACCTGAACAGCGAATACATCTTTTAGAAAGTAAATATTTGATAGAATGACGAAAGAACCTTTCCCATAAGTGATGTCATCGAATATTTCGTCGATTTCAGTTGGTTTTCGTATTGGTACTTCAATCGGATGGCTATTCTGTAGTGCATCGAGAATCATACAAGTCGACAACGTATCGGACACGAATTGCGTCCAGATATCATATTCAGGATAAACTTTATCAACAGCGAGAAACTCAATCCACGATGCAAAACGTAAAGAGATACCCAGCAAACGAATAGATATATTCAAATCTTTCGAAAATACTTATCTTCATTCAGCCATAGATCATTCCACCATTCCATTGTCTAAAAGATTCCTTCGAACATAAATTGTCGAGTCAGTTAAGCGTCACTTACGACTAAGTTTCCAAACCATTGATGTGCTAATTCATGTGCAACAACTAACGCTACTTCTTGTCGTGTTTTCTGTGTCGAAGTACGTGCATCAACAAGTAAGTATGTTTCTCGGTAGGTTATTAATCTAATTAATGTACAAAGACTTGTTTCTAGTTGAACTCGTTTCTTCGATGTCCATCGCACTTACCCCCAATTCTCCATTGCTCCTAAAAGAAAGATCAGTCATTCAGAGTTACAAGAAAAATAAACGAAAACGAAATCATTATTCACCAGAGCCAAAATCTGCTACGGAAATCATATCCAATTTACTCAACGGGTATTTGATACCAAAATATTCAGTAAAGAAGGGAAGAATCTTAGCTGCTGTCTAGAAACAATCACATTGACTTGAGAAATCAATTCTTTGTGAAAAACAAACTTTCAGAGCAAATTCGCCTTGTTCACTCTTTCCAACCGGCGTATAAACACGAATCAAAACATTGTTTAAATCGCGTGTTTCCACGTAATCATATCGTCCGATAACATAAGCGACTAAGTAGGTCGGCATCACTGGTGTAGATTCGAATTCGTAGATATACGTGTCGTTTCCACCATCATGCTTAGATTTAATCGGCTAAATATTAACAGACAAGTTGTGATCCTCGAAAGCAAAAATCGATTTTTCTGTACCATGTTACTCAATGTTGTTAATTCTTTGGAAGCACGGATAGTAATGCAAAAATTCGCTTTGAAAGATGGCTCATCGAAGGAAGGAAATGCACGGCGCGCATATCCCGGCTAAGGAGAAGAACACACAATAAGTCAGAGACATCGAATACATATTCTTTTCGTTACTTCAAATTGCGTGCATGCTCCGACATGATCATGATTTTTAGTTCGGTAAAACCCATGAAGTTGATCGCTTATGATTCCATCAAATGCTAACGACAAACGTCCACTACCAATCTAAATTAAACAAAAACTTTCGAGGATAATTCGAGTCCAAAGTCGGAAACTCACATTCAGTGTTTGGTTAAATTTGATGATAATTTGTTCATGATCTTCCTGATATTGAACTGCTCCACGAAGAAAAGAATCGAATCCATCTTCTCGAAATCGAACGGACGTGATGTTCAACTCAGCACTATTCAAAACAATTTCATTGACATATTGATTTATCTAAAAACTTTCAATAACGCTTCGTTTCAACTCGAGTCGGCGAAAGTTTACTCGAACGTCGATGTCAACTGTTCCATGAAAAATGAATTCTTCAAGTCGACTTGCATCGATATACAAACGATAATTCGTCGGTTTGACACTCGTTGGTAGCCGATGAGATGATTGATTAGATGCGTTTCTGAGCGTAGTTGTCAAATTGTCTAAATAAAAAAACACACATACTTAGTTACCAATTATCGACTTTCATTGGAATCATACAGATAAAAAATGGAAACACAGCAATCGCCGTAATCAAAGTAAAAACAGTGAGAACAACAAACGTTTTAAACCAACAACAAACATCGCCAAACATTTTACGTTCCAGTTTCTTCATTCTCGGATTGTATATTGTTTTTCTGATTCTTGACAAATATAAGATTTATTCAATAATTACACAAACGAATACAGTTAAAAACATGACTGTCATTCATGATCACTGTTTTGGAACATTTCATCTGACTATTTAGTCAAATCTAAAATGAGAAGTTCGATTAGTTCAACATTTTCCTTAAATTCCTGCAGTCTAAGCGATGAAAAATGAATCTTAGGGAGAACTGTAATTGACGGTATAATATGTGATGCGATTCTCACAGATAACCGACATGTCTGTACATCGGCAGAACAAAGAAAATAGAATCACGTGCGAGTTTTAGCCAAAATAATTAGTTTATTGTGTTAGAAAAGGATTGGCGGCAAATTTTTCATAACAATTGTCTCGGTTTTTCATCAAGTGTAGGTGTACACTTGTCATTACCTTTTCACGTCTTCGTCAAATATGTCATCGACACCGACAGCAAAACAACAACAGACACGTCGTCGAATCAATACCAACACTACTCATCAATCAAGAAATATGAATGCATATATTGCTCGAGAAGAATACCATCAACAATCGTTAATGAATAAAAATCACTACTGGAATCAGGATTATCATCGATCGAATGATAATTTCTATCCCAGTCATTATTACCAATATCGCAACGCATATCCTTCATCTTCTCAACACATGCGCAAAGAACGTCAAACGAAGTCTGAACAACAATACCATGGCAAATCGTTGAATAATAATTACACATCGTATTACGATAATGTACCGCCTCGTCATCGTCATGAGAAACGAGAACAACGTTCATCGCATGCTGAAGAAACCGATGTTGTCAATAATAAATCAGAACCAATGAAACTATCAAATTCAGTGATAAATGATGAACAACTATCAAAACCATCGCATTCCGCCTCGTCAACTACCACGAATTCTGAGAATACCATGAACACTTCATCAGCAAATCGAAAAGATTTACATACGAAAAACTTGGCCGCAGCAGCCATGGCAGCTCGACAACAAAACGCTCAACCACAAACGAATCTCAATGCAATTCAAACATTAATGAATTCGCTTATCTTACAGCAACAACAGCAACCAACACAAACGCAATCCACCATTCAATTGCAATATCAATTAACGAATGCTCTCCTAGCAACAAGTATATCGATCCTTAACAGTCGGATCAATCCTAAATCTTGATTCTTTTAATAGTGATTCAACAACGAGTCAAAGAATCAGTACTTCAAGCTCAAGCACAACAAATCCAAGCTGCTTTGCCGACATTATTAACAGCACAGGCCCTGATCTATCAACAGCATCAACAACAGCAAGGACAGATAACGCCAAACCCACAGCAAACACAACCAGTCCTCCCATCGCATATTACACATCCAGGCACAAAGTTTAATAATTGTCCTCTTGTGAAATTTCCCACCGTTCGTCCAACAAACCCATCATCATCATCATCATCAGGTAGGAACAAGTAACAATTACTTCAAATTCAATCATCTACAACTAATTTTCTCTACATTGACAATCAGGTGTTCACATTCCACAACCATGTTCATCAACAATCCTACCAACGTATCAACAGATTCAAGAAATTGAGCGAGGAATTTCATTAGATCAAGCGATTCATTTAAAAAGTGCGATTGATATAACTAATGTAAATAATAATTTCACTCCTAATGACAGCACTTCTACAGAATGAAAGCGATTTATTCGTTAACTTGCATTCCAACGAGTTAATCCATGCTCTTTTTTTCGTTCTGTTTCAAATCTACTCAAATAAATCTTTCTGATTTTGTTTCGAGTCATCTTAATTGCAATTATGTTTGCCATCGGTTTCTACATATCAGACAAAGATCACAAGTACATTGTCGAAAGCGTGTCCTTTGTTCGCATTCAACAGATATTTATTAATTAACATAAAGAAATCAGATGTGACAAATAATGTCACATATAATATTCGCTATATAGCAAGCAGTGTTTATCATTCTGTCATGAATGAAATCAACTGAATATTATGTCCATATATTCAAAATTATATCGAGACAGAGCATATCATCCAATAGATTATATTTTTATTACATTCCAAAATGTATTCATGCATTCTTCCCACCAATCGTTGTATATTCTCGATAAAATTTTCACAAATGACTAAAAATAAACAATCTATTCCGAGCTTCATCAAACATCGCTTTTCATTAGAACAAGAATGACTATGATTGTAGACGAAAAACTCTAAACGAAGATCGCCATGTGAAAAGCTAAAATAGAATCATCTCATCGGTTGCGTTTCTTCCGCCTTTCTGAAAACTGATTTATGATTATCATAGATCGGACTTACCGCGATCGCGTGCTTTTTTGTTGCTTTGTAAAGTCTACATAAAACATTGAAGAGAATAAGAAGAAAATTACGATGTTACCCGTCGAATCTCATCTCCTATTATCACTAGAAAAATTAAATGATGTGATGCTAAAAACAAAAGAAAGAAAATGAAGCGTTTTTCTTGTTATTTGTATCTGTGAGTAATTATGAGGCCGGCTCATACGTTTTCCGCTAGAAATAGAACAGAATGATCATATAAAGTGAAGACATCGACAGTTATACAAGTAATGTTTGCAAGAAAAAGAAAAACAACAAAATACAAATAACATTGGATGATGGTGATGGCGATGAGACAGACGAGATTTGATGTAAGTCGTCGATAATTTCAAAACAAAAAAAGGCGCAAAAATCATTGTCTTCTAAGGAAAACACATAAACATAAGTAAATCAATTTTGTTGAATAAGATAAAGACGAAGAGAAGAATAAATCATTCGATTCCTACAAATAATGATAAAAAACAACAAAACAAAGGGAAAAAATGATTAAACTTGAAACTGAGCTTCGGAAATTCTTTTTTTTTGTATTCCTCAATGATGACTTACAAACATCATTGGAGGATTTATTTATATGTAGAAAATATTTCTTGTCAAATTTAAATAAAGAAGAAGAAGATGTCGTTTACGTTACTTGCTTACCTCAAGAAGTTGAGACACTGGACGAATTATTACCATTGGTCGAATTTGACATTGCTGCATTAGCCCATTGTTGTGCGTATGCTGCCCAAGAACTAGGACCATTTCCCATCATCATCGTTGCAGCTTGAGTAGTATCAGTAGCTGGAGTTGTCGACGATGAATTCGTCGTAGTTGAACTGGACTAAAATCAATGGAAAATCTTTACTAGAAAGATCGATCGTCTCAGTATCGATGTACTTGTTTCATTTGTTTAGCGATTTCATCGGCATATTCGTGTTGTCCCATTGCACGATAGTATTCAACCCATTGTTGACTATAGTCTGCTTGCCCAGTAGTTGGATTGACTGCTAAAGTAGAACTATTTCAATCAAATAGAAACTTGAAAATGAATAACAAACCTGCTGCTGTGGAGCTTGTATCACTGGTGCCTGCTGTTGAGTCTGTGGCTTTTGTTGTTGTCGTACTAGTCGATGTTCCCGATGACGTAGTTCCAGTCATACCCGATTGCATCATGTTATAGTAGTTCATTTGCTGATAATAAGCGATCCAGGCTGGATCCATTCCGGCCATAGCAGATGAATTATTCGCGGAAGATGAATCGCCGCTGTTAGTAGACGAGCTTTGATCATAGGCATTCACTAGAAGAAAAGGAACGTTTTATTGAGCTTATTCGAATTACTTATCCGTACTTTGTGGCCATTGTCCGAATGCATTCGACCATTGACTGTAAGGATCGTTGCTATTCACACCGTTACCATATGGGTCACTACTTCCATTCCAACCGTCAACTGGATTTGATCCCACTAATGGCAAACTGAATTGTTGTTGAAACAAAATTGGTGTTAACATGTCCCCTGAGCCACCAGCGCTATTGGCAACTTTTTCATACATTAATTGCTGTGCTTTCACGATTTGATCGGGTGTACCACGTAGTTTAAACACTCGTTCGGAAATGTTACCAGTTTGTGGAGCATGACTTTTATCAAGTTCGACAAAAGCTCCCGATTTACGATTGATTTCTTTGATACTTTCACCACCTAAAATCAGTCATAGTCTATGAAGCAATATGATCCTATGCAAACCTTTGCCAATAATAATTCCAGCTTTCTCATAGGGTACATGATATGTTGCTTCATTACACGGACCTGTCATAGGTGCACCACCCGACTACAGAATACTCCATAGAAATGCAGATCATCGGTTGGAAACACTTACCCGTGAGCCGTATTCATTAAATGAATTTGAGCCCGATTGATTTCCTCCGGAACGATTACCTGAATTAGGTATACCACCTGTTTTCAACAATGATTCGAGTACATATTGTTTAGCACGCTAGAATTGATTCAACAAGAATAGAATCGATTTGTCATATGGTGATTTCGATTTGATACTTACTTCAACTCGATCTGGTTCTCCCATTATTCTCAAGGGTTTATGTTCGATTCCATCGATGTCCGTAGTTTCTTGTACAACATACATTTTAACATTGAATTCTTCCTACAAAAAAAATCAGTTTACAGTTCATTTTTCTTGCAAATGAACAATTCGATAACTTACAGATAATCTTTTGATGGTTTCACCACCTTTGCCAATGACTAAGCCACATTTTGCAGATGGTAGCATAACATCAAGCGTTTTAGAATTGGCACCACCCATCGAATACGGATTGACACTGCCTGATCCGCCATCAGCCATTCTTCCTTTCGTTATAATTTCATCCATAATACGTTTTGCTCGTTCAATAGCTTCTCGTGAGCCAGATAGGTTAGCTAAACGATCAGGAGGATTTGGCCCGCCAGGTGCAGGATCTGGCCTGGTTTGAGAGATTTGTACTTTACATCCACTTTCTTGCTGAAGTCGAACGATTTGTTCTCCACCTTTACCAATAACAAGTCCGACGAATTTATCTGGAATCTTGTAATCTTCTTGATATGTCAGTTGATTTGACAGTGGTGCCGAATCGCTTGATGCTTTCACGCCCAACTGTGAGTTGATCTGTTGTGCGATTAGCTGTGCACGCAAGACAGGCGTTGAAGCATCCAGTGCTGGACGTTTATTTGCAACGTCATCGTCTGAATTTGGTCGTTTCAGTGAATTTGAATTAGGTGCTGATGCAGACAATTTTTGTGCTATTTCTCTTGCACGTGCAACAGCATCTTGAAAAGCAGTTGGATTATTTTGCATAATTACTAACGCTGTGTTTGAAGATGAGATTGCAAGGGAGAAGAAATTTCAAATAATATAATATTAAGATATAAGTGTTGCGAACAGTCGTTGTAAGTGCATCGACCATTGCGATGGAAGATTAATACCAAGTGCATAGATGCGTTAGTAATAGACGTTGAAGTCATAGAGGAGCATTGCTATGACAATGGAGTCGAATACGAAATAGGAGAATGAGTAATTCAAATGGAATAAGTCGATTGACACAACTAAATCGGGTGGTAAAGTGTTGTTGTTTAAAGTCGAATGAAATTATGTTCATTCTAATGAGGAGCTATATTGTAAAAGATCGACTAACCGAAACAACTCGGGCACCATCTTATTTTTATCGATCGACAATGACTATATCAGACATATTCTTCTTTTTATTTGACGTATCATCAATCGTAAGCTCAAGTCTCCAACTTTGTGATGCATTGACATATAATTTGCTCAAGAAGCATGTGCTCTTACATAAGCGAATAAAGGTCATACAATAGATTGACTAGTCTGTTTGAAACTACCGTATCTGTCCCATGCGAATATCTAGTCGACTGTATTATCTTCTTATTTTCAACTATTCACATGACAAGAAAAACAAGTGTGAATTTAACCCGACCCACACTGATATAATTTGTTCCTCATGTTAAATGTGCAATGATTTATGTTCTTTCTCTTCGCAAAAAAGGTTATCTAGTCATGGTGAGATATCGAGAAGCTTTTCCATCGTTCGTACACAGAACGATCGATTCCCTATGCTAACATTATCCGCTATAAATCAGTACTATTTTTGGCACTACTGATGTTTTCCTATTCCCAACACACGCCTGTTCGATATCTCTATATATATATGCGCTGAAACGGGAGAAATTATTATTCTCTCTTGTCATAATTTGAGTCGTTACGACAAGAATGTTGCCGTTTGATGTACACATTCTAGTTTTCTTCGTACACCTGTTTGTGTCCAAAGTATCGAGTGACATCGGCAAGCTCAAATGTAAGTATCGAAAGAATTCTCGATGTTTATACATGATTATTTGAATCGGTTCAGCTGACGACACGGGATATTGCTTGAAATCGACTAAAAAAGATCTGGGGTCATCATGCTCGGCGAAAAATCTCGAGTACCCGGTATCCGTGAATGAACTTGATCTTTTGAAACAAAACGGTCTTAGCATAAAAACTCAATCGTGCCCATCAAATCCATCGGCGACTTGCGTTAGTACCGATCGCCAGTCATTAATCGGTGCTGGTACCTATGGTTTAGTTGTACGAGGTCGATCAAAAACCGTTAGTTTCCCGTTAGCAATGAAGTTCATCAAACTACCGACGAAACTCGATCTTGTTTCATTCAATGTTGCCGGACGTTATAATCGTATCGACTTAAAATCGTTAATTGAAAACAAAGGAAGCGAACAGAGTTTACGCGAAGCTGTTGCACTTCGTCTCCTCACCGAATACGAAGTTCCTCTCATTCCCAAATATGTCTCGTACCTCGAAACATCTTCTTATAGGATTCTTGCTATGGAATATCTCGACGGTTATGAAGAATTATCGAAAATCATCGATCAATTATCTTCAAAAGATCTTCTATTCATATCTTGTCAAACTGCGGCTATTGTTTGCAACCTCGACCAAATCGGCGTCTCGCATGATGATATGCATGAACGAAATATCCTCGTCGATCGTCGAAATAAGAATAAAGTCAATCTGATTGATTTTGGCGGCGCACATTTCAGTCTTAAACATGACCATTTCACCAGTACGAGTAATTTTTTCAAACAACCAATCAATCTCTTAGGCCATTTGAAACGTCTGATGAAAGATGACCTGATTGACAAAATTCAATCGCATGAGAGGAAAGAACTCGGCAGATTTTGCTCGATGATGGGGAAAATGGTAACGAGTAAGAGTGAAAAATACAAAGAAGAAGTTCCTTATGATTATCGAGTCTTATTTGAAAAGTATTGGAAGTTTAGTCAAACAAACAAGAAGATTTTCAAATGTATTTCATAAAGGTAATCGCTAAAACTTGTTGACAAACACCAGATCGATTGTTTTGACATTAACCAAATTCTTTTTTCATGTTTAATAAATCATTTCTAAACATAGTTCAGCTCAAACATTTGTCTACGACCCTTTCTCAGTCTTCTTTCGCAAAAGATTTTCATTTTCCATAATGAATTATTCATTTACCCACCATATCAAATATCCTTTCGCTGGTAGTATGACAAAGGAACTGATTAGACATCTTGTTATTCGTTCGGTCATTGTGAATAGACTACCCGCCGATAGTAAATTGGATTTCTAACGATCTTTTTTCAGATTATACAATCGCTCGTACTCCAATCCGGAATGATACTTGAATAGTAATCAAATCGTATCCAGTTTTTTTCTCTTTTCGAGTAGGAAATTATTTTCTAATCCGAGCAGTTGAAAGGCACTTCGTCTCGATTGCTTTTCTTAATCAATGATAAGTCAAAGCATAATTGGCGCATTGAACGTCCTTGGAGATGCATCTCTGTGTATTGAACGAGTAGCGTTCGAAGTGAATATCAAAAATAAGTTTAGTTCTCTCCAAGAAAATCCTTTTCATTCTGACAATATACAGAAAAGTCTCTGTTTCGATTAAAAGCTGTCAAATTCAGCTTGAAATAGTTCATTCGCAGCATGTGTTAGAGGCTTTTCGTCGTATTTTTCGTAATGATCTTTATCTGCTTTGGGGATATACGGCACTTTGACACGTTTTTCGAAAATAGCAATCCAGTGGGTATTTCCAAACCATTTGTGATATTTGATATCTTTTGTTCCATTCTTCAAATTACCGAATCGTTTCGTTAAGTCAAGCTGAAGTAAATTTTTCAACAGATCTTTCAAATCGGATGAAAAATGGGATGGACATTTGAATTTTCCTTGAACAATTTTTTCATAAATTTGAATCGGTTGATCGGCATAGAATGGTGGATAACCCTAAACAAAATCGACGTCGAAAATCCTGAATTTCCTTCATTCTCTCTTTTTGCTATTCTCTTACTGCAGCCATTTCGAATATCAATATTCCTAATGCCCAATAATCAACACTTTTATTATAACCACGTGACATAATGATTTCCGGTGCAATGTACTATGTTACAAAAATAGAAATTTCCTTTTTAAATGAATATGTTTACCTCAGGTGTTCCGCATAGAGTATACGTTCGATCACGCACGACTTTGGCGAAACCAAAATCGGTTATTTTCAAGTACCCGTCTGCAGAAAACAAAATATTTTCGGGTTTTAAATCTCGATAAATAATGCCTAGATGAAGAAAAATATTTGCTTGTTGTTTCAAGTGAAGTATTTCGTATACTTAGATAATGTAAATACTCAAATGCTAATGCAACTTGTGCTGCATAGAAACGTGTTTGATCTTCGGGATATTTTCCAACACTTCTACAAAGAATCCGAAGAGAACAAAACATGACTGTCTTCTTCGCTTTTCGTTTCGTCTTCATACCGTAGATGTGTAAACATTTCTCCACCGCTGGCGAATTCTAAAGCTAGATAAAGATGAGAATTATCTTTGAAGGAATAAACTAAATTGACGAGAAATGGAAATTTGATTGCTTGTAAAATTCGTTTTTCTGACAACGTATGTTCGATTTGTTTCAATTTCACAATTAATTGTTTTTCCATGATTTTTAATGCAAGTGTTTGAGAACCGTGTTGCGTGATCATCACACGACCAAAGGAGCCTGTGCCAACGGTGCGTTGCAGTTGAAATTCATCTAATTTAGCTGTTTGTTTTGACGGTTGAGCAAAACGATTGTCGAAATCGAGTTTGGCACTTTCTAGATACGAACTGACTTGAGCATCGATTTGGGCTTGACTCGGGTTGGATAATGTACTGCTTGATGATGATGATGAATTAGTACCCATTGGTGTGCGTCAGATTTTGATGTGATTTCTATAAACGTGTCTAGAACAGAGAGAGAAAAATTGGCCTTAAATTCCTTGACAGAATTCTGTCACAAATGAGGTCATATCAAAATATGACAATGAGATAGTAGTTTGCTATTCTTTGATTGCTTCGATATATTTGACAATCCATCTTTAAGGAAGAAAAGAAAGCTTTCTTAATTACCCTAGTTCTCTAGTATTTACTGAGCGAGAAAAAAATGACATGGATATTTTTCTCCGCTATATTCTCAGGAAAGACTTTGATGTCTTTCTGTTGTTTTTACTGTCGTCTGCCTGTATAGTATATTCATCTCCGCTCTCTCTCTCCCTTGTTTTCTTCTGTCATGTTACTATTCATCCCAAAAGCATGCAACAAGACTCCACGTCACCCATTAATATATTATCTTCAGTCAAGCAATAATCTTCTTTTGCACTAGCGAGGTCTTGCTATTCTCCTCTCCTCTTTCCTATATGCTTGCCCTTTGATCGATTACACATTGTCGTTGTGGTGGTATCGATTCACTAGCCATGTTTATGCATGTGCACAAACTAGAAGTCGAACACACGGTTGTTCTATATTAAATCTTATTCCATTTCGATTTCCTTCGTGTACTAGAAGCTCGTTACCTGATGAGTAAATAGAAGAGTACTGTTTGAATGAATTATAAATGAAACTGCAGGAGAAAGAAAAAAGGGGGAAAAATAAATGAGAAAAAACGACCGAATGCGCATTCTTTTTCAATAAATAAGCATGCACGAAGCCCTTACTGAACCTCCATATCTGATTGTGTGCTTTTCTTGAAACAAAGACTAGAATATCTAACTATTAATAGTATGGTATCGAAGTTGTTTGTTAAGGAAAAGAGAGAGAGAGAGAGAAAACGAATAAATGAAGTGTCACATACTCCAATGAATTGAACACGTTTGTGTTGTTGACAATATAAGGCAACAAAATATAAAAACGTTTTCTTCGTCTTCCTCGCTTCTATTTTTTCAAAAAAAAACCAGTCATAATAGACTTTCTCTCTCTCTTTTTTTCATCTTTCCATGACTCTTTTTATACGCTGATGGCAAATGGTGCGCTTTGTCTCCCTCTCTCCCTCTTCTGATTTTCTCTTTCCATCAAGCACTTCTTTTTTTCTTCGTTGCGTATTTATGTATATGCTGGGTGTGAGTATGTGACTGCATCGCAATTCATCCTGATTAACCGTAACACAAATAAACGTTCCTCTTAACTAGATTGCTATTATTTTGTTATTGTCATACTGACTTTGTTGCCAACGTCGTTAGATGATCATTCAATTGGTATCTCTTCCTTATGGAAGAAGTGAACTTGAAATTAATCAGTTTCTACATGCAATCACTAGATAAAAGGGAGAGCACAAGAGTTCTAGAACTAATCGGAAAGACTCTCTACTCTTTTCTTTTTTCTGCTTCTTAATTGGAATCCGTGAGAAAGTTTCGTGCTTAGGCCTTGTTAACGACGAGAAAATTAAGTCGATCTTAATGAAAACAAAAAACATACACATGTTGATTATAACCGACTGACAAGGGTTTTGATAAATCTTAACTGAAAACACGCTCAATACATATTCATCGAGAGTAACAAACTTGTCTAAATAACCTGAAAAGACTGATTCACACGTCTTCAACAGACCAGTGAAGAAATCTTCAGAAAACATCCTGTGCGTTGTTGTTTGCGTAAATAAGTGATGTGTCATATTGTTAACATTTCATTGAAAAATAACAAACGAGAAAAGAGATGATGGCATTGGGTGTTGTGCACTTTGATTCAGAGGCATAGAAACGGTAAACAAGTGATCCAACATTCAAAGATCTCGTATTCAAAACAACAAAGCAGTAATCCATCATGTTAAAACAGATGAAGAGGTTGACTATTAATAGAGAGAAAGAAAAAAGTAAAAAAACGTCCCTTTACATTAGCAGGTCATATAGACATTTTCAATTGCAATGTTTTTATGCAGAACTCTGATCTTTTGCTTTCTCTTGATCTGAAGAATAATGAGAATTTTAAAAAAAAAAAAGACCATCTATTCTGATTAAAAGATTTCTATTTTCTTTTTTTTTTATGAACTATTGACGATAAATAATTGATTGACAAGATAGAAAACGGCCCTGCTCACTCGTCGTCGTTGAAAAACATTCCTATGACATTTGATCAGCTCTACTTGGAATATAAATATTCATTGAACTCGTTATGATTTGTTTCAAAGAATATTTAATAAAAACACAAGGTAATTGAAGTTTATTTTCATCTATCTTTCACACGTAGGTGTCAATGTCATGCCAACGACGTAATACTTTATATTAAAAATTCATTTTTCCATCAAGAAAAGATGGCAAATTGAGTAGGATAATCCCATCATCGTACCTTCCGTACACTTATTAACTAACTTGTTTCTATTCATCAAATGAGAATGTTTCTTCTTTGTATTGCAATTCGGAAACGCTTTTCTTTTCAATAAAAGACAATTATCTTGTGATTCATATTTAAATTCCTCAGAGATTTGCTAAAGAAAAGCTCTTTTCCTATGCATCGTCTAGAAAGAAATTCATACGACAAGTTACATCGTTCCTTATGATTTGATCGATAAAAGAAAACCATTCAATTAGAACTTCATTCATCGAGCAAATGAACACTTTTCGACATTTTCCGACGGAATCCAATGTCCTTCGATAATAATATTTGTTCAACTAACAACACTCATCTTGTTTACCTTCAAACTACACATCGAAAACTATTAAAAATCAATCGAGCGTAACTTAAAATCAAAGACAAACGATATGTTCATTCATGTTAAACAAAAAAACAAGATCAGTTTCAGAGATAGCCAACGGCCATTGAAATGAATAAGTCATTGTCTTCCGCAAGATGAACGATTCATGTCATGATCATTACATAAAAACTTCTTTTTTCTTCTGTGCTTTATTTCTAAATAAGTATACACCGGGATGAAATGTCTAATATTTCCTTGTTAAGGTTTGTGTTAAGCCAATTTTATCGAAGATCTTTTCCAATGTTTTCGATTGAGGAATCTTGTGAGATGGTAATCGATGTTTTCGATAACGTCTCAGATGTTCATTTCGAATTAATGTATAAGCCAATGCCCAACGAAAACGTTGAATTTGAGTGAATTTGTCTTGTTCGTATGTGCGAGGAATCTTCTCAATTGTTAATTTAGACTTCAATTTTCGTATATCAATCAACCGTTGTCGAATGATATCAATAAAAACGTTCAAAACAGGATGCCGTTGATTCTTTTCGATATGGAAGAAGCTAACATATGATGCATACGATGAATCGTACATTTCCAAGCCTCGGCCATATGGTGAGTAATCCAATCGTGCGAAAAATATCACTGAACATACAAAAGCTTTCGTTATACGTGTCAAACACATGAGAAAACCGAGGAAACAGTCGAAAAAGAAACTGAAATAGGAAAATGTATAGTATAATCGAAGATTGCGCAAGGCAAGAAAATGAGATTTCTCTACAAATAGTAATTTACATAGAAGACGAACAAATAATAATTGAAATAATAAAAATATCAACATCGGAAGAAAAAGTTTCGCGACAATTTCTAAAACAATTAGTGAGTAAACAACATAACGAGATAAAATATAAAAAATCGCAACACATAAAAACAGAAAACCATAACTATAAACTAACGAACCTAAACAAGCAACGAAATATAAATGAATGAATAGTTAAAGTCTAACATACCCATGAAACGTCCTGGATAATGCATTGATTTACTAACAATAGTAATCGATGAAATCTGTTTCGCTGTTGGAATATCATGGAATATTCCTCGATATGCATTACACATTTGCGTTTGATAATGTTTCAAACCGAAGAACAACTGTATAGAAGTGATAAACGCGGTTAAAAGACAAATATACTTGATGTCACGATTGATGTGATTCAGATTCAGATTGTAACACAAATCTTTGGATAAATCAGCTAAAGCACAGAGAATTAAATTGAGAAATAAGAGTAATTTTTTAGTTAGAACATATGTGTGATCTTGGATCCAAAATGTAAAATAATATATCAATGTTAATGCACTTGTATAGATGCAAACAATCAGTTTCGAATAACGAAAATATGGACGAATTGAATAGATGTTTTTCTTGAAGAAATGAATTAAATAATTGAGAAAGCGAAATAGATGTGAATAGTCATTAGGATTGGTCGATATTTGATTTGCGGATGATTTTAAGAGATTATATCTGACATATTTCCAACGCGGAGATGATTTGTATAACGAATTCTTATGCTGAATGGTATTTCGAAATGTGTTCAAAAACATCACAGTTAATCGAACAGCCAAGAAGACAATAAAGTAATAATATGGTGCATATCTTAATGTGTTATAGACGATACTTTGTCGATTCAATTCCAGAACATAGTTTAAACGATTCAGATCGTTTTCAATTTCACTTTGATCATCATAAGTTGAGTTAATTAAATTTTGCTCGATTTGATGATTCAACCAAACCTGAGTATTCTGATACGTGCCATTCAGTTGACTTGTTCGATTTGTCCCTAAAGAAATTTCTCGTTGTTAGACGAATACTACGCAATGAGGTTACCTAAATAATCGATGAAATTGATTCCCATTTGATGGAATTTCGTCAAGATCTCTTTAATCATCGATTTCTTCGTTTCATCCAGTCGACAGTTGATATCCGATTGTAATTTGAATATAATCTCGCAATACAAATAGATTGACGCTAAACCATAACAAATAATGTTCGCTAGACGGTTTTCATACGTATTTTCCTGTTCGAATATCGCTAAGATTGGAAAGTATCGTAAGCCTAACATCAATCCAATACCAAATTGCAAAATTAAATCGAGTAGCGGACCGTTTTGAAAATGTTTTGTTCCATTGATGATGAACTCATCGAAGATATGGAGAATTTCCAAGGCAATGATACCAAACACAGCAGCGGATTCAAATCGATGAATATGTGAGTGAGAATTGAAGATCATAGGCATGGAGAATTGCGAGCAAAATGATCGGAATTTTTTCTTCGTCACATTTTCAAAAACAATTAAAATAACGATTAGAAGACAAAGAATACTCAATGAAACATAATTCACAGGAATCTTGTAATATAGATTAAAATTGATTTGAAACAGTCGACAGATCTTCGACGGCGATTGCGCAGATGTACCATTGGTTGTTTTCAAATTTTCAAGTTTAAATTCATAGATTGTGTAACAACAAAATGTAGCGAAGAAAATTGTGATCAAACAGATTAACAATCGACTGAGATAATACCAAGATTTGTGACGAAACACGATGCCGGATGATGATGATGACGAAGACAAAGAATGAATTGAGGAACGACGAAGGTTAACAATAATATGTGGAGACGATGTTGTTAGATCATCTCGACGGAGCAATTGATCAGATGATAAGTTTGGAATTGAATAGAAATTTTCTCGTGCAAGACGAGAAGAACTTCTTGTCTCCATTCTATAACGAAAACAAAGAGGAAATGAACGAGTACGAACTTTCAATTGACGCACAATGTGCGTATCATTCGTTCTCGTCTTCGTTGAACACGAACGAAAATAAAATGCATGAAAAGTTACATAAGATTTTTGAAATTTCTCTTTCAACAGATGCTCATGAAAGATATACATATACATATGAACATTGCGAGTACACTCATCGATGTGCGTGATCGCATTTATCATCGGCGAGTCGCGTCCGTCTTCGAATGAAAATTGTTGTATAATATACGACTCGCATATATTTATACTCAATCATCTATATATGTACGCACCGAATCTTGATCAACAGATAGTCGAGAAGAGAGAAAAAGAAAAAGTGATGCAAACAATTTCTGTTTCAATGCAGTTTGTCATCATCTTGCATGTGTGTATGCGAAAGGGTGTTATAAATTCGAAAATAATGATATCATCTACCTTCAATGTGTCTCGACGCCCTGTTCTAATTGAGGACACTGTAATGTAATCCATTAGTGTTCAACTTAGCAAGCATGAACAGTATATCCTCTTTAAATTTAGTTTTATATAATCTATCGAACTGTATGTGAAGATTTGATTCGACAAGATGAATATGTTCATCATCAAAGACATAAAAACGTATTAAATTGATATTTACAAATAGATGAAATAGACAATTACTGAGAGAACAAAGAACTAATGAAGATCGATTAAATGAAACTTACTTTCTTTTATCTTTCATTTGATACAATAAATGAAATAGTGGGAATAATATTAAAAATAAACATGCTAAACAGATAAGAATCAGGCCAAGTATTGATTGAACACCTCGACTGCTCACTAAAAATAAACAAAACGAACTCATTTTTTTTCAATTTGTCAATTTGAAAAGATCAACATTAATAATGATACTTTCAAAAATGATAGACAATCCATTATTATCCTTTTTGAATAATGGATGACGTTATACATTGTCATCTCCATTAAATACTCCCTTTCGTTCGATATGCAGAACGAAGGAGAGAGAGAGAGAAAACGTCTCATCCAGTTTTATCAAACATGTGTATCAGTTCATCTAAACAACGCATTTATTCCTCTCAATTGGACAGGTGATTTCTTCTTCCTTGTTTTTCAATTACGAATCGTACTTGTCGATACGAATTTGTGGATCAAAATGATAAACAAAGACAGATGCTCATTGTTTTCTTTTGTTTCAAACATCATTTATCACCCTCGTTTCGATGTTTTAAACATGTGCATATGGGAGATCAAAGTGATCAGTGCAAATACGCTTGATTTCAAATGCAAACATCGAGACAACTTACATTTCTCACAATATTCGCCAGTATACATAAAATTGCAAATACATTTGTATTTCATGACTAAATTTTGACATGTTCCATGTGGACCACATCGAGTATTATTGTAACAACTATTGATTTCTATTATGAAAAAAGAGACAGTCGACTTTTTCTCGGGGAATATCGACGGAAACTTACTCATTTTGCATATGAAATGATCGCTACGTCGTTCGAGACGAAATTTCTCCTCTAAGGATATTCGTTTTGTTGCTTTGCTGATATCAATAACCAAAGAAAGATTTTTCACGGGCAAATCAAATGATGGTTTGTATGTTAATGAGTATTCATTCGTATTAGTCAAATATAAATATTGATGATCCGAAGTTCTTGGTCTTAGTTTTAATACTTAATACATAAGGAATGAATACAATATCTACTGAAGTAGAATTGAGAAGAATACTCACAGCGGCGACCTTGGGTGAAATTCACGGCAACACGTGGACTATCAAATGATGGCGTTTGATTGTAAATTCGATCGAGAACATAAGTAAATTCAGCGAGAGTGTCGATATCCCAAAGTTTAGCTCGTAATAAACGACAACGAGAAGCAGCTACATGTAATTCAGAGAAGAAAACTGCTAGGGAAAGCGAATGAGTTATAGAAATAGGCCTACCCTCGGTGGCCGATACGTCATCATATCGTATTCCTTTCAAGTTGTTCATCTGTTTTGGTGGTAAGTAAAAGTAACATGAGCCATTGTAGAAAAAACTTCCCAATGGACAATCTACTGACAATATTTCGATAGAATTTATTACATAGTCGATAGAAACTACAAACTCGAAGCAACTTGATCAATTTTGGTAATCGCATCTTTAATTGCTTGTTGGAATCCTTGAAAAGAGATGATTTAGCAATTATAAAAGACATTCGCTGTACATACGTGAACCAAATTCTTCATGTTTTTCATTGGCAATAACACAATGATATTGTTGGAATAAACCAATAATGAGCAACGTACTCGGTAACATCATGTATCTAAGTAAAACATCAAAAGTCATACTGATCTCTTTTCTTCATCAAAAAGTCAGTTCTATTTAAATAAATCAGATAGACATTGTCAATAAAATACTTCGCCGTTTAAAGTCTCTATTCACTGGCTTCATCATTACTCAACAGACAGACATTGTATTGTCTACGTTATCAGTCTCGATCGTTCCAACAAAAGATAATAACGTTCAGTGATGTATCGATTGTTTATAATATTCAGTAGAGTTCAACTCGAATATCGATTGACTGATGAACATCACTTCGAAAAAGANACAAACTTTAACTTTAAAAGCTCTCTGTCGAATAAAAATCAAAGGCCAAGTTCAATCTTATCCAAACGATATCGTGAAAATAGATTCGATCTCCAAAATCCTACACGCATATCTAACATTTTACAATCCATTTCTTATATCTCCACCGGCAAGTCCACCTGTTGGTTGGGAACAAAAAGTTGAAGATCCACCCATTGTCGATCTCAACCTGATCGCTGCTATTGCTCAGCTCCGACCAAGTAAATCACTTGCGAACATGATTTTCAGGGAACGGATACGATGTTTTTTTTTCTTCATTCTAGATGAATCTCATCAATTATTCTCGGGTGAACATGGTTCGAATGCTCCATCGATTGTTATTCATACATGTGATGATCTGGATAATGCTGATGACATCAATCAATCCCTTCGTCAAAAATTAATCAAACCAGCTTTGATTCAAACGCGACGACCACCTTCGGATTAATGAAACGAGCATAATTCATATCTCAACGCAACGATTTTGCTTTTATATAATAATTTTGATGTATATAAGGAAAGCAGAAGAAAAGGCTTTTTATTTCTTATTTTTATTAAATATATCGGCGGCTACTTAGAGAAATTGATCAGCTTTTACTACAGGAACAACAGTTCATTCATTTGGTGACATCAGATTTGAGAAATGGATTGTAAAATGTTAGATATGCTTGTAGGATTTTCGAGATCGAATCTATTTTCACGATATTGTTTGGATAAGATTGAACTTGGCCTTTGATTTTTATTCGACAGAGAGCTTTTAAAGTTAAAGTTTGTGCACGTAATCTACTCAATCTATTCTTCAACTGGGCAATATGTAAAATCGAATTTTGTCGTTCGATTGCATTGCTTGTCGAAGATAACAAATAGAATGGATTATCGACACAAGGATTTGGGCGAAAGATCAATTTATTCAATGAAATTTCTCCATTTTCAATCATAGATACTAAATAATTGTCGAGACGTTGCCGAATAATGCCTTCTTTCAAATCTGTACTTGGTTGTTCACATGCGCGAAGAACGTCATAGAATAAAAATATACACCATGTCAATGCACGCACTGACGGATCGAATATATCTCGCAGGCGATATTTCAATAGAAATTCTTTACATGCTAAGATATTGAATAGCTTATACTGTTTCGTCGAGAGTAAATTTGGTTCGCGCATACCATATCGAGTTAGTTTACTTTCTGTTCGAGACAATAACAAATGCAAACGACGCATTCGCGATAAACTTGCTTGTTCATACGTGGCTAGATACGCAAGATCAAGTGGTGTGCTACCGATTTGATTCCGAATGTTCAAGCAGAAATCTGGTGTGTTGTTGACAATAAATTCGAACACAGCATCAGTAATTGCTGATTGGCAAGCTATGTGAAGACATGTTTGCCCATGATCATCTTGAATATCGAAACGAGCGCCGTTTTTGACTAGAACATCGAACATCGAAACAGAAGAATTTTTGTGGATGAAGAACGAGATTGGTGTTTGATTATTGTATTTTGGCAAACGTTCGTTGATATCATAACCAAATTTACACATTAATTCCAGTTCTTCTTTATGAGTGGGCTCATAAAAATGAAGATCTAAATGATACTATGCTTCTATATCATAGATCACTCGAAATTACGAATCGCTTACCAAGAGTTGCACCCATTGAAATTAGATTTTCCAGTATATCTTGCGTTCTCGCGCACACACTTATATGGATATGCTTTCCTGTGATTAGCAGATACTCAGGTTTTAAATTTCGGTTCAAACGACTGTTTAACTGTCGATCATCGCCTGTTCGTAAACATCGGACAAGTAGATTGTCTAAACCAGGATAGACTTCGCCCACATTTCTCGCATTAATTGGTTGGCCGTCGATGCGAAATTTGAGTAGTTGAGCGAGAATTTCATCAGGTACAGGCGGAACACGAGCTAATGGTTTCAACGACCGATTGTATTTGGATGGTTCTGAATGTTTACTTCGTGTTGATGAAACCGAAATACTTTCACGAGACATGACGTACAAATACAAATGCAACACGATCCGGTAAATTGCACGAGCATTTCTTCATTTCTTTTCTTTTTCTGCATTGCCCTTTGACAAATTCCATAGTTTCAGTAACAAAAATATTGCCAACGAATAAAAATAGACGTAAAAAAACGTCTCTTTCTAATGGATGCTTTCCTCACTCAACAAATCTCGAAAAACGTGAAGGACAAAAAAAAGGTGTATTTTACCTTCTTAGACTATATAGTGAGTCAATGACGAAAGAAGAGTTCTCATAAATACTTTGCCTTTGATTGGTTTCTTCAGGTCAACAAAACCATGGAATTCGTAGCAGAGCTTATTCAGAAAATCCCCAAGTTTGTCTTCTTTTCTGACTTCGAATCACTAGAATGTCAAAGCATCATCGTCGTAAGCTTTTAATTCATGTTTGGATTTCTGCAGGTGGTATTGTTTGCTCTTAAAACTGAAGCATGTGTCCTTCGCTGCCGAAGCTTCCGTCAGGCGAGACTAAACGATTCAGATAGAACAGAAATATCTTTACCGATCACGGATGACATGTTTATTCAGAATCGAATGATAATGCATGAAATTTTTGTTCTTTTAAGTGATTAAATAACCACGCAAAATCCTTTGGGAAACAACATGTAGATGTGTGAGCTTTGGGTTATTCTTAAATGATGTAACACCGAACGATCAAGGGAAAGATGGTCAACAATCACCATATTGACTGACTTATATCTACTCACACCGATGAGAAGGAACAATAACGAAAAAAGATAAAGAGAGACAGAGAGAGAGAAAAAGAGAAATCAACTAAATGTGAATACAACACCAGTACGAAGAAATTGCACATTGTTTTCGTGTAAGTGTATGTGTGTGTGTGTGTGTGTGTCTTTTTTGTATGATCAAAAATAAAAGGGAATAAATATATGTATATGGTTTTGAAATGGAATCATTTTCGTATAAGTGTTTTGTAAAAATACTCTGATGCGCACGTGAACATAGAAAAAGAAGAAAAGAGAACGATCGATAAATGTTCAAGACAAGACGTACAACAAAGAATAAATAGACAAACAAACAGAACAAATCAAGGATGAGAGAACAAAGAAAGAAATATGCGCGTATTAATGATCAGGTTTTGGTGTTTAATCGCAACCAGGTTGATTCTTTGTGGTCATGATTAGGGCTACGATCAAACCGTAGAGACCAAGTACTTCAGCGAAAATCAAAATTAAAATCATGCCCACGTACAATCTAAAGTTATCGAACAATTATCTCCATAGAACTCATTTTCAAGTATCTTTTACCGTGGTTGTTGAGCAGTTCCTCGTACACCAGCATCACCGACAATACCGACGGCAAAACCAGCGGCTAAACCACTCAAACCGACCGATAAACCAGCACCCAATTGAAGGAATGCTCTACATAAAGAAAACTATGGTAATACATTTATATTAGATAAGGATCTCACTTGTATAGACCATAGTTTTCAGTAGAAATGTTGTTAGCAATGAGTACAGCAACAACTAGACCATAGATAGCAATGATACCAGCCATAACTACGGGAATGACACTTTTCATAATGAATTCTGGTCTCATCACAGCCATAGCTGAAATACCACAACCAGATTTAGCTGTACCATAGGCAGCACCTAGCGCTACAAAACCAAACAAACAAATTAGTTTGAAAGCAACAGTTATCGTCAATAAATTCGCTAGTTTACCACTAAATACAACAGCTGCTGTTGCACCCATGGCGCCAAAGAAAGGTGAATAAGCTGGGCATTTTTCCGTTACGGTTGACATTCTTGGATGAAATGGAATATAATACTAAAAGCTTGAAATGCTGAAAAGAACTATCGAAGATCTATAATTAATTCAATAAATATTGGATTCGTGTCGACCCATACGAAGTATTCGTATGAAAAAAAAAAGAAAACAAGAAAAAGCAACGCCTACATTGATGCTTGCACTACACGAAATGTGCATCTTTCCCCTTCTTCACTAACTGCTGATGACAAAAGATAAATATCAAAGACAGCCATTAGAGAAAAAGCTACGAGTTCGCTTCTCTTATCAATTTCTTTTCAACCGTCGGGTGTTCGTCAACACCTTTTTACTTTGAGGGCTAATTTCAACTAAAAACTCAACGAAAGAAGAGAGAGAGAGAGCGAAGAAAAGAAACTGTTGATATAAATATGACGATGTTCTTGTTTACGATTATCAAATCGACAAACATTATGTCATGTTTGCAGAATTAGAGCTACAAAGATAAGATCCTTGCTTCTATAGAATTTCCGGAAAGAAATTGCGATCACAGGAGAACGTCATCGGACGAATTATATATGACACACAACTGCAAATAATAAATAGAAGTGATTCAAGAAAAGGAGTCATAATCATTACGTCCATTGTCAATTTGTTTATTGACTTTTTCCATTTACCATGAATGCAATAAGAAACAAAGAAATTTGTAAGAAAAAATGAAAAACAGACGAGAGAATAAATGTATTTGGAATTTTTGTTGTCGTTTGAGATAATAAATGAAAAGAATTCTGAGGAGAGGTTGGAAGAAGATATCTGATTGGTTGATTTTGTCATTCCTTTCTTTTCTCATCTGACGCTGTAAGTTTAAGTTTTACCGATTTTTCTTCGTTTTGAACAAAGTTTGAAGTTCACTCAACGATTTTCTTCTAAAAATCTCCTTAACAAATCGATAAATATCTAGTCTAGCATTTCCTGGTTGACAACACATGTGCAGATAGTTCGAAAAACTAAGTCTTTGCTTTCTTTCTCGAATAGATTTATAAATGATCGGTATGCTGTCTAGTCCAGCTCGTCCCATGGACCTTGATGAAGATGAGTATTTTTCTTCGACCAATTTCCCACGTCGATCATCTCCCGATGTACATAATACACCTTTGACGAAGATGATTATTTCACAAGACTATCAACTTCATCAAACACCACCATTATTTCGTATCGTTCATAATCCATTTGATCCTCCTACGTCAGCTCATCTCAAACAACGTCTTGCTAGTCCAAGTATATTTCGTACACTTTCACAGAATGATGAGAATGATAAAGTATGTGTGACTTTATTGACTAGATAATTGTTGTTTGTCATTCGAAAAGAGTTTTTCAGACAAGTACAGTTACTTCTGTTTTTGATTGGTCTATTGAACAATTAGCTGAAATTCATCCAAAGCAATTCTCCGATGAGAATCTGATTCAAATCGATGCTGCTCTTTTGTAAGTTCTGACACCTATTGTACTTGCCTATGTCATTTATTTATTTTGTAAGTGATGAGAATTTAATGCAGCGCTATCAACGAGCTGCCAGTGAATTTTGCTCCAGTAAACTTCATTTGCCAACACCGGCTGCACCCAACAATCAACCAGACAGAACATCTACAATGGATGGTTATGGTTAGTACATTCGCTTAGGTAATTTTGATGACGAAGTACCCAGGTTCGATCCTTCCTTTAAGGATTCTATTCCGGAACATCGACACTTCATCCGATGACATCACCATTTCCTCATTTCGACATTAAAACAACTTCGTCATCATCGTCGATCTTTCAGCGAGATTGTAAGTACTGACCGACTTAGATTCTATGGCGAATAAAATCTCCGTGTGTAATCTTTCTATACAATGATACATATCGGATCAACGTTCGCAGAAATGAATTCCAAGTACTCGTGTGTAATGAGGTATTCAAATCTTTGTTACATAATTATCATTTGGAGAACAACATTTGCTCTTTTTCTCTCGAAGTCCGACCGAGACAAAGTCTGTATTGATAAATTTTAGTTCAGTGTCGACCGCCTGTGGACTTTGAATCGTGCATGATGGAACAATGTACTGAAATGCAAAATAATTCACTGGATACAAGTTTTAATAATACCAATCAATCGTCTCATTCATCTCGTTTATCGAATAGTGGTATACAAAATAATGTTTCGCTTCTCAAACGACGTTTGTTTGAAGATGAAGATGAAGATGATGTTAGTCTACTCGCTGAAGATGAAGATGATAATCGACAACAAATCTTGAATGTGATCACAAGTACCCAACGACCCAAATCACCACCTCGTTGTGACAGCGAAACAGAAGTAAATGAAATTGAAGAAAATACAGTTTGATTTTGACTTTTATCTTAATTAGGATGATCATCGGATTTCAAGTCCGTCTCGTCGACTAGTTAAACAAGACACAATATCACCAATCTTATCATCCTCATCGTCCTCGTTTCCTTTCGATGCCGATTGCTCACCGATAAAAAAAGATTGAATACTCATGATGTTTCCTTGTCTTATCTCCATTGTCTTTCTGTCTATTTTTCTTAATCTCTCTCTCTTTCTCTCTTGCTCTCTACAATGATTGATAATTGTCAGATAATTATGGTTGTTAGTGAAAACACATAAAATATGCACGAATTCCAAAAAAAACAAAGGAAATAAATAGATGTTGTTTTTTTTCTTACACAAATTATTTTATGTTGGTATTTTTTATGAAATCAACATCAAGGACTATATTGTCAGCTTTCGAATAATGATTAATAATAGCCTATTTTGTCTATGATTTAAATTACTATTTGCCTATTTCACAGCGAATAGAGACAAAATTTGAAAGGAGATGAATCAGCAAACATATTGGTTTTTCTCAACATTCCGAAAAGTAAGTTTGAGAGAAAGTAGAGTTACGTAAGATCACTTTTATCTATTAAAAGTACGTATCACCCTAAAGATAATATTTTGATAATGGTAAATTTAATTCAAAAAATAATTTATAACCCTCGTTTTCGAAGGGTTTCATCTCAAGTAACCAACCACTTTTGTGTACGCAAGTACTGTCAATAAACAATGTAATGTCTTTTCTTTTCTTTTTTCTCTCTCCATCCTCATCATTGAATTCGAGACTACAGTTAAACACACAGTTATCGTTTCTACACCATTCCTTCTATCTCTTCTCAACTTCAACAAAAATAAAACATTGTTGAATAAGATAACTATAGCATTGATCAAACAGATACACACACACACACCCATACTCTCCTATATATACACTCATATCATCGTGAAATATATTTTAGAAAGAAACAACGATGCACTCGTTACTTTTCCTCACTGCTTGTCTTAGTTTGTTCTCTTGTGTGTGCACGAGCCCAATTACTTATGAGAATGTTCGGGGAACACCTTACAAAGTTTCATATGATAATCGCGCGATCACCATTAATGGCGCTCGGACAATGCTCATAGCTGGTGCTATCCATTATCCTCGTTCGACACCAGGCATGTGGCCTTATATCATGAAAATGGCTAAAAATCAAGGTTTAAACACTGTTCAAACCTATGTATTTTGGAACATTCATGAACAAAAACCTGGTGTACTTGACTTCAGTGGCCGAGCTAATTTAAGTAAGTTTCTACAAGATGCTGCCGATGCTGGTCTATTTGTTAACTTACGTATTGGTCCTTATGTCTGTGCTGAGTGGAATAATGGGGGTTTACCGGCCTGGCTCAATCAAGTACCCAATATTTCATTTCGATCACATAACGAAGCATGGGAGTCGGCTATGCGTAAATTTGTCCTGAGTATCATCGACTATGTCAATCCATATCTCGCCAAAAATGGTGGTCCTATTATTCTTGCTCAAATCGAAAACGAATATGGCGGTGATGATCAAGAATATGTGAACTGGTGTGGTAGTTTAGTAACAAATGAACTTTCTTCGACTCAGATTCCATGGATTATGTGTAATGGTCATGCTGCTAATTCAACGATTGAAACTTGTAATTCGTGCAACTGTTTGGATGATGGCTGGATTGATCGTCATCGACATGATTTTCCTGATAAACCAATGTTATTCACTGAAAATGAAGGCTGGTTTCAACCATGGGGAGAAGCTGTTGCCATCCGCACAACAACTGATGTGGCTTATTCTGTTGCTGAATGGTTTGCTGGAGGTGGTTCTTACCATTCATATTACATGTGGCATGGTGGTAATAACTATGGACGAACAGCAGGTTCAGGTATTACAACAATGTATGCTGACGATGTTTTACTTCATGCAGATGGTACACCCAACGAACCAAAATACACACAGCTGAGTCGTCTTCAACATTTAATTGCTGATCATGCGGAAGTTTTACTACGAGATTATTCAAGTCGTACACCGCTACCATATTGGGATGGAGCTAAATGGTCAACGGGTACTCAACAGTTTGTTTATTCCTATAGTTCAGCACTTCATTTCGTTGGCAATCAATTTGATAATCCCTTAAGCGTACTTTTTCGTAATCAAAATATTTCGATGGCAGCCCAATCAGTTCGCATATTCGATAATGACTTAAATCTTCTATGGGATAGTGCAAATACCAGTGGTATTGCCAGCGATAATACCGAATTTTTTCCTGTTGTCATTGGTCCACTCTCATGGAAAACGTGGTCAGAACCAGCTGAATCAAATTTACCAGTTCTTACCTCACCGAATCCCATTGAACAGTTAAAAATCACTAATGATGAAACCATCTATCTCTGGTATCGTCGTAATATCACATTAACGCCATTACAAGCACAGGCGAATACAATTATCAAATTCGATACACGAAAATCTAATGCACTATTATTCTTTCTAAATGGAGAATTTCTCGGTGAATTTGATAATCACGATCATAATCAAGGAGGTCTGACCGCAACGATTGCTGTAGATCTTTCCACATTCAAACCAAATCAACAATATTTATTTGAAATCCTCTCTGTCTCACTCGGATTAGACAATGGTGTTTGGGAGAATAATTTCGAATATAAAGGCATCGTTGGTAATGTCTGGCTTGGTGGACAGTCGTTAATAAACGATACGAACAATCCTTGGGAGCATCAAAAAGGTCTCGTTGGCGAATATTTTCAAATTTATACCGAACAAGGCTCATCGAAAGTCGACTGGAGCACTCAATGGACGAAAGGTATCGATAAGCCAATTACTTGGTTCCAAGCTAGATTTGATCTTGACCATATTGTCAGAGAAGACACAAACGCCAATCCTGTCTTACTGGATGCTCAAGGTCTCAATCGTGGTCATGCATTTATCAATGGTAATGATCTTGGTCTTTACTGGTTGATTCAAGGTGTATGCCAAGATAAAACACCTTGCTGTTGTCAACATGCACAAATCAATTGTATGCAACCGACACAACGATACTACCACATTCCATCGGACTGGTTAATGCCGAAAAATAATCTGATTACAATTTTCGATGATTTAGGTGCACATTCGCCGGGTTCAGTTGGTCTCGTCCAACGGGTTGTATTACCTTAGACATAGAACAATGTTTATTTTTTCATCGCTTTCCCTTGTGATAGATTATTCCTTTTTCAATACTGTCATCATTACGCGTGTATATATTCATGATCGAGTACACTGAATATATCATAGTCAGTACGAGCATTTGACATTGCCATGTTAAACATACATTGTAATACTTCAAGAGTTCATGTAAAGTACATAATAATAAGCTCTTTGTTGAAGTTGAGATAACGGTTTCTATAAATTTTGTAATGGAATGGATGACTATGGATTGATTTTAGAAACTACTGATGGTGTTCTTGGTCTTCCTCGGTTGGAAAGTATGAATTTAGGGCGCGAACATTCACGAAATAGATTCTAATTTTACTTAGATAATCAACTACAAAATTTCCTTAAAAACGAGCGCGCTTTCAGTCCTATGAGAAGAATACGATTGATTAACACAGCTGATGAGATACCCGCACATAATTTTTTTTCACAAAAATGACAGTCGACAAAGGCTGATTTCTTATTCACATTATTCAAATAGTTACTTTTCTGGCAGTGGCATTGAGTGGATTAGTGTCATGTCGGTAATTACATTTCATGTATCAAACACGACTGCATATAACATAAAAATAGATGATCATTAGTCATATTCAACTAGGAACTCATTTAGTTTTTCCCGTACAAGATCGTGTTTCCAATAATCGATGTACAGAACCAAGTTTTTTGAAAGTAAGAGCAGAAATACTAACGAATATTGTTGGTATGACAGAAAACACTTTTCGCTAGTTTTTTCAGTTCTCTGCGATAAAGTTTGGAGCTCAATGTGTAAATATAGAACGATGATATGTAATTGAAGAATATGAAGAGACGAACGATTGAATACAACGAAAGAAAATAGGCATCATTTTCCACAAATAGTGATACCAGATTGATAATACTGTATGGAATTGTCGCGAGAAATTCAATGCACGCTTGACAAACAAGCATTACTTGCATTTGGCTAAGGCGATGTTGAGGATTTTTACGAATTCTACGAACATCCGCCAGTGTATTACTTAATTGAACTGCATGCTCAATACGTATGCGTTTCATTCGTACGTTCATGATGATCCCAATACTAAACATGATCGTAATAGACGGAGGTATAAGCGAGTAGATGATCAATTGATAAATTAAAACAAATATTGCAGAAGAAACACTAGCTGAACAGTAGGGTGGTGGTGGGTTTATATCAACGTCGTACGTAAAAGGAATATGTGAATAAAGTATAAAACAGGAAATGATAGTAAGCGATATGATCCGTTTCGCTACACGTACGTTAGCAAATCGACGTCGACAGACTTGGATGCAACTAGCAGCCCATCGGTCCATACAAGCGAAAGCAGTGAAACATGGAGGTAAAGCTAAACACACGTAATAAATGTATGATACAAATCTGCATGCGAACAACGAGAATGATGCTATTTCAAGATCAAAACCATCTGCGAGAAGCCGCACAGAAATAACAAAGACAACGACCAAGAGATTGCTCATCGATGTGAAAAGCAGATACAGCGAACTTGATGTTTGAATTAATGTTGGTCGGGTGAAGAGGAAAACATTGAGTAGATTTCCAATTCCACCAAAAATGAAGTATACGATTAGTACATATCGATTGATAGCTTCACTCACGTCAGACATTGACGATAATTGATTGGGATCATCGATACTACTGTTAGCGTTGATATCGGACGTCATTGTATTCGTTTGCGACTATCAGATCAAAGAAATCTCGAACTAGAGGTATTGTTCTGAATATAGTACACAAGTAGAATCTATTCAAAGATTTTCACAAATATCAAGTTAGAATAACATCCAATGAGATCTTTACGTTACAATAAATACTATATACGCATTAACTTTTTGTTAGAATTGTGTTCTCGAAACATTAATATATTAGAGAAAAGAATATATACTTAGCGCATTATATGTTTTTCTAATTTTATCAGCTTTACCTAAAGGCTTGCTGACAGCTCTGATGAGGCGCACAGCATGTGGGCTGTCCTGATTTTTCTGTCTTGCATTCAAAACTCTGTATCTCTCCTGATATCTCGTGTTTTATCCCGAATGAACCTAATTATTGAGTATTCTTGAGAGAAAATTGCGAACAGTCTTATTAATACGCAGGTCAAAACTAGTCAAAACTCTATTTCAAAAAGCTGAAGATTTATTCTTTCGGTTTGACTATTGATTGCTCATTCGCGTATGTCTTTGGTGACTGATTCAAACTTTCAAAATAAAATTTTCTTTGTAAAAATTCGTCTGTCTGAGTTATTGAATCGATAAATGCTCTTTAATTATTAACTGATTTTCTAATCGCCCTTTGAATTGAGAATCCCTATCCTCAAAAGCTAAGCTGACCCTACAGCATTCATTTTAACAAAATATTTTTCTTAAACCTCGTTAGACTATCTTCTGGAATGCAAGCATCCTGTCCCGATTCTGACTTGGTGACCACTGCACTTCCTCTTCACAAAATCGTTACCCAGTACAAGAATAGATTCATGCACACACAACACAGCAAAAAAGAGCTTCTAGGTGTAATGAATTAATATTTTCTTAGGGTTAACAAAATGTGTTGAATACAGTCATCAAACTGGTTCTCCTCACACCCGTATAATATGGTGTAAAGCGTGAATATATTTTGCATAGTGCGAGGGTGTATTCTCTATTGCATGAACTTCATGACATGAAGTTCATGTCTGTTTAAGTCTTGAGTTGAAGGAAAGTTCGATAGTTTTTTTTTTCATCACCTTTTTATTTACTTCTGGCTCTCTGCATTCGTATTCGAATAAATACAAAAACAAATACTCATTTCTCGTTCAAAAACTAAATTTGTCGTACAAAATTAAAGCAAAAAAAAACAGATAAAGCAACGTATGTCTTTTTTTTCGATAAAATATCGCTTTCAGTTATTTTCCAATCAAACCGCTGCTCCAAAGACCGCCGTTGATACGTCGAGCACGTGGTGGGACCATCATCACATCTGTATCACGTCTTCGTGCTCCGAAGTATTCAATCGGTCGTCGATTTTTGTTTGCCCATTCATAATAATAATGTTCACCCGAATCCCAATTATAACGAGTTTGAATATTTTTCGTCTCTTCGTTCAAATCCGATTGAACAGCTGACTCAGATGCATCTTCATTATTTGGTGTGGGTAATGTCAGCGAATCGGCACTAGTGTGTGGAGATTTCCGTAATAAATGGTACAAACGATGTTGTTGATTAGGAGATGACAATGCTACAAAAATGCCAACAAACAACATTGTTGCTTTTATTTCATTTGAAAACTTACTGCGAGGAACCAGAATCGCCAAGAATGATAGCAAGTATAGTATAACAATGATTTTCATGGTTGTGTTGTATTGATGTTGTACGCTATGAATGAAAAGATGATGAAGTGTAGCTAGGTAATTTTTCAGGTATATTTATATGAGGAGAAGAGTGAACATCTGGTATTGATGATAAAAGTGGGGCTACCGATGGGCTAAATAAAGTACAGCAACAGTTTATATCCTTAAAAATCGAGTAAACGGATATGGCGTCGGAGTTTTGTGAGCAGAAGATAAAACTGAAATGTTTGACGAGTGTTCAATTCCTTTTGCTTGACGTTTTCCCGGCAAATATGGTTTTTTATATTCTTCACTCTCAAACACGTCAGTTGGGAACCAATTTTCGATACTCACTTTGAAAATACTGTATCAATCAGTTTTATTGATTATTTAGAACGTAACAGAAGACTGTTTTGAAAGATCTTATTGATCTTCTGAAATTATATGATTATTCAAGACTTGAGCGTGAGAGAAAGAGGAATACGTTGAAAGAAAACAAGAATCAATGTTTTATCCTTGCCAGAATGAATACGAAATAATTTAGTCTCATCAGGGAAAACTAGAAACATTTGTCAAATATTTTTTCTAATTTAGCATAGTGTTGCGTGGATCGTGATCTATGTTTCGACGAGATCATTGTGGGAGTAGTTTAGATAATTAAGAAAGGTTAACAAGTTCGATTGAGTTTAATCATTTCATGAAAGCTTTCCTTCAACAATTTGATTCACCTGAGCATCGATCGAAACATTTGCAAACATCGCTCAGTTTCGTATTGGTACGTTAATTATTTCATCAAGTCAATAGATTAAGATGCTTGCCATTTCTTTTATCGACAAGGTTGACAAAGACTAAGAATGACAGATGTGCGATTAATATAATAGATTTGATGCATTATTGAAAGTGGGGGAGTAGGAGTATGATCTTGAGGATCAAATACTATACCCTCACCTCATTTCCGCACCCGCGCACATGCTTTTTTTAGGCACAGATGTTCGCGCTTGGCAAATGTTTGAGACATACGTCATCGAAAAAGTCTGTCAACGAGCATTTTCTCAAATGATATGATTATAAATAGAATTCAATGAAGTGTACCATCAATTTTCAGATAGTGAATATCAACGAATATCTGTATGAGATGTAATATATTCACCAACGGCGTTGAAATGCGATGTTCAGAACATATACGTTCTTTTGAAGGACAATTTTCAACAGAATACAATATTACCTTAATCTCTTCCTCAGTTTCCGTTTGAAGTCCCTGATTAAAACAAAGGACACATTTTATCACGATTCATAGCACGCTTGCTTTCACTTGATACAGACGGCACGTTAGAAACAGTTCTCTTCTCTCGGTTGTTATAATATCACTAGTTTTCAACAGATGATCACACAATAGAAAAATCTGTTCTGTATTTATCGTTAAGTGTAACCAACTTTGAGTTCTTTTGTATCTGATTAACACAGACGACGATGTATCACGTCAAATTAGAAAACGTCCTGTATGGTTATATACGTAATTCTATGCATGTACTATAGGATTTACCTGATGGAAATCTGAAACTCATCCAGGTTTTATTAGTAATCAGGGATGATTTCTTTGATTATCGTAGGACTCACGAGATGAGTTCGTGTTTTTTCCTCTACACCGGTCTATTCTTTGATTTTGTATGAATACAAAAAGAGAACAACTTTCAATGATGTAAACTGCTTAATTAAGCAAAAAGACAAAGCAAGTCTTTATTTTCGGAAAGAAAAGTATTACGGTGGCATACGAAGTGCGCCGTCTAATCGAATAATTTCACCATTAAGATATGGATTTTCAATAATTGCTTGAGCAAGATGTGCATAGTCATCAGAATTTCCCAATCGTGCCGGAAATGGTACCATATTGCCTAGTAATGTTCGAACTTTTGCTGGTAAAGATCCCAGCATGGGTGTATGAAAGACGCCAGGTGCAATGGCACAAACTCGAACACCCATGTTCGCTAAGTCACGTGCCAATGGTAATGTCATTGAAACGATAGCACCTTTCGATGCTGCGTAAGCCACTTGACCAATTTGACCTTCATAAGCTGCTACAGATGCGGTATTAATAATAACTCCACGTTGACCTTGAGCATCTGATTGATTATCAGCCATAATATGGCAAGCCCAACGAATCACATTGAATGTGCCAGCGACATTGACGTTAAGTACACGTTTAAATTCATCAAGACCATGCATAGAACGCTAAAAAGGAATCACATAGAGTTGCTGGTCGTCGTCGTCGTCCTTCTTCTTCTCCTTTTTTCATTCGTCTTACTTTATTGATGTTATAAGTTCGGAAAGCAACGCCAATACCTGCACAATTGACAACAGCATCTACACGTCCATATTGTTGTTTGACTTTATTGAACATATCTTGAATCTGTTGTTCGTTAGTTACATCTGCAGGAAAGAAATAGGGTCCATCGGTTTGTAAATTTTGATTCGCTGAAGGAATGTTTGTCTTATTTCCAGTTGACTTCTGTCCATCGTCCTGTGCCTAAACAGAAAACATTGCAAGCAACTATCGATCTTGTCTGAAGATCATACATTTCGTGGAGCAGCAAGTTTTTCAGCTTGTTCATCGAGTTCTTGACTTGAAGTTTGAGAGATGATGTCCCATTTCTGCACAACCTCACTTCCTTTCGATGCCGGTAGATCGCATATAATTACTCGTGCTCCTTGGCGAGAAAATCGTTTCGCGCAAGCAAGACCTAGACCGGACGCACCACCGGTAACTAAAGTAACCAGACCTTTCATTTTTCGTCTGGTTTAACAATCTATTGATCTAGAAAATAATACAAAATTTGCTATTTGTTATAATTGATCCAAGATAAGAGATGGAAAGTTCTATTTTCTTTTCAAACGTTTTTGTACATCGTCATCGTTCATATATGGTTTAAGCATAGTAGCCCATCGTTGCCAATCATCGAAAAGTAGAAGTACATGCTAAAAGAGGAATTCGTTTTTTAACGCTATGACAATCAGTTTCATACTTCGTCTGTTAACAGCTTTTCATGAGTAGTTTTCGTATAAGGTTGAATGACCGCATAAAGTTTCGCTATACATTTCTAAAATGAAAGAGAAAGACATCGCTGTTTTATGTTAAGAAAGATGAATTTTACGAGTCTTTGTTCGATGGGATAACTATCAACTATATCTCCGAGTAGTCGAACACAATCGATGAAATCGATTTGTCGTTCAAATAAACGTGGATTTAGTTTATGTTGAATAATTTCGTCGATAATCATCGCCTTGAAGTACAAACTATCCGTATATGAAAGTACATGACAAATTTCTGTCTTACCTCGCTCTTCTTCTCGTGTTCAATCATGTTTACTAAACGTTTCAGATGTAATAACGCTAGTTGAGTACGAATTCGAACAGTACGTTCATTGGTTTTTAAGAATAATTCAACGATGTAGACGTTTTTCAACGATAGACCATACAAACACTTGACAAGTAGATCACGCTGGAAGGAAAGTCAAGATAATTGTTGATTTTTCGTTGGAAATCATGAGTTACTTTATCATTCCAATATGTTGTCGTAATTAATGTCAGTGCATTTGTCATTAAACGTCGTGCAATGTGAATAGTATTAATATCTTGAAAACGACGATCTAGTTGTAGGTAAAAACCAAGTAGAAATAAAAATAAATAATTATCATTGGATAAATTTGATTTCAATCTAATCAGAGAACAAATTTCATAAATTTATTAGGTAATTTTCTGCATACTTTTCTACTTGAAAGTAACATAATGAAAGAACGATTCGAAATACACATTTAATTGAGTTAATTATCTGATTTTGTGATGCTTGACTCTTTGTCTTATCATCATAATTCAATTTCAATATAAGTTGAACACTAGAAATAATTGAAAATCTTCTACCAAAACAAAACTTCTATTAAAATCTGATCTTACTCATTCAATAACTCTTTTATTCCTAGTTCCACCAATAAGCTACTCAGTTTTTCGACATTCACACCAGCCATATGTAGAAGTTCGAATAGAAAATTAATATCATATTGCCATGTGCTTTCAATCTAAAACATAGTTCACTTTCACCATTCGTTTTATTTCTACTTCGAGATGAGTCTTACATCCTGATGAAGATATTCAAGTAATTGATCAATGCAATCGTTCACGGCTTCATCTGTCGTGTAGCAACCTTTTCAATAAACAATATGGACAGATAGATCGATGAAAATTTGATCGAATTCAACTAACACACTCGAATATACTCGGCAATCAAAGCTCTTCGAATACACATATCGTCCTGATCACGAATAAACCACAAAGATTGCTTGAACATCTCAAAATCTAAAGAACGAAAATCGATTCGGTCGAGAATGTTTGAATCTTTCGTCAAACTTTTGTTCATTAGTGCATAATTTACAATATGATCCCATTCTGAAGAGATATTCGAAGTTTTTGATAATGACTTATCGAATTCGTTACATTTAAGATCAGGAACAACCCGAAAACGAAAATGAGACAAAGGATTCGTTGATGAAGATGTTTGTGCATCTTGATTCTACAAGAATGAATTCATCATTTCAGAAATAGATTGCCTTTTCTTTACTTCAAATTGTGCTTTGGCTTCGAGAATATCCTGATGAATTCGTTCTTCCATCTGCGAGATAGAAAACCTACTAGGACTGAATTTTCCAATGCAATTCAATTGTAAGGAAACTGACTAGTGGCTAGTGTTACCATACCCGAATCACTCCAGATCGGATTGATTGATATGATGAAACCAGACGTTTCTCTTTATAAAAATTTTTCTTTAAGCAAAAACTACCGACGAAAAAAGCGAATTTTTAACTACGTAATTTCATTTCGAATACAGATGTCGCTGATGATCAACATAAGCTGTTTCCCTTCGCTGCTATGCAATATAACTATATTTAGTTGTTGTAAGTACCCTATAGTTGATATAACGGTAATTGGGTGATCTAATTATTGTATAGCGACAGTAAAATTTATTATGCAAATCATTTCTTTAACTGGATTACGCGAAGTAGTAGGATCGAAATGCAATGTATCGGAAAGAACCATGTCTCTCGGCAAGAGAACTGTTTCGATGAAAAGATCTCGTTTTCAAGCACGTATTCTTTATTGTATAATCACATAGACAAAACAAAATCAAAGACTAGACTTAAAATCTTTCAGAGACATTGACCACACGAAATATAACACTGGAAGCTGAAGACTAGAATCATTAAAATAAAATAAGTGCACTAATGATGATCGTATATATTCGTTGTTGTCACAACATCTCGCATTAATTTAATTTGCATGGCAACATCTTTTAAGACGCCCAAGACCTTCACATTGCCGTGAACAAAACCGTAAATATGATAAGTAAGACCAACTTCATCAGCAAATTGTTTAACAAAGTAACTCGCTGCACGTAGTTGATGTCGTGGCATGCGTGGAAAGAGATGGTGAACAGCTTGATATTGTAAACCACCATGAAAAAAATCTAACCAAGTCGGACATGCAACGTCCATTGTTGTACGAAGCATCTTGGCTGGGAACGATTCGCATGGGCCATAATCTTCTGTTGACATGCCAAAATGGGATAACGTTATTTGAACGTGCAACGGCATGGTTATCATATAACTCAGAAGTAAATAGAGAAAACGTTGCGGATATGTTGGAATGTAAGATAATGCAAGTAGATACCAATACCAATATGCTAGAATGCAACAGACTTCGATCAAACGATAAGGTGCGTTTGTATGTTTGAAAAGATGAATATAGGATTGAATCTGAAGATTAAAACGAGCGAAACACATGATGACATAATAAGTTAAGTGTTGAAATTGCACTATGAATGCTGAAATACATGTATATGACATAATACGTTTGTGATATGTCGAGTAAATTGATTGAAAGAACCGGGGTGTAATGGCAAAGAACGGCAAATGTTGAATGTCTAAAAAATGAACCAATAAAAGAAAGATTAGAGGTCAAGCTCAGTGCTAATATCCAGCTTGCAACGATAGAATCAAGAATATAGTCAATGTTTTTCTAACATCGTGAGAACGGTTTCATTAGTATTCATATTTCCGCAATAAATATATATCCGAATAATAAGTTAACCTAGCAATTATTTTCGATAGCTACTAATAAGGTTATCTACGATGTTGAAGTTTGACTTGAAGTCTTATTCAGAAAAAACAACTTAGCGTTTGTGCTCTACCTTGAGTAATAATCATCGACAGATTCGATGCATATCTAAACATCCGTTCATAATAATTATCATCAATTCAATTGTAACATAGCGAATATGTCAAATACATATCAATTATTCATCTCAATTTTGTGGCAACATGCACATTGAAATATCCGACAGGCGCTTTACATTCATCAGATATCTGGAACTTTTCTTACCCGGATCATGCTCAGGTGAGTTGGTAACGAGATGATGGATATTGTGATGATATTTCCACCAACCGATGGATATTCCACCTAAGACATTAGCAATAAAAATTCCAATGAATGTGTCGATTCGATAGGAATGTGTGATTGCTAAATGGCCAGCATCATGTGCTGTGAATGTCAATTGATGCCAAAAAGCGCCGAGAAATATTGCAGATAAATAATAATGCCAGGATCTCGTTGCTGTCATGAAGAAATAAAAAGCCAAAAACGCAAGAGAAAAATAACGGACGCATTCTCGAGCATAATCGAAGTAGTTACAGTCGAATAAACCTATTGAAATCCATAGAACAAATTAGGCAAGAAGAGATCCTCTTTCTGGTTGTCTTACCGAGAAAACGAAGCTTATGGTCAAGTTGTCGGTAGGCTTGTATGATATGTTTATGCTCGTCGGAATTTTGAATCATTTTCGCATCATCGAAATGCATTAAACTTTCGCTTGTTAAAACCTGATTGTTATTAATGTCTTGTCGGCGAGTATCAAGTTGAATAGGAGCAATCAGAGATTTAAATTCACCACAATTTTGATTATCGACATCTCCGAAGTAGAACGACGGTAATTTCGTGCGTAGGATATGATCGGAATGATACGCATTTATTTCATCAGTTGCATCCTAGAAGAAAATTGTTGATGCTTTCTCGAAGTACTTCATGCGAATAGTTACTTTGCCAACCATATGTAAAATAGCCATTTCTCCGCCCGGATGATGTTTAATCCACGCATTGAGACGATAAATTTTATTAAGATAGATGACAAGCAAGTCTCCATGATCGACAATTCGCTCGGCTATTTGTTTTCTTGTATACTTCTTCTTTTCAAGAATATTTGTTGACATTCTAAACATAAAATCTATGATAGAAGAAATCAAACGTAGACAAATGATTTCTACCAGTCAAACAAAACCTAGCCTAGTTAAAATATAGTCAGAACGAAACTCCGATTCCTTCCTTCTCATTTAATCTATGTCGATGAATATTTTCCTCCATCTCTCTCCATCATGCTTCTTCTTTCGTTCTCAGTGCAAGACTTCTCGTTCATATAGAAAAGAATAAACATCCAATAATACTCCAGTGCTATTGGAAGAAACAGAAAGATGAGACAAGGTCATACTGAAAACGGGAACATACGCACATTCTCACTCGATTTTATCTAAGTATCTTTCTCTCATCGTCGATTGACGGACGCAAAAAAAGCAAGCAAAAGACTTTTTACACGTATCACTCGAAGAAAAAAACACGCTGTATCGAGATGATAATAAAGAGAAAAACATCATTTGGAAAGACAAGCGACAGCCTGCACTAAAGATCATTAAATACACACAAGAGGTCAACAATAGAATTTCTCTATAAGAACGATTTTATCATGTGCTTCAAGACCGTTGATGCTATTGGACTAAACTCATTCTATAGACATTTTTTCTCCAATAGAGATGTCTTATAGACAGAATACACATACTCAGTTTTCCGCCTTTGACTAATTCTATTTTGAAAGATCATTGTCAAACAACATACGTACGGCTCGAATTTAATTAGAAATTTGTTGTCTTTTATAAATAAATATTAGTTGTGCCGGGCGCGTTCTCTTTGAATTAGAAGACGTGCTAATCAATATTGATGTCTCTCTGATTCGACGAATCGTCTGCATTAGTATTGTCAAGTTTGAGAATTCTTGAGTATACGAAATGATTCGTGTATCGAACCGTATCCGTGAAGTTCTACATCGAAGATAAGATATTAGCGACCTCTTTCCAGGAAAGCTTTTAATTGGTTCGTCGTAGAAAAGAAAACAAGATTTCTAACGAAGAATGATAATAATAAACAAAACAAGTTTGTTTCTCGTTTAACTTTGATCTCAATCACGAAATTTCGACTGGTTTTAGATATCCTATCATGTTGAGCCGGTGTGTTCCTTCATCACTACGTAGTTCATACAGTTTGATTGTTGCTCGACACTTATCATTGAGTGCGAGCCTTGCCCAACAAAGCAAGCAACAACAAGTGACGGATCCAATCCAACAATTATTTATCACCAAAATCCGTGAATATAATGAAAAACGAAAGTTGGTATTTGACTTCGTTTTAGTGAATAATTTTGCCCGTTTTCTCGATATTTAGGCAAACAAAAGATGGTCTTGTAGATGCGACGCCTGAAGTTCGCAAAAGTCTCGAAGATACACTTAACAAACTGAAAAATGCTTACGGCGCCGAATCGGAAGACCTTCTTTCCGTACCAAAACTTGATTTCAAAGGTAAAGACCGAATAGTTCCATCTTCGTCACCTTATTCAACATTTATTTCATAGAACCTCAAATCGAAATCGCTATTGAAAAACAAGCGAAGGAAATCATCAAGAAAGAAATGAAAATAACACCAGAAGATATTAAGAAATATACAGGCCCATATGGTTCATGGTCGCCAGAATACTTAGCGAGAAAAGAAGCTGAACGCGCCGAAGAACAAAAGAAACTTGATCAGAAGTCACCTGGTGTTTTGCCTGGTTAAGAACAGTTCCAACGAAATCGAAACATTATAGCTCTTTTTACTCCCATTTTCGATCATTCAGTGTGTATTTTGCCGTAGACAGTTTTTCTTCTTCTTCTTCTCTATTCACATCCGAAAAGAAAAAGAGATAATAATAAACAGCATAGAACGCCCTCTTTAAACTAATCGATTCAGTTATCACAAGAAACTTCTCGCTATCTCATCAAATCAATGCAGAACGATGCTACTGCTTGGTAGTTACTAAAATAAATCATTATCTCGAATAGATTCATCAAGTGTAAATTCGTATGACGTCAACATAAGGTTCCAATTGATCTTCTTCTTTTTCGTTCTCTGTTTATTTCATTCTATTGAATGATGATGCAGTATGAAAAGAAAATAGATGAGATATACAGAGATACAAGCAATGAATGCACGCAACGTTTGCTAGTATAAAACAAGAAAAACGGGGCGGCAGCATAAACAATGATATATCATTTAGCGTTGTGTGCCCTTCTTTGGGCCAGTTTTTGGAACTGTCTTTTGGATCTTTTCTGGTTTCTTCACTGGTTTACCAGCCTATAAAATCCCAATAAAACACGTGTACATGGAGTACGAATGTAAACATATTCATACCTTAACAGCAGTTGATTGTGTAACTTTCTTTTGCTGTGCTTTGACCTTCTTTGCTTGTTTAGCGGCACTAAAACCACGCGTTAGAATTCTACTAGAAGACGAAGATCTGAACATACTTGATGGCATCTTGTCGTTGAGCCTTTCGAAATTCTGGTTGTTGGTTACGTTTAGCAAGAATATCGTTCCATGTCGCACCGGCGATAGCTCGTTGAAATTTCACAGTACGACGTGTACGTTTTTTAATTTCTTGTTCAGCTGCACCTTTCTTATGTTTTCGACGATATAAAACAGTCCATGTGACACGACGTGGATTTCGACGCATATCAGCCGATCGTTGACATTTCGAGTTCAAGTAGATATGTACCTTGAAGAAAGCGAAAACTCATCGAATGTATTCACTCGATTGTAATCAAAAGAATGAAACTAACCTTGCCGTCGATTTTAACAACACGTTTGCCATGACCAGGATAGATCTTATAGCCGCTGTAGTTGCAAATTTCGAGTCTAAAAGCGCGATTTAATCAATGATGAGCAGAGAAGTTTGATGAGAAATTTTACTTCATGATGACTCGATAAACCTTATTTACGAGATCTAGAATAGAAATCAAATAATTAGCATATTTATCCGATGATAGTAACTGAAAACTTGACTGACTTGTTTATAAATTATTTGAACTAGAGTTTTGGAAGAATACATGGTATATCATGGATCACCTATCCCGTCTGTCGAGTTACAGTTGTTGATGCAAGGGTTTTCAACATATTCGATGCTACATGAGTAATGACTTCGCAGTAAAATAGGAATTAATTTACAAAAACGATGGGAAAGACATTTTCTCATTGCACCTAATTTAACCGTCGATTACAGATGAGCGCCATCTGTCGAAATCAAATCAGACAGATTGCGAGTAATGATTACGATTAATAAAGCGAATTTAGATTGATAAGTGTTCTCTGCATTTTGTACTTTTACGTCTCAAGCTCGTACTTTCATCAATCAATTTTGTCGTACTTCGCCGATACCCTTCCTATATTATAATAATAAGTTGCTTTATACTTTCGAAACGCTTTGTCATTCTTTTCTTCTTTAGACTAATCAAACTCCGGAAGTGCGCCAACTCTTTTCTTTTAAAACACCATTCACTTTGCCTTCAGTAACTATTGTCAATCATGCCATGATTGAGTTAAATCGCTCTTTTTCTTCGAATTAGACATGATTAATAATTGAAAAGACCTATTCAAATCTTTTTCATGGATATTGCTTTAATCAAAAAAGCAATTTTGAGCGGAATATTTTTCTGTTTAGCACCTGACAATTATCATGTGATAAATTTTTAAAGATTTAATCAAATCACTCCTTCATTCTTGAATTAAAACACGAGCACAGTATCTTGCAAAGATAATAAATGATAAGGTGAATATGATAACAAACAGTACGAGTACATAGATAACTCCGAGTGAAACTAAGGAGAATATATACAGCGAGTGATTACACCAATCGATTGGTTGAGTTTCCGTCATGTCTTTCGCTGGCCAGAAAATGGACCATGTCCAATAATTTCCCATGGAAAAAGCAATGACAATGAAGATAAAGGCTAACAATTCCATAAACCAAATACCGTTATCTTTGAGTCTTTGCCCACCGGAACTATCTGCAACATGAGCGTCGTAGTCAATGTCATCGTCGTCTTCAAGACCGGATTCTAATCGTCGTCGACGTAATGCTCGCAACATTAACCATAGCCAAAAAAAGAAACCGACACCACCACCAATGAGATGATAAATAATCAGCAATTGTTGTTTTGGACATTCATTGGAGTACTTAAACCCTGAGATAAAGAAAAACAAGTGTGAAGATCAAAGAAAAAGATCAAGGATGATCACAAACCAAACACGAACATTAAACCAAAAATAAGCACCATCATAGTTTCGACGAGGATAATAGGAACTAAAAGAAATCATACCAGATTCATCAAACGAATTCTCTGATTCAATGTCAGTTTTTCTCTTCTTACTACTGATACTGAGGATATGAAGAGATCGATGTATGTATTCGAAGCATGTTTCACTTTCTTCCCAGGCAACAATCAGAGAACCAGTTAATGTATCATATCGTGAATCTATATAATTATCCCATTGTCTTCCAGAAGATTTGTTTCCACCAACACCATTCTCCAATCCATCGGCATTACTCTTGCATTGACAACAGCAACATCGATACTAGACAAAAGCCAAGTAGATTATTTATTTATACAAGTTCAGCAATTACTTACAATACAACAATACCAAGAACATGGCATTGGATGAGAATAATTGTTCAATTACAATCAAATTTCGTATGAGCATAATCTATCATGTAAATATTTTCTGATCGTATAAAACATCTGTTGGTTTTTCTCTCTTAATGATGATTAGTCATTAGCTCTAGAACATTGAAAGGTAAAAAGAAAGAAAACTGGCGATGTATTGTTCATATAGTAAAGAAGTCTCGGATGTGAAATAAGAAAAAAATCAGTTCAATGTATTCGACGCTTTTTTTCTCTTCATCTATATTATTGATGTCGAGTTGTGTTTTTGCTCGAGAGCAAGTCGCAAGGCTCACAAAACAATGTGTTGACACTCGTTTTTATACTGAAAGAGAAAGCTAAAACGACGAACGAATACGATGGTTTATAGTCGAGCGATTAGATTTCCCCTACGTTTTTTTTTCTCTTTCCATCGTTGTCATCTATTTGTATATAAGTTATTCGAATCGACAGGAACAGCGAGTCTCTTAGATCTGATTCAATTATGATCGAGAAGACAAGTGATGATTTTCGCATAACTTAGTCAATCACTACAGTCGTCATCAGATAATTGACTACCAAGTCTAATTTCTAACTGGATTTGCTTTTTCTTTCTTTCTTTCTTTTCTTTTCTTTCTGTCTTTCTGTATTTATCCCAGATTTTCTTTTAATTGAAATTAATTCAATGCCATAGTCCTTCAAAGTCTGTGGAAATGGAATATTGATCAATCGAGTGGGAAGATTATATGTTAAAATGAAATCGTGCACAGCACGTTGCTAATTTCTCATGCAAAACTTAATTAGAGTAAATTTACGTGTTTTGAATATGTTCGCCTAAATAGATTATATTTCTGCTTGTTTCTTCCCGAACAGTTATCTAATCTTAGAACTTTTTTCTAATCAATACAAATGTCTTTGTAATACCGATGATTAATTCATCTTTATGTTTTTCTGCATGATAGAACGATTTAGCGAAGACATGCTCGGTCGGCATTACAAAAGTTCTATAGAAAACATGTCACACACATCTTGAACTTGACGATCGTCAAGGATTAGTTTTTAATACAATATATTACATTCGTCTTTTTACCAGAGCGACAAGAAATGCGCATACGCTTTTAACAAAGTAAAAGAGTCAGGCGCACTCTCCTCTTCGGGGATAATCGGCGTGATTTATCAAATTTGCCTTATCGATCTCATACAAATCATTTCATTAGAGAATGAAAAACATCAGAAGAATGGGAGATTTTTATAGAATTCTCGTCTATTTGAAATAAACTCGGAAGATCTTCGATATTTATTTAAATAGTGGCATTGCATGACACGAAGATGAAGAAAAATGATCTAGGCATCAAGTAGATCGAATAAATATGGAAATCAATACGCTCAATCAATTTGAGTTCGACTCAGAATCATTAATTGACTAATTAGTCTGTATTATTAAGCAAAACTTGATGATATTTAACGGCGAAGAACCGTCTCTTTTGTTGTCACATGATCTTCCCAAGCATTTCCATTTGCTCTATTACTACCAGGGGTATCATGTACACCGTCTTTGCAATTATAATACTACTCTAGTTATGAACCCACATATTTTCTGTCTACTTCTTGTGTAAAACGGAAATAAGGCGCGCCGATAGTAAAGACTTTTCATTCGTGACATTAGTGTGTCGAGTTAAAGAACAAGAACGAGACTAGTGACGTCAACAGCTAGGTACGTGCATTGATTATTTTTATCTTAGTTACTTACAGATTTTGAGCCCTAGCCAAGATGAAACAAGACAAAAGAAATATTGTTTTGATCAAATCGAATAACTGTGTTACATGAAGTGTCATCTCACGAATGTTTTTCTTTGAATCAGTAACTAACAATAGAAATCAAATCGAGAAGATGACAAAGAGTTGCTTAACAAAAACATGGCTATCGAGAATGTCGAACTAAAATTGATTAGCCGACGAGCCATAAACTGATTGTTATTATTTGTACGAAACAGTCAGATTTTTCGTTATCTCAAACTTGCACTCAAGTCTTACTGATATAAATGAGCTGAACCAGAAAAAATTTTTCAAACAATTACCATCCTCGGTAATTGTATTAACTCTGCATTGCTTATGGCTATGATATATTCTCGCGAAATCGAATTACAGGGCAAATAATTAGACAGAAACACGGCGAGAAAACAACGATCGACATCGCGTATTTTTCTGTCATAGATTTCGTTTCAAAATATCCAAAATCTAAAGATGAAGCTGTGAACCACACGCCTTCCATAAGTCTGCTCAGAAAGCACAGCTTGGTATCACTGATTTGAAAGAAAGGCGATCCTGTGACGCGTACAATGTCATTAATTAACATGTAGTAATTATTTGCCAGATCTCTAACTGTTTTGACGTATTCTGTGTATATACCATCAACAGGAATAGTACTCATATTCACAAAAAAGACAAATTGCACTATATTAAGAGCATTACCTAGGTACAATGAAAATCAAAGTACATTCTCTGCATTTTGGCGCACATTTCAATGAATATTTTAAGCCTACAAATAAAGCAAGAGAAGCTGACTTGCTCAAGCGATTGTATCGCTCGCAAAATATCGGCCAACCAAAAACCACACGTACGCGTTGTTTTTCTTCCTGTACTTAAAAAAGTACGAAAGATAAAATACCACGTGTCTGCCTGTCGAATACATTCCAAAGCAAAAGAGAAATAATCAAAGTCCAATTTCAAACTTCTATTTGTATCTGAAATAGAACAGTTTATGATCATCAATTCAAGATCTTTGCTGACATCTCTTTTAACATGTCGTTCTATTACCACTCATCGTCATCTATCGCTGAACAACAAGCCGACTCTTTATGAAACATTGAAAGTTATTGAATCTTCACCTGATGTTTTTATTCAACCAGCTGAAACGCTCTTTGTGTTTCCTAATCGAAAAAGTGTTTTCGGCGGTCAAATCATTGGATCAGCAGTCTATGCTGCTCAGAAGACATTGACCAAAGATTATCCGTTACATAGTTTACATTCGTATTTTCTTACTGCCGCCGATAATTCATCGGCAATTTCCTATAAAGTGACGAGATTACGTGATGGTAAATCATTTGAAACACGAAGTGTAACCGCTAAACAAGACGATCGAATTGTATTTCAATGTGCAATGAATTTTCATCGGAAAGAAAAAGGAAATATGGAACATCAATATTCCATGCCACAGATCGGTAACTTGTAATTATATCTGAAAAATGAATAATCGTGATCTTTGCTCTTAGATGTACCACCACCTGAACAGCTACCGTCTTTACAGGACCACATTCAAAAACTTCTTGAAGATAAACGTTTAAAACCCGAGATGAAACCATTCGTAGAAAGTATACTACAAATGCCTGCTAAAATCGATGTTCGATATTGCCATCAACGTGACTTACTTCAACCTCAACCTGTTTGGCCAGCGAAAGAATTCGTTTGGATGAAATCTGTTGAATCTCTACCTGATTATTCACATATTCATCGTTCAGCCGTGGCCTATTGTAGTGATCGTGTTTTATTGCCAACTGCTTTCCTTCCATATGCTCTCAATGGTTACAATTCTCGTATTCGTATGCAAGCATCGCTTGATCATTCGATGTGGTTTCATGACGACTTTGATTTTGATACCAAAATTGATTCGAATCCATCAGAAGAACAAAGCCCAATTAAACCTGTTCAGCGTAGTCCAGATATCCCACCGATTCCGCCCAAAGTACGCGTACGTGCTGATGATTGGTTATTGTATGAATTAGAATGCCCACTACATATGAATAATCGTGCATGGACTTCTGGTCGAATCTGGACACGAAATGGACGATTAATCGTGACATGTACTCAAGAAGGTGTGATTCGATGTAAATGAGCAATGAGATTTCAATACTGTTTTCATGAAAAACTGCGGTGAAAAACGATAAGATTATATAGTTTTCATATTAAAACAGTTGTGTACTTTCACTATGTGATAAAGGTAGAAATCTATTTTATTAATTTCCTTTTCGAAATATAAAACATAAAAAAAAGTAGATTCATATACAAATATCAAACAATTGAATGAAGTTTCACTCTACTTGTCGACGAACTTTTGTCACGCGAGGTGTGAACACTCGTTCATAAGGATTTCCATTCGAGCTATCTTTATAATATAAAACCCATCGCGATGGTTGAGGAGGAGGCATTTGTGCACGAATAAGTTTGATTCGTTCTTCCTTTAGGATTTCTTGTTCGATTTTCCGTAGTTCTCTATCGAGTAGTTCATCTTGTTTTCTCAATAATCTCTTCTCTGTTTCTTTCTTCTTCTCCTCTAGTTGACGTTGCCATTCAGGTACAAACGCACCGATTTCACCAGACTTGACTTTGTCACTATATCGAGTACTGTATTCTTTTCTAAAAAATGCTTCCGAGTTCATTATCGAAGAAGAGCATCATTGTTTATACTACTTACTCTTGCCCTTCTGGTTTCACTTGTTTTTTAGTTTGATCATTGCCGCGTCTTCGAAGAGCTGAACGCGCCGAGTTCAAAAAATCGCTTCGAGCCTTAAATGAAATCATGGGTTGCAATCTCAGAGAGAGAGAGAGCGCGATAGTTTACATCAGTCATGAGAAGGTTTTTCAAGAATGTTTGATTGTCTTCAACATTTTTTCGTCGAATATTCTCCACATTGCGTTTGGAAGAGCCAGTTCTCTAAATATTCATTCATAAAATTATTATATATTTCTTTGAGAGTATATTACCTTCATTAGATAATCTTATTTGATGTGAAGCAAACAAGAAATCTGAAATCTAAACACAGGTGATTATATCTGGCATTTTTATTTGATTCGAATATGTATAAAGACTTCTGGAAATGTGTACAAAGAAAAATCGATTATTTATTGTGACTTTCGTTTTGAATTCGTTCGTCAATTTTCGAGTGACGAGGTTTAAAAACACGTTCATATGGGTTCGAATTATTTTTATAATATGAAACCCATTTCGAAGGGAGTTTTTGTTTTAATCGTTGCAATCGTCTCATTTCTTTCTCTTGTTTCTTTTGCTCTCTCTCCATTGATTTCCGCTCACGTTCCAGTTTCCATTGCGGAACATGTGGAAGAATTTCACCAGACTTGACTTTCTCACTGTATCGAGTTATGTGTTCGACTCTAAACAAGTCCATCATATTAAATCCATGTCGTTTCTCATGGGAAGTTTTGGTTACTTTTCATATTCTACCGGCGTTTTTGTATGATGACTGTTCTGCACAATCGAGCGAGCAGAGTTAACGAAATCATCTCGGCTCTAAGTTAAAAGATAAGGATCTTTTTGATTGATGGAATTCAAGTTACATTTGTCAGCAGTAATTGTTTCAGAAAGAGTTGATTATCTTCAAGATTCTTTCGACGAATATCTTCAACATTTCTCTTTTGATTTGGCATACCGCCTACCGAAATCAATTGAAACTAATATATATGAGATAATCTGAAAAAAAAACAAGTACTATATCTTTTTAATCAATGAAAACCTGTACAAAGTTGAGAGAAAATTAAAAATTTTTGTTTAAATACAATTAATTTCGAACACGTGTTTTATAAATGCGTTTATATGGATCGGGATTATTGCGATACATGAGGGTCCATTTCGAAGGTTGACCTTTTCCTTGTTTGAGACTTTGTTGCCATTTAGAAACATGTTCTTGAATTTCACCGGATTTCACTTTTAGACTATACCGTGTAAACCGTTCCACCCTAGGATTACTTGAAATTAAAACGATTTGCATGCGGAAATGTTACTTTTCATATCGAATGTTGTTTTTATTCTTTTCTTCACTCTTCTTTACGACTGAACGAGCAGATTTGAGAAAGTCACGGCGAATCTGAATTCGGAACCAATCAGTTTGGAGAGGAAATACGAACGCAATAGTACTTACATTATTCATTTGAAGTTGTTTAAGGAAACGTTGATTATCTTGCATATTCCTTTCGCGAATAGATTCAATATTTCGCTGAGAAGAAAAGAATGTCTATGATTTCTGAGAGAAACATGCTAGCTTTACTTTGCCCATTATTTTCAAAATCTACAACATCGAAAAAAGTCAAACATGTACAATTATTTACATCGAAAGTTAAAAATCAAGTTTAATCCTCTTCTTCTTCTTCTTCATCTTCAGAGGAAGAAATAGCAAGATTCAGTTTTTTTAATGCACGCGCTCGTTGTGGTCGCTCTTTCTCAGTAACAGTTGATGCTTGTAATCCAATATTTGGGAGATAGATTTTCACACCACCTGCACGTCGCTTGCTTGCTTGACGAGTCGAATGTGGCTGCTTTTTGACTACTCGCTTTTCTGGATGAACCGGTTCCCAATCATTATCTACTTTAGATGCGAAAGCAGATATCAATTCATCTTCATCTTCTTCATCTGAACTCTCGCCAGTTGATACGACAATGCTTTCTTCATTATCAACTGGTTGACTGCTGTAATCCGGGTGTGGCATTGATCGAATTCGAGAACTTCGACGTATTTCTGATCTAAACTAACCGAGAAGCACAGCTCAGAAACATATTAATACAATATACGAAAAAAGTATTTCTTACGGATCGATAATTTTCTTCCGTAGAGGTTTATCTACTTTTACCGCTGACGTTACCGACGATTTTAAATCATTCCGCACCTAAAATTGAAACAATAAGAGAAAAAGACCTTATTTTCCAATGATGATCATCATACATTGAGCAAGTGAAGACTTTCCAGAAATTTTTGATTATCAAGTACATTCTTTCGACGTTTATCTTCAATAGTATCCATTTCTTTGTGTGTACCCCTGGGTTCAATTTGTTCTATTCCGTTAGACATTTGAAGATCGAACTGTCTGGTTGAATATAAAAACCCGCAAGAATAAGTAACACAAGTCTACTGTTACGATTTGTTAACACTAAAACCAATATCTATGCAATAGAGGTCATTGCTGTTCCTGTTGTTTATTTCATTATCCACAATTTGACTAGGTGCATTTATACTTCATAAATTATGATGAAAACACATAGAATCGTTTTAGTTCGACACGGGGAAAGGTAATGAACGAATTTTTCTATGATTGAAATTCATAATCTTTGTTTCGTTCAGTGAATGGAATCAGAAAAATTTGTTTTATGGTTGACACGATGTGGATTTGTCCGAAAAGGGCATCGAAGAAGCAAAACAAGCCGGCAAGGTCGGTTATTTCTCTGGAATTCGTTAATAATACATTTGTTTTCTACCATGTATTTAATGACTAAAAGAGATAGACTATACTTTTGATGTTGCTTATATCATCCGTATTGAAACGTGCAGTTAAGACTCTCTATCATATTCAAGAAGAGCTGGATATCCATTTATCGGCATTGGCGTTTGAACGAACGTATGTATGGTACATTACAAGGAAAAAAACAAATTCGAAGCAGCAGCAAAATACGGCGATGATCGAGTTAAGGTGAGTATCAACTTCAAAAACAAAGCAATTTTAAGGAAAGAATAGTCATATATAGATATGGCGTCGTGCATATGACATTCCACCACCACAACTGGAAGATTTCAGTGAACACAATCCACGAAACGATTCTAAATATCACGTTATATCTCGAGGATTAAAGTTATTAATTGACTTGACATCAATCATTTTAGTATTTAGATAAACGCGTATTATCGTTAACTGGATGTTTGAAAGATACGGTAGAACGCGCATTACCCTATTGTCATAATAGTATTATTCCATCAATTCGCTCAGGTCAAAATGTACTTATTTGTGCTCATGGTAATTTCCTTCGTACACTGATTAAATACCTCGATAAGGTACCAGATGAAGAAATCGTTGAACTGAATTTACCAACAGGTCTGAATCGGAAACAATTCGTTGATAAGGAACATGAATGAACTGTCGTCTCTTAGGCATTTCATTAGTTCACGTATTGGACGAAAATCTTCGTCCGATCACTCATTACTATGTTGCGCCGGATGATGTTGTTTAAAAAGTCATTGATCAAGTCGCTAACCAGGGAAAAGCAAAGAAGTAAAACTGCTCATGTAGTTTTCTCGATAGGATACTCATTTTTACACCGCAATTCGATAAAATTATAAACACTAATTTGTTTCAGATAACAATGAATGAACAAATGTTCGCATTGCGTACACCTCAGATTGATGCGAATCAGCTCGATGAAGATTTTCATTCGTACAATTGGGAAATCTTCTCATCGCTATTCCGTCATTCCTATTCGCATTTAATTCATTCATTCAAACACGAATTTCAATTATTTCTTCGTCTACTAACATCGTACCATACACTTCTATCTTCGAAATCATCAGCGACAATTGGTCAACAACTTTTACAAATCAAATACTCTCCATCATTACAAACGCGTCGACAAAAAGTTCTTTACTTATCAACATTCGCTTTTACTTATCTTTACGAAAAATTCTTAGTTGACTATCGTCGCTTATTACCATTTCAATTCATCTATAAACTATTTCTATTTTTTAATTTCCTTCTGTTTCTCCGTCAAGGTACATACATCAATTTATTCGAACGCTTTGTTCAACTAAAAACCGTCCATGATCATCCTCCATCACTTCGCGTGCTCGATTATACTTACATGAAACGTGAATTGATCTGGCATACACTAAATGAAACTTTGGGAACAATCATACCATTCATTAGTTCGTTGAAAGCACGAACATTCATGAGAAAGCATCTTTCCGGAACAATCATGAGACAACTTGAACAAACAAATATCTGTTCCGTATGTGATCAATCGATTGTGATGCCACACGAATCCATGGGAGAATGTAAACATTATTTTTGTTATGTATGTGCTTATAGTCTAATTCAACAGTCTTGTCCAATTTGTTTTAAAGAGATTCCGAATATCAAACCGAAAGAATTTTCTGTCGGATAAAAATAAACAAAGAGAATGTTTGAGAAACTGCGAATAGACGGATTTTTCACAGTTCAATACCTCTCGTATTTGCTGATATATATATATTAAAATTCTAAATATTATATTTACTTTCCTGTTTGATTGACAAAAAACATACACACATACAAATACATCGTACAGCAAGACAAATATTTGTACAAAGTAAAATTCAGTCATATCTTTCATAGTTCAATTGCTTTCACTCTTCACCAGAGGAATTTCGTCATTATTACCCTCTGATCGTTCATTGGTATTGTCTTTTACTGGAGATGATGACGCATTCAGAATAGTTGGTATAATTGAATCATCTTTGGGTAAATTTGAAGACGTTGTTTTCGGTGACGAACGATAGTGTAAGTGTGGATTGTCATGAAGTTTTCGTTTCAAATCAGCTCCACATAATTTCTGATGTGATTCCCAATCGCGATGCTGACAAAACTGTCCGCAATAGCGTGCTACATTGCAGCCGGAACATGTTTCAATTGCTTTTCGCCCACAATGCCAACAATGCTGAATAAAAAGATGATTATAAGTCTCTACGATCGAATAAAACATGACGTCTGTCTCACTTCTGGACCATCCTGTTGTCGATTGAGTAATGTATAAGCTTCTTCGAATGTTTGTGCTTTTAAACGTTGATATTGCTCACGTTCACGAAGTAGCAGATCATTTGACTTTTGTTCACTCTGTGTAACTGCCTTTTGTAAGTCAATTATTGATTGACGTTTGATTTCTAAAACTGTCTCTTCTAGAATGAATAAACACTCATGTCTTTCGTACGAGAGATAATGGACGCGAATATCTTTACCTGCTTTTCGTCGAATTTCCGAGATTCGATCGTCAGTTTGAGTTAGTAATTCTGCATGTCTACGTCTCCATTCGAGTTCATTCGTTTCAATTAATCGACGGAGATGAATATCTTTTTGTTGCAATACGAACAGAACTCTTTTGCTTTTTGTTACCATTTCTAATATACAATTCAGCATCTAGATACACAGGAAATTCATTTCAAGTTGAGCTAATTCGAAATTCTCACGTACATTTTCGGCGTTTTTCCATTCATCATCGGAATCTTTATGATCATTCGTGTATTCTCGTAGATCTTGAGAAAACAGATAGAGAAAACCAAAGTTTTGAATAGATCAAATACTTACAAGAACTGAATGAACGATCTTTGTCACGTCGAATTGTGTTTTGGTACATTCGATGGTTAACAACGGCACGTTTAGTTGCATAAGGACGCTCCTCCACTTCGTTTAGACTAACAAATAAAGAAATCAAAGATCATTTCGCCTAGACTTTCCAGAGTATTTTACTCGTCCGAAAACTTTCGTTTTCCATTTTCGTTAATTGGTTCTTTTGGTGGAGAAAGTTCATTTTCAAGAATATCACGAGATAAAAATATCAATTCTTCATTTTGAACAATATATTGACTAACACTTTGCTTCGATTGCCGAGCTAATTCCGACATTTCTTTCTGTAGAATCGGCAATGTTGACTAAAAAGCATTGCACACAACTACTTGAAATATAGCTTTGAATTCTGAAAGACGTACTTTTAAAAATGGCAGAGCAAATGGCCGTAATGGAAAGTTAGTTGTTGCTTGTAACTTTGCATGAAATTCTTCAACAGATAAAGCATTATTCTATGAAAAAGATCGATTTATTTCCTTTGGACAAATAAGAGTTTACGTACGACAAGAGCTGTGATTAATATTCGAACACGTTCGCCGATCTCATTAGAAATATCTGTTCCAAAATAATACAATGTGCTAAGAAATCGACGTAGTTTATCTAATTGTTTTGATAACGTTTGAATAGGAGAATTGGGACGGGGTGTATTTTGAACAGTAAAGGACAACGGAGGTGATTTATCGTTATTTAATGTTATCGTCGTTGTCAACGACGAAGATGACTCCGCATTGTTTGCGTCTGTAATCATAGTTATGGGCGCTGGCGATATCGAGTTCTCACTCATATCAATCGGCATACGAAAATCTAAAAGTGTGCAAGGTGATCTTAGTATAAAATGTGCAATAAAACATTTTCTGCGTTCTCTTTTCTCATTTCATTTTTAACAGCTGTCACTATGAACAAGCTGACTCCACTTAAACATATAAATTTAAAAGAAGCATTTCATCCAACGATGTATGCATGTCAGGCAAAGATCTCTATATGATGTATTTATAGATCAAGTTCACCGTGACTACTCATGAAAAATAGATTTGTTACTAGAGCAGAATGCTACGTATACATACCGATCCTTTCGAACTGCAATGTCAAATAATAGAAAAGAAAAAACGTGAGCAAGAGAGAAATAAATCCAGATGGTTAGTAATTCTCTGAACATTGAAAAGAATTAACAAGTGATCGAACGAGGTGCCTCGTTTTTTCTTTCTTCTATGTGAATAATTACCATCTGCTCTTTGCATTCAGAATGATACAACAAGTAGCAGACTATATATCATCATGCAGCTGATTTGTTTCCCAAAGTTTCGAAATAGAAANTGATTGAACAGCTGACTCGATTTAAACAAGAGCACTTCTATAAACTACAACAGATCAGCGGTCGACTTCATGATAGTAAACAGATGATGGACAGTGCTGAAGCAAGTGATATCCAAGTGAAACTGGAAGAGATTCAGTCGTCTGTCAAGTCTCTTATGTATGGCATACATTTGGACATGTGTGAAGCAACGAGAAGAGTTCAGTGTCGAAAGATATTTCATTATGAAAGGTCGATGAGAGAAGGTATGAAATCGGGTGACATGCTGCTTTCAAAAAGTTCTAGTTGGACAACAGAATTACATGGCATGATGACTCCAAGTAATTCACCATGCGAGATAATTTTGTAGATAAACGGAGTAACGGAACAGATATCCAGTGGTACAGATGAGTCGAAGTCATTAATCAACGCTATGGATTCATCAAAAACACGTAGATGACATTTGACGAAACAAGCCTTGTTAGAATGAAAGAAATTTTTATGTCGAAAATACAAGATAAACTTGTTCTTTTTTGCGTCGATATCAATGATTCAATCTTTTAGTGAACCCTGCCGCCGCCGGCGATGAAGATGCGTCTGAGCGGTCCTTTTGCTGATGGCCATGGACGGGAGTGCGCTAAAGGCATCCAATTTTTGCTCGAATAATAATGGGTCATCATTGTGCATTTTGAAATAAATGAATTTTAACAATTAATAGCTACGCTTCAGAGCCAATGCAAATGGAAATAAAGCTAAATTTTAATTTTTGGATGAACTATTACAAGAGACGTGCGCAATTTCCTTCGAATAAATCATGTGTGTACTAAAGAAAAATTGATCCATTCTTTCTACTTGGTTTTTTTACTGATTTAACTATCAATGATTAAGTCGATTTTCCTAAAAGACAATAGTATTCGTGACGGTTATTGATCCGTAACTTTCGCCTATATAACATCCTCACCGAGAGCTAGCTGACCTCCTTGTATCTGTATTAGATTGTGTGTGATCATTCATATATAAGCTAAGTTCAATAAAGGAAACGAATATGTAGATGACACAGGACATCGCTATCACTTTTCGTCACAATATTCTTTGCAGTCTAACCGAGAGGCTTCTACGTATTTTACTACAAACCGAAAAGATTGAACGAAGTCTTTTGCTCGGCGACGGTTTTTCAGATGATAACCACTGTCACCTATATTGCCACAACTTCATTAGTTCGGTCTCCTCGACCAACTGAATATATAATTCTGTCCTTGAATCCTATGAACATGGAAAGGATGGGCTATTCATTGTCTTGTAAATTCTGAGCACCAAAGTTATCAGCACGGCCGAAGCTCTGCGACTCAGCACTAATAAAAAATGGGCATGAAAATCGGCGCCTCACGCTTTATTTTGAATAAATGTTCTATCCCACTTGTTATATTTGTGCTTTTTTTACCTTTCTAGATAACTTTCCTATTGATCAATGTAAGTTATGTTTATTTCAGCCAGAATGCATTATAGTGACTGTGTAGAAATTGAATTTGAGTACCGGACACGCTGACTTGTTCAAACATACATCATTCCCGTACTCTTCTTGATATCTATTGCACACTTTAGATCTGGTTTCTGTATAAGCTGTATAGAACCTAGTCTTCATTGTGGAAACTGGAAAATTCTCAAATACTGCTTATATGGAAACGAGATCTAGAGTCATTTATAATCTCTTCTTTGGCTGTGCTAAAAATTGAGTTTTCCGGAAAACTCTATAACTCATAAAATCACTAGCACAGAAAGTATATTCTCCACTATTTGAATTTTCTCGATTATTAAAACGTAAAGATTTTTAAAAACAGAGAGATGGGTTTGTTTGACCGAAGACATTTCACATTGTTGTGTATATTTTAGCATTGGCACTACCCAGGTTATTATGGTGTGGTCGGTTCCGGCGGCAAGGACTTTGGCGGAACCTGCTGGAGTTGGCGTAAACTGTGCCCGAACCGACTCAGATTTCAACGGATCCAGTTGCCGGAATGGTCGACCTGGGATATATATGTAAAATAAAAAGATTATAAGAGAAAGTAAGTTAAATTTTATGTAGATAACTGTATATGGTGTTTAAATATTAGCGGTGTCCTTATCTGTGTTTCTGACCGTCTTTTTCTTCCACTAAACATATCTGTTGTTACTGCTTCATTGCTATAGCAGCTTGCACGCTATTCTGTCCCATCTAGTCTACCTGTTTAGTAACTCCTTCTACTAATTGAATCTTTTACATGTTCTCCAGCAATACTTCTGTAAGATTAAATAAATGTTCTGTTACCGTGCATGTTTTCTGCATGCTTCACTCTTCGGGTATTTACATGACTCCAATTCGCATCTCGTTAAGTCATGTCACCCGTTCTTTTTATCAGATTATCCCATGAAACTCAAGTAATAAGAATTTTTCTTTTTTCAAGAACGATCATATACCCCCACACTTACAACAAATCGCACAGCGCATCCAAAATTTTGAACATCTTGTTTATCAAGTGAGTTTTTACAAGTAGTGTTGAAGAGCATCGATGATGAAGAAGGCCTTTGTAAAAATGCGCGGATAGCAGAGAGGATAATGGAGGCAAAGATTGAATAAAGGTGCGCACAAAAATCTCGCGAAAATATCGAATTAGGATGAGAATGAAATTTTTATCATGTTGCGCTCATTGATTAATTTGGATATGTTTTCCTTATAGGCTTTGCAACAATTCCAAAATGTCAACCAAGAATTGCAAAGCATCAAGGCCGAATTGAAAAAAGCAACGGGAAGCTCAACACCGCCGGGTGAAACGGTGACGAATATACAATCGCCATTAGAACCCAGGTCGATCATTCCGGCGACTGGATCCGTTAAAACCTGAGTCGGTTCCGGTACAGCTCTTCTCGATTCCGGCACAGTTTTCGCCGATTCCAGAAAGTTCCGGCCGGAATTGCACAGGAAATATCCGATCAGTTCCTGACCGTTTCCAGCTCGAAGTTTGCAGGAAACGGTCGGGAAATGACTGGAACCTACGTTTGAGCTTCCGACCGGAATCCGGCGGCAAGGAAATGGTTGGAAAACGAACCTAACCGGCCGGAACCGACCGTGCCATAATAACCTGGGAAGTCGCACCGGCATCGAATACACCCCCACTACACGGTTTATATCCGCTAGAAAATACGGCTGATACCCAATTATTTTCCAGCTCGATCTCACCGACAGTTCCGCATCATCGACAAAGTCAAGAAACACACCCAACACAACAAGCGCAACATGCTCGATACAATGATCAGCCATCCAAGGTGCACATGTCTCAAGGAAAAAAAATGTACACAATAAAGCAGGGGGACTGATGGGCCGTATTTGATTCCAGTCAATGATCCAACAACCACCCAAAGGAATCAAGAAAAGAATTGAATATCTCATTAGAAGAATCAACTATACCAATTCAGTTGATGCTGGTTACTCGAACAACAATAAGCTTCATATGCTTTTCGCGCCTCTTCCTTTTCTTTCATTTTCTCAATTTAACCATTTCATCATTTACGTTGGTACAATTCCTAGCAGAAAGAGAACTCTCATTGAATGGTCCACGAGTTCGCAAGCATGTGATCCAGTCAAATGCTTTTTCCTTTTCTTCATTTCGCATTAAGTTGTAGCTTACTAATCTCATATGTACTGTTGTCAGCGCTTCCGAGTGGAACAACAAATAAAACTGCGAAGTATTAAAAAAATGATCAGCCATATGTGCGACGTCGGCAAAGGCCACGCAGACGAATTTAATGTATTTATCGAATTTTTCTGAGAGATGAATTGACTCGCAAAGCCGTCCATCTTCATCTCCAATGTCTTTCGATGTAGACAATCATCTCTTCAAATTAATAAGCGTGATGATGATGACAATGACCCAATGCTCATTCTCTCCATGCGATTTACATGTACTAGCAAGTGATGAAAGTACTTAATCACCTGCAATTCTTTTGTTTTGTAGTTTGGTGCGAAAAATCAAACTAATGAAGATAGATTACTCCTGTATACACAACTGGATGGTATTGTGAGCTTCAAACCAAGTTTTTCGTCGTGTTTTTCTTTTAAAATCACGCTCTTCTTCTCATTCTTCGTATAAGTGTTTTGTGAAAACGATAATTCGTCATGTGTGTATGTAAAAGTGTTCGAGGTCAGATTTTTTTCGTATACCTTATTTACTAGTTGATCTTTTCTCTCTCTCTGTATATCTAACTAATTATCTAGAGCATTGTGCAATTACTAGCTTCTCGCTTCTTCAATCGACTACACACAGGTGCCTATGATCACCTAACTTACGTCTATACCTATCTGTTGACTACTCGAAATGAAAAGTTTTTTGTCAAAGCATCGCTATCATCTTCTACAATTCAATCACTTGTGTTTCTTTTCTCTCTTCTCTTCTCTTCTCTTGGTATCTATGAAATTTAATTTAAACAAAGAACAATTCGAAAAAAAGAAGCTTTCTGATCGGCTGATTGTGACAGAGATCCGTCTACTCCGAACTTTTACACTATGTACAAGNATACCTATCTGTTGACTACTCGAAATGAAAAGTTTTTTGTCAAAGCATCGCTATCATCTTCTACAATTCAATCACTTGTGTTTCTTTTCTCTCTTCTCTTCTCTTCTCTTGGTATCTATGAAATTTAATTTAAACAAAGAACAATTCGAAAAAAAGAAGCTTTCTGATCGGCTGATTGTGACAGAGATCCGTCTACTCCGAACTTTTACACTATGTACAAGATGAGATAAAGTGCACTATAAATAGTATCTACTTCAAGAACAAGTCAAGTTCGTATTCTTATCTCTATCGGACACAGAGTATATTTTTCTCATTGCAGTAATCCATTAGGACGTGATGAGAGAAAAACTACTGACAAGGTTCGTTCCTTTCCATCAAACAAGCTGCATTCAGAAGTACACTGTCATTGCACTACGTAGTTCTGAGAAATGTTCATTGCAGTATCATTCATTAATCTCGCTTTGTTATTAACTGTTTCGATATCTCAGGTGGTTTTATCAATTGTTTATCATGGTGAATGTCCATCGTCACCTTTTCTATCGACGACGTTAGGTATAACTGGTGCAGTAGGTGTGATTTTAAGCATCCTTGCTGCAGTTATTCATCGGTATGATGCATATGATGGTACGAATAGATGGAATCTGTATGTCACATGTCTATTATTGATTTATTTAATTGGATCACGAGTTGTTGTCAGTATCTTTGCATTTCGACTGGCATCGCGAAGATTGGATGAAATTCAGTGTGCAGCAGTACTATACTGGTGTTCGACATTTCTGATCATTATATCTTACAGTATCATCATAATTACATCATGTCTCTTGGTCAAGTTGGTTTTACTACAACGGCGAGATAGCTTCTATCATAAACCGACTGACACTAAACCTTCCAGCCTGTTGGAAGTGTAACACAATCGATTGTCGTAATCAATATTCAATACAGACGATGCCTTCTGAATATATGCTCCCAACAACACTTTCATATTTCTCTGTGCTTTCATGAATCTAATCGATCGGTGTACATTTCTCTTAGTTCTTTTCTTACTGACAGAGAGATATTCGTCTAATCCTCGTGGTCTGCCTTATATACAGACACACGTATACTTCAGAAAAGAAAAGAANGAAGTGTAACACAATCGATTGTCGTAATCAATATTCAATACAGACGATGCCTTCTGAATATATGCTCCCAACAACACTTTCATATTTCTCTGTGCTTTCGTGAATCTAATCGATCGGTGTACATTTCTCTTAGTTCTTTTCTTACTGACAGAGAGATATTCGTCTAATCCTCGTGGTCTGCCTTATATACAGACACACGTATACTTCAGAAAAGAAAAGAAAAGAATAGTCCTATCACACTTCTTCTGTGTTAACATTCTCACATTCAACGATGACATGCAACGAAGTCAATTGTGAAAGGTTCTCTTGTGCACTATGCTACGATTGTCAACAATCTCTGTGTGTCGATCACATAATAGATCATCACAATAGTGCTCTTCAGCGTCACTTATCTTTCTATGATACTCTTCGACAACTGTACAAGAAACTTCGTTCTATGAGTATCGAACAATGTTATCGACAAGTATTCCAACAAATATCGTCTGACCACATCTATTCATCTGATCGACTACTATTCGATCTTCGCTCGATACGTGAAGAACTGATTGAACAGCTGACTCGATTTAAACAAGAGCACTTCTATAAACTACAACAGATCAGCGGTCGACTTCATGATAGTAAACAGATGATGGACAGTGCTGAAGCAAGTGATATCCAAGTGAAACTGGAAGAGATTCAGTCGTCTGTCAAGTCTCTTATGTATGGCATACATTTGGACATGTGTGAAGCAACGAGAAGAGTTCAGTGTCGAAAGATATTTCATCATGAAAGGTCAATGAGAGAAGGTATGAAATCGGGTAACATGCTGCTTTCGAAAAGTTCTAGCTGGACAGCGGACTCAACAGACAACTACCGGAAGAAGAGATGTGAAATTGATGAGAGTTTGCCATTGTTCTGATAGTCATTTAGTAAAAATAAACGTATGGAAAGAGTAGATTCAAAGAACTAAAAGATTTTGTCAGTCAGTGTTGATCTATTCATGAGAGTTCTAGCTTTAATTGAAAAGTAGACAGCTTTTATCCAAAACAAATAGTATCAAAAATGTATAAAAATATAACAGACATTCTCACAGGTATAAATACATACATTTACAAACAGGCTTCTCGTCATAAATGCTCATAATCTTGCATGGGTTTCATTGCACCAGCAAGAATGGAATCATAGATGAAATCTTCTCGATAAAACGTTGTAAACTATGAAAACAGACGAAAGTGAATGTCGAATGTATTTCACAAAAAAACACAATCAATTACTTACACCCATATTCTTGTACCCCTGTAGTTCCACAGACGGTGTCGGTGCTTCTATCTCAGCTACCGAGCAAACGATGAGATTTGGTGGATCATATGTACCAATTCCATTGAACCCGTACGTAGCATACTTTTTCGGTGTTTTCTTAGCTCCATGTGAGAGTTCATTTTCTATGGAAGGAAATGAATGTAAGAGGTATTGCTTTTTCTCTGTAAGCTCAACAAAAAACAATCAACTTACTGCAAACGTGTCCGCCAAACCGCTGAATAAGAGTATCCATGGCGATAGGTGTATCAGCCATTTGTCCAATAAATGCAAACTTAAAACCATTGAGTATTCTATTAATAAAAGATTGAATATGGAGTCAGTAGAAGTAGTGATTATACGTACGGTGCGTCTTTTACTGCGAGTGCTTTTTTGTATAGTTTTCCAATTTTCTGTAACTTTTTCTGTATTACTTCTTTGGCCATTCCATGTGGCTAACAAATAGAAAATACCGATAACAAAAGATAACATTCCGATTGAATTCACCTACTGTGTATCTAAATTCACCAGAGTTGACTTTGTAGTGAACAATATATTGAGGAAGAATGTGCTCGCTTCGAAAGATGACTAATTCTTTCTGACAAGGTGAACAATGTGAATCGAAACCCTAAATACGCAATAGAAACGAATGAAACGTGAGAAAATAGCTTGAAATATCTCACATCTTGAAGACCAGCACCGGTGATTAGTTTATTACATTTGTATACCTATTTGAAAAAATGTACTCCGAAAATCTTTTTCTGGAAAGTTGAGGCGAAATCTTACTTTTCCTTGTAATACTTGACACAACATTAGTTTTGTTGAACCTTTGATATATCCCATTGAATAACCAGGATATTCCTAGAAGGAAAACGTCAGATATTTCCATCATCATGAGGGTGAAGCGTCTTACACTGAAATAAGTCCCACGTCCATAATACCCAGTGTCAGTAGCATGTTTGAATCCTTTCTGACCTTAAGAAATTATTTCAATACATAATATTTATTATTTTCAATAAGTGCGACTAACCGGGTACTTTGAAACCAGTTTCACATATCGGTTGAATATTTGCAACTGCTGTACCATGAAATGCCAAAACAGGATAGGAATATTCAATGCCACGTTTTTCTTTTAGTTCTTCGCGTGCTTTACTGAATGAAATAAACGAATTTAGATTCAACTCCCAAATGGCATTGATCGACTATTTACTTGAACTTTTCGATCAACACCGGATTACAGACATATTCGACTTTTGTTACTGTTGCTCTACAAAAGAAATATCGTAATGTCACTTGTGAGTAAAAATATAGCTGCTTACGTAGCATAACCGCTGAGTAGCCGATAAAATTGTGATTCTGCCAAACGAAAATGCACTTCGGCAGCCGAGCCTAAATAGCAAGAGCATTACGATACGATTATTAAAAAAAAAGATTATCTAGTACCTTGATTATAGTTGCGCTCTGGAAATAGTTCAAAATATTTCATTTTCGTGCCTTTGAGTATTTCATCTTCCCCTTCCATCAATAAGGTACCTTCAGTGATCTGTAATTATACATATTTGCTTGATGGAAGACCAAAGAATAAGACAAAACTTACCTTGGTTTGAAGTTGTTCTACTTCTTTCTTTCGCTCTTCCGCTTCTTCACGAGATTTTTTCAATTTTTCTTGTAGTTTTTCTTTCAATTCAAATGCCTAAAAACCATCATCTTCAATATTTGGAAATGAATGTATCTATTACGATACTTACTCTTTCAATCATTAAACGTTTTTCATCATCGTTCATCTTCGAAAAGGTTTTTTCAAGTTTTACATCATAGGCACTTTCCTACAAAAATCTCCTGTAGAGCAACATTCATGTGGCTAGATTCAACATACGTCATCAGAATCATATTCTTCTGTTTTGTCACCATTGTCAGAGTCTTCACTTTCAGCTTTTCGTTTTTTACTAACAGGAGTGGCTTGTGAATTTTTATTTGACTTGTCTGCTGTTGTTGTTGCTTCTTCTTCATCACTGTCATCATCATTAGGGCTTAAGAGATTAAACGGATGACTAAACTCTGCAAAGTGTAATAGATTCTTTCGATAGCACGTAGCACCAAACGGACACACCGTTAATGGTTTGCTATTAACTAAAGACAATATAAAGAAATATTTACGGGATAAAATAATACATGTTAAACAAACCAGGTTTGACTGTTGTAGTACTTGTTGTGGAGATCAATGTTGGATCGGAGTGAGTATATTCCTTAAAGTGTTCAGGATTTTTACGATAGCATGTACTACCTAACGACACAAGAATATTTGTAGGAAAGAAATACAAATCCAACACGTATATTTTACCATATGGACATTGAGGTAAGCTCTCTAATTTAGCTTTCTTAGCCGCACGGGTAGAGATAGACATTGGACGGAGAAAATAAATATCTAAAAAATTAATGATCGAACATCATGAACTTACTAAAACGGGAACTATGTTGTCGAAATAGAGGGACTTGCACTCACTAGCGTTACTTATAGTGAAGAGGCGAATATCGCATGATACCTATGCGAACTCTCAACGGAGCTCACTCTTTTGAAACAAATGAAACGCTTCATATGCTTATATACTGACCGTTAGAGAATCTTGCACCACAAGTTAAGACAGTGGTGCAATACCTGTTTTTAGTGAGTAGAAACTCAAGCATAGGCAAACAATGAGAAAAATCGTATTAACCAATGAAATAGACAGAAACGCTAAAACAGAGTAAAATTAATCATTTTGTTTTACATGATTCAACTTAAGACACCAATTCAATGCACACGTGTGCTGCCACCTGCGTCAATATTCGTTTCACCTGTAATCACTGTGTCTCGATGGAAGTTGTATACGCTTGATGGAGACATCTCTGACACCTTAATATTGACCTATTATCTTAAGTCAATCCGCTTGCTTGTCTTTCTATCGGAGCACTTTCCGTTACGCATATACATATATCAATATTGTAGTTTGGGTATTGGCATTCATTTTTTTCATAAAACGAGTATCACGCAGTATCCGCTCCAGCAGACAACAGATCTAATGGAAGTTGTATACGCATAATAGAGATATAGCTTTACATCTTAACATTGTCTATTGTACATCTTTGTTGACTTTTAACAGTGATTTTAGTATGTGATATGGACGGGTGTTTTCATTAAATCTATCGTTTTTCTGTGACTGTCTATCTGCCCATTTAAGTAAGCCCCATATTTCAACAACTTCAACTTCAAAGTATAAGCCCATTGCATTGGTCGATTTTTCTAACCAATCAAATACCTTCACGAATCCTTCTTTTCTTCAATTGGTTTCTTTACTTTCAAAATTATTATTGATTATATTTATCCGAACTGATTGAAAACATTCTAATGAGCGAAAAAGTAATTCACAGCTTCGAAGGAATTTGTCCCTTAACACATTATGGAATCTATGGAATTAAAAAAAGGTAAAAAGAAAAGCTATTCAATTTTTCAAATGTCAATTTAACTTTTTATTTTGTTTACTTCTTCTCAACTCAAGTTTCAACATGCCAAACTTTCCATGCTGTGATAAAACAGACCACGTATCTTTGAAAAAACACTTAATGTACAAACATAATCTGTCAAATACTGCTGGTAATGACCGAATCTTTCCTTACTTTTTTTGCATTTGCGCTAAATTTCATAGCAAATAAGATCGTTCTCGATCGCATGCATACAACTAATCCAAACCGAAAGAAAAAATCCGCATTAATATTTCACGGTACTCAAGAATTATTTTCACATTCAGTTCATTGGCACAAAGGGCAATGTCCGTTTTCTTACGGTTTCACAAATGTTTATAATCTAACATGCATCAGTCATAAGATAAAAAACTTCGACTGTCGCCATCGTAAACAATGTCTGCTACTATCTCATTTACGCGTTTCACATAACTTAAATATTAAATCAGCGAAGAAAATCGTCAAAGCAATTATGTCGTCATCAATTGAGAGTAAACAAAAATCATCGATCGAAAACGATATCAGAGAAATAATTCTCTTCCAGAAAGACGATGTCGTCTTGAATACCAATCCGTAAGTCGACATTTTCTATTTCACAATATCAATTGTTGATTCGTATCAATTGCAGAAATATTTATAACGACGATCGAAGATTTCGACATTATTGCCCATTGACAAAAAATGAATTCATTCACGAACAACCACTGTTTAATATTCCTTGCACAAAAGTCAACGAGAAATTTCTTCTGTTCGCTCATCTTCAGTATGTTGTAGACTTTGAATCACGATTGACTGAATTTCTTTTCCATAGACATTACCATCAGATGAGTGGTGAACTTGCTCTTCGTCTCATTCGTTCTATCCGTACCGGTACAGAATCTGCAGTAATCAATGATCTTTTACAAAATTATCCTAATCAACATTCTATTGCTACGACAATGCCCATCAATTCTACACATTCAAAGAACGGCGTTAACGCGGAGGAAATCGATATTGTTCCGTATAAATGTATATGTCCATATTCGAATCATTCACCCGATAGAAATTCGAATCAATCGAAAAACCTGCTGAAAAAATTTACAAAATTCGTGCAGAATATTCCGTGCGATCGTCCCTGTGCAGTGAATCTTTATCGACACCTTCGAAATTATCATAAAGTTGATCTACAGCATGCGAAAGACATCACGAGGACGATAATGCTGGCAAAAACGGTGAAAAACGATGCCTGCGTACAGGAGTCGATAACAAATACAGCAGAGTCACTTAAAAAACGAGTGAGAAATTCGCTTAGCGAATTATATCTGAAAGGCTAAATTATTTTTATTTAGAAATTAACGGACGAATTTGAAACAACGAAACCTCTAGGTAATACTTGCGAAAAGTAAGAATTTCACTAAAGATCTTCTCTTTTTAGCGCATATGGATTTCCAGAATATAAAAGCAGAAGAGAAGAGTATGATAAATGTCTAGACAATGTCGAGTTGTATATGAAATAAGATTTTTCTAGGCGAATCAATTGATTTTTTCATTGAGAATGAGAATCCTGATGAATGGGTAAGCAGACTTAATCTCAAAAAGGGTGTGTCTAAAGTAAAATTTGTTCTTTTAGGTTGCATCAATGATTAATGATGAAGATTCACTTTTTCTTTCGTTTGATGAAGAAGGAACTAATGATAATGTCATCGAAAGCAATATCTAACTTGCTTTTGTTTTGTACGAATATCTATTGCGTTGTTCAAACTTGCGGAACAGTCTCTGTGAGATCGTACGGCTTTGATCAGTTTTGCACATATCTATATTTTTCTTTTCGTTCATAATGTATTGAACATGTTATTTGCCTTTTCGTACATTTAATTCTTAAAATGGAAAAAACACATCGATTTTCTCCGTCTACTCTCATTATTTGATTCAAACCGTAATCAGCATGCCGAATACCAGTTTCATCTGCAAGAAAAACGAATAGATTATCAATGACAAACAGAGAGTAAGCTAAAATACAAGCTTCGATTCGTAAAGTAGATTCTTTCTCCAGTTCATGTGTGAGTTTCGTTTCATAAACCTTTTCTTCGTTCATTCCTTTGATATCTGAACGAGTAGCAAGAAAGAGTTTGTACTTTCGAAGTAAAACACGAATTTACAAAGTTGTAATTGAATGAGTGTTAAAATCTTCGGATCCACATAACCGATCGATTCTAACCATATGCTAGAGAATTAAGGAATAATAGACATTCGTTTACCGTGGTTAGTCGATTGGTAGTGAGAAAAGAAAGCTGAATCAATAGACTTTTCGTGTGTGTCTATTGATTTCGATTTTATTGCTATAGTACATAACGAAGAATTTATTTGAACTGCAAGTGAATATCGACCTACTCTGTTCAGCTAGTAGTATTCCATGATTATCTATAAGAAAGAGAAAACTTTATTCGAGCTATGAAACATCTTTCTTTGACACACATGTACTCATACGTGTATTTGTATCAATTTTCCATTTTTCGAGATTAGATTTTTCCATACTAATTACTAACTCAACAGCAATTCATACTTGATTCAATTTAGATCTTCTTACATTGAGTCATTTCCTTTCTGTATTCATTCAGTTGTTCATTGCTTAATGATTTTGGATCAACAGAAAAGAAATCATCTAAAAGAAACCGATCTTTCAAAATGATTTTCTTGTAAGTTTACCTCGATCTTCTATGGGAACGGGAAATGATCTTGGTACTTGAAAATCAAGAATGACTTGTCAGCACGAAATGCGAGAACTCCTCTCTTACGATTTTTCAGTGTAATTGAATTGGAATTGTATGATGAGAATAAGCGATTATCAATTTGAAGAATTGGCAAAAAAAGTTTAGATTCAGTTTGAATCGGGCACGCCATGACAGAATGTAAGAGAATAGACAAAAAATACTCGATTTTTTTCTTTGCCTAGTAACAAGAAGAAAATTTCTTTTTCATACTTGTTTTTTAGATGGAACAATTTATTGAAAGACTTGATACTGTTCTTGATACAGATCCGTTTCAGGATATTGATTGGACTTTATTATCACAAAATGATTGTGAAGTGAGTTGACTTTAAATGAACGCTTCTGTTACTGTTTCCTTTCTTTAAGCTGTTAGAAAAATACCGCGCAAAGTATCTCGAAGACAGAAAACGAATACGTGACGAACGTAAAACAAAAAATGTACATTAAACCATCACTCCGCTTTGTTCTTAGTCATCTTCTTCGCTTTAGTTCGAACAAATCATGGAAGATCTTCTTCAAGAACTTTCTCACAAACCTGATATCTCATCATTCTGTCGCACACTTGATGAACCTTTGTTAACAACAGTATGTCAAGTGTTCTTTCGAATTATTTCCTCTTCATTGTTCTTTTCAAGAATTCAATCCTTCGCGATGTCCGTAAAAATGAGTCAGATACTTCTGATGACGAACAAGATGATCTTGAACATTGCACGACATGGATTGATCCAAGTAAAAGCATTGGTCGGTCGGTTGGTACGGATGAACTGCAAACATCTACTTATATGATCTATCCAGTGGAACAATCTCCAGTTGTTGCTCCTGAGCCAACGAGAAAAACTCAACGTTATACAAGTCAAGCACGTCGAAATACTTACACATTGCAAGACTCTTCTACGGAAGATGAGAATGACAAACCCAAACAAATAGTCAACACAAAACATGAGTATGTGCGTTTAGATAGTCAAGGTTTTGATCCACAGCAACAACAACAACAAGAGAATCCATTCAATCATGTCACAGATGCACGGTCCACATTTTCCATTCCAAAAACGCGTTTTCGTTTTACTCATCGAGTATGAAATCAAAGCCGACAGATTCTGATACATTATCTTTTTATTTGTTCCCCGTTTCAGGAAGCACAGAATATTCTTTATCGAAAATTAGGCGCCTTCATCAAAGGTCATCTTACACGGCAACTGTTTCGAACAGATCGTGTCACACGTTTAATTCAAACATTACACGTAAGACATATTTCATTACAAAAGTAGGAACATGGATATTATCGTATTTTTGCATCTAAAGGACACTCGAAAGTTTGCTGTCGACTTTCAAGGACACTGTTCTTCAACGAAAACCAAACTTGATCCTGAAGATTTCACTATTATCGATCAATTGATAAAACAGGTAGATAAGCTAGAATTTGAATACGATGCGATATGATTACTTTTGATTTAGACTGAAATGGTTCTAAATGAATTACATGCTATATTTGAGCAGTACTCAGCAGCAGAGAAAGTATCCATCATTACTCGTCATAAGCAATCGCAGCAGTCTCGAACAACAAAGGTTTGACACCATGATTTGATTCTGATAAGATGCACAAGGTTCCAATCATTTTTAGACAAATCAACGACTAGCAAGAGATTTCGGTGTTGAACGACCTATTATTGAACCGATACCAGCTCCGAGTGCGAAGACTGCTAGCACTGCTAAACCAACCGAATTTCGGTTTGTTCAGTCCACATATATCTGCTTATTTAAAATAGTTGTTTATTTCTTTCAGACGGCCGACAGATATTCGTCGTCATGTTTCAGCTGCACCTATTCGTTTGGCTCCATCGACAACAAATACACGTACCAATCCTGTAAAAAAAGCCGCAACTGTACAGAGGAAATCTCGCCCATTAAGTTCCGTCCATCATAACAATGAACCTTTCACAAGTAGATCACCGATCTTCCTTCTCCTTTTCGTCTTCTATTATCCTCTATCTTTAGATCAACAACCGTCGCGTTCGTCTTCTGCCAATAACAATCATCAAAATAATAACAATAATAATAATAACATTTTTCATCCTCCGTTACGCATTGCGCCAGCCAGTCCTATGTTTCGAAATCGTTTGAAATAAATGTGTCTGTCAAACAGACAACCTGATGTAATATGCGTGCGATATTTGTTCGACACAAGAACAAATTGTCCGTTGCTTCTCATTGTACCTCGAAGGAGAACGTATGCACGATTGCTATTTCACTTATCACATTCTGCATAAACTATGCTCGATGGCATCAGCAGCTTCAATCGTACAAAACGTCTTGCTCAAATTAGAACACTGTCTTATCCAAAAGCAAATATTCTGATTACCAAGAAGAAGCAAAAAAAGAAATGTTTGAATATAAAATTCGTTTTATATTTGTTCGATGTCCTAGAAAAGAAAGGTCGATAAGAACAAATGACACTTCTCCCACCTGATACGATTGATCTTTTTTGTCCTTGATGTGTATATATGTTATACTACTTGTTGATCATAAAACAACAAAGTCATTTCATTGATGTTAAGAAAAGTGAATTGAATCGAAATTCTACGGATGATGTAACTGGTAAATTATGAATCTTCATTTAACATGCTGTCTCTGTCGAAGACCCAAACTGATCAAATTTCACGTGTCAGAACAAGGTCTATACATGTACATATAATCGAAAGGTCAATTATCATATACAGAATCAAAAGAAGACGACGAGAGAAAAGAATGGCGACCAGAGTGTAGACATGTCTCTATCATCTCGAATAATAAATGCAAACTATTGAACCATTGATTTTCCTTTTATTTTTACCTATTCTTGTGTAGTTCAATAATGAACTTTCTTCATTTGTTTTAGTGAGTAAGAAAAGAAATCAATTACAAATAGGTGTCAAAGTTTACTTCGTTTGTAATTGACTTTGGTAATAGAAAAGTAACAACAGTCGAAGACACCTGCTAAGATTCATGATCAATCAATTTCTTTCTTAAGTGAATATCATTGCTTTTATTAATCTTTTTTCTCTCTTTCTTTAGCGCATTGTTTTACTGAGTAATGCCATTAAGCAAAGGTTTATTTCCTCTTTACATATACATCAAGCAAACGATAGAGAAAGAGAAAGCGAGAGAGCGAAGAGAAGAGAGGAAAGAGAGCGAAAGAAAAAGCGAACAAACCAGTTGCTGAGCTTGTCATAATCCTTTTTGTTCCCTCTTCGTTCATTCATTTCTACATTCTAGTTAGTAACATGCGACGATTAGTTAACAGATAGTCTGTGACTTCAATTTTGACGAAACAATGCTTCGAATTTAACTGCGAAATCATGAAACCATCAATAAATTATTTTCTCGGTAAGTCTCGCTTTATTCTATTCGTTTGATAAGATAATATATGAGTCTATCTTTGTCGTCTTCAACGCTAATGAAGGCTCTCACTTTTCGACACTTCTCAATATGTTTTCCTGTGATAACTAGACATCTGTACAATTCATCAATGTCTCTGTTAGTGAGAAGATGAGCAACAAACTAATTGTGATAGATGACTATATTGTCTTCGTTATCTTGTCACATTGGAGGGAAGTTCGAACTTAATTAATCCCATCATTTTGCGAAGAACAACGTTCGTTCAGTTCAGAGTTCAATTCACTTCATCTGGCTTGTTCTCTCATCATATACAGGAAAGAAATAAAAAAGGTTAATTCTCTTTGAACAAAGCAAAAATGCCACGAAAAGGTTTTTGTTTGTACAATTGACCCTTCGTTTACATTGAGTCTTGTCATCATTAGCGATTATATGCAATGCTGAGTAGAATCAGTAAACGTGAGCGGATCAACTCTATCTCTTTTATCCATTGTTTATTCTCAATGTTTTTTAGCCATCCAACTAATAATCATCATTCCCGGATTGATTACAGCTGTTCTATCAAATCAGTTTCCTCGTATTTTAACTCATTCACACAATCAAACGTTGAATGTCTCTGAAACAGCAATTTTACGATGTCATGTGAAAAATCTCGGTCATCATCATGTTACTTGGCTGAAATATGATTCAACTATGGATGCGTATTTACCATTAACGGTTGATGAGCAAGTGTTCTATTCAAACAAGCGTTATTTTGTGTCATCCTATTCTACTTCCGATGAGAACTCCTATTGGAATCTAGAAATATCCAACGTTCAAGCATCTGACGAGGGTATATACGAATGTAAAATTTCCAATCGGCATGCAAGCGTTGCCATTCAAATCCATCTACAAGTTCAAATACCCATGACAATTGAACCGGCTCGTTTACATGTCGAGCCAGGTACACCTGTCGAGCTAGATTGCACAATTTATAATGTCAACACCTCATTGATAACCTGGCATTTTTCAAGTTTAAATCAAACATCTAGACCACATCATCGAGATCATTTTGATTTTCATGAAGAGCATCGTTATGAAGCAAATGCTTCCAAATCACAATTAATTATACGTCATGCTCAACCGTACCATACTGGTTTATGGACATGTACATACAAACGGCAGAAGAGAAGTGCAAAACTATTCGTTGAAAAAGGTTTGTTGAGAAGAAACAGATAAACAGTTGTTCATTATGATTTCATCATCAAGGTTATCTCATCGAATTCTTTTCATCTGCTTCTAGGCGCATTCCAACATCAGCAACAGCAACGTCTATTAGCAAATAATCATTCTTCTTCTTCTTTCATTCAATGCACCATGAGTCTGATCTTATTTGCACTTCTCCTTGGACATCATCTGACCCGGAGAATATGACACACATACACATCCATATTTAATTATCAATGAACAGTATGCATCGACAGTCAGATCAATCGACATCTTATGTGTGATGTATGCGTACCTAACAAATCTTATTATGTATGTTTTTTCCTTGTGTTCTTGATAAAAAAAAAAGACGACGACTGACAATTGAGAGACAGCTTTTTCCTTTCTATGTGTTATGATAACAATTAATTCGAGACAAGACATAGTTTTAGTCAATTATCGCTACAAGGGGTTCTTTTGCTTATTGTAGAAAACAAAATAGGTGAAATCTATTAATTATTTGAATATATTTATATATATATGTCTATGTGTGTGTGCGCGAATTGGTTTAATTTAATTAAAAGAAGGGTGATTTGCATTAATGGAGTTGTTCTGTAACACTCAAGAATCGTTTTTTCCTCTTTTGACAATGATGACGACGATGATGCAATCATTTCTCTGTCGTATGTTGTCAATTCGCTGATCAATTTACGAGATTTAAATTTGTATTTGCACAGATGTACGAATGTGCCAGGCGTGTCAATTGTTCATCTATTGAAACAATAGAAGAAGGAAGAAAAGAAAAAGAGGGATGGACGAAGCTTGATGACAATGTCAACAGAATTTCCAACGTTAATGGAAAAGTGGGATTTGCTTTCCAGATGTTTCAAGGATTTTGTTTCACTAAATGACTATTTATCTATCGGATAAGAGAAACTAATATTCAAAATATTGTATCGGTGTGTGAGCAGATGCTTTCGAACAATTAATGCCATCTTTCAGCTGCACGACTCATTGGTAGTTGCATGTTTACCTCGATTCATTCATCGTTCTCTCGTCTTTTCGGACTTGTTAAACTTTCGGATTCAGATTATATAACTTAGCCATGAATAGACTTGTAGTAAGTGTTCTTTATGGAAATATTGTCTTTCTAATTCGATTATCACTAGCAATCATTCGTTAAACCAACGTTATTTCAATTTCAAAATGCGACACTGATTGCTCGTCAAAGTATAGCGTTTGCTTCAACGACAAATGATGACAAAACAAACAAATTGTTTGAATTAATCAAAGATATTCGCTACGCTATGATGTAAGCTGCAAATCTTTTGTCAAAAATAAGACTTTTCCAACGTTTTTATTTAGCACAACTGTGGAATCAGATAACAGTCTACGTTCACGACCAATGGCTAGCCGACAAGCTGATAAATGGGACGGAGCATTATGGTTTTTTACCAAGAAATCTTCTCCGAAAGTCGAAGAAGCTAAACAGAACTATGACAAAGTCAATGTGTCATACTCCGATCCCAACAAAATGTCGTTTGTTTCGGTAAGCGGTGAAGCCGAATTCATTGACGACAAAACTAAAATGAAAGAATTGTGGTCGGCTTACCTCAAAGTATTCTTCCCACAAGGACTGGAGGATCCAGATCTAACATTAATGAAAGTCACAGCGAAATATGGTGAATATTGGGATTCACCAAGTAATAAAATGGTTCAGTTGTATGCATTGGCGAAAGCAGCAGCAACGAAAAATCCTAAGGCACTCGGTGAAAATAAAAAAGTTGATATACAATAATGACACCGATCAGATTTTGTTTAATATTTTTTAATCTCGCAGTACTAGTGGTGATTTTTATACGTGTATTTAAACAAGCTCATTTACGAGAATAAAATTCGAACAGTGTTAGATAATTAATTGTGAAATCAGCTGTTATTTCAAACAAACAAACAATCACAGATGAATGTCGATGATTTCAAAGCGAGTTTTATCGGTAGAACATCACAGTATATCGATACGATATTGAATACGTCTCTCAACGATCCTGTATTACTTCGTGTTGCTATAAGGTTTTTAGTGAATGTTTTGATTAAGACGCAGGGACGAATGAATTTTAGACGATGTCGACTTGACTGTGCAGAAGCTGAACGTCGTATAGCAAAGCTAAAAGAAGATAATAAAGAATATGTACCGAAAAGTGACTATACGACGCTTCAGCAAACTTATGATGAACTTATCAAATCATCGGAACAATTGAAACAACACTTTCGTAATGCGAAAGTTGAATACAAGTTTGTATTTCGATTGAAATACTGGGAATATCATTTTCGAAGTTCTAGTACACTGAAAAATGCACTTCAACATCTCATTCAAGATCGAGATAAATATTTTACATTGTGTGAAAATTATCGTGCAACATTAACACCAAGGTATTCTGAATTCAAGTCAAACTATTGATTCTAATAAAAGTTTTAGACCGAAATGGGAACGATGTGCATCCGTTATTGAACGTTGGGATGAATTATCGATCGGTAAAACAAGTAACGAACGTGTTGATATTCTTCTGAATGAGATCATTGGTGGCAATGATATTGTATACAAATATTTCTTCACTTTTCCTCTTTATTAACCAATATCTCTCCTTCTTTCTTCATGAGCTTTTAGTATAATAATCTTGTTCACTTTATCGGTTTGGGTGTCGATTCGACAGTCCCAACGTTTCTTCAAACAACAGCAAATATTCGCAATCGACATTTTATGCAAAGAGATGTTTCACTTTTGATCGAAAATATCTGGAAAGAAGTATGTTTCGGAGTCTCGGTTAATTGTCGCAAGCCTATTCAAGAATCTTCAGAAAATCGACTACGACGGGCAACGAGCAACTAAAGAAGCACCAAAATCAGTTCTGGCTGATTTTGTACATATTTACTTCAAACGACGTTTTCCCGATGATGAAACTTTACAATTGGAATGGGGTTATAATTTAGTAGCAAGCTGTCGACGATTCAGATCATCGCCCGACATCGATCTTTTCTGGAGTGTACTTACAGGAAAAGTTTGTCAAATCTATGCGATTGCTTTTATGAATAATTCTTGTTTATATATTTAGATTAGCGAAGAAGTGCATCATCAAAAGCAATTGCTTCCAAATGAATCCAAATAAGATCTTGTCATCTGACGATAAACTAACTCTGTCTATGTAATCTAATCAAATAATTAAATAGTAAAAAATTCAATCGTTGCAACTCGAGACATGTACGAGTGTCAGAAAGAACAATTGTTTGGTTATTAGATTATAAGACTTGTGAATATCGATTTTTTTTGCAAGCAAGCAACGCCCTCTATCCGTCCCGAGTCGAAGTTTGAATGTGATTGGAGTTGATGTTATTCTGCTGAAGAATAAAAGACAAGACAGTCGTCCCCTCGTATTTCCATTCGCATAACAACTTAAGGAAATTGCTTTCCAGTGAACAAACGAGACCAAACTCTCTCCGAACCAGAATGTCTCGTTTTAATCAACAATCAACGTACGTATCTGTTATCTTGTCGGAATTCTCTTTTAGGCAAAATCTGCTTTTCTTCTAGAATTGACCCACGTAATCCACGCTGTCGTTCATGTGATACAATGACATCCGTTTATTGGCGTGTTCCAGCTCGTAATCTACTGCTGTGTAATAACTGTTTTTTACACGATTTGAAAACTTCTAATCAATATTGTAAATTAAAACGTATCGATACAAATACGGAAGATCTATCAACGTTTGAAAATCGCTTTCATTTTTCGACGCAACTCATCAAAGATGAACAGGTCGTTTCTTCGTCATCGTCATCTTCATCATCGACAATAACAAAAGTAAAACGATCCAAAGCTATTGAACCAGTCAAATCTCAAGTATCGATGAAAATCTCCACGAGACAGCAACCATCTTTTCGTTCCAACAGAAAAACACTCGCATTTAAAACGAAAAAGGTATCAAGAAACTTCTTGAGACATTCTCTTAAAACTCACTGTCTGTTTCGTTTGCAGCCAGAGAAATGCTCATCTCAATCAACAACATTTAAATTGTTTGATGTTTTATACTCAAAAGTATTTGCCAAAATTAATCTTTGTTTAAGAAGACGTAAATTTGTTGTTGTAGGGACGGCGATTCGAAATTGGCGACATTGTATATTTGATCGATTCGAATCTTTCATGTTTCTATGCACAAATTCGTGCATTGTTTCAAGATGAACATGTCAATGCTTATGCTTTTTTAACATGGTTATTACCAACATCGATAAAATCGTCTACAAACAATTTTCAATTTGATCCTAATGCTTATTCAATCGGTATGTTGTTTGCTTTCAGTCTCACTGTGTTTTCGCAACGCGTTTCGTCTGTATATTTCAGGACCCAACGAAGAATATCCACGTTCATTGAATTCACTTTCGTTCGTGTGTCATGCTCCATCAGATTACTTTCAAGTCAAAACATATCCACAGTCAATGACAACAGATAATAAACGATCGTTTAAATATGTTTGGAGTCAAATCTGCGATAATAATAATAATACCGAAAATGATTGTACATCAACACCAACACCATCAGCTAAACGACGGCGTTTTGCTTGAATTTAACTCGAAGATTTGTTATGACGATGATGATGATTATTATTATTATTATTACTTTGTTTTTTTTTCATTTAAAAATCTATTGTTCAAATCTCTGTTTATTTTTGTTTGTTTACAAAAAGAGAAGTGTATAAATATAAAGATATTTCGAATAAAAGCTGATTGTCGCATCATGGAACGATTGAGGGCGAAACGATAGATATGAAATTCATCTACGACAAATACAAATACGTCTAAATTCTGTTTATTTGAACTCTCGGTGCATTCGGATTTTAAATCTTCTCTTTCAATGATATCGCTTTCTTAGTCGAGTCATATTTTTACTGTAGACAACTTCAATATAATTCAGTGTTCATTGATGAAAGACATAATGTAAAATACAGACATTGTTTACATCGTTTTCATGTACAAAGAATCCGTGTGAATTGATAGACTAGAAATTTGATGAATAATGATCAAACAAATGTCTTGTATTACAATACTATTGAGTCGATCGTAATGAGTGTAGATATTGATCATTCCTTCTGAGCGTCTCATATAATTGTACTGTGCAAAGTATTTGTTTAGATAGAAAATGTTGTGTTATCTTTTCATTTCACCACACGAGTAAAGACAATAACAGAAAAATATTAAAACATGGCAAGATAAATGAACTCGCTTCAGATTTCTACTTCTTATCAGACTAGAGTTTCAGGAGTCGATTCAATATCTAGATTTTCTGCATGACAAGTCCTAATCGAATATTGCTGTCCATTGTGATCGTAAGTACATGTACATGGCTGCTGCTGTTGTTGTTGCTGCTGCTGCAGCAGCGGGCGACGCAGTGTTGTTGCTAGACGCTGATATGGACAATGTCCATCTTGTATAGTTTCATAAATATGTTGCGTATCAAGAAATGGTTGTGGTGGATAGAATGTTTGGACTGGTGTACTAAATTGACAACGAATGGGTGCAGGTGGAAAGTGTATCATTCTATTATAAGCAGTATTTGGTGATGAAAACATCGGGCGATGTTGCATGTATAATGAATGATTATCAGATGTTTTGCATTTCACCAGTTGTCGTTGTAATGTTGTCGAAGAATCATTTAGATCTTCATATGGACCTGTTGCGGTCGTTGTCGATGTTGATGGCGTTGTATCCAGATGTTGATGATTTGGCTGGAAGATATATCTTGACGATAGTGTTTGTTGTTTTTGTGCATCCAGTGAAGTTAGGACTGGTGTTTCACCGTATGTCACTGACGAAGAAGAAGATCCTGAAGAGCGTATGGAACAAAAGAATGGACGATTCGTATCGTTTGCTTTGGAATCCATGGTAGGTTTTGGACGTCGTTGTCTCCAACAGAGAATAATTAAAAGAAGATTTAATAAAAGAAGAACAACAACGAAAATAATAGTTAAGATCAGAATATATGAAAGTGTGTAACGACGTTTCTCGTTCGGATTATTATCGTTATTAAGGTGTAAAATAGATATTTCAGTTGGAGGGATGAGTGATGTTGACGTTAAATATTGGAGAATAGTAATTGTGCTTTTAGTCGTCGTTAATGTTGTTGTTGTTGTTGTTGTTGTTGGTAACGTTGAAGTTGACTCAATAAGATTATTGCAAGAAACCTGTAACGGTTGTTCACTACTAATCATCAACCAAAATCCTTTCCGCGTAATGACGTCATTTGTCTTAAACGTCAATTGAAAGGATGAATTCAGATCAATGGTGGATTTAATTGGATTGTTGTCTTCATCTGTTGAACCACAATACGATCGGTTATCAATCTGTAGATAATCGCGTGAACATATGTTCGTTTCGTCACGTTCTTCGAGATAAAAATCGAGAAATTTGACTTGCGACTTTTTTGTTTGAATCTGACACGAACAATTGAGAGAATTCTCATATTCATGCGGATAATTCGGACTTCGAAGGAATAATCGATGATCCTTATGTAATGATGTTGAGATTAAACGATTATCACAAACAGATAAACTCGATCCCTGTAAACATATATAATCAAGAACCATGTAATCACTGTATTGACTACCTATTAACAGACAGATCGTTTTGTAAATAATGGAAAAGTTCCAATTCTCTCAAAACTTACAAATATGCAAGTATTGCGGATTCAAATCGAGGTCGCATGTTGTTAATCCGTTACATTCCATGCCTATGTAAGTTGTTCGTGTCGTACAATCTCCTGGTTGATATGTGCAGAAAGAAGATGTTGCTGGTGCCAATGAAGAAGTTTTATGTACACCAAATGTGAGATTTCGAACGAGAATATAGCCATTATTTGGACAAGTTAATGTTACGGATGTTTTATCGTTGTTATTTCGACGATTATTATTATTTATTGTACAACCACTGACAGTTTCGGCTGATAATTGCTTGATTTGCCATTTTGAGATAAATAAAATAAGATTCAAGAAAAATAGACGTTTCCTCATTTTACTAATCTAAAATAGAAAAAAAACAACCTGATCTTTCCTGTGGAATATGGTGTAGAGAGAAAAAAACGAGCAATATTCTTTCTTTTCATATTAGTAATGGTATTACTTCATTCATCTCGAGCAATAGATTCAAACATAATAAAAAAAAGAGGAAGATCAATTCATTTGGCTTCAATTATTCTCTTCTGGCAACTGTTATGTTGGAATGATAATAAAGAAAAACATTATTATGCAATCTAGAGGAAAAATGATGATAGCGATGAGGATTCTATTTCTTTTTTTCTCTATATATAACACAACTAAATATAATCTCTGGTTTATGTTTACTTACCTTCAATAAAATACAATACTATTGTTATAGAACTAGATATATATATATATAGATATATCGATAGAGAGATAAAGAGTGTTGGCGAAAGTGGTTCGTCCCTCAAACACATCCATCATCTCTCATTGTATATGTCAGCACTCCTACGATTCACTGATGGTTGCTTGCATACGTGTGTGTGAAGGTCGACTTAGTTCGACTGGAAATGGATAATTGCATATCTTTGACTACTATCTTTCTACGTCTGTCCGACATGAGCCTGTAATTTGNNNAATAGGATAGAAACAGCAGGAATAATGATTATATTATATGGAATGAAACAACGAACTAATTCAGTGAACAGCGACGAGTGACTGGTTTCGCTCAATTAGCGAATCTAATACTAATGATTTGCATTGGCAATTTTTTCGACATCAATTAAGTAGCATTGAAAGGGAGGAGAGGAAGAAAAGAAATTCTCGTGATGTTGCTTTCCACTGCCATGTACTCGAATAAAAAATTGAAAAGTCTCACAGTTACATTCCAATCAAGATCACTCTTCGTTTACGCCCAACTATTTCTACCCCCTCGAGCTGTCAAACATAACACGACGATACCATTCAAGAAGTGAAAGTTGAACTATATGTGTTTGTCCATATATTTCTTCGTCGCTCTTTAATTTAATTTGCATATTTCAGACATACACAAATCTACGTTATATTCTTTTTTCCTTCAGGTCGACTGGACAAAGAAAGACGGAAAGGAGCAATATTTATCCTACGTCGTACGTGTGTGATCGTTCGTTTGAAGTTTGACCGAAGCTAATTTCTATTTGATAGACTTACCAGACAGTTAGTCAGGTGTTTCATTGCTATTCCAATTGCTTCCAATATGTTATAATAGTTAAATGGAAAGAAAATAGTATATGCACGCACGCATGTGCTCACAGATTGACGGCGAATAACAGTATTACGACAATGACGACGATTGTGTGAGCAGAAGTATAAGAAAGAGAGTGAAACAGTGTATTCCCGCGAGATGTAAGCCTTGTCTGTGTGTTAATGCGATAATCGTGTTGCATGTGTTCTGTGGAATAAGAGCCAACCATACAGCACGATCGATCACTAGACTGCCGAAAAAAAAGACAAATTTGATTAACCGGGAACGAACGAGGCGAGAGACAGATCGTTTCAAGACCCGAGCAATGAGCACCTTATTTTGTAAATACTAAATCAATCGAACGATCGAGACTAAGGAAGACATTCTGAACGATAGTCAACGATATATACTTAAATTCTATCAAGACTGGGAGACGAATCTTATTATTATTTGTACCCTGGAAAATCTTCTTCTCGATTTTCACTGGCACAAGAAAAATGTTCGCTCTGTTTTTCTTAGAAAATGATCAACAACATGCAAAAGACGTATTTGATCAAAATTAATTGCATGTCTACAGTCATCAATTGTTCATTTCTTTAGATTAGTTCTGATAGATGAACTAATAAATAGTCAAAAAGTCATTTGTCATTACTGAAGTTTGTCAATACAAATTGAAATGACTCTAATCCGCTTCTTTCTTTTTTCCTACATGTTTCATAATTCGTATTATTACACATGAAAGTGAAAGACGCAATGGATTATATTACATCAGGTTCAAATAAAATGGGAAATACAACTGTACTCTAATCTGATCACGAACCTGTGTATCGATAGACTTTATGGGGGTGATGTATATTAATTAAATATTTATGTGCATTTATAATTGTAAGAGAAAATCAATAGTGAATTAAACTTTACACCAGACGTGTTAATTATTAATAGCCGTTTCAGACATCAACCATCAATTATTGATCAAACTAGGACAAAAGCAATATCTCTTATCTTGACGGTGACACTGAATATAGCTGAAGTTGTCATGCTATATATTTCGATTTCGCCACGAATTTCATCAGATGGCTTGAAATCATGAAACGTTTTGAATTATCTAGAATCAGTTTAAATAGAATCGTCAGAAATTGGTTGGAATTAATGGTTGATATCGCGTAATAACTTGCTTATTTATTACGCGAAGATAAAGGAGACAATTTTCTATGTTATTCGAATTCATTTTATTATCATATCAACGAAACTTCTCTTGACAGTTCGAAAGATCACTTTTGCATGTGAGCAATATAACGATGGTCTGCATACAAAAAATACTCGTTTTAAATCCGATTTGTTAGACTTATGCAGGTTGAGCAATGGTTCAAGCTCAGCGCTTCGCCGTCTACTGTATGTCGATGGCCAACTGTTAGGTGACTAGAAGAAGAGGAAAACGCAAGACAAGATGAAAAGACTAGCACTGTTGTATTGACAAGGTTCTTTGGAACTGAAAAAGAACAACATTCATAAACAAAATCCTCATGTAATTCAATATGAAAGTTAACTAATGTTGGCTATAGCAATTGGATTCAAAAGAAACAGTTCGAACATTCAGCAGTATATATCTGTATGCGGTATAAACAAACTCTATCTTTTCAACCCAATGTACATTTTATGCTTAGAGCGAATCGTACTTAGGAGAAATTGTAGTCGTTTTCTAGTAACATCTTCCTGATCGTGTCCTTCATATGTATATTGATTTACACTTTGACGAGATCAATTAGTCAAATAAAAAGGCATAAGAAATTACTAGTCTATCAAAAGTATCATACTGGCTTCTTTGTAAAAGGAAATTATTTCTCCATTCGGATTTTCCTTGGGCTCTGCGCGTGTTGCAGCTGCTATTCTGGGCTAAATGAAATGTACAGAACTGCAAAAGCAACCATTTCTTGAAGATGTCATAGCAACTTTCTTCTGTTCATCTTTTGACATCTTTGTGAACCGACGGACGAAGTAATCTTCTCCTAAGCAAACGCTCGTTTTAAAAAATGAAGCGTAAAGCGTACGATATGACTCTTCACGGATTTTGCTGATTTGTGAGATGTTATTATCAGTGTGCATCGAGAATTTTATTCGAGTATTGTCTAAAATCATTTTATGTACGATCTCAGAGACTGTGGTTTTTAGAGTTAGTCTGATCGTACTACCAGACAAAGAAACATATGCAAGACGTTTAAAGTCTCTCTTTTGGTGTTGGCAGACTTCGATGAGGTATAATAAAAACCTCGACACAGGTTTTTCATATCGAATTGTAAGCATCTCACTAAATTTTCTCCTATAGCAAAGTATGTAAGGACATATCGACCAAGATATCGTATAGTTATATCTTATGTTATTCTTCATCATTCTATAAACTATTGTTTCCACCCGTACATGATGAAAAGAGATGTAAAGAGTATACTCAGAAAAACTTGCAGTCGATTGAGCCGTACTGCATTTCAAAAACCACTAACAATCTACAGAAAATCTAAAGAAGTCAGATGACATAGTATTGAATTATTGTGATAACATTACGAAGATACTTAGATTTAAAAGAAATTTCGAAGTTCTGAGAAAATATTTAAAAACCAGTAAAATCAAAATCAGACTTCAATTTCAAATTATTTCCGGACTTCTTCGAAGCTCCGGCCATTCTAGTTTTAAAACATGAATTTCCAATTATTGGCTGATATTCCTTTAGTGGAAATTTTTAATGTACTGCCTTAACAGTCATAGTGAATTTATTTATAAAAATAAATTATACAACATTCACATATGGCTGTTTTTATTACCATCCATAGCCATATCCATATCCACCACCGTATCCTCCCATCGGGTATCCACCACCCATTGGGTAGCCGCCGAAACCTCCACCCATCGGATATCCACCGAATCCACCCATTGGATATCCACCGAAACCATGATGATGATGATGGTGTCCGCCAAATCCTCCATTATATCCACCGTATCCACGGAAGAGATTATCACTACTGTGACCCATTGTAGAATTTAATGTGTACTAGTAAAAGGAATTTCGTAATAGAAAAAAGTGTTTTTCTTCTATGTAAACTTACTTTTGTTATTTGAAATGAATGGTTATCAACTAAAAACCTCGCTCCTTTTATACCCCGATTTTTCAGGTAGTTTTGCGTAGTTTTTAATCAAGAAAAGGTTGTTATTCATTGTGCTCGTAGGTTTTCTGTCATACCATATACGTCACTAATTGCAAATGTACCATAACGTACTATGAATCACCATTGCTAATCAAGCGTTGCAATATTAGTCAAAAAATATCTATCATATTCGATCTTATTCTCGAAGTGAATCTGGTTTTATTTAATATTCATAATAAACAAACAATTTATTACACGAAATAGCACATTTTACAATTAAATACATACGTAAAAAACATTGACAAAAATAAATAAATAGTTTAAATGTTCAACTATATACATAAATTTTACTTGATTAATCATCGCTAACTCTGTATTTTCGTTGACGTTTCGAGGATTTCTCCTTACTATAACTTCGTTCTCGTCGATTCTTTTCGTGATAATGATTATTGATTAATCGATTAGAAATATCCTCTAGTGTCTTAACCCGTTGCTCTATAGTATCATTTGTTGCGAAAATCTGTTTCGATTTCAATCTCGCATTTTCGTTTCTTAAAACAAACACTTCCGCTTCGAGTTTATTTATTTGGTTCTGAATACAACCAGGCTGCTCTAAATGAAAGAAACGAACAATGCACTCTATGACACTTAATGCATAGTTTCTTTACCTCTAAGTTGTTTTGTTAAATATTCAATATGACTGACCAGTTTATTAACGAGAGGATCTCGAACAGCTAAGACTGGTGTATTTGATAGACAAGTTGGCTTTTGGTCCCAACGTGACGTTTTCCTGATTTTTTCCATCATTCGTTCGAAAACAAGTGGAATCCGTTCAATGTGGTATGAATTCATTGGTACAAGAAGAATTTGATCCACACAATCGTAATTTGAAAATGAAATCAATGCTTGGTTGTCGTGAATAACCTCGATCTTCGTAATTTGTGAGTGATACTCTCGAAAACATTGACGTAATGATTGTTCTGTCAACGTCAAACTTGAATTTAATTTAATATATAAAGTATGCGAGTCAATATGCCAATTATTTTGATCGAGTCGGTATCGACGTAATCGAACGCGATTTTCACCAATGAAACATGTTCCACAAGGGATTAAATGATCGACAATCATATAACTAACAAAAAATATCATCGCGGAAGTCGATTCAGGAAAGATTTGAACCCATTCAACTGGCCCATAAGCAGTAAANATAAAGTATGCGAGTCAATATGCCAATTATTTTGATCGAGTCGGTATCGACGTAATCGAACGCGATTTTCACCAATGAAACATGTTCCACAAGGGATTAAATGATCGACAATCATATAACTAACAAAAAATATCATCGCGGAAGTCGATTCAGGAAAGATTTGAACCCATTCAACTGGCCCATAAGCAGTAAAATATTTGCGTAGAGTTTCGATACTAATTCGCTGTACATCGAGATCGAGAACTAATAATTTAAAGCGATTGTTTGAAATGGATGACGTCATTGTACGAAAGGATGGTAAAAGTTTTCGAACGATGAAATCAAAGAAAGATATTTATACGAAATGGAACAGATAACTAAGAAAGAAAAGTTCTTCCTTGTCTAGTCATGTATGTTTTTGGAAAGAAACGTCGATCTCCGAATATTATTTTGTCTTGTTAATCATGCTTTGAAGTGAAATTTAATTTTAATCGGTGTTTGAAACATTCAAATATGTGCTCGATAGATGACACTAATATATTTGTATGAAAAATTCAAATCATATTCAATAAAACGTACTACATAATCAAAAAAAGTCACAGAAATCAAATGAAATTGATCGCATTGTATTGCACTTCTTATCCAGTCGTTAGAGTCATGTCGATTTGAAACTTCACACCAAAATCTGCTATTTCTGCTGTCACTCGGCATGGATAACCCATATTCGTGAGAATACCACGTAATAAACCTGTCGAGTATGCTATATACAATGTATGCAATCGATTCGTCGCGTCGATCGGTTTGTTCATTGTCACAAGTGTTTGTTGTAATAAACGAAAACGTCCATCATGAATCACGTATACACCTTGATGATTTGTACGCAAGTTATCCACTTGTTTCTTGAACAAACAAATCCAAAGTTCTTTACACAAGTATTTCACCGTATCTAGTTCATCACGATATCGAGGATTTTCTTTCGACAGTCGTTCGCTTAGTGAATAGCCCACTCGATAGCCTTAGAAATGAGAAACAATGATATACAAGATTGAAGATAGCACATTTTTCTGTACCTATTTGTGATAAGCACAACGCAGCTGAATCGACGTCATTTTCATTTTCTTGAACATAATATTCCACAACAGACATATGCAGATAGTCGAAAAGTGTTTCGTCAACCATCTAAAGAATAATGATATTCACAATTTTGTTTCTTTATCCTAGAGTATAACAATAGTCATCAGAATAGTAACAATAACAACAACAAAAAAGGACAACAATGATTTATTTTTGTTTAGTTTCTAAGTCAGACACGCGACGAACAAAGATATTATTCTTTGTTATATCATTCGGTGCTAGTTGAGGATCACTGCCGTATTCATAATTGTAAGACGAAGCGATAGCTAGCATGTTTCCTTCAGGTGAAAAGGCTAAACTTGTAATTCCAGCTGGATATCTAAATAGAATATCAGTGAGAATTCAAATTGAACATTAACACAGATTTCATACTGATGAAATTGACATAGACGCTTCTTATTCGCGCCATCCCACATGTTAACAAATGCATCGGATCCACCAGTAGCAAATGTTCCGTATTGTTTGTGAAAAGCAATTGCATTGACAGGATAGATATTTTCGATCGCACCTTCTTTGGCGCGATGACATTTAAATGCATACTTTTTCTTTTGAATTTCAGGATTTGCATCGAAAAATTCAACAGCAACACGGCCTTCAATTGAACTAAGAACATAACCCTGTTTGTTTGGAAAACAGCGAATGCAACGTGTTTGATATTTCAAATTTGATTCACGATTTTCAATCGGTGTATTTGTGCTAATCTTACGTAGATCCCAAATCGATACCTTACGTTGTGCAGTTCCAACAACAAGTAATTCACCAGCGCTATCCAAGGTATAAACCTATGCAACAGCATATACAAACAGATCTTTATCTATATTCTATCAATCTACTTTATCAGGTAATGAACAAGTACCAAGGCAATTCGGTACACGTGAATCCCAAAACTTAATGGATGAGTCCCAAGAACCGGTGATAAGAATATTCATTTCAGGCGAATAGTGTACACATCGTATTGCATTATCATGATAGCCCATTACAATTTCTAGATAGACACATCCACTTGATTAGTTAAGTGATATCTTAAATAAAATCATTTTTACCTTGTTGTGTATTGAAGTCGAATACTTTTAAAAGACGATCTAGACCACCACTAGCTGTGCGCGAAGAATCCTAGCAAACATATTCTTTGTCACAGGAATCCGATTTTGAAAGTAAAATACATACTATGAAACAACAATCTAATACAGGACCTGCGTGCTTATACATTTGACGGAATGTATGCTGATTAACATCGTACAAACTATCAAGAAAAAAAATAGTAAGAGTAATTACAGCACAAAGAAAATGAAACACGCACCGAACCGAAGCATCCCATGATGAAGCAAGTAGAAATTGACTTTGATTATTTGGCGAAAAGTGCACGGTCGTTATACCATCAGTTGGTGGATTTTGTAATTGATATTCTGACATTCCGAATAAAATCTTATCTGAAACTAGACAAAAACTAAATACTGCAAGATCGTTGTGTGAAGCAGAGAAGAAAAATATGAAAAAAAATTAAGCGGAAACTATTGCTGAATTGACTTTGACTTGAACATTGCCATCGTTGTTACCAAAATATGCTTTCGAAATCATATTGATGAATAAACCAGTTTCAACCACACCTGTCAAACGATAATAGACATGAACATTTCGAGAAGGGACGGCTGGAAAGAAATGTGTTACCAGGAATTAATTTTAATTGTTGGTTGACATCTGACCAATTGAAAACTTTTGAAGAATCGAATTTCCAATCGAGAATGAAATTGCCTTGATCAGTTAACACCGGACCCTAGTGAGAAATGTTCCGTCGAAATATGATGTTTATAGCGGTACGCTTACGACTTTTCCTGTGCCTTCGCGAACAATAACTTCACCACCGAGTTGTTTTTCAATTTCTTTTTTCGTTATTTTATACGCGATGGGAAGAACCTCGATGGGCACCCCTTTCTTCCATTTATCACCAAGATTCGTTGACCATTTCCTATCCGGTAATCATGTGAGTTGTGTTTCTGCTCCTAAACTTCTTTTACTTTTCGTCGGCAACGACAATAAATTTCTTTGCACAAATAGCAACGAGCTTCTCTTGTGTTTGACATCCACCGCCACCTTTAATACAATTAAATTGTTCATCAACTTCATCTGCACCATCGATTGCTACATCAAGCTAAACCATATCAGATAAATATAAAGAATTGCATAATCAAAAGCGAGATATTCACTTCTTGGTATTCAACTAAACTGCCAAGTTTTAAACCATGCGAGAGTATCAGTTCGCGAGCCTAAAAAAAAAATGAAAAAATGAATTCCATCTGCTGTCTATCTATACAAACTTGTAATGAAGTCGGAACACAAATCAAATCGAGTTTGTCTTTTTCGACCATTTCCGCTAGAATTTGCAAATGAATCAACAATCAATCGATTCAAATAGCGTACCAATTCTTTTCACTGCTGGAATAATCGTTGAACCTGATCCCACACCGATCACATGTACATTCTGAAACATCAAATTTGAATATTCGAACGAAAAACACTACGAGTTCGTCTACCTACATGATTAATATGTTCATTAACAGCTGCGATCGCTGCTGATTCTTTGGCTTTATCTACTGACATTGAACAATCTATAACTAAAGAATATTTTTGTTTGTATGCGTTTTTCTTTGTGTCAAAGCAAATTTCGTATAACACATTTATATCAAAAACCGACCGAGAGTAGTTAAAAACAAACAAACACAACGAAAACATGAAAAGATTAAAAGTTTGCACGGCAATGTGGACAAGTTGATTTATTTGATGATCGAAACCAACGAAACTGAAAGAGAAAAGTTCATTCGGATAACCAATGTTCGTTTTTCTAGTCAAACTTACTAAACAGGCATCATGAAATTTCTTTTTGCATGTGCGACAAGTCCGCTTAGGCAATTCGTTATTTGTATGTAAAATACAATAGCAAATTGAACACTCTTCAATTCCTTGCATCATCTTATCGATATTTTGTTTCCAGCGCGTTAAACCATCAGCAATAGCACCATTCTAAAACAGAATCGAACAACAATTTCTTTCGAATTCGTCTTCTTCGTTCTTATTTACACTCTGTGTGAGATTTGTTTTTAACTGTAACATCCATTTATTCCACTGATCTTTAGTAAATCCAACATAATGTGTGCATTCAATAGTTGCTATACTCAGTGGATAATTTACTGGTAGACGAACACAGATTTCCACTCGAGAGGTTTCAATGTTATAAACAGCCGTTATTTCACGAGTATTTGAATGTTTTCTCACGGTAAATTGACCTGCTTCGCCTATATTGACTTCTTTTAATGACGATGCTGAATCCAATTCTTGTTGGATGAGTATAGGACTAGCATATTTTTGTGTTACACGCTCCACAGCATCACGAATGCGCTTCGGTTGATTCGAATACCATTCTCGAACAAGAGCAGGAATCAAACTCAAGCATTGAAAGTAAGCTGAGCAAGCCAAATGTGGAACTGTGTATTGTGAATTCACATCACCTAAAAGTACCACATATATACTACATTTTTTCAAAGTATGCGCGCATGGAATGTCATTAGAAAATATCTTTCATAGTTTCGACTTACTTGCTGGGTTGAGTTGGATATCATTCTCGAACATCGACTTAGAATGTGTGAATTTCTTCGTTATTGAGGAGACTTGCATTGACAATGGATCATTGTAAACTGGATTGGCTGGAATTAATCCTAATACTATCGAGAGAAAACGATCAACTAGCTTTTTCTCTTGTAACATCAATGCATATGTGTAACGCTGTTCCACAGATGAATAACAATTGATTAAATTCAAAAGTAATTTATAATTGAGCAGTTCACCGATGATCAGATGTTCTTTATCAGCTTTAACGGTTGTTGGGGACGCATAAGAAATCATTTCGTGTCCATTATCATCGAGAAGATGCTCTTCGACGATATCGTTTTCGTTTAATAATTGTCCAATGGTGTTTTCCGTTCGTTCCAATGCTTCAATCATCGAACCAAGTAGTTGACATGTGTGATTGTCCTCCGCGATATTTTCATCATTCGTTGTTTGAATGAGAGTCGGGGCGATATGTGGAAGGAGTTTATTTAAAAGATGATAGGCAGAGTATTGCAATGAACGGTTCGGAGTTAGACAAAGTAAACGATAGAGATGATTGAATACAGTTTGAATATGATCGGAGAGAGTTGATTGGTTATCCGATGAATGGAAAAGTGGTTTTAGACTATTGGAAACAAGATAATCTGTTGGAATTGTACAAATAGCACAACAGATTGATTTGACCATTTCATTGGTTACATGAAATGCAGAAAATTCTGCTAAAGCACCTAGAAAAGCTTTTCGTAGACTAAACCGATCAGATGAAATCACAGAAACTTACTAGGCAATGCGATGTAGAGTGGTAGTAGACCTTGATAGATGTCTTTACTATAGAGAACTAACCATTCCTCTAACAACTGTTTGCTAAATCCTTCAGTATCTTCTTGTTTCACTGCGTTTGTCAAAAGATTTCCAACTGTTGTTAGCAAATTCGCCGCATGGATAAATAGAAATTCCGTTCTTAAGGTAAATTCTTGTTGAATCTGTTGTTGAATATTTGTTAACTGTTGAAATAGATCACTTATCAAACACAAAACATGATCCCAATGAGCTTGTTCAAACTGATACACAAATGTTCCATGATTAATCAAAGTATTCCATAGTTGTATGAGTTGAAGCAATTCCTTCGACGAAAGACTTGATTTCATCAGCACTTCTAGGATTTGATTTAGGTATTCTTTCTCAACTATAATTCCTAGTTTATTCATTCGAATTAGCGCTTGATTCAATGCTGCTAAAGTCAATTCGCTTCTTTGCTCTTCTTGACATTGTTTGATCAAATACGGAATCAAAATTTTCAATTGAGACTCGCGAAAGAACGACGCGAGAATTAAATGGCAATTGAATTCATCGTTGTTACCCGCGACTAATGTGTATTGAATAATATCATCACGTTGATTGATTGTTAAATATCGATCTTTGATTTGACAATAGAAATGATAATAAATCAACTCGGAATAGAATTCATTGGAGAGTGGCGATTTTTCAATCAGATTCAAGTCGATGGAAAACGTTGAGAGAAGGAATAAACGTTCGAAGAGAAGATGCAACGATTTCACATCGACACAACGGTATTGGAACAAATAATAATTCAAAACTAAGCTTTTTATCAATTCATCATTTGTCCACAGGTAAGAGTTCAATTCATATTGACGAATAGTCAATAAACAAAGAAATTGAACATCCAGGAAACGATCGGAATCGGAGAATTTTTTATTGGAAAATTTCATATCAATTGTCTGATCAGGTAACAACCACCCATGAAGAATACCGACAATCCATGATTCACGAATTAAATCGTTCGATAGGGAAATACGTTGAAATAATGTCGAATACAATTCTTCAGCTAAATTTGTTTCGTCTTGACAAATTGAAATGATCATATCGACGAAAAGTTCGTTATCAGATTGTGTCGGAATATATGAGACGAGAAGTTGAATGAGATGTTGAAAAATATCTTTAGAAACCTTTTTCGATTGATTTATCGCAACTAGCCAAATCGAACGTTGATGAAGACTTAAATCAGTATTTTTCCGGATTAGATTGTTGATATCATTGAGAACGTAGAGTTGAAAGAGATTTTTCGTCGATTGATTCATATACGTATTATTAATTGTTTGAAATAGATGTCTAGCAACATGATCAATACTTTGAATAAGGTCTTTGTGTGAATCGGAATCGTTCACTGAAGGCGTTTGCTGTTCGAGTAGACGACAGGCAAGATAAACGATTTGTTCTTGTTGGATGGATGTCAAAAACTGAGTCGGTTTTGCTGAACAAAGTAATGATGAGAGTAATTGAAATTCTTCGGTTGAAACAGGGAAGTTTAAATCAGGATTTTCACTTGATTTCGTTACACTAGCTGTCATGTTTAATAATTGTTCGAGAACGCCATGGTTTTGTAGCCTAAATGAAATTGGCGAATGAGAGAAAAGATGTTCCTAAAGCAAAGTTACCATGTATGAAATGAAGGTGACGATTCGTAACGACAAACGATCGAAGCTAAGAGAAAGTAGAATCGACGAGATGATTCAAGCTAAATAAATGATTCAAATTTCGATTATCCTTCAACAAAGGTCCTACTTTAATTAAATCAGCAAGAACACGTTCGACGATGGTTTCCGATGAATCGAACGTATTTAATACCTGAATAGTTAAGTCGACAATATGATCCAATGAACGATGTTGTTCAATAGCAGCTGTTATCAATGGTCTTGCGTAATTTAGATAAAATACTTCGGGAATAGTATTTGTTGAATCCAAATTTTCGGCTAGTTTTGTTATGATTTCGGTACTATTCGGTGCCGACGAGTTTAATAGACGTGTAAATAGATCTAAACTATTTTCAAATGCTGGCTGCGTCGGATTATTCAGGCAAAATTCAAAACAATCTTGACATAATTTCGTAGCGAAGCCAGTCAGATATTTATCTTTTTGATCGTTATTGTCAATGTCATCCGTATCTTCAGCTTGAAATGTAGCCGAATCGATTGATGACAGATCAGTTGATGATGATGTTTTAATTGTTGTTACCGCAAAGCGTAAGTTTTTCAATTTCGGAGGAGATAGTATCGTATCGAAGAGAACAGCCGATTGATCGAAGATGTATTTGAGATCATTCGATTCTGTTGTTGTTGACGGTTGATTGATTAGATTATGAAACAATGATGAAACACTATTCAGATGATCACGATAAAGTCGAAATGATTTAATTGAGTTCAAAATAGGTACATATTGTCGAGCGAAGACATTTCGAAATGAACAATCTTTATCGATCAATGACAAACGTATCATTGGTATCAATCGTTCACTAAGAAAAGCAAGTTGGTCAGTAGAATGATGGTCTAAGATGTAGAGTAAACAATCCATGTAAGCATTTAATAATGAACTGACGCTCGTCATTTGTTGCCGTCCTTTAATCGAAATAATTCCATCTTCCATAGCAGAAAAGAAGTTTTCCACGAATCGATAGGTCGTCTTATCGTTGATAATCTCTTCCGGTATTTTTTGTAACAATCGTACAAAACAATCTTTCACTCCGAAAACATTTCCATGACAAGCATGTCTTAAAAAGGCGTATAATTTCGGTAAAAACGCTTTTTGATATTTCACTAATGACCAACAATCATCAAACGTATCGAGACAAAGAATTAAACATTCCCATATGACAGGACAAAGTTTGGGCTCAGTTTCGTTAATTGAATGGAAAACAAGTGGAATGATTTTCACTTTATATTCACACATGACGTCTGGAATAAGGGTGATTAAGTCTTCGAGACAACGATAGAACGAACTTTGTATCTAATTGACAAGAAAAATGTGATTTCATTCGTTGGAAATGAAAGTTTGACTGTACTTTAATTGATTTGATTTGATCTAGTTTCCAAAATTTCCCGGAATCGAATATAGTTTTGAAATGGCCGGTTAATTCCGCACGTTTCTTTTCTTCTAAATAATTCAAGAATAATGCCAACGCTAGCAGAACTTGTGTTAATCGTCTTTCATGTGCATCATCAGTTTCCATTTCGTTTTCTTTCCTATTATACGACAAATCATTTTTCAAAGAAATAAAAAAAGACAAGACAATGCGTGCGCCTTACTTGTCTTTAAGAGCATCTGAACATTGATTGATTTCATCAGTTAATGTTGACATAATTTCATTTCCAGCAAAATAAACAGCTTCAGCTTGTCTTTCTACACTGTAAAACAATTTGGTATAGAGAAACTTCGCTTTCGACGCAGCTGGTGCGTAAGAATCACATTGAGCCATTAACCAAATTGGTAGAAGAGTTTTTAAATGTGGTAGAAGTTTCTTTTGCATGCGCATACCGATGGTATCAAATGTTAATTGACATTCATCGCGAACGCGTTGATCAGGATCCTAAACGAATAGGAATAGAACGAATTCAGTTTTGCAAATCTTAACTCACGATCGACCATTTGCGGTAATGTGAAACGAAAAATGGTAGAATAGCTTGAATCTTGTCATCTTTTTCATTTGCATCACAATAGTCACGTAATTCGTTGAACGCCTTTGAAGGACAAGAATTGCATCGAGAATAAAAGAGCCGAATTTTAGGTTTTACTCGAATCTTGGTAGTTGAATCTTTTTTTGTTAATTTTCGTAGAATTACTCGTAAATCCGAATCAATAATATCATCAATGCCGTGTTCGTCGATTCCGTAGGAAAATGATACTTCTCCTGCTTTGGAAAAACGAAAGTTTTTTTCTCTGGAAGCATAAAATGTTCTACCAGAAAATAAGGTCATTGCAGTGACGCCATGTGTGTTAAGGGTAGCGGAAGCTTTAGCACTGCTTGCAGGCTAAAACAAAATCGAAAATGCACCGTCAGATGTGATTTTATGAAAACGTACTTTAGTACTGCCACGAGTTCGTTGAGTACCACGTTTCGACATGGTTTGTTTCTTTCTTGAGAGCTTTGATATCTAAATGAATGAATGCTGCAAAGGAAGACTTAAGAGAAAATGGTATTGCAAGGTATTGCATCAACTTGTTTATCCTGAACATGCCGAAATTTTAACACGAGAAATGAGAACGCGTGCCAATGGAAAAAGGAAACATTAGTCATCGGAATCAAAAATACGATTTCTGATGAGATTGTGAAATGTGAACCGAACTTGACTTGATGTCAACCAAACTCGATTCCAGAGTCTATAGTTTATTTATTTTCGTGATATATTATATCACTTATATTTCACTAGATGTCGCTTTAAGTCGTATGGCTTTGTATTCAGAATCGTACGCACAAAGCAGATAATGAAAACAAAATCAATCAATCACATTCTTTGACAAGACGACTGTCTTGTTCATCATACCCGATTAGAATTTGGTCGTGGGAGCCTACATCATGATGAACTAGATTTATCTAAATATCCATTATTTCAAGTCTCGCTTTTGGTCAGCTGTTTTGCAGACTAATTCGAGATAATAGATGGTGAAACTGTTGTTATTAGAGATATCTATTGACAGTATGTGATTCACATATTCAGGCATCCAGTAAAACACGGAATATCAATGATAATTATTATCAGATTGCATTTTATAATACAGTATATTGACGAAACCGATTTTTTCTGTCCACTCAGTCATTTTAAATATTTCGACGTTTCTTATTCATATGCAATAGAGGTGGCAGTACAACTATAGTGCTTTTCATTATCTACCATGTAATAAGCGTGGACAAGTAATCAAACATGTCATTTCCCAATAATATCACTCGGAGTCAAAACTTGGCGACCAATGACTGTTCTGAGCTATTTTTTTCTTAAAAATTATCAGCATACGACTGAGGCGAAACGAACGAATCATTTGTCTAATTGACGTCATATGGTTGATTTACAAATCAAGCAGAAAATCAGCAAAAGACTGAAATAGTCACGGTCTGCGACAGAATTTCACCTGAACAGAAATTATAATTGACAGATTCCTTTATTACAGGGCTTTTCGAAATCTACAGAAAATTTTTATTCATCAGCTCGAACGAGAAGTTTCTTAGAGAAATTGTCTTATAATCTTAGAAAACTACTTGTGGCATATTGTTCTTCTTCGGACTCTAACCATATCACTGCAGGATCGTTCATTTTTGTCGCTGTTGTTATGGCACTGACAATCAATAAGAAAAACATTGTGCCGATAATAATATAACAAATAATCGATAATGTCAAAGCTAATTTTCTCAATCTTTCGACGAGTACTGTTCGTTTTCTTTTCATATGCAAAACTCGGTTAACTTCATTTAGAAAATCCCAGAAAACCGTACCATGTGCGACTTCTTGTTTACTGAAATAATAAAGTAGATTTTGTAAAGGTAACGGCTCTTCGCCCAGTCGATCATAGAGGAGTGCATCATTTGGTTTCACATGACTCGTATCGTACGTTTTTAAACGTTGACTATCCACAGCTAAGACGAAATTTTTCACTGCATGAAAATTTTCCTCTTTATCAATGTTTTGAATTTCTTCTTGCGCACGTTTAAGTTCACGTTTCATCTGCAAACCAATATAGAAATCAGGTAAATTAGTGTCTCGCTCGCGTTGATTATAGCCCATAAAACGTATTCGATGTAAATTGCGTCGGACGATTAACCAGTGAGATTTCTGACGAAGACGAGAAGCAGTACGTGGTGCCTGATAATCATCTTCTTTCAAACGTTGACGAGATGATCCGCGCGATTTCGGCGTTTGTGGAGAACTGTGTCGTCCATCAGATGGATTTGTGATAACATGGATTTCTTGTTCTTGTTTCGGAACACGCAAAAGTCGAGTACGAGACGACTGAGCCATTCAAATTTCGCTGCTAATAGTATATCTAAATGTCAATATGTACATACATATACACATGATTTACATAAACCTTGAAAGCTCCAATCTCTGAATACGAATACAATAGAAATCAATCAAAAGGGGATGCCTTAAAAGTATATTTTCTTGAATATAAATATCGAAGTTATTCAATTGTTGAAATGCAAAATAAGACTTCGTCTTTTTTTACTCTGTAATAGGTTAATCGACAAACGATATGCTAAATATCAATATTAGTGATTAGTTAGAGCGATCAGCAAAAGAAGAGCTGATGCATTTCGAAGGATGAAAGAAAAATATATTAAATGATTAGTATTTCGAATCGTACAAGCTAATCTCTTGACTTATGTCTCATTCTTACCTCTCTCTCTCTCTGTGTCTACAGTCATACAAAAAATCGATCGTTAACGACAGAAAATGACAAGGTTTTATACCATACTCGTTATATATTATTAAAGAAAGGTAAAACATCGAAGAGAAACAGAGAGAAAAAAGGCCGAAATATACAATTTGTTGAATATTACGAAGAGCCGCAGGTATGTCGATGATTCAAGGTAGTGATAGTGTTTTTTTTCTAAACTGTGTTATCACATGGATGATAGTGATTGTAGTTGAAGCTCGTGCATATGAAATTAGTCAAAAAAATTCAAGAGAAAGAACGAACATTATTTGTGAATGAATAAATCATATACTAGAATGAAAATAAAAATATTTTGCTTGGAAACTCAATGTGCCTCGACGATACCTATCAATTAATTTTGTCGTGTTCTGCTCGTTTTAAAATAGTTGTGTTTTTGTCAAAAATCATGTGAACGAAGAGAATTTATTCTTTACTTCAGAGCCGTGCGCTGTCTGTCTCTCTTTCGCTTTGTTTTATTCATAAAAGCGCAGCAAGAAAATATGTTTCAGAATTCAGAATCAATCGAAACCAAGAACGAACTAGACACGCTCTTTCTACGACACAAAAGCCTATTTAAATTAAAGTACATGTTTGCTTGTTAAATAGCAACCTTGGATTTTAATATATTTAAATAACTAACCCATTGACAAATGACAACAGATAGATCAGAAGAAAAATGGCTATACATCGAATTAGATGTAAACATAAGTACCTGTGAAGCGTGCATGCAATCATTCAGCCGTGAATATGTATGCATTAACTGAGTCAGTCTTGAAGTCGACTCGTGCTAGAAAACATATGAAGTAGTATGAACAGGTCTGTTTCTATTTTTAGTTGAGTGCGAGCTTGATGAAGAAGCTTTGCGTGGTTAAGCAGAACATTAAATGTTTTTATATACAAATGGACTGAGGTTTGCGAATTTGAAATCATCAGTAGAGAACAGTGTTCTTTTTTAAACTCAGTAGTAGAGCAGAGATAGTTTTGTTTCGATAGACGGTTGTTTACCGATAGTATTATTTCAACTTCTGAGATAGTTGTGTTGTGAATATTGAGGGCACTCGAAGAACGCCGAACAGTGCATTTAGTTAAGGTTTCCTCGCCCTATACGTCGATTTCTACGTGAAGTTATTAGGTGTATATTTCGATCGTATCAATATTATTTACAAAACTAATTTTGGTCTTGATTTGGTTCGATGTACGAACGTGTTGTTTACAAAATCAAACACTCAACAACGAAAGCTCTTCTTTATCATCACAGCTATAGTCTTGTTAAATATATTTCAGAACTAATTCCTGATTATAAAAAACTGAAACTTTGCTCGGCATTTACTTCCGGTGCTCGCCATTCTGGTCCACCATCGGAATCATCTCTATACAAGTCCATAATTTTCGATGTTGAAGTAAATACGCTAACTATCAATGTGCATAACATCAGACCGAGAATGATAAAGACAATTACAGCAATAACTAATGCAACTTTACGAAAAACGGCTGCACGATTGAGATGTTGCCGACTCTGATAGATGATTGCGCAAATATCAGATAAAAATGGCCGAAACAAACTATTATATGGTACACGGCAATTTTTCGAGAAATAATAAAGTAGCGCTTGTAATACAACAGGTTCTGCACCAAAACTCGGATGGTATAACGTGTCCGACGATCGTAAATGTGTTACGTTATACTTTCGAGAAGATGTAGGATTAATTGGTAGATAAAAAACACGAATAGGAGTAAAATCCGATTGTTCTATTTCTCTAATTTGATTTTTAGCACGTCGTAATTCTCGTCGCATCTGAATGAGTATGTACCAGTCGCGAAATTGTTGTTCGATATGCGATGTACTGATTCCACCCCAACTGCGAATCTGATGTATATTATTTCGAACAATAATCCATTTGGAATTCGGTGCTAGTGTATGTGCAGTTAATGGCGCTTGGTAATCATCTTCTTGAAGAACGAGTGATCGTTGATGAAGTAACGGATTGCTTATCACACGTAGTTCTTGCTCTTGTTTACGATGTTTGTGCAATGAAAGTTTCAAACGCTGAGACATTCTAGCGGACGGCAAGTAAAAGATATATGCTGAAGTTTCGAGTGAATTGACTGACGTTCGTCTCTGTTTTCTTCGATCAAATATAAGTCTTACATACAATGAAGAATTTCTTTATATTCTTTAAAGTAAAAAACGTGAAGAAAAGGATTCTGATTTAATTTTTTCTTTTCTACGGCTATACAGATGTATTATATGAAAATATTTGTTCACCTATGTCCATAAGAAACGATATTCAATACTCGATTATTTTAGGGAGGGTAAATAACGACAAATATAGATGACTGTCACATTTACTTGCTGTCAGGGGCTTGATCGATGGTTATTCTTCTTTCGTAATAACGTCAGATATTACTTTCAATATGATTACCCAAGTTAACCATCATCATTTGCATAAAACAAATGCAGAAATGGTAGACTTTACTTAGAAAGTTCAATATTGAAGGAAATCAAGAAAATGCTGCACTAATTATATGTTTATACTGTGCAGAAAGGCAAGAGAAGTCTACTTGATCGTATTCTGTCGATCTCTTTGCGTGACTGTAAGATGACAATTGAAGGTAACGCGATTTAAATTGGCATCATTAATTTTTCGAGAACTTCACAAAACTTAAAACATTCTTTTGTCAGAATCGATGTCTAGAATGGCAATATTGGTGAAGATCATTTTCTAACAGATGTATACATCGAACTATTTACTTTTTCAAATAAATGAAACGCAATAAAAGCATGATTAACGATATGTAAAAAGAGAATATGCGCGTGATTATGTATAGACGTGTATATGTACAAGAAAATTGGTGTTCTTTTGTTTTATAGTACAGTCATTTCTTCGCCAAGCTCTTCAATAGCATTAGTGGAATTCGATTGTGCCGATGATTGCTGTTGAGACTTCAATTTTTCAGGTGGTGATGATGATCCTGCACGATTGAGCTCTTTGATATCCTTGTACTCCGTAAATTTATCTCGGAATGATGTTTGACTTTTGTAACTATCAACCAATGGATTTCCTGGTTTCGCAGCAATTTCACCGCTGAAAAAGAAAACACTCTCAAATTTGAATTGGAAGAAAGAATTTCAACATACATAACATCAATAACCCAATCACGAAATAGTGGTAACAATTGATCATCCATTGATGGAAGTACAACCATACGCTAAAAGGTCATTATATGAAGGCATGTTCGAGCCGTCAAATAAAACTTTACTTTGAGTTCATCACGGATACGTGCTTCGAGAAAATCATGAATTAAAGTGTAAGAATATTTACTTTCACCGAAAACAGGTGTCACTTTAAGATTAAGATCTGGCATTTCAGGGAAGCCGATCCTATATCAAGAGAAGAATGTTATACTGAAAGAATAAATTTCCAACAACAAAATTACCATATACGATCACTTGGTGGGGGTGGAATGTTGATCTAGATAACAAAGAGTAGGACGTATTGACGAAATAACTTCTGAAGTGTTTTTTAAATATACCGTCATCATGCCACTAAAGCTAGTGAGTTCAACCTTTGCACCAACTTCAGCATTGGACAACTTTTCAATCACGCCCGCAACTGGTTTCAAAGCGGCAAATCGTTGAAAATGTTTGTTAGCAGCAACTTTTTGTAACAATGTACCTAATTTACGTGATGCAGCACTAAATTATAAAGAAGAAATGTATCCAATATCGAAAACAGACATGTCCTACTTTTCAGGCACGTCTGGCTCTTTGGCTAATAACTTTTGTCGTTCGAAAAGATCATCATCGTCAATCTTATCCTCGCTAGGAACATTTTGTGCTGAATGATGTTGGGCGTACATGGGTTGATCATAAACAGGATTGTAATTGAGAAGTCGTTGAAGAACAAGACGAGTTTTGATGGTGATTCTAAAATACAAAGGAAGAAATCGTTTGATACACTAAAGTCAATACTCACTTGAAACTTCCTCGGTAGAAAAGAAATAGATTGAACCAAATTCCTTTCGCATTGAATTGCATAGGCTCAACTTTTAATATAACAGGAAAAGTGTTTCCTAAATCGATGGTTTCAACATGTAGATCGTCTAATACTGTAACCTGAATGAAATAGAAACATCTTTTTTTCCATCATCTCAATAGTTATTTGACTTACGGCAATTTCTTTCAGTTTTAATTCGATTTTTTCTTTCATTAAATCTTTGAATAAAGGTTCCTCGAAAACATCGCAAAGTAATCGACGGGCAACGAAATTTAGCGTTATTGCTGCTTCATCGAGGCAATCTGGTGCATCAAGTAAACGCTCGAGATTTTCTTCCTGTTTTCGAAATTTCTTTTTCATTGATGCTGTTTGATGTGAACCCGTAACATCAGCATCTTTGTCAGTTGCTTTCTTATCTTTGTCTTTGTCTTTGTCTTTTTCTTTGTCCTTTTCCAGTGATTCCATACGTAGTTCTTGTGCAGCTAAGCGTGCTTGAACCATATCATTGCGAATATCAGTCTCATTAATTTGACTACGGAGTACTTCAGTTTCACCTTTATCTGTTGCTGACGTATCTGCGTAAGGTGGACCGACTGTTTCGGCTGCCTTCATCTGCACACGGTCGTCAAGATTAACTGAGTTCGTTTGCATGTCTTCTGCTCGTGTGCCCAATGTTGGAATCTGCGTATCAGGAACACTTTGTGCTATCATATTGATTGATGGAGATGTTATGTTCGAGACAACGGTAGGTGCTGATGGTGCACCCATTCGCGCTAGATTAGCTCGTTCAATTTCTTCTTTGCCCTGTCGTAAGACAAGCGATAATCTAGAAATATAATTTACTAAAGTCGGATTTAGAAATGAACCAATTATTTACTTATGAAACCAATCTTCTTTGGCAGGACCAGTTTCTAGAAACAGACTTATAGCTGTTTGTGTATTGTCAAAAAAGTCCACTGTGTCAAATTTTGATTTTCCAAAATTTTCTTGGCTGTAGACTTCCTTGCCAAGTAATTGGAGATCTTGAATGATTATAGGATACTCATTGACCCAATATTTAATACGCGTCATTGTAGCTTCAGGTACAAGCATGATCTTAGCTTCTGTAACGTAGAAAATCGAAAGAATATTAGAACTGTTTTGCTTCGACTCTGGATGATTTACCTTTGAGATAATATTCTCGATGGCCAACAAATCGAATTTCTTTATCTTTATGTTCTTCTTCAATTGCTTGAGTTGGTAATTGAATAGTGAGATGATAGTTATCCAAACGTATGACAACTGGATAACGAACATAATCATCATCACGATCAGCATCATATTTACCAAACAAGATTTCTCCACATGTCTACGAAGAAGAGTAAAGTCCGTTGAACTAATTCAGATGAATTGCTGCGATTCTTACGTGTAAAGTTGTATGTTTCGCTTCATGTGGCGTTTTAACTTGATGGAATTTATTCAATTCTGGAAAATCGATCCATTCGTGTACAACTGTTTCATCTGCTTTGGCAGTAGCATAGATTTGTGTTATCATATAAGCAAGAGCGGCGATAAACATAAATCCAACAAAAAATCCACTAAAAAATGATGAAATTGGTTTCCATAATGTAATAAGTATTGTGAAAAATCCCACTGCACACTAATAGAAAATATAAGAATACAGTAGGAAAAATTATCAAAAAGTTAATTCTAACCGAAACTGGATAAATCGTATCTCGTTTGATATTAAATTCAGGTAGCACTGTATGAAAACGAAATTTCGGTCCAGCTAATAACATCGTCGTTTTTCGTGCATCTTTATCCACACGCACAACGGTAGGTTTGGCTGTAAAATCAACAGGATCGATTTTAGTAACTACGAATTCATCAGAACCACTTTCACTTGTTGCTCGACTATGACTATTATAGAGCTCGTGTCGTACACCACTCATAATTAAATCTTTTGCTTGTTCGGAATTCTCTGTGGAAAATATATCTTGAAATGAGCGAAATGAATCACTATGAACCATGCCAGCTGTTGCGGCAGCCAATGTGTCATTTGTTGGCCGTTTTCCGAAGCCCATAGCCAATTGGGATATTGAGTAGACATGTTCCGTCGGTGGAGCATCCTCACCTATTTATTCGAAGAAAAACAACATTAATTGATCATTTCAAAGTTTTCGTTAGTTGAATATGAAATATAAATTCCCTTGACTCGACTCACGTTTATGATGATCGTGCTCCATTTACAATCGAAACCTTATTCTATCTTGGCAGTGCGTTTGTAAAATGAAAAATTTTCCAGTATCTTCTTTCATTTTTCTTTCCTTATCGAACAAAAAAAAGTTTTCTCTTCTTACCTATGCGAACTGGTTGATTCTCTGTCGGTGTTGATGGTTTTTTCTCGTCGATTGAGGCATCATCAGTGATATTTGCTCGTGACACTTGCTGCATTTGACTCGCACTAATATTGCTATGAGATAATCTTCGACGTTCAATATTATCAGCAATATCTTCTTTAATATTCGTTATCTTCTGGCCGAGTTTTTCTAAAACACTGCTAGTACTTTTCCTATGAGAGTCGTTACTACTAGTGCTCATAGCTGAGCGTTAAGGAGCAATAATTGTCGATAATTTATTTAGGAAAATAGAATAGTCAATAAGTTTATTCCGTCTAAAAATAAATAAGAAGTGGAAATAGAAAGATCAACACTTGTTGATGACGCGTTTGATCATCGTGTACTCCATCAACTCCACTATTTTTCCTCTATGATTACAGCCAGTAACAGAACGGTTAAAGAGTAGCATGCAGAAAAAACAACAACAAGGGTAGTATAAGAGAGCGAGGAAGAACGAGAAGCTGCAGAGAAAAGAATAACCATAGGTCGTCCCAGACACAGAAAACTATTAGTCAATAGTTAGCAACATATACCAGAAGTCGTTGTTATTGTCTGACAAATCAAGCGCGAAGTATGACAATGAAAAAATATTGGTCATTTTGAACTATCCAACAGATAACCTCGAATGAGTCATACAATGTTTTTATACTTATTCACATTTATCTGTTTCATGCGTTTACATTGACAGTAAATTGCTATCATGAAAACATATTAAAATGGAATAAATGTGAATTGAAATTGAAATATTGTTATTTGACGATTTTGATCGATAAATGTCTTGCAATAATCAACAGATTTCTTACATTTTGGATTGTAAGATATCAAGAATAAACTATTTCATAACAGGATGAATATTTCTTATCCTTTTTTTTCGTATTGCGTTTGAGTGTATTTTCGAACATACGTTTCTTCACACTTAGAAGAAAGTCTTTTGTGAGCCATCGACACAAACTACCGACACCGAGGCTTTCTATAGCTCAATCTGACGTAGGTAGGATGGGTAACATTGAATTTGAAATATCAATAATACATATAGATGGCGATATTTTAAAAGTAATTGGTTAAAAAAAAAATTTTCTATGACGGAAGAAGAATCATCAGTAGACTAAATAAAACTAGAATGAGGGATATTTTCTTATTTTTGAAAGATATCTTATCACTCAACAACCTTCGTTTCTAAGCAACTATTATTACACTTCTTCAGAGATGCCGTCTGATTGACAGGCAAACCATTCTGCTTCCACTATGGCTCAAACACGTGTCTTGATGTATGATACTTCTTTGATTTGTTAATAGCACATTGAATTTTCTTTGCTTCGATAGAAAATATGGTCCATATCAAAGTTTCAACGGTGTTCAACATAAACCAGATCGTATTAAGGGTCTAGAGCGTAATTATCACCGTCTTTGCTTGCCCAAACCATCTTTTCACAATAAAATTCTCTCTTTTAGTTTATTTAACAAATCTTGGTTACGCTGTTACTACCCAAATGATTCCGATTCGAAATGTTTGCGAAGTTCACGCTTATGATATGAAAGTTTACGAATGTGACATTCGTGATCTACAATTCAGTGGAGATGGAGATTTAGATAGTTTATGTCATGAGGCACATCGGCAAATAACTTCTGTGACAACATCATAATCAATGGATTTTATTTTTCTTTTTCGAAAATCAATAAAAATTTTGTCTTTTAAGTTTCACTGGTACGTTTTTCGCTTATTTTGGCCCAGTAAAATGCTTACGTAATGTTGACCAGCATTTGAAATAGTCGTGATCAACACGTTCGCATTCTTTCATACTCCAGTTGGTTAGAACTAAACTTAAAGACGACTCAAACATAAATGCTAATGAACCTTCCGCGATACGCATAGGTTTCAATTCATCTGTAACTGCTTTTTCAAAACAATCAGTGTCAGGACCATGTGGAGTCATGCAACTATGTAATGTAGCACCGCCAGCTTGAAAAGCTTCTTTTGCTTCGTATTTACCAGTTATAAGCCCCATAAATTCCGACATGCAATTACCTAGAAGATGAACATTCTTAGAATAAGTTCGAGCTTTACAAATCTTTGGTAGACTTAACGATGATAGTAAGGTGGGCGAAATGTATGTTCTTGTACCGACCATCGCGGTGGGAAAATAACGAAATCGGCAATAGCTGTACCAGGTTTTAATGAAGGACACGTTAAAACAGTGAATATTGATGGGTCCTGAAAGAAAAAGAACGCGCAATCGATTGTGATTTACACTCGCGAAAGAAAGAACGAACCAAATGATCAACTGATACGGAATTAACAACAACAAATTTCCGTAAATCATACTTATACGGCGCATAGTTTCCATGCCAAGCAACAACATCAAAACACGAATGATTCTGAAATGAGAGTTCCTCTTCTGTAAATGACTATTCCCTATGAAAACGGCATACTAGTTTTGATTCGAATAAACTGCCTTGATATTTATGAACAACAGTAAATTCACATTGTCGATCTTCATACCAAGCTGAAAGCAGAAAATTCAAAATTAATTCGAATCATTGCTTGAAAATTACCCATCGGTGTTTCGAAATCACGTGGATTGGCTAAGCCATTTGCACCTAGAATATAACATCAGTTATGTACTGAGCAAATTCTGTAGACGATAAATACCAATAGGTCCCAAGCTTGGTAAACAAAAATGATTGTCAAAAACTTCGAGTACATAACCTCGGGACGGTTGATCAACAGCGATGGAAAATCGAATACCTTGCTAAAAACAAATCATATATCTTTTCTATCTGAATCGATCAAAACTAGGCAACAAAAATACTTGAATAACACAAATTTCTTCCGGTTTAACTAACATTCGACCAAATTCGGTCGTGATACGCAATGCACCATGTTGTGGAACTAGTAAAAGCAGACTTTGAGTATCAAACAATAAAGCGAGATGTATTCCTCTTACCAATGAGAAAATCTCCATCGGCATTGCAGAGAGCTCGATCTTCCATTGAGCTGTTACAAGCGTAGATTGAAACCGAGATGCCATGCCGAGCACAAGGATCTCCAGCGCCACATAAAGTTGCTAATCCCTATTGAAATAAGATAATTGGTTACAGGAGAGATTTGTTCTATCAATTTACATCGAGAAAATCTTTCTTTTCGTCTTCAACTGATGGAATATTGAATGGTTTCCATCGTGTTTGATTTGGATTCGGTTCTAATTTATCCCATTGATTGGTAATCAAATCCGATTTTATGCGAGTAAATGGTGCATGCAACACTGCTGGCAAAATTCGATAGAACCAACTAGAAAACAAAATAGAGTGAATCAATGATTTGTTGACTTTATAACGCATAAGTACGTTCGCTGATTTGTTTCTCTTGGTGCCGTAAACGCCGTTCCAGATAATTGTTCGGCATAGAGTCCATATGGACACAACTGAGGCGTATTCTTTTAGAGAGGGAGAGAGAGAGAGAAAAACAACTTTACAAGTCGCTCGATTTTAGTATGAGGTTTTACTTGATTTTTTGGTAATGCATCTGGACAACGTGGGTCTTCGGATGAAAAATGATTGCCGAAACCACTATGATACTATGCGAATATCAACAAACATTCGAGTAGAAACACATAAAAAGAACTCAATTCATTATTTACTTTCAGGTCTTCCCAATCGACGGTCATCGTTTTACTTGTACTAAAGAAATGTAGAACTAAAGTTGCGTATTTAAATTTATCAAATGTACACAGATATCGATAGCTACATAGATAGTTAAATAAACACAAATACGCACACCTTCAGTGCTGCCATGTGATCTTTTTGTTATTCTTATCTTTTTCTTTTTCTGCATCTTTTATCATTCCTCTCGGAGTCCTATGTACTAAATTCGTGTTGAAGTTGTTGTTCTTCTTCTTCTTCTTTATTACTATAAGATGAAATAAGAAATATGTAAAAAAACATCTTAAAAACTTTTTATTTCATCGAACAACTTCAATCTTCTTTTTGTACCTCATAAAAGATTAGCATTTGTGCACAATAGACGAAGAGAGAGAGAAGAGAAAAAAGTTTTTTTCGAATAAAGGGACGCATACGATGCGCACTATTTATAATGAGCAAATATTGATCATATGCGGCATGTCCATAAAAGAGTAATGCGTAAAGGCAACATAGACATTTTCTTGCTTTTTACAACGAATTGATCAAATACACATTTTGAATTTTTCGCTGGCAAGTGTTATAGACATAAAATCAAGGAGTACAACGAGGCAAAATGAAGTGTTTGTTATTATGTTCGGCATCTATAAGTATGATTTATGAGAGACATCACTAATAAACCGCAGGATCGTGAAAGAATTTCCTGTCACTTTTTTTTTGTCTATGGCAATCTAGGTAGACGAAAGGCATATAATGTAAGTTATTCGACGAAGTATTACTAATAAAACAGAACTGATTCCTGTTCTCTTTTCTTTACTTAATCGAATCTGCATACTTGAAATAGTACGTAACTTTTGTTTTTCTTGTTAGAGAAAAAGAAAATATTAGCTTAATTCAACATGGATCTCGAATATAGCGTGATCGAGAACGTTCATCGAAATCGAGCTGGACAAATTGTACAAATCGATTATCAATTCGATGAGACAGTTGTGGTGGAAACTGTTACATCCGGTTCAACAGTGAGCATTGCAAAACAAAACAGAGAAAAACGAAATCGAACATACGATGCAACAATCACTCGTGAACAATATCAAAATCTCGTTCGTAATCTCAAGAATCCTCTCTCATTCGATGCATTCATTAATGTTCTACGTCCATTCATAATGGGATTTTATTCAAGTGATGAATTAGAACGTGCATTTTCAACATTGGATCGCGATCGTTCAGGTTCCATTCATATTGATGAACTAAGCTCATTTCTACCGATATTAAACGATACAATAAACGGCGATGCTCTGCGTGACTATATTCGTAAAGTGGATGAGAATTTTGATGGAAATATGAATTATGACGAATTCCGGGCACTTGTTTTACGTGGCATTGGTCGAGATATCATTTGTAATCACTTATAAAGAAACAGAACATTTCCGGGTCGTTTATCCTTCTTAGATGCCTTAGTTTTCTCTTTTTTCTTTTAATTCAATCAATTCATCTTTTGTGTTATAATCACACAAAATAACAGAATAAAAAAACACAGAAAAACAAAACAAAAACAAAAAACAATACTCTCGACTAGTTCGTATTTTTATCGAGTTTATAAATCAGAACAGAATTTTTAGCTGATTTCACTGTCCACCATCGACCAAGTCGGTGTTCTTGACCGATGCCGGCAACTAGATAACTTCCATCGGAAGAAAATTTAAGATCATTAACAAAACCAACCTAGAACGTTTCGATGAATTCTACTGAAAAAAAATCATAGACGCTTCTTACTTGTGATATTGTAAAAAGAGGGATCAAATGGTTGAATTCAGGTGTTGATTTCCATAATTGAATTGTGCCATTGAATGAACCTGAGGCAAGTAAATCAGTGTAACGAAGTGAAGCTAATGCTGTGATCCAAAAATCATCAGGTAAGGATGATGGAATTACAAGTGGATCGAATGACGTAAATTTGTGAGCACGAGGTAGATTATAAAGAGGACGACGTTTGCCTGTCGACCAAAGAGCGATGCATCTAGACAAAATTCAATAAAGATTGGTGATCTTAATTTTGGAAAAGGCGGGATTCATTGATTTCTCTATACTTATCGGTATATTTGAATATATTAAGGTTTCGGCAGTGAAAACATTCATCTATTTTTACATACGCAATGTTTGCACTGACTATTGTCGAAGGTCAAATGGCAAAGTCAATTTTTTATTGTTTGAGTTTATGTAATAAGGTTTTACGATTTCTTTTCCTTATCATCAGTTTGTTTCTTTCCTTGTGAACCAACTTACCCGTCATCACCGCCAGAAACCATATGTTCGTCATTAATTAAAGCAACACAATCAATTGAACCTCTTGAATAGTAATCGAATGTGAGCAACGTCTTTCTCTACAAAAAGAAGTTTATACATACCTATGTCCAGTAAACATTAAATGTGATTCTTCAACGATTTTCCATAATCTCAATGAGCCATCTCGGCCACCAGCGGTAACACATCGTTCACGCATCAACGCATCAATTGCTTGAATTGGTTCTTGATGACCAAATCTAGAATAAAACATCGAGAAATTTTCGTTAAAGATCAATTTTCGACGTACAATGTTTCAACATAGGTCATTTCATCTAGATTCCAAAGTTTGACTGATCGATCTTGAGACGCACTGAATAATTGATGGGAATTACGACGAAAGGCTAAACCCTAGGGATCACAAGTTGTATTTTGCAAATGTTTCTCTCCAATGTAAAAACTCACAGTAATCGGTCCTTGATGTCCACGGAGAGTCTTCAAATGTTGACACGTTTGTGCATTCCATACCTGAATCAAATCTGCACGATCTCCTGTCACCTAGAAGAAAAACAATTTTTACGTTCGTATTTGCCGATTCATACAGAATTCTCTACCAAAAACTGTCCATCAGTTGAAATACTAATTGCAAGAATATGATCGTAATGTCCAACAATTGGTACTCGTTCGTTTGTTTCAGTGGGTTTCACAATTCGACGTATCAAATGAAGTTTTTTACCAGTTAACAAACACCCTAATTGAAATGTGTACTTTCATATTTACTTGTTGCGAAAGATTATTTTTACAACTTACATTTAATAATACTGCAATCTTTTGATCCAGTGAATGCATATTTGTTATCATATGAGATACATACACAAGTGACACTTTGTTGATGGCCACGACATGTGTGAAGAAGAACAGGTTGAGAATACTAGAAAAACGAAAGAGATAGATTTTTGTTTTCATAGTAAAATTCTTGATTTTACATTTGAAGCAACTTGACGATGAAGTTTACCCGCTTGTTCAAGCTAAACACGAATAATGTATAAATTTTCAAACATCCGAATTCTATTTCAACATACGACATCATCACGAAGACGTTCGGAAACAGTATCACGATCGAGTTCACGTTCTTTTTCTGAAAATCAATCAAGCCATTTTATTTTTCAACCAAGTTACCATTCATTCTCACCTTGTTTGGCAATCTGTTCAATGTATTCTTTCGCACGTTTCAACCGTTGCTCATGAACGTTATTTTCATCGTCGTCGTCATCTTCTTCGTTTAATAAGAGATTATCTAATCGAACAGTTCCATTTGTCTGACGGTTTTGTTCGTCATCTTCGTCAAGATCACTATCACTCGGAATTTCTTCGTTTTCGTCTATAATGTCTTTCTGTTTTTTCGATTTCTTGTTTGTATGACCATTTGTGAATTCAGATGATGTGGATTTCGTTTTTTTCTTGGCATTTTCAGATTTAAGAAATTTCTAAAACTTCCATCTTAAGAACAATCGAGAATGAAAGGAAAGAAATGGCTACCTTGCGTTTTTTGTCTTTTGGTTCAGAGTTTGGTTTTCTAATGAAAAAAGGCATGTTTATCTAAAAGAGATAGATTGTTAGCATCGATATTCTCCGGTTATTTACATGAAATTTAATACAAAAAATGACTAGATGAAAGATTGCTTGGGGAAAAATTCAAAATTTCAGATCGTCTTCATCAATATCGTCGATTGTGCTCAAGCAGACTTCTTTCTCTGGTTGATTATCTAGTTTGCGACGTTTGGCCTGAGATTGTTCATCGACATATGAAGTATTTTCATCGATCGGTACGAGAATTTGAGTATTTACACGAGTACTGGGCCCTAATTTATCAATTGGACTTATATGATTATTAAACACAGGAGGTTTAACAGTAAGTGGGGTAGAATATTGTTCCGTATGTTGATTGCATTTGATTTCTTCTCGTTTTTCTTGATGCGCGATTTGAGTTGAAAGTAGTTTAAATCCATTATTCGTTGTTGCAGATTGAGTAGGGCACACCGGTGGCGTATGGGGCCTTTTGAATTCGCGAGGCATGGTTCGTTTTTCATTCTGATCATTTTCAGTCCATGGCTTTGATTGATCATATTCCTGAGCAATGCGTTCGAGTTCTCGATCACGTAATTCCGAGAGATTTAGCCAGTCGAGAACAAGATGAACTGTAACAAAGTAAGAGTAGTTAAAGCGAAGAAAATGGATGCATCTACCATGTCCCTCGTATTCTTTCTCCGGTTGTTCTGCGAATGTTGTGTGTAAAGCGTTCATTTTATCAATTAACTTGCCACAACCATTCAAACTTGCTTCCATCAATAGAACAGCAACAACTGCGTCGAGTATTGTCACATGTGGCGAAAAACATAATTTCGCATGAGCTAAAATATATCTTTTCTAATGAAGTTTGTTTCAAATAAGTGTCTGTTTTGTTACCTTGCGCTAAACGGACAGTACTTTCGAGTTGACGAACAGTTATATGTCGCTCAGAGTTTTCAGTCAACCGACGGGATAGCGAATAATAACTAAAATGTATAGATTATGGGATGTGATAGAATAGGAAAGAGCTTACATACGTTTTAATGATTGTTTCAGCATCTGCAGTCATCTCTGGCTGAGCAGATTTGATCGTCATGAAATAATCTCGCATTTTCATTATTGACCACGGCTTTTTCAGCGTACCGTGACCTAAATGTAAGAATAACTCTCTAATAAAAACAAAAGAAAGAAATCAAATGTACCAAGTAGATCAATTCCTTCGGTGATATACGTTGCAGCAATATTATCCCACTCTTTATTTTGTGTATCAAGTGTCAGTAAAATCAAATCGAATCGACTCAATAATGGTGATGAAAGTGCTGTATTGATTGTTAATGGATCTTCATTATCATAAACACCTTTAGGATTTGCTGATGCGATGATAGAACAACGTGTTTGTAATGTTCGTAACATTCCTCCCTTCATAAATCAAATAGAGAAAAATCAAAATGGGCAGCAGCATACTTTAGCTAAACTAATTGTTTGCTGTTCCATTGCTTCGAGTATACAAGCTTTGTCTTGATTTTTCATCGTATTGAATTCATCAATACAACATATGCCTTCGTCAGCCAGAACTAGCGCTCCAGCCTCTAATATCCATCCGGGCCCGTCCTAGATCAGAATTTGTCATTTATGTACATGTTTATGTGATAGTTCACTTACTCGAACAGCTGTAGCTGTTAAACCAGCACTGGTTGAGCCAACGCCAGTTGTTAACACAGCTCGTGGCATCATTTTAGCAACATATTTAAGAAAAAATGACTTTCCAGTACCTGTCGGACACAATCGGTTATATTAAAATCAAACTTCCATTCAAATACACACCTGGATCACCGACTAGTAGCAAGTGCGGTTGGCTACGAACGCGGATACCACGTTTTTCATCAGAAATCTAGATTAATTCATCTATAGAATCAACTCTGAAACGCATTCATCTATAACTTACAGTAACTCCACCAGCTAAGATCAACGCAATGGCTAGTTTCACTACATAAAGTCCATACAGTTGAGGACAAATACTGGCTAATATACGATTTCGAGCTGAGAGTGGAGTTTGACAGTTATCTTTCCAGTATTGTTCGAATTCATCATGCTTTTAAAAGAAGAACAATGAATTCTTTATGAACAAAAGAAGAAAGCTATTCGAACTAACCGCATGTGGAGATACACTAACAGTTTGATCATTGAGTACGACAACATTGTTCGCTTCTAAGCATAGACTGGTCTGACCGCGACCACCGACTTGTACCGGTCGCCAACGATCTTGAACAAAGCCACTACAGAAGAGAATTGATGTTCAACATCATCGATCATTCAACGACATTCTGAGTTGACTTACTAGATGGCCACATCATCTCCTGGTTTGCAAGCTTCAACAAGATCATCTTCGAGAATGACACTAAACGAGCGTGGTAGATTATTTGATGTAACACGTTGTAATGATTCTTGAACTTTGATTTCTCGATAATCCGATAAACTTATTGATTTGTCCTCCGCTGAAAGCAAGAAGATCGGTCATAAGATTGTACCGGATTGTACTACAAACTTTCTTTCATTGACCTAAATTTTGTTGATTTACAGTCTTCATTCGAACATCGCGTCGGTTTTAATTTAATCCTTTCCATATTGCTCGATTTTGTGACTGTCGCTATTGCTCCACATTCTTCACATTCAAACGATCTTGTCGCATCGAAGACATACGGCGTGCCAACACGAATAACTGTTCCATGAAAACAGATAAAATGTCCACGATCTTGACAACTAGAGTTGATATAAAAGCAGCTGACATTGCTATATTTTCCATGGTAATTTACTTTGGAATTTGGTGACGAACAAGGTCTGAACGATTACTACCAAATTTGATGATTTTTATCTTTGTTGTTATATCTTCTGGCTAAAAGAAAGAAACGTTTTATCTTCAGATTCAGTGTGAAAATATTTACAAGTGAATAGTCAGATAATTCTAAAGCGACTTGTTTGAATGCTTCTGTAAGCTTATCGAAAAAGTAACGAGCACGCGAACCCAAATCCCAGAGAAGTCGACCCAATTCAAAATCATATTCTAATAATTTACAATAGCTAAACATTTCGATGAAGAAATCCATGTAAAAATAAGAAAGTTTACTTTAATGTCAGCGTAATAACATTGGCTATGTCTGATTTATCAGTCGGCAGAATGCTGAGAATATCATTTCTACATTGTTCACTGCGGAAAAAGTCTTTTAAAGCGTCTAAAAGGGAGGAAGATCAAAAGAAATGTTCAGTTACGAAAGTAATCGTTTTCTTCTAATTACCTAGAAGTGAACGTGAAGCATTTGTGGGCATTTCGATTTCGACTGAGTATAGTTTTTCTTCTCGAATATATCACTTTCTGGATTGAGATGTGATGGGTAAAGTTAGGAACACTTTGATTGGTTCGTATCAACCAATAGGAAATAACGGTCATTGCTAGTTGAAACTCGATTGAAAAAATGTTTTCTTTTCCTTAGAAAATCTATGAAAAATATCGAATTTATGCATGAAAATCATTTTCATTAAAACTATCTATATTATGAGTAGGCAATACTCATATTGAAAATGTTGTTGATTGACAACTTTGAGTTCTACTATCAACTGTTGTTCATTTCTTTTGAAAGAATTAAATTTGTTTACTCCACTCCTTTGAGGTATACTGAAACCAGTGTAGACACACCACCTAGGTCTATCTATTCATGTAATTTTTTTTCACGTAATCTAAGCAAATAAAACTGATACTAGATATATTTTACGATAAGATTCGTCGGATGATTATATAAAAAGTGTTGCATAAAACATGAAAAACATGTTTAAAAATATTCTTTTTAGAATGTTTTGCTTGTATTTAACTGTGCTACTTGTTGTAGCAAGTATAAATGCATATGAAATACCTGCGCCATTCGATATTCGAATTGATTATTATAAAGTTGACACAACAAGAGATCTAGTCATTAACACACCTCTGCCACGGTTTTCATGGAAATTACCGCGTTTTAATGAACGTAATGTTCGCCAAACAGCCTATCAAATCCAACTTCAATCGTATAACGATCGATGGGATAGTGGAAAAGTTGATTCTACTCAATCGATTCATGTCTCAAATGAAAATTTCGATGGACTTCTATCATTAACATACTATCAAATCCGTTTCCGAGTGTGGACAAGTTTGTCGGATGAAGCAAGTTCATGGACGGATTGGATACGGTTTCGAACATCGATGTTCGATTTGCATGAATTCCTTATGCAAAGAAATGATGATGTGAATTGGATTGGTTCGACACAGATCTACATGAATGAATTGCGAAAGGAGTTTAATGTTTCGAGTACCAGTGCAATTCGAACAGCAATTGCTTTTATCTCGGGTGTTGGATATTATGAATTGTATATCAATGGCCAGAGTGTTGATCCAAGCCGAAAATTAGATCCAGGATGGACAACATACGAGAAGCGTACCCTATTTGTTTCGTATGATCTAACATCAACGATTAAAGTACGAGAATAGAAACGTTCAAATTTGTTTAATTGTTCTTTTTGTATAGCTTGGTATGAATGCTGTTGGTGTAAAATTAGGAAATGGTTGGTACAGTCAAGAGCAGTATGTTCCACCATCTGCGAGCGAACCATCTTATGGTAAGAAAAAATGAATTTAGCCTAATAGGAAACGATCCGTTTGGTTTCTTTAATCGCGTCATTTTAGGTCCTCCGCGCCTCATGTTTGTTTTACGTATTACTTTTGAAGATTCACAAGAAATCGCCATTTATAGTGATCAAACATGGAAAGGTCGCCAAGGATCCATTGTACATGATAGTGTTTACAATGGAGAAATCGTTGATAACCGATACGATCGTCCTAATTGGGCTCAGGTTGGATTTAATGATACACTCTCGCTTTGGATTACACCGGAAATTATGCCACCGCCAGTCAATGTAACTGCGAACGGCCAAATGAGTCTACAAGATATGCCTCCAATACGTGCAGGCGTTGACGCCTTACAATTTGAAATCGATAATCCATCCGAAATCATCAATAGTTACTTAACAAAGGAAGACATAGGCGATATTCAAGGTGGACAACTCCATGACGGTGGTGTATTAAAGCCAGTGTCTGTATCAACACCAGTCTTAGGCGTTCACACATTTGATATGGGGCAAAATATGGTTGGTTGGTGTCGATTTCATTTTCACGGCCCACGTGGTCTTGGTATTTACATTCGTCATGCTGAAGTGTTAGCACAACCAGTCGTAGCGTCAAAGTATGACAGATTAGAACTGATTATATTATATTTTCACATGAAAATTCTAGACAAGCATATGGTGGAATCTATATAGAAAATCTTCGCGGTGCTACTCAAAGTGACAGTTATATATTACGTGGAGATCCCAATGGTGAAATCTATGAGCCACGGTAAGTTCAACGAATATTTCTGTTTTTCCGATCGAAAGGAACCGTGATGTTTAGGTTTACTGTTCATGGTTTCCGTTATGTATCGGTTTTTGGTTCTCCAGTTCCTCTTTCGGTGAATGACGTCGAATGTCTTGTTGTTCATAGTCAAACGACAGTGAAGGGACACTTTGCATCCAGTAATCCAGTTATCAATCAAATTCAACACAATGTACAATGGGGTCAATTGAGTAATTCGATGTCATTGCCCACTGATTGGTAAGCAAAGAAATAAAGTACCGGTTTTCCATTAAAGGTTTCATCTGTTCTGTTTAGTCCACAACGTGATGAGCGAAAAGGTTGGATGGGTGATGCTGCTTTATCCGTCGATGAAGCTCTCTACAATTTCGATCTTATGAAATTTTATCTCAATTTTCTTAACTTGATTGCTGATGTTCAACTACCAGATGGTTCAATTCCCGATACCGTACCAGTCAGCTTCGGTGGTTATCCGTCCGATCCTAATTGGGGAACTGCTTTACCTACAATAACTTGGCAATTGTATCGTCACTACAACGATATTCAAATTCTCCGAGATCATTATGCTTCAATTCGTGCATACGTCGAAGCAATTCGTGCTGGGTACAGTAAGACAGGTCTTGCTAAGCTCGCTTATCATTACGGAGATTGGGTTCCTCCACCACCCCAACCGATGACAAATGTCTATCTGATCGCATCCTTTGCATTTCTACACGATGTTTCTCTATTGGTGAATATTTCGCAAATTATTGGTTTTACTAATGACACACAATCGTATACAACATTCTATCGACAACTTGCAGAAGAATTTCATCGCGTCTTTTTCACGCCATCAGCCGGATATTATGCAGACGGAATGCAAGCAGCACAAATTCTTGCTTTAGCTCTACCCAATGTTGTACCAGCAAACGTTCGTGATTCTGTTTTTCAACATTTATTACAAGACATCCATCAAAAAGATGTTCACCTTTCGACGGGAATTGTGTCAACTGCTCAAGTTTTCTCATTACTCTCTGACAACGGCCAACATGATCTTGCTGTTCAATTAGCGTCCTCTGTAACATATCCATCCTACGGTTATATGTTTACTAATCCCTATGAAAACGCTACAACCATGTGGGAATTGTGGGATGCTCCAATGGAAGGTCCAGGAATGAATTCACGAAACCATCATATGTTTGCTAGTATAGGTGCATGGTTTTATTCTCATTTGGCTGGTATTGATTATCAATCAGATCTGATTATTATTCGACCACGAATGTTATCCGAAGAGAAAAAACAACTGATGGCAAAAGTTGATTGTCAAGTCAGTACATTGTATGGTATTGTTCACGTTTCCTATACACGTGACGAACGCGACACATTCCGCAATTCAATTCTTCTCCGAGTCTCGATACCAACGAACGCAAAAGCACACATCACATTTGAGCCATTATTTCCTCATGCTCGATGTACGGCATTAACCGAAAGTGATAAGGTAATTTGGTCAGCAGATCATAAAGAAGACAACGTTTTCAGCGATTCGCAAACTGGTTGGATGACTGTACAAGTCGGCTCGGGCGAATACGAATACCAAGCGTTTTGGGAATAGATGAACCAAGAGAAAAACAGTACAGAAAAATTTAAACTTACATGCATTTATTAGCCATAGCTTTTGTGATAAACTTCGCCTTCTTTTATTTTGTAGACATATTTTATTGTTGTGATAAACTATTTAATCGTAAGATTTATAAAGACTTTTCTAAGACAACAATTAGATCATAAAGGAATTCAGCTTGTTTATTGATTAAATCATGAGAAAACGAATGTAATCATAACAAAAATGAAACATCAACAAAAACCAAATGCTTGATTATTTATAAACAATGTTGCCATTCATAAATTGTTTCATGAACTTTCTGTATCTGCCCTAAAATGACGAAAAATAGGACGTCTCACAAAACAAAACTCATCCATATTTCTTCTTACTTTCGATCACCTCTTTCGCTGGATCCACTACCAACGCTTCCTTTGAGATCCTAAAAATATATAGTTCGAACATCCAAATGATACCATTTCATCATCATTACTAACCTTATGGAACTAAAACAATACGAAAAAAAACAACAGTTTACAATTAGTTCAGTTTGAAGATAAAGGATATGTAGCAAACCTGGTTATCATGGCCATGGTGTGGTGCTTGATCTTTCGCTTCAGGGTGTTCATGTGGTTCACGGTTCTTTTTTTCGATCTTATCACCATGTTCTAAAAACTTTGATTTATTATCGAGAAAGGTGTCATGCAAAACGATTTTACCATGGTATGGTTTTCCATCGGAGTTGAGATCTACGCCGGACATTTTTTATATGAGGTGTGTATTGGTAAAATCTGCAGAACAAATGAAGAGTCAAATTTTTAGACGACCTACTTAAGAGCAAGGAAGGGGGCGGAGAGTAGAGGGCAGCGAGTACGAATGTGAAGAGAGTCATGGACACGCACGCACGTTACAATCGACATGTGTTGTTGATTGGTGAGAAAGCCGTATATGACATTAAGAACGGATGTCAGGGACCTCTTTCGGAATGTATTTTTATTTTAACTAGCTTTCAATAAGATATTGAATCAAAAACAATTGTAAAGAAGATCATCCTATTCAACAACGTACATCGTTCTCCGTAGAAGTATGTATTCAATTCGGTTTTTTCGCTTTGACTTGCTTCTTTTAGTAGTATTAACTAGTATTGATCGATCGCTTGAACATATAAACGTGAGCGTGTTCCAGATGCCTGTACAGTTTTCGGTTGAATCAATCGACTATCTTGCTGACAAATTCAATAACTGTGGATCCCTATCGGATGAATCTCTTTCATATTTAACACGGCAAGTCACTAGCTTAATATCCATTCTTTTACAAGTAAAACCCATCTTCGTCCATGAAATTACTCAGGAAAAGTTTCCTTTTAGGATGCTTGTAAAGTATTACGTAAATGTCGTCGAAACAGTTTAACAGCAGAGGATTTCGCCTTTGCTCTAAAACTGCATCAATTAGAAGTAAATATAACTTTTCAACTATTCTATTTATGTTCCCTTCGTTTTAGCCTATGTACGGCGGTTACACGATCTCAAATGACCACAGATCATCATTTCAAAAATTGAAAAGGGATAATCGAAACGTCTATTATATCGATGATCAAATCATTCCTTTTAATCAACTGATTCAATCTCAGCTAAAAGTACCTTTAGACATAAGCCTTCGAGGTAAAGTATAACAATTATCTATTCGTACCTGATCGACCATCTTTCGGTTACTAACTAGTACATTGGCTAGCAGTGAATGGTAAACAGCCCGACGTAAATGAAAATCCTACTGTAGATATATCTGTTCGATCGATTTCAAAGAAAAGATTCGTTAAAAGTTCACATATTCTATCCACAGTACGTGAAGAATCTTCTTGATCTCAATGAAACATTCGTTATTCTTAGGAACAACAAATCTATTTTAAAGACTTGACAGAGACGTGTATCAGCTCGAACGAATCAAAGCGCAAGGTAAACTCTTTCAATGGCAGAAAGATTGACACTTTCGTTTTTCATAGCAAGCTTTAGCAATACTTTCATCCGATCATAGTCTGCAAGCTATTCTATCGCGTTTAATTCTATTCATATCAGAAGGAATACGTGTGAATTTATCACCACAAGCTCCAGCTGATCGTTCGATTTTCTTAAACTTTCTCATTCAAATGAGTGACAGTTTGTTACAAAACGAAGAACTCAATCTAAAAGCATATGTAAGAAATTCTCTTCCAATATACCAATCTATCTCTTTATCTATCGTATTAGTTACACTATTTCTTTCCAGCAATCCTCTCTTGCTTACTTGCAAGGCGAACGTCACGTGATCATTGGGCATTACGAGATCTTGCAGGCAAATGTTCTGGAAAAATTATTCGGTTTGTTTTCAAATCTTTACGGAGAAGAAAAACTAATTGATCGTATCTCATAGGAAATATGCAACAGCAGCGAACGGTTTACAACAACGCACAATCAATGTCTTCTATCGAATTTTAAATAGTAACGAAGAAGAATACACATGGTCAACTCGATACGGAGCATTCGTTGGCCTTTGCGAAATGAATTCAAAAGTAATTCTAGATCTTAACTAGAATCATGATGTGAAGTCTTGTTTAGGTAATCATTCAACTAATATTTCCTCTTGTCAAACGATTAGGTGAACGAATTCGACTGATATCAGATGTTGAATCATTGGAAAGGCTCACAGAAGTCATTGTGGTATGATACAATTTTCACATCAATCTAAAACGAATGTTTGTTTGTTATAGAAATTCCTCACCATGGCTTATCGTTCTGTTGACAACAAAATTGAAAGTAATGAGAAGAAACTCTACGAACAGTTCGGTTCATATTTCGCACCATTGATTCAACAGCAACTGATATTATTGTTGTAAATAAATTAAATTATTCAAATCTAGAAATAAAATTGTCCATTTGGATGTAAATGTATCTGAAGGTGTGTAGTGATTTGTCTGCTTACTAATGACAAGTCATTGATTGAAATAATGTTCTTCTTGACATAAATCTGTTTGATCCCAGCAGGAATCGAAAAGAGAGAGAGAGGGAAAAAACACATAACATCTGACGACGATTTATTTTTATTGATTCATTAGACCGGAAGAGAATTCCGAGTGGAGAGAGATTTCTTCTCATCTGACTGTTCTGAAAACAATTTTATTGTTCAAATAGTCATTGTTTTATCGTTCTCGACTGACTTTTTTTAATTCGATTCATTTTCTCTATTATACATTAGGGATCAATGAATATGAATATAAATAGAAGAGAGAATACATGAGCATAGAACAGGTGAATAATATTCAATAGAATGGGCCTCGTATAAAAATTACTCATTGATGAGATGTAGATGTTAGTGTTATTGATTGAAATAGAGGAAGAAAGAGAACGATGAAGCAGATTGATGGGTGAAAGAGTCTATGTGAAGATTTCGATTGGTTAAAACAAGTGAGAAAAAAATCGACGTGATCACTGCCAATCAAATTGACGTTTACAGGTGTTCTTATTCAATGTGTTGATAAGTCTATTTGCTTTTTAACACATCATACAATGCCACGTCCGGGTAAATCTTCGTATTCAGACGAAAAGCCACCATGTTCGTTCAAAATAAGCTTTACTTATTTCCCTCACTCAGAAAAGCTTTCCTTATATTTAGATTCGTATATTGCTTTGACAGCAATGGCGATTCAACAAAGTCCAGACAAGATGTTGCCACTAAGTGACATTTATAAGGTGCGAGTGAGAGGAGGAAAATCAGATAAAGAAACATCAGTGGTTTTTTTTTGTAGTTTATTACTGACCGATTTCCATATTATCGAACGAATACGCACAAGTGGCAGAATTCTTTACGACATAATCTATCGTTTAATGATTGTTTTATTAAAATTCCACGGCGGATCGATAAACCTGGCAAAGGAAATTTTTGGGCGTTGCATAACAAGTAAGTTCAAACGGATATTTACTATTTTAATAAAGAGACTATCATTCGTTTAGTTGTGGCGACATGTTCGAAAATGGAAGTTATCTCCGACGACGGAAGCGTTTTAAATTATTAAAGGTATCCTATGGAGACAAGAAAAGCAATGAAAAAACTTGTCCAAGTACATCCTCTGATCGACCACAGAGAAAATCATCGTTTTTTATTGACAATCTTCTTGGAAACGATACAAATACAAGTTATACATCATCGTTGTCCGAAACAAATGGTCCAACAATGAAAAATCTCTTCTACTCAAACGACTGGAATGTTGTACAAAAATTAGCATTTCTCAGTGATATACATGGACAGAAACAACAGGTTTACTAGTGAACGAAGAATTCCGCTCGTTTTCTAGTCTTTGACACATTATCAATTTTCTTCTATTAGATCATCTATGCTTCATTTGTGACTAATGACTTTGTATTTTGTTCCCTACAAGACTCAAGTATATATATTTTTTTCTTTCTATCGATGACATTTGGCGTATGTGTATGTGTGTGTTTGTCTCAATATAATAATTTAATGAAGTTGTCACAGAAATGGTCAAATTGTATGATGATAGATGAACAGACATTCGAATCACCTGAGAATATCATATGACAAGAATGATAATTGAGAAAAACTTCAAGCCTATATATATCTCGATGTTTTCCTATGTGATTATTATTATTGAAGATATCATAGCGGATGAAATCAAAGAAAATGAAACCGTCTCTCAAGAGATCTTTAAAGAATAGCGATTCATTCGTCTACGCGATGCTAAAGGTGACAATCAATCATATGTACCTATTTGAAAAGGACATTTTTTTTAATAATAGGAATTCGTTCTTTAATGACTTCTTCTGATGATTGAATGAACATTGATGAGAAATAAATACCTGAAGACTTAAGCAAGAGAGTAGGATTGTTGCTCTGTTCATCATCCACAGTTTTAAATAGTTCAAAAGCGAAAACAACACATACAGACACAATTATGTTCTTTGTAGAGATTCTCTTCGTTCAAAAAGACCAACTGTATGCAATATCTTCGAAGTCGGAAAGTGCAACGATTTTCTTTTCCTGAGCTGGCACAAAACAACAAAAATACTGCGAATATCTTTCTTTGCTCCTTTCATCATGATCATTTCGCTTTCTGCAGTGTCTTTCCGTGAATCCTCATCCGTCGAATTTCTAATACCATATTTACAATTCAGTTTAGCACAATTGTACGAATCCGATCAATGTATGCAAAAGTATTCAGTAAAAGAAATCAATGAAATGCTCAAATTAATTCAATCGATACAAAATAGATCGGCTCGTTCGTTTCAAAATAAAAGAATTATTTGTGTAAGTGAATATGGACACATCATATGTTGAAAACCATTTTTAAGTTGACATCCAAGTGCTTGCGAAACGGTTTTCACCATAAAACTTTATGTCCTTTCTTTGTACGATACGTAAAACATTCCGGCAGTGATTCGACAAACGAATAATCATATATATATGCGATCATAACGGTAAATAACAATTATATTCTCATAAAAATACTCCATTATATGGTTTTTGTCAATATTGGTATTGGTAAATTTTTTTATCGAACGAGACGATTGTAAACCGAACGTAAGAAACGATACAACTCAAAAGGAATCGATGTCATATGCAATTGATTATTCCAAATTAACATCAACCTTCTCGCATTCAATCAATATATTTATCTCAATTAGAAAAACATTACGATCGTATTAACGATAAGATCAAAATCGCCGTAAGATACAACCGTCTTTATGTATTTGTCATCATAATAAATTCGTTCA